TTAGCTTAATACTTTTTTCAAGAAATTTTTTTGCTCCCGTGCCTCCGTCACGGTCTAGTGATTTTTGCCTTTTGCCGGCTTCAGAGAGGTCTTATCAAGAATCTAAAGGCATGGGCATGATCAGAAAAATCATTCCAATCACGTATCAGCAAAATTTTTTTTCTAGTAGCCTTCAGTAACGGTCCAGTGATTTTCTGCCATATCTCGAGAACGGTAATAGACAGGGGTCTCATATTTGGGTTATACAAGGTAGTTGGAGTAAAGTTTATGCCTATGAAATTTCGTCACGGTCGAGTGATCACGGACCTTAAAATTGATAAAAATCGACATCCATCAAGAGTGATAAGTTTAAGACGTGTTATTCAAACTACTGAATGAACCAAAGTGGCTGGGGGCTACGCGCCGGACGAATTTCCGCCATTCGTCCGGCGCAACGACCCTGGTGCATCCAACAAACTCATAATGAAACATACGCTCGTTTATACTCAAATATCTCCCTTACATTTCCCCTCGCGGGTAGCGCAGCGACCGTCCCTGGATTTAGGCCACGGTGCTACCGAGGTAAATGTTATTAATGCATAATTAAACCCTTGCCTAACTCTAAAACTAACGTTGGTATGATGGGAGACTTGATGAATGTCAACGTGACTGATATTCATCTATTTCACTGTTGTGTTTGGAATAGGCTATATTATTACCTGTGACTCGAGACAGCAACGACCCAGCATGAGACTCTTTTTATACAAATAGCCTCACTCGCTCATTATTTGTTTCAGCAAGGACGCATCATTAGATTAGCGCTAAAACTGCGTTCCAATCACTGATTATATTCGAGAAACAAATGGCATGATGTATGTCTCGACGTAACAATATTTCATTGATGGAATAAGTTACCCACGCCCTGAGTGGCAAGAATTCAAAGATGGGGTCCAATTATCAAACTTGCGTTGTTTTCCACAAACACCAAAATTATAACAACATACAAACGAGAAAGATTTATAATATTCCATAGCATAAACATCAATATGTAGTCTTGAAGTTATTCTGAATTTCATAAACGCTGCTCCTCATCGTTTGCGTGAGCAAATAAATGACCTCGAAGCCGCACAAGCCTGGCTTTTACATTTTTGATTTTTGGTGTCGTCGATGGTAGAATCAGCAATTATATGACGCATTGTTACGTCACTACTGTAATATTCTTCGAAACACATATCTATGTTTTGATTGTCAGAATCTATACAACTAACTTTTTCAAGGGTAATAATCATCTTTAACGATCAACCAATGAATTTCATTTTGATCGCTCAGGGATAAAACGAAGTAATAAAATAAACACACTTGGATATGGCATATAAGTGAGTAGCTCTTAGTAATGCCACACAGAACAATAGTGCAAAAAGGTAATATACTATTGTGTCACAATTCATACATCTAAAAAGAACAATTAGCAAATCACTGACATTCATCGATTGCATCCAAACTACTACGATATGCATCAACACACATATATACACACAATTGTAAATAAATGCTAAAAACGGTAGACTCATCAAATTCATTTCGAGCGACCAAATTTTATACAGTGCAGTACATTATACTATTTAAATAAATTTCCGGCCCCAATGGTGTTGAATCCTATTTCAGAGCTTTGTCACAGCTTCCGCTCCATGGCAATATTCTTAAGTTTGTGAAATGTTTCTTAGATCTCCAACTGTCAGTCTGTGCCCAAATCTATATCTTTGCTTTCTATTCAGGCTTTATGCCATTAGCTACGTCTGTAGTTTGCATGCTTGTAGCGGTTCCGCAACCGAGAAAGCAAACGCTCCATTCCAGTCTCCAACTATAAACTAAGCTCTCTAGACTGGAATTCCATGGTTTGATGCCCCAAATCTGTCTTCTCGAATGGCCTACTTCTGTACTTGTCGATCTGGGAAAAAATTGTGTGTATAATAGCCAGTATAAATATAATATCTAATGACTGATCACTGAACTTAAAAGTTCGATATTTTCAGCATTGATATCTGAGTTTGTAATGTCAAAGGAGGAGTCTCGAACACATATTGTGGCCTGTAGTGATTTTCATTAACCGCCGTGCTTGATATTTTTTTTTTTTGGAGTCCAGAATCCTGTCGGTACTACAGGACACTACAACCTATGACAAAAAATAATGTTTTGCGCACACCGTCTGCTAACTCTACACGGGTTCGAAAACAGCCGCTAGTCGTAATTCATACCTAACAAATGTGGTTCACTCATACATTGAAGGCCGCACAACTGGTGAGAATGTTTTCATTAATCTTCGTCCCTCCGGACAGTGAATTAATATATTAGCCGTTCATGTTTGCATCTTACGTTTCATTTGAATCTAATATTTTGCATTTGTTCCCTGGGTCCTGATATCTAACATCAATGAATTATACCATGCAAACTGTTATATATTCTATATTTGCACCTCTGACATAATACAAAATTTATAGTAATTACATTACTCCAATAAATCTTTCTTATGTTTCTTGGTAAGTTTGAGTTGAAATTCATTTGTACATATAGCATCTGTAGCTTTGTATGGTTTATTTTGCCAATGTTTGAAATTTAACCAATCGCTATTAATATATACTTAAATAATACTATCTAGTGTTATATTTTGACATTCCACTAAAATTGGAGATTTCCTAATTCATCTATTTTCATCATATGTCTGATTGTATTTGACATAATTAAATAAATAATACTGAAGCATTTTGCTAAAAAACCGAATGACTAATTGTGCTGATCATATTACTTTCAATTTGACATCCAAACAAGCCTGAAGATACTCTTATTTGAATTTGTGTCATAGTATTGATAAGTTCCACAAGTCAATCATTTATAATATTTCATAACTATACAAGATACACACGATTTTTCTTCCTCATTTATTGTACATATATTGCTTCAGATGTGCGTGACTCACCCTTATCCCTCGTGTTTTATAATGGTTCAGCATTTGTCTATAGAAAGTTACAGTGAAGATAAAGGTCATTTTTAATTTCTTTGTTAATTAATTATTAATATTGCGTTGTTCTGAAATATCAATGGGAACATCTATCATACACTAATAACAAATGTTCTGATGATCATCCTTTGCTTTATATTGTATACTATATAGTTGCCCCAGATGTGAATAGTTGAATTTGTCTTGATAAATACTCTTTCTGAATTTAGTCAACAACTTTTGTAAACACAGTGAGCTAAAATTTATCAAGTATAAAACCTCCTGAATGGTTATAACGTGATGAGCTTAAGCTCCAATTCCTTACATCCACATATAACATTGATATTAATTATTATTCCTAACTTTTGTTTTAATATTAGCCTACTGGTTTAACTTTTTCGTAAGTCGTATTCAATTATGAATCTTATCCATACACACGAAAATGGTGGGAGTTGAATTCGATGGTCGTATCCCTGCCTCCTATCCATACCAAAACTTTTTACTGCATAGATGACTGTATTTTCTGGTTGGCAAAATAATAATCTCTTTTTCCTCTAAATCGAGGGTGTCCTAAATTGCTGACTGCATGTTCCCTAAATTATTATTTGCACAGTCCATAGGCGTCAAAGCAATGTTACAATATATTGAAAAATCTTTTACCAGAAATATAGATTTACTATTCTACTTCAAAAGTCACTCAAAATTATAAATATCCAACTAGGGTTAGTTCGAATATCCATAATTTTTACTCTTCGAATAACTGATATATATATCCGTATATTAACAATCCGGTTAACCGATATAGTTACTGGTAATTGTTAAAAAATCGATTTCTCAAGATATTTGTGGCATATACACTATACGAGAATTTTTATATAAATGAAATCATGAACATGGAGAAAGTCGTGCATTTGTAACATTTTTTGATGAGAAGTAAATTCAATGTTCCCTCTAATTTTTTGTAGTATGTGTGCGCAGAAATTTTTGTGTGTGCGCACTTTTTGGTAAATGACTAATATTTGTGCAAAAACCAATGAAAAAATTTTGGCGTTCTAACCGGGTGATAAGTGGGCCAACAACAAACTTTTTCAACCTGCCAACCGAGAACATTGTTACATTACATCGAAATACGCCTGTGCGCAGTAAATCAATGCGTGTGCGCAGCCTCTGAAAGCTGTGTGCGCGCGCACACGCGCACACCTTAGAGGGAACACTGGAAGTAACCTATCCAGAAAAGGCTGCTATACAGCGGAGACAAAGTCCACTAAATGTCGATAGCAATGTTTCAGATTATTGGGAAAGAATATATGGAAAATAAATGAGAACGGGATAAATAAAAGAAATCGGCATATACTCTCGGCCCAACTTATATATTCGTGGAAGCACATACACCAGATAAGAAGCAAAATCAAACCGCTGCGCCAGACCACAATCAAATTCTAACGTAGGATAAGACCGAGGCCACCCACCACCGGCAATGCCCGATGATACGTACCCCACCTGCAGTCGATCGTGCATTGGGGTTGTATCGACTCCCACCCTTGAAAATGCCCCCATTTGCCTCATTTTCCAGACAATATACCCGAATCCCAAGGACAAAAACAGGGAGAGCAAAAAAAAAGTCATCATTAAAACCGCCATCCTTCAGACTGCCCCATCTTCATACCCATCCTAACTGAATTTCTTTACATTTTACAGCCCTGCTTATACTTCCAATCTAACTTTCTAAGGCAAATGCACTCTTTTATTATATTAAATAATAATCACATTTGTTTGCGTATTTTGTGATGTGTAGTGAAGTTCATGTTAGTCGTTGAGTTCACTCAAGCATTTACAGATGGAAGTGCAAAAATATACACGACGTTGAGAACTACACCACAATGACGTCATTATCACTAGAGGCGCTTTTGTGTCAGAGATTGTCGACTTCGAAGTGAAGAAACGGAAAATCCGGATAGCTGCCAACTTCCGAAGAGCCGAAATTTATTTGTTTAACAACTGTTACAGGAATGGTACGGTAACCACTTTATTCTAGTCCACGGTACCGGTACCGGTAGATCGATCAGCGAGCCAATCTTCATCAGATTCAGTACCGTATTCGGCTGCCCTTTTTTGGGCATATCTAGGTACCGGTACGTACCGGTACATGTCTCTGATAGATACGGTAGATAGTTTTCAGGTTTTATTTCGAAAACTCCACAATCTGACAATACAAACAAATAAAAAGGGAGAATTCCGGAGAGCGAGCAAAACCTTTAAAAAAGTTTAAAACAAGATGAGTATCATGTGCCCGCTCACCAACACGCATTCACACAAAAAAAAACACACAGCGGTGCATCGTGCTGAGCGTTAGGAATACGCTCGCCACCGCATCTCTGATTACCTATCGTGGGTTCGAATCCCATGCGGATGCGGGGATGATCATGTGCGAGAGGATTGCTGGACTCCTCGCCGCCGTAGGGTGGTTCGCGTAACCGTTGGTCGGTTACGGCTTCCTCCACCATCAAGTCCATGCTTCCGAAAACAAATAACTGGCAAACTAATCCCATACCCGACGTGGACTGGTACCGTAACCGGTTGAGAGGCCGTGGTTCGGCATATGATTGAGCCGTCTTATCGGCTTTACTCTCCCCCGGGATAAACATGCAAATTCTTCCGCTTTGCCCTCTACTAACTTTGGATCTCACCCACAAGGAAACTTGAATGACACGATTGAATGGCAATGGCAACTTTTTTAAAATTATCGGTGACCAAAATATTTGACCTAACATGTGCCACTTATTGTAGACTACAATTGGAAAAATATGTAATCTGTTCGAATGACAGGATAAATATGGCAAAATGCATTGTTTTGCAATATAATTGGACATTTTAGTAAAAGGCGTAAGTGAATTCAATTAATTCACTAACAATATTAAAGTTCTAACATCAACATCTGGATTTTGGTTTATATCCATTTATTGGATTAACTCATAGGATGCGAAAAATCATGGAATGTAAAAGAAATATGATGTGTTTGTTAAAAATTGAAGATTGTTCCAATTAGAAAACGCCAGTGCATCTGTTGGAATGGCAGAATAAATATTGCAAAATGCATTGTTTTGCAATATAATTCGACATTTTTGTAAAAGGCTTAAATGAATTCAATTAATTAACTAACAATAGTAAATCTCAAGTTCTAACATCAACATCTGGATTTTGGTTTATATCATTTATTGGATTAACTCATAGGATGCGAAAAAGCATAAAATGTAAAAGAAATATGATATGTTTGTTAAAAATTGAAGATTGTTCCAATTAGAAAACGCCAGTGCATCACTCATTGTCACCAATAATTATTTTCACGTGCCAACTATATCATAGAGCTGAAAAACGTAAAAATGATGCAATAGTGCAGTCTTCTTGTTCTGAATATGCAGACTAAGAATACTTTGTTCGGGGCCTACTGCTTCTATGTGTGCTTTTAAGCAGATGCAAGTACTACCTAACAAGAGAGACTTCAACGCAAGAGGAAATGCCTTTCTATGGTTAATAAATTAGATATCCAAATTACAAAAATCGTCGCATGGTGCGAAGATGCTCAAACTGAATTGCATTACCGGATCCTCCAGATTCTATATTTTGAATTGCCCATACTTAGTCAAGTCACTGCAATAAGATTCCAAATATATAGGAGTGGAATAGTTGTGTCAGTTTCATGTTGGCTGTGCAACATAGCTTTTTACTTAACTATATAGATTATAAAAGTTAGTGCAATCGTTTAGCATATTAATATGAGGGGGGCACAAGCAGAACGACAAAAAATATCATGTTTCCTAATTTTTTGTTTGAATGTTCTGTAATTTCAAACAAATAACCAATTTTGACCTAATACAACTAATTGTTCAACATTCTCAATACCATTTTATTGATAAAAAAAAAATGCCACTAGTTGGGCTGTATAATTGGACTGCTTCCTGAAAAATGTTTGTTGTACAATAAATTTTGCATAAATGTGGAGAATAATATCTCTAGAATACAGAGACAATTTATTAGAATTGATATGTCATGAAGCTTTTGACGAAATTTGGTTGATATATTGCAGTCATTTTATGCATTCAACTTTTTGTCACTCCGTGACATCAGTTGTTTTGTCTCGTCGTTTGAAAAATATTTGGTTGAAAGTGAAAAGTAAATTATGGTAAATACATCAGTGTTACTGCTACCAATTGGCATTCTAAAAATAGCAAACCACTAAGACCTTGATATAGTAAAATTGATTAAATGTGTGAAATGTCACTCCTTGACATTTATGGAATTGCTGTCCGGCAATTTTATTTTATGTGGCAAAATTAACTACGGCGAGATTTCTTACGGCGAAATTTTCTGCGGCGAATTTTCCTAGAACTTCGAAATAGGAATGTATGTATTAAGCATTATGTATCTAAATGCCTTTTAATAAAATAGAATGCAAACAATTATTTTGTCTTTAGATACCACTTACCAAAATGGAATAGAGATTAGTGGTAATTATATCTGATATTGAAAGCAATGTAAAGATGAAGGAAGAAACATCTGCTGAGCCTGATTTACTTAAATCAACAAGTGATATATGTAGGGACTTTTTACGGAATGTTTGTTACCGTGACAAAAGATGCAAATTCCGCCATTTGACTTCTGATGAACTAGACGCATCGGTTGATACAAAAGCTGATTCTGGAAGTACAAATGTTGTCTATGAATTTTGCCACGATTTTCAAAATCAAGGTTGCGACAGACCAAGCTGTAAATTTATCCATTGCGCTGTTGACATAGAAAGCACTTTCAGAGAAAAAGGTTTTCTGCCTCTACGTCTCAAATATGAATATGAACTGGGAGTACAAGAACTCTTTGTTAAATCTGCAACTCCATCTGGTAGTTCTAACACTCAGGAGAAGATAAAACCTGTTTGCCGTGATTTTATGCAGAGACAGTGTAGACGCGGTAAAAAATGTAGATTTGCACATGTTGACCAAAACTGTAATATGGCTGGTGAAGAATTCCATTCCAGACAAGGGCAGAATCCTGACAAATTCGGGCATGTGTACGGAGAAAACGGGGAAAAAAGAATACGCTTGTATGGAGACTGTAGTTCAAATGAGACACTTCTTAACACATTGCAACCTGATGTAATCAGACACATCAAAGAAGAAAATACATTGCTGAGAAAAGAGGTTGCAAATTTGAGAAAACAGGTTACTGGATTGTCAGCAACAAATGAGGTACTATTGGAACAAAATGCCCAGTTTCGACTGCAAAAGCGAGTGTTGGCAGAAGCTGCAACTCCATCTTATTCACAATCTAACAAAACCTATGGAATACCATCTTCTATGTCTGTATCTGTTCCTATAGCAATGTCTTTGAACATGCCAGGACAAAACCAACAGATTCAAAACAACCCTGCCCTAACCGGAGCGACATTAATTACTTCAGATCCTTTGACAGTTACTCCTTTAGAGCTTGTCAACTCCTCTCCTGCTCAACAACCAGTAGTCAGCGTTCGAACACATGCTGGAGTCCCAGCTCAAGCTCACATACAAATATCTCGATCCATCCCTCAGAATTCTCCAGGTTTAGTGAACAATATTGGAAATAATAATAATAGAATACTTGATGATTTGCAATCTTTAAATAATCATCAAGCTAATGTGGGAGCTAATCAAGGTGGCTTACACACAAATGTACCTGTTTTACAACAAGCTAATCTGAATGGTCAAAGTGTGGCAAACTTTTCCTTAACACAAAACACAATTCCGATAACTCGAAATACAATTTGTTCAATTCCATCCATTACAACCAGCGTATCTGGGTCTGTTCTGTACAACAGTACACAGCAGATTATGAATGGTACACTGACTGGCCAAAATTCCTTGCCATTAAATCGTTCTCAAGCTACCCAGAATATGGCAGCTGCAGGTGGTCTTGTTGTACAGACCAGTAGAAACATCACAGTTGAAGCTGATGCCGAATCAATAGGCCACATAAATCGTAACATTGCAACGGCACAGATGACTCATGCCACATTGGTAACAACCAATCAACAAAACCAATCCTCGACAGGACCCTCAGCTGCTGCAAGTATTTCTGCTTCAACTATTGCCGCTGTCGCAGCCCAAGTTATTGCGCAACAGCAAGGCACATTGACCCAACCAAATAATGACATTGGGACAGCACAAATTTCTGTTCCTGCTGTACCATGTGGAACTATCGCATCTGCTATTGTTCCAGTGACGATTACAACTTCTTTACCCATGGCTATGGTTCCTTCACTATCAATTGAAAACTCTCACGCAGGACTTCTAGCAACAAGAATGGAAGGAGTGGCTCAGACTCATGCCAGAGTATCCATGGTCAATACATGCCCTGCTTCCGTAAATTCGATATCTTTAAGCACTCCACACCAAGTAGTGAATGCCTTAAATGGTAGGCGTGTCGTAGGCGGACAACAACAATTGAATGCTCCCATAAATTTTACAATAAATCCTGTTGCATCAGTACCCCAACAGCCCGGTCAAGGTATGCATGTTTGAAAAGCTTTTGCTGAGAAGGGATAAAGAATAAAGCGGGCTGCTGGCATAAAAATAGCATTGATGCAAGGCATGTGCTATTGTAATGAGTTTCGCCATGTGCCAAGAGTTGAAGCCGAGATTTACAAAGGCCCAAAGTAAATCAATGTGTTGTATGTGTTTTGTGGTCACAATATCGAAGTACTTCGAACATGATTATTGTTTTATTGTCTGTCTAGAAAAGTACATTCTTTTATATCTACAATGAATAGTGCAAAGCTTCTGATTTACAGATTGCTTGCAATTGCTGTATACAGTTTGAGTAAATGGGATATGAGACATTCCTGCAGTGCGTTATATAGACTCTTTTTTGAGGCAATACAAACAAACTACAAACTGCATGAATTTCAAAAGACTCCAATGAAATGTTGAATTTTGAAAAGGGAATTTATGTTACTCTGAAACAAACAGGTTCCTTTTTAGTAGCACTCATGGCTCCCTTGTTTATGATTTTAGTGATATTTATAGTTTTATTCTGATTGGTAGATCCCAAATTCCATTATGTTTAAACAATCCAAGGTTTTTTGTAATGGGGAAAAGTTAAATCAGGTTTGCGCCTAGCATTGTGGGCTGCCCTCCAACTGCACTTGGAGGGCCACGAACCTCTGGTTGGGAACTACTTCTCTAAAACTTTGTTGAAATTACTGTTTTAACACTGAGTTCTGCATTTGGTACTTGTAGCGTTCTATGGACTTTCAGAACATCAAATGTACCGGTATCTGCATTTAATGATCTGGCATCATGATTCAGCTTTTTCATTTTATTTGGACTTAGCTGTACGAGATAACTGGTAGTCACTGGAGTTATTATAATCTGCTTACATAGCAAGCTTAGTTTTAATTTGTATTATTTGGTTTGGCATATGTTTCATTCATATGATATAAAACAGGGGTGTGCAACGTTTTATGTCAGTGGACATGTAACCAACTTCAGACATCTAGCTGGGCCACACAAAAATGGCTATCCCTTAGCGTTGCAGTAATAAAGGCATTGAGCAGAACAGCCAAAACTTTAATGCAGCGACAAGAGCAAAATAACATGTGTTTAGCGTCCTTTTGAACATAAACTTTTGAAGTAAGATTTCATGCTGAATAATGAAAAATCTGAGTGGCCCGCGGTATACCCCTGTTTTGAAATATTTCTGATAATATAATATTTTTTTACTGTTATTATGGATTTATGACTTTAATTTGTCACCCATGTGATATTTCAGACATCAATCTGCTAATACTTGTCATTTTAAACATTTATATCTCATTTTTCACAATGAATTGGAATTCAATGTGTAAATTTTCTGTTTTTTGGGGGAGTGTTGTGAGGTATAAAAGTGAATATCAAACATGAATTTGTCCATATCGTAAATTGGATAATTTTTTGACACCTGAATTTGTGTGTGTAGAACTTATAATCATTAGAGTAAATCTTTTAACTTGGGATTGGTTGAGGAGTTACTCCTATAATTGAAGTCTTTTTTTTACCTTAATTGTCTAGTTTATGAAAATTGCTTGCTTGAAAACGTTGCTCCAAAATCAAAGTTTGTGCACATATTGCTTAGATTCTAGGTCATTGTTGGTAGTTATAACGTGTTCTCATATATTATATAAAAAAGATTCACGTGGTTACTGGAAACCACCCAAAAAAAAGAGAATGCTCGCCCAGAAGCTTGCGCCAAATACGAGTCTCTGGTAACGAAAACAACAATGTTCGGGTACATTATATTTTTATCAGGAATTACTCATCCGTATATATCAGCACATTTTGTTGATTTTGACCCGAACGACCTAGCTCCTCACCGCAACTCTGATTCGGCACAGTGCGGGTTCACACCCATGGGTGACGAGTCGAGTCTCTGGTAACGAAAACAACAATGTTCGGGTACATTATATTTTTATCAGGAATTACTCATCCGTATATATCAGCACATTTTGTTGATTTTGACCCGAACGACCTAGCTCCTCACCGCAACTCTGATTCGGCACAGTGCGGGTTCACACCCATGGGTGATGGTTTCCTGTAGCATCAAGCCAGTGTATCTAAAACTGGTCAACCATTACCTTCGCCATAGGAACGAACATACTATCAATGTCCCATCTTATCATTTAATATCAGATAATGACTAACGACGGGTATACCGATTCAGCAGAAACATTTATAAAACACAGTCTCACAAAGTGGAATTCAATTTATTCTTTCATAAAACCTGAATAAAACAGTTTGTTCAAGCTGACAATTAGATTTCGACAATAAATAATAGTATACAGTACTTAAATAAATTACAGACACTCGACAAATTCACATTAAGATCTATTAATTCACAAAAATGAGGCAAAATTCCAGATATGCATTCTGTACAGCATACAGTGTAATTTTCCAAATAATATTAATTTTACTTTCTTTATTGTGTGTTTATGCTTTTGACCAGATGAATGAAAGTAATGGACAGCAAATATTCTCTCTGTGTGTATACAAACACCATTAGTTAAAATAAGTATTTAAAAACAGAACAAAACTTTGGCAGGACATTTTTTGGCAAACATGATTAGGAATGCAACACCAATTAGGATTTGTTAAGAAAAACTATCAGCTCAAGTAAATAATATGAAAAAGTGGCCACATAAAAGTGCTTTTCAAAGTATTTTTCATTCACACAAACAGTAATTCAAAGCCCTTTGTTAAAATATACATATTCCGAGGCAACACCCCTTCTTTTCAACTCCTTTTGCAAATTTTCTTCCAGATTTGTAACAGCAATGGAACTGTAAACAAACAAAACTGGTTGAAGGAAATGTATTGTTCTTCCCTAACAAAGAGTTTTAAAATAAGACCAAAATAATATCTCAATGAGATACAGATTATATCAGTGGTTCTCAACCTGTGGTACACGGAAGCTTTTCGAGTGGTATGCGAGCAGCTTTGAATTATTGTAACAAACTTTTAAGTTGGCTAAAATATGGCGACAACGCTTTATCTTCCATACTGTATGTATTCGGTGAACTGGTTTATAGCGCTACCAGCTCTTGTCTTGAGATGGCCCACTACTGCCCACCTAAAACGAAACGTTGATTGAAGCCTTTCAGCTCTGACGGCAGACGACACAATTTCTCTCATGATTTTGCACGCAATTAATACGTTGTTACAGCATATAGTCAATATGAAGGTCTAAAATGTGTTGTTGGATGTTGTGCCACACAAAATACTCTCATAGTGCGTTTCTTGTACAATTGTTCCCCACCCCCGAATGGGGTTTGTCACAGGTACGCGGCCAGATTAAAAACACCAAAGAGGTACGCAGTCAGTAATAGGTTGAGAACCACTGGATTATATGAAAAAATCAGTTCAAGATTTAGTAATGAAATATTTGAGGAAGAGTATCGGTAACATAACCTTTCTAAACTAGAATCTTCCATCCAAATATGCCTAAAGGAACATCTATATAATGAATGATAAAAGCAGATACGTCGGTTCAATTGCTGGATAAAAAAGAACCTCAAAAAAAACCTTCATTTACTTAAAAATGATGAAAACTCACCTTTGCTGAGGAAACAGTGCACAGCATAATGGAGTTGCAAATACAAGGCTAAAAAAAAAAATGAAAAGTCATGATTCCGCATCACTATATTGCTCTAGGAATATTCACATATTAATAGGTTACAAGAATAATGTATATTTATGGAATAAAAATCGAAGATGACAGAAAAAATCTTACCAAATACCAACAAGCGCAACTTGAACAGGTGCCGCCATCATTGGATATTTCTATGAAATAAGTTGATTAATTACTTGATTAATTATTAATTGCTTCGAGAAAAATGGGACGAGCAAAGTTACAACAACAAAGGTAGTTAGGTAATACTTGAATGATCCAAGAAATTGAAAACTGACAGACAACCAGACTTATCTAGAATGAGTGTTTGTGTCAGATTATGTGAGTCTCATGAAACTATGTTTCAATGTAGACATTTTTTCAAAGATGTAAGATAATTGGGTAGGCTATATATATATATGGCAAATTAAAAACATTGTTTTTTTTAACCAAATAATACTCTACATCAGAATGGTAACATGTACATTTTATTTTTTACTGAGTGTTGGTGAACTGCCCTTGACCTTCAGAACTCAGAAAACAACCTATCATACTGATTCATGAACGACTTTTTTATATACCATCAATCATAACTTAATGCAACTGTAATAAGTAACATAGGAAGACAGCGTGATTGTATGAAAGTAATGGAATATATAAAATTACCTTCAAAAATGGTCCCTTTGACCATTTGTTCATGAATAAAGGTGGAATAACTGAAAATTAAAGAGAATATTGTTAAAGAAACAAGTGTGAGTGAATACAGTGGTTCCCAATCTTTTTCAATAAATTCTTTCTTCTGTCTATTATGGATATCTTTATTCCTTCCTCATTAAGCGTAAAAACGCTGTTTCCATTAATTGTTTTATCCTAATGGGTCTGATGCTAGTTCTACGCCAAACTCACACTCGGCTTTTGCACAGTTTGAATGGTTCAAAATATAACCATAAATATTTAGTACAATAATACTAATAATTAAAAAAACAATATTTGTGGACTACAACAAAATTCTATTTCCTCCCCAAGAACATCCAAATTCTGTCCCGGTTGGGAAATGTTTCCTAATATAATAGAATAATAAGACTAATAATAACAAAAATAACAATCCCCTTTATGCTGATCGAAGATTTGTAACCTTGCATTCTGACACAATTCCAATTATTCTCACCCATTCCAGGGACAGCCATTCCAATTCTAGAAAATACAACTTGAACAATTGCTTTGTTGGCAGCTGCTTTGGAATTGCCTATCCTTTCTCCAGTCTCTGTTGTCACAGGAATCCCATCTGTTAATTCGCTGCAATATAATGAGATGATTTTTTGATCGATTGAGAGATTATGATCATTTTAGTGCCAGTAACACACCAGTAAAACTGTGCTTTGGGGTTGGGAAAAGATGCGAAAACATGATGCTTTAATATATTGAAGTTTGTCATGTGCTGAGCATTACAACTATGTTTGCTATTGTACTATTAAAAAGCACAGGTTCAAATTCCAGCAAGGTTCCAGTGGTACTTTGCAGCTCCTGCTGCCTTTCAAGAATATGAGTCTGGAATGATTAATCAATCGACTAACTATTCCCAAAACTTGAGATTAATAAATTCTACTATCCAGCTGTGGTTCACGCTAAGATAAAGGAGTCTTATTTGCAAGGCTGGGGAACTGGAGTCGAAGCCATGACATTTTGGTGAACTGGAGCTGCCAGTAATTTTAGTGGCTCCAGCTTCCAACCACCTAATTATTTTTTCACATTTATAATTTTGTAATACGCTACATAAATAATCCTATGTAATCTATCTTTTTCAGCTCATAAATTCAATTTATAATATCAATTTATTAACTTCAAGTCAAATTTCTATATCTATAACTTTGAAGATAGTTATTGGTTTTTTGCTCCGCAGCAATGCTTATTAGTTACTCAGTTGTACATCGTCACTTACTTGCTACGCATCATTGGAATATTAATACAGTTTGCTGCTGCCACAGCACAGAATGGAACAAATCTTCCTATCAATGAAGGAAGTTTCTGAAATAAAATAACAAAGTATATTATAAGAAAGGTGATAAAACAAAAGATCGAAACACCGTTTAAAAAATGGAATATAAATTACTTTCATAGAAAATATTGTTTCAGTAGAAATTCGGACTTAACTAACAGATGTATATGTTCCGGAATCTCTAGAAACATTCTGGGAAAACTTAATCTATACGAAAAAATATGTAACATGGTTGAAATTAATTCCAAATACCGAGTGGATATTTTGTTCAAAGATTGGCAACTGTCAGTACTTATAATCTTGTTAAAACTGTAATGTTATTACATAAATCCAATATTGTGATCTTATCTTTTCTAGCAATGAACCTTATGACTATATGGTTTGTAATAACTTAGGGCTATTTCAGTCTACTATGATATATTATTGCATCACTTTTATACCATGAAAATGTATTAATAAAGACCACACAAGTTGATGGCAGTTAGTGTGATTGCTATGGATACAGAATGACTTGAAATAGGAACTTGTTATAACAATGCTGTTCTGAAGAGTTCTGCTTTTTAGATACAGTAGTTTGAAAAATAACAACAGATCACATTAAGATTTGAAAACACAACTCCCAAAGGCTTCCTCTAAGAATCGTGTCTATCCCGGGTGACACACAGTTTCATTGCATTCCAATTCTTCAAATCGGTGTACAAAATCATATCACAAACCCATACTAATACTTACTTTAACAAGTGAATTCAGTGAAAGTGCAGTTCCAACAGCTCCAGTAGTTGCTGCCATATATGAAGCCATCAAACGTCTGTCAATTTGGAAAAAAAATAGGAATCACAAACACTTGAAAAGAATAAAGAGTCGCAGATTAAACCAAATGCATTTTCACCAAATCTCATCTTTCTACAAGTACAATAATATATTATCAGATACAGATGAGCATTTTTGTTGAAAGTGAATAAATACAATAATATCATTTAAGTACATACTTGTTTGATATAGGGGCATCTCCACTTCTGTTTGTATAGTTAACAACAGCATTAAAAGACTGGTTGATCCATTGCCAGCATATAACAGCTGGTGTTGTTCTGTGGAATAGCAGTAAATAAAGAAAAATTATTTAAAATGATGATTACTTACAATAACAAACATGGCTCTGGCCAGCTCTGGCTCCATACCCATTGGTGTATTTAGGTATTTCCACTACTGCTAAGCGTCATCCCAAATGTGGAAGCGGGACTCAAAACTATGATGGAAGGGTTTCAAAAAAAAAATTTGAATATATATAAATTGAACTTTAAATTTAATTTATTTGTAAGAAGTATTTGAAAATTATAAATTTCTGGTATCTCCGGCCCATGTTCCATCTGATATGGTAAGCTTGGTTCCAGCTCGACCAAAATGTCACAGCCCCATGTTCTACTACTACTCAGACCTGCCTGGATGTACATGTTTTATTGTGATACATTATTAAGATATATATTGTACATTTCAAAACTTCCAGGTATACATTCATAAGGTATAGGATTTTTACATTTATCTGCAACAAGAAGAAATATAGAAGACTTATTTCACTAGGTCGAACTTGAAAATAGTTAACATTTATTCACTCCTGAAATTAGACTCTAATAGTTCAGTGGTTCATTACGAACAACCCTTGTTAGCGAATAGTTTAGCAATCCTCTGATAATTATAGCCATAAGAGTCAGACCCATAGGAGTCAGGACCACAGAGTATTCAATATTCCTATTTTCCTAGTACTTTTCTTTGGACAATTCTCCGATAACCGAGCCAATGGTTCTGTGACATAAACAGAATACAAACCTATAAAAAGTCATCATACATCCTGTGATTGTCATATTCATTGGAACTTGAGCTGACATTCTACCAATTAGAAACATTTTTTCTTTTGTATCAGGATGGAAAGCACTATCATATCGATATTTAGCTTTCCATAAATCATCTTCTGTTAATCCTGGAGGTAGGGATCCTTTGCTGAATGAAAATTCAAAATAAGTTAATTGAAGAGATCTAATAACGCCATTCTATTTAAAAAGCTATTTCAAATGAAAAAAAAAAACATATGCATATAATGAGGATACTATGCAATTCAGGCTTCCTGCGGTGCACTAACACAAATGTATTTCTGTGACGTATGTAACATATGGAAATTCCCTTTTTATTGAAAAAAAAATGTTTATTCCTAATTCAAGTGGAAAATATATTTGAAAGTAATAGTCACTTCTTATAAACCAAAGATTGTGAAATCCATTAACAGAATCTTTAAAACATGATCAAGTGAATTCCAAAAAGTGCTAAGCAGTTTTTAAAATATGGTCATTAATCAATCATTAATTATATTATCCATATGAGGAACTTAGGAAACTGTTGACATTTCAAAGAATCTTTAAATTGCGATTAATACAAAACTTCCTTCTAACTACCGATATGCTTAGATATTTGGTTTACATATTGTAAGTGTCGATAATTGTAATCCGATCTTTTACATAATTTTATAACAAAACTGGTTGGGTCTTTTTCAGTGTTAATCAAATTATTATTTTGACAGTTTCTATAATCAATCGATGCCTATATCAAGTCTAAATTAAGCCACTCATATTACTTCTCTTGCGAAATTTGATACAAGGTTAAACTTGTGGTATATCAATTATACATATGTACCGATATGTTATACATCTCAAATACATAGTTTCGACATTTGGCGGTCATATCGGTGTTGCAACTAAATTTCATTTACTTCTGTTATATTTGAAAAAGAGTTATAAGTGCATAAGCAGAGACTGTAAAATTATTGAATATTGTGGGATGTTTATCTTAAATGGCTTAATTTGATTTATGAATTGAGGTTTGCTAGGGATCGGGCTTTCATATCTCACAGGAAAGGAAAGTCTATAAGACAAATAATGTTACGATGGACCACACCAACCATTGAGACCTTCAATAATAAAATGGGAAATTTACTACATATGTATTAATCAAACACTAATAGATTTATGACTGACGTCGGCTAAGGGTCAAGTAGGTAATACCTTAAATGTGTTATTAATAAAAGTAAGAATCTCGTTAGTATTTTTGTTCAAATTTGCATATTATATAAGTTACCTATGCCGCAAAACAATTTCTTTTGCCTCATCGAGGGCTTGTCCAGACAATAATAAATTCATCGGATTTGTCACTGTGAAAACAAGGATAAGTTACCAATGACTAATAAGAGCTATTTTTAATCCGCTTGCATGCAATTACATAAGAGAGAGAGATAAAATGTTAAATGATGAGATAAAATGTTAAGTTACCAGTGAAAAAATGCTTTGCTCGTCCCACATATGTATCTTGGGGCCATTTTGGTTGATGTAAATTCACATGACTAAAATCTTGTGAGATTGGAGTATTATCAGAAAGTTTCTTGCCAGGCGTCATCGGGTTGAATTAATATAAAATAATCTAATTATACTACTGTTTACTGTAAATCCAAGAAAAACTCTGAGAATCACTCCACTTTGAGATAATCAACAAACAATCTTCTATTTCGTTATCAGTACCTCATTATTGAACTAATTACAGAATTATTGTTTTACACCCAGCAAATGTTAGTAGCCTAACAACATTAATACTGTAATAGGCATTTAACAACTGAACCACGGTACGGTAAACTCTGAAGCTACTCATATGAAATTTAGCAAAAAAACAACATCTACAGTGACCATGCAAACATAGAATTTTATGCTATTCCTTGTACGCTACCGGCACCTGGCTACTCAACCAATGTTTCCTTCACATATAGGCTAACTGTATAACAAATTCGTAGTAAATCTCCATGCTTTCGGAACTAATTCGACATTCGTAAACCTAGAGGGCGCTCACGTATTACATTCTTTCATAATTGACTGAATGATTTTTTCTGTAATTTGTCGTTGTTTATTTCTCGAGTGCACTCGTACTTATTGGTCACTTCACAGTTACCGTAATTGTCTTTGCGGTCACGGACGCGGTAGCGCGAGTCTGTAAGTCAGTAAGTATAATGTCTGTATGTAGATATAGGGAATAAAACTGTAAAAAGGAGAGTCGCCTTTATGTATGACATATAAATAATGAAACATATAAATATAAAATTTATCGTATATCTAGCTGTCATCACAATGTGTGATCTAAATTTTTTTCATACAAATTCCAAAATACTGCTGTATTTTTTATCGAAACAAAATGAAATTCTGTTAGCGCCTTGATGCAAAAATGAGTTGCAGGGCCTGGAGGCTGGGAAGTACCAGCAGTGAATAAGTGATCAGAAGTAATGTGAGAAGATAAAAAATGATACCGGTGACTTGTTTCTGCTTTTTTCTCTCTCCAAAGATGACTCAGATGGCATTCGAGAAATCATTAAACAGCTTAAGACAGTAAGAGGGATATATCTATGTTTTAACAGGAGTTCAATTAACACACAACATGATTAATACAGAATTGTCTTGTCAGCTTGTTGGTGAAAATCACACAAGAAAGGATTGCTGAATTCTTGGTCATCACAGGTTTGTTCATTCCATCAATACGGTATACTGTGAAATGATAGTAGACATTCTATTTTTGTTCTATATATTCAGTATATTATGGTTATTGTACGCAGTATCATAATACTGTAGTAGTGGTGTATTCATGTGACCATACTTATTTTATTGTTATTATTACGATGACTGCTATTTTATTTTGGTTGACGAAATAATAAATCTCTCTCTCTCTCTCTCTCTCATAGTCTGGAGAGATATATTATTTTAAACTTTTGCTCTTACAGATTGAAATAATCGATAGATTGTAACAAATAACTGGCCAACTAATCCCATACCAGACATGGACCAGTAACCAGTCTGCTTTCCTCCCCCCGAGATAAATATGTACTTCCTATCCTTTATTGATCACACATATCCAAAATAATTGGACATAAAAAATATCACATATGTTATAAATATAATTTTGAACTTTTTTCATAATATGGATGAAGTCATAGCTTCATTTATTTTCGATATATAAATTTATTAAGGGATCTTCTTTTATTGCTAATCATAATAATTGTATATGTAGCTCCCTATATTATGTATATTCCGTCTATGAATTTGATAGAGAATAAAGATTGCAGTTTAAACTGTTGCAGGTCTTATAGTAATTGATAGAATATTATCTTGAGAGATGATGGTCAGTACGGAAAATGGAAATTCAAAACCAACATCGGTTTTATCTCACGGTACTCACAGTCATAATACGTTGTCTCCAGCAACGGAATCCGCGAGTACATCGTCATCAACAAACAGTCTCACAGGAGATGAACCTGATTTAATGGATGTGCTTTATGATAAAGGTAAGTTTTTTCATAAAACTATATTTTTTGTTGTTTATAGAAGTTTTATTTTTATATTGAGCTTGAATTATTTATTATATGTTTTGATGATTTTTTGATACTATGATAAAAAAAAAAGTTTCACTGTGAATCATGTTATCTGGTGTGGTGTTAGCTTATTCAAAGTACCAATAATACATAGTAGGTTGGAGATTTTAATTTTATTCTAAAGATGAGAACATATGATTTTTAATTACTTATTTATCATTAATATCCAATATTTTTTCAAGCAAACACCTTCAAATTTAGTTATAAATGAAGAATTTATTATGAAGTTCCCAACTTTTTAAATAAACATATTTTAAATCATATACTAGGATTGAGAATGCACCTGATGTATTAAATGCAGTTGAATATCCTGTATTCATTTTGAAAAAAAAAACACCATTGAACCTGTCAGTTTTATCATTTAATGATATTGTTTTGAACATGAAAACATATGCAAAACAATTGTCATTATATGACAAATACCGGTAATCTAAATATAAATGCAACAATGTTAATACCATTATCAACTGGAATTGCAAATTTCATTTCCATATGGAATTATTGACATTGGTGATATAGTAGGAATACATAAAGCTGTTGCATTTCATGGCATCTGTAACATGAATGATTATTTGTCAACATATGGGAATTGTGATTACTGTTATTGTTTAATTTTTTTTTAAATTGGTATTTGCTGATTTACATTTCAACATGACCTTTCTATCGTTCTTGGGATTTTTCACAATTTTATTTCTATGTATTTGGAACAAACTTGACAATTGATGAGCATTATTTATGTGAATGCTATCACTTTTCTTGTCATAGTTGAAATATGCTTAACTGAGGGTGACATCTGTCAGACAAAACATTACAGATGTACATTTGTGTTTGTGTTGATCATTCATTGAGTTTGCTATTTATCTTCCTCTATTGGTTTATCACACTCAAAACCAGGATATGTTATTTATTCAAATTTTTTTTCATTACGTCACACATACTGTATTATTAATTTGGTACCTTTTCAAAAACAAACTCCTCAATTATCAGGATTTCTTATCTGTAGCCTAGCTGATATGGTGAACAAAAATTTATTATTACAGATTACAGTAAAAACGCAATCAGACGAAGCAGGTGTTCGAGGTGGCATTGCCCTTTACAGGCAAATGATCAGTATTCATTTTACTGAATAGTGCAGCATAAAATTAAATAATGATTACTGCAAACAGAAACAACTAGCTCATGGAATATCATTGTTTTCAATGAAAATTTGAAACACTAAATACCAATAATATTTCAAATTTTAAAAACAGAATATCTCTGAAAATCTTCATATTTATCAGACATCAAAATATAAGACTCTGTGATATAACAATCCAGTTTGGTATAATCTTCAGTTTCGATCACTGTCAACTCTAATGATAACCTCCCTGGTTTTTATTTTCTTCAGTATTTTAATGCTATTATGAAATCATTTTCCCAATAGATTATTCCCAATATTTATAATTACCCGTATATATTAAGTATCCAGACTACTTAAGTTATGTATGTAATTATTTATGTGCATTTTTTTTAAATATGAATAAATTAACATGATAATGATTTAGAATATTATGTCCACTTAATTATTATGTATTGATCTTCACAGATGTGGAAAATGTTACAAAACTTTGTTGACATTACATAAGCCTTGATAAGACACATGTATTACCGATCCTTGCAGCTCATTAATTCAAATTTGTGAAATAGTTATTGTACTAGCTTGGAATATTCGCAGCAGTAATACCGGTGAATTTCATATAAATGAAATGGTGTTGTACTGTACCTATTTCAAGCTTAGTTGGGTTGCATCAAAATTCCTAATCATTTATATTTTGCCAGAAGTAATATGCAATCTCGAAGAAGTCTACAAATGCATTTGTCATCAAATATCATTCATAATATATAAAAAAAAAATTTGTTTGTCAATTTTAAATTGAGCATTGGTTGCATCTGTTATTAATGAATGCTTCATGTGTATGTTTCAATTAAAATTTATTTTTCAATGTTTTAGAACCCAAATCAACAGAACTTCGAATAAGTTGTGCAATATGTGGTGATCGGGCATCAGGGTTTCATTACGGAGTTCATGCATGTGAAGGATGCAAGGTTAGTAATGTCAAAGCTGTACATATATTGGAAACTTTCAAGCATTAATTATACTTTAATTATTTAATTATTAATCTAGCACATGAGCACATCCTACCATAACAAGACAAATGTTTTAGTAAATTTGTAGTACCTCAATATGGTACTCCAAAGCACGGTCATGCGCACTTACTGAGAAGTAAAAGAAACTTAACTCTGAGCAAAGTGGTAGATTATCAAGTGGAAAAAACATACAGAATTGAATATAATAAATAATGGTAAATGGGACATTGTGCGCCAATGAATGCCAATCGATGCAAAACTTGATTGGGGACGCAGCTTTAGAAACTTGTGTTATAAAAATGCATATCTAAGTATTTGATTTTGTGGAGTAGTATCTATGACATCGACACTTTATTAAAAACTTTGCCTGATGTTAATGTTGGTATACAATTAACCACAAATAAAAATAAATATTAGAAAGTTGTGCTCATGCGTTGGCGTATAATAGCCTTCCTAACCCTTTGATTAAATTGAAATTATCTTGACAAATGGGAAAGACCTAATGATGACTGCCGACACAAAGTCCTAATCATCATACGGTACTCCAAAGCACGGTCATGCGCACTTACTGAGAAGTAAAAGAAACTTAGCTTTGAGCAAAGTGGTAGATTATCAAGTGGAAAAAACATACAGAATTGAATATATTGAATATTGATTGATTGATTTTGTGGAGTAGTATTTATGACATTGACACTTTATTAAAAAACTTTGCCTGATATTTATGTTGGTATGCAATCAACCACAAATAAAAAAAAGAAGAAAAATATTAGAAAGTTGTGCTCGTACTTTAACCTTTTTCACCCTTTATGAAATTGAAATTATCTTGACAAATGGGAAAGAGCTAATGATGACTGCCGACACAAAGTCCTAATCATCATATGCGATGGTCATAAGACTGTATGTCTGAGTAATATATTGTTGTTTATAAAACACAAATGATATAGGTAGTCATAAATTAATAGCATTTATTAGCTTCACTTTTAATTTCAAGGTATCATTTGTCATATCATTTGAAGTTCTTCTTCCATATGACTGGTTGCTTCAAATTAAATTATTATTCATTTGTTAAGAGTTGGATGTTTTGCTTAGGTAAAAAATTGAATTTTATCGTGTAATTGAAGGAAAGCATAATTAATTTATATCATTCATTTGAAAATGATTAATCTCTTTGAACACTGAATGCTGAAAGCTTCAGTGATGATTTCTTATTTTGTAACTGTAAATCTTGCTAAGTCAAATTTTCGTGATCCAAATTTTACCATACTGAAAATACACACTCAAAATAAAATTTTGGGGTGAAAGGAGACCACAAAAAACATTGCTGGTTTTTAAATCAATGACAAACTTCAATTCCATGTTTACTGCACAGATTTTTGTTCATAAAACATATTGAATTTCAAAGGATGCTTTTTTATAATATCATTTTTGAATTTCATTCTAATTCAATTTCATAAATATCGTTCCTACAGGTATTGCATTATCATAAATTTTTTATCTGTGTTCCATTCTTTTCCTTTGGATTCTTTTCCTTTCATGACATGTGGCAACCAATTGATTATTCCCAACACACTTATGGCCCTCAGCTCCCAGATTCGCCTTTAGTGCTTTTTCTACAGTTACTTTAGGTGCCACGCAATCTAACAAACGTAACAAAAAAAGAAATACAATGCAGTCTATTCTCAAACTTTTAAAGTTGCGCCCCCTTTTTAGAATTTTTCAAGTCTCGCCCACCACCTCAAAAATAACTAGCTAACAATAAGGTACAAATAACAGATAGTAAGGCGAAAGGATGTTTTATTCAAAAAGAATTAGTCAATTTACTTCCACTCATTATAGTGTCATTCAGAATGGTGCCCAGACAAGGGCTTTGCTCATGGTTTCAGGAGCACAGCTTTGTGGCTCTCTAGTGGGGACCAGGGCCCAATTTGAGAAATCCCAGTTTGGTAGATTACTTATTTGCTTATTAACTCCTAGTCTGTTGATTGATCTTATCTCTTCACAGGGATTTTTTCGCCGAACTGTCAGAATGAGATTAAAATATAAAGAATGTCAGATCGGATGCAAGATTAATGTAAAATCGCGGAACAAATGCCAATATTGTCGATTTCAGAAATGCATAAAATCTGGAATGTCGCATGACGGTAATTAATTAATTAATTAATATAAATTTATGAGATTATGAAACAAATAATTTCATTTTACTATTTATTTTTCATTTTTTATATCCAGACTGTTTATGCCGTAAGTATGATTCTTCATCTAAATGTGAGATCACTCAAACAGGCTAAAAGCAATTTTGTGTTGGTTTGAATATTGAGAGTGAAAGCTCTATACCTTTTTTGCTAATCATTCTTTAATAATAAGGTAGATTTTCATGGAATTGGCTTTATAAAGTCTAGCAAGTTACATGAATAACAAACAACAAAAAGAACTTTTACGAACCCAGATGACATTAAGATACATTGTGAATTTTCAAGTCAAAAATTTTATCTTTTCATCTAGATTATGTGTTTGCGTGAAGCGTTTTTTAAATTGTATGTACTGGTAAATACCTATAGCCCAATTAGAATAAACATTTGCTACTTATGTGGTAAATATGGCCATGGGTGGTGTGAGGCAGCTTAAAATTTGCTTTATCTGCAATTCATGCTTGATAAGATAATACCGATCTTCTTTTATAATTTGATATCATTAGGGTTGCTGTTGTTTATTTTCATTTGGCTAGATAGTTTCGAAAACTGATATTTAATAGGTATAAGTGTATAATGGTATATATATCCCGCTTGTTGAACTTTTGCTCCTTAATATGAGGTATATAAGCAGCTTAAGAATACATACGAATTGTGGTTTGCGGCACAGATGATATGGTTTCTGCACAGAGTTGTTGTTTTTAACATAATTGCTGTATGATGTGACATAGGCTACTGTTCCTAATACACATATATTTCGCATGCCACATTTTTACACAAACTCAATTAGAATAAAAATGATGAAGTATTTCACTATTGATATTCACTTGTTATCTACGGTAGCAATTATATATTGATTTAGTATTGATTTGTCTTAAATTGATTTTTGCTCATTTAAAATTGGTCCAATTGGGCATCTTGATAATGATTTTATCGTTTTATTCTCTCAATAATAGTCATTTGAGTATCCCTGATCCTAATTGATTTTTTGATTATCTAATTATTTGAAAAGTTTGGATTTCTTTTAAAATTTGTTGATGTCAAGCTCATTAATTTACTCATTGATTAAACTCATTGATTTTATCGTTTTATTCTCTCAATAATAGTCATTTGAGTATCCCTGATCCTTATTTAAATCGATTCACATGAAGTATTAACTATAGTACAAGGCCAACCAAGTTAAGCAATCTAAGTAAAATACAATCTAAAGAACAAGAACGAAACAGTTAAAACATGCAATGAAATATAATGTAATGTTCATCTCCACCCTCCGGCAGAGGCGCAGAGTCTTTTGAATTAAGAAATGTTTTGTTCAGTTCGGTTAACATTATAGTTTTCCTCAAGTCGTCCTGGCTTGTTGTAGGGCTGTAACCTCTGAAGCGCCCTAGGCAATCTTGGAGCTCTGCTGGTTAGCGATGGGCTCACATGATGACTTGGTTGTATTTCCACCGGAGTGTCTTGAGTAGTTCCTGCATTATGACTCCCAGAGTTTCCAATGTCTTCATCTCTCTCTCCGCTGGGGGGAATTGTTGGTGAGAATGGCATGATCGGCGGAGGTTGAATGATGATGCAAGGTCGTATAAATCGTCTGTTTTGTATAGTCACTCTTCCCGAGCCATCTACTCTGATTTTGTATTGTCTGTAAGGTAGGATTTCTACAATTCGACCAGTCCTGTTCCAGTGTCGTGGCTTGTTTGGGACTTGTGATTGTATAACGACTGTTGTCCCAACTGACAGTGGAGGGAGTTGTCTCGATGTGTTGTTATATTTGTCGATAATGATGTGATGGCGGTTAGCTAGTTTCTGCTCACGTTCCCCTGCAGATATAATCCATTGTGGATGGGGACGGTAATGCTGTGGATTTGTAGGAACGTGATCCCGCAGTTGTCTATGCAGAAGTATCTGAGCTGGGCTGAGATCAATGTCTTGCAGAGGAGTGTTCCTGTATTGTAGGATTGCCTGTGCTGCCTTATTATTATTCAGAGAACCGTCAGGTGATGTGCTATCACGAATGATCCTCTTGGCAGTTTTAACTCCGAGCTCTGCCCGTCCATTAGATTGTGGGTAAGATGCTGAGGACTTTCGATGCTTTATTCCCCAATCAGTTAAAAAGTTCTGGAATTCGGATGAGGTGAATTGAGGTCCACCGTCTGAGTCAAATTCTTCTGGTGCTCCATAGGATGTGAATAACCCACGACATGAGTTGATGAGCTCTTTAGTGATTGATCGATGTGGTGGGTAATGAAAAATACTGATCCAACCACTGAATCTGTCTACAACAGATAGGTAGCAGTGGTTCCCCAGTACAAAGTAGTCGGCGCATATGTGTTGAAAGGGATACTGTGGCGCCGGGCTCGATATCATTGGCTCTTTAGTTTGAGATGGAGCGTATTTCGTGCATGTGAGGCATCCAAATCGAAAGTTTCGGATCATGGCGTTCATGCCCGGCCAATAGACTGATTGGTTTGCTCTTGCTTTCATTCCTGTGATCCCTTGATGCGCAGAGTGTAGTGACCTCAGTATGGTCTTGCGAAGGGGAGTGGGAATAACTATGCGAGAGTCCATTAGTATTACATTGTCTTTAGTTGATAGGCGATCTCTCACACCCCAATAATCCCGGATTTCAGGCGGTGTCCCATGTCTTGTGTTAGGGAATCCATTCTCAATTGTTTTGATGAGTATGTTGTAGCTTTTGTCAGACTTTCCATGGCTTCTAATGTGATCCAGGGTCACAAGCGCATCGTCATCATTTATTGAGTTGATGACAGATTGTTGAATTGCGTGAACACGAGCTTCGCACTGCTCTGTTGTTGTTACTTCATCAGATGATGGGTCATTTCGTGCTATGTCCATCACTGCATTTTTCGTATCTGTTATTTCCAAGGCTGTGGGATTGCGTGATAAAGCATCGGGTGCTTTGTGCCATTTCCCTGGGCAATGCTGCATTGTGAATCTATATCGCAGGGTGTGTTCTTTCAAGTTTTGTATTCGAGGATTTTTAATACTATCCAGGTCTCGATCTTTAAAGATTCCCAATAAGGGTTTGTGGTCAGTGGACACAATGAGGTTTTGGCAACCTAAGGTAAACATTCGTGCGTGTTGTAAGGCCCAGGATACTGCTAATGCTTCTCCTTCAGTGGGTGAGTATCGACTTTCTGTTGGCGTGGTGAACCTGGAGTTGGCATAAACCAAATGCCAACCATCTTTGCAGCAAATAGGAACTTTATCGATCGAGCAATCACAGTATTTTTGAAGAAGAACGTATCCGATCCCATCTTTGCTCCAGTCACATTGGAGGCAAGTTGCACGTTTTGTGTCAAAGGAACGTATGCCCTGTTTAACTGTCTCACACAGTAATTGTTTTGATGTTTCAAATATTTTTTCCAAAGCTTCATCCCAGTAAAATTTTGAGTTTGGCTTTATGAGTTCACGAAAAGGTAACATTATTTCACTTATTGAATAAGCCCATGAAACTTGATTAACTAAACCAAACCAAGATCTGGCTCCAGTGATGTCTTTAGGGACTGGGAAATCTCTAATTGCTTTGAGAAGTTCTGCTGATGGTGTTATGCCATCTGGTGTTATGTTGTATCCTGCGAATGAGATTGTGTCTCTGCAAAATTTAAATTTCTTTGAATTCAGTACAATGCCATTTGTTGCGCATGTTGCTAGGTAATCCCAAGTGTGGAAGAAGGCTTCTTCTATATTTGTATCATATAGTAGCGTGTCGTCAACGCATTTTACTTTGCGAGGTGTATTGTTTATAATATCATCATAACGTCTTGTGTATGCATCTCCAGCTGCAATGAATCCTTGAGGCATTCGTTTGTACATGTATCGTCCCCATTCAGTTATGAAAGTCGTTAAATGCTGACTTTCCTCATCCAGTTCTATGGCGTGATATCCATCTACAGCATCCAGTACGGTCTTTTTAGTTTTAGGAGGTATCTGACATGCCAGTTGAAATGGTGTCTGACAATGATGAGTTTCTCTCAATGACTGGGAGTTTAGGTGCTGGAGGTCTATAGTACGTCTGGGTGTGCCATCCTTCTTTGCAATTGTTACCATTCTGCTGCACCATTCAACTGGTTGCCCTACAGGGACAGGTTCTATAATACCCCTTTCTACATCTCTGTCTAGACTGGATTTCACTGCTTCTTTCCAGTGGTATGGTACTGGAATAGGAGTATGATGTGCAAATGGTTGAGCATCAGACTTTAGGTGAATGTGGGCTGGGGGTGCATTCATTTTTGGAAATGGTGTGACATTGTTAAATGCAGTGTTTGCAAATTCCGCCAATAAGTACTTTTCCAGTCGGGGGACGTTCGTGTCCATTGGTGGGAATGGCAAATTTCTTGGTCGTTTTGGTAATTGGCCCAATGAATTCTCACTAGTGGGGATGTCTGCTGTGCTAATTTTTGCCACGTTTGCTTCCATTTCCATAGGGTAAGGAAATGCTTTAGAAAGGATTCTGGTATCAATGCAGCCTTGGCGACTGAAGTACATACGATCCACTTTGTTACAAATGTAAACTTGTTGTGTGGTAGAGTGTCCACCAATTACAAATTTGACCGGCAGCCAGCCGAAGCAAGTCAGTGTTGATCCTCCAACTGCCGTCACTATCTTATGACATTTAAGCAACTGATTTTGTTTGATTTGCATGCTCTGCAAATGCTTTGGGCCAGCTAAGCAAATGTTTGCTCCACTATCTGGGAATATTAGTACCGTGCATGGTTTCGAGTTGCGATTCTGAGGAAATGGATGTACTGTTGCTTGAATTTCATCCATTCCATGTTGTCCTGTAGTAAAGCAGTGACGTTTTTTGTTATAACGTACATGAGCTAGTAGGGCATTAGCTTCTGCTTGTGGTTGGTTTTTCTGGGGCTGATTCACCTGTCGGCAAACTCGAGCAAAGTGATTGAGCTGTTTACAGTTGGTGCAAGTTTTCCCCCAGGCAGGACATTTTGTTGAACGGTTCCTTGAACCTGGAAATCCGTGAGATAGACTTCCACAACCTGCGCATGGCCTTTGCGATTCGCGGGTGTTTGGTGTTTGTTTGTTGTAAGTTTGTGCCGCATATACTTCTGCGGTTTTCTGAAGTTTTGATTGGTCTCTTACAGCGGTTTCAAAGGCTTCTGAATGTTTGATAACATCTTCTAAAGTCTTAAATTGGTTGGCCTTGGCGAGCAATTCAGTCTGGAGGCTTGTGCTATGGACACCTCTGATGAATTGATCTCGAACGTGGTGTGACGTTAGGTTGTGTTTGCATTGAGGACAAGAAAATTCACAGTCCACTGCTACTGACTTCAGTCTGGTGATGAATTCCTGAATAGATTCTGTTTCTGTTTGAATTATTGCACCAAAGTTCATGCGATGAACTGTGGGGTTTGAACGTTGTGTAACAATTGTTTCAATTGCTTTAAGAATATCCTCTTCATCGAGACTGAAAAAGTCCGTTACTGTGTTGATTATGCTTGTTTGAACTGCTTCATCGCACATGTTGTATAACTGGGAACTGTATTGTTCATCAGAAAGTCTTGTCATTTTCTTAAACACTTCCCAATCTGTTTTGAATTTTCGAAATTGAGGTCGTGTCATGTTTATTTCTATCCGCGGCATTCTGGGTGGAGGAGGCTTTATGATATTAGAGTCATTTCTTGGTGCATCTATTGTTTGTTGTGTGTGGGCTTCGAGTGTCATTTTTGCTTTGCTGTGGCTGAGGATGGCTAAAATATCCCCAACAGCTTGGATACCCAAATCAGACAAATCTGTTTTAGATAGATTAGGAAGTGTGACTTCAGTTATACGGTTTTCCATGAATTTTCTAGAATATATTGATGCTTCCTCCGCAGGTATTTCAGCTGATATGAAAAAATCTCTCCAACTGTCTTCTGTTCGCAGCGCCATATTTAAATCGATTCACATGAAGTATTAACTATAGTACAAGGCCAACCAAGTTAAGCAATCTAAGTAAAATACAATCTAAAGAACAAGAACGAAACAGTTAAAACATGCAATGAAATATAATGTAATGTTCAATCCTAATTAATTTTTCGATTTCCTAATTATTTGAAAAGTTTGGATTTTTTTTATATTTTGTTGATGTCAAACTCATTAATTATAATGAGCATTAACATTACCGAATGGAATTAAATGAATTTTGGATGATAGCCTATAAACTTTTGCTACCTCAATGTAGGATGCTTAATAATTTTTGAATTCCTTAGTTCGAATTTTTATTGTTTGATTGATTGTTTGATATTTTATTGTTTATAAGAATTGAAAAAGTGTGCTATGCATTCCTTTACTACATTATAGTTATGGTGCTTAGCCAATAATATGCAACTATAAACGTTTGAATGCAGGTTGGAAGGTAATTACAATAATTCCTCATCATACGTTTCATTTATTGATCATTATAATCATTGATCAATACCTTATTTCAATGTGACCTGGCACTGTAACGTTTGAGTTCATTATAATATTCTGGCTAGAAAAGGTTTCCAGTTATTCACAGGTTTAAACCGACCGATTCATAGAAACATGTTGTATTCGATAAAGATATCTATGTCTGTGATATGATTTTCATGGTTTATTAATCTGGTTTTTGTGAGATAATTTTGTCTGTTAGAGCACGTTCTTGACTTTTTGATTTATAATAGTCGATTTACTTTGTAATTTTAGTGATTTAACAAGTTCTAACCATTTGATTTGCTTTGGAGCAGGATAACAAAATAAATACAGTCTGTTGTTGCTCATACATTCACAAAAATATATTCTTTGAAATGATATAAATACAGTATCAGTTTTTTAGTCATCTGTAAATTTTTTGCTTTATAAATAAATCCTAATAATAAAAACTTGAAAATCTGGCTACCATTGTTATAATATTTATGAGGGTTTTTACCATAACCTTAATCGTACATCACGGCCTATGCTTTCATCCATTACATTGTCAAACAATCATTTCATTCTAATAATTTTATACAAATATAAATTTATCTGATCAAGCCTGATACTTGAATAAACTGTATGTATATGAAACCTTTATCCATCATGGTCATGTCTGAAAAAGTTATGACTGAAGTTGCAAATGATTTATGATCAATGTCAATCTGTGATTAAGAGATCAAATATTGTCTCACTCATTTATGTTACATACATAATATCATTTTTTATATGATATGATTTATTGATATTATCTACTGTATGTATATACTCTACAATAGCCTAAAACAGGAGCATTATCTGCCTGGGGCATTGGCAATTTTCTGTATAATATTTGATGCAGAACTGTCGCCTATATGTTATTTGTTTTGCATTCATTGTCTATTTTAATTGATAATATGTGATGAAATGTTTTCGAGGACTTTTTAAATTAAAAAAAATGCAGTAGCCTATGCATTAAAAAAACTAATAGTAGTTGATGAATTTTAAATTTTTTGCAGTCATCTTTAATATGTACTTCACTTTTTGTATATTGTATACAGTGCATCATTGTAACTAAATAATTATAACCTATGTCGTCATTTTTACTATTTTCCATAAAAACAACCAAATATTCTATCCTTGACTGTCAATGCAGGAAATTTTAATACAATTATTAGCACGAATTATCAATAACGGAATTAGATTATTTTTGTCACAATGACGTTACCATAAATATGATGACATTTTGAAAAATATTGCAGGAGGGAAAAAAGCTAATAAGATAATGTTTTGGCACACCACAGTATCTATGGTAGTCTACAATTTTAGCAGTTCATATCCGCCTCTGTAATGTTGTAAATATGACTTTTGGGAGCTTTCCGCTTCAAAAAATATTTTCAGCTGCCAAACTCTGTTGTCTCACCTGTTTATTAAATTTTAGTGTGCATACCAGATTTGATCACCGGACTTGATCACTTTCCTACGTTTTTGAGTGAGTGCGTGTGATCTTGCTTTGAGTATGTTCTGTCCTTGACATTTCAAGCTCAGCATTTCTGAACTCGATTAACCTCAAATTTTATTTTTACGTTTAGCAATTCGATTCGGTCGAATGTCCCGCGTCGAAAAAAAGAAAATAATTTCAAAAATGGCAAGAGAAGAACCAGAACTTCTCAATAGAAAAAGGATAGAAGAAGAAGAAAATCTGAAAAAACTCACTCTTCTCTTATCTGAGGCTTTCCAAGCACATCTGAGTACAACGAGAACGAAAATGATTGCTCTGTGGCAAAAACGTGATCTTCCTGGAGTTTCGGTGAGATCGTTTTTCGTTTTGATCAAAAATATATCATGGTGTATAGCAAATATGATATAGCTTATAGTAATATGATAGAATTGTAATGTGTATAATTTGATCCTTTGAATAGGTTAGTTGTTTGCAATACATATCGTGACTAATAGTGGTTTTACGGCTGCGTTTTTGATGTTGCAAGTGAGAATTTAATATTTTATGTCAAATAGTATGGTTCGTTAGTAAGACAGCTGTTTAACGATTTTGGTAATTAAAATTGATTTTATTTTATATGGCATATTGGTCATATTTGAAATTAGTCATTTTAGGTATGACGCATTGAAAATGGAATAGGGTCTATGCTTCTTCATTGCAATTCATTACTGTTTTGGTATTGGTCTTCACTATATTGCAGTCGATCATGTTTGACAAATTATAATTCAAGAATGAATTTGTACATATGCCAATACTAGGGGGACTTGGATATTGTGTATTGAACTGCAGTGAATTTGTAGTTGTTACAATTTTTCTAATTTATGTTAAAAAAAAAGTTTTCAAAGTTCAATATATTAATTTAAAAATTGAAACCAAGCTCTTAGAATAGTGCTTCAAAAATATACACGAGATACTTTGTTTTAACCAATTAAAAATTGTTACAATTTTATTACTTATCATGCGGATGTTCAGGCATACAATGAAAACTAATATCCCTATCTACCGTATGTGTACGTCAATAACATTTCCTGTATCTGTCGTTATGAAGCAGAAAATCAAATATAGACAAATCTATCAACCTGATTCAGCATTTAGTTGATTTACATTTGGCAATCTCCAGTCTTTCGGTCTCGTCATATTAGTTAATAAATAACATGCTTCGTGTCATAAAATTATTTGTTCCTCTGTCTGTTTGATAATACACTGCGATGTATAACTTGAAACACATCACACAACGACTCAAGAGTCATCTATAAGTAAACATTATTATTTGAATATTTGCCTTAGTGACAGTCATTAAATTTTAAAGTTATTGTCTAAGAAGTGATATTAAATATCAGCCAGAATGGTGACATATAATTTATATAACAATAACACATATGAAAAAGTTTATTGATATCTATAGATCAAACATGCGTGTTTTTAATATGTAGAAATAACGATAGATAATATTTACCATAATGATAATAAAACTGTATACGGTAATTCAAAATCTTTTGCATTTATAATAAAATCAATAGCAAAAATATATGAATCAATAATTAATATTCGAACGAATCGATACTCTAACAATTTGGTACTAAAAAAATTCTAGTCAAAAATGCTGAGGTACTCAAACGAAAATTTGGTGCTGAGTGAGATGTTGTGATCCAAACCGCGCATCTTGGCTGCCTCTTGATCATTCAACAAGAGGGGCGATGATCAAATAAATGGACACCAAAGGCCGAATCGAAGTAGTACTGGTGTGCAATCTGTCACAGTAGACCAGTGATTTTCAACCGGTGTTCCGCGAGAGACCTTCAGGTGTTCCGCGAAAAATTGCTTTTTTGAAGGAATATTACGTCATAACTGAAATTTAACCAGCTGATGAACAAATTACACAAGGCTGCAGGTTGATGTATGTAGGTACTTTTAGAAACTTTCTGGATTGGGGCCAACGGGAAATTTCCAATTCTTGCTAAAAAGCGCTTCCAATCTTGCTACCATATTTAACTACCTATCCTTGCGAAATGAGCTTTTTGAACATGATCGACCTAGGGCTGGGCGAAATAATCGAATAGCGAATGGAAAATTAGAATATATAAATGGCATTTTACTATTCGTATATCCGATAGCACGCGACCTGTACCGCTCTGCTTGGGCACGAAACTCGCGCGCCGGTAAATCAATCGCTTGGATTTTGCAAAAAGTGCGCCAACAACATTTCGTAAATGTAGAAACGTCAATTCAAATAAGGTATTTAGAATAACGTTTTCGGACTCGAGATATAAACAATATGGTCAATGAAGACAGCCGGGATGGCATCAAATGTAGGCCTACGTAGTAAAATCTGAAACTGTAAAGTTACAGGATCACAGCTAAGGGTTCGTGTCTTTGTAGGCGTCCCGCTTTGAAGTCAAAAAAATATGGTAACCCTACCTAACGGTCACTCAGAAATGCCCTTATTCCAGATTTTAAATCTCCCTTCAAGATTCACGCAATCACAGCTTTGCACTCTGGGTCTGGGAGGTTTAATTTGCAAACGACGATAAGTTAGATTGAAGCCGATGCAAATGATAAAAATCAGAATAAAATTAATTTGGGCTTTGAGATCACTCTTTAATTTCATTAACATCTGTCGCCGATGTGATAGCATAGTTATACCAATAATATGAAACTTTGAACTACTGCCGACCCACAAGAATTAATAATTGCGCACAGGAACAAAAAGAAGAAATATAAAAGCGTACAGGGGACAAAAAATTATCGATTATGACAAAATTAACCAGTAAAAATCGCTTTGTTGCTGATTTTCAATTTTTCTATTGATTTCCAAACCGACCTCCGACATTCTGGAATCATGTTGTGTGTAAAAAATATTCATTGTTATTGGACTATTCGGTATTCGTTAGAAATATTCGAATTATTTTAGTCGAAAAAATATTTGATTTTGCCCACCACTTTATTGGCCACTATAAAAGTTGAAAAACGTGGGAGATAAAGAGCCGTTGAGAAAAAGCTGCGTGTTAGTGTCCCTTCAATTTCAGTCAGAAAAAAAGATTTAAAACTCATCGAAACAGCCCCAAATATCACACTGAAATACCATTCCTGTTTCTAGCTTATCTTAATCATAGTATGCATAAGCAAACTCGCAAAAACATTTATTTGTACCATACTTTAGCTCTTGTAGCTCTGAATCGGAACGTGTCACGTCTTTTCCAGCTAAAGTGGACAAGTTATATTATCAGTTTCGTTATTTTATTTTCATGTCGGAATGATCGTTGTGAGGTAATTGCATATTATAGTTTAATGACAAAAATCTCATTTGGTGTTCCGCGGTACAAAAAAGGTTGAAAATTACTGCGGTAGTCTAGCGGTACGGCAATCTTCATGTCTAAGGAAAGGAAAACCGCCACAATATGCGCAAATTTTGACATGGGTATTTTTGGGTATTCTGGAATGTGTAAGAACTTACAATAACCATTGCTTTCCAGTGGCAAAAAATGTTTTGTTACTCTTAACATATCGGTAGTCGAAGACCAATCATGAACGAATTTTGTTAGACCATCAAGGTATCACTATGATTAAAATTTGAGTCTGTCATCAATCAGCTGTCGAAAATTTCTGAATCAGCATGAATCATCAAAAGCCACTAGATAACGAGTCAGATCAAAAATTCTGATTATAACCTTATACTGCGTTATTAATGATTTTGTTCATATGAACTAACTAATTGATTTTATTAAAATGGATTTTCTTCACGTGGTTGCAGTGAATAAATTAATCAATACTTGTACAGTAATCAATCATCTTTTATAAAATGGTTGTGGAATTGTCAACAAACTTTTTCATTCGAATGTTTGACTGTTAAACATTAAAATGACATTAAAATTTCAAAATTCATTCGCCTTTATGTATTGAAACTTCCAATACATTTTTTTAAAAGTTCTTGCATCACACTTTTGTTAAAAATTTTATCTGATGAAAGTCGTACTTCCTCGTACAAGGAGTTCACAGCAATTATGAATACATTGAAGTTAAAATTTATTGTGTATCAATTTTTTTTTTAATTGCAACACTGCTAGCTATCTTAGATGGCCATATTGTCGACATTCTGTAGCGCTCTGTACATGCGTGGTGTAGATCTTTATTTACGCTATTAATACCTACGTCCTACGTGATGAAATAAAAGTACAATAGAAAGGTCATCCACATGTCATAGTCACAAGAAAAATTTGTTTTAATGTAGCAAAATATTGATCATGTCGGCTGTCGAAATCCTATGTCGTGTTTTAATATTGAATATCATGTTGAAATAGAAGAGTAGATAATACCTTGTCAGGTACAGCATTGGGGACACTACACATAATGTACTTCACTTGTAATCATGTAATGTCTTGAAATAGGCAGGTAAAATTTAATGGAATGCCTATGTAGTTCAATCTATTGATCTTGTCTAGGCAATGTCAACTTTTTTGACAAAAGTAAAATCATACTTTGAAATTGTCTCATTGAAATAATGTTTCCTGCTGAATGTCAAAGGTTTTATAAAAGTTTTTTAGTTTCATTTAAATAAAAATATATTTAATGTTCGAAGGGAGTAGACCGTTATTTATTTTTGATGTTGAACAAATATTTTGTGTAACTATTTCTAATTTTTTTTTACCAGGCACCCTGTCTCAATTGCCTTGAAGATGTCAAAGCTCTATATCCAAAATTATTCGAAAGAATGAAAAATTTAAATAACAATTCTGAAGAAGTCAATCAACATTCAGGTATTGTCAGAAACTGTATGATGTTCAAATATTTTGATAATTTTAATATTTTTAATATAGAATTCAGTGGTTTTTAAACTTTCATTTTTAGTGGACTTCCGAAGACTCTCAGTCTCAACACTTCTGCCCCCCCCCCCTCCCCCCGCTCTTCTATATAATATCTAATTTAAGGTCAAGAAACGAAACAAAGCACAGCCAATTTACTACACATTAATATAATTATCGTGAATAGTGCCTAGTATAATGCCTTTTCTTGTTCCCCCCATAGAACTACTTTTATTTCCTCATTTCAATCCAGTTTTGACCGGTATATTCCGGCTTACCTCATAAAACTGATCAAATATTCTGAGAAAATAAGGCAACCAAATTTTATCAATGCAACTTGAACTCATTAGTAATTCAATGACTGACGTACATGCATAGTGTGACTCAATCAATGATTGTGGTATCATGGTATCATTTGACGTTTACACAATTGACTCGTCTTGATGTGAAAAGCATTGACGTGGCATGACGTTATTACACATGAGACATTAATTCCTGTGCTTCTTTTATGGCTTAAAATATTCTGCCTGAATGGGCTTCTGAATGATAATGTACCTGACTCATAAATATTAAATGTCAAAACTTTTTTCTTTTTGTAACTCAATCTGTTTTTTTTTCTATGAAATTTATCAGGTTTTGAAATTTGTAAAACATATTAGAAAGCTATTTATAGTATTCATATACACTGATGATATTGTCACAGGATTTAATTTGGATAATACTCAGTTCAGTATACCTTCATTGGCTATTAAGAAGGAAGCTTTGGAAGGAACAAGGAAGTCTAACTTTCACCTGTGCGTTTGTTATGGGCAAACAATATGACAAATTATAGGAAGTGCAATTTAGCAAGTTCTCTGTCAGATAATGTTCTTACTGAACTTGTCTGTTATAGTTGGACCAAAGCAGGGGTGTCGTAAACTTGGCCAGGGGCCTTCACTGGCTACCATTTGCCGTGACTACGTTAAATTAAAGTGGATTGGCTGCATTTTGTTTAAATCTTTGATTGTAATGCCTTCATTATTTCTTTGCTTTTATTTGTAGGCTCTTTATTATTGAATGCGGCACATAAAATAACCAATGGAATCGGGGTATTTTTACTGATGAGCAATGGGCTACAGGTGTTCAGGTTTTTTAAAAATGGGCCATGAAAGACAAATTATGAAAGTTTGAAAACAACTGGGCCAAAACTTGATCAAACATATCAAATATATCCCATATTAGACTACGATCAGTGTGAATATGAACAAATGTATTTTTGAAGGAATAATATATCAAGTGGGACATTCTCAATGCATTAGATTATTTTTATGTGAATATATAAAATTTTACACCAACTTATTTTTGGAAGCAATAAGGGAAAGTTCTGAATAATGTTTGCTATTTGATTTGGGTAATTTTAAGCCAAATTCTACATTTCTGAATTTAATTTTTGTCTTTTCAGCTGTTCCACTTCAAAATCCAACTCAAAATCTTCAACAATCACCAAATAAGATCTCACCAGGCCATCCAGCTATGGGTGACGATTCTTTTTCTTCAATATTTCTCGATGATATTTCATTGTCATCTTCCTCTTCGTTATCTGATACCGATTCTGATGAGCTCTTGAGTGCCGTAAAGAAAACAACAATACCGTATCCCCAGTATAATAATTTAGATAGAACTCCTGATTTTTCGCATGTATATGGAGGAGAAAATATCATGTCTACTGCTGCAGATAACAGCAGTAAGTTGAACCCACATTTTTTTCTTCTTTTTAGAATCTTATTTTTTGAATTACTTTTTCTATGCCAGTATGCTTATAAAAAAAACTATTTTAGGCTATAGGAGTTATCAATATAATAGGTTTGAGCAAAATTGTGCACAATTTCAATCTTTATTATGTGTAAGTAGGCATGCAGGCAGAAGCATAAATAGTATATCAGGTAATCAATCAGTGCTTATGGTATTATTCAACTTTTAATCCTTTTATATACAAATTTTAAGATGTGTATACTGATTTTAAATTTGTATGATACGTCTATAACTATAGGTATCATCTTTTCGGGAATTTTGAATATTCAAAGTCGATTGTTTTTATTTTTAAATTATATTCTGAGGGGGCATGGTGGCTTAGTGGTTTAAGTGTTTAGCTTAACTGTGATGACATCGCTGGTTAAAATCTTGGGTTCAAATCCTGTGCTCACCATCTCACACAGGGTGTAATAAATTGGGTGTGCAATGTTGAAACAGAAAGATTCTGGTACTTCTAAACTTGCTCAAGGAAAAAAGCATATAAAAAGTCTTTTGATATTTCCAATGTATTTAAACTAACCTATTCCTAACTTGTGATTTCTCAGATTATGCTATAAATTATTTTCCCCATGCTTTAGTTAGTAGCATTATTTCTCAAATAAATTATCTCTCTCTCTCTCCAAACATGCAGTTATATTCGATGCAATTTTGTTTGGCAAAGCCATATAAAATATTTCTAATTCATTTCACCCCTAGTAAAGACATGGCACTAGTTTAAATTATTTACCAACTCAATTCACAGGTAGCAGTTCAAGCTATTCTTCAGAAGACAACAGGACTTCAATCGCTATGGAAACTCATTCCAATTTCGATGTAAAACCGTATACATTCCAATCTCAGGCAAATTCTGACATTAAATTCAATCCAATGCAATATCGTCAACTCCAAAATCAACAAATGCCTGAAATGAGTCGTGGTGCTCAACAAATTCCTGAAATGAGTCGTGGTGCCAGTGCCACTCAAGACGACACGCCACCACTGAATGACGTTTTAAAAATGTTGCAAGACAGTGAGGAAGCCCGACAAAAATTAGCTAGCTTGTCACATCTCCATCCAGTGGATTTAGAAAAGTTTCTGGCCGATTTTCCAAGATTAAGATTGGTTTTGATAAAAATTAATATCACCGTTGTCGATATTATGAAATATGCACAGGATAATAACTCAAATCCTCTTTATGCACTTTTTCATTTAATCAGGTACGTAGGAAGTTTTAGCTTATCTTATCACAATTGAAAGTCTGTAATTCTTACTATGACTCTGTGTTGTTTGATAGATAATACGACTCTGATGACTTCACAGGCCTGATTGGGTGCACATTTTAATTTATACATCCAATCCTTTGAAGCTTGATGCAACTAAATTTTCAATTGAGTGGTTGAAATTTCACAAATTTTATTCCATAGCGTTCCTGTGACAATGTTGTGAACTTCTTGTCTGAGGAGGTCTAGTTGGGTCAGATGAAACGTTATAGAATAACATTTGTGAAATTGTGATTCAAAATCTTCTTCAGTTAGGTACACGCTACTCTAATCAGCCATGTTATTTGTTTCACCTGTCTTATTGACTCTAATATCTTGGATAAATATGAGATCCTCCCTACAGAGTTGTACATTTGTAAATAAAGTTCATTGCTATATTCCTTCATCTTCAAAACTTTTAAAAAGTTCATAAGTTGATTGTTTGATCTATGAACTGATCATCACCGGCTTCAGTAATTTCAGGGACGCTCATGTACGAAAACGACTCAACACTGGTTTGGCAGGAACCTCAGCAGCCTCTTCTTCTTCACCACAAAAAGCCACTTCAACAGTTCAACAATCAATGATCAATCTTCCTAGACAGAATCCTAATCAGGTATTGTAGTTTGTTTATGCATTCAACTAAAATAGAACCTTGGTTCTCAAACTTTCAAGATGTGTCGCCTCACCCTCCTTATGCATCATCATCATCGCCCCCAAACCCAAGTCGCGACACAAAAAACTTACAAAATCGATTCCAGCAAGTTGAACTAGGTTTTAAATAGCCCCTCACAATTGACACAATACCAAAACTTGTTTCCCGATTACTCTAACCTTTTGAAATGCACTTTCGGGTATTTTGTTTCCTATTGTATTTCTCTCGTCTCACCCCAGGCGATATTGACCGCTATGAGACTTACTGATCTAAAAATAATTCAGTGTTCAAACTATCTATCAATTGTGAAACTTGAATCACTTATCATGCCAAGTTCCAACATGGACATTTGAAAATTAGTTTATTAGGGTATGAAATGGTATTTGGCGATGTGCTCAAAATTAATTCGCATTGCCCAGTTTGGGAACTGCTGGCCTTCTAAATTAAAAGGCTGACTGATAAATTTACTCTGTTCTAAGTTCAATCTCAGTTTGTGTGATAGCATCATAAATAAAAACTCAGTTACTGCTTTTATGACATGTTCAACTTCGGTTATCGCCAAACCGCTCTCTCAAATTCACAATGTGCCAGATGTAAGCCTGAACAATGTACTTAATGCAAGATTATTGAATTTTTTTTTATCATTTTGTACAGGTAATCGGCATGAAAGTTGTGAAATTTTTATACCAAAGAATGCAGAAACGTATTGTTAAAGGTGTTTGCGAACTCACAGAGTTTTCAAAAAGGATTCCTGGATTCACTGATCTTATCTTAAGTGACCAGGTAACTTGGTTTATATGATTTCAATTGGTAAAAGATAAAAAGTAATATCATCACACATTATTGAAATTGTCAAATTTCTCAATATTCATGAAATCATACTGGGTTTTTCACAAAGACTGAAAACTAATTTATAATTGATCTTATTAAATAAATCACACAGATTGTTTATAAAGTTCCTTTAAAATTTCTATTATGTTGCTCTCTATATCTTAACGAGGTATATTTCATTTTAATCGGTGTTTATTCAAGTTTCAATACTTTCTAACTCTAGGGTCCAACAATCTGTATATGCTATCAAAAAATATCCTTTGCAATTCAAAAAATTTTGCGACTTAATGAATACCCTGCATTTTTATTATAGTTCAAATTTGTTTTTTGAGGAAGAAAATCAATATAAAATATAATCTTTGGCATGATTCTTTCTTTATCTCAGGTTATCCTTCTCAAATACGGCAGCTATGAGGCATTATTTGTATTATTGGGAGTCATGATTTTTAAAAATGGAATGTTATTACCTGATGGGAATCTACATGTTACATATGAGTTTGTTGAAAAGGTAATTTAGCTGAGATTCAATATTCAAAATACAGAGTGTACTTGATATTCGGCTCATGTCATGTAACATTAGCATGAATGTTGCACATAGGAATATAAAAAATATTGAGTTGACATAGAATTTAAAATGGGATTCTTGTAAAATGTGTTTTAGGAAATCTGTTCTTGCAATCCAGATTATATGACTTATTGGATCTATATTCTTGAATTAATAAAATTGTTTATGGAATACCACATTCTTAGATTTATTACTTACTCCACAGATAAGCTGTGATAATATTGATTATTGAAGCTTGATATTGAAAAGGCTTGACGTACATGTGAAATAGTTCATACATTTTTGTGAATGCTGATTTTCAGTCTTCAAGAACTGTGGAGCTGGAATTTGATATTTTTCCACTGGAGTCAAGTTGCCAAGAGTCTGATTTGGAATTTTTGAATTCCCCTGGAATTTTATACCTTCTATGGTGATAATAAGTTTCAAAATTTATTTCAGAAACTCGTTATGTATTAATTTACAAAGTGTTTTAACAGCCTACTCAATCAGGCTATCAAACTTAGATTTTCTCTGGAGTCTGAATTTTATGACCCGTAGTCGATTGTGAATTTTACTCGCTCTACAACACTGGTTCAGATCTGTATATATTGTTGTGATAGTTCATAACTATTTAGGCATTGTTAAAATGCCCCATTATATCAGTTTCAATTGTTTTTTTCTTCATTTTATAGCTTGGTGATGCTGGACAGGTGATGAAATCAAAGTTTAAATTTGCAGAAAAAATTGCGAGTTTGAATCTAGAAGACAATGATTTTGCATTGTTTGTTGCCGCCATTATTTTGTTTGGAGGTAAGTTATAGAATATTGTTGAAAGTAAGTGCATAGGTAGCTTTTTGGGTATTCGAATTAGCGTGTAATTTTGAATATCCTTGCTTTTCAATCTCTACTATAGTATATTGAATAAACTGACAATTTGAAATATATTCCTTTCTGTGGAAAAAAAAAACGATTGAAATTCAGTAATTACCCCTCTTATTTATTAATAAGTTGAAACCATATCCCCACTATTTTTTAGCTTTTTTGCAAAATAAACCACATATTTGGGAGTATTGTCTTTGTTTTCAAATTATCATTATACAAGTACTGTGCGATATTAATGAATTCAAGCTACCTAAAACATGTTTAAGCTTTATTTAATCATGCCCTCTACCTCTAATAACAATCCAGATAGTATAAAACACAGGTTCAAGTAGGATTTGAAATATTTAAGTGCTGTAATTCTCTTTATAGACCGGCCTGGATTATGTGAGAGGGAAAAAGTGGAAAAAATTCAATACGATATACTAAGAGCTCTGGAATTGCAATTGAAAAGCAATCATCCTAACGATCCACAGTAAGTTAGAAAATTGATTTTTTTAGTGCTAACATGTATTTTGAAAAGAGAAAAAAAAAACATGAAGCATCAAGTCCACATAAGGCAACCTTGAGGAGATCCAATAGACATACTACATTTCCATCTTGTTTGGTCTTTTTGTCAAAGATAGTATCAGATGATACTTCATCCAATCGCTGCAATTGATCACATTCACTGATACATGACGGGATAGTATTTTTGCAAGGACTACTCGTTCGCCAATTCATTACACTCTGTGTGATAAACCACCCTTTTGTTGGCATGAGGGTCAATTTGAGATGCAAACGTTAGGTAATAGTCATTTTGTCAAAAAGCTTGTTCATGATACCCTGAGTGAATTGGTGGACATGGGGTGGCATCAGGAACAGTTTTCTTAACACTAGTTTCTGCAACTGGTGCAACATAGCAAATGATGACTATTTGAGCACAATGACATTTCAAAATAAGGAACTTTTATACAATGTTTTGTTGGTAATTTTTTTTTCATTTTGTTACAGATTGTTCGCTAAATTACTTTTGAAAATGACTGACCTGCGTCAACTAGTTGCGGATCATGTGGCAATGACCGAACGGGTCGCAAATATGCACTCAATGAAGAAATTGTTTCACCCATTGGTGTCCGAGCTTTTAAAAGACAGGGATTAGTGCCTTATTGTACTTTTATCATTATCTGGGAGTAGAGAGATTGTAAAATGCCAAAGAACTAAACTTCTTTGAAGTTGAATGAGTTTCACTAATAGCCTATATTTGCAAGCAAGAAATAATGAGTTTCAGTCGGTTTTTTTACCCATGGAACTAATATTGTACCTTTTTAAAATTATCCCATTGTGAGGCTAAAATAAGATTATTCAATTTCTATTAATTTTTTGCTAATTACCTGTCACAATTCTGTATGTACAAAATGAAATATATATATATGATTTAACATTGTGCATGTCAAACAATGAAGAAAATTCAGCAATGGTACTTTTTTCTTAGTTTATGCATCCTGAATCTTTTTCTATATTATAACCTTGTTTTGAATAACGGACTAGTGTAAAGTGAGAAAGATGTCCATGCATTGAGTAACGTTCTGTCTATTATTTGTTGTTTTTTTTCTTCTGTTTGATAATAGGGGGTTTGTCAGTTGTGTATTGCTGGGCCTATATGGTCTTCTGTGCCTCATTTGTCAACTTAGCACATTCGGGAGGCCCATTGCAAATGGAAGGAAGTGTTTTATGACTATTTATCGCAATAGTTCTTCTATTTCTTGAAAAAATACGGTACACTAAAGTAAAGACAATAACTGTAACAGCTCCAATTATCTGATTTCGTACAATAAGTCCATCTACTCTCACATAACGCAAGAACAATAAAACACACTACGTAGATGTGTTTATAATGTAACAAAGCAATAACAGAAGATAGACAGTGGAGACATGTACAATTGTCATGCGAGTTTAATATAACACGCATTAAGTTCCTATCCATGCTATATATATATAGTACCGACAACCGAGTATATCAATAGCTTCTTTATATGTCAAACAGATGGAAGCAGCAAAAAACATGTATATTTAACCCATGATTTAATACTTGGGGATAAGGGCCACACTGAGTGGCTTGGAAGGCTGGGTTGTGGCCCATGGGCTGCCTGTTGCACAGCCCTGGCTTAGTAGAATAAACTTTTTTTGAGTTTAGTTCAGACTGGGGAATTTTATACCCTGACAAGTTTGAGAATACAACTCCAATAAAAACTCTCTCGACTACCCGGCCCTGGTCAAACCAGCTTCATATATCCATGGTCCACTTAAGAAAAGGGCCATAATTAGTTAAAACTGTGAGATAGTTATTGTACAAAAATTATTATTATATGCTACGAACACAATGCATTTTCGATTTCTACATTAATAAAAACATCTCTACCTCTTTCACAGCAGCACTAGCCAATTATAAAAAGGAAAGACCTAGGCTATTCAGTTTATAGAAATACCGTATTGCACAATTTTGCTTACTACGTAAAGGGCCACTTGTTATGAATTAAGAAAGCAAGTCACGTCTTGCGTGCTTTAAGTGCAACAGACAACACAATAATAAGAATAATTAAAGCTAGAGATGCTCCTAAGCAGATTTTCATCTTCATTTGTTTCCACCACATTCGCTTCTGCAACCTTCTTGCCCTTACATTGAAATCAGTCGCTGTGTCAGCAAGGTTTTCCGACTTGTCCTGTTTAGTAGAAGTAATTAATATCACCAAATAGTCTTGCACTCAAGAAGCTATTTTTGAAAGGACTGGGATCTTTCTGATTTGGTGATGCCTACCCAATTTATGGCGCATGTTCACTAAACGCTGTAAGTACTTCTAGTCGGTCTGTCACAAACATTTTTGCATATGTCATTCCTGACTACGATCGATCGAAATGGCATCTCCGGCGACAATCACGAACTCGCTAACGCCAGTGATCTCTCTCATATCGGGATCATTACGAGAAAATTAGAGAAATAGCTAGCTTCCGGGTGATCGTCTGCTTGTTTTAGACAACAACCTGTATACTTTGACGGGCCTTATTTCGTCACTGTGACGCTGTGGTGACGTAATTTTTGAATGACGTAGTCATGTGGGGGTTAGAAATGACATATGGCAAGTACTTGACGGCTTTTTGTGAACTAGCCTCCAATTTACTACACAATGGCAGTGACATGGGGTTTAGGCTGGCATCTTTAGTCTAAGATGACAAAACCAGGCAGTTGGGTTTAATATAACAGAATGCCCGCATATAAAACAGATTTGGATGACTAAATTTCGGAAATAGATCCTTTTTCTTAAATTAAAATATATGCGAATCTGCATTAATATAATTAATAAAATGGAATAAATGAATATGCGAATGAACTGGATGCTGCTGCTGATAAATTCTTATATGGACTTATAATAATGTATAATATGGACTGTTCATAAAACTTTGACAATATCTTAATTTAGTCAGATTTACTTTAAAAATGTAATCTATGGCACAAAGAAAGCTTTTATGAAATTTGGAATAATACTTCCAGAAAAGTTATAAAAATTTAAGATATTTGCAAAAAAATACCAATGTTTTGATCAAATTTTCCATTTAGGGTGTGAATAATTCTAGAAAATCAAACTATATGGATAGCCCCACGTAGGAGTAGATCAAAGGTTCTCAAAGTGCTCTGTGCGGAGCCTCAGGGCTCTGTGAGAAAAACTCGGGGCTCAACGAGCTATTCGTTAAAATACTGGCTTGGCTGATTTTGTAACTGCCCAAGCAAAAATTGAAACAGCAATTTGAATATTTTTGAATACAAGGCAGCAAATGCGTAAAATCATTAAATGAGGTCATTTTAATTTATACAAAAAGATTACTCGGCGAGTAACATTGTCAATGTGTTTTTTTAAAAAAAAAATATTCTGGGGCTCCGTAAATAACAGTCAACCTCTTCACTGGCTTTATAACCCCAAAAGTTTGAGAACCCCTGGGGTAGATAATTGAAAATTAAACGAACCTGTAAATCTTCAAGTCTTTCTCCTCTGTCTAAAACTTTATCAATATTCGTTTGCATGACTCCGACTACTTCACCGACCTGTCGTTGCACTTGCCGAACCTGTTTTAAAAAATGCGAAGCTTAATTGAAAAAAAAATGTGTTGAAACGTTATCATAATTAATAAAGTAGATGCTTTCACATTAAATCAGAAAATAGATTTGATTATCTCACCTTTTCAGATCCACTAGGAGGACCTTTCAAGAAGAAATCATCATCAGAATCTGCATCATCCAATAACCCAACCCTTTCGCCATTATTACGGCCAGAATTAGGTGTTCTGCTAAATTTAGGTGGCATTATTAACAACCTTTTAAAGAAATAAAATTGTTTTAAAAACAATTAACGATGCTATGCCAAAGTATATTTTGTTGTGTAGAACAGGGGTGTGCGAAGTGCGGCCCACGGAGAAGTGCCAATTTTGAATGGTGTGCGGCCAGCTGAACTAGTTTTTAATTTAGTTTGATCTGGTTCCCTTTGCGTTGCAAAGCTTATATTTGAGTCCAATTTATTATCTGAGACGCTAGTGAATTTGTAAGAACGGGCAATTGAAGATTAGGCAACACCAATATTAAGAGATTATTTGGAAATGAATCTTGTATAATATTATACCGAAAACAACACAACTAAGATAACTTTCCAGATTTGAAAAAGTCATGGCTTCAAATATGGCACTTTTCGGTTACTATTTTTTTCTAAAATGGGCCTCGTATCGAATTGCTAGCACTCCCTTAAGCACATTTGGATAAAAGAAGAATCCAGCAGCAAATTTCTCTCTGATTCGTTTAATTTTGGGGTGACAATATATTTGAATTACAGTTTTAATAAATTTATGCGTTTTCTGCAAAGACCCCTAATGATGACGACATGAGATCGATAACAAAAAGACACTATTTTGTGCCTGCAGTTAATAGAAAGCCTATGTTAAATGAAAGTGCGGCCCACGGTTTTACCCAGTTATTGATATTTGGCCCGCCTGCGGAAAAGGTTGCACACCCCTAGTGTAGAATATTGATCACCGATGAGTGCTACTCGTAAAATCAAAATTCGATAACTTACTATGTCGAACACATTCTGAAATAATATTATCAAATATATTTTAAAATATTCAACATAGAAATTAGCATAAATCTTTTTAACTTTATGGAAAATGAATTATGTAATGAAGAATATAGGGCCTATCTCTGCTTCTATATCTGTAATTTCGTGAGTTTGTTCTGAAAAACGAGTTATTACACTAAATCATGCGCGACGAGGTGCTAAAGATAATAACGAAGTGAATCCACCACCAAACTTTTTTGATAGAAAGCGACATTGTAAAATAGTAAAAAAAACAAAAGGAAACAGCACAAGTTTTTATCGGGAAACAAGATATAATCGGACACATTGCCAAACATTTGTATGACCGCGGCATTTTAGAATAGTAATGCTTTTATTTTCAGTCAACGGAACAGCAGGTTACATTGAACACAATTGAAATAATAAAGAAAGGCATTTTAAATATGCCTGTATCAGCCATGGATTGAATACTTTGCGCATTGTACTCTTCGGGGACCCTTGGTTTTTTTCCAATGGCGAGTTTTGAAAATATTCATGAGCGGCAGTCATTGCCAAATGAATAGCTGAATAAGATGGCAAGATATTTTAAATGCTCGTGTTGGCCATAGATTGAATATTCTAAACAACAGAAAAATCATTATCCGCTTAAAAAGTCTATTTTAAGGAGTGGTGCTTGTTTTAAAAGTTGTCGCATGGGAATTTTAGATTCCAATAATTCGGATAAGTGAGTTTTAGGTAGGCATATGTGGGCGTGGCTCGTTTTGCTCATTATGTTCGACTGAGGATAATGCGTGATGGATTACAGTATTTATTTTAGCCGATGATTTCTCATTTTCAATTCGATATTCACAACAGAAATTTCTATCCATAAAAACTATATATAGTCTTAATTTCAGCAGGCACAAGTGGGCCGGATGAAACACTTCAGTGGGCCGTAATTTGCCCATCTCTGGTCTATAGCCTACACATGCAATAATTTTGATAGCATTTTTTTTCTACATTGTACAGTCCTATAAATCAGTTTTAATGTCAACTGTTCAAAATGACAATTTTTAGATGAAAATATTTTGAATTAGTTGTAAAATCATGAATTTACTTCACCGAAAATAGACAATTTTGAATGATTCTTTATGAACATATCTCGGTCTATATGCACCACTGACTAACTGATATATTATTTAACAAAATATACATAAGTTTACTTTTACTCCAATTCATAAGAGTCAGACAGTAAACACTGACTCAGAGTAATCAGATACTTGTATATTTACTGTATCAATAGCACAGTATTACTGTATTATGGCTAGTTAAAATAAATTGGCAAAAACTAAATACTGTAGTCAGTTTTATATTACTGTATTAATGAGTCAATTCAGCAATTACTGGTACTCAATTAATTTTATACACTTGATAGTTAACGCAATCATCCAGTCAAAAACAAATTCTGAAAATAAACAAGCCTGCAAACTAACTAAGTTTCAGAATATAGGATATAAATTGCCCTTCCCGCTGTCCATATTAAAAGTTTTATTGCTGTTACTTTTTATTGTATTGATGACTGTAGTTTTTGGTTGACAAAATAATAAATCTTTCTATCTCTTTACCAAAAATTATTAGATAACAGCTAACAGCGAACAACTAACAGCAAACTTCTTTTTACCACACAGGCGCGAGTCGCGCCACAAGGTATTTTACATGATATTTGGCATCTATAGGCGCGGCGGTGTGGCTCAACGGGCTAAGCGTTAGGAATACGCTCGCCACCGCACCTCTAATTACTCTGCGTGGGTTCGCAGGTTCGAATCCCATGCAGGGATGGTTATGTGCGAGAGGATTGCTGGACTCCTCGCCGTCGTTGGGTGGTTCACGTAACCGCTGGTCGGTTACGGCTTCCTCCACCACCAAGTCCATGCTTCCGAAAACAAACAATACAGTAAAAACTAATCCCATACCCGACTTGGAATGGTAACCGGACGAGAGGCCGTGGTTCGCCATATGGATAAGCCGTCTTATCGGCTTTCCTCTCCCCCGGGATAAATATGTAAATCCTATCCCTATCCCTACCGGTACCGTACCGGTATTCTTTCATTAAAGTGACCCAGAAATATAAGGAGTATTTTGTGCAGACCTATGTATTTGACCATTGGCGGTACTGGTGACACAGAAAATTTGGCATCTATAGGCATCTATAATTTATTGATAAAATTATAAAACGGATGCCTCTATTATTTTGAAGTTAGACACCTGACATTACAGAATTAAAATTACCGTATTTCTCAAAAAGTAAATCCACGTCGGATTTTCAGTCAGGTAATGTTATAAACACGGCCAGATGATTTCGTTACAGCGAATACAAAGAGATACCAAAAACAAGTTTTTGATTATTTGTGACTGGCGTCTGGCGGTAACTAAGTGATCATGGTTTTTGTGTTGGTAAGTTATTCTTAAGTTCATTTTATTGTTATTGCAGCATGAATATGTGCAAACAATTGTCGACCAATTGTTATTTCGTTATTTTCGGTTTTATTTTAAATTAGACCATGTGTAAGTTAGTGTTAACTTCTTTGTGGAAACAAATCGTTAGTTACATATTTTTCTAATTCTTTTTGTTGACGCTTTTTTAATTAGGATTTCCACATTTGTAGACTAGCCTATATGCCTTTAATGGTTGATGGTTACACCATCTCTTTTATATGCTGATTATGGAATTTTGCATTTGAAATAAAGAGTTACCGTATTGTGAAGAACTCATGGTTAACTTAAGTATTATAATAGGTCCCATTACATTTGAACCCACGTACATTTGAACCCATGACAATTTCACCTGTATGCTATTGCACCTATGGAATTTTTTTGGTTTCACGGATAGTTAAACCCATACTAACCCTAACCCATGGGTTTCAGCACCCGCATATAGATTGAACCCGTGGATATACGCATGGGTTCAAATGTACGGTCACCATTATAATAACCTGATGTTTGGTTGTCCACTGCATACACGGTAAGGCGTAATGTAGATTCATCGACTTTTTGCCCCACGAATGTTTTCCCGCAGATGTTTCGCACTTTAGTCTTTTCTGACCACATAAGGTATAAGACAATTTGCGTTACTGTATGGCTTTTTTTCAGTTGCCATGGGAGTTGTTTCAAAGTAATAACATATAGTCTAAATACAAAAAGATTTATTTTGAATATTTATTCACCACAGTAGCGACAGATATCAGTGATCTGTGGCGTCGTTGTAACCCCAATCCATGGTAACGTAATATGCCAAATGTCTTTTAAATCCACAAGTAGCCTACTTATATTTCACATAGATTAAAGTAAGCTCTAATTATTACGATCTTCAACAATTCTAACTGGGCCAAGAGAGTAATACCTGGTTATACCTCATTAGGAAAGTTTAAACGCAGAAAGACTGAAAAAAACTTATTTCTTTCCGTTGTTCTCAATGACCAAGCTGTCTTTCCTATTTTTTCTTGGTTGTTATCAAAGTCATAGATGCACATGTTTTACATATGGTCTGTATCTCGAATCCAGAGCATGTGCCGCAAGTAATTAAAGACTTTAGAAATGCTAGTATAGCTATCGTCATTTGGAAATCATGAAATATATTCCATTCATTGAACTACACGGTAATTTGCATTATGACAAACTATTTTAAGGTGTAATTATCTAATGACAGCCAATGCGAACTGGTGAAAACTTGGAAGATTTCATATTGAAGTGTAAGAGGAGACTAAGAAGAAGGTAGTTGTCTGAAATACAACTATGTGAATGTCCCATTCTCCCATACTTTCCTGTTGATTATGATACTTATATCTGGGCAACGATATTTTATCACAATTCAGTATACTAATATCATCTTTCAACTGAGCAAGTATTTCAAGATGTTGCTTGAGAAATTGTCAATCTCATGCGTAATAGTATAAGTTTATTTCGACTCCATAATCAGCATGACAATACTAATAATAATCTGTTTTCTGTGTTATATGAGCAGCTGTTATTTGTTTTGTAAGCGTGTGATATTTCACTGCTTGCTGAATTTCATAATGTGTTGTTTCCATCAGTAGTATTATTTCAACCCTTTTTTATTTTCAAACCAACTCTAGACAAGATGTCAATATGATATACGTAGCCTACGTAGTTAATGTTTATAGCAAAAGCTTCAAATTTTCCAAAAATTGATATTATCCAAATTTCAATACGTTATGAGGTTTTATGCATCGTCTATTTTAAACTATATGCATAATAATAAAATATTTATGTGTCTCGTCCTCATGGGAACCTGATAATTTTATATTTTATTGTCTTAAAACAGTTATTGGAAGACATATTAGGTTTCTATATATCTTGTTTGCGGGCATAGTGCCATGCATAATAGATATCATGCATGGAATGAGTGAGGAATAGAATTTATTTAATGTGGTGTTTTTCTAACCCTCAAAACAATGGAAGAAGTAGGATCGCGAAAGCAACATCCGCTAACCAAACTTGGAACTTCTTTGAAAATGAAACCACTTATTAATTTAAAAGTTGATGAATTGTTCATGAAATGGATAAGTTTACCAGAACAAAGCGATTTATTTGCCAAACTTGAGCAAATCAAGGAAAATAGAAATGAAGGGGAGAATTTAAGTACTAACTTTCAAGTACAGAAGACTGCTAAAAATAAAAAAGCAAAAGAAGTTGCAAACCTTACTATACCAGCTATTATTAAAGATGACTCAAAACCAATGCTGAGTCCTCGTCGGTTTGCTAAAAATGCAAAATCTAGAACAAGTTTAGAAAAATACGAACCTAGCAATCACATTTCCACAAACAGTATTACAGTAGATGCACGGGAATCAATTTCCGTGACTAATAATAATAAGTCAACAAAACATATCATTCCTCAATTCTATTTTCCATATGGCAAGCCAAATACGATAGCAACGGACAAAACCTTCACAAGAATGATATCCAAAGCTTTTTTAGAGTTGAATACAAAAAGATTAAAACTGTCACAGATGGGTACGGTGTGCAAAGCTTGTGGATGCCCTTTTTATTGGAAATCAATATTATTTAATAAAGCTCTTAAACCTGGAAATACGTATGTTACGGAAAGTGGTGTTATCGAAATGTGGAAGTCTGTAGTTTCACTTTATCATGATGAAGCATCAAGATTTGTGAGCCTACTTGCTAAGAAAGACAATAAATATTTAGAATTTGATGACCTTTTGCCATTACTTCGTGACGTCGTTGATACACATCCTGGACTTATGTTTCTGAAAGAAGCTCCTGAATTTCACACACGATATATGAATACTGTAATAGCACGAATATTTTACACAGTGAATCGATCATGGTCTGGAAGAATTTCTGTCAATGAACTTCGGAAAAGTAATTTTCTATCTGTTTTGGCCAACCTGGAAAATGAACAAGATATAAATGTTGTGATGGATTATTTCTCTTACGAACATTTTTATGTAATTTATTGCAAATTTTGGGAACTTGACAAGGATCATGACCTTGTTATTGACAAGAATGATCTTGCCAGACACTCTGACGGAGTGTTGAGTGGTCGACTTATTGATAGAATTCTGTCTGGAGCTGTAACCAGGTGACTTTTCGTTGTTTGTTATTAATTCATATTTAAATATAGTTTCTGATAATCCAATGAATAATTATGATGATTTTCCAAAATTGAGTTTCATTCTTTTTTGCAACTTTGCAATGTTAATATTTATCACACTTGCTTGTATTGATAAAGGGTATCCCACAAAAATAGCACACTCGTATTGTTACTTTTGGGGAGATATTTGATTGAATAAAACTTTTGAATACTCAAAAATCTTCGAAATTTTTTGTCAAATCAAGTTATTCATGTTTTGTATGATTAACCTTTTTGAGCTTATTCATGTTCATACGCTGAAACAAATTTTGTTGCGCAAAATTAGACCTGTAACATATACTTATCACAACGTAAGGCCATTAAAAGTTATTCGAGTCTTCTGCTTTTTGAACTGGCAGTACCAACCCTTACGAAGTTGTTCCATGTTACGACTTGATCTAATTTTTACAGATGGAGTGATTCTGCTACTCGGACGCAATGTATGTCATATGTTGATTTTGTTTGGTTTCTCATATCTGAGGAAGATAAGACTACAAATATAAGTATCGAATATTGGTTTCGATGCATGGACTTGGATGGAGATGGCTTCATCTCTTTGTATGAGATGGAATATTTTTATGAAGAACAAATCAGAAAACTTGAGTTGCTTGATATTGAACCTCTTCCATTTGATGACTGTGCATGTCAAATATTGGATATGATACACCCAGCAAAGCCAGAATGCATATCTCTTGTTGATCTAAAAAAATCGCAAATGGCGGGTATTTTCTTTGATACATTCCTCAATATTGAAAAATACCTAGAACATGAACAAAAAGATCCATTTGCAAACTCATTGCTTGATGAAAATGATGAGGCTTTTGAATTTCCAAAGCAATCTGACTGGGAGAAGTATGCTGCAGAAGAGTACGAAGTTCTGGTTGCTGAGGAACAAGCTAACGAAGCAAAAACTACATTTAGTGCTGACAATCCTTTTGCTGATGTTCTAGAAGACGAATTAACTAGATTAGACATCATGCATGATGATCCACTGAACGATGCTTTACGGTTTAGTCGAGGTTCTAATTCAAACGGTCCCAAATCGAGCTCACTTTCGCAATCAACAACAGTATTTTAAATACAAAATTATATTAGTAGTAACAGTAAGTGTGTGTCCCTGTATTGGTTACAGATTATATTTGAGTTACAATCAGTTATATTTATAATATCATTGAGTGTTTGCATTTATGCTCAACTTTTTATGAATATCTCCTATTCGAGCATACTTCTATTCATTTGGTTACAGATCTTCAAAATCAAATCCTTTTTTCTAATAGCCACCATCAAAATTATCTTGTCTGAGGATACCTGTAAAAACATGACTCTCTCTCCATAAATGTTCAGGTTAAGGTGATGAAATCAGTTGGGATTTGGTTTTAGTTGAAGATTGTGCTGATGTTTGTTCATACATGTTACAGAGAGCTTTTGTTAAATCATCTTAAATGCTTCCAAAGTGGCATTTTTCATTTTGTTATAACTTTTCTGTAAGTCGCTGCTGGCTTTTGGTACGACTATTTGCATTGTGATATGGCGGTGTATGCAATCTTTTACCTGGTGCATCCTGTTTTACTTAAAGACATAACATGACTATGCTGCTATCATTGTGCTGTATATAACTCACTTGTTGTAGTTTAATGAGTTTTTTTTTATTAACTTTGATAAAACCTGTTCTTGCACATCATGGTGCTCAAAATGAATTACATGTGTTTGTTACATTTACAGAAAGTGACAAGGTTAGTGTAAGATTTATTATCAGCTTATTAGAAGATTCTTCCTAGTCGAAAGTTTTTGATCCAATTAAAGAGACAAAGGTCAATCCTTGGAAATCTATGGGAGGGAAAGTTGACAAGGTAAAGTTTTATATGAGTGCTAAAGAATGTATGTGTTGAGAAGGGGGATATTTTGGAAATGTATGATAGGGCCAAACTCGCACAATGAAATATGCATGAGAATGCTAGTTTGCAGTGTTTACTGTTTACATGGAATCGACTAGTTTTTAGTAGGAAACTGTCTCTCTGTCTGTCTGAAACAAGTTCAAGAGTGTAGCAAGCCCGAAACCGGCGGTCGGCAATTTTTTTATTCTTAAAACTGACTAATCCCGCCTTTCGCTTCAAACAAGGCCAGGTACAAGCAGCAATCTTGCATATGTTATTGTTAACATGTGCCCTATTGTAGTCTTTGATTTGAAGGCTTTTCTAATTGATGGAAAATAACGGGAAAAGTTGCATTAATAATAAAAAAAACGCCGATAGCTTCCACAAGCTTGGAAAGGAATGTATTGGCCACATCGGTAAAACGTAAAAAATGTGCATGCTCAGAAGCACGGAACTTTAAGTACTTCGATTGAGTTTGAAGAGGGCAATTTCTACGACTTCCGTCGCAACGGATGAGCGTATTATTCCACAAATTATGCTTCAAAATGGTCGAAAACGCGTAAGACCCCGGTAATGCTTCCAGAGACTAATGCATATTAAATTGCTCTCAGAAATGCTCGCAGCGCATAATTTTCGAGAAGGCTTTTATTTCGTAAGAAAAAGAATATGCCGACAATAAAAAGCCGACAAATACTTGCTATTGTAGTGGATTCTTTCAAAATTCAAAAGCGTTCCCCTATTCACTTTTCCCCCAAAGTTTCCTCCGTATGCTTCCTCGCAATCTACCACGTTTATCAATTCCGAGTACAATAATTGCACGCCACAAACAGCGTGTAAAATATAAGGTAAAGTAAGTAAGTTAAATATTTGCATTTCACGTGTTATGTGTTTGCGCTTTCTGGTAGAAACGATTGGCACCCAGACTAGTTAGTTTCATCACATCATGGAGAAGGGTGACGTTAATCGAGATGTTTCTGTGGAAAAAGCAGATTTGCACGTGCCTCCTCTTCCAGAGCTAGCCGATGTCATTAAAAAGAGTTTGTCAGAAAACTACAAAGAGTATTCATGTGAAGTTGTCGACTGTCCAGATTTGTCAGAGGAGCCCTTTAGACTTGCGGCGCCTGGAATATGCGGCAATACGAAGCTGGTTGAGATTGGCGGTGTTCCGTACTTGGTTCCATTGAATCAATACAAGGAAAAGGTTTATGACTTTGAGGTAAGTTTTACTTGTCACGCTGGGCAACAAGTAGTTTTCCTCATAATGGTAACGCGATAAACAAGTACCTTACTACAGCATCCAAAACTAGGTATGCGATATATTAAAAAATCAGCTGTACCAAAGCAATTTTCTTTGTATTACGTATTCTTTTCGTATTGATGACTGTTTGTAGTTTGGTTGACGAAATATTAAATATCTCTCTTTGTAATCTCCCCATATCGCAAGAACTTTACGATTAGTTGCCCACGTACTTTCATATTTTTGCAGGCTTTAAAAAATGCGGCCGATCTATCCGGGGCATTTATTCTCGGCGCGGGTGCTGGATCCAAGCATGTTATTGGCGTAAACTGTGAAATGATGCCGAATTTAGTAACATCGGGTTTGTATATGTTTGCAATGCTACCGCACTTGCGTACAATCGGGGACTTGACAATATTTTTTACTCATAATCAGGTGGTTCACTTCCTGCTCGCAACCTAACTCGAATTGCAAAAGTGGATCAAACAAACCAAGAAGCTATCTTAGAACATTATGGTGAAAAATACAACTGCACTGAATTCTGTCTTTTATGCAATACCTTCTGCTCTGCTGGGCAACGGGGAAAAGTCATTAAAATCACCGCTAAATGTCGTACAGGTAAGTGCAGATTGTATATAAATATCCCATACTATTTCCATTAAATGAAATAATTTTGGATCCACAGGAAAGGATAACTTGGTATCATGTATGAGAAAGGGCATGGATAGCCACTATGGTAAAGAGAAACCAGTGGGTATGGGAGGAGCATTCCTGACCAAAAAGGGAAAACTGAAGATTCATGTGATGCCAGACTTTAGCAAAACTCCTTTAAAGAGTGATGCAGATATTGAGAATTGGCTGAATTTCTACCACGCGAGGTAAGATTTCAATCAGAAGTTCACAACTTAATCTCGTTGAGTTAATCTTTACAAAAATTTGCGAAGCACTGCTCGGTTCATTCTGATAATAAACATTCCTAGCTTATGTTCATTTGTATTACTCATTTTTAGGTCTCCTTTTGTATGTTTGTCAACTTTTATATCTTGCGATCCTGGACTCGACTTAAGGATAGAACACACACATGGATACAGTGTGGAAAATGACGAAGGGGGACATTACCATACAGATGTAACACCTGAGGAAGTCGAATATGAAGGTTACTTCTGTCCAGCAGAAAAGGTTTACAGAGTTGACAAACCTGAGACGACCCATATGATTGGAAGAGATTGATAACATGCTTACATGTTACAAAAATAAGTCTTCGAAATTTATTAATCGTAGCAATATAATCAAAACATTTAAGTGATTTTCGCTTTTTTAGCAGGAACTGAATCAGTTTTCTCTGTTAATGGAATAGATTGTTTCTTGGAATTGGACGTTTTGACAGTGGTACCAGTTAATAAATAACCTCCAGTGGAACTCATCATTACATGGGGATGTGTCTGCTCAGGCAAAACCTAAAAAAAAATTAATGAGTAGAGAATAATTATAGGCTTTAAGGCTTATATTATATTGGGGGGGGACAGGACATAAAGACGAAAAATTTCCTGTAGAGAAACGGTGGTTATCTCAAGATTTACTTCAGTTTTATTTCATGATGCAGATCCATTGTAGATAGAACTCACATATACCAGCATGCGGTTCAGTTCCCTCAACCAATTTCACCTCTATTCGCTGTCATTCTTATCACTTGACTGGCTAAAGATTTCCTTACTATACCAAGTCTCTTATGGCTTTGTATTAATCAGCTTTTCTATCCTTGAATAAATGTAAAAATCATATTGCTAATGCCATGCATTATCTTGCAATAAAATCACATATTACCTGAAAATGTCTCATAAAAGTATCTGTTATCTTCAGATTCACTGCTTTTGACGATACAGATAATTGAACGAAAAGCTCCATAAGTGGTTCCCTATTTTCACAATGTACTACAAACGGTCTTGAAGGAGCCAAAAATTCCAATATTGTCAGTAACACTGGCGTTGGATGAAATCTGGAATGAATATAAATCAGATCAAAATCGTAAGGGTTCATGGCCATTAAGAATAACAACAGGATTGCAAAAAATTTCATACTTGCATGCTAAGATTGCTGCATCCATGCTTTTAGTCTTCAACGCATTCCAGGCAGAAAGTTGATGTTTTAATCTCTTATATTTTCTTTCTAATCGAATCTGGCATTTCTCTATTTCTGTGAGTTCTCTTTTCTGCTGTTTACCAGTTGATTCAGTATCGTTATCAGGTAATATCACAACTGTATCTTCGGAACCATTCATTTTGTTCGGATCTTCATCAGAAGTTTTGCTACCTTCAATGGATGATGACATTTTACCATCTTTTTCTGTTTCTTTGATGCTATAACTTGCAGTCTTCTCCTTTTCAAGTTGATCTATATCTCCAATAACATCTTTGAAATCTTTTCCTGCCAGCAACGGGCCAACTTTATTCAAAGGGAGCGAATTCAATGTTGCCCAATATGAGTCGTCATAGTTCATGTGTGTTATAGCATGAAAATTTGTCGGAGTTTCACCAGTATGTAGATTCACCACGCAACCTGTAAAAGTATTATATGGTTAAAAGATAGTCATTGAAGTCCAGTGTTGTGTACAAGTCTTCAAACCCCAGGTCTCGGGTCCTCTAAAGTCTAATTGCAGGCCATCTGAATGTTAAGTCGAGTTGCCGCTCTTTTGAGTTATAATAGATTTTTTATACAACAGTAAAAAGAATAAATTTGAGTGGGCGTCGGAGTCGAGTGTCTCTGGCAGAAAGATGAGTCGGATTTCAGTTTAGCCCCTTTCGCTGAAAAAGACTCAAGTCATGTCATTTAGAATCCAATCCCAAATTCCTTCCCGACGTAAGACAGATAGCTGGCGTTAGCCATTTGGGGTAATCATAGCTACTATAATCATACTTTGCTAGCTATGGTGCCTGCTCAAAATCTCACAATCACAATGATGCAGATGGTCAAGTGTTGGAAGGAGTGTGAAACTCCAATAATATCAATACCTTTCAACATGATCATTGCTTTGCCAGAATCTGCAATCATGCAATAAGATTACCTTTTCCTGCTAAGCGTTGCATGACGAGACTCAGAATTAGACCGGAACATGTTTCGATTACGATAGCTTTTGAGCCTGAGTGTATATTTGCCAAATTAATGATTTGCGATACAGTGTCAATCCTCATGTGACAAATTTTAGCTGGTTCCCTGCTTTCATACATTTTGCAGATAAGTCGTGCTGATGGCCTGAAATGATAAGTTACGAATGGTTGTTAAACCTAATTATCCGGTTAATTTAAATAGTAAATAATCTCACTTCAATATCCTGATATTTGTTGAATGTTTTAATTTCTTCTTTTGTAAGTATTTTTTCTGTGAATAAATTGTCTTGCTGGAGAAAGTCGCACTGTTTTTAACAATTTCCTCTATTATTTCTTCTCCTTTTGCTCCACTTGATTTCATGCCAACAATCTCTTCTCGTTTGAGTGACTGAGACTTTCCGTGAGTGTCTTCTAGCAATCTGTTCATTTAATAAAACATAATGTCTGGTGATGAGTACCTAATTATCCCCAATAGACAAAGATTCATCCTAGCCGGTTCAGATATTACCAAGGATTAATCATAAGCAAACCTACAAAGCCATAAGAGCCTTTCACAAAACTAGGTCGATGTCATGATAAGTTCAAATTTCCATAAAATTGTTATGGCATGGTATTCTTGTTTCTAAATTTTTATCAATAAAATGGGTTTCATCGTTCTCAAATTAAAAATTGAGTAAAGAAAAAAAATAAATTGACCTGTTATCTTGTGCTGAGTTTGGCTTTTCCGCTGAACCATTGTCTCCTGAAGCAGCTTGTTCTGGTTTGCCGCGAGTTATAACATCTTCAACCTTCTCAAGTTGATTTGAAGATACTAAAATATATCATCTCTCAATAATAATTTTTCGGTATGGAATACTTTAGCACCGTTGCCACTAAGGATCTTCCACTATCAGTTCAATAAAATAATATGAATTAAAAAAGTTTACGCCAACAAGACAAATAGCTAAACTGTGATTTTATGAATTGATTCTAGATTAATATCAGATAACATTATGCAAAACCCTATAGTTTACTGACAGTGGTGATAATTATTATAAGAAAGATGCCATATGCAAGGTAACATAAATAGTTGTTTATTATTTTGAAATCTTTATACGATTTACAGCATGTGCCTTTTAAGGAGGCTAAGAATAAAATATGGGGAAGGGGAAAATGTTTAATAAAACATATTGACATACAAAAATGTCTGTCTGGCCCCTCTAATACAATAATAAATCATGCAGATACTGTTAATTCATGTAATTCTGATATAATTCAACTATAAGCCACATCCGACCAGAAAAACAAAGCACTGCGTGTTAATAGAATCCGAAGAAAGGAAAAGGTTACGGTACGTATTTAGGTGTAAGAAATTTACCTTGAAACCACGAATTGTATGATTGTCCAATGGCGTTATCTGGTTTGAAATGCAGCTTTTCAAATACAATCTTTTTGCCGCGTTCTAGTTTAATCGCTTTCAACACTTTTCCTCTTTGTAAAACCACAGAAACATTTTCAGCGATAACATCCATTTCTAAAACTATAGACAGACAAAATAGCAGCGCAGCAGGAAAGCACACTTATTACAATGTGATGTGCAACATGTGCTTTGAATCGTTTCGATGATATCTAGCTGTGACGTAATGGACGGGAACTCGCCTGGTAAACGTTGCAATGTTGTGATCTTATGATGTGACGCGACTCACTGACCTATTATATGGCTATGCTGCTGAATACCCAGAGTCCAGACAAATATAAGTGATTTGCAGCGCCTTCCATACTCCCATAATATAATAATCAACACAAGACTTTAGTTGTGCGTTAGTTCTACGATTGTCAAAAAGGATAAGTTTTTAGTTTTGGATTACAACAGCAATTTTTAATGTTGAGTTTTAAATTTGTTTATGGGAAGGAAAAGAAAGTGTAGTCTGTTTTATGTCATTTCGGAACAGTTGCTATGCTTGAATAAAAGATTCGAATTGGCCGGTGGACTGTAACAGGGTAGTGTTTGGATTGTGTTTGTCTACTTTGTACATAAGATATGTCTTTATCTAGTGTTATTTTATTTGTTATTTGCGTATTGAATAATCCGATTTGTGGAACCTTTAGAAAAAACTAATCATTCAGAAGCTCGTCATTTTTCAGCTATGTGTCAATCATTTTATATCTCATGTAGATCTGCTGCAAATACAATTTTGTAAATCTGTAAATAGTCTCATTGCTCTATTGCATTCTACGTTTTTGACAAGACTGTCTGTTGAACTGACTCAGAACAACAAAATAGGATATAAATTTTAAACTTATTTTTGAAGATTTTAGGGTTATAGTAGGACTTGTTGTCACATGCTTAAGATTCGTCCTAGTGCTGCAAAATTGCAAATTCCAATGGCTCAGCAGAATATTTCACAGATGACGTTGAGTTTTTCATTGCGATCTTTGCCAGTGACTCGAAGAACTATTGCATTTGGGATTACAGCTTGTATTTTTTTCATTTACTTGGGTCCGTTCTTCTACAGAAATTTCTTATCGCTGTTCGCCTCACAATCAAATGTGGATTCTTGTCTTGCAATGTGCGTATGAATTGTTAAAGTGGTCTCATATTATTATTGTTAGTATGAATATTTCATTAATACTTATTGATGTGATCAGCTGATCACCTATTTCAATAATATATAAACAAATTTCAATAATATATGACAAAAACAGCCATAAGTTCTTATATGGACTGGGATCAATATGAACAGCTGTACTTCTTGTTGCGGGCGGGAATAATCCCTCATTTTGAAGTTTAATATATTATGTATCAAATTATTAAAAAAAAGCAATTATATATAAATACAAATTTTCTTTTAACTGATTCGTATTTTAAAATGGTTAACTTAATGATTGTCACCCAATTAAAATTTCAATTTTATTTTTTTAAATAATTAAATGCGTGTCACCTTCACTCAGTTAATGCATGAGGCTCTGATTTAAGCGGATTCTCTCAAAAACACTATCAAGCACAATCTGCCGTTAAATTGGAGTTTTGGTATCACTATTACCGTCATTTCTTTTTCAACTTTAGGCATCTGAAGCAACATGATATAGCAATTGGGGAACTTGATGCATACATCAATGATCATAACCAAGACGAACCAAGCCAACAAAATCGACCTCCATTGCAATTTGTTGGCAATGGAAAGCTCGGCGCAGTCGTACAAGACTCTTCTAGTCTGTATATATTTTATCCAGAATCTGTTCAACACACCGACAATAAAAAACAAGTAGTTATGCGAGAAGAAATAAGGACATTCAAGTAGGATATTTTTGATGTTTTATTGTAGTGTAATCTGAAATGGCTGATTTATAAATGTATTGTCACAAATATATTCTGAAATAATGTTTTTGGATATTTTTAATGAATTATAGTGAAATTGTGATGGTTCATAGAGTGTTTTTGCACACCTTAAGTCTCTACACGAGGCTCTGTACATCCGCCACTGATACATGAGAAGCTTCGATTTTTTCGAAGGATCGGAATCCTCCTGGTTGGCATTGCCTACCCAATTATTACATCATGGGTGATGCCATGGGCATGAAAATTGAGCTTAAGATCTTTAACTTGATGTATGTTTATCCGCATAAAGTGGAATTTGAGATATTGAATCCATAGTTGACATTTCTCACAAGTTTGAATTGATTGCCAATAAAATGATCTTTTATGTGCTGCTATGAATCTAGTACTGCTTGGCCACTACAAAAAGTAATAATGAGAAAGATTTTTCCTTCTGAATTGCAAGTATGTAAGTAATAATTTCATGAAAACTTTTGCATTCATTAGTTATTTCAGTTTTCTAATCCAATCACTTTTATCATCTCTAGTCCTCATTAAAGTAAAATGAGTAGGCTAAATTAACCCGATTCGTACTGGGTATATTTGCAGACTTACATCCCTTTTATACTTATATATGCGTATTTATATATAAATATTGTGTTTGTTTTAGATTGCCATTTAGCCCTATTCTCCAGACAAGGCATATGTTTTCATCAGATTCAGAAAAATCTTCAAGTGTGATAAATTTTCGTGAAGGTATTGTAGAAAGATTGAGTTGTTTAAAAATTGAAGGACATTCTGGATGTGTTTTCTTAAATCATACAGCTGTGGCTCACAGGTAAATGAAAACGTGGAAATATTTTTTTTTGTGTGACTTTGATAATGAACTTGCCTAGATATGTCATCATTTCATTTTCAATTTGTTTATTCCTGTTGGAAAATTTGATGTGCAGGCTCTTTACAGATTGCCTTGAATAAATCTAAGATCTATAGAAGACCATATCATGGTAAATCTAAATTGGTCCAACTGTGAGAATGTACCTTGATACAACTAAATACTCAAGTCAGTTGAAAAAATAACATAAATCATTGTAAAGCTGAATTGATGAAATATTGAAATTCAATAATAATAACAACTTTAAGCAAATATTTTAACGTCATGGCTTTTTGAGCTTTGAGCTTTTGTATTATTTAGTGCCTTTTGTCATATATGTTGAGGTAAATATTCTAAATGCTGTAAAGTTTTATTCTACAAAAATAAATATTATTTGTAATACAAAGTCTGTCGTCATGTTTTTATCTTTAAATCATTTTGTTTGTGCATTTTAGATCCAGACCGAATGTATTTCTTCAACATATCAGTGCATCATTAGATGGATCGTCTCGTTCTATTGGTGACAAAACTATCAAAATTTTATCAAATGATATCGATGCAAGTTTCAATAGAGTTTCTGAGAATTTGTTCACCCATAAACCGTACAAGTAAGAATTCGAGCGGGCAGCTGTTAGAATTTGGGAGCCATTCTGACATGCGTATTATCCTCGTTTTGATTAGACATAAATGTGTAATAATGATGTAGTAATTACTGATTCATTGCATGCATCAAATATGTAATTCATTTTGAGTATCCTAAATAAAGATTATTTATCGATGTGATTCAAAAACAGTTTTTATATTGATTGCCATAATTGGTTGTTTTCAGAATTCAACTGAAATTCTAAACATTGATTCATTTTTTATATTTCCAACTGAGAGAATTGTGAATTATAAAAAATAAGTGTTAATTTTATATGCGTCATTGTTATATATACTTATCTTTTAGGGTCTATATAATCACCTATTACAAATTTGTGTCATTTACTTACCGGTACCTAAATTTTTTACAGGTTACATTCAAATGTTTTGGAGATATCACAAGGAAAGTTCATGGCCATTTCCGTTGCATCAAAATTAACTGGAGATAATTTACAAATAAATAATGATAATGCGAATCATGTTGATGCCATGACAGGTATTAAATGATTGAATAGTCAGAACTAGTTTATTCGTTTCATGACATGACAAAAGAATTTTATAAAAATTTTGTAATTTTATATAATAATATATTATATATATTATATTATTATATTATATTATTATTATATATATATATATATATTATATATTATATAAATAATATAATAATAATAATAAAAAATAATAAATAAAATAAAAAAAAATAATAATAATAATAATAAAATTTATAAAAAATCATGTGTTTTTGTGTGGTACATAGTTTGCTCAGCAGAAATTGCTGCAATGTATATCTTTATTAATAAACATGCCGAATAGCTAAATATTTGCTGATGTCTGGTATATTAAACACTTATTTGGTCAAAGGTGTCATGCTCTTTTCAAAACTGCATAGTGTAAATGTATTAAATATCCTGATGCATAGCGTCCAATCTCTCTCTTTTTATTTCCATACATCATTAACCTAGCACCCAATGGCAAAACTGTTTGCCATGTTGACCTTGTTGATTGTACATCTGGAAGTGATACATTGACTGATCAGAACTGATCAGTCAGTGTCATTACCATCAGCTATTTTAGGAATGTGGTTTAACTAAAGAGCAATTCCCATAATAACTAATATTCGCACTATTTCAAATTTTTAAAACCAATCTTGAATTGGATGACAGAAAACATGATAGGAATAGAGCAATGTTCAAATGTAAGGTTGCACATCAGCACAGTAGGGCCTCTGAGAATAGCATAGGATAGGATTTACATATTTATCCCGGGGGAGAGGAAAGTCGATAAGACGACTTAATCATATGTGGAACCACGGTCTCTTGTCCGGTTATCATTCCATGTCGGGTATGGGATTAGTTAGTTATTTGTTTTCAGAAGCATGGACTTGATGATGGAGGAAGCCGTAACAGGCCAGCGGTTAAGTGAACCACCCTACCGCGATGAGGAGTCTAGCAATCCGCTCGCACATAATCATCCCCGCATGGGATTCGAACCTGCAACCCACGCAAAGTAATTAGAGGTGCGGAGGTCCCTGGACGAGTTGTATGAAGGCTGTTGAGCAATACAGAAGTTTGCCCCTTTGAAATAGAACAGCAATATTTTTGGTGAAATATCAGGTCCCAAGTCAATTGGCCCATTAGTTGCAGAAAAAGGTAATGTTTTCTCAACAACAACGAAAATTTATCGAAACGATGGTCACTCCATGTTCTATAATATATGTTATTCCTGAATAATATTACATTTATCTTACAGTTGTTATGCATTCTGGTATCAAAAATAGTAAAGATTCAGCCAAACTTGAAGAAGGGAAATTACAAAAACAAACAGCAGAATATGCCAACATAGTCATGGAAATGTCAACTGATGAGTTGCTTAAAGAACACAGAGCAGCTTGGAAGGATATTTTACATACTGGTTTAACTGTCAGCCCTTCTGAGGATGAGCCTGGCTTACCTGACCCTAGGTGAGAGACTTAATAAATGAGATTTAGCTATTTTTGCGAGTAGAATTGATCTTTGATGAAATTAGGGCCTATGTGATTATGGAAGTTGAAATAATTTCTCCATAACGCAATCGGAAATACCAGTTTTTATCAGCTTTCGTGCAGTGTGGCGAAAGCATTTTTCACCCATGACCCCAAGATAGTTTGGTCCAATGCGTTGATTCACCTACAATACAAAATTTTTCCAATATGTGTCTATTCGGTTTCTAATTTTTTCTTGTCTTGTCTATCCTCCTAACTGTTGAATTGCTAGGTATGGCTTGAAAACCAGAGTTTGATTGGTATTCTTTTATTTATTTTACCAATTCAGAATTGTGAATGAAACAATATATTATGTCCTGTCTTCATCTGATTCCAAATTGCACGATGAAGGAATTCCAGAAAATGAAAGAAGAAATTTAATCAACAGACTTCAGGTATATGTCTTCATTTATATGTGAAAAATATGCTTGTCTCTGAAACTTTTGTTGTTTCTGCTCACTATTTTCTTCTTAAATATCTATATATTCCTAATTAATTTTTCGTCTCAAGTCTATTCTAAAGAAACATGTCTGTTTTCACATGATGATGTTTCACTCTTAGGTTTTTTTAATTTCCGATAGGAAAAGTATTTATTTTTTTTTTATTTCAGGTTCTGAGCAGTTTATTTACCAGTTAAAATCTTGACTTTTCATGTTATGCAGAGTTTTGCTCACAGCAAGTTAACCAATTTATTTTTTCCTTACTATATTCGCTATTTCAGACTCCAGATTTCTGTTACCAAGGTCATTCTACTATAAGTGGCAAATCATTGTGGAGTCATGTGACTTCTGTTGAGGATGTTGCTAATTTGCAAAGGCTATGGTCTTTGACACTGAGGTATGTAGTTTTTCTTCCTCTTGTGATAGTTTCAGAGGTATTATTTCTCTTGATGAATTTTATCATTGTCTGGATCACATGGCATTCTTTCATTAGAGATATTGTTTTGTTTAGTTCATTTTGAATTTTTTTTATTTTGAGTAGTTTCGAAGCGTCTGACGTCTTTCAACCAAAGAGGCTTCGAAACTTAAAAATTGAAGAATCTGGAAACAGGAGCATGTAGAAAAAACTGTGACTTTTATAAAAACAATGTGTACAATTATTCGTATACAGATTCGATAATGATAGCTGTTGGGTTGGAACGTCAAATATTATACTTACCTCGCACATTCTGTCAGGTACCTTCCTCTACCATGTGTCATCTTTCTAGTTTATGTGCCGCAAAGATATGTGACTTTAACACAGTTTCATATTCGTGAAAATACAATGACTAATAGCTTCGACTTCTCTCTCTATTTTCTTCTTATTTTTTCAGTAAACATCAGTGCAAGTCATTGGTGAGTGAAGGGGCTGAAGGTCTTCTCCAAGCCATGTTACTTAGTTTTGGTGGATTAAAATTTACTGAGAATGATTTGAGGTTTGGTCCTGATCCTGAAGTTTTACATAACGATATCTCGTTTCATCGTCTTATCTATAGAAATGACACTCTTGATATTAGTGTCAAACGTGCCAGGGATTCAACTGGAACTCCTGTGATTATGGTAGCACTTAGAGGTGAGGTGCATTTACATTGTGTGCAGTTGGAAATTGAATGGCAAAGAAAATAACAAATTATAGAAAAATTTTGGGGGATTGTATCGCAAGATATGTACTGTGGTAGAAATTTCCTCCTAGATGACCATCTAGCCAGTGTTTCTCAAACGTTTTGGGCCGCGACACCTTTTTAGAATTTGTCAAGTCCTGCGCCTCACCTTGAAAATAACTACAGAAGCTAACAATAAGCTACAAATAACAGATAGTAAGGCGAAAGTTTTTTTGTTTTATTGTTTGTCCTGCTGCAGATGTGCGATGGCAAGCGTGTTTCGATGTAAGGAATCGTTGAGCCTCAAAATTTAAGAGAGTTACTCGAAAACTAATCCTAATCAACGTTAAGTAGCATAAATTAAATGTTTTATAATGTTTACGTCCTGACTCCTGTTGTATTTTAATTTTTATTATTTTATGATTGGAACAGATCACCCTAAGATTCCATTATACGCATGTGAAGCTGGATGTGTACGTGATGCAGTGGAATTAGGAGTTCAAGCGCAAGAGTTACCAGTTTATGTTACTGATCCAGTCACTCCTATATTGTATATTTCTCATGACAGGTATAATGAGTATCTTTATCAAATTGAGTTATTCTTTTTCTGTTATTCTCAACATGAGTGAGTTTTATCAAGTTTTGTCTAGATGATATTGACATTGGGTGATATGGTAGGTGTGTATTTTGTACAATAATTGTACACAACGCTGTAACCGCTACGTCATCGTGCTTTTATGTTGGTTGCTGTTATGAGTAGTGTGTCCTGAAGCATACATAGCTTCATCACATCACTTTTGTTGAACATTCTTTAATTAAAGCTACATTTTGCAAAATTAAAATTTTTTATTAGTATTTCTATTAGATCTAATTTCTTAAAAAATGTATTTTGCGACAAATGTCAAGTAATTCTGAATTATATCTATGTGTATTTACCTTACAATATTTTAGGAAACATCTGTCAGATTTACGAGATACTCTGCATGTGAAGAAGATATTAGAACACGCTCAACATATGGAAGAAGTTCGAAAGGGAACAGGTTGACAAATTTCAAATTCTGTTTCAAATCTGGCTTTCTTTTAAACCTAACCCGTAATGTTGGGCATCAGAGGACTGTGTATTAGAATGTGCACCTGAAAACAATAATATTCGAATACGCAAAACTTCAATTTGAAAATTAGATAATTACCGGTAATCATTGGTTTTACATTCATTGGAATCTTTTTTGTTTTGGATTCCAGTGAAGTCTCTTCATCAGTGGTTTCAACCGAGGTTACACGAAACCCTAGGGTTCTGTCGATATAGTTGAGGGGTTTCACGAGTTTCCATCTGAATCGGAGAGTCTATATTAATATATGTATATTGCTCAACTAAAATTGAATACCTATTAATTTGCAAGTATTATTAAACTTGCTACACTTTAAAGATCATTTTGTTTTGCCAGTATTATGTGTGTATAGGTTTATAGTTTATGTAATTCTGAAAATTGCATAGGGGTTCCCTGTGTATCTGGGGTGTTTCTTTGTGGTTCCGCTACACTAAAAAGGTTGAAAACCACTGGTCTACGCTGCGATGAATTACAGTGACTGAAAATATTTTTGAGTATAAAATAATTTGATTTTTTGTAATTTTTGCTTAGTTAAAAGCTATATCATGATTTTCAGATTGTTTAGTTAGCTTTTTTACTCAATATTGGGAAAATATTTAAAAATTTCCACGTATGGATGTGCACGAATTTTAGGGCCTTCAAAACAAGAGGTTGTTTTTTACCCTAAAAAGATGGCAGCTACTTGACCCAAAGCCACCTTTTAAAAGGGAATTCGCTCAAGGCAAATCACACTCACTCATTTAGTAATGAAGGTGACTCACTCATCTTTGATCAAAGTTATAGGCAACCACTGGAATTCCAAGAGCTGCTGAGGCTGTATTCTGAGGACCATTATGCATAAATTGACATAAGACTTGTCAGTGCTTCAGAAGTGTATGTACCAATATGGACAACTAATTTTGATTGTCTATTTTACATCAAGATGTATAACGGGACTGAAGCTTATGGGCAGGGGGTATATTCACTTGGCTAACACAGACAGTCCAAGAACTCTTAATAGAACTAATAAGGAAAATCAGAATAAACTTATTGCCCAATCCTAACCTGGTACACACACTACGTACGAGTACCACCTTGTCAATGCAATCAGGAGATCAGCTATAAATTTTTCGAAAATTTTAAGCAGAAAGAGTTACCTGCAATCCACTCACTAACGAAGTCCTTTTCTTTTTCAGGTCTTCCAACAATATTCTGGATCGGTATCGGATCACTCATCGTCTTCTTTCATTTATTCTTGATTCGATTAATATGCAATGAATACAATTCATCTTATAAATCGCCGGTTCATTTCACGGGAGTTGCTTCGGGAAATGCAAAATACACCAACTACAGTAACCGTGGTAGATTGGCCTCCTGATATTTTCTTTGGCGAGTTGGTAGGATTGTGTAGCAGTTAGATGATGAGTTATTGTGGATCTGTTTGAGCTTTTTATTTGAATCTTGGTTTGATTTTTTTTTTCGATTTTGAATATTAGAATAGATCAAAAATTTAATGAGATGAATACAGGAAAGTGTTCAAGCACAGATATTTTCAAATGACTGAATTTAAAAGATAAATAAAGTATTTGAAATGTAATTTGAAAAAAATTTGGCTCGAACTATTTTTTTATCATTTCATTTTAGAATCTTTTTTATATTAGGTAAATCATTGAAATAGTCCAATAATTCAAAATATTATCTTCATTTCAAAATGCATACCGTAATTCTAATTATATAATTTTCATGTATGTTAAATGTACAATTCTTTTATCGAGAACATACTGACTAATTTTTTTAGTTAATGCTCCACCTCTGTTTGTTGCTTTTTTAGTTTCATATTTTGCTATATTTTTATTATTTTTTTTGCTATAGTTTTAACGGTGTAGATAAGCAAACTTTTTACCTATTGTGGTAACTAAATCTGAATTCTTTCTTTCAGTTAAAGTTGGCTGAGCTGTTGAGCAAATTCATTTTGTAGATGAAGCCTTCCTTAATATATGCAAAGAACAAAATATAATGTGAAAGTGGGAATCTCGGTACTACAAACATTGGACAGATGGCCAGGACAACAGTTAAACTTCAGACAATTTTATTCTTATCTGATTGGGTAATCAAGCACTTTCTTTGACCCATCGGAATGCATCATTTCGGCTGAGTAACACTACCCGATGGTCTAGCTTTGTGTTCTGTGGCTCATACTGATTTCCTTTATTAGTGATCATGGCAATTTCTGATTGGAAAGCTGGGAATATGGTAACTTGGTTAGGTTTAAACAGGCAGATCTGACTTTGTATTTTTTTTCTACGAAACTTTTTCATACCTTTTGCTCCGAACAAGGTCCTGTACAAGCGGATACTGATATGTAAGGAGCTGCTATTTTTGGAATAAACAGAACTTTTCTGGTTGTCCATCGTCTACCAGATTAATTAGACCTCTGATGAGGGGGGGGGGGGAGGGGGTGATGGTGGCATGGCAATTGAACTCAATGATAACCCCCCCCCCCAAAATAGAAAAAAATGATGCTTTACATCAGGAGGGGGAAAATTACGAGCCCACTGTGTTTCATCTGGCCCACTTGTGCCGGCTGAAATTATGATTATAGTTATTATGGATATAAATTTATACTGTAACAAATACCTATTGCATTACATCAGTGAAACGAGCAGGAGATTGTTATTGAAGCAAGTTATTTGTAAATAAACTGTTTTTTATTCATAGTTTCATATTGAGTTTTGAACCTCCGGCGCAATAACCAATTTTATTATCTGTAAGTAGCGCACTTCGGAAAGTAATTGCCTACCCCTGCTTTACATGCTCGACCATCGCACACTTACTACTTAACCACAAGAGTCAGATCTCCAATTTTATTGCCTTACCAGAATTAACTACCATGATCAGCTGATTTTTTTTCTCCACTGTGTGTTACATCAAGACTTATGCAGACAATGATATTAATTAGAAGTTGTTTGATTCTATTTTAACTTATTTTTGGCTTTCATTGAATGACCCCCATACTGTGTAATTACTATGAAGCAAATGCTGTTGATAAATGAAGCAAATAAGATTTTTTTATAGTGGAATTTGTTGCTTCCACACAGCTATAATTGTGTGTAATGCTGTTGAGTGTACAAGTTAGTGTTTACCTATACTGCATTGAGAAAATTTGAATGTTTGAGTAGCCTTTATTGAGAAAAATTTTAAGTCTTCTGAATGAGAGAATATTTTGACTATAGTTTGTAAAGAATTTATGAACTCCTTTCATAAACTGCTATTCCTTAGAGAATATTTTGACCTCTATCATCACTATTGAAAGTATGAAATTCTGATTCTGACAGAGTTTGAGAATGAGACTCCAGCAAGAACATGCCAAACTCTTGAGTGGGACACAATTTGTTGTGCATCAAAAATAGTTTCTTAAATCCAGGTTTTATCAACATTTCTTTTAAATCTGCATTATCGTTATCTGAAAATACAACGTCCTTCAATACATTGTGCTTTACCTTTTAGAATTGAGCTGCCTTCGTAGTAGTATGCCCTCGCACCTTTCATTCAAGTCGCTTCTTTGTTTACATTTGTAGCATTGTTCCTATACTGATCATAGTATTTATTTTATATATATTTAATTTCATGGTGCCTGCTGTTTAATATTATTAGGTTTTTGTGAATTCTTGTTCTATTGCAGTAATACGATTTATTCAGAAGGGATAAAATTGGTGACATTTTCAAGCTGATGAATGCATTATAGTTTTGTAGGGAAATAAATATTTAGATATGGAGTAGTTGGATGTTACATTTCATTGTGCTGGTGACATGAATGTATTGGAAATGTCAAAGTAAGTTTTTGCTTTGTGTGGGTTAGAAATATTGTGTCCTTGTTTGCTTTTAATACATTGATAATCTGCTTTTTCATATCAACACGAGAAAAAAATGATTGTGATGGTGAGAGTGGTGCTTAAAGTATACAAGAATAATTCAGGCTTGCACTTAATTTATTACCAGTTACGTCGTCAAATTTGGAATTGCATAAAGCCGTAATTATCGACTAAAAGCACAACGTCGCAAAGCGTTGTTTACTCTCGTCTATTTCCTGCTGGACGGCGATATGATATAGATATGGCATTTATGATCCTTTCAATCCCGAAGTCAACGTACAACAACGCTTACTCAGTGGTTGTATTTATCTCACTTTCCCCAACAACGCCAGTTATATAGATAGTATTTTGTCACAATTTTTAGGTGAGGGTTTCCTACTCAAAATGGTCAAATATATTCTGGAACGCTAGCCTGTTCAATGTTTTGGGTATCTCAAAATTAATTCACACAAATGTTTGTCACACTACATATATTGATTATTTCATTCAATGTGCATAAGTTACAAAAACGTAGACGAACAAAAGAATAAAATCTATTTTCAAGTCTTACCTGTTTGTTGTCATATCATCAAACCAAAGTTTACTGCTTGCGCATAGACATAAATTTATATCATTGGCAATGATTACATTTGATCTTTGAAAGTCTAATCAAGTATTGATGCTGAAAGGATTTGGTCGTAAGCATCCTAAAAATAGACTATTCCTGCATTGATGATAGTAAATTGGGTACTCCTTTAGTATGTGTGCCAGGTTAAGCCATAATTTTATTCGATTTTCCTTTCTTTATTTCTATGACGAGTGCAGGGACCTTCTTTGTTAGCCAAGTCAATATCCCCTGTTGATAGGTTTCAGTCCCTTTACATAACTTGATGTAAAATGGGAGAACAAAATTAGTTACCTCCATATTGGTACACATACTTCTGGAGCGCCGAAAATAGAATATGGTTCATTAAGCAAAGCCAAAAATGAATGTTGATATTTATGACAATTGAGAATGCCTCCTTTAACATTTATAAATTGATGGTAGATGAACAATCAATACCAAATCTTTTAAAATAATAATATGAAAACTATTCAGATCGATTAAACACAAACGTATCACCCTTAATCCTAGCGGATCTGCAAATTATGACAACAATTCAATGAACAGTAATGACAAAAAGTAAAAAAAAAGAGCGAAAAATAGTATTTAAGTGCAGAATGGGTAACTTGGTTCGTCCAACCACAAAGAGAACTTCAAATATTTGGTTTATGTTAGTTACATTGTTGGTGGTTTTGAGGTGCTTTTATTAAGACACGATATGGTCATTTTTGAGAGATTCAGGGAATTAGAAATGCGAGGAAAAATAGTGTACCAAATAACGAAAAATTAACAGTATTTTTTCAATGAAAATATTGAGTCATTTCTATCATGGAATGATATGAGGTTAACCAAAAAAAAAAAACCAAGCCCAAAAAGTACTTCTACAAAAATTTACTTAATACTTGAGTTGTTTCAGTAATCAAGGACGCTCTGTACAAAAATTGTTTTCTTTTTTTCAAACGACATGGGTTCTGTTTTTTTGAGGGGTCACCCCATATTTGAAACATGTTTTTGGGCTCTGTATAGTCAATTCTTGGAATGAAAATTTAATCAAGTTGTCTGAATTGCAATAGTGACGAATTCAAAAATGTCTACACTTAGCGAATATAGATGAAATTCCTATAGTCTTATCTGAAAAGATTGGTTCGTTTTGTTCCATTCAATATCTGGTGATTAAGCATTATTTATAACTAAATATTATTTTCACTTGAACTTAACAAGATATCTGTAGAGGCAGAAATTAAAAAAAAAAAAGGTAACTCTATATCAATCACATTACCATTGTTAGATATTTGCATAAAATGGAATTTTGCGTCAGCATATTCAAGCGAGTTATTGTGGTTGGCATTCCAACACCAGCAGTCAGTCTTATATGAAAATGCCGGTATATATTTCTGATCACTTGATTTGCGAGGAAAATAATCTACCAAAGAAAAATTTATACACTAGTTCTACACAGTGACGTGATCATTTGGATTGTCAAATGCTAATATTATGGGGTGTGGCCTAAGTGGATTGGACCTTGTTACAGATGACGAAGTTTCATTGGCTGCATCCAGAGCCTCATTCGCACGATTGTCTATAGCACTGCCAGTAGGTGAAACTGACCTTGATCTCAGCGACGTAAAAGAAGGACCACGCTTACTTCGTTGCCGTGTTGGTTGTGATGCTGCGGGTCCCGGCCTATTTTCAGCACTGTTGTCAACAACTACCGGTATATCATTGTCTCTGTTATTGCTTTGGTTATGGTGTTGCGTACCACAAGGATCGTTTGTGGTGCGCTGTGACGAGCGTCTCTCAGTTGTTCGTCGTCTACCTCCTCTCTTGAATACAACTTTCAATTTTCTAGCTTTTGACACTGAGCCAGACCTGTCGTGCGTCGACATATCGATTTCAGATGCAAGACTTCTTTGGCTCGATGACATTAAAGCACTTCCAATGGCTAATGTACCTGCGTTCGTAAATTGTTCTTTAATCGAATTTACGCTCTTGTATTCCTCCATCGAGTGCATGCTTGTAGAATCTGGGATACCCTGCGGCATCCACAAAATAACGGAAACAGCCGAAGCATGTCCACCACTGCATAACTCTTCAGTTACAGATGTTAGTACTAAGTCTTGAGATGACATACCTGGACTATTGTTGGCCTGAAAATATATAACAAGATTGCAATATGAAAAATAATAAATTCACATTTAGTGGCTCAAAAATCTTTTGTTACACTTCCACAAGTCTTATTCAGAACCAAAGTCATATAATGATCATTGCTGTAAAGTGCAGCAAGTCTTTGGACTACTCAATATAGCTGTTTTCCTTGTTGTTACAGCAGTCTTGCAGTCAGGACATATCGATTCACAAAGACAAAAGCATAAAGAGGGAAGTAGTAGTTAGGCTAGGCACAAGCTACCACACAAATTAACATCATCCAAATATTTTCTACCAACTCAAAATGCTAGGATTATATATCAGACCTAATATAGAAATGCTTTAAAAATTTCAAATGGAGTTTCAATCTAAAGCAGTACAAATATGATAGACGATACTGGACTAGGAATATTTCAGCACATCTAAATCATAATAGACCCCAGGGGTGGGCACGAAAATTTTGCCCATCTAGACTGGTGTTACATTTACAGCTATACAATTTACATTTATAGCAATTTCAACAAATTCCTTGAGTTGTTTTTATCAGGCAGACCAGATTGAATTAACCGATGGATATGGCCCAAGGGCGGTAGTTTGCCCATGTCAGTGGTAGCCCTTTGTTTAGTAGCATCTTGCCCAGAACATTACTCAAAGAAACACACAGAACATATTAAATTACAAAGGAAGTTAATATTGCAAAGAACAAGGGCATTTCCTGATTGAATACAAAATTTCACATTCCTACCTTTTTATGAATGTCTTCCTCAAAACACAGATGTACAGTTCCGAAGGGTCGTGCTGCCATTTGCTCAAGTTGTTCGGCACGTTGTCGTCTAAACTGGCATGCGTCATATAACATTTTGAGTTTCCATACCAATGCAGTGAGTAGAAGTAATACGAGGAAACATGAGAATAAGATGAGCAACAACACAAGAAGAGAATTATTTCTCTGAACCAATGAAACCTGTGAAAAAAGTATAACTTATTGAAAATGTCATGCTTTGAAAAATCAGAATATTTTTTCGAAAATATTCAGTTTGGATATGCTTCAATGCTTTTACATGCTTTTTCAATTCTGCAGCTGATCATCGATAGCTGCTGGATTTCTTTAAGTAGACTATATGTATCAGGTTGGAAGGTATTGAAAATCTGAAAATTTTTGTGGATAAATTTTGGAACTCCCACATAAGAAAACGCAGGTCAATTGAAGCATATACAGGAGAGAACATAACTTTTGTGCAAAGTGTCCTTTGAATTTAGACATTAATTAAATTTTCATTTCTGTAGAAGTGAGAGTCACCCTTACAAAACTATTTTATGGAGTTACCTGTATCCAAGATGGAACTGTGAAGTTGCTGACATAAATTCTGATAGTGGCATTTATTGTTGAATCACCAAATCCATAAGTACTTCCAGAAAAATAGTATCCAAATTTAGTGACGCCAATTCCCTCAGTTACTTCCACTTCTACACCTTCGTACTGAGAAACAAGATCAATATAGAAATTAAAGAAGAACTGAAATATTGATGCTTCTAGCATTTACACATTGCAGGATACAAATTCTGGGTTCAATGTCAGGAATACCGACCTCGAAAATTTCGATTCTTACACAAATAGTAGGTATATACATTGCTTGTAAAGGTTCTTTTTTGGAGTGGAAAGCGAAAAAATAAGCGTTATAGAAAAAAAAGGGCAAAAAGAGCATTTTTGTCCTAACAACAATCCAAAAGCCACCTCAGACACTAAATCTAGTAAAAAAATCACATGTGGTATAGTTCCAATTATTCACATATTCTCATTAAAGTCCATAGAAATTTCATGGCTTTGTCTATGCAAATTATGAATGTTTTCATATAAAGCCAATACGATATGTTTATTAGATATGTTTTTCTATATAGGCTAAGATGTGGGTTACATCTCTGCTCAAAACAATATTACTACTATTTACATTTTAATCAATCATTAACTAGTATTCCCATATTATTTACTTTGATCATAATCACGATTTCCAGAATTCGTGTATATCTCTGATGTATGGGTAACATCCATTTCTTAGGATGTATTAGAAATTGAAAATTACTCACTTTTCGGGATTAATGATAACTACAGCTGGGAATTTTTAATCCAATATTCAAATCAATAGTAAATTATTTGAATTGGTTCAGACGAAATTAAGAATAGCCGCCATCTTGTTTTTTGGTCCAGGTTAATTCCAGATTATTTTAATTGGAGAAATTTTTGCAATGCAACCCTTTTTTTCCCAATGGGTTATTGATAAAACATATTTTAATGTGTGTTAACGCTCAGCAAACAATTAAATATCTTCCAACTATTGGAAATTCATTTTAAAAATATATGTGATTCGATTCTGGAGATCGTCAGGTATTCAAAACTTCCTAACCCCGCTGTAAGTTGACATATTTAGAGCAGACATGTCAATATTTGGGATTAAAAAGGGAACCGGCAATATAACGAGACTGATGTCTTACCTCAATAACTTCTTGCGATGTATTATCGCGTTTTACTCTTTTTGGTTTGTCCAATGGTTTATAAGAATATACAGTCAGACGAATATTGCATTTTTCACGAGATTCAAAACTCAGTTCTGTACTGCCATCTGTCGGGGGTGTGTTCTCAAAATTGATTGAAGTAATATACCTGGAAATAAAATTAGAATAAATCACATTCTAATAAATTAGTGGCACTCCAGAAGTGTGTTTACCAATATGGAGGTAACTAATTTTGTTCGCCTACTTTACATCAAGTTGTGTAAAGGGACTGAAACCTATGGGCAGGGGGTATATACACTTGGCTAACACAGACAGTCCCGAACTCGTAATAGAACTAAAATAAGGAAAATCAAAATAAAATTATGGCGCAACCCTAACTTGATACACATACTACAGGAGTACCAAATTAGCAATAAGATATACTGGAAAAGTGAATCTTTATTAAGACAGCGAAGGAGTAATGTATGAATAAGACAGGTACATAACAGAGATAGTATGAATACCAAAATTTTCTTCTTTAGAGTTATTATGAATCTGTCCGCGAGTGTGTGCTCGTGATTTAGTGTAACCAATTATTTTCAACAACCCCTCTATCTGTATAGTGAATTCTTTGAATACTGCTAACCAATCGAGATTGTTCATCAATAATTGAATTGCCTGAACTTTTAACCGCAATACTAGTTATTTGGAATTCAGTAAAGTATTATATAACTGTCTTTATAGTTTAGAAAAATATTCAAAAATGAATAGTTCTACTTACTTATCGTTTGATGGTGTCAGAGTAAATGTAAAAGAATAATTGATTAACAATCTATAAAAACAAGTTCCATTGTTAACAGGATCACCATAATATTTTGCTGAGTTTTCACATTTTTCGCAGTTTGGACCTGTAACAAGAAATAAACTTTATAGTTTTTGATACAAAAATTTTGTTTCTGAATAAGGCAGGATTAACTATAATCCCGTTAGATATTTTTGAGAATTTAGAAATTCGTCTTATTGGATAAATTTAGATAAATTAAAATGTTTAAAACAAAAAATCTTATAAGAACTGCAAAAAAATTAAAAAAATGGTGAAAATAAATACTGCTACTTAATAATCAAAATACCAAAATCCAAAGAGCTCATAAAATTGAAATTAGTGATCAATGAAAAACTTGGCCGCCACTTGGTAAAATATTGGTTAATGGTTTATTTTAATGCCAAAAAGTTTGAAAAGTTCGTTAATTCGCAGTAAATGATGCAATGTGTCTGATGACAAATTAAATTGTATTCTTCATTAATGCGTGTTCATGTACAACATATTTGTTATATAAATCTTTTAGAATTTAATACCATTCAAGCATAGAACATGAATAAAATAGACAACCCTGTATACTCACTCTATCAATGGACCATGCCCGTAACTCGATTAAAATGGGATGTTTCACAAAGATACAAAAGTGCAATATAATTATGAAACATGGATGAGCAGCCAATGAAAAAGTGTTATTAAAATAGATCAAACAGTAGCAGAGTAGAGAACAAAAATTTCGGCAAAATACACAAAAGCAATGATAGAAAATTGCCTGCAAGCGAAAATAATTGTGTCAATTAGGTGAAAATCATATTAAAATTGCTCTTTGACGGAATTGTATTTTGCAATGCGAGTATTTTGGACAAAATTATTATATAAAAACAAGGCACAAAAAATTGACGCAACTATGCCAATTAAATTAGGCTATATATATATATATATAAATATATATATTTTCGTTTGAATATACCGTATTTGCTAAAAACATCAATAGCAGAGTATCATTCCTCAATAGCTTCAAGATTTGTTAAAATGTACACAGGGAATGCCCATATGGATGGTATGCTGAATACGATACCAATGATGTTAAGAGTATTGAATAGAATAAACAAATTCAGTAAAAGTAGTGTATCCACACAATAGCAGTGTCGGAGAGACTTGAGTCATTTACTCAGCTTGAGTCCATCTTATAAATGTCTTGAGTCATCTGGGCAACTAGATACAGACTCGACTGAGTAAGTTATACTTGATAAGAGATTCAGAAAATTTTTTGAAAGTTTTTGAAATTGAATTATTTTGAAAGAAACTTTGATTTATTCTATGTTAGAATAAATCAAAGTTTGCTTTCAAAATAATCTTAATTTACTTTAACATAAAAAAGACTCATATTAAGTCATTTATCGTGGATTAGAACCCAAAATATGCTATGACTCGGTCTTGAGTAAAGACTCGATTTAGGAACGCAATACTGTATATCAATTTTTATCTGTAGTCCGTTTTAAACAAAAACATGAATTCAATTGAAAATATCATTTCACACAATTCTGTTACCACATTTATAGTCTTCTTAGAATTTCTAAAATCTTTTCAAACATCATATAAACATATTACTCTATTTTAAATAAAAATACATACCTGTCATTCCTTTTGTTGAACAGAAACAATCACCAGTCGTATTATTACACAAAGTAGCTCTGTCAAAACATTCACATTCCTTACAAGTTCCACCGTTTGTTGCTTCACCGTAGTATCCATCGATACATTGTTCGCATTCTTTACCATCAGTGTTGTCCTGACAAAATTCGCATTCTGAAGTCTCATTCACGCATGTACTGTGACCATTGCATTGACATAATGGACAATCTGTGAAAAACCAACTTTTTGCTGGACAGACTGGAAGCGATGAATTGTATTGGGCTGTTAAAAATCAAGGTATATAATTAGTTTAATAACAAGAGGGCAATGCTCGAATATATTTGAACAACATATAAACTAGAATTCGGTTGGAAACCGAATCCAAGGATCCCCCAAAACAGTGGTCTTACCTCATAGTGACACTGTGCGTCCCATCACTAATTAATTAATAACTCGCTAATTATACGACATAATCCATCCAAAATCAATAGGCTTCTGATCCGAGCTAAGATAAATGCACATGCAAAATTTGGAGCAAATTGAACCTCGCTTTCGTGAGATATCGCGTGCATCTAACACACAGACAGACAGACAGACAGACAAATACCTATCAACATACTTACCGATCAAGATCGATAAGTAATAAACATAAACATAAAAAATATGTGTCAACAACGGTATGGTATCAGCGGAAGATCAGCGGAAAAGCAATACAGAGGCAGACGACTAATACACAACAAAGATTAAGCCTTCATAAATCATAAACTGAGTTTTTATATTTTAAAATTGATAGTTGTAGGGAAAAGTGATTTCCTTCCAACAACAACAAGAATCATAACAACAATAATTTAGCAAGATGGTAGGGAGGAGCGATTTCTTCGCAACAACAACAAGAATAATAACAACAAAAAATTAGCAAGACAATAGGGAAAAGCGATTCCCTCTTAACAACAACTAGAATAATAACAACAAGAATTTAGAAAAAAGGGAGGGAAAAGGATTTCTTCACAACAACAACAAGAATTCATCAAGATGGTATGGAAAAGCGATTCCTTCTCAACAACAACAAGAATATTACCAACAAGAATTTAGCAAGATGATCCACACGTACACTCACGTCCAATAAAAATAGATTGTAGACAATTTGAGTTACTACTCAGCTTGAGCAGGATTCAAATCCCATGCCAAATAGATTTGACTTGGGTCTTAGAAAATTTGAAGATTGCCAATATTGAATAGGCGTGAATTAAGCCAAGTCATGACTTGAATAATAACTGGCATGGTTTTCTCACAATGACATAAATTCTTTAGATTGCATATTGACATAAAGACACACGTCACAAAAGACACATGGCAAGTTAAAATGATATACTTAGGGAGTTGTTGACTTCCAATATGAATTGGCAAAAGTCGTGAAATTTTGAAGGTATTGAAAATAAAAAAATGAATAAAAAGATTCTAATAATAAAACAATAATTATTGGTTATACAATTTTCCAGAAGCTCAGAATAAAAATTCTCAATAACTGAGAAAATTTAGCAAAAAATATAAATTTGATGAAAAATAGTGATTTAGGATCATAAACGGCATGATGGTCAAACCAATGGTATATCTTAATGAATAACATAAAACTTCACTGAGTTGTCCAAATGAGTAATGGGTGCATTTTAGGACCATTTCGAAACATGAAAAAAGTCTGTCTACTTGATAATTTGAAACAAATACCAAAAATTGTATTACAAACCTGCCACAGCCCCAGAAACAACATTCAGTGACACATTATTAGTTTTCGAGCCAATTGCCGATCCACTTTGGCACGTTCCTAGACCAGTTTCAGATCCATCGTCACACCATCCACAAAACGGATTTTCTTGGCATGTATCGCACGTCCGTAAATTGTTACAACTTTCTATTTTTTCACATTGGTCGTGTTTATTTTCCCATTTCATACATTCACCATACGGGAATTGTACAACGTAAGATGTTGTAGAAACACATAATCCTCTGTTTGCACACCTTGTAAAAGTAAATAGAAACTTTATTAGACTGTTACGTTCGTAAAAGTGAAAGCACACAGAAACTAAATTTATTTACTGAATGACTGTCAATATTGAAAATCACTCAAAAACAACATATATATATACCGTATTTGCTCGTTTTACCGCCCGATCTTGATTAAGGGCCCGTTTGAATAGCCGCCCGTGTGAACGGAACATAAAAATAAATAAGGGCCGGTGCTTGAATACCCGCCCGAGGTAAAAGCTGATTTTTCAGTGGTAGAGAACAATAGGAAATAAGAAGCGCTTTTGTCACAATGCTGATGAATTTTAAGCGCCGGAAGATAACACTCACGCCTTAGGCGCCCAAGTACATAACAGATAGCATTGATTACGTAACACCATGGTTCTCAAACTGGGCGTCGCGAGTGCGTCGTTTCAATATTGTAGGGCGTAGCAAAACTTTTCTTCTTTTGCGGATTTGTACCTGCGGTGGGTAGAAAAAGTCGAAATTTTCGTTATTCTCGTTTAAATCATACTTGAGAACTGGAAATAACAATATATTAATTATTGTAACGATCGAAAATAACAAGCGATATAAGGGACCGGTTAGTGAGTTGGTTGAAAAAATATGGGCCCGGGCTACAAAACGAGCAAACACGGTATACATATATAACCTACACTATTTAACACAGAATAAAACAAGGAAAAAATTTAAAAAAAAATTTTTTTTAGTAAGGTCTGTAGTCAATCTTTCAAATCATATAACCATGTTGGGTAGTGAAGACGTTTCCTAACTTTTTTCTACTATAGATTAGAATCAGATGAATCTTCAATTCAACCTATGTACCATAGTACGATTAATAATGGTCTTTGAGTATAACAATTCAGCAAGTTAATTGAATTAGATTCAAATTATTTCAAGACTTGTTAGAATCTTATGAATCCATGTTGGGTACAATAATACCAGTTACATTTACCCTACCTAGATTATATCAATTTAGCAGTCTATGCTGAATTGAAAAGATTACTTCATTTTAAATCTTAGTTATACGCTGACTTTAAATCAGTGGTTTCCAGTGCTTTGCAAAACAAATCCACAAAATTCTAAAAAATTTCGTTTTATCTGTTCGCGTTCAGAACTTGATATAAAATGAACAATTTTGTGAAATTAACATTGATGAAAAAGTTCGACTGCTCGTATATGTTCACATATTGTAAAACTTTTCTTTGTCATAACTTATTGTTAATACAGTCAGTGCAGTGCCTTATCAGTAAATGATCCTAAAAAAAACGAAAATTAAAATACACAATTCTTACCACATGCAAGATTTTCCAACAGTGCAATCATAACATGAAGTGTAAGAACCACAAGTCGCACCACAGTTTAAAGTTTCATTATTTCTCCTTTTTACGCAGCCATCCTTTGACACCCACTGACATTCTGAATTAATTTGGCATTGCGAACATGTTCGGAATCTTTTACAATAACTAGGTACATAGGATTCGATTTTCACTGGATCCTAAAAAGGAAAAATTTAATTTGTGAAAAGTTGTCCCATTGGTTGAAGCAGGGGGAGTGCAACATTTTTTGTCGGCACTCAAAAAAATTAGTTTTTTCACATACACAACAAATTAAAAATTTATTACAATGAAAAGGCTATTGCTCAGCCCTACAGTACTACAGGCACCGGGCATAACGGCAAAAAAATTGAACACAGCGACAAGAGCAAAAAAACATTCTGTATTTTCACCCATGCGGGCACCTTTTTAAACATAGACTGTCGGATTATGATTTTATGCTCGATGGGAAAAACTGAGCGTTGACAAGGGCCATACGAAATGGCTCGGAGGGCCGGGTTGTGGCCCACGGGCCATCTGTTGCACATCCCTGGCCTAGCTAATTTATCACACCACAGCTGAGCCGTTGATAGCCTGACAGTTGCAACCATTATACAAACCATGAGGCCAATCAAGATGGCATTATGCATCATAATTCATTCCAATAAAAGATAATTTTATATAAATGTTATCAACTTTATTTTAGTTCATATATTCCATTTCGAAATCCAACAAAAATTATTGAAATTTTTTTCCAAAAAAAATCTTACCTCACAATCTTTCTTACACTTGTTATTACACCACATGCATTTTTCTGCTGCATTAATACAAGATTCAGGTGATATTAATTTATCACAATAAGATGGGGAAGAATTCAATACAGATTCACAAGAAGAGTTTACTGTATTACTGCTATTGAAGAAATATGCTGCAGGAGTGCATTTCAAAATTGTTGAATTCCATACGCAAGAGATACCATTGTGATGAGTACCTTGATTGTAAATAAAAGAGAACAATGCTAATGGGGGTCATATAAGTGTTCCAATATGATATAAAAAGTGTTTCTGTGAATTTGAAAGTGTTCCCATAAGATATAAAAAGCTTTTCCATATAATATAAAAAGTGTTTCCCTATGAAATAAAAAGTGTTCCCATATGATATAAAAAGTGTTCCCATTAGGTTGGAAACAATTTTCCAACAGCAGGATATTTGAACAAAAAAAATTGGGTTTTCTAGCGAGTTCTTTGATCTTCTGAATATTGAAATTGATTGGTCTATTAGTTGCGGAGAAGAGTGATTCATCCCTGCAACAATTAAGCAAAACAATCTATACATACTGTCCAATGAAGAAGAAATGAACGAAGTTAGAATTCGAAGATTTTAAGTAAGATTATATTAACTACCGGGGTTAGGTCAAAACCAAATAATTTATCATTTCATGTTAAATTATTAATTCAAGTTGAAACAGAGAAATTGATCTATTTCTGAGACTCTTGTGTTTAGAACAAGAACATTTTGAAAGTGGTAAAGTTTGTCCCAAAATAAGTTGGCGTTCACCATAAATTTATATTCCAATTATATAATATTGTTTGAATAGAACAGTTAAGTGCCGAAAGCATAATAAAACAACATAAAAAATGAAAATTAATAGAATTTTTTGATGTGAAAATGGCAAATTCTACAAAAAATAACAATAAAATCTCATATAGTTTCTTTTAATCTTTATTTTTTATATCAAACAATCATTGAACGTTCACATTAGTAAATTACTCTTTTCATTTTTAAATTATTTGTACCTGCTACCGGCATTTTCCAAAACGAAAATTCGTAGAGTGAACATATCAAAATATTTCAATATTTGATTACTAAAAGATTTTTATTTAAAACATTCATATTTCAAAATCTAATTAATAATAGATAATTAATAACCCAACATTGGATAATAAAAAAAACATTAGCCTACCTGTGCAATTAGTTTCATTAGTTGAATATGCAGTGCACGATGCAGTTTGATAAATCAATATATTATTGATCATCGTACTATCGTAACCTCCTTGTATGATCATGCTCTCCGATTGGTCCTGCGATAAAATTGCCGACACAGCAATATGGCCGTAACGATTTGGTTGATTCGTAATATCAGATGGCGATACATGTTCCCAACTAAAAATGCAAAAAAATATATAATTTTGATGATGATACCAATATGAATAAGAATTATAACATTGTTTTATTAACCCAGTGGTTCCTACCCAAACTTTCAGAATCCGTGGCCCCCTTTCATAGACTCTTAACCCTTATAATGGGCTCTTGCTCTTCTATAAAAATACCTACTGCATATTCTCGCATACAGGCCGAGTATAAAAATAAAAGAAGGTTGCCAACTAAATATTCGACTTACACGCGAATACCTCTGATCGCACTAAATATTGGGCCAAATGCAGTACTTCTCAACCATGGGTCAAGTGCAAGATGTTTGGGGATCCATGAAGCTTTCCATAATATTAATACCCCAAACTACGGATAATACAAGATCTTATGAATGAATGATTTCATTCACATCAAAAACGCGATTTGCCATTCGTGCAATAATACTTCACTTGGAATATTGTGTACTGTTTCCCTGGGTTATATTAGTTTCTTATAGCGTACACAGTTTTGATATAGCACACAGCCCATTACTGTGTAATTTCATGTAAGTTCTACTATTCTCCCATCTTGTTCATTATTAAATGCATTTTAAAAAAATATGTTTGCATAATCCGATTAAAATAGCAAATACCATTGAATAGACACCTGCCATGTTAACGGTCTGGAAGATTATTGCATAAAAAATGTATAAACTAACGTCATTGTTAGAAACAACTGCGTTTAGCAAATGTTTTCAATTTGCATAATTCATTACATAGAAAGGCCACCAGTTTAAAAAAATTCACTGTAAACTCCACTAGCTGTGTCATGGATAACTAAAACTGAGTAATATACCACATTAAATACATTCTAAAGCAAAATTTTTGAATATGGAATACCAAAATTCTAAATTGTGTCATACTCAACAGAAAAATTGGAGAAATTATAATAAATTTCTAGAAATTGAATTTGATATTGCAAAATAATGTAGAAATAAATTGTTTCATTTTTTTTACAGTTTCAAAATTAAACGCAGTCTATATTATAAATGGCTATTATACGTGGAAAGCCTAAATAATATTACATCTTCAAATGAAAATATTCCAAATTCTACCTAGAATCATATATTTATTTTAAACCAGCCAAAATTTTTTTCCACAAATTTTCATTATTGTATGTTCAAGACAAAACCAGATGGAAAGATTTAATAAAGGCAGGTTAAATCATAACGAGAATATAATACAACAAATTACAGCATAATACATTTTCATATCCCTATTAATATTAAAATTTTATGACTCAAAAGAGTATAATAGCCCCGAGGCGGCAGCAGAAACTATTAAACAGATGTCAGTCATAACCAGACATAATAAAATAGAGCTGTCTTACGTGTCGCATGAAATGTGGTAAGCCATAAAGCTAGGTGAAAAGCATAAAGCGCCAGTACTTTTGTCTGAATCATTGTGCGTGCAACCTCCATAAGCGAACATAACTCCATCAATGAGTACCCCACTGTGTAGATAACGGGGTACTCCACTCGACCTGTGATGTGGAATTATAATTACTGTAGTCAAATCATTCCTAATTATCGTTAAAAAGCAAAAAATCAGTGGTATTACGTCAATAACTCAGCTAACTAGTATTGAAATTTAGGCGATTTGATGCATCAAACAATCCTATTTACCATATTGGAAAAATATAGGTCAATTTTGTAATGCAAAAATGTGATTCTGTCTTGAACAAACTTGCAAATTTTAGAGCAAAAATTCAGTTAACACATTAAAAGTACACAGTAAATTAATGTAAAAGTTATTTAATAAATTTCCCAAGGTTTAGGATGTTGATGAAATAACAACAAATATCGTAAAAAAAATTTGAAAAAACAACAATGGAATGAGTTGCATAGGATACTTATTGAATACAAATTATTCATATAAAGGCAGTCAGAGCCCAAAGAGCTCTTAGGGATTTCTGTTTAAATCCATTAATTCGATCCTAATTTTGTTTAATCATTTCCTACAGCAGTCATAAAATTGAAATAAAAATCAATATTAATAGTAATACCATACCTCAGAACTTTGAAAATTCTATTTTCTGGGTCATAAGAATGAGCAGCATCAGATATTCCATACGTCGATGTCAACGCTCTCAAATGTGAAATTCCACCGTGAATATATATGACTTTATTCACTGGATCCCAAGCTGACGAATGTCCATAAGAAGCACTAACATCGGCACCTGTTGTATTGGCCCTGGACCAAGTCTGAGTATCAATATTATACTCGTAAACGAATCCGCTATATTCAAATAAAGGGTGAAATCCAAATATCACAATCATGAGGTTAAGTCCGTTATCGAGTTGAACTAAATTTCCTGAGTGGCCCCATAAGGTCAAAGGTGAGGTCGTGGAGTTGTTGGAAGTATCGATAAAATCCACAGTGTATTGTACGTTTGTCCACCTTTTTGTGGTGATGTTAAACTCCCAAAGCTCGTCTTTAACCTGATCTGTCCATACATCTCGTCCTCCGAATATTAACAATTTATTTTGGAATGCAATCATGGAATGGCCATACCTGTTGAATATAAAAATTTTATTCCGTATTATCTATTTTAACATTTTTAATTAAAACAGCGTCAAAATCGTAGGTGCATGGTTTAGTGGGTAAAGTGTTAGACTTAACTATGGTGGCATTGTAGATTAAAATCCCGGGTTCAAATCCCATGAAATTTGAAAGTTATATTATACTTAAACCAAAACTGAATAACTCAGATGATCAAAATGATGGCGTAGAAATTGCAGTTAAATTTGACTTTTATTTATTACAGTAATACTGATTTGTGTCAAGTTTGTTGAAATAAACTTAAATAATAAGAGTTATAGAAATACAGAATCCAGGATTTATTATTGTTTTTTGCGACTGTCACATTGCCCATTAGAGTAATCAATAATATAATTATATAATCAATTTAAAAAAAATTTCATTAAATATGGGTCACTCAAGCTTCAGTTTTCTTCATATACAGTTCGTGCTTGAAAAATACTTTCTACTGAATTTTAATTAATATTTTAAAATTTTAAAAACCATAATAGGATTTAGTATCAACAGACAGTTTGGGAATTAATTAATTCTTAATGAGAGAAAATTTACATAAACGGACAGGTGTAACGGAGAGAAGAGATGCATCTTGTCTAGTCACTTAAAAATTTAACAATGGCATTTTTCGGAAATTTCGTCAATTATGATTCGCCACTGAAATAGTAAAAATAACAAGGACATAGCTTAACAAAAGAACAAATTTTAAAAAACTGTTTAATCGAGATTATCTGAATAAAAATTCTATCCTGTGAATTAGCCTGATGGTTCCCAAACTATACCTGTAAAGCATTAGAGTAGGATGACATAATATGAAATGCGTTGTAAATATCAATTTATTCCCTAAAAAATTATCTATCTATGTTTAGAAATTGCTAAAAAGATCAAATATTGATCAAAAATTTATGTCAAGAGAAAATTATGATTGGCGTTATTGGGTATTCAACGACGATATGATCATTTACTTGCTCAAAAACGTGCTTCCATAATATTGCATTGTACTATTATAAAACTATTCCTTGTATTTTAATCTGATTAAAGTGAAAATTGTTTTTTCAATACCTCACCTCAACCTCTGAAAATAGGCTATATGCTACTTTTTAAATTAGGCTATGTTTTTATTTTGCAAACTGCAAATAAATGTTAAAAATATCAGACGATCGTTCTGATTTTATCAAAATTTGAAAAAAAATTACAGATAATCATTTATATTGGAATTAATTAAAAGTAGAAAAAGTACTGATAAAAACGATCATCTTTGTAAACATGTAACATAATAATAATAAGCATATACCTTTGGGATGGGCTGGTTGAAACAGTGGAAACAATACTCCATTCATTAGAAGTCAAGTTATAGGTATAAAAATCAGCATTGTCTAGTAAATTCCCAAATTGAATACCGCTATAAATCCACATTGTGTCACCAATAACAACACTCGTATGTGATGCTCTCGCTAGATTGAAAGAAGTTGGAATGCTTCGTGGTTGATACCAGAAACCCTGAAAAATTATAATAATGATAAGAATTTGAGAAAAGTATTGTTTTTAAGCAAGAGGCACCTCTCTTTTTCCTGAATAGTTTTTCTGCCAGTGTCCCATAAGATTACTCTAGTTGCGAGCCAATCTCCACATACTGGCACTCCTGCTGATTTATATGTAATAACATACAAGAGCGGTCACCTGTAACTATTTATCAGAATTCCTACAGGATTTGTACCTCACTTTTGAGAAAATTCCAAATAAGTGGACAAAGGAGTGGCAGTAGCTAGTATCATGAATAAAAAATTGAAATACAGATATGAAAACAAACAAATAAAATCTCCTTTGCTTAATCTTTTTTGGTGGTCTTGTGGTAATGCACATTATTCACTACCCAGTGTATTCAGTTGGTAATATTACATTTTGCCTTGTGTATGATATTATTTTTCCTTTCAATTAATAGGAGTATTTGGTTGTATTAGGATATCAAAATTGAAGAAGTTCATTATGCTACTACATTTATTGAACACTAGATTTCTAAGAAGATAGAAAACACGGTAAACAACAACAAACCTACTCAGAAGATTTCCCAACATTATGTTTTGTGACTCGTTTATTATAATATAAAATTACAATATCCGATAACAACTTAACACCTCCATCCATATGCTTGTTTTCTTTATTGCTAATGTTATGAGGAAGCAAGAGTGACTAAGATTTAGAAGAAAGCAGAAACACCAAGCTATAGGGTTAAAAAGCCTTGTGTAGGCAGAAGACCAGTTATCAATGGCATATTCCATCACTTTCAATATCAACAAAAATGTAAATGTGATAATGAGCATCCCAATACACAATATCTTACCTCCTTAGCAGGGATAGTTGCCGAGCAATCAACACTTTGATATCCTGTTTTGCATTCACACATATTATTGTAATTGGAACTTGAGTTGGTACATGAACCCTGATTTGTTGTTTGTGAGCAATTTGAAGGACATGATTCTTTTTCACATGCCTGACCTGTCCATGACGTTTCACATTGACATTGAACATCGGAACCAGTGCCTGTAATAAAATTATCCAATTGAGTATAAAAATGAATTTTCATGGATCATTTTCGCGGCTTTACTCTGAATAAGTCTATGTACATGAACTCACTGATACTGCATTTTTGGGGATAATTAGCTAATTATCTGCACCAACTTTTTTGGCCTGATTTTCTAGGGTCAGCCTATTGTGAGGCTCAGCTTATTTTCCTTTTTCTGTGGTCGGTTAATTATTAGCTTTGGGACAGAAAATATCAGAAAAAGGAGACAACAACATGCCTTCTCTATCAGTTTCCATGAATTGGCGTTGGTGCTCAACTTACGAAACCAACTAACAGGGAAAGAAGTAACACAAATTTTCTGCCTTGGCTTATTGGGCCAAGATATGGATGATAATTGCTGATCCCGCTACTTATTCTTCGGAAAATATGGTGTATAAAAAACTGCGCCAAAATTTTTGTGGTTCAGCCTTGCGTTTTCAAATCTTTTATATAACTTATAATAATATTTTGCTCACAAACAGCCCTGCTAGATAATGAGCTTTTATAGTTCGTAAGACCCGAATCTTTTCGGTTCATCATTGCCTACCCATTTTATTATACCCGGGTGATGTGCTGGGCATGGGATTTGAACCAGAGATTTTAACATGCGATACCATCATAGTTAAATCCAACGCTTTCATCACCGCCCGATTTATTAACATCCTTGTGAACAAGTGATTTGAATCAGATATCAAACTTACCAGTACATGAACCCCGTCCAAGACAATCTTGAGAACAAGAATCTATTGTATAAGATATATTAAATCCTTTCATGGCATATTCAACGTCACTGAAAAAATGTAAAAAAGCAGACCCAGATGTTGCTACAACTTCAGGAAGAAACTTTTCCCTTTGTGAAGTAGTTTGGTCTAAAAAAATAAAAAGAAGGGTATATATATAAATGAGGTATAGTAAGCCCCCAGCAATTAGGGCATCCTATATCGAATGGTGACCGATACCAAATAGAGTGATGCAGTCGACCAAAAAATTCTAGTCAAAAATTTGGTGCCCGAATATCCGAGCGAGTCCTCGAGCGAGATGACGGCACCCGAACCACGCATCTCGGCCGCCTCCTAACCATTCAACAAGAGAGTGATGGTCAAATATATGGACACCAACACCAAAACGAAGTAGTAGAGCCCACGGAAATTTTCTGAAACATAAAGTAACCGATACATTTTTTTATATTTTTATCTTTATCATGTACACATTTAAATAATTATTGTTGTTCAGGTCTTGTTTTAACTGTTTATTGTATTTATAAAAAGCAGAGTTAACAATTTTGGTCTCTTAAATTACTAATTGTAATAAGAAAATGATCCTAAATGTTCCTAAGTTAAAATTTTGCTACTGTATATCGAATACCATAAATTTTTGATCCATTTTGGCTATCCATGTTCTTTTCTATGATTTACATTGATAAAATTTAAAATTGATCATATTATAAAAATGCAAGATATAAACCAGTGGTTCCCAACCTTTTATGGCCCGCCCACTTTCAGAGGCTTTTTAGCACTCATAGCCCCCGTTTATCATTTTAGTGGTATTTAGAGGGTTAATATAATTCGTAGATTCCGAATCCCATTATGTTCAAACCATTTATGATCAACAAAGTGAAAAAACCCTGTGAAATAACCTTATCAAGCAATAAAACTGGGAAGTTTTCTTTTGAAGTGAAAATAAAATCAGCTTTGCACTTGCCGCTTAGCATGTGGCCCTCGTCCAACTGCCCTGTAGCTCCCCTGTGAGGCCATGAGCCCCCAGTTTGAAACCACTGATTTAAACATTCAAGGTTTTTTTTGACAACAAAAAAATGAAGTAGACATAGTAAAAAAGTTGAAATAACTGAAAAATATATTTTGAAATTTCGATGCTCACTCTCAATTTTATTTGTGAGTCTAAAAAAAATAATATTTTACACGTTTCTGTTTCTCCTTACCTATGAATATTACATAACCAATTGAGTCATGATTCACAATAAAGATCAGCGTTATGGTACCTTAGTAAAACATAGGCCATGGAAATGAGTAATATCATCAACTATCGAGTGATATGACTACTGACTAATGTGGGATGTATTGACAAAATTAACACCTGGTAGTCACATCTACAGGTGACAAGGAAATTTAATCACAGCAAATCCAATATTGGCATAGTAAGTAGCGATTTAAGCTATTTTAGACATATTTTAGACAAAAAAATGAAAGTGGTTCAAAAAAGCAGTAAATGATATACAAGTAATAAAAATTGTTTGTTGAATCCGCAATTTGGTTATCAAATGGCTTTGCATCGATCATAAAGCAACCAATAATAAAGGTAACTGATGTAATATACATTGAGGATATTCAGCTTTTCGTTTGAAAAATATTTCTTTTCAAATACTGTACATTGAAATTCAAATAAGCAAATAAGAAATTCATATCAAAACACTCACACAGTAAGTGAATTGTCATAGGACAGATGGACATAGAAGTCGGTGTAATGTTACAGACAATAGTATTGTTTCACCTTTTGTGATGAAATCACAATTGATTTAAGTATTGAATTTATTAATGAAGTGGTGATATAATTAGGGCAGGTCCGAATACAAAATAAATAAAGCGCACATTTGATCCGAGACATTGATTTTACAAAGCAGAATCAGAAATTTTTAACTTTATTCAAGTGTAAACCAATCCTGGAGTTACCAAATTCTTCAAAAGACAGAGGCATTTACAGATGCAATTGTAATTATTCCAAAAAACAAGTGATTCGGATATTTAATATTCTAGAGAGCACATAACTTTTGCAAAAAGCCACGTGGATTACTGAAATTTTGGGCACAATCACACACAATAAGTTCAAATGTTAAATCAATTTTTCTACGTTTTCGTTGAAGTATTGTAATTAGGAATTTTACGGGTATTGTTTTTGGGACACTCTGTATATTCCTGTAACTACATTTATGACTATGACATAGGACTCATAGCGAAAAAAATAAAAATATAGAGTAATATCTGGTATGTTTATTTTCATAAATAATGCTGGCAGTCTTTTATTAATAACAGGTTGAAATCACAAATCAATACCTAATAACTTCATTTTCCACAAGGGTGAACATTACACCTAGTATTATGAGATATATATTGATCACCAGATTATAGATGTAACTTCTAGACAAAAACAAATAACTATTTCGTAGTTTAAACAAGATTCAAATAGCCTATTACAAACTACATTTTCTTTATGAGTGATATCGCCTGCTACAACCAGGTTTAATATCCTAAAATTGGAAGTTGGGAAATTGGCTGTGAGAAGACAGTTTTGTAATTGTCATTTTTGAATTCCGTAAGTTGAAAACGGTTGTAATAGGTTAGAATTAGGTTAAACATTTTTCCTCAAATTTAAATAATTAAAATTTTTTATTTATTCTGTAAATTTTAACATTTTCACATGAAAACATATTTCATGTCAAATTATAAAAATTTAGGTCCAAATATTATACAATTAATTTACGATACATTTATTTCACAAAAAAAATATGTATTTTGGTTGAAAATCGTAACTGAAGGCAGATTTATAAAATAACCTACTATCCAAATACAGAAATCCATCCTTTTTACGAACAAGGTGTAATTTAATGGGGTTTAAATAACAATTTCATACATCAGTGAATGGAGTTACCAAGATCAAGTTCGACCAAACAAGATATATTGTTAAATTATACTCGGATTTACAAAAAACACCAGCATATCACTTTCAGTACTATTCATAAAAATTTTCAAAATGGTTGAAGTAACAATGAAATCTTGCCGTTCTCAGTGTCACATAACCCTTTACTTTATATAAAGAGTATCGCTTTACAACGGTTGAGTTAAGACCACACCAAAGTCAATTGTACTGAGAACTCAATAACAGTAATGTTACTTTACGAGAAAATGAATTTTATGTTCGTGATCTACTCATCAACATATAAATGAATTGACTAGTTGACTGAATTTACGACATTGCAAGCAATATTATTAGCAACAGCTCAGGAACTGTAGCTTTGAATTCACACTTTAAGTCTGATAGACAATGACAGTATCAACTATAATAACATATGGCAATAGAGTTCAAGAATATAATAAAATTGAAAGCAGGCAATTTGTATGAGCTTGATGCTCCACCAGCAGACAATAGAATTGAACACATTCGTCATTCAGGAACAATTCTTTTTCGACCAATATAAAAGTAGGATGACTAATCATTTTTCACCGAAGAACTCCACAATCACAATAAATACAGGTATTTTTATAGTCCCGCTACATTTTCAGTTTTGTTATGAAGTCAATTGTCAATGTTTCTTGGCAAGTTTTTTTTTTATCAGTGTCTGGTTAGGGACCAACAAAATATATGATGTTGATAAATTCACCTTGCAAAAAGTTTATACTTTTTATTTTTTTATAAATAAAACCAATTTCTGTCACATACCTTGAGTAATAATAAGTCCATTAAAAGTAGCCAAAATAGGAGAATAAGCTGAATCCCCATCAAAAATGTAAAGATAATCCCATCCACATTCTGACGCAAATTCAAGGAAGCGTAAACGGAGAGAACTATTTCTGTAAAAATCGAAATTACTGTTAACAACTTCACGGCTATATATAAAAGGTTAACGCATGTAATAAATGTACAAAAACATAAGAATAGAGTGCACTGAAATAAATTGTCTAAAAACAACGGTGGAATGAAAATCAGAGCATATTCAAGAATAGCTCATCTTACTTTTATCCACGAATCAAGATAATTCGAATCAATATTAAAAAAAATCATAAAGGTAAGATGAGTACTAGCAGTCAATGATTTACAAAAAAGCATAAAAATTTCAACTATAAAGTCTGTGATGTTACTCAAATAATGTCCCACAATAGCTATTTATCTGAAAATAATTAGGCCTAAACAATATTTGAAATTACTGTATTTGCTAAGATTTTTCAGGATCAAAATTACTGTGGGTCAGGAAATTTGCCCTTTTCACAAAAAAAAAATAGAAAAAAACAGATTCATTTAGAATATTTGAAGTTTACCGGTAAATTAATTACATGGTAAAATAAATGTTGAAATATATATGATATATTATGGCCTCATTTAATATAGCTTATGTGAGGCACAAAATATCCCTAAATATTTATACAGAACTACTACTATATTGATGATCTTCAACAACTGTTTTTGAAACTTCTAAATTTCTTTTACGCCCATCTTTTTTTAAATAGTTCACGATCTTTGAAAATGAAAATTATTTATTTTATTACACCAAAAAGCATAACTAAATAAATTATATCTGACAAAATCCAAATCCACTTTGGCATATAATATATGAAATTTTTAGGGATGTAAGTTTCGGTCATTTTATTTCTGATGTTCATGCCCATCATAATGGAACTTGGGACTATCTTTTTTCAGTATTTTGGGGTTTTGAGCCATGCTCTACAAGGTGGTGGTCTTGAAATTCTGAATTTCATAATAATAAAAATTTTAGCTGGACTTAGGCCCATTCTGTTCTCAACTTCTACAGTCCTAAGTCCAGCTAAAATTTTTATTATTGAGAAATTCAGGATTTCAAGACCACCACCCTGTAGAGCATGGCTCAAAACCCCAAAATTTCGAAAAAAGTGAATTTTGCAAAAACGTGACTTAGGCCCCTTCTTGTCTCATCCGGCGATATATAAAAATTAAAAACAATACTCATAATGCAAAATTACCTTGCTGATGCTGGTTGTATTAACCATGAACATTCACGAGCTTTGGCATAGTCTTTAAATCCATCAGAAACAAAACCTGAAAAACAAAACAAAAAAGTTTCTTACATTTTCATGGAAAGATCTATAAAATTATACAACATAAAATACAGAAACACAGTAAAATGATACAATACTGGGTTCCTAAAGTCCTGTTACAATCAAAATTTTGCTATGAAGCAAGTTCTCAAACTATCTGACCAGGTTTGTTTTCTTTTAATTGTTATTTATTCAAGTTTTTTAGTTCATATAATAGGCCTACACTTTTATATGGCCATCATTAGTTGCACAAAGCATATCATTAAAATTTTTTCACCTAGTTTAATACTTTATGACTTTATGAACACCCTGTATATTAATGTGACAATATGTATTTGAATCCTCAACAATATTATAGTTTTAATTTCAAGTCAGATAAAATCATAATTATAAGCATAAGCTGTCTGCCTTAAATCATGACAGGCATCTTTATCAGATAACTGAACACAGGCGAAAAAAATTTGTATGATGTAGACATGTATTTCCCAACCTATGGTTCGCGACTGGGCCACCTGAGAATCTTCTTTGGTAGCCTGTTTTTTCAGTCATAAATATTTTAAATTTTATTGTTTATTTTATATTTGGGTGTTGTAGTATGGCTCAATCATAATTTTATACAGGAAATATATCAGCATTAAAAATTGACAGCATCTATTTTGCTTAAGTGAACTCGCCGCGATTTCAAAAACTTGCTAATGGCCAAAAAGCGCAACTTACTAAATAGCAACGACTGTATTGTAGTGGCCGTTTAATTTGGAGGCAATAAAAGCACTACTACCTTGCGTCGTGAGATTTTACAAAATAATTTTTTTTTTTAATTTAGGTTGCTTGAAAAAAGGTTAGGAACCACTGCTGTAGACCATATGCAATTGATTTTTACCAGAATCAGCGTTCAATAGGAGTCTTCCTCCACATTCATCACAATATTCTCCCTTAAAACCCTGATCACATTCACATGTTCCTCCCTGAACACATTTGCCGTTGACACAATCTTTAAAGATTTCATCATCTTTTACTGAAAAGAAGAAAATAACAAAGAATTATCAACTGTAAGGAGCATATAAATGTGGCAATCACTAAGAATATTTTCGTTATTTATGACATTTATTTTTTTTGTTTAATTCACTTAGTCAAAATTATTTTTTTTTCTACAAAATCAGACCCTGCACATTGAAATTAACAACAAAGGAATTGAAAACTGAAGCATTTCGAAATGTTTTAAATACAGATACAATACCATATAAAAATATTTTCATACAACGCCAATTCACGCTATTCGATGCTACAAGTAGCTACTGATATATAAGGATCTAGGCCTACTCTAACATCCACTAAAGAATTTTATTTTAATTTTGCATTGCCTACTGAGGGTGGTTGAGCATGGGATTTTCACCAGAGATGTGTTACCAGCTATGCCTACAGGGTCGATTAGAACACTTCAACTGCTAGGCCACGTCTGTCAGATGTGAACGCTGAATAGTTTATCAAAACAACGATCTTCTTTTAACATAGTAACAACAAAAAGGCTTACCATCCGTGCTTGTGTTGGTAAGAGGTGCTGCAGTACTTTCTAGATCTATTGGCGGTCGACACTTGCAACTGATAATTCCAATCTGAGACAGAAGGACTATGCAGCATAAAAGAATACAGTGGTAGGTTCTTATATTTCCATCTGTGTACATGGTCCAGATAAGAGGTGGATTGTGTGAATATAATGAATAATAATCCGATATCCAAAAGTCAATGCTTAACAAAAATCATGTCATTCAGCACACTGTATGGAAAAGATTGTTTTAATAAATACAAGTTTCTGAATATGGGATTGTTTTGTTTATGTATATATAGATATTAAAAATGATTTTACTAGCACGCTGACCTGTACATACCAATATCTGTTCTGAAAATCTAAATAACTCAAGATGGGTGAGCATTTATACCTATTGAATATTGTTCAAATATATTATGATGAATTTGAGCTCAGTAAATGTGACCGGGATCAATACTTCAATAATTGAAATCATTATTAATATTGTATCTCAGTTTAAAAATTTAATGAAGTGTTCAAATTGTAAGCCAGTAATATAATAAACCTGACAAGTATCCAAGCATGGCAGACATTCCGATTTGTCACTTATTTAATGTCATATATATTTTCAATTTTCGAATCGATTCAAAATTTTCTAATTTGAATAGATGCTGAGATGTGAACAATTTATTTTGATGCGAATTTATACAGATAATGTGCATGCATATTTTAGGGATTTCAGGAATAAAATTCAGTCTCAATATTCAAAATTACCAAACTAATGATATTGTAATATTTAACATTCAGACATTGAACGAACATTGAAAGATACCTAATTTGCAATGGCTAAAGTGCCGCAGCAGTTCCTTCTGAAATCGAACGTATGAACGACAATAACAATGACATATAAAACAGATATATAGGTTGAACATAATTAAATCATAGATTTTATGGTTGTGAAAAGTGACATGTTTGTGAAGGGAATTATCCAGCACCCAACAACTGAATAAATAATAATCCCCAGAAGTACATGCTAAAAACAAATGATCGTTTTACTTTGTTTGCGCAATACAGTAATAACTATTAAACTACTCTTTTATTTATCTGTCTATTGCATTAACAAAATATTTTAACGAAATAACAGGAAAATACCGAAATAATCTATTTTCGTTATTAGTAGGAACTGAATAATATGATAATGAAAAAAGTAATTGGTATCCTTGTAATACTGTAATAAACGTAATCTCGGCTATCAGATCAACAAAGCGTCTGTGACTGGTCTTTGGTATTGGCAAAGCACTGGTAAGCTCAGAAGTTACGGGTACGGTACCTCTTCTGCTCTACGTATACCTGTACTGATATACGGTAACAGTACCGCTATAGAACATAAAAGTTTTTTACCGAAACTGTATGAATTAAAGGTTTCTCTGATCTCCATAACTTAGGCTGTCATGCACGCACATTGTATTGTTTCTGTTCTTTTACTGAGAAATTAGAATAGGTGAACGAGTCCTATACAGGGTACCGGTACCTGCCGTATTATATATACGCTTTGCCGTAAACCCGTTACCTGACAGCCTGACAGACAGTCTGGCAAATTTTTTTTTTGTTTATTAAATATATGACGTCATGAATATTACCAATTTATTGTGGCGATAGGAGTCGGGCATAGTGAATGATACCGTAACTCGGCACGCATCGACTTTCCACAAGTGTAGTAATTTATTTCGACTACATAATAAGAAAAAAAAACAGACGATAAAATAACTGATGGAATTAAACAAAAATTTGATCACGGAATCACGAGAGCAAACAAAGTTTTATTAATTCCCACCCACAACCACAACCACAGAGATATAGTAAAAAAAATATTTGCGTGATGTAATGTAAAAATAATTACCAATTATGGGGCAACAAAACATAAATTAATAACTAGGTTCACCTGAGAAACCAGACTTTTTGAACCATAATTTTATTTTAACAACAAGCGCAAATGCAATAAAATGTCTAACAACCGGAACGCTGGTTGGTTATTGGTTGTTTCAGGGCATACCTTGGTATATTTTTGTTCATACTACCATTGATGACTTAACATATCAATGATACTACCACGTAACGATTGCTAGTGTTGAACAGCGTTTTGTCTTGTCCAACACCTGTTATAGCTAAAGGCCGCAGTCTTACCTCATCTGACTTGGGATTGATAGGTTAATATTACATATTATTATATCATACGGAAGGTCCGTAACTGGACAAGATGGCATACTAGTTTATTAAAAGTTTTTTTTGTTTATAAGACCATGTACCAGTAACGCACTGTGTCGGGATGACCAGGTTAATATTGCAGATCCTAATCTCACTGGTGAGGACCATGCGTGTCGATCGACTCTTCGACGAAAATTGGACAAGATGGCATACTTATTCCTTTAAACAAATAGTTACCAGTAAGGTTAGGACTGAATTCAAAATTTCGCGCATTTTCATCTTGTAATGTTGAAGCGTAAACAAATTCAAGGTTGTTATCATCGAACCGGCTTTTTAATTTTATTGGCGAAGTAGCCACAAAATACGAAAAAACACCTTCAGCTTCAACTTATATACTATATTGCAGTGGTTCTTAATCTTTGTGAGCCTGCCGAACCCCTGCGCTATTCTGCAAGCTCCCGCCGAACCCCATTGTACTGAACGGTTGAAATTAGAAGCCAAACCGTAACGTCATAAAGCGGAAGCTAATTCTTGCAAGGTTATAGAATATGAACATTGTGATGAAACCTTAGATATCAATAACCATGTGGGAATAACCATTGTTTTGTCACAATGGCGTTGGCGGCAGAATGAGCAGATGGTTTTTGTTGTATAAGTTATGCGGGTGAACAGGCGAAAACTGATAAAAAATAACTTTGAAAATCCGAAAGATGATAATATACCCCATAAACGTTGGTAGTTCAAGCAATTTGTTCTCAAACTTTAAACTGCGCTGAAATGCGAATAAAATCGTTTGCCAATTGTTTTATTTTACAGAAATAGAGATAGGATTAATTCGGCGCCATATCGAGGTTGTCCTGAATGGATCATAATAATTTCGGGTAAAGCTCTGCGATAAACTATTCCTTGTCGCAAATTTATCACCTAGTGAAATTCAAACACGCTATGATTTTGCATTCATTCATGTACAATTACTGCCTATCTTCGATTTATCCGTAAAATTGAGTTAAATTTTATTAGTACGGTAGAATATGAATAAGGGTAACACCAATTAATTGTTCCATTCAATTGTTCAAGTCATTAGTAATTAGTCATCATGAACTATAGTTATTTTTGCATAATTAGTATGCAGGGTGATAAAAAAGTCTCATAATATGCAACTGTTTCAGAGCACCTTCGTCGAACCCCTGGAACAGCTCCACCGAACCCCAGGGGTTCGATCGAACCCAGTTTAAGAACCACTGCTATATTGGATAGTTTTGGGTATTTCTGAAATTATTTTTCTATCTTCTCTGGTAACGTGGATCAGCATTTCTTTCTTCATCACATGTAGTACATTTTTACGGGGTGTTTCTAAATTTGAGAGGTGGTAGAAATCATAGAATTTAGAGAGTTTTGTGTTTGCCCAGTTGCTAAAAGCCAAAAACCTTCAAATAAAGCATGTAGCATTTGTGTTTTCCTGCAAGTTGAAAAGGGGTATTTCAATTTCGAAAGTATTTGAACAACACTAAATTTCGATATCTTATGAGTATGGATTGAAGACAGAGAAAAATCGAAATTATGCCACCAAATATTGAATATGATAGTTGAAATATTGCAGAAATCAAAAGGTTTCAAAGTTTATAACGAAACTATAGTACGATTTGAGTTCAACTTACCCAGTAAATAAGAATGCGAGAAATAGCGGCAATGACACATTTTCGTTAAAATCAGTTGATTCAAATCTGTCATAACCAGTGATGGGATTTATGGGTTCGCGCGAATCCGTTATTGGATCCTGTGGTAGTCAGCAAACCAGTTCCTGTTTTAGACGTCACAGCAACGCAGTAGATAGCTAAAGCGCGCCGTAGCAGAACATCAGCGCTATATTTGGCGTTTCGAAAGTAATGTATTAGATATATGTGAGGCTCACATATATATATTTTCTGAAAAAGGGGGAAACCTGTTGTGTTGTGACATCATCTTTTTTTTGGGGGTTTAAAAATTGAGACTAAATTCACATAATTAACATTGTAACTATTTCTGAACTCGCTGTATTGCTGCTCAACTTCGACGCAAAGTGGTTGTCCGTTTTGTTCTCTCACCCACAGGCTCTTTTATTTATCACACTTCAACCTGGCTTGATGTATTACGATATCTCTTCGCTTTCTTTTCGCTACAGATGGAGATCGTATTTACCTAACTGATTTATATCAACGTCCCTCTTGGCAACTCTGCCAGGGTAAATTACTTCGAAAAATGTTGCGTCGGTTCGAAGCACGTGCTTTCGTGCCCGACATGTCAGAAATAGCTTATTGAGAAGATGAATATGAAATTTAAAATTATCCGTACTGACTCAAAACAAGTGGATGTAGTTATAACGCTTTTCAGTGCAATAGACCCATTTGATTATTATGCTTGTGATGCAATCCTTCAAATGAAAAAGACATCTGTAAACCACGATTTTAACGAGAAATGCTGTATAGGCGGGTCGTGGGATAGGCACAGCCATCGGAAAAGATACCCACCTGAACCGTTTCGAGGCCAGGGTAACTTCAACACTGATCAGTAATAGCGAACTTAATATATATATGATAGTGTTACTCTTTCGAGAGCCCATGAACCACATGGAATATGCAGAAAGATGTTCGCAGGTCCGTCATCAAAGCATGCATAAGATAAAAATGAAGTTGCGGATTGGAACTACCCGCCGCCATAGTAGTCTAGAATCTAGATCAGTGGTTCCCTTTTTTTCAAGCGACCCAAGTTTTTGAAAAAAATAAATTCTGTAATATCTCGCGACCCGAAGAAATGTACAAATACTAAACGGTATCTGGTTCCTGTAAGGCCGAAAAATAAAATTACCCCAGCAACCCCCGCGGTCGCGGGAGGGCCCACAGCGCAAAGGGGCCCAAGCGGTTAGAATTTAGAAATGTAAGCCGCAAAACCAAAAGTTGCATTGCAAAACCAGTAATGCACATCTAACATTGATGTTAGTTCTGCTCAAATCGTTTTGTTACGTAACAATGCCAGGGAGTCGTCGATTTTCGATGTCTTGTGGTTTGATCGCACCGGCAAAATTACGAAGGCTGTCAGAATGATGTCGAAAGCAAAACCTCTCAGTGGCGCACAGAAACGCAGAAAAGGGGCTGAAGAAAAGCACGTATGGAAAAAACTAAAGTAACCAAGATAAACGGAAAATTTCTGTTACCATTGCCTTTTAATAGCGACATGTTATGCTTTTTGACGAAATAAAAGAGCGTTGTTTTAGCTTATGCCCGAGGGTTTTTAGGGTCATTTCCATGAAATATTTTTGCGGGAGGGGGGGGGGGGGGGCACGAGTCTTGCTACGCCACTGGTTTTTACATAACATTTATTTTTCTATGAGTTACTTTGATGTAAGTAAGTTTGCACTTGTTTGCTAAGAGCGAGTTTTTAAATTCGTAGCGTGGCTTTACTTGAGAAAAATAGATGCTGTCAAGTTTTTACACTGTTATACCTTCCACACAGGGCTGAATCAACCATTGAGTAAAATAAGCACATGCTAAGGCTAAGGGCACCCAGAAAAAAGGAAGCATCACAGAAATTTCATAGTCGAAATTTTAATTGCACTTTAGTGGTTAATGAAATAACTAAAGTTGGTCTGACGACTCAAACCTTAATATTGTGCCCGTTAAAATAAATTTGGCTTTTTTTCAATCATCATATTAAACCTGTAGGCATGAGAACCATTTATAAATCATAATTTGGCCTTCAATCAGTAATGAATCCTGAAACTTCATATTTAATTTCAGACAACATGGAACACTGGCTTCATTATTATACTGTATATTTTTATTATTACTTCTCATAGACTTATTGTCAGGGCACCAAATTCTTAAGCGGTTAGGGACCCTAAAACTGCAAAAGGCATGATCCGGCCCTGGACAAGATATACTGAACTTTTGAATTCGGAACCTTCATTACCGTAGCGTCCACCATACAAGTATGAATACTGATACGTTCATACCAATAAAGTGAGAGCATTGAAGAGATCCAAGTGCAGTTGGTGTTTAGTAAGAAGCTTAGTTAACGCTTTTTAACAGTAATGCTGTTAAAAACGCCAGTCGGTCAACGTTTAATTAGCATTTCACCGTAACTTCAATACTGTTAATATTCGATTCCACCGGCGGTATTAGTTTGGGTTACAACGCGAGACTAACTCTATTTATTCTTGCTCTATTATGCTGAAGGATTTGTAGGCGTATAATATTACAACGATGCTGTAGTCAGGGCTGATTTGACCATTAAGAAAAAGAAGCAAGTGCTATCATCCTAAATGTTTATAGGCATCAGAACTATTTTTAAAAATATGTAATATAATCATATTTTGGGTTTCGATCAATAATGAATACTGAAACTTACTTTCAATTTCAAAACACGGAATACTACACAAGTTACATTCCTATTATTATATTTTATAAATAGGGCACCAAAGTCTTGCGTGCTTAGTGCCTATAAAGTCCATGATCCGGTATTGCTCCAACATACAATTGGGCAACATTTTAATATCAAATCAAATGAAAAAAATTTAATACGAATCGAGATAATTAAATAAAAAAAAGTTGAAAAACAAGCGACCCAAGAGGATTTTTAGGCAACCAGTTTTGGGTCGCGACCGATAGGTTGGGAACACTGGTCTAGATTGCTTAATATAAAAAAGCCGAGTATAGTACCGGGAATGTCGGGAGTCGCTTTCTCATATTAACTAGAGTGACACCATTATATCGGTCACTTAAATGTGTTAAAAGGCCGTCTTCGACTTTATTATTTTATTTATTATTCACGACTTTTGCTAGTATCCTGTTTGACTCTTTCTCACTATGATTTAATTTTTAGACTCACTCCCCCAGGGTGATGCTGCTCGATAACCTTCACTGGTTTATCGCGCCTCCCTTCACACTGAAAGTATTGTTTTATATGTGCTTCGTAGTTATTTTTGTCTATTGTGTACTTTTGGTATGTGATAAAATAAACTACTGACTGACTGGCTGTACCCTGAAAGTATACCAAACTACAGAGTTGAAAAATGCTTTCACCCACCTCAAAAAAGTATTGCAAGCCAGAGACAACTTGTACAAATTAGTTTGGGCTAACATCATATGACTATAGTCTATAAAATGCCAACGCCGCATGATTAAGCGGTCTTATCGATTTCCCTAAAACTTTCCCATTGAAATATATATCCAATCGTGTACTCGTATCATGAAACAGTATGTTCCCCAGCTTTACATGTTAGAGGGTGTGTTTCGAAATTGGGGGAGTGGGGCAAATATTTTGCTATTAGCAATAAAACTATTTGTAACTTATAATTTATTTTTATGTATTTGACAAACGATCTACATTAGGGGGTTCCCAAGGTTGATTGACCGTGGGCCCAAATCCGAAGCAGAAGAATATTCTCAGACGAGAAAAAGGGAGCGGCAATAAGGGTGAGTAGTGAAATCTCGACCAAAGCTTTCATGGTGTCGCTGTGAGATCAAATCGAAAAAAGGTGTTCGAATTACCCCACATGTCCGTTCTCCCCCACCCTACTGAATGAATTGTTACGAAATACACGTGCTTGAACTGTGATAACGATGTAACAATTGGCGGTATCTAAAACGCCAAAAAGGTAAACATATGATGTGTTGAACGTATTAGTATTTATTCAAGTTTAACCGTTAAACTATCTCACTCAAGTTCTGCGGGTCATTTCAAATCGTTACGCGGGCCGTAATTGGCCCACAGACCGCGGTATGTGATTCTCTTATCTACACTGATTCATATGTCATTATTGTCATATTCTATAATATATATTTATATACAATTATACTCAAGTTAGGAATTACAGTGTGGAATCGCACCTCAAAATTAGGGGGGTTAGAAGTTTAGAGGGGTACAGAGAAATCACTGTCTTGAAATACGCTACCGATACTAACAATTATATTCGACGTTTGTTCTATTATGGTTTTGCCCATGACGTCACTAACATAATATCACGATTTAATTCACCGTAACGATCCGAAGAATTAATTCTATGATATGTTTATTTCCGCGTAATTATAAGCGAATGTCGTCGTATCCCTGAATTCTACGCGTTTTTAAATTTACCCTGATTTAAAAAAATTTAAAATTAAATTTACCCCGATTTCAAATGCCAATAAATTCAATATACACCGAGTACTCGATGTTTTATGAAAGAAAGTATATTTGTACTTCCTAAGGTGAAACAATTATCAAACTAACAGTCATTAGAAATTTGCGCAATTCGACATTAATATTTTAGTGATTTAGTCCATAGAATTTGTTTTTAACGGATCAGAAAGACAAGTCTGGAATCCAGCCCAAATGCCTTCATACGGAAATATGACAAGTTTGGTTGACTCAACGACTAACATACCGGTTGACTTGAGCGCTTGATATAGCATGGAGCTTCGTAACATCCGCTACCAGAAAATACGAGGGAAGCCCCCTATATTTCCTGTACGTACTCGCTGTTTGTAACCCTAACAAGTCCGTCGTCAAAATTTACCGAGAACGAATGTTTTATTCCTCAAAAAAATTAAGGCGAGATTAACATAATGTGTAACAACGGTGAAACAATGAAACATTGTTTTGCGTGGGTCCGTACGTATTCTGGGCCAATGAAGGGCATTTTAGAGTATATTTCCTCATTGTTTTACTCTACTGGACTATATTCTAGCCAAGTTAACTATTCCTTTGCATGCGATAGTGTTATAAACTGAAGCCCATCTGTACAAACGATTCCTTTAGAAACCGTCTATCATTATTAACCCGTTGCAATAATTCGTTACATCAATCATGGCGTCACAGCGCTCAAAATTATAAAGGAGAGTAACTGTTAACCCGCGGGAAAAATGATCAGCTGACTGCATAGCAAATAGCACGTTCGGAGACCAGTCTTCGTTTTGCTCTGTCTTTTGGATTTATATGTTTTCAAAAAGCTTTTTTTCGTTTTTATTTGCGACGATTAAAATATTGGCAAGTTTTTGTTTATTAATTATATTATACAGTACAATTTAGAGTATCAGCATTGCTGTTGAATGCATAGATGAGGATTTATACATATGATAAATACGCCGCGTCAGTATCTGCATGCTAACATACAGACATATCTGTACTGTACCGGTATGTGTTCATGGTGCGAATTCCAAAATATGCCTTTCATACTATAAGTTTAGTTGTGCTTTACTAATGTCACATTTTACTTTACAGTCTATGTTTTCACTTATAAATCAGTTGAAGGTCATTAACTTCAGAACTTGGTATCAAATTAAGGTGCGTGTTATAGGATTTTATAATTTTATAGTGATATATTTGTATACATAGATATAAGTTATAAATAAAGAGAAAGAAATACCTCATATCATTATTATTTTATCTCTCAAATTTGTTTTGATTTTTCGATGTTCACAATATTACATGCTAGCATTTACTGATTTATTTTCACATGGTTCCAGATATCAAAGATATCATCTTACTGCCGTACCGTACTCTCTCACTTGGCTATATCAAGAATTGCGTTTATGACAGTAGGCCATACTGGTATAACGATATTATTCAAATACTTTTCCATCAATATCCAGATACCTCCGACATCTTTCTATTAACTCTCAAACCCCTAAAATGTTTTTGTAATTTTCTTTGTACGCTACTGATATCTTCGTATATTTTTGTTCAGAGGAATTCATTAAATATGGCTGATCGGAAGTCTGGAAGAATGATATGGGTTGACTTAGAAATGACTGGTTTAGATGTGGATAAAGATAAGATCATTGAAATAGCTTGCATTGTCACAGATGCTCATTTGAAAATCATCGCAGAAGGTCCTAATTTAATAATACATGAAAGTGAGGAATTGTTATCTGGCATGGATGAATGGTGTCAACAACACCATGGAGCTTCTGGTCTGACGGAAGCCGTACGCAAAAGTAAAATTTCTACAAAAGATGCTGAAGACGAAGTGCTGCAATTTGTGAAGAAATATACTTCTCCCAAAGTGTGCCCTCTCGCTGGAAATTCTGTACATGCTGATAAAAAGTTTTTAGATAAATATATGCCTATGTTTTCAAATCATTTGCATTATAGAATAATTGATGTTAGTACTGTAAAAGAATTATGTAAACGTTGGTATCCAGGCATCTATAATAAAGCACCAACAAAACAAGGATCCCATAGGGCCATGGGTGATATTATGGAGAGTATAAAGGAGCTCAAGTATTATAAGGACAATATGTTCATCCAAACTTGATTTTCAATGGGCTCCAACCAGTGGTTTCCCAAACTTTTTAGAGTTTGGACCCACTATTTATTACCACAGCTTATGGCGACACATCTCGTGTTTTTTCTACAATGTAATTTTATTTTTGATAAATGAACACAAAAGACCTCTTCCAAAAAAAATATAGTGTTATTCTTCCAAGGAAAATAAATCTAAATCCTGTCTAAATTTTGGGGAAACACGGTAAGAAGTGCCGTACAGTGTGCAAAACTGCTATGCGCAAAAAAGCCACATGGTCATTCTTCGTGTAGCAAATTTCTGTTATTTTGAAAAAACCGTAAAAAGGAAACTTTCACAGATTAGGATTTAAATTCAATTTAATTCCTTTTTTTTTATTAAATTACGTATTCGAGTCGCCACCGATCCTAATAACCAGTATAATTTTTCAAAGCTTTCTACATCTTTTCGCGACCCACTAAGATTCCTTTTGCGACCCACCAGTGGGTCGCGACCTATAGTTTGGGAACCGCTGCTCCAGACTATTTTACAACATCTTTTTCGTAGTATTTGTTTTCCTATCATGAATATGATACCTCATATATCAGTTTTGGTACATTGTTGTTATACAATTTTTATAATCTCACAATTCATATTCTGTAATAATGATTAGGACCATGTATCAAGTTGTATTGTGTGCTAGAATGTTTCTGAAACCTAATTTCAGCAAGTTGCAATTAGAACTATTCTAAGTTAATACTAAGTACTAATATTAAATATGAACGGATGAAATATTGTATCTCCACTTTTTATTCATGTTTATATCGATTTTCACCAATCACAAAAATAGCAGTCTGGCTAAAATCTTCAATACATTTTGCAGTTGGAATTTGTACTTGTGTGGCTAAAATCTCAGTAGGAGTGAATAATAATTTTATTACATGTTTAGTATCTCACTTCATCTTAGCATCAGTGTGGTGAATTATTTTGTTTACCATATTTTAAAAAAGTTTGTCAGATATTGGCATAAATTTTTCGTTTATGTTGATAGGCTGTAAAGTCTGGTTGATTACAGTTATTTATGTTCAAATCTTAAATTTGGTTTTGAATGATTTTAACAAATAGATTTATTTTGAAGTCAAATTCTTCACACATATGATTTATAAATAGTCTTTCATATTAACCTTGTCGTGATGGAATTTGATAATCTTCCTAAAAATAAAATCGTAGGTAAAACACTGTCTTTGCAACTGAGAGTTGCCAATAATTCTGTAATTTTTTTTCTAATTGTTTCAGAAATTATTATCATCATATACAATAGTAACTATATTTACTTGACTTTGTACAAGATTTGATATTAGTTGTCAAGAGTACTTCAGGTGCAAAAATGGATGTTGTAAACCAGGCTGGACCTCGGGTAAACAAAGTTATAGATGGCATCGCAGAAAGAGTTCAAAAACTATTTCAGGATTTCTTGGAAGAGTAAGTCCAAAGATGTATATTGTTTTACATTTGGAATCCAATACTAATAAAGCCTCAAATAGTCGTTTGCTGTAGTGTACAATGTTTACAGTCCGGCAAATTAGTGGCATAGCATACTCGTAGTTTGAATTATGATTTTCAGTTGCTTTGGCAGTTGTCTAAATATAAAGAAACTAATTTTTTATGACTCAAAATTATTTCAGGTTTTCAGTTGAAGGCGAAGTGAAATATCTTGCACCTGCCGAAGCTTTGATGAGACCTGAACGCAACACCCTTACTGTAAGCTTTACAGATATCGAAATCTACAATCAACAACTAGCGACTACTATTCAAGAGGAATATTACAGGTAAACTTTACGAGATTTCTTCCATTCACATTTTATTATACAATGGTTATTCCACACTGATCATTCCCTACTTTGTTTCAGCTTGTATGCTCTCACTCTCTTGCTTGTTTTGTCATATATTTGAAAGTTCTCTTTTTTTTTTGCAATTAAAATTTAAAATCGTGTTTGCTCTCATTACTTGTATTATATTACTTTCCAGAATGTACCCTTTCCTTTGTCGAGGTGTAAGAAGTTTTGCAAGAGAACATTATCGTGGCATCCCAGCCAGTAAAGATTTGTATGTTGCATTTGAAGAAGTTCCAACAAGACAAAAGTAAGCATTTTTGTTGTATTCTCTTGAAACCAATGTTCAATATTTTGCAGGTTATTCTATCTTGTAATTCGTGATTGAGTTTTCTATTATGTTTATGAAATAAAGTCTTCCATCAATACAGAATAAGAGAGCTACGGAATGGGAGAATTGGAACATTGTTGAGAATTAGTGGTCAAGTTGTCCGAACTCATCCTGTCCATCCTGAATTGGTCAGTGGAACATTCACATGCTTGGATTGCCAAACTATTATAAAAGATGTGGAACAACAATTCAAATATGTGCAGGTATGTCTATTGTCTAAAAAGCTGACATCGGCAAACCATGGCTCGTGGGCCAAATCTGGCCCGCCAGGTGAATCAATCTGGCCTACTTGATTCTAGCATAAATTTCTGCTTTTAACATATTCTGCATGCACTACATACAGCAGTTGTTGTTAATTTTGTTCATATCGTACGCATTCTTGCCACTCTGCTCATAAGATATAACTTTTATCGTCACACTTACGTGCCTTGCCATTCTAGTTCGGGAAAATTTATGTTACCAGTTTCAAAAATCTTGCCCACTCCATTCTATAGAGCAGGGGTTCCCAAACTTTCTACCCTGGCAGACCGGTAAAATTAAATTAAATGTACTCGCGGACCGGCAAAAAATTGAAATGACCGGGATGGAAAAGAATAATAACATATGTTTGCGTAATGTAATGCAATGTCAGGCACTCAATATGCTTCTAGACGAAAAAGGTACGCTTAAAACATTTTACATGAAGAAAATCTATCAAATAAATCAAGACGTCGCAATATGACGGCAGAAGAGAAATTGCGTAATAAACCAACTCAACTTCATCTTCGGTAAAGAGATTGAGACGGCATAAAAATAACAAAACAACTAAATTTCTCGTAGCTTGGCAGACCGGCACCGGTCTGCGGACCGGCGGCTAGGTACCACTGCTATTGAGTGTAGGTTTTAATATTAAATGAAAGAAGAATGAACAGAATGCCTTACAACATTATTGTATCACTATCCATTACAGCCAACAGTCTGCAGAAACCCACAATGTGGTAATCGTTCAAAGTTTGTGCTTGATACAAACAAATCCAGATTTGTTGATTTTCAAAAAGTGAGAATACAAGAAACACAGTCTGAACTTCCAAGAGGATGCATTCCTAGAAGGTAAAATATGTTAATGGTTGGTATTTTACTAAATTGTTGTTTGGAGGTATTGTTGGGAATAGGTCACTTTATGGACCAATCAATTTCAACCAATCAATCAACTTTTAGTATGCGAGTTGGAAAATTTTTTTCAAATTTATTTCGCCTTTTTTAGCCAAATTTCCCACAATGCTTTGATGATTTTCAGTACTTTCAATGACGATAGGTTAAAATTTATCCTAAATGTTGATTCCAAATGGCTCAGCAAGTATTGACCACCCTGACACTGTCAATATCTCGTGAGGACTATTTTTCGAAAAATTTTACCAGAGATTGGTTTTAAACCCTGAGCTTAGTATAGTTTTTCCAACTGACAGGAATTTAGTTGACGAGACAAGTTATTTGTTAAGTATACATCCACAATATACGATATCTTGATTATATATTTATTCTCTCCAGTGTTGAAGTAGTTGTTCGTGCTGAAGCAGTTGAAATGGCTCAAGCTGGTGATAGATGCGATTTTATTGGAACGTTGATTGTTGTGCCAGACGTGGGACAACTTGCAACACCAGGGACAAGAGCTGAAACATCAACAAGAACCGGCGGTGACAGGGTAAGTTAATTACACAACATTGGTATTTTGAAGGGTTCTCTCGTATTATTTGTACCATGTTAGGGTGAAGCCATGATTTTATTCCGATTTTCCTTAGTTTAGTTCTATTATGAGTTTAGGGACTGTCTTTGTTAGCCAAGTGAATACACCCCCTGCCCATAGGCTTCCGTCCCTTTACACAACTTGATGTAAAGTAGGCGAACAAAAGCAGTTACCTCCATATGAGTACACATAGTTCTGGAGCTCCCAAATTCAATGCATACCACCTCACCCATGGTGTAGTAGATTGGGTAGGCGATGCCAAACTGGAATGATGATGGTCCTGTCACTGTCAGTATAAAGTAGCTCCTTGCACATCAGTGGTACTTGTTAGAGTGAATGGCATATAAACATGTGATAAAAAAATCATATTTGATGTTATAAATACATGGTTTTAGGATTAATAAGAATCGTTTTTTAAAAAATTATATTTTTGAAGTGTTAAAGACTCACTCAAGTCAGTATGACTTGAAATTCTTTCTTTCAATTTATCATGGAAACCTAATTGTATTTTCAATCGGATTAGCTAAATTTAAACTTGTTCAGTACACTTTTATGTGTTCCTTGTTGAACATGGTCCCATTACAGTGATACCTCGGTAGTCGAACATACTTTGTTCAGGATTGGTGTCGATGCTGACTACTGATTTGTTGGAGTACCGAAACATTACCATTACCATAAGAAATTATAGTTCATTCTCGCGCATTCCGAAATACCCAAAATATTTAGTCATGAAGATTGTGTACCATGGCTGATACTGTGACGGATTGCATATCTATTTCGTTTTGGCCTTCGTGTTCTTATATTTAAGCGTCGATCTCTTGTTGAATGGTCAAGTGGCAACGGGATGTGCGGTTAAGGTTACGTCATCTCACTTTACGCCAAGTTCAGGTGTTCAAGCATTGAATTTCTATTCAAGCACCACAGCATTTTTTAAGTAGAATTTTTCTATTCGTATCGATCGACTATTGAGGTATCACTTATAATCAATATTCCATATTTGAAGATACAATTATAGATTGTATTTTGAATAGAAGATTTTTTAGTTTCAATCATTTCTAATTAAAGATAAAACCAAACCTCGCATATTTATATTTATTGCAGAGTTTTGAAACAGAGGGAATCAGAGGTCTGAAAGCATTAGGTGTTCGCGACTTGAATTATCGTCAAGCTTTTCTTGCCTGTCATGTCACTGCTACCAATCCCACAGTAAGTAATGTCTGGTTTGAATATATTCCAATTTTTTCTAATCTTTGTCAAAATGTTACATATGATGTTTATAAATGTGTGGTATGGAGACGTGATTCTAAAAAAGAAAATAATTATTATTCCATAAGCATTCCATCCATTTTTATAACACGAAACTTCATGGAATTCAAATTTTGTCTCAACTAAATTTTTTACTCATGGCTAAATCAGAATTAGTATTGTGGTATGCATTCAGCATGTGTGTCTGACAGCAATGACTTAGCAGTTGAAGCGTAGACTTATCTGTGTTAGCAACGCAGATTACACACATTTAATTCAAATCCCATTCTCATCACCTGACCCAATAAATTATGGAGGCCGCGTAGATTCTGATTATTTCAAACAATAGTAGCACTAGCCCCTTGCATATCGTTAGACGAAAGTGACTGCCTGAGCCTCAGGATTACGACTGAAGTTGTGATTTTTGTTAAAATATCGATGAAATTAATATCTTAAAGACCCCGATTGTTACATTGTGCTCCTTTTTATTATATAAACGTTAACTCATCGGTTATAAATGAGCTGTCCTTCATTCATAGTTTTTCATATTAAGTTTTGAGCCTCCGGCCCAGTAACCAATTCTTAATCTGTAACTGACCCACCCAGAATAGTAATTGCCCACCCCTGCTCTAATGAATATATAGAAAGTCATGTAATTATCACTCATTGTCAATTACAGTTTGGTGGGAAAGAAATAAGATATGATGAACAAACAATCGAAACTATTAAGAATCAAATGACAGAATCGGAATGGGAAAAAATTTATCAAATGTCTTGTGATAAAAATCTCTACAATAATCTATGTCAAAGCTTGTTTCCAACTATTCATGGTAAGTAATAGATATATAAGGTTTATAAAGGCAGCTTCAATTTCAAATTTGTTGTGAAGTAAGTTATCAGTATATCTCAACCAGGTTTATTTTATTCTAAACTGTGTGTATGTAAGTTTTTTTACCTCATTCAATGCACCTTTAGGGTCCAGCAAACTATATGGTATCGATAAATTTCTGTTGCAATTCGAAAAATTTATGACTTTATGAACACAATGTATATCTTCTCCAACTCACATGGCATTATTTTTCGCATATAGTTATGAACAAAAAGATTGCTTAGAATTCTTCATTATGGCCTGGGTGAAGTGGAAAGAGCAGCCCTGCTTTTCAACGTCCGGCCACACTGAAGAAAGTGCTTGCCACGTTGTTGCTTCGAAGTCCAGCACAAACCTCTTCACATGTGCACCTGAAAACGAAAGGATGAGTAAGTTGTTGAGTACATTGAAGATGTGAATGTAGTCTATTTTCCGGCGCCGGGACATGAGGACAAAGACCAACAGAATCTGCTTAGAGCATCCACCGCTCCTGATGAAGGCATGAACGGAAAAAAGTTGGTAGAATGGCTCTTTAACCACATCGAATGTCCCATCCATGAACCAGGTGTTTGCTTTCGACAGAAGTGACAGCTGTTTCCTCGTTGAAAAGATTGTGTGACGTGCGTCGTTGACTATTGCATCGTCAATTAAAAAATCTTTGGGAATGTGTTGATGTTGCAGGCTCCTTTATTGTACTTGGGTATGACGGTCTGTTGTTTTGTCGCTTCATGTTGCATAATCTCTATAACTACTATAAATGCACAGAGTCAAGTAACTCACCTTTACTGCGCCAATCTGTAATCTACCTGCTGCGATCTCTTTGCGTGCCATTTTAGCCACAATCCCACAAGCTGTGTAGGGATTCTCTAACCCTCGTTCCCCCACCAATCTTTTCAGTTTTCCATGTTGTCACTCGCCGACCACAGGGCCATGTGAATGGGGCGCTTCCTTTCTGATGAAATCATCGTCCTTTTGCAGGATGTTTTCCGGGCAAACGTTCCCTTTCCGCCTTACGGAGCATCTCCAGGCAACTGCAAAATAAAATTGTTAGGTATTAGAAACGGGATGATAGAAAATGGAACACTGTGTAATTAATACGGACGTACCAGTTCCATTCGCGTTGATGCGATAAACTGCGTATGAGTATGCCACCCCTCTCGTAAAGATTCGCTTTACCTCTTTGGCTGATGGCGTCCTCGATGGTGAGAAGCACAACCGGTGTTAGCGAAATGATGTAATTTGCCGACGTTTCGAATTTCTATACAGAAAAACTTCATCAGGGCATGATATGGAAAGAACACAAGTTGATATGAGCAAGAAAGAGAAAAAAGGAAAAATATGAAAAAAATATCATGGCGTCAACCCTATTCTAAAAGGATGATGATAAGATGATATATATAAAAAACAAATTAGCGCAAGTTCAAACAAAAAGGGGACTATTTAAACAATGATTTATACACGGGCAGGAAAAGTGTGGTTTCTTTGTCATTCATCGAATTCTTCTCTTTATTTATGTGATAAGATTCGAGAAATAGTCTTCTCCTGTATTGAGTTTCTTTTTCTAGTATCCTGCTGTTTTCCCAGTCGATGTTATGGTTATTAGAAAGAGCGTGTTTCGAAAGGGCCGACTTGTCAATTTTCTTTTGTTTAATATCTCGTAGATTTTCATTGCTGCGAGTTTCCAGGTTTCTCCAATGTAGACTGAAGAACATTCGCTGCATGGGATTGCATATACAACTTCGTTTTTTTGTTTAGGGCATGGGCGGTCTTTGACGTTGGAGAGCAATTGGCCGATAGTGTTTTGGGGTTTAAAACTTACTCTGATTTTACCATCTTTCAAAATTCTTCGAATTTTTTTTTCACTTAGTCCTTGGACATACGGAATGGTGGTAGATGCGATTGGTTTGGGTTTATCAGGCAGTTTTTGGAGATTTACATCATTTCTGAACATTTTCGTTGGATATCCATTTTGTCGTAAAGTCTTCTTAATGAAATTTATTTCTTGTTTCTGCTTTGTTTCATCCCACATAAGGGTTTTGGCACGATTCATAAGAATACTAACCACTGAACGTTTATGGTTAAGCGGGTGGCTGGAATTTAAATTAAGATAGCGATTAGTATGGGTCTTTTTCCTAAATACATCAGTCGTCGATTCTCCATTTCCTTCTCTCTGTATCTGGACATCTAAGAAGGCTATTGTCCCATTTCTTCGACTCTTTGGCTCAGCAATTCTCTCGGATTAGTAGCCTCGATTGACGATACTCCTACTCAAACATAACCTCCTGTTTTTTTAATGTTCCCTCGTCATTGCCACATCTGAATTATTGAAACATTTGCGATGGAACCAATTTCGACAGACGTCACAGATTAGTCCCTCCTGATTCATGGAAACATTGTCGTCACATCTCTTGCACATATTTGGAGTTTCCATCTTGAAATTCTTGAGCAGTTTTTGTAGAGTTATTATATCGTTAATCGTACTCGTGTCAGTATAAAACTGTGATGAAAAAATTACCTCAGCTACTGAGTATTCACGTTTGTAAGGTGTCAGGCCGTCATTATTGCCGATCTGGCACCTTATCTAATCTCTGTGCATGGATATCACCGTTTTGTATACATTATCCGTTCTTCTGCCCAGTTTCTTTGCCAGGTGCAGCGACAGTGCCTATCTGTTCCTGGTTTTCTTCTGCAGCTTCATACAGCGACTGCTGTAGGCGAGTTTAGACTACTGCGACCATAGACTACTAAGCTCACCTTCATAAATAAATAAGTGTTACTGTGATGTATAAAGGTTTTATTATACTTAAAGGTGCTCATTCAAAACATTTAATAACAATGGACTTAAAAAATTTAAACGCACGCAGTCCTACAAGTCAACAGTCTTACTTCGCTAACGTTACTCCAATTTGTCTGTAGACTGTATTTGTATTCATACAACATGAGAAAAATAAGCCACTTACACAAATAAAAATGCTTTCTAGAGAACATTTATGTATTCTTCTCAACATTTGAGCACTAAAAATATCAAAAACGCATTTCTATAGACCTAAAACACCGCCTCAGGAAATGCGAAAAGACTGACAACTCACCAGGCCTCTCTGTAGTCGAGTTGTTTCTGGTGAGTTGTCCGTGTAGTCGAGTTGTCCGTCAGCCATTTTAATTAGATTCTTCTAGAAATAATACTTTATTAATAGAGCATTTATTTTAGGTTAAGTTAGATTAAATTTCTTTGGTTTATATGGGGGGTCTCGAGTTTGATCTTGGTCTGTCCCATAGTCAATCTTTCTCTTTACCCATCTATTTCTTATCAAGGTAATGATGAGGTGAAACGTGGGACTTTGCTGCAGTTGTTCGGAGGTGTTCCAAAAATTACCCTGGAGAAGACAACGCTTCGTGGAGATATTAATGTCTGCATTGTGAGTTCATTTACTATTCAATATAGTAGTTTATTTACTGTTAGCATGAATATTTAAATATATGAAATAAAAATGACTTGCCAAATTTGCAAAATAATGTCCTAAACAAATGATATACACTGCATGAACATTGTGTTCTATGGGTTTCAGTAGGTGAAGATGTTTTTATGCTTAAAACATTTTGTTGTGTATTTACGGTTTTTCATCAAAAACATTGGTATTAATTTAAAATTCTTCGGGGTATATGTAGATGTTTATGGTATACTACATCCATTGCCGGTGATATATATATAATATATATTTACCTATCGGTGTTTTTCTTAGCCTTTCTAGTATTCAATGGACTTTTAGGTGATAGCTTATGCCAACTTATGTTTTCTCGTCTTCTTTTATCAGGTTGGTGATCCCAGCACAGCTAAAAGTCAGTTTCTGAAACAAGTAGAAGAATTCTCACCTAGAGCTGTATACACAAGTGGTAAAGCATCAAGTGCTGCTGGTTTAACTGCTGCTGTTGTTCGAGACGAAGAAACGAATGAGTTTGTTATTGAAGCTGGTAAATAAAAAAATTTCCTTTTTTTTTTCTGAAGAAAATAAATTTACCAAGATTTCAGCCTATAGCCTTTTAAATCATACATCAAAATTTTGACTTTGACTGAGAAAAATGAGCAGTTCCCGAATACCTGAAGAAAAGGGTTTCATTATCATTGTATCAAAAGTATGAAAATCAGTGAAGTCATGCCAAACTCTGACTTTAACCCTGTTTGGGACTGCCTCTGATTGTTTTTGAATGTATCTGTTTTCCTGATATGTCATAGAAAAGTACGCTTCATTATTGGATATTCAAAAAATTTGTGTTAAAGGACCTGGACATTTTTTGCTTGATTGGTCAAATGTGGTGAACTTTCTATTTCCCTCACAGAATTCCCACTTCAAAAGATTTAAGTTGGAATTACTTTTCTAATTTATAACAACACAAAGTATTTACAGTTTGATGTGAGTTGTGGATCTCCATCATAAACAACATAAAATATGTGAAGAGTTCAGATGAAATAAACCAGTTTACATATATCACACACTAACAAAAAAATTTTTTCCAATTTATTTAGGTGCTCTCATGTTGGCTGACAATGGTGTTTGTTGTATTGATGAATTTGATAAAATGGATCCTCGTGATCAAGTTGCAATTCATGAAGCAATGGAACAACAAACTATATCTATAACCAAAGCTGGTGTCAAGGTAATTTTTTCAAGCATTATTCCAGTGGAATGAGTGATTGTAGTGATTCATTTGACGACAATTTTCTCTGTTTGTTGTAATTGAAAACTTTTCTGCCATAATACCTATCAATATGAGGTCAAATCAAGAAGATTTCATGCGCTACTCCTAATTATGGTTGAAAACTGTTTTTTGTATCCCAGATTTTGCTTCAATTTACCATGGGCTAGTAACTATTTATAAATTTTTGTTTTTGATCATTTTCAGGCAACTTTGAATGCAAGAACATCTATACTCGCTGCAGCAAATCCAATCGGAGGTCGATATGATCGTGCTAAATCACTTCGACAGAATATTGCACTAACTGCTCCAATCATGTCCAGATTTGATTTGTTCTTCATTCTTGTTGATGAATGCAATGAGGTATGATTTCTTTTTATTTGGCGCTTATTCACACCGTTCGTTCTAATATCACTACTGGTTTTTGAAAGGACGAGAATCTCCTTGGTTTGGCATTGTGTACCCAATTAACTACACCCTTTTCATATTAACGTAATTGTTGTATGTTTTTTTTCAATTTTAAATGAGCCCTCTTTTCTGGGGAACCTCAGATCTAGGCCAAAAGAATAATAATAGTTTCTCTACGTTGTATTTTCAATTCGTTTACATTTCGAATTGTTCAATAAGTTTTCTGTCATGATTCGCTATTGGTATTCAGGTTACAGATTATGCGATTGCACGACGTATTGTCGATCTACATGCAAGACTGGAACATTCTGTTGATCGGACATATTCACTTGAAGAAATGCAGAGATATCTGATATTTGCTAGAATGTTTAAACCCAAGGTATATGTATATACTGCATATAGGTAAAGTAGTATTTGAGATAGCAATTGCGCTAGTTTGGATATCAGGACAGAATAGGGTTTTCATATTTGTAGTGGGGAAATAAAATATGGCAAGATTGCTTGCTAACTCATCTGAAGATATATGGCTGCTTGGTGCAATTACTCGCCACCAGTTAATCAGTCATACTAAATATGTAAACACTGTTGGGAAGGAACTATATGATGGTATAATTATATGACAAGCTTTCCCGATTGTACAGTTATCAGTCCATATCGGGTATGAAAATAGATGACCATTTATTCATAAAGTACTGAAAAACTGTTGAGGCCAATGCAACTTAACATATGCTTTCACAGATAACTAAAGATGGAGAAGACTTTATGGTTGATGAATATAAAAGAATGAGAGAAAGAGATTGTTCTGGAGTTGCAAGATCATCATGGAGAATCACAGTGAGACAGCTAGAGAGTCTTGTCAGGTGAATTTCCCCCACTATTCTATTGAGGAGATTATGCTTACAAAGTTATATTACGAATTCGGATCCCGTAGTTGAGTATCTGCGATTTTTGCTTTTGGACACCCAAGTTTACATATGCGTTGTTTTGAAAAAATTGGTTGTCTTGTTTGTTGTGGAAAAATCGCTTCTTCATCAGCTAATGGACCCTTCGATTTTGAGTTTTCAAAACCTAAAGAAGGAAGAAACTGCTAGAAAGCTACATTTAATTTTTTACTAGATTCACTCTGAATGCTATAGGGCTCGATATTTCAAGCAAAATTTTCCTATTTCTGCTCAAGTTGCACCATCTTGTGGCATTGCGGCAAGTCATTCACTTTTTTTCTACAAACCTGATTCTCAGCTAAGGTCTTATCGGTAATGTGAATTGCTTGACAATCGCTGATTTATAATTTTGATTTGGAGCATCAGAATTATAAGATAATAGATTTCAATGTAGGTTGCATGGGTTACTGCTGTACTGCATTTAGTCGTTTGATCTTGTGATCTTGCATGTTTTTATATTACTCTCTTGTTTACCTAGATTGTCAGAAGCGATGGCGAGACTTCATTGTCTGGAAGAAGTTTTACCAAAGCATGTGAAAGAGGCTGCAAGACTTCTCAATAAATCAATCATAAGAGTCGAAACACCCGACATTAATTTTGATCAAGATGTAAGCTTGAAAAATTAATTTTCTATCTTTGATCTTGAGAGATATTTGGTAGTTGCAGTGTTATTATAGTCAATGCAAATAGTTATTGAAAATCATGTTTTTTTTAATTTCCATCACTTAAGTTAATAATGATTTAGGTCAGGGGCTCTCAAATTTTGGTTGATTATTATTCACAGAGCTCTTAATAAATTTGTAAAATATTGACGGTATTTACTGATGAGTAAATTAAAATTACTTTATTTAATGACTCGGATGTATTTGCTGCTTTATATTCGAAAATATTCATCATTTTAGTAAGTATATGAATAGCTCGTGGCGCCCCTATGTTTCTCTCGTGGAGCTTTGGGGATCCGTATGGGGCACTTTTGAGAACCCATGATTTAGGTCAATTTCATCCACAAATATCTTCATTCCAAATTCTCATATTTCCTCTCTGCGGATTCAAAATTATGACATTCCAGAATATATATTTCAATACGGAACCGACTGGTGTCAGTGAACCAGTACTATTTAATATCTATTCAATTATGGAATTCCATATTTGTAGCAATTCTTGCTATTTGATCATTAAATTTTCTTATTATTCCTCTGCTTTTTTGTGTTTGTATTCACATGTCTTTATTAACTTTTAGGAAGAGATCATGGACGATGAACAAACAGCTGAAAACCAGGATGCATCACAAGAACAGGCGACGGCCACTCGTGTGTTACAATCTCAGGATTCTAATCTTCCTTCTGGTGATTCTGCTACCACTCCTGCGAAGAAAGTTCAGAGTAAAATTTCATTCGAAGATTATAAAAGAATGAGTAATATGCTCGTCTTACACATGAGACAGAAAGAAGAGGCCGCAGAAGAAGAATCAGGAGGTCTTTATTTTTAATCAAATGCACATTTGCTGTTGTTGTTCTTGTTGGGGTTGTTGTGAAAAACCGCTTGTCTCCGCAACTGATGAACTAAGGGATTTTAAATTTACAGTACTTAGAGATGGAAAAAGTTGCTTGGAAGCTTTCACTTTAGTTTTCTCTGATGTCTATTTTTTCGATCTGATTCAATTCTTTAACTTTTAGCTGGAATTTTGTTCCTTCATTCGATCTCAATTCCTTTACCTTTTGCTGGAAATTTTTTTCTTGATTCGATTCACTTCTCAACTTTCAGCTGGAATTTTGTTTATGTGTGGTGGCCATATTAGTCATCTTTTATCTCATTGCTCTCTTGTCTTAGTGGTCAGTTTAGGATGATAATAAAATTTAGATGTCTTGAGGGCTGTTCAGGTTCTAGCATTTATATTCATACAAGCATTTGATCATATATAATTACAGAGGGTGACGGTGGAGCTCTGAAAAAATCAACATTAATCAACTGGTATTTGGAACAAATAGCTGAAGATCTGGAATCTGAAGAAGATTTAATCGAGAAGAAAACTGTGTTAGAGAAAGTTATCAATAGACTCGTAAACAGGGTAATGGATTCTGCTTTTTGTATTTCTATTTTAATATTTCCTACTTTTCAAATTTGGGGGCTGGAGCTTTATTTAGGCCCCTACTCAGTTACACAGGGCTACCAGGTTTTCGAACGATTAAACTGTCATTGTCTACAAGTCGTTCTCAATCATATTTTGTCACAATACTGCCCTGTTTATGCATTGGGTGGAGTGCGGGAATGAGTGGTATAGGATGTAGCAACCAGGACTGTACCTTCGACCTTTTTCCTAAAACTTATCCGCATTGAGGTTAGCATCCTTTCTGTGAATTTCTGTTTGTAAATAAATGTACGTATACATGAGTCCTGTAGCGTTCAAAAATGCTGATGTGTAATTTGGGTATAATTACTCAAATCTCAATTTTTATTTCTAGGATCATGTTTTGATTGAGCTTGGACAAACTGGATTAAAAGATGGCGAGTCAGCAGAAAGTCATGAAAAGGATCCAATCCTCGTTGTTCACCCAAACTATGTCATCGAAGAATGAGAACTAAACATGCAAATATTGTGTGAAGGACTAGTCCACTTCCCATTTGTACATGGCAAGAAAATTGCAGAAATGAGGCATAAGTTAGTAAAGGAAACTGATCTATTGAGCTTTACTAGGGAGTGACGAATAATAAATGACGATAGAATTGTTTTAGGATTATTTCTCAGGTTCCTTATTTATTCACACAATCATGATTCAGTGGTGTATAAATGTAAAGAAATTCGCCACACAAATACTAGTTCTTAAATTATGTATCTTTCCAGTAAAATTTGTTATCTTGTTTGAAATGTCTGCTCTTTTACTAGTATGGTAGGACACATTTTCAGACTATTTACACGCAACTTGCTTCACCTTCTCAAATTGGTCAAAATGTCATCTTGGCTTAAATTTTGATCCAGGGCAATGTTTACAGAGTAGTATGCCCTCTAACATAGTGTGAAAAATAACAAAGCGTTTCTAAATTGGAGAAAAACCATTTTGTCTTAGCTGTGCCTCTTCACACCTAGTAGTATTGTGATGTGGATATAGTAATAAAATCCACTGGTTTATCTAAAACTTTCACATTTAACTTTTTTGCAGACGATCTGTGTCCTGATCATGCCATATCTTCCGTACACTGCCAGTTTTTTTCTAGATTGTTAAATAAAATTTGTAAATGAGTTGGTATATAACATGATTTGTTTATTGCATTAAGTAGATACAATTGCACCAGGATAAAATCAAATAATAAGAGGGGCAGTTTTACATAAGTAATTTGCGTCACAGCACAAAAGTGTGCAATTTGGCACAAGAATGGTGTCTCTACCACAGCAAACAAACTTTCAACAGTGATGTAGCACAGGGCTCAGAAATGTATTAGGGCAATAAAATGCATTCTTGACTGTGCTGGTATTGCATGCTACAAATGCCATATCCCCACCTCACACAATGTGTAGTGTAATAAATTGGGTAGGCAATACCGAACAAGAAAGACTGGTCTTTTTAAATATATAGTGGCTGTTTGGTGTGAACAAGCTTCACATAAAAAAATTAAAAAGATTCAACCATAAGTGCAAAACTATTCATATATAAATATATCTTACGCATGCGAAAAATAATACCAAACGATCATCTTCTAATCTAATTGCAGCATATTGGATATGTCGGCTGTTAATAACAGACTAGACTAATAACAAATTTTCGGCGCAGTATGTTTCTTTTCCATACAAAATACTGACATTTGTTATACTTCGGGACGTTCGGGTTATAAAAACTCTTGCTGCAAACAATATCATCAACTCATGCAACATCTTTGTTAAAAATCAAATTGTAGTAATAAATTGTTAACATGCTTCTGTCCCATTCGCCAGAAAAGAATGATTCAGTGTTAGGAGTAGATGAAGTGTTAATTTCACAATCATTTTTTTTTTAAAAGTACTACGTAACATCTTCAATTGAATTGTCAATTACAATATTTTCATCATTAATTTGTGAATTGACTTCTAATTCAGCAGAAAGAAATGAATCAGTATTAGAAATGGTCATTGCAGCATTCAATTCAGCTTCTTTTTGTGTACCAGGATCGCCGTTATTTATTTGAGTATCTTCTTCGATATCAAGCATTGCTACATCTTCATTTGTACCTATGAAGGTAGAATTAGGAAAAAGTTGCACACTCTCGGTAGATGTACCATATCCATTTTGAGGTGTTTCAATCCGCTCAGCATCAGTTTGATCATTTTCAATATCATTTTCTTTCTCCTCTTTGTCTTCTGCATTACAAAATGCCATTTCAATTGTGTAATATACTCCCCAAAACAATAAAAAGCAAGATATCATTGTTACAAGTTTAATGGTGCGATCAGAAAGTGCGGATGTGACATCGAATTCTAAAGGTGTACCAGGAGGGCAAGGAAGACTGAAATTATCAAGATAACTACCATCCATAACAGATTCAATATATGTTTTTCGTTTTTTCATTTCATCTGCAGTCCAACTTGATCCGTACAAAGTTAATTTCCAGCTTTTTAAGACCCCCAAACTTTCCCCTTGTGGTAATTTCCTACTTGTGTCTATGACTTTCAATGTATATTTCCCAGCTGGATTTTCGCCCCAGCATTTTACTGTTGAAAAACTCCAATCGGTGAGTCCCTTATCTGATGTATCGGACCGTCGAGTTGGAACCTCCGATCTAGTTCCTGATGGACAAAGCAAAATAAACTTCAGGTTCCCTCTGGTATGGTGGGTTACAGTGACAGTGAATAAAATATACTCTAATGTTGATAACATATTATTTTTACAGTTCTCAGTTGTAACTTCAGTGTGCAAAATCAAGGATTCATGTCTATCCATAGAAATAGCTAAATTTTTATCATGGCTCGTATCGGCAGTAAGCGACGTAAACCATGGCACAGATTTCCACACTTTGGCGGCATTTACTAAACGCCACGCATCTAGAAGACCAAAGCCGTGGATATTACTATGTCGAAATCCAGCTTTATTTTGAGTCCATGCGGTTGCATGGTCAACTTCAACAGCAGTCATTACCATAATATGTTGTATATCTCTCCAAGTAAGACAAGGTCTTGCTTCCAACATCAGTGCAACCATTCCAGCTGCTAATGGCGTAGCTGCAGATGTTCCAGTATGACTATGCGTACATTGATCATCTGAATTACCAGGTGGAAGTGACCAGTCTGTTGTTACAATGTCTCTTATTAATAAACCAGAACCAGAGCTGACAGAACAAGCTAGCATAGAAGCACACTCTTCCGCATATGATGGTTTATTGCCCATTTCATCAATAGCACCGATTGTAATTGTATAAATTGAGCTTGCATATCCATCATAATTACAGTTGTCTCCCTTAAGACCACCATTGCCGCTTGCCACGACAAATATTGAACCAAATCCATCCCTTCCTGCGACAACTCCATGTTGTAGTGCCATACGACCCAAATCATGAGGACCATCAACAGTTTTGCCATCATCTTCCGGGCCCCATGAACAACTGTAAATATCATTTACATCCATATGTTTGTTAAAAGCAGTTGCCTCTGACGAATCTGTAGTTGTACCATCCAGAACCCTGATTCCGCTAAATTTTGAACCGAATGCAATTCCAACACCACAAACTGAATTTGGAACTGCAGCAATTTCACCCGCACACCTTGTACCGTGTTTATTTTCTTCTTCTTCATCATAAACAGGCGAGGGATCATCGTCGTTAGAATTTAAATCAAAACTTCCTTCTTTACAGTAATTGTCTTTTAAATCTGGATGTCGCCATTCCACGCCATCATCTACTACAGCCACGACAATCCCTTTTCCAGTGATGTTACGAGCCCAGACTCCAGTAACATTACAGTCATATCCAATAAGATTTTGTAAATGCCATTGTTCATTATACAATGGATCATTAAAGTGCAATAAATTTGGCACATTAATATGCGAACGTTTCGTTCGCTTCAAATCAACTTCTTTACTATGCCACTCTATGTGTTTATGGTTATCAAAAAGCTTCAATAAATGGTCATGATTATTCGTATCTGATTCAAAAAGATAAAAGCCTGTCAACTCTCCGATCTGTCCCTTATTAAATACGCCGAGTTCGTCAGCAATGCCATTCGCAAGTTCATCAAAATGCTTCTTGTGTGAATGGTTATCGTCATAATATTTTATCTTTATGTTCCATGTATGTGTACTATAATTACTAGTTCCCAGAATGAAATGGATGAATGTCAAAAATACAATGACTGAAAGTTGCACCAAGTGATTCCATCTTTTAATCATTTTCCAACATGTCTTAATTATTATAAATTTATAGTGACATCTAGAGAATTGATTAGAAAAATATTAAGTATTTTAAAATCCGGATAAACATATTTATACAATGCATTATGCACAATAATATGAATAAATATTGTCAAGTGCAAGATTGCGTAACTCAATAATATTATCATATAACGGGCCTAGCAAGTACACGCCGTAAGTGCTTAAATATTGCCCTAAATAACTGAGTAATAAATAACGTAAAACAAAAATGTAATGTGAAAATGCAGCCTAAATTTCAATTTAAAAAAAAATAAGTGTCTCACGTGGAACCTCACGTGCACTACTTGTTTTTTGGCAATATTTTAAGAGGAGTTACGAAGTGTACTTTAAACTAACGGGGAAAAATTGAAATCTGTGTTCTCGGTTGTCATACCTTGCAGTTTCCAGGTTTCGGACTTTTCACACAAATGCGTTCTCATAGCATACCGTAGGTACCATAGGTATCTAAATGACAAACACATTCTGAGTCGTCTTGTATACCAGTAAAAGCATCCAAAACGATACAGAAGCCCATTACCTTCATACCAAAGAAATATATAAAAACATCAAATGGCGAAAATTGTATCTCCTTTCCGCACAGAATTCAACATACTAGTTCAGTACGGTAGTTTGTTGGCACTCTACATACTGTACACAGACATAAAATAAATACTGTCAGATTGTACAATGTTCACCGGCATTCATTCGCCCTTCTTTTAATTACATTTTGTCAATGGCACACCTCTCGATAACACTCTATACGAATTTCTAAAGCTATCTTCTGTCAATAGCTCACATTAATATTTCATTACAATTCCTAAATTCACCTGAACTTATACGGTAAATCTGCAAGAAAATGACTACTTTACTCCAGCGCCTCCATCTCTGATGAACTGCCACTACACTGCAAATGTATACCAGATATTTGCCTTATGTCTGATCGTGAGAGGGCGCAAAAGAGTTGCAGTATCACTGTCTGGTTTTCGGGGATTTTATTGATTTCTTCTGTTTCTGGTTTTGCATTATTTTTGTCTTTATCAGTTTATGGCGGCGTTTTCGCCTTCTGGTAGTGGGATGGATTCGACTGAAGGGGATTCTGTAATGGAAGGTTTTCTATGTCCAATGTGTTTACAGGATCTTCAGTCTTTTCATAATCTACAGTCTCATTTTGAATCAGAACACTCTAATGAAGATAAGGCTGTTATGAGCCAAATCAGAGGTAAATGAAACTAATACCCCAATCTTTAAAACTATCTATTATCATTTCTTTAATCTGTTAAAGGTGACTTTTCATTCTGTAGTGCATTTTTTATTAATTTCTTTATCTACTGATCTGGTAAACTAGGTATATAATATTTTTATGGTCAACGGCGCGGCGGTGTGGCTCAACGGGCTAAGCGTTAGGAATACGCTCGCCACCGCACCTCTAATTACTCTGCGTGGGTTCGCAGGTTCAATTCCCATGCAGGGATGGTTATGTGCGAGAGGATTGCTGGACTCCTCGCCGTCGTTGGGTGGTTCACGTAACCGCTGGTCGGTTACGGCTTCCTCCACCACCAAGTTCATGCTTCCGAAAACAAACAATATAACTAATCCCATAACCGACTTGGAATGTTAACTGGACGAGAGGCCGTGGTTCGCCATATGGATAAGCCGTCTAATCGGCTTTCCTCTCCCGGGGATAAATATGTGAATCTTATCCTTATCCTAACTTGAATGATTACCGTACTGAGCCCACATAATGACATGGAACAATATTAACTGAAAATGTGGCTTTTATATTCAATATTGTAATACATTATTCATTAGTGTTGATGTTATTTGTGAAATATAGATTCTCTCTTTCCCTCCTTATGCCAATTGCCAAATCCAAATATATATGCCTCATTTTTACAAATCAATCGTATATAATGCCATAGTTTATTTCTGCCTCTGCCGAGTCGTTGGTGCTGGTCTGTTGATTCCTGGTAACCAGTGTAAGTAAGGCTTGAGTCATTGACTCGATTCGAGTCACCATTTACCGGGACTCATAATCAACAAACCGCCAGTTGAACTTGACTTGAGAATCGTACGACCAGTCTTAACTCGTGACTTTGGGACTTGTATTAACTCTGCTGAAAACATCATCCTGAGATGAACAGATATGCCCAATCATGTTCGATTTAAAAAAATTTTGAATATTCACCTCCACATCACATATTTTTTGAATAGTAATCCTTTTGGTGTTATTGTTCAATGTAGCATAGATATATATAAAATCTCTTCAGTATTCACCTCTTTAAATATCTTACTATTCATTTTCATCATAATTTATCGCTATTTTCAGGCCTGTTTTCCAAAGCTAAAGATAAATTATTGGGAAGAGAATATGAAGAGGATGATGATCGAAATCCATTTTCAAATTTTCAATCTTCATCATCAAACAGGAGTTTATCGTTTGTAGATCCAGCTTTTTGGGAACCTCAAGAATTAGGTATTAAATGAATGAAGATAGACATATTTTACTTTTCTCTATTTTCACATTTGAGTCATTCAATATATTACTGCATTCTATGAAAAATGTACTTAAGGTTGTACAAATCCTTGACAGTAGTGTAAAATTTTCGGAATTTCCGTGCCCTATATTTTTTTCAAAGGCTTTTGCATCGTGAAAAACTTTTCACTCTACTACAAATTCTGAGGTGCTCAAAAAACGACTCCTGCTGTGAGCCTGTGACACCTGGATGAAATAAATTTTGTCTCTGGGCCCCAAACGGTAAATTAAAAAAATTGTTACTCAAAACCCCAGATTCCATCTCAATTTTAACCATGAAAACTCCAATGTACACAATCTGTTTAATTGTTTATTGAGACTGCTTAGTCAGCCTAATGCTTTTCAGGTTTCCATTTGTAATCTGACTTCGATCACCACCATAAAAATTATGGATTTTTGTCTTGGCACGTTTAAAAACATGACTTCAGCTTTAACTCCCAATGTTTACTTCCAGATACTAACTCCACAGCCATATTTTTTTTTTCAGTTGTTCAATCATGTTTTCATCTACTCATCAATGCTTTTCAGGTGTTACTAAAAGTCATATTGATAAATTTAAATCTATGAGGGATGCAAGAATTGACAGAGTCGTCATTGAAACGAATAAAATAGTTATTCGACTGGAAAAGGTTAGTAAAACTAATTCATTTTGTGCAATTTTTTTTAATAAAATAGTAAAATTGTATTGCAGACATACACGTCTGGTATTTGAAACTCTTATATAATGTTTATGGGATTCAGGGCTGGAGGTAAAATTAAATTTATTGAAGCCAGATTTTGTGACAATTTTGGCATACATAGATTTTCAATTGTACGAGGTGTGGCTAAAAAGAAACGAGACTGACGTCACAGATTGCGCAACACGATTAACCATTGGTAATCAACACTTTTACAGTGTGGTGTAATATGTGTTCTTTGTTCAACAGCTTTTTTGACACAATATCGCAATTATTTTTGCTCTTTAGGAGCCATAGGTGAATGTGATTAATTGCTTGTTGAAAAAAAAATTGCCGTGCGAGATCTGATTGAGTTTTTTGGCGATAGGGGGTTCAATTGCAGAATGACGATTGAGCAATGAATTAACATTAAATTTTGTGTCAAACTTGGAAAAATGCATGTCAACTGGGCAACATTTAATCGTTGAGCTTTCTGCTCCTCAGTCAACAGCCTTGGCACCATTTTGGCACTCACCTTTCACAAGCCAAAAGTGTCAACCAAACTGGTGCGAACCGTTTTTTTTTGTTTTTTCCAACTTCGCAATGACGCGAATTGTTGAGCGACGGTCGCTGCGAATCAACTGCCTTTCACAACTGAACTCACAACTGATACCTTTTCGATGTTGGTATCAGTTGTGGAAGTGCAAGGCCTTCCTGACTTCGAATCATCCTCCACATCCTCCCTGCATCCCACAAATCGCTTGTGCCATTCAAAAACTCTTGTTCTGGACATGGAAGAATCTCCATAAACATCACACAATTTCTTCAAAGTCGCAGTCGCCGTTTTTCCAAGTTTGACACAAAATTTAATGTTGATTCATTGCTCAATCGTCATTCTGCAATTGAACCCCCTATCGCCAAAAAACTCAATCAGATCTCGCACGGCAATTTTTTTTTCAACAAGCAATTAATCACATTCACCTATGGCTCCTAAAGAGCAAAAATAATTGCGATATTGTGTCAAAAAAGCTGTTGAACAAAGAACACATATTACACCACACTGTAAAAGTGTTGATTACCAATGGTTAATCGTGTTGCGCAATCTGTGACGTCAGTCTCGTTTCTTTTTAGCCACACCTCGTATTTTTGGGAAATTATTTGCTGTTTTATTCTGTATTATATTTGGCCAATTTTAACTTTTTGGCCTTATATCCCACTACCAATTTTTCAATGTTCTTAGTTTATTTTCTGTTTTCTCATCTCCATTTATCATTTGTCATACCTTAGTTGTAGTGGTGAGTGTGATCAAAACATCAATGAAATCATTGGATTACAATTTACAAACATCAGTAACTCCCAAAACATATACCGGTATATATACTGTAGTTTTGTGGCAGTTACAGTTCATTTGGCAATCAGTTGTCCTGCTCTCGTAGTGTGGTGGTTGTTTATATCTGTATTGTTTTGTATCCGACAATAATGTCTCACTGTAAAGTCCATCATGATATATGCGATGCATTAAATTAAAGTTTCACAGAAAAGCAATTTGGTAATGGAATAGTTGAAAAAACGATGATGGATAATATGTGGAATTTTATGTTTTTGGCATTAGATTTCAACTTTCTCTAATTTCTATCATCATAATCTAGATATATTTCATGTTTTATGTTACTATTCTCAAAATTGTCATGCGTCATTTTTTTTCATCTTTAATATTATTGCATTATGGTAAATGAGGATATGTCTATCCTTAATTTTGCAGCTTTTGAAACCAGTCAGGTTTAATGGAAAACGTAATCACAAAGGTTATTTGTTATTATAGGACATAGTTTTATGCATGCTACTCTTCATGGTGTTTACAAGGCATGATTTATTAGCACAAATTGGATAAGTGTTCGCTTTAATCGTTTATGTTTTATGTCGAACAACCTGTTTTCTTTGCATGTTTCTGCTGCGCTACTTTTTTTTTAATTTTTCTCAACATTTTTAATGGCTTAAAATTTTTCACTTCGTTGCAGTAGTTATTATTAAACTTCACTTTTGTTCGTTTGTTTGTTTGTTAGCTTTTGCAAATGGATGAAACGGATCCTGGTAAACGTAAAGGTAATATGCATGACTGCATGTTTTTATCCAATCAATCAACTTTATGTGTTTAGTTTTTGTTCGAAACTCATGTTGATATATCTTCAATGCTTCTCACTCAAATCCTAATTTTGTATAGAAAATGAAGTTAACACTGGCTGGATAGCACATTTTGCATGAAATAATTCTTTCTCTAATTTACCAAATATTAATATATTAATAAACATCTTTTATTAGATTAACAGCTTGTTTGCCTCTGCATTCTTAATGTGTTTTGATGATATTAACTGTCTAACAAAGTCTTGAAATATTTCTCACTGGTACACTTCATACTTGTTGTGAAGTTTTTTGTTCCATCATGGCACTATATACAAATATAAATGAATTGTATTTTATATGTTTATTTCATTCATATTATTCAATACAATGTAATACCAAGATTAATTGACTTATTTGAAATATTGACCTATTAAAATGATAGTTTTTCTATTTATTGCGAAATGTTTAAAAAGTTGTTGGATGAATGAGTGTACAATCCAAAGGTAGAACTTGAATTTGTCTCGTTTGTTTTCTGTAATATATAACAGTCTTTTATTTTCAACTACTAAAAACCTTTTGTATTCATCCATTTTACAATTTATGAATTCAGCATTTGAACAAAGTTTGGTGCCCTGGGTTCAAGACGAAGATGTTCCATTTTGTCCTACCTGTGGAGATAAATTTAATGTTGCAAGAAGAAAACATCACTGCAGACTCTGTGGTGCCATAATGTGTACAAAATGTTCTATCTTTCTACCATTTCTTGTTGCTGGTATGGCTCATAGTTTAATTTTTCCTCATGATGACTTGAATGATCTATCCTTTAAAAAATCTTAGCGTTGTCAAATTTTGTCATGAATCAAAATTCTATGTTAAAATAGTTAAATTCTACAATTTGAAGAACTGCATTTACAATCTTATTAATTTAAAAATATATCTCATTGGGATAGTGCATAGATTAAACAGAATTCATTGATAATTCTAAGTTGCATGTTTATTTTATGTTTCAATGACTTTTGCCACTGGCTCCAAAATTCTGTAAGTCTGGCTATATAGAGCATATTTCAAATTCTAAATTGTAGAATACGTAATCTTTGTAGCTTGTAGGATTTCTCAAAACAAGGTCAGAACTCACTCGATATAACCTTATGTTAAACAATATGAAGTTATGAGCAACCAAATTAAAATCAGGATATGCAAGGTTTGAAATGAAACACTTGAAGTGCATTTCTACACTGGTTTGGGGAAAAGGTTGTTGTGGCAAGAGCAAATTGTACATAAAAAAATTAATGAAATTTATTGACTTCACTTTTATTGATTTTCATTTTCAGAGGAATTGATAAAGCAAATTAACAACACAAATATACAATCTCCAACTCGTGCTTATCGTAATAATCTTCAACAATCTGTAAACAATATACCCGATGAGGAAATTGAAAAAATATTCGTTCGAATTTGTTACGAATGTGACAAAGTTCTTCAACGTAATAAAGAAAGACTTGATCGAAGATTTAATCCATCACTATTGGTCACATTGCACAAAGTAAGTTGCTCTATTCGTTTTGTTCAAATCAATATATATTTTTGAAACAGCTAACATTTGAGAATCATCTTTTGTTGTGTAGTTTATTTATAAAAATTCTTAAAACATGTACCATTGAACTGCTGACGAATTAGGTGATGATGTATCTGATTTTTTTATTCGAAATGGATCAATTTGTGATTATCAGCATTGGAAGTCGGGAATTCACACTTTTCCTCCCTTCTTGAAGTTCTAAATCTTGACTCGGGGGAGTTTTAAAATCAGCTCTTACTCCAATGAAAACATGGTAGGCTCTGACTCAGACTTTCAAATCTTGCTGTCTATGATGCTATCACTCCCTGCACACTGTTTTTTTGCCATTTGATGATCATCATACTATTTGATACTTCGTTCTCTGTTAAAATCAGTTCTTTGAAATGTAGGATTTACAGTATTTTTAAAATATATACTTCAAAAATCTAAACTACACAATGGATTTTATATATTTTAAGATCACTAATGTAGAATACTGTAAAGATTTTTACAGTTATTATTCTAAATTCCCTTCCTTCAGAAAATGCAGACAGCTATGGAGTCTGCAGTGAATTCATCTCCAGAGTTTCAAAAGATGGCTGAATCATTAAAGTATGTACATAATTAATTTGTAAAACTGAGCAAATCAATATTTTATTTTTCCCCATTCAGTCAAATTATTACCTATTCTTCAATACTCTTGAGAGAGAGAGAGAGGGCTTCAAAAATATGAAAAGGCAGGCATATTGATTTAAATAATGTTAATAGTCAACTTGTCTATACAACCACCCTTGAGTGGCTCATAAGCACAAGAAATGCACATTTACCTCTTACAACCTGAATTATAGCACTTTATTTACGTGTTACGAATGCTGTATTTACACCTAAAGTTTTAATATTACCGGTATGTCTTATAGAGTCTCTTGTATGTACAAACTGATTTGTATATTTCAGTATTAACCCTGTTACTCCACCCACCCTCTTGTATGACTGTCTGTACGAGTTACAATATTATACATATTTTTTACTTCTTTTTCAATATCAATCAAAAGTGGTGCATGCTGCACATCTTTGTTTTAGGCCAGTATCGTCTCAAATATTATTACCTGTCATCTCACTATATTTCTTAACATTACGATACTAAGAAACATACATACTGAGACTGTTCTGATCCTAGTTTGTACCCTCTTGTATGACTGTCTGTACGAGTTACAATATTATACATATTTTTTACTTCTTTTTCAATATCAATCAAAAGTGGTGCATGCTGCACATCTTTGTTTTAGGCCAGTATCGTCTCAAATATTATTACCTGTCATCTCACTATATTTCTTAACATTACGATACTAAGAAACATACATACTGAGACTGTTCTGATCCTAGTTTGTACCTTTTTCTTAATCTTCAGCAATGGTGAAGAAGAATATAAATTAGATGCAGCAACTGAAAAAAGACTTCGATTAATGCAAATGTTTGAAGCAGTAGATGTTATAAGTAAAAAAATTGCAGCACTTGATACACAAGATGAGGATGATCCTCCAACACAGGGTGAACTCAAATTGCAAACATCTATTCGGCGTGCAGCATGTGGCTTTTTGCAAGTAGGTATATGCAAAGAGCCTATGAAGCGGATATCTGGGGGCAACGAGCTGGGGCAATTACTGTGTATCATTTGTGATACCTACAGTAATTTGAAATTGATTGATTTCGATTTGTTTAATTCTTTTACTGTTATGCATTTAATCCTCTACTTTCATTTGTTGATTTTTCATTATTCAACGTAGCACGTAAAATATTTGATGACAACACAGTAAAAGAAAAACTAGGTATCATAAGTTAAGAACAGGGGGCAACGAGTGTCTTTGGAAAGGGGCTCATAAATGAAAATTTTTGAACCAGCCACTGTTCTACAGCTCTTATTGTCCAGCATTGGCATGGGTAAACTTCATTTGAGATCGTGGCTACAGAATTTAAATAAATTTTTTACAATTTTATGGAAATCATCACATTATTTAATCAAAGTACCATACCAATGATTTTTACCATTTTCAAAAAAAATTTTGGTTGAAATCAGCCATTCTGAAATTTCAATATTATGTTAGGAATTTTTGTGTTACTTTAGCTTTTATACTACATATTATTCTGTTATTTAATTACTATTCAACTTTTTCTTTTGTATATTCAGGAATACATGCTTATTTTACCTTCACTTCCTTCACAACCGAAATTAACTGTATTGCAAGCTCAGCGAAGAGCGGAAAATGAGAGAAGATTACGACAACAAAGAATAGAAGCACAACGATTACGGGATGAAGAAAAAAGAAAGCAAGAGGTTGAAAGATTACAAAAAGAGAGGGATGAATTAGAACGGGCAAGAAAAGAAGAGCAAGTGAGATCTTATGTTTCCATACTAGATCAAAAATTATGTATAAGAGCATTCATAGCAAATTTGTTGAAAGAAGCTTCAACTTATAAGAATTCTATTTGACAAAAAAGACAATATTTTTTTATTTTTGATGGCATTAACAAAAAACAAAAACAACAGCTTTTTTTTTGGCTGGAATATTAGTGACGCTGTTTATGTTGGGAAAATAATTATGTGTGTTGGTGTGCCACTAGTCACTTATATATATATCCCTTATTTGGTATTATGTAATGATTAATTCTATTCTCATACCTTCCCGGAATTGAAAGCTAGTGCGTCATCAATCAAAACACTAGGTCGTCATATTTTATTTCCTCTCCCTCCAGATAGAAATGCTCTTATCCTATTCTTGTTGGAAGCTTAGGGCTCTAATTGCTATTATTGCTATTTTTTTGAGCCTCTTCTATGAATCCACATGAAATACATAATATGGGTACGGATAATAATATGGATATGTTTTCTATATTTCATCTACAAATAAAATTTGTTTCAGATGCAGCAAATGAATGACACTGTGGCTTATTCTACTTTCTCAAACAGTAATAACAGACCGAATGTATTGATTGTTAAAGATTCTGGTTGGAGTGCTGACGCCATTTCAATTGCATCAAACTCTTCAAAACACAGCAAATTACTAAATTACACAAGTGATGACGGTGAGCAAGTTGTATTTACGAATAATAAAACCAACGAATTGATATATTATGATAATTTTTTCCACGTTATCTTATACTATATCAATATGGCATGGTATTTGCGCCTAATGATATAGAACCTCCACGATTTTTGTTGAATATTTCAAATTAAACAGTCGAGCAGTAAAATCATTGATGTATGAAAATTTTGCTCATAAAATTTGACAAAAATCATGGCTTTGAATCAAAGTACAAACAATACTCAGATAAATGGGTGCGTGGCTCAAATGACTAACCAACTTCATCATCAAGATGACAGAAAAATTTCTGCTAAAAGTCGATAGAATTGTACCGAATGTCAGAGGGTTTGCCTATGGACTATAAAAACCAGCAACATTTGGGGTAAAATAAGTGATGGATGTCTATCGACTCGAATATATGTATTCCACTTTTATGTACTGGAAACTCTATATAGTGTTTGATATATATCAATTGGCCATTTTTTCAGACAAAATTGATTTTTTTACAACTAACTATCCATAAGTTTACTTAATGTTTTCTCGGAAAATGGTCATTCAGGGTTTATCAGACTGAGACTGTGAAAACTTTCAATTGCACAAAATTTGATGATTTAATAGTAATCGAATGGCCAGTTTTAACAATTTATCTCCATTCTCTAATGTAAATCTATGGTTAGGGATTTATAATTTTCAAATTTTTTTTATAGAAGAAGATTTGGGAAGAAATGGTTCTGCTGCTGAATCTAATGCTGATGATCCATTGAATCCATTGTTAGAACAAATAGAATATGTAAAAGAATCTGCAAAACAGGTAAATGATTATAATGATGCATTTCTGTGGCTTTGAAATAATAGTCTTGTGATTGTGAATTTTTTTTGTGTTGCTATTGTCATTTATTCTCTTCCAATTATGCTATGACATGGTAAAGGAATTCAATGTCAAGGATTATATTTCCTTTATCCAGTAATCCATACTTTATTTTCATTACTTCATCTTTTGCCATGACTCATTGGAAAATTTATTTACAAATTTTATATTACAAGTTGTCAATAAGGAGTCATATATGGTCCAAAACACCATTTGAATGGCCTCCTGTTAGAGTTCTCAGGGGTTGTTAAATAAAGAGCAACTTCGATTTTGGGTGTCACAGGTTAAACTTGGGGTCAAATCTCATGCCTACCATGTCACCCAGGGTTCAATACAATGGATGGGTATGCTGAACCGGCAAGATTCCAATCTTTTCAGAAATAGTAGTTCCTCACATATTGTTTATATCAGTGGCTGCTTGTACAGAGCGAAAGTTGTGAATAAGCATTGTATAAAAAGTTTTCTTCTTAATATTGAAATTGCATTATACCAGGCACGTGCTGCTGGCATGGAAGCTGAGGCCGAAAGTTTGGAAAGAAATATGGAGGAATTGAAAACTGAATACAGAAGACAACAAACTGCAAGAGCATTCGCAGTGGTTACACCTTCTACACCTCCAGAAGGAAACCCGTTTGAAGTAGCAAGCATGTCGTCGCAAAACAGTTTTAATTTATCATCAAGACGAAACGACACTGGTGAAGACCCATTATTACAACAAATTCAATATATTACACAATGTGTGGATGAAGCGACTTTTGCTGAACGTTACGACGAAGCCCGTATTTTAAGTGAAAACCTGCAGGAACTCAAAGATATATATAATCGTTCTAAATCTTGATAAGTAATTAGAATTGGTGCACTCATATACAGAGTGACTTCAAAAATGGAATCTATAACTTTCTCATATATTTCTATGGAAATTTATTTAACGCTTGAACTTCAGTTTGTGTATGATTGTATGCGAAAGTCCAGTAATATAGGATACTTTGCACAAAAGTTATGTTCTCTCTAGATTCTAGAATATGTAACAATGTATGTGTACCGATGTGGGGGTAACTAATTTTGTTCGCCTACTTTACATCAAGTTGTGTAAAGGGTCTGGGGTATATTCACTTGGCTAACACAAACAGTCCCGGAACTCGTAATAGAACTAAAATAAATCTTGATAAAATTATGACCTAATCCTAACATGCATACGGGAGTACCCATGTTTCAAATGACCTGATGCTTTTACCTATTTAGATATGTCATTTGAATTAATTGAACTACATAATTCATACTAATTTGAAATTTGTTTTGTAATTTATTATAGACGTGTTTACAATCCATTGAAAATGCATGCATGTTTTCTTGATTGTAGAGTTCTTATTTATTGAAATGTGTGTACTTTGGCATGACGAGTAATTTTTTTGTTTTTCAGCAGTGTTATAAAATAAATATTTATATATTATGGTGTTTCGTGATTGTTTCTTATAAATTATTATTCATACAAAATTGTTTATTTCATAATATTCTATATTATTGAGACGATTAGCCAGTATTGTTAGATCTACTGCTAATAAGTTTCTAATTAATAATAGTCCTTCTTACCTGAAAAAAGGTGTAACATGGTCTAAATGTGATCCATTAATTCAAAGTTTTCTGTTTATTACAGTTTTGTTTTATTGTTGTAGCAAAATTCTTTATTTCACAATCATCACTGTTGCATATTTTTATTTGATTTTCGAAAGACATTGGAGGTATTGCAATAAACATTCATCAATTTTATCAAGTTCTGTGTGATACAGAAATAGAGTGTAAGTTGTAAGGACATATATCGTAGGGGTTAAATAAAAAGCAGGCTTGGCAGGGTGGCATTCGGTTATTCTGTGTGGTGTTCTCGGAGGTCATTCCATCTTTACAAATATGGGCTATGCTTCAGTTCTGGAAGAGGTAAAAAATGCAGTTTGTCAGTGCTTTTTAACTGGGGTTTTGGGTGTTCTGTGGGGTTGGGTAAGAGTTTCTGTTTGTGTGAAACAATATTTTTTGCTTTAACAGCTATTAAGAATAAAAACAGAAGTCACTGGAATGTGCATAAATATTTCATTTAGCAACTTGGAGTCATGATGTAATAGTCTGTGATAGAAATGCAATAGCAGTAGGGTCATTGAATATCCTGCATTTCTTGTTATTGTCACAGAGTGTCCAATACCGAAATATGGGACTTTCGTACATTCCCAAACTTTTTAAGCCTAAACCTAAAAAATGACTAGCAATAACAATAAGCTAAAAATACCAGATAATAAGGCAAAAGTATGTTTCTGTCAATCAATAAAATCTGTCAAATATTTTTAATTTTAATTAGCTTCACGCCCCCTCAAAAAATTGTCCAAGCCCCCCTTGTGGGGCGCGCCCCACTGTTTGAGAACTACTGACCGAAACATTGCCAACAATATCAGGCTGTACTATTTTGACACTGTATCCAATATCTCGAAAGCTACAAGAAAATGACAAAAAGCAATTGATGTTTTGATAAAATAATAATGCATCACAGACAATCTTAGACTGATTGGAACAAAACAGAACAAACTTTTGGCAATCTTGGTGTGAAAAGCAAACCAATACTGATAGCCATTTTCGAATACTGACAGTCGTGGAATCATTTGACTTTTCTTGTTACAGGTAAAATAAGACCATCATATGCCGCAATCACATTTCCTAAAAACCCTTCACCAGCTTCTTCAACTAATTTATCCACGGTGAGATCCGTGTCATCAATCTCCTCATGCAAATGTGGATCCTTGTATCTGCATTATGAGATAACAATTACAATATTTGGAGAGTGATACAAACCCAATAAAAATGCAATTGCTGCAATTGATAGCTGTAAAGATTAGTTTTCAAATCACTAATATATATACTTGAAGGTGTTGCTATTTTCCTAAATTAACTAAAAATTAGAAATGATCATTTTGCTTTTTTTAATATATTAATAAATAGACCCTATACCCATGTGTATGAGATTAACAGAAATTGTAACTGTATGATGTGAAAAAATGCATTTATCTGATTACACAGAAAGTAGATAATCGAAATCGGCCCAAAACTAATCATGTAATAATTTTATTTCAAACCCACAACATATTATCAACATCAGTCTCGTAATTTATGTATTAGCCTACTGATCATATTTGCTAATGATACAATGCACATATACCATCAACAATATTTTAAAACTGAGGGAATTAATACTGTAACACTCTACATCTACATTAGATAGAGAAATAAACCAGACAGATGATCACATTTGATCAGTTTCAAGCATCCAAACCAACCAGAATTTATAAAAAAGCATCTAATCTTTAATAAATGAATTTCACCTTTGACTAAAATGTGTCAGAACTAATGTTGAAGCATTAGCAGCAGTTGCAAATTCTGCAGCCATTGCCGGCGTTGAATGTCCGTTATCATAACATTGTTTATAATGTGAATTTTCATTTGTTGCTTCATGTATCATGACATCACAGTTTTGACAAATTGAAAGAGTTGACCAGGAATCACGAGTGTCTTGCAATATAGCTACCTGAGGATGTAAAAAATGGGGATTCAGGAACTTTTATAGCATAAAAAGCAACGCAGCTTCATATTGTCTGATATCAAGATATTCTGAATAAAATTTGGGACCGAAATCTTAGCCACCTCGTCTAGGGTGTAACAAATTGGGTAGGCAATCGCTAACCAAAAAGATTCCAGAAATAGCTGTTTACATATCATTAGATATCAATAAATCATATAAAAAATATAAATAAAAACCTATTTGTGCATTCGCAACTAACGACAACTACTGAGAATGTTACCAATGAATTTTCTCAATTCTCCTCAAAAATTGTATAATGGAGTAAAACTACTAGAAAACAAAATTTGATTCATCATCCAGAGTTAGAGGATTGAGCAGGAAAAATCATACCTTTCTGCCAGGTTGTTCAGGACCAATATAATCCCTTGGGTTAATAACCGTTCCATCCGCGAGTGTCACTGATTCACCTCGCTTGATTTTTCCATACAGTGGTCCTAGAGTAGTTTTACAAATGTTAATTAGGTTCATATGTGGGGATGTTGTATTGAATGCTAGAGGCTTCTCACCTTTCGGTACGCCAGCTTTTTGTAGTTTTTCACTTTCTAAACGACCAGGTTTCGGAGGTTCAAAGAAAACGTAGCCAAAAGCAGGAATACTATAGAAAAAAATATGTTGCAACATTAATCATTTCACTATCATATTTAGTTTGTAAGGATTTATAATTCATCAATATTCTTATCTTTAGTTGGCATTATCAGAAAAGTTATTTCTCCCTCTAGGTTCACTCCATAGCATCACTGTCTACTTATTTAAGAAACTTCACATTAAAATCTCTTAAAGTTAAAACTCAATATTTTTTATGAAACGGAAAAAAATATTTTCACTCCATTGCTCTGGATTTGCTGAATACGCAAAGATGGACTATATTCTGATACTGATAGAAAAAAATTTCAATATGGTATACTTCAATTACCTCTAGGTATTTTCAACCAAAGATAATATGCCCATTCTATTTTACAGCTTGTATTCCCGAATAAACTTCAAGCAAATGCGAACATTTATGTGATTCTAATATTTAAAGGTAGCTAGCTGGTTTTGGGCAACTGACCGGTGACAGAGCTGACCTGCCAGTATTGTGATCTTCTCGTCTTTGAATATAAACCAACCTTCACAGGATGAATCATAAAATATTGCACGTCCATGTTTACATTCATTTATGTGAAGACTGCCTAAATCAAAATAAAAAACAAAAATATTGAGTATGAAAAATGATAATTTACTGTAAATTTCCTGCCTACCTGTTGCCATATGATCTGGACTCCACTTGCTCCAGTCAGGATCTCCTCCTTTAATATGATTATATTGTTTATTTTCAGGAACTAGTTCATGAACAACATATTTAAATGATAATATAGAACGAGATAAATTGAGAGATTCCCTCAGAAATCTGAAAAAAGAATAATCATTGAAATAAAAATATTCTGGGACCATGTTTTCAAATAGGAATTTACAAATATTGGACAAAACTACATGAGCATGAAGTAATTTTATACTAAAAAAAAAGGACCTCCTGAAGTATGCGCATCAAGATGGCGCACAACCTGAACTTGGGTTGTGTACCAGGTTAGGGTTCAGGTTGTGCGGCATCTTGATGTGCATACTTCAGGAGTACCAAAGAAAAGAATCCTCGAAGTCCTTTTTTTGACATTTGGTATATTAAGCGAACTTACGTTGAGTATGATCAACAATAACTATATCGCCGGATGAGAACAGAACAGGCCTAAGTCACATTTTTGAGTTTTGAGAAAATCGCAAAAAACAGTTTTGAATTTTATCATAGTTGAATATCTAGTTATGTATTCTCAGTGAAGATCTGAGCTTTGGCTAGGATAAGGTCCCTGATAATAGCTTTTTAATCAACATCTTTTGGCACTTCAACTTCGATTCGTTTTCATTTTTTACCCCCCTAAAGACATTTGGCCTATTCTGTTCTCAGTGATAATTGACGGACTTAGGCCCTTTCTGTCACCCATTGGTTCTTAGGCCCAATATACACTACACAAATTCCTATAATTGTGACTTAGGTCTGTTGGCCTAACATATCTCTGCTTGCTAATGCCAGTATGCCTCAGTTTCACAGCAGCCTTGTTGTTGTTTTTGTCTTGTGTATTGAATCAAAACAACAGAACAACTAACGAACTACAAAATTAGACCAATTTTGAATGTGAAGTTTTCAAAAAAGGAATAAAAAAGAAACTGAATATGAAAAATCAAAAAACAATTCAAAGGGTTTGAAACCCTGTGTCTTTAAAACTGGTGAATCGATCTAAATAGAGGAAGATTCATCATCACTGTCTGATTCATCTGTTTCATCATTTTGAATGGTGAGACTCTCGTAGAACGTATGGTATTGCGGTGGAATGAGATTTTTTTTACACAGCTTCATTAAGGCACCATATTTTTCCATTGTAATTCCCGGTTTTTTTTTGTAGCTTCGCCTCATTTCATTCATCCTGGGTAACATATCCAGGGTTCCTGAAATTCTTCGACTCAACCTCACTTTTTTTATGAATGAAACTTCCTGATATTCTTCTTCTGCATAAAGGTACTTGAAGAAAAACTTATCAGGTTTTTCACCAGAAAACTTGGCCTGCATGATCTTAGACCATTTGATCTTTGATCCATTCACTTTTAGGTTTGATTTGTAAACGTCTTGAAACATGGTGAGTTTTTCTCCAAATTTGAAATCCAGGATATCACTATGGGACATTCTAGTCATAGTTATATTTCTATTTTTATTCCCTTTAGTCAATGCTTGTACGATGACAGATTCCCACTGATCGGTGGTAAAGGTATGCAGCCGTTTTGACTCTTTTTCGATAAGAGAATGTGCACAGTCATTCTCGTTTTGGCTATGCCCTGTAACAAAAAAGCTTAACGTTATATCTGAAAATCCAAACCAATTAAGGGCAAGGGATAGCATGATGTATACCATGCGGTTGCAATTTTGTCCTGCGCATCTGTCACAAAAAAGGTACACACTCTTCACGCCCTTTTTTTGTAAAAACTTCAAGTAGAGCAACAGTGCAGACGCCACCTCATTTGAACCCTTTTTTGCTTCTTCCTCATTCCACAAGTAACAATGAACTTCTTTAAAAGACGAGATGTCCGAAACTGTGAAGTTGTAGTTTCGCAGTCTCATGCTATAGTAAAATGAGGAACTCTCTCCTGCAGGTGCCAGGAGTGTTTTTTGAAAGTCAAATGCTGATGCTTGAATATGGCTATTGTCTTGTGCTTTTTCTTTTATTTGTGCTTTGAACACCCTGCTCAAGTTCTTTTCTTGATCATGTTCTGCCTTTGATTTTACTATTTCGGTAGTTCTCAATGAATCTTTTGTATTGTCCCATGCATCACATATGTCACATCGATCCTTTTTGGGTTGATGAAATTTTATATTAAAATTATCATGAAAAATGGACAAGTAAGCTTCGTATTTCAAGGGATTCTCAATGTTATTTTCTGCACAGAATCGTATGTACATACGGTGCATAGTAGCCACATCTAATGTTGGAGGCAAATATTGATATTTAGACTCCTTTCGAACATAGTGACTTTGAACTGTCTTAAACATACAAATATGTTCAATTACCTTTTCCACTTTTTTTGGATCAAATCTGTTATGGGTACAGTTATACCACGCATATCATTTTCAACACTTCCAATAAATTCTTTTGATAATGCTGTTCTAACTTGTTTTCTTGAAACATCAAGAGTTGTGAGGAAAAATGTCTGACAAACCTCAAACTGATCTCCACTTTCCTTCTGAAGAAAATATTTGAAACTAACATCTCTTTTTTTGCGTCTGACTTCAATATCTGGTCTCAATCTGCTTCTTTTAATTTTGCATTTTTCAATCATTTTCGTAATATAAATTCTTTTTGACAATATGTTATCTAATTTCCAATAATTTTCAAATAAAACTTCTCTGTCCTTGGCAGAAAATATTTCATTGCACTTTTTTTACATGAACTAGAACATGTTTTCTTTATTTCTCTTTTAGGCATCAATCTAATTTCTTTATTTTTTGTTCTGTATTGGTAAGACTGTCCATGCATTCGAGCTTCCTTCCTAATATTTCTCTGCCACTTGGAGATATTTCTTTTTCTTTTTCTTTCTGTCAAAGGAGTAGGTGTTATCCAGTCTGTTGAACACTGTTCATTGACCTGATTTTCTGTTTGGTCACAAAGCTTATTTATGTCACACAGATTCCATGTGATGGCAGTACCTTCCTTGTGTTCTACAAGGTTAAAATATGGCCAATGGATCGCAGTTTGGAACACTTTAGTTATAAAAAAACTTCCTTGTCTATCCTCACAGTGAACACTTCTACACTTTGCTTTGAATATGGGATATCTTTCATAGCATAGAATTACTTCTTCACTTTCGACAACTGAAATGTCAACCTGGTGCTGTACTGTGGAATTTGATTTATCACTGTCAGATTCATTGTTTTGAGCCGTCCAATAACATGGCATAGACTGAGACTTTTCCTTCTCATAATTATAAGTTGGATCTTTATCTGAATCATCATTATAATATTCAAAAGATTCATCTGATAAATTTTCTTCCTGGTCTTCGTTTTGAGAATTTTGAGCTTCAACAAGGACAAAATCTTTTTCCTCATCACCGATATCAAGTTTTAAAGCATTTTTTGGAACTGAAGTTGTTTGATTGTCAATAAAAAATTTGACTCGAACAGTGTTGGAGTAGACGCAAACTATCACTCCTTTTAACAGCGTCTTATCTTTATATGGTAAACTATTACTGTATTCACGCTGTTCATTATCGAAATATGTAGCAGGGAGATAAACTTCTTTTCCTGTTTGCAGAATCTGACTCTCAGTGCTATCCCAACTTCGTGTGCCACAGGGGAATTCAGATTCAGGACCTAACATTGCTTCACTGATAAATTGTATATAGCTTTGGGAAAAGTTAAACATACAAGATTACTAAGTAGAACACAATTTAATACATACAAGACTACTAAATAGCACACAATTTAATATTTATAATCTTTAAATTATTATGCAGTTATACTTAAAGCCTGCTATTCAATATAACAAGGCTCTTATCCCATTTAATATCTAACTTTCCAGGGTAAGCTACCTCTAGTAACCTGTTTCCTGTAGCACATGCTCATAAGTATAACTGCAATATGCTTTATCAGTTGTCTTCATCACAATGAATAATTTGTTTCAGCCAATCAGGACAATCATATTTATTTTTTCATGTTCTTTGGGACTACTTGATTCTAAACTTTGCCATAGAATGGGCCTATGTTCATTTTGACAGTAAATATGTGGGACTGAAAGGGCCTAAGTCCAGCATACTGGACATAGGCCTGTTCTGTTCTCAACACCTCTATGATTATAGCATTCCTAAGTCCAGCTAAAATTTTTATTATTGAGAAATTCAGGATTTCAAGACCACCATCTTGTAGAGCATGGCTCAAAACCCCAAAATATTGAAAAAAGTGAATTTTGCAAAAATGTGACTTAGGCCCCTTCTGTTCTCATCCGGCGATATGCAACTAAACCATACTTCGATTAGTTTACGCTTGTGGATTGAGTCTTTACTTACCTCCTTAGGCCACATGGTCCATATATTTCAACAATAGTATCTGTGGGATCAATATCTTCCTTTTCAACTTCCATTGCTTCTTCATTAGAAGATTTATATGCCATTGATATTGTGCAGAGAAGACCTGAGTATTTTTCAATTTTTTTACAAGAAAATATCAATCTGGAAATGTCAATGATTATAGTGATCATTCTAAATAACTGTACCTGGTAAGCCAAACAAATGGTCGCCATGCAGATGGGTGATGAAAATTTTTGTTATTCTTCCCGGTCGAATTAGTTTTGTTTTCATGATTTGTGTTTGTGATCCTTCCCCACAATCAATCAACCAGACTTCTCCTTCATGTCTTATTGCCATACACGAAGCACCTGTAAATAGGATAGGATTTACATATTTATCCCGAGGAGAGGAAAGTGATAAGATGGCTTAACCATATGGCGAACCACAGCCTCTCGTCCGGTTACCATTCCATGTCGGGTACGGTACAGGATTAGTTAGTTATTTGTTTTCGGAAGCATGGACTTGATCAGATATACTTTGAACAATTCTGTTACTATCGTATTATACATGTTGATCTATTATTTATTATCAATGTTAAAACAACCATTTCAGGTTCATGTTTGAAGCTTATGAAAATTGATAACCTGAAAACCAAATTACAAGATTGTGGATATAAATATTTTAAAACTCACTCCTACACGGTGATGGATAGCCCGATCCAGTTCCCAAAAATGCGACATCCATTCTTGATCTCCTCTCTTAGAGATCGAAGCCAGTTGAGAATCTTACTTATAAACCAACACAGATACCAGGATATCGACACCTCGCTCCACCGTTTACTGATTGCAAACGTGATCTAAGAATCAGCATTACACAAAAGTGCTCATTTTGTACATTTAATAGGGGAAGTCCCTAAATAAAACCTACCGAAAAAATTAATTATGTCGTCACACATGATACCGGCACCATATTACAAAATATTATATAACTAAAATAAAATTTAATTGTTACATCACAAATAAATAATTTTAGTAGGGACTTCCCCAATTTTAGACATATTCGCCACCAAAGATACAGCAGTTTTTTCACAGCTTCCGTGGGTACCGTAGCTTTTCTTCATTTAATGTTGCAGAAATTTCGTGTTCAGTTGTTAAAATGTCTCAAGAAGGAACTGATCCATCTGTGGCATATAGACAAGGCCTAACTGCAGCCATTGGTGCAGTGTGTGTGGAAAACGGCTGCGAGTTTGTTCGAAAGTCCGCACTGGAGACATTGACAGAAATTGCACAAAGCTGTAAGTGGATTTTTGTATGTCAATGATAGATAGATAGTTAATTCTGAAAACTCCATAATATACAAAAATGAAGAATTCTGGAAAGCGAGCAAAACCTTTAAAAAAGTTTAAAACAGCACATGCACAAAAAAATTACAAAAAAAAAAACCTGCTATAGAGAGATTTGGGCCAGACATAAACAAACAAAAATACGCTAATGTATTGAACTTCGGGCTGTTATGTAAGTAAATGCCATAATTTAAATGTCTTGAAAGGTTGGAAATATAAAATTCAATCTTTAACAAACTTAGTACACTGATACAGCAATATATAGATATATGTTGTTAATTGAGGTAATGTTCTTTTTTCCCTATTTACCAGTGGTATTGCGATTAACTGAAGATATTTACATCAAATCTAAACCATGATAAATCGATAATATTATCATAACAATACACGTAATATACATAACAAAATGGAGTTTTGTTGAATACTGTGTTTTAATCTTTCTATAATTCCAAGTGCTTTTATTTATTTTGCAAGTGAACCATTTCCAGATTTTATCATATAATTGCAATGCTAACTATATTAGCTTGTTCTTTCTACAGTTTCACATGTTTTGACAATAACCTTTATTATTCAAATTTATTTTTGTTTAATCCTGCCTAATCCATAAGCCGTGGTCGTTTTTATATTTTTATGTCAAATAACGTTCAACTTGGCAACTTATTTCTATAGTTCAACATCATTAACGTTTTCAATGGCTAATAAATCTCTTGACTGAACAAGATTTTTGAACATCTAAGTTAGTTATTTCACAAAGAGTGATATTAATATGGCATGTGGTGTAGTTAGTTTTATTAGTGAGATAGGTGAAAAGCAATACATGTTGTCAATATTTGAATAATTTTACATTAAGAAGTGAATTTTACATTAAAAAAGAGATTATTCTTGACCTGTCGGACCAATTTCTCCACACATTTGTAGGGATATTGAAACTCAGTGAAATGGAATTAATCATTGCATCTAAATCAGTGTTAATGATTAGTTATTACATCAATAGAATTTGTTCAATTGAAACTGAATATGTATTTTATTCACTGAAGATTTAACAGAGATAGCCAGAAGTACTCGCCAATACTGCGAAATAGGAGGACGAAGTCTTCCAACACTTCTTGATATTCAAACTGCATTAGCTGATGCAGGATTCAAATTCAATACACTGCCTGACTTTATAAGAAATAAGCGAAGAGTTTCCATTGGTGAAGGTCAGTTAGTTATTTTTCAACTTATTCAAAAATGTTCAAACTCTTTTTTCGGTTTCATACAAAAGGTTTATGATTGTGTAGGTGAATTTGGTATGTCTTTGTTATTCGTTTGCTTCTGACTTTTTATATTTCAACACTTATATGATTTGTATATTTGAATTTTTCATATGAATATATTTCTCAAAGCAAGGTAACTAATTATGACCCAAAACTGAATAAATTGCTGAAAGAAATATGTAAATTTATTGGAAGAAAGGAAAAATTGTGCAACACAGAATTATGGATTGGACCAGTCATATTGAAAATTCTTTTTAAAAAAAAATTATCCAGTTGATTCGTTAATTTAAGTAGCAGAGTGTTCGAATTTCAAAATGTCTTTCTTTCTAAACATCGTTCACATAACATAACAAATTGCTGAAATGTATTTGCTAAACATTGCGGGATTAACGATATAGAAAGTGTACAATTAATCATTCAATTATCGATCACTACATTTTTAGGTTATTGAATAGACTACTTCATCACCTGAATGAAGTATTAAAGTCTGAAGTCTCACAAAGTATTAAAGTCTTATTTATATGTTTATAGTTTCCAAGACAACATCTTCACAAAATCCAAATGTTCTTCTTGTCGGTGAACGAAGAAACTTTCCAACACATATTCCGGAAAATTCTACCTATCCTAAATTTCCAGATCCTCATACTTATGTTAGGACATTGGTAAGAATACTTTTCTGTAATGATATTGCTAAACACCAAGGCGTGTGCACATTTGAGTAGAGAATGAATCTGTGAGATAATCATTGATTTAAACAACCTGCGATTTGCTAATTAAAATTCTCAAACTTTATAGCAAGTACAAGGAGATTATTCAAAATTAGCCCTCACCAATTTTTCCAAATTTTCTGGATCTTTTCTTGGCTATCTGGATTACAAATTTTGTTGATAAAAATTAGATTTGCTGACTATTGTAATTATATCATATATGATATGGATGATATTGGTATTATTGTTCATCTTGTAAACCATAAGTACAGAGCATTTCAAAATACATATTACTAAATATAAAATATATGCTACTATTTTGTGTAGGTTTAAAGATTTAATGGAAGTTACTAATTTATTGTTTGTAGAAGTTGATGACTCAATATGCCGAAATGTCGTTATAAGTTTTTTAAATTTGTTCTGTGAATGCATGATTAAAGGGTGTTATTGTCATGACATCTAGTTATCTGAATTTTCTGTTTTCTGGTTATAATTTATCTTTCTGTTTGTATAGACAGGACAAGAGCCTGAAAATAATTATGGTCTATTGCGAGAAAGGGGTTCATCACAGAGATGGGATGTTGAAAGAGCTCTTACAAGATTCATTGCAAAGACTGGTTCAAGTCATGCACTACTTCCTGATGACAAATCTGCTTTTCCATGTAATTTTACTCCCTTTAAAAATCAGTCCTGATTTCCTGAGAATAATCATTAAAATTTGTAATGATGTCATAAACTATGGTTTCTCACCTGGAAGCATTATAAGGATATATTTTACTTTAACATTCCATTTGGATAGATTAAGCTGTGATCTACTTGCTACATGAAGAACCTTTGTTTTCAAAGTGACAACAATAATCTCTAATGTCTAATTTTATCATCCACCTACAGATTTAAACCAGAGTCCCCATATGTTCCAACCATTGTGAACATAATTATTATTGCATGAATTTTGAATGTGCATCATTAGCTATCATGAAATGGATGTCTATGTAAATTGGATTACTGGTTTTTCCAGTCGAGAACTCGCATGGACAAATAGTTATATACTTTTTGATTGAGTGACATAGCTGTACAACTTTGTTAGCCTTAACTGCTATTTTTTGTATTGAATAGTGATTGCTGCAGTTCCTCCTGCAATTCCTTACTTATCTGCTCTACTGCCTTGTGAGAATGACTTGGCTGAGAAATTAGAAAAAGAAGCAGCTGCTGAGGTATAAAAACGATTTTAATCAAGTCATAAAAATATTATTTTCAATTTTGACCTATTCGTGGAATTTCAAATTTTGCAGAATAATGCAGGAAAACAAAATGTACGACAAAACAAATCATCTAGCCAGAAAAGAGTAGCTGATGATTCCAAGTCGAATGAGAGGACTCCTGATAATATTGATAATCCGTACCTACGGCCAGCAAAAACACCTAAATTGAAGAAGAGTAGAAGATGATACTACCTATTACTAATGGCAATTTTCCCTAAAGAGGAAGGAGATGAAATTCTGTCAATGAAGTATTAAACCAAGAGGCTTTTGTGTGTAGACTCCAATTGTTCGATGCTGTTAAACGACAGCAATTCTTAAAACAATCCAAAAACTACAAAATGTTTATAAGGATATTTTCTCACTTTATAGAGATATGCTCCATTGGTTTGATATAAAGTTGTGTGCCTGACAAATTATTCAAAATGTTTACTCTTAACCATTGTCGAGTACAAGCCCAAGTCAATTCACAGCAGAGTTGCAAGTCTAGCTAGAGATGGTAGATTTCATATGCAACATTTTAGTGAATAATAAAGCCAACAATGATCCTCACCGCTTTGCCACTTTCTTGTACAGAAAATTTATTAGATCCAAGAATCAGAAACATAAATTTTCAATCCGCATTTGATAGTGTTATAGCTGTACATGAGGTGGTCGGTGCCTGTTATTTGCATTTTTGATTCAAGATATTCATAAAATTTAATAAAGTTTTCATTAATTGCAAAGGTTGTTTTGTGATTATGGACCTTTCCCCGACCTTTGACCCCCGAAAATTTTTTCCTATACTTAACCATTGCAAAATATCGCTGCTTATTTTAAGAATAGTTTTGCGAGTTGGCGCCTGTAACATGGGGTATTTGTTTCAAACCATAATTATAATTCATCGAATACAACAATCTGTTTTTTAAAAGTAACGGCAAAGAATTTCAGCCTAGTCTATCACAGCTATTTCGACACCAGTTTTTCATTACTGCAAGTAAACTAAAACTCCTCAGAAGTCAAAGTAAACATTAAATTATCTTATTGAAATTTCTGAAACACAACTGAAAACCAACGAATAGAGTTCGAAAATGCGAAAACGAGGTAATGTTTACAACCACGCCTGAAAATCTGTCTGAGTGAGAAAAGTGCCTGAGCGGATGCGAAAAGGGGGCATTGTTACGTCACTTTTTGCATTTTGCTGATTGGCCAATGTCACGACGTAAACAAGGAAGTCGCCTCTCGGGGAAAGGTCCATTAGGACAGCAGCTTTTGTTCAAAAGTCTTGAGTTCGGATTTTCATTCTTTGGGTCAGGGAGTCGTTTTAAAAAAGCTTAGCACGTTAACCGCAAGCCCGTGCTTGGTTTTGCAATCATTCGGGGCGCGCCGGCGCGGGAATAGCAAGTGCGTTAGGTAGATGTTCCAAACGTATGGATACAATATGCCGCTGGTAAATACATTCTGTGAGGGATGATTCTTGGCATTACGCACAACCATACATATGCTTTATATTTGTACTTTTTAATTTTGGATTTTTTGTCTGTTTATGTAAAATTAAAATTTTAGTTGACTCAAAAATGATATCTTATTTTGAATAGCAATTCTATTAATCCGTTAGAGTCGTAGCAAAAGCTACGAGGCGGGCCGGTATGTGGCAACGGCCCTTTTCGTCCACGGCGTCACGTTTCATCATGCTAGGTGTGTTGGGGGCGTTTGTTCATCGTGTAGCAGTTCCGAATATCCAGTCTTGTCGCAGTTGGCGTTTTACGGTTTTCTGTCTGCTGTTGTAAGATTGTTTGGTGTTCACTAAGCCGGTACTCGAGTGGGATTATTCGACTATCGGAAAATGGTTGAGGCGGTCCCCGAACATATTAATTTCCCAGCGGAAGAAGAGAAAATTCTAAAGTTTTGGAATGAACATGATTGTTTCCAAAATTCATTGAAACAATCTAAAGGAAAGCCGAGGTAAAACGCTTTTGTAATTTTTGTCACTTTGAAATTAGTACCGTACATGTGTTTGTTGGGTACCGGTACTTTATTGTAAATGTTCTATGTTAAAGTAAGTAAGCACAAGCACAAACTTATACTTATACTTATACTTTTCTTTACCGATAAACTGATAAATATGATAATGCTGTAATGCAGGCTTGCACAACTCAAATTACCACGAGGGCCGCAAGGATAAATCTGAAGGCCCAGCGGGCCGCAAACTTTGCCACATACATAGGGTGGTGTAGCCAGTCTGCGGACGATTTCATTCAAAGCGCTATAAAATAAAAACCAATATTTCTAACCCGTTAATTTTTTCACGGTAGGTGCATTGGCATTCTACACGCTAAAACTCGAATTAACTTTCTACGACCAGTGGTTAAAGCTATACAAACCACCAAAGTACGACACTCTAAAGACGTATTTGCGACCGAATGACCAGTGTGCGACCACGGATTTCAAGCCTTGAACATCGTTTCTGCTGCGTCGAGACTAAGGCATACGCAGCCATGCATGAAAAAAATGGGCTTCTAATTGCATTTCTGACCGTCATATATTTTAAGAACACGGTTTTTTCGAACAAAAAATTATAAACAAAAAACGCATCACAGCAATCAAACAGACTAAAACACGGTGGTCGCAAATTGGTGGACAAAGATATTATCGACGTATTAAAAATGCGCACCCTCCTATCCCCTCTCCTTTAAATATAGAAACGCGAAACTTTAAAGATGATTAAAAGAAACACAACTCTACCCACCTGCCAAGTTTGATCTTTTTATTTCTTATATTTGTGTGGATTTTCAAGCTTTTTCAAAGGAACAATGGGTAGTTGGCGACATGGGAAAATGGTCTGTTTTTTTTCTTCGGTCGGGTTTTCGGTCGTAACTTTTTTATTTGTGGCCGCATTTTAGTGTAATTTCGCAGATCTACGAGGGATAAGTGGACGATGAACCGTGAGAAATATCGTCACGGTTCGTTAATTTTTTCGTCATTAATTTAATCGATGAAGTTGATGGTCGCAAATAGGTCGTGGCCGCAAAGTGGGTAAGCCACCCTATTTCACAAGATGAACTTCAAATCAAAATAATATTGTGAAACAGTTAAATTTGATGAAACACTTTCAAAACTGGAAAGCTTAAAAATATGAAGAATCTTATTTTCTTAGTATTTAGTGGTTCATCTACTTTGAAAACCCACCCGTCATTTTCAATATATTTTTTTTATTAGAATTAGGTATTGCGTGTTGCAGTATAAACTGACTGCAGGAAAATATTTTACTCAGATTCAGTTTTGTAAAATCGTCCCACATATTCGGTCATATCTAACATTTTTAGATATTTCCATTGCAGACTGGACAAACAATCCGTTTAGTAGCGATAGAAATTCCTCTGTTGTATTTTTTCGACTGTTAATTTACATTTTTTTACAAAATCTGCTCCAAATTTTTGAAGTTTTACAGTAAATAGCAATATCTTTTGTGCGAGAATTTCTGCAGCATTCATGAATGAAAAAATTGTTTTTCAAGTTCTAAATTTGAAAAAGAAACTTCAGTTTCATAAACTGCTAGTAAAAAATAGTGGGGTTATTAATAGGTTGCTAATATGCACTAATGGGTGTGAGATTGTATACCGATATTGTTTTGAGCGTGATTCAGTTTGAATACCGAGATATCTAAATCAGGGTTTCCCAAACTGGGGGGCGAGAGGTCGAGCGACGAATTTTAAGGGTCGCGAAGGGCACACCAATTTTACACCAAGTTCGATATTTATTGAAACTAGTGCAAAACATAAAACTCATGATTTCTAATATGATCGGAGTAGCGGCGCGCTTGCATAAATAACAATGTAACAAAAAAAGCAATAACAAAGATTTGTTTCCAAATCACCCGCGGGCCGCACAGAAGTATCTAGCGGGCCGCATGTTGTGCAGGCTTGCTGTAATGTGACCTGAATTGTGGGATCTAAGGATTAACTTTTTTTAAACATAAAAATTACCGTATACCGCAATTATTAATTACTGTAAATTAAATATTAAAACATTTTTAGTGTCAAATTTTTAGAACATATTTCAATATGACATTTTTAGGACTAGTGAAGTAAACGCTGTGACTGCTTAAATAACACCTAACGAAAATGTGATTTGAAATGTTTTTATGTGATGTCAAAATTTTAATGTAATTAAAAAAAGTCTTTTGATGCAGGCAGAAATTCTTACCAAACCTACTCAATTTCAACTAGGCAGGTATGTCCCATGCCGTTTAAGATATTGTGGTTGCACAAGAGGGACTCTTATTTATAAAAAAAACGGGATTTGTGTTATATTTCCACATCACATTTTTGTTTGGTGTTCATTTAGCACATCATTCAAATTCACACCACATTTGTGTTTGGTTTTATTTAAACAGTTACAGCGTTTACTAGGCGTGACCCGATTTTTTTCATTTTAAATAGGAGATACCGTACATTAGAACCTTATCAAAGGTGTTGTTTAACTCTAATAAACCATAGTATACCATACTATTCAATCAAGTGTAAAACAGTAAAGTTGGTACTCTTTGCCCATTCATATTTGAATGATTTCTAGTGACGAAACAATGGTTCAAAAATTGACCATTATGCTCGTCTTTGTAGATATGCTTTCTATGATGGACCTCCATTTGCTACGGGACTTCCTCATTATGGTCATATTCTTGCTGGTACCATAAAGGACATTGTGACGAGATATGCTCACCATAGCGGGTTTCATGTTGATCGAAGATTTGGATGGGATTGTCATGGTCTTCCTGTGGTAGGTTTCATGTAACTTTTGCAATCTCAGTTAACATCAACATTCTATTCTAATCGTTAACAATAGCATGTTCATTTCTGAACATCATTGGTTTTGCTTTCTTGAGTGGTAAATGATGGCATCCCAGTCTGGTTGTGGGGTGTTTTAGGGCTTTCTGTACTTTAATTGTTTGGTATTTTCGAAATTTAAAAAAATTATAAATTTCCAAGAAAAAATATGCTTTTTTGAAAACATTCGGTTTGAAACATGTAATCCAAACTATCTGTTTGAATTAAAGTCCTTGGACATGGCTAGTTGTTTTCAATTTTTATTCGAATGTGACTTTTTTGTTCAGGAATACGAGATTGACAAGACTCTCGGTATTAAAGGACCAGAAGATGTTGCAAAAATGGGAATCGCGGAATACAATAAACAATGTCGATCTATTGTCATGAGATATTCTGGTGATTGGGAGGTAATTGGGTTTTTTATTAATAGAATTACAGTATTGTTGAAAATGAAAATGCTAGCAGCATATAAGATGAATGTTGTGGCAATATCAGTATGTTATTCCAAATTTTTTATCATTATCAGTTTTTCATTCTCAATTTAGAACATCGTGAATCGTTTGGGACGCTGGATTGATTTTAAGAACGATTACAAGACTTTATATCCATGGTTTATGGAAAGTGTTTGGTGGGTTTTCAAACAACTTTATGACAAAGGTTTTGTTTACAAAGGCTTCAAAGTAATGCCATATTCAACGGGTTGTCATACTCCACTATCAAATTTTGAAGCCAGTCAGGTATGTGAATATTTCCTTGTCGTTTATAAGTTCATTTTTGTACATTGACATTTTGTGGCTAAATACGTACGTATATGTATTGTATACATATACGTATACAATACGTATATGCAATACAATCACGTTTACGTTGTGATTCACAAACCACTCAATAAAAAACGTATACGAAGTATACGAACATGGTATTTTATAGTTTGATATTAGTTTTCATGACATTCGTAGTGATTGCACCATTATTGATCATTCTTTCAGAAGTGAAAAATGATTTCATCATTTTATAATTTATCTTGTTAAGCAATGCAATTTTGTTGTAAAATTAGAGCATAAAGTAAATACTTTATATTTTTAGAATGTGTGTCACATATTTATTCTGACAAATGTTTTCATTTAAACCACTACAATACTACAACTACAATAAACGAGTCTAAATGTAGAGATCTCAAATACTGAATTTATTAGGACTACCCTAATTTAAAAGGCTTGGCATCAAGTTTTCCCACCTTGTGCTAAAGTATAGCTGTATCATTAATAAACCTATAGTATTACAAATTTACAATTACTATAATATAGCATAGAATAATATGTTTTAAATTTTTTCAACACAGAATTACAAGGACACTATTGATCCAGCTGTCATTATCAATTTTCCTCTTGATGAAGATCCAAAAGTGAAAATGATTGCGTGGACAACAACTCCATGGACTTTGCCAAGCAATCTAGCTCTCTGTGTTCATCCAGATATGGATTATGTTAAGGTATGCACAGGGTGACCCCCGAAAACTCTGACCCTGGAGTTTATGTATTGCTTCTATGAAAATTAAGGAAATTTATTCGATACTTCTATTTGTGTATGATTGCACTCAAAAGTTTCAGTTAGTTTAAGAGCTTTGCACGAAAGTAATGTTTTCTTTTGAACATGTTCCAAATGACCCAAGTTTTTGAGTTTTTGCCTATTTTAGGGGTTGTTTTGTATCGCTATCAATTTTGATTTTCTTATTCCAGTCAAAGACTAATATTCTTTATCTTCAGTTTCGGTCAAAACAATGTTTTTACTAGCGAAAGAGGAACATAGTTTCTTCGAATTGAAAATGTCAAACCACCATTCGTCTTGTTCCTCTTTTGCTGATATTCAATGGTTTTGTGGGTTTTTAATCTATTTCAATACCTGTCTACGTGACTAAATAAGTACATGAAGATGCGTTTTGAATGATGCAACACTAAAGCATACAAGGAATGTTTTATGGTTGAAATTCCTCTCTACTGAAAATATACTTTCTCAAATTGACCACAGATAAGAGATTTACCAAGCCTATAAATTTTTGAACAGACTTTATCCCTATGTTGTCGAGCATTAGAGCACTTTAGTAAAGTCTGTTTTCCGGCTTCAGCTTCCCACAGGTTATTGTGATTTGTGCCTTGAGGTCAAGGCTGATGCAATGCAATATATCTAATGCAAAAAGATTGGCGGGAAATTTGTTATTTGCCCAAATTTTTCATCAATAATTTATTTGAATTTCTTCAGGTCCGAGATACAAAAACAGAAGAGATTTACATCCTTATGAAAAATCGTCTTATTTCATTGTATAAAGAAGAAACTGAATATGAAATTCTTGATACTTTCAAAGGGAAAACTCTTTTTGGTAAAGGATATCAACCTCTCTTTCCATATTTTGCTCAAGTAAGTTGAAGCTCCGAATATAATATAATTTTGTACGTTCTTAATGATTGTTTCCTCAGAATATGCATAGCACAAGTCAAGAAGTTACAATTTTCTTACTAACCTTATGTCTTACAGTGTACTCAGTAGTGATAGCAAGTCGGTCTTAGACATTTAACTTAATGAAGCAATCGTAATCATTTTCTGTTATTGGGTTAATGTCATTGAGTTTCATCAGATTTTTTTTACAAATAATTCTTCATAGTCTGAACTTGATTTTCGATTTTTATGTATTACATCTGTATTCTTGTATATTATTATGTACAGATGAAAAGCACAGGAGCATTCCGTATCATGTGTGATACATATGTAACTGATGATAGCGGTACAGGAGTTGTTCATCAAGCTCCTTTCTTTGGAGCGGTAAGTTTACAAGTCATTTTACAATCAAAACTATTTGGTTGTCTATGTCTTTTAGAAACACATTCTAGAGAACTTACTTTCTTTCTCGTGCCATCAAAGTGTTATCAAATTATATTATTTTTTGAAGGAATATGACCATTCTGCCGAGGAGATAGATTCGAAAAATTATATTATTTGAATCTATCTCCTTGACGGAATGGTCATCACTGACCAACCATGACACTCTTCACTAATCGTCGAATTGACCTCAGTTCTGCGCCATCATGCTCATATGAATCCTTTTTTAATCCTTGAGTTTTAAAGAACTTTGAGCCTGATATGATCAAAGAAGCTTCGTTCTTCATTTCATACTTTCTCATCTACTAAAAGCCGTTATACTTATTGTTATTCGGTATATTTAAACAATACTGTTGTTCCTATCTTGTAATTGCTATAAACTACTTACCTGAGGAATTCTGACTTACCTCAGATAAGATGTTACAGAATAAAATTTGTGAAATTCCCAATCACCAAGTATCTATCTGGCTAGATCTGAGTGGTTTGAAATAGTCCAGCTAGAATAGATGCTAACCTCGCTTTTAATGGTGTATTAATTCTCAAATTTACCAACAATTTAGGATGATTATCGCATCTGTACAAGCAATGGAATAGTTGCAAAGGATGGACTTCCAGTTTGTCCTGTGGATGCCAGTGGAAAGTTTACTGATGAAGTGGAGGATTTTGCTGGAATATATGTGAAGGTTATATGATTTTCTCATTAATTTTGATTCGTTATTGTTGACAAGGTGTACCGAGTGATAGGCCATTTTAATATTGTGCCTTCCATTATAGCCGGCGAGGTTGTGAGTCATTGTTTTCATTGAATATCGTTCACTAAGTTACAGAAATTGATACCAAAATCGTTTATATATCATAGAATATCTTATCTAAGATTAGATGAGGTAATCAGTTTGGCTTGTGATATAAAGGTTGAAAAAATTGAAATATCAATATCAATTCCAGGATGCTGATAAACTTATCTGCCGTCATCTGAAAGGAACAAACAGACTTGTTCATCAAAGCACAACCAAACATAACTATCCTTTCTGTTGGAGATCTGAAACTCCTCTTCTTTACAAAGCTGTACCAAGCTGGTTCATTAGAGTGGAAAACATTACAAAGCAATTATTGGAGAACAATGCTAAGACATATTGGTAAGTCATAGTTTTATTACCTGTTCAGCAAGCTAAACATTAGGAATACGCTTGCCATCACACCTCTGGTTACACTGCGTGAGTTTGCAGGTTCAAATCCTATTGGGGATATCTATGTGCAAAGCATTGCTGGACTTCTTGCTGTTTTAGGGTTGGTCATGTAACTGCTAGTTGAATATAAATAGCTTCAATCTGGAAACAAACAATCATCTAACTAAAACCATATTCGACATGGAGCGATAACCAGACATAGGCCGTGGTGCGCCATGTGGTTAATCCATCTTTTAAACTTTGCCCATCCCTGGGATAAATATGAGAATCCTATCATGAATTGCCAATGAAATGTGATGCAAAGTGAAGTTTTTTTTATTTTGTGAGTATTATTGCCGCTGGATAAATATTTATTGGTTATCTTGGTTAGCTCAAAGAAAAAAGGTGCCAGACGACATACTCTTATGACAAGTCACCACTTTTTCTAGTTACAAGACTAGGTGGAAGTAGCTAATTGTTGTGGATGCATTGACCGAATGGTGGAAGAAAAAATTATGCGAACCATGGTCATTTTATGAGGTGTTTTCATACCTTCTCTTCGAAGGCCAGTGACTACGTAACTAGATACTGATTTTGATGGATTGGAATCTTTTAAGTCCGTTGCCAACCTAACTTATTGCAGCAGGTGTAAGGTGATCAAAATAGGATTTGAATCTGAGAATTTTACCCTGCAACATAGGCATCGTACAACATAATTATCTACCATTTTTGATGAATTGAAATCTTTCCAGTCAATTCCATTGCTAATCCAATTACAACATGGGTAGCGAAGTCAGCTTCTGGGATTGAACCAGAAATTTTTGACCTGTGACACCAACATAGCTTAGGCTGACCACTCTAACTACTCGGAAATGCAATACATAAGAAAAATAATATGTCATCTCCAGCTATTTAATTTCACATAATAATTTTCTCTCCATTTCAGGGTTCCTAATTTTGTCAAAGAAAAACGTTTTGCAAACTGGCTTCGGGATGCTCATGACTGGGCCGTTTCTCGTAATAGATATTGGGGTACTCCGATACCATTGTGGGTCAGCGAGGATTTCGAAGAAATCGTTTGCATCGGGTCCATAGAGGAATTGGAACAATTATCTGGAGTCAAAGTCACTGATCTTCATAGAGAAAGGTATTTTAGAGTAATGATGTTTTTATTTTGTTGTATGTCAACGAGTCGTGAGTTGAACACAATTAATTAATATGGCAAGGCATTTTTAATGCTTCTGTTGGACAGGGATTGCATATTTTATGCAACAGAAAAATCAGTATTCTCAGAAGAATCACCTCTTTTAATAGGTGGTTTCAGAAGCCATTGCAGGCGAATCTCCGATTTCGAATTTGAAACTTCGGTTCTGAAATGGCTATGCCCCTGTATTTGGCATATTAACATTTATCTGTATCATAATTTACTTATAATTTAGTTCAAGCTATTGAAATCTTGCTTCTTTTGTTAATCATTATCTGATCTTCATTATATCTGTTTATAATTATTTGGCAAGATTAACATTTAAAACTGTATATATATGAAAATTCACAAATTTTTTGCTTTTTAGAGAGCCTTTATTTTTTTTTTTTTTTAGCGGATAACCCTTTTGTTTCTGTTTTTAACTACTGTCAATCTTCTGTTTCCTATTGTCTGTCAATTTTTTGTCAATCTTCCAACTTCATGCTTTGCTATTTCTCTTTAGTGTTGATGGCATCACTATACCATCACGCCTTGGAAAAGGAGTTTTACGTCGTATATCCGAAGTATTTGATTGCTGGTTTGAAAGCGGATCTATGCCTTATGCTCAAATGCATTATCCATTTGAGGTAGGCTATTACTTTTCCTCAATGCCTTAAAGTTCTGTTTCCTCAATGCCTTAAGATTCTGTCCTGGAACTTAATTCACTGGACTGGGCAAGAAAAAGCTTTATAATATATGCATGCATTTAATAAATACAACATATGAGGTGGGTATTTTCGAATACCTGATGATTTCTAAATTGAATCAAATAATTTTACTCAATCTAATCGAATCTCGAATACTTGGAAAAGGGTAATTGTATGTATTAACTTTTTTTTATCGCAATAGGTCCTTCATACACATAAATTACTGAAAACATAGAATCTATTACTCAGACAAATCGCTGAGTTGTCACCCACAATAAGAAACAGATTTTATCAATATCTCACTAGTAGAAAAAATCTCATATGACAGAATTGCATTTTAAGAATATGGTTGCAATAAAAAAATGGAAAGATTCTTGACCTTGAACGGAAGACTAGAAAAAAGATGGCGATCATTCGAAAGTTTGATCTGAACCAGTTAAAAAAAAATCTTGTTTAAATATTTGATTCGGAATGCTCAGTCCTATTCACAAGTCAGGCAATTGCGTAAATTTCCTTTCAATTGTTTCAAGATTTTGGTTTCTTATGCCCCAATTTATGATGCATTCCAACTGCCAAGACTTGCTTGATTTGGAATTTAGCATGGATTATACCTTTGATGCATGCTGGTTTCTGTATCCTTTTAGGCCTGTTATTATTGCTTCACTATTAACCAGCATAGAATTCATTTTTGGTGGTCGTGGTACAGCAATGCGAGATATCCGAATTTCGCTGATATCCGCATAAAAAATTTATTATGGCCAACAAGTTGTATGTTTGTGGTAATTATTTGTGATTTTCTTATCTTTAGAACAAGAAAGAATTTGAAGACAGTTTTCCAGCTCATTTCATTGCTGAAGGAATTGATCAAACAAGAGGATGGTTCTATACCTTGCTGGTATTATCCACTGCTTTGTTTGGGAAACCTCCATTTCAAAATCTAATTGTCAATGGACTCGTTCTTGCCAGGTATGGCATCGATATTGTTAATACCATTTTTGATTTATTCATGTTGTTCATAATTCAATGTTGTTAATACTTAATCTCAGCGATGGTCAGAAAATGAGCAAAAGGAAGAAAAACTATCCTGATCCAATCAAAGTTGTACATGCATATGGTGCAGATGCTCTCCGATTATATTTGATCAATTCACCTGTGGTTCGTGCCGAGAATTTGAGATTTCAGGTACTGTATTGCCTGTTTTTTATTTGTTATAAGGAATATTTTTTGTAATATAAATTTTTCTTTTTCTTTTTAGGAAAATGGTGTACGAGATATTTTGAAAGATGTTTTTCTTCCTTGGTACAATGCATACAGATTTTTTGTGCAGAACGTAATAAGGTAAGTTTTAATTTAAATTTCAATTTTTGGGAACAAAGATTCAATTTTGAATTAGCTTTTCAACTGCTCGTTTGGTTTTCATTTTTATCTATCTTATCTTGGTCAGCAGCGGCTGTGTATTATTTCAAATGCAGGCTAATTTGTATACCTTAATACAACCAAATACTCCAATGTTGTTGTTCGATGAAATATATTTATACACATGTTTTTAAATATTCACTGTGGGGTTCATAAATGAGATTTTCCTATTCATCTTTGAGAAGAAGAAAACTAATGAGATGATTTATTCATATATCAAACCATGACCTTTCACAATCACCCTGTAATCTGTATTAGGCTTGAAACTGTTAGATTTACTCCTATTTGTGTAAAATGATAAATGATAATGAAAATCTCATCCTTTTTAAGGCTACAAAAGGAAGAAGGCATTGAGTTTAAATACAAAGAAGATGATCTTGGAAGTTCTGACAATATAATGGACAAATGGATTTTGTCATCAATACAATCACTTGTACTGTATGTGAAAAAGGAAATGAAAGGTGTGATACCTCAATTGTATTTTAAATTGGAAAATTGAAAAAAAAAAAGAAACTTCTATTTCGACTGTTTTCTACGCTTTTATTAATGTAAGCATTACTATTTTAAAACAAAAAAAATTAAAAGATGTCGCAACTATGATGTACGCTAGCCCAATGATGCAACACACAAGACCCGCTTTGCTTCATGTGTCAATTACCATCTTCAGATCGCATGGTCATCACATTATCACACGGTGGTGAATAAATATTTTACTTTGCAGCATACCACTTGTATACTGTCGTTCCTCGATTGGTCAAATTTGTGGATTTATTGACAAACTGGTATGTCAGATCGAACAGAAAAAGATTGAAGGTTTTTATATTTGCTTATTTTTGAGTTTTATTTGTTGATGTCTGTGATATTTATAAAGAATATGTGTGTGTTCTTGCATTTTTGATCAAATCATCCTTATTTGAAATTAGACCCGAGTTAAACACATTTAGATCGTTTTCTATTTTATGTAATTGAATAAGTTTTGAAACATTATTGGAAGATAATATTTTAAAAATCGATAGAATGACATTTTTTGCATTCTAATATTGTAGTTTTACTATTACAGAGTTTCATTACTTTTAAAATAGGTTGTCGATTTTTAATAAAATCTGAGATTTTGTTGAAGGTTTAAATAACATATATCTATTTTAATACGCCTTTACTACTCACACCACTTATTCTGGTATACTACAGCATGTTTACCCTAATGGGTGCAGTGATAAATCACTATTTGTTTGTCTAGATTTTCAATCTTATATGCTTTTACGTCTGGAATTAAATTTCATTTTGATTTATTCGATTTATCAAAAGAAGGGTGACATTTAATATTAAGAAAATCCAATTTCTTGGATAGCAATGCCAATAAAAATCCTAATATTAATATTTACTCTGTATAAAACACTCCAAATTCTCAAAGTAACCTTTGATAATATTATCAGATAAGTAAACATTGTAGGAAATAACTAGAATGGATTACAAATAGAACCTTGTATGAGCTCCAGGTGAATTTCATTGCCAAACTTCAAAAACAAGTAGTTTTCTGTGATAGAATATGTTTACCTATGACTAGGTCGCCTTTTATGCAAATTGTTTTATCAGTTTTGGATGATGCAACTTTGAATCAGCGAATGTAACTCATATTATTAACATATATTTTTATAAATACATATTTTAAAGTGGGTTGACTATAAAATGGCTTTTGAAATGGAAATTTTTTTTGAGTTTATTTTATAATCAATGTTACATGGGGCTCATGGCTTCCTCCACCATTAATTCCATTCTTCCAAAAACAAAATATCTTGGCGAATCCCATAAATGACATGGACTAGTAACCGGACGAGAGGTGATTAAACGGTTCTGTCGTTTCTCTTTCCCTGGGATGATTATGAAATTTTATCCTTATTACAATTCTTTTTCTATGCTTTTTAATTCTCTATTTAAATGATAAACAATCCTTTTTATATTGATTTGAAGTTGACTAATTAACCTCTCATATTAGTATAGAGCTTCTTCTAATCTTGTTTATATAATATCAGGTAAAAGAGCAAGTTATAGCTGACAATTCACTTGACTCTTTGAATGTTTCAGGGTGATGGTGGACCTGAAGATTGCCAAAAAGCATTGCAAACACTTTATAGTGTTCTGTACACAATGATTAGAGAAATGGTAAGTTTTTATGGGTGCTCCTGAAGTATGCGCACCAAGATGTCGCATAACCTGAACCCTAACCTGGTGCACAACCTGAGTTCAGGTTGTGCGCCATCTTGGTGCGCATACTCCAGGAGATCCTTTTTATGCTTCCAAAACTCTATCTTTGATCAACATGTAGATTAGCTGCCATTTCATTATGGATGATTTTTTTTATGTGTTTTAATGCAAGGTAGGGCTGGGGGGTGGTGGTATATAAATTTTTTTAATGATTGAATATGTACTAGTTATTAATGACTTTACTGCCTTGTTTGGAGCAAAAGGCTTGCAAATACGCCGCTCAAAAAATGTCACATGATAACAAAAATACATCTAATATGCAGTCTGTAATCCTTTTTTTTTTTCAGAGTCCATTTACTCCGTTCCTTACTGAGCATATGTATCAAAATCTCAAGAAAGTTTTGAAATCTAAAGAAAATGCTGAAAGTATCCATTATTTGATGTTCCCAGATGCAAAGTAAGATATTCGAAAACTTAATTTACATCAATTGTGACCACTGTATATGGTTGCCTTATTTTCACTCTAGGAATTTCCATCATATTCCTTCTTCATACAATCTCATTTTAATACAACCAAATAGAAAACAACATAGAAATTTCTGATTTGTATTGTTAATTATAGGCCAGCGATAACTGAAGTTTATATTCATTTTGTTTCTGACTATTCATAAATTTCCACGAAACGCAGGCAATCATAGATAATGCAAATACAGAAATCCAAATATTCTTTAGAATTACTGATATGCTTTATCTATGTTATAAGACAAGCGTTTATAGTTTTATATATTCATTGTAAATTATTTATATTTTATTTTCTCAATTTTAGTGAGAAACTGATTGATGTGGAAATTGAGAGAGCAGTTTCAAGGATGCAAACTGTTATTGAATTAGGAAGAATAATCAGAGATAGAAATACAATGCCAATCAAGGTAATAACTGATTTCGACTGCATACGATTCTTCTTCGTTCTTTTGTCATTCTGAAGAAAAAACTATGAAGATTCAGTCCTTTTTCAGACGGCCATTTAAAATAATCATTCTCTGTTAACAAATCAAACTTGGTTTTAATAAATTTTGTTGTGGTCAACTGCAGGCAAACATTTCATTTCGCATGTCACTGCGACTTTGCATTATTTTGTATTCTTATTTTTCTGTGAGCATGTTACTTATGCTAGGTCCCAATAGTATACACCAGGGGTGTGCAACCTGCAGCCTGCGGCCGAATGTAGCCCACAAGAAAAAATTGTGTGGCCCGCGGATATATTTTTAATTTGGTTTAATCTGGTGCGTGCGAGGGATTCCAATCCCTTTGCGTTGCAAAGCCTATACTCGAGTCTAATTTATTATCTATGCATTATTTTCCACTACTATTATCTTACTTATTATTATCTAATTTACTGTCTGCGTCATAATGTCCTAACAGCTAGCTTGTGCGAAGTGAACAACGCATGTCATAAGATCAATAACCAAAATTTTTGTGTGAGCAACTATTAGAAAGCCTATGTTAAATAAAGGTGCGACCCGTGCTTTCACCCAGTCAAGTCAAGCTATGCTAATAACCCATGCTAATAATTTATTGTTTATTAGGCCTGATTTAACTGCAGATCTCTTTCCAGTACAATTATTTTCATGTTAGCTTATATGAAATTTAATTTCTTACAGTACCCTTTGCCTGAGGTTGTCATCATCCACAAAAGCAAAGAATATCTGGATGATGTTGCTAGTTTGGAGCGATATGTTTCCGAGGAATTGAATGTACGCAAGATCACGACTTCTTCCGATAAAGACAAATATGAAGTTAGTCTTCGCGCACAACCTGATCACATGATTCTCGGGAAACGTTTGAAAGGTAATTTCCCATTTTTTTTTAATTTTGAAATCAAATTTTCATAAAGCCTGCTACTAAACGCTGCATTTTTACATTAATCCTCTTCTAATCACAAACTGGGACTATCAAACAATCTGGTTTCGGTCTAACAAAAATCTTAATCCAGTGGTTCTCAACCTTTTTAAAAGCTCCTCCTGGAATTTTGGAACTCATTATTCCTTCCTTGCTATCTATTGCTTCTTTTGTTTAATCTTTATTAGATACTTAACTAAAGTTATGCACAAGTAGCACTCCTGTTTTTGCACAGCTTAAGTAGTTATTGCGTCATTGACAGTTAACAATGTGCATCACTTCAAAGTATTATATAGGCAATATGGCATATCCAAATGAATAATAGTTGCTTACCATATTTTTTTTGTCATCGATCATTCTAATTCAGTTTAGGGCTCTCGACGTACTACTAGCAAAGTTGTTTAATATACACATTTTACAGGTGAATTCAAACAAGTATCGGCAGAAATAGCTAAATTATCAAGTCAGCAAGTTGAAGACTATTTGCAGAAAGGATCTATCGAGGTCAGTTTAACTATTTGTTTTCTCATTTTATCTTTCACAAGAAATGATAGTTAAATTCAATTTTTTTTTTTTTTTTTATATTTTTCAGATTGGTGGCCATCAACTTGGTGAGGGAGATCTCAGAATTATTTATCATTTCGAATCGGCATCAGGAGACGCTCCATCAAAGTACGATTAATGATTATTTTCGATTCTCTTCTTTTACTTATATAAACTTTGATTACAAATTATAGTAAACAATGGGGACAGACTGTGGGTCATAGGTCATAAATATTTCTTTCAAACTTGATCATGTTAAGCATAAATTATAGCACCTTGTGTATCAGCTGCTTGTTCTGAGCCTTTTTCGGAGTGACGGTATGAAACACCCAGAAGTCTCTAATTTTCAAATGGTTAGAATCTTGTATGTTCTGCAAAGTTTACTCGTCAGATCTTTAGCTGCGAGATCAATAGAAATGAAAAGTTTCCATACTTTGTAAATCACTGTTCTCTTTTCTAGATATGCAGCACATTCTGACAACGATGTTCTGGTTCTTCTTGATGTTACCCCTGATCCAAGTATGATCGATGAAGGTGTCGCAAGAGAAATTGTCAATCGTATTCAGAAGTTGAGGAAGAAGGTAGTGATTTATTGTTGTTGTTGTTTTTTTAAATGTGATAGCATAATAAATGAGCATGTAATGTTATTCATATAAATTGTGGTTCTTGAAAGAGTATTTGTAAATGAGACAAATATTGCTTATTATTATTACCGGTCTTCATTGAAGTACGATGTTTTATTTTTTGCGTCATAGTATGCCTTTTATTAATAGTTTCCCAGAGAAAAATGGAATATTTCTAAAATACTATTATCTGATAATTTTGTGATTATCAACCCAGTAGGCCGAGTAATACCTATCAAATACTTTTTTGACCTGCTTATCAATTCGATGCTAAAGAAGGGGTTGTTTCAACTATTTTAAGGGATTCTGATTGAAAAAAAAACTAGTACTATATAAAACTAATGGTAAATCTTACCAAATGTTTCATTTATCAAAATATAACTCTCCGTTACAGGCCAAACTGGTGCCAACTGATGAAGTGACTGCATTTTTCGATGTTTCATCAACGAATGAATATATCACCAAAGTTTCAAATTCTCATGCAGAATTTATAAGCTCTTTGATCAAATCTCCATTCATTTCGTACCCTGTACCTGTCATTGCCGATGTTATCATTGAAGAAACTGTTACGGTTTGTACATTCTCATCAACAATTTTGTTAATGAGTTTCATACCATCAGGCCAAATTACTGTTATAGTCTCATTGTTCTCCATAATTTCATGTACATGGTTTGCTGATATTATCCAAATCGCATTGTAAAATTTAGTTCATTTTCATTCGTTAGTAAATGTTATCCTTGCTTAGCTGTTTTTTATTACAATTTGTAGGGTAGGGTAATGTATAAACATAAACTTGGTGAGAGTCCTGATCAGTCTTATGGTCAGTCCTGGTGAACCTAACCAGGATTTTATAAAATTTGGATAGACTACATGGTATTCGAGAGAAAAGATTCTGATTCCTCTTAAATTAGTACTCTATATTGTAGTAGCAGCGGGTCCAGTCTGTGTAGGCCAGTGGTATAGGATAGAAATTAGGAAGCCTGCACCACAATTATGTCTTATTTATTAAACATTTAACCAAGATTTAGATTCGATTAATATATGATCAGAAGCCTTCCAATTATTTGATCGGCAAAATTATTTAATTCGTATTATTGTCTTGCATTATTTTTTCATAATTATAATATTATTGCAGCTCAAAAGTACAGAGATGGGAATTGCTTTAGTGAGTGGTCATGTAGATTCTGAAACTGATGGTTTACCTCAACCTGCATGCAAGTATGTTAATGTAGAAGTTTCACAAAATGGAGTATATGCAGGTAATTATGTTTTTGTGGTTTCATCTTACTGGGCCTCAAGGACATGTTGATTAACACCCACTCAGAAGTAAAGGAGACTCATTTCTGAGCAAAGATATGCGCACTCACTCAGAAGTAAGAGACTCATCTCTGAGCAAAGTTATCCGCACTCACTCAGAAGTAAAGGGGACTCATTTCTGAGCAAAGTTATCAACACTTACTCAAAAGTGAAGGAGACTCATCTCTGAGCAAAGGTCTGAGCACTCACTCAAAAGTGAAGGAGACTCATTTCTGAGTAAAGTTATGCGCACTCACTCCAAAGGAGGCTCATTTCTGAGCAAAGTCATGAGCACTCACTCAGAAGTGAAGGAGACTCATTTCTGAGCAAAGTTATGCGCACTCATTCCAAAGGAGACTGATTTCTGAGCTAAGTTACAGGCACTCCCTCAGAAGTAAAGAGACTCATCTCTGAGCAAAGTTACAAGCACGTCGCACTGCTGATTAGGTGTTTGCAGGTTAGAAGAGCATTCTGTGGGTGATTTTGTGTTAAACAATTGTGTGGCGCCTCCCTGAGATAAAAGTGATAATCCAATGCTAATCTTGATTATTATTTGCAGGAAAGTTGTCTGTATTGCTAGAAAATCCAAAAGGTTGTCCAGTGATCACAAATCCACGACAGTTCAAAACAGTCTTCACAAAATTGTACTTCAACAGTAATCCTGTGTTGCTCCAGTCAGAAAAAGAAAATGGTATTAGCAGTAAATTTTTTTTATTGTCTCGGTAATATAATGCAGTTATGAAGATATTGTTGTGTCTATTGAGATATTTCATATGCATACACAGTATTTGGATGTATTAAGACCATCAAAGATAAAAATGTTCATCAGGAGCATGCACGATTCATTACTAAATTTGTATGTTCAATTTGCATACTTTTTGCTTTTAGGATAAGATAGGATTTACATATTTATCCCGGACGAGAGGAAAGACGATAAGACAGCTCAATTACGGTATATGGCGAACCACGGCCTCTTGTCCGGTTACCAGTCCACGTCGGTATGGAATTAGTCAGCCATTTATTTGTTTTCGGAAGCACGGACTTGAAGGTGGAGGAAGCGGCAGAGGTGCGGTGGCGGTGCTGTTACGAGCATATTCCTAACGCTTAGCATGATGCGTCACACTGCCGAGCCCTTTTTTAGAGAAGATAGAATTTAGATTTATTCTCTTCAACATTGAACTGCTATTTGGTAAATGTGTTAATTCTCGGTTATTTTGACAGGACCTTTTGCACCAGTGAATGGAGGAATAATAATGGTTGATATTGCGAAGCTAACAAATACTGCTCCTGGTTCTGCGGATGGTAATGTTGTTTTTTTAATAACCCAATGTATTTTGTCTTCTTTCTTTTTGCTGTTATTACGTATCAGACTTTATATTTTGAAAATATATCGAAATAGTATGAAACTTTTTTCTTTCTTAGAAATTTGTGAGACATGATTAAACAGCATTTTGACAAATAAAAATGAATAAGTGAAAATGTTTTTTATTATTTGGAATATAAGTAGGAATGTTCATATCCAGATCATTATGTAGTTATTTTAAATTTGTATCAATTTGAAATATTATGAATGTATGTTTTGCAGCAAAATTAAATATATGCCAAACTTTAAATAAATCGTGATTTCTCTTAGATAATTTAGAATCTTACAGAAAATAAAACAGTAGTATTGATAAGCTCAAATTCAGAAAAAATATGAGTTACAATCAAATTGATCTCTTCAGTCAAGTAAAAAGTTAATATTTTATTATTTTTTTATTGTGTTTTTTTACATTTTGGCTGGAATGTTGAACCTTTTTTATTATATTTTTCCAAAGATTAAGAAGTACAGTTTTTTATCAAAGCGTTTGCATTTTTATTGTCCCTTTGATAACTCAGACTTAATTTTTTTAGGAATATTTGCAGCAGAACCCCCACGTGTTAGAGTTAAACTTGATCTGAATTATGCATCCACGAGACCTGAATTACCATCACCAGCATGTTCTTATGTCAATGTCAAGTTCGTTCCGAATAGTAAAGAAGGTATTGCAAACTTCATTTATATATTGTTGAATAGCATATTCACTGAAATTTTATATTATGGGAGCATAGCCAGCCCAAAATTTTTGGATGGGGGCAAATTTTTTTGTGTATTATATATTGTCGTAATATGGCGCTCACTCGTGCCTTTTGCTCCAAACAAAGCTAATTAAAAGCAGCCGCGTATCCAAGGTATACAAGCGTCGATTTTCATCTATCTCTGTTGGTTCATTTGGTGAAAAGGATTATTGATAGCAAGCTAGGAACAGTCAGTTATCAGAAGAATAGAGTAAAATGGTGTTAGAAATGCCATAAGAATTACGTCTCCCTGCAAAAACTGCAAAAAAATGTTGAAAATTTCGGGGTTCCACATCCCTCCTAACCCCCCTGGCTACGCATATGCTCTCGAGAGCATGTGCTATGGTATATAAATTCAGGTTCAGAGTTGTGCATGCAATTTTATTGCTGTTCTGGGATCCCTGTTTTACTCTTATCTGATCAAGATTTATTTGTTTTCTCCCCACCTTGCCCAGGGTGTCATAAATTGGGTAGACAATGCCAAACTGGAAATTTTCTTGTCCTTTTTAAAAATAAAAGCTCCTTAGTCCTTACATATCCTTGTCTGTATCATGTCTTTGTTTACATATCCTTGTCTTTTTTATGGTAATTTTGTTTTGGTTTACAATTATGCGGAATTAATTTGTATTAAATTTTATTCACAATGAGCGATGCCTTGAGACACAGGAGATATTTAAAGTAAGAATTAGCACTTTTTTTCATACAATTTTTATTTAGCAAAATCGTCAGTTGGATCAGTTTTACTTGATAATCCTCCCGGTCGAAATGAACTAGATCTCCAACAACTTACTCAAGAATGTTCTCTATTGTTTGGATTGAGGGGGAAGACACAAACAAAACTTTTTGCGGATTCCAAATGCACTCAAGGTGAGTTTTATTGATGGCAATTAGATACAAATTGAACCTTTTGATCGGTTTACTATTTGTTTTTTGGGGTGATTGGGGTTTAAAAATTGCCTTTCTCCGCTACTTTTAGACCAATCATTCAAAGATTCAATGATGAAGTCATTAGAAGGCTATTACTTTTATATTTTTTTCAATCTTTTTGTGAGTTTTGCGATGTTCCGTCATGAATTTGCTGTTAATATCAATTCACAAGCACACCTTCATATGACCTTCGGTACATACATTATGACATTCGGGACAATGGTCTCTTGTTTTTGTTTAAAAATGGTTTTAAAATTAAAGTTAAATTACTTTTGCGTTCTTGCTCTTAGTCCTGAAAAGTATGATTTCATCAGGCCTGTGATAGGGATGATTCAGTTTTGAAACATCTAGAATAAAAGAAATATTTGTTTTTACAGCTTCAGTTTCTCTTACTGTCATTTATCATTCTATTTTCTATTATTTATAGAAATAAAGGACATTAACGGACTTCATGCATCAACTGTTTATGTCAAGTCTGTTTGACATTGTCAACTTTGAGCTCCAGGTGTATTGTGTCTAAAGTTAATTCTACCACAAATGTTCCTTCGCATACTGTAAATTGGCATGTATTTATTTTGAACATGGCCAGAACCATTTTACCAAAAATCATCAATAGGACAACTTCTTTCATATCAAATTGTCAGTTAATTTACATTTACTAGAAATATATGAATATTTGCCTATAAGTGGTGTTCAGGGTGTTTCATGAGGCTCGGTTATGTGCAACTAGACTCAATCAGCATGTTTGTATTAATTCAGACACCGAAATAGACTAGAAAATTATCTTCCAGCTTTAACATATTATCTGTATAAGAGGCGATGTTTTTTAAGTAGTAATATTATCTTTCAAAACTATTATGGTCTGATCTTTGGTTGTATTCTGTTCAGTTTGATAATGATATTTGTTGATAGGCAATATTTTAGGTCTTTCTGTGTTGCAACTCAATTTCTATTCGAATGGTTTCTCAAATATGAATGTGTGTTTGTCATAGGAAAATATATTTGTGGAATTACTGTATTGTTTGTAAATGACAATTTTTGAGTAAATGGTGGAGGTGGACAGCCCTGGGAACTGGTGCGTTTGAAGACCGAGCGCTTTCACACAAGTTTTTTTGCATAACTTCTGTTTTTAATCTACCATATTGATATTCTTGTTCTTACGCTGCTCAGTTTTCTAGAAGTTTGTGAGGCGTAGTTTACCGACATTTGGTCGGGATCATAGGATCTTGACCAGGCAATGATAAGAATATTTAGCAGTTTAGGCTAGTGACGATGTGATGGTTTTTTGAATAACACATTGTAACGTAATACGCCAGAGGTGAAGTTATACTGGGTCGCGACCATGTCTTTGTGTATCAAGCGTTGGTATAGCTGTAAAATAAATAAAAAATCGTTTTTGATGCATAACATAAGCATAGTGGATACGAGACAACGCATAAATTAAAAGGGTAATATATCACAGAAAATAGTTCCGTCCTAGGCGCCGATAAGTGTTCATGCGTTCTAATGAGTTATAGTATCACTATTTATAAAAAAAAAAGGAAATGGCCGATGGTACCAATTTATCCCGTTTAAATGTGTGTCGGCGGCGTTCATAACATTCGTTGCTAAGACAGTTGTCATGAATCGTGTGCATTCACTAAATTTGAAGTTTTCTAGGATTTATTTGTAAGCTTGATAGCGGATGCCGACACGGCATCAATGAACGATTTAATATTTTGTGGGATAATAATATTCTGTGTTATACCCCAATCAAGTCATTTGTAAAATATCGCCTTCCCCTAAATTCTACCAGGTCCGAATATTGAGACCCCTTTGTTATTTACCATTTCGTACTTTCAATTGTGATGTCACTAATCTGCTTTTAAAGTTTCCGCCCTTGTTGCAGCAAAGTCGACTGTTGAGCTTAGGCATAATATGCTGCACGCCTAGTTGTCGAAAGGCGATCAGCTAAATGAATATATGCAGCCTACTTCACTTTTGAAAAAAGTTATGCCCAGAAAACCATTACTCATTTTGTTCAGCAGTAGGATAAGGAAAGTAGAGAACAATCGTGTGATAATATATAAATTCGAGGCAGGAAATGCGACGCCCTCCTAGATTCCATTTTTTTGGGGCCTGTGTACATTCAATTTAGACAATCGAAAGATTTAATTGCTCAGTTAAAACCCCTACCATACACCCGTCAGTAGCGAGAAATCAAATGTCTTGTCAAACATGCTTTTGCATCTTTGCGCTCAACTCGGCAGCGGCGCGCGCTGTTGCAGTTTGTTGATTGCAGCGCAGCGGGAATCCCGAGGCCTCTCTCCGTGCAATCTGAAAGAACAGTTTGATCGTCATTTCTTGTTATGAGTTTGTAGGTGTTGTTAAAATTCAATACTAGACTACATCTGTAATGAGTGGACTGAAAGAGTAATACTTGGGGAGTAATGTATGTACAAAGAGTAATGTTTGTAGAAATGAGCTCACTTGTTACCGTATATTTCAGTCAGGACAGCGTTACTAATTAACAATCACTCTTTTAGTTTTACTGTGACTTAACTGTATTACGTTCGATATAACGTTACATATGCAGACTACAGTTATTGGGTTAACGGTAATCCAGTAATAACTAAGATTTCGTGCGTTAAAGTAATTACATTTTCGTCTTTTTACTCCATTACCATACTGCCGTGCTAATTTGCCGATTTCAATTTATGTATTTACAAGCATTATATCGGTAGGTACGCGATACTGTGTACTGAAGCTAACCGAGCGGGTGTGTGGAACAGTATCATACTTCCATAGTACTGTATTAATTTCATTATGTATTCAGTGTTTGACTACAGAGACATTATAACAATTTTGCAAACCCATTATATGTACTGAAAGTCGGGAGGTTCACAAAATTTATTTGTAGTTTTGAAAATTTTCTAATGGTGTGTGTTATTCTACAATTACAATATCAGAATATCCTGACATGTCTAGGCTATTTAGTTTTTTTAATGATACTGCATTATGACATTTTCAGATCAGTGTCCGCAGTTCACTTTTTTAGTTCTGTAGTTATGGTATTTTGGGGGATTTTAGTTGTAAAGCATGAATGCTGGCCTGAAATACTATTTTTTGAATAATTGAAAAATAAGAAAGTTTAGCACACAGGAAAGTTCTTGAATATCAGAGATTGTTACAGAGTTATGTAATATACCAAAATATTGAAATAACTGAAAAATACATGACATTTAAAGTAGAAAGAAAAATCAGGGTGTTATGATCTTTATTTTTTTTATATCTAGTTCCCAGTTATAGGCTTATAAGTTTAAGATTTATTATAATAAATTCATCTAATAATGCGTTGGGAATAATCATCATTATTTTTTGTTTTCATTTATAAAATTGAATTTGGATTACTGGTACTGGTTTTGATAATACTGGTCACCCACTCTCTACTCCCATCTATGTCACGAATGATATGGGGTCAGAGGTCAGATTATGTAAAAAAAATTCAAGTTGTATTATGATTTAGTCATAATGTATAACTGTTTAATGTCAAAAAATGAGACTGTACATGTATTGAATGTTTCCACTTTTTAATTCTGGTATATGTGTGCGATACACTGAGATCCAGATCAATTATCATGACCGATGATGCATGGAGTGTAGGGTGTTTTTCATTATAGCCACATGCCATGGATTTTTATATACAAATAAGGGGGCCAAGTGGGGTTTAGGGGTTATAAGAGTGTAAGATGTTATGAAAACAATTATAACATTGTTTTCAAAGTATAGAATAGAATGCCTCACTGGCCAGAAATGCTGTGGTATTTTATCACAATGAAAAAAGTTCAGTTTGGTGGTTTTGTTACAGCCACCATAACTTTAAGATTAGTTCAGTCAAATAGAGTGGGGGCCTGAGAGCAATTGGTATCGCTTCTCGGCCTTTTGGCTAAGATCAAGTGTAGTATCTGTTCTTTTCAGATTAATACCTGAAATGTGGGGTACTCCCCCACTCTTGTATTAATTTGATTTTTGTACCTCAGGGTTTGGTTTGTGGCTTGCCACACCACTCCCACGGGTTGTCCTGGTATTGCAGTACCTCCAGGTTCGGCCCACTCTCCACATCGTGGAGATTCTTTCATACAATAAATAGTTAATTAACAGTAAAAAAGGGCTGTGATGACGGTGGAAGCCATAACCGGACATCAGTTAGCCAGTCCAGCAGTCCTTTTGCCCTTGATTATCCTTGCATAGGATTCCGACTTGCGAACCTACGCAGGGTAATCAGAGGTGTGGTGGCGTGATCATTCCTAATGCTTAGCATTGCTTTCAGAATACATGAATATATTTGGAATAGCAACTTAGTCGTTTTGGATCAGAGAGAATTGAGGAATACCTGACAGCCAAACAAGATCTATATACTGTTCCATAGTTCTGTAGTTAGGCTAGATATTACACTTGCAATAACAATAATAACATTGTTTTCAAACTATAGAATAGAATGCCTCACCGGACGGAAATGCTGTAGTATTTTTACCACAATGAAAAAAGATCAGTTTGGTGGTTTTGTTACAGCCACCATAACTGTAAGAATAGTTCAGTCAAATAGCGTTGGGGTCTGAGGAGTAGTCGGTATCGCTTCTCGGCCTTTTGGCTAAGATCAAGTGTAGTATCTGTTCTTTTCAGATTAATACCTGAAATGTGGGGTACTCCCCCACTCTTGTATTAATTTGATTTTTGTGCCTCGGGGTTTGGTTTCGTGGCTTGCCACACCGCTCCCACGGGTTGTCCTGGTATTGCAGTACCTCCAGGTTCGGCCCATTCTCCGCAGTGTGGAGATTCTTTCATACATTAAATAGTTAATTAGACTTTGATGATGGTGGAATCTATAACCAGACACCAGTTAATTCAGCAAGTCCAGCAGTCCTTTCGCACTTGATTATCCTCGCATAGGATCGGACCTGTGAACCTACGCAGGGTAATCAGTGGTGTGGTGGCGTGATCATTCCTAACGCTTAGCATTGCTTTCAGAATACATGAATATATTTGGAATAGCAACTTAGTCGTTTTGGATCAGATAGAATTGAGGAATAACTGACAGCCAAACAAGATCTGTATACTGTTTCATGGATAGATATTACACTTGCTGACTTGCATATTACATAGCAACATGCTGATATGCTATTCCTGTCTTTATGACCCCAAATCAAAATGTCTGGAAAACTTTTTTTAACTCATATTTATTCATTGCTGGTAGCTTAATATCTAGTGACATAGGTGATACCAAGAATCGAGAATGTTTGCAAACGAAGTCAAAACTCTCAAGGATAATTTCAAATCTGGGAAGACCAGATCAGCAGGATGGAGAAAGACTCAACTGTTGGCTCTTCGGAGAATGTTACGAGAAGCTAAGAAAGAACTCTGTGATGCTGTGTATCAAGATCTTCACAAAAATCCAGCGGAAACTGATATAATGGAAATAATGGGGATTCATAATGAGATTGTTCGAATGTTAGGGTGTATAGATGAACAGGTCAAACCTCAAAAATGTTCTAAAAGCTTATTGGCTATTTTGAATACAGTGCATATCAGGAAAGAGCCTCTGGGTGTGTGTTTAATCATAGGGGCTTGGAATTATCCTTTGCTATTGTCTTTGCAGCCCATGGCTGGTGCAATCGCTGCAGGAAATTGTATTCTCTTGAAGCCGTCTGAACTAACTTCTGCAACCGCAGGTTTATTGCATAAATTAATTCCTTTATACCTGGATCCTGATTGTTATAAAGTAGTCATGGCTGGACCGAAGGAATCTAGTGATCTGATCAACAATCATAAGTTTGACTTAATTTTTTATACAGGTGGATGCCATGTAGGCAAATTAGTTATGCAAGCCGCCGCAAAAACCTTGACGCCTGTTATTCTCGAACTTGGAGGAAAAAATCCCTGTGTTGTTGACAAGAGTTGCGATCTCGAATCTGCTGCTCGTCGAATTGCTTGGGGAAAGTGGACGAATTGTGGTCAGATTTGTGTAGCTCCTGACTATATTCTATGCGAACAGCATATGGTAAGACCACTAATTCAGAAGTTGAAACAATTCATTGAGGAGTATTTTGGGGAAGATCCTCGGAAATCATCAAGCTTTTGTCGAATTGTCAATGAACGACATGTAAAACGCCTTGAAGGGCTTCTAGAGGGTGTTGATGTTGTTTATGGCGGAGTCGTAGATGAAAAGGAAAAATACATTTCTCCAACAATAGTAACAAATATAAAAAAGGATGCTCCAATTCGCAAGGAAGAAATTTTTGGTCCCATTTTACCTATTTTTACAGTGGAAGACGTTGATGATGCCATCAGAGTAATAAACAACGGAGAAAAATCTCTGCAGATGTCAATCTTTGCCAGAGATCGACGTGTGATAAATAAAATTATCGCTGAAACTTCAAGCGGAGGAGTGACGGTAAATGAACTTTTGATGCAGCATAATGAGGTTGAATTACCTTTTGGAGGTGTTGGTGGTAGCGGGATGGGAATGTATCATGGTAAATTTTCATTCGATTCATTTTGTCATCAACGTTCCTATTATGAATGTGGAACACCAGAAATGATTAACAGATTGCGATACCCACCCTATACTGATTGGCAGCATTCAATTCTTGGTTTTGTAGGATTCAAAAAAGGTCCAGTTCCTGCTGCAGTGAAGTTTGTCTTCAAGTTATTCTTGCTGGCTGCATTTGGAGCTTTGGTTTCATACTTTTATGGCTCAATGTAGTAAATAACCCGCAGCATTGTTATATCAAGACCGAATGTTATTTTGTTCATAAACTATTCTATAATAAGCCTTATTCATTTTATCGACTGGTAGTCTGGTATTGATCAATTATTATCCAAACGTTTGTGGTTCTGCTTTATTATGCAATATAAAACAAACCAATAAATAAATATGTTATATCATTTCTATAGTGGTCAATTGATCAAATATATTAGTATTCAGTAAAGCCAATCCTGCATGGCATCGAACTCCTTTTAAAATATGTACTTCTCCATTGGCTATTCATCCTTCAAAGCAATTTAGTTGCGTGTGCCTTTCATACAAATATGAGAAATTCGTGCATGATAAATTGCATCTTACCATACCAAATAATTTGCCTTTTTCAATAATGCATGTATGCATCAAAGTCACATGATTTGTAATATTGTATAAAAGATCATTAAAATATGTAACAAGTATTTATTTCCCATAGTCTATAGTTTCGTTTCATCATTGCATCATTGTTATTTGTCTTGATTTGAATTCAACGAATTAATTGCATTGGAATTATGTATTTTTATAAAATAACCTGTTTTCAACTAAGTATCAGTCATGATATCACCTATATTAACGTTCTGCAAAAATTTGTTGGTATTCTGGATATCTGTCGTCATTTTATATTTTCTGATTTTCAAATGGTTTTATGGTTTTTTTATGGTGAATGGTTTTTTAATTTAAATGGTGTTGGTGTTAAGGAGAGGTTTTTCATTCCATTTAATCATATTATACTCAGGAACATATTTTTTCGTATTCAACTCTGGCCATATGAATCATGTTCCAAAAGCATATAATTTATATTCTGACTTGGAGTATTTTTTAGGTGAATTTTCATTAGAAACACACGCACTCATATGCTACTGCTTAGCCTGTAAGTTAAATGTGGTGATTATTATGTGCGAATAAATAACTGGAGTTACTGTACTTTATATGCTACTCTCTACGCTATAATTTTTTATAGTCTCGATAGATCCTAGCACCTTAATTGTAACCCGTCCATAACTTTGCTCTCTTTATTTCCGTGTGAGTGCGAGCGATCTTTCTTTCAGAACATTTCTTTAAAAAATAATCTACACAGGTGTGATCCGGTCGGTCATGGCTTTCTCCACCAACTATATCCACATGTATAGTCATCAATTTCCATACCTAACCTGGATTTTAAGCCAAATTGTATGGTTTGCCCTCTTTTCAGAACAAAGTTAAATTTCTTATCTACATTGAAAATTATACTTACCTACTATAATCCTGTTAAAATTATGCCCAAATTTCATTTTTCAAGAAGTACATTCAAAATATTGACGTAAAGTTCGAACTTCCTGTGTATTCAACATGAGATTATTTAGAGTGTATACATATAATACTGTTTTTTTTTATAAAAGCATTTGTGATTATCATATTAATGATATGTACCATAATTGTTCCTATCTTGAAAAAAGTAATTAAACATCTATGCCACGATACCAGACAGTTTTTTTCTACTGAATTTCCATACCTAACCTGGATTTTAAGCTAAATTGTATGGTTTGCCCTCTTTTCAGAACAAAGTTAAATTTCTTATCTACATTGAATATTATACTTACCTACTATAATCCTGTTAAAATTATGCCCAAATTTCATTTTTCAAGAAGTATATTCAAAATATTGACGTAAAGTTTGAACTTCCTGTGTATTCAACATGAGATTATTTAGAGTGTATACATATAATGCTGTTTTTTTTTTTTATAAAAACATTTGTGATTATCATATTAATGATATGTACCATAATTGTTCCTATCTTGAAAAAAGTACTTAAACGATACCAGACAGTTTTTTTCTACTGAAGTGCATATTTTTCCATGATAATAAAAGTTGTATTATATGATTAATTGATATTGCAAACAATTTGATTAATTCAAAGAAGATAAAAATTAACGTAGCCATTCCCACGAGTTCACCAAAATTTTAGACACTCATTTATGTGTATATATAATATTTAACGGTATAATCTTTTTTTAAGATATTTAATTTTTCAATTGTGTTTAATTGATGACTGGGTTATGATTTAATGGCTGCTTCTGCAAATGTTCTTTCGTCATCTGGTCAAGATATAAGTAATGGAATATTTCAATTGTTGAAACCTGCTGTAGAACAAGTTGACACTCAGGTTCAAAAAGTCAGAGAAAGCCAAGTATGTGGTTCTTAATGCCTTGTTTGCATGTGCATTTTAATAGCCTAGCTTCAATATCATCTACCCATTATGTTATTTCTGCCTGGGCACAAATGTACTGAGCAAGTAAAGTGCCACAGGTCGTGTGTTATCAGATATTCGAATAGCAAATAACAGTAAAATAACAGTAAACATTCTGAAAGCAGAAATATACAATCTCAAGATTAAACTATACAAAACTCAGGAACAACTCCAATCAAATGAAAGGCATAATACAGAAAGTGAATGGACCGGAAAAATAATCAATAAGGTGATATGGAGAATTAAAAATGTGAAAGGGACCCAAAGTGATATTAGGAAGATAGAAAGAATTGAAGAGTGGCTCAAAATAAACAATAACGAGACTTGAACACGACTGTAAAAAGCCAATATGCCCAAACTGACATTAAATCCATCGTTTTTTATACTACCCCATCACGCTCACCATAAATGGTAGCATGAACGAAAGTAATACCATCAAACGACCCAGCGGAAATGAAGATACTGAAGCTTGAGGGGTGTTAACTGTTATGTACGTAGCAGCCCCCAATATGTATGATTGCTTTTGAAGCAACATGCTTATAAAGCGTCATAACGTTATGAATCGGACATGACGTATCAAGAAGGTACTGATCCGAGATAAATAGTATTCTGATCCGTAAAAAAAAGGATCAAGTGTAGTATCTGTTCTTTTCAGATTAATACCTGAAATGTGGGGTACTCCCCCACTCTTGTATTAATTTGATTTTTGTACCTCAGGGTTTGGCTTTGTGGCTTGCCACACCTCTCCCACGGGTTATCCTGGTATTGCAGTACATCCAGGTTCGGCCCACTCTCCACATCGTGGAGATTCTTTCATACAATAAATATTTAATTAACAGTAAAAAAGGGCTGTGATGACGGTGGAAGCCATAACCGGACATCAGTTAGCCAGTCCAGCAGTCCTTTCGCACTTGATTATCCTTGCATAGGATTCCGACTTGCGAACCTACACAGGGTAATCAGAGGTGTGGTGGCGTGATCATTCCTAATGCTTAGCATTGCTTTCAGAATACATGAATATATTTGGAATAGCAACTTAGTCTTTTTGGATCAGAGAGAATTGAGGAATAACTGACAGCCAAACAAGATCTGTATACTGTTCCATAGATAGGCTAGATATTACACTTGCAATAACAATAATAACATTGTTTTCAAAGTATAGAATAGAATGCCTCACCGGACAGAAATGCTGTAGTATTTTTACCACAATGAAAAAAGATCAGTTTGGTGGTTTTGTTGTAGCCACCATAACTGTAAGAATAGTTCAGTCAAATAGAGTGGGGGCCTGAGGAGCAGCTGGTATCGCTTCTCGGCCTTTTGGCTAAGATCAAGTGTAGTATCTGTTCTTTTCAGATTAATACCTGAAATGTGGGGTACTCCCCCACTCTTGTATTAATTTGATTTTTGTACCTCAGGGTTTGGTTTTGTGGCTTGCCACACCACTCCCACGGGTTGTCCTGGTATTGTAGTACCTCCAGGTTCGGCCCACTCTCCACATTATGGAGATTCTTTCATACAACAAACGGTTAATTAGCAGTAAACAGACTTTGATGATGATGGGAGCCGTAACCGGGACACCAGTTAAGTCAGCAATTCTGGCAGTCCTTTCACACTTGCTGTGAACCTACGCAGGGTAATCAGAGGTGTGGTGGCGTGATCATTCCTAACGCTTAGCATTGCTTTCAGAATACATGAATATATTTGGAATAGCAACTTAGTCGTTTTGGATCAGATAGAATTGAGGAATAACTGACAGCCAAACAAGATCTGTATACTGTTCCATGGATAGATATTACACTTGCTGACTTGCATATTCCATAGCAACATGCTGATATGCTATTCCTGTCTTTATGACCCCAAATCAAAACGTCTGGAAAACTTTTTTTAACTCATATTTATTCATTGCTGGTAGCTTAATATCTAGTGACATAGGTGATACCAAGAATCAAGAATGTTTGCAAACGAAGTCAGAACTCTCAAGGATAATTTCAAATCTGGGAAGACCAGATCAGCAGGATGGAGAAAGACTCAACTGTTGGCTCTTCGGAGAATGTTACGAGAAGCTAAGAAAGAACTCTGTGATGCTGTGTATCAAGATCTTCACAAAAATCCAGTGGAAACTGATATAATGGAAATAATGGGGATTCAAAATGAGATTGTTCGAATGTTAGGGTGTATAGATGAACAGGTCAAACCTCAAAAATGTTCTAAAAGCTTATTGGCTATTTTGAATACAGTGCATATCAGGAAAGAGCCTCTGGGTGTGTGTTTAATCATAGGGGCTTGGAATTCTCCTTTGCTAGTGTCTTTGCAGCCCATGGCTGGTGCAATCGCTGCAGGAAATTGTATCCTCTTGAAGCCGTCTGAACTAACTTCTGCAACCGCAGGTTTATTGCATAAATTAATTCCTTTATACCTGGATCCTGATTGTTATAAAGTAGTCATGGCTGGACCGAAGGAATCTAGTGATCTGGTCAACAATCATAAGTTTGACTTGATTTTTTATACAGGTGGATGCCATGTAGGCAAATTAGTTATGCAAGCCGCCGCAAAAACCTTGACGCCTGTTATTCTCGAACTTGGAGGAAAAAATCCCTGTGTTGTTGACAAGAGTTGCGATCTCGAATCTGCTGCTCGTCGAATTGCTTGGGGAAAGTGGACAAATTGTGGTCAGATTTGTGTAGCTCCTGACTATATTCTATGCGAACAGCATATGGTAAGACCACTAATTCAGAAGTTGAAACAATTCATTGAGGAGTATTTTGGGGAAGATCCTCGGAAATCATCAAGCTTTTGTCGAATTGTCAATGAACGACATGTAAAACGCCTTGAAGGGCTTCTAGAAGGTGTTGATGTTGTTTATGGCGGAGTCGTAGATGAAAAGGAAAAATACATTTCTCCAACAATAGTAACAAATATAAAAAAGGATGCTCCAATTCGCAAGGAAGAAATTTTTGGTCCCATTTTACCTATTTTTACGGTGGAAAACGTTGATGATGCCATCAGAGTAATAAACAACGAAGAAAAATCTCTGCAGATGTCAATCTTCGCCAGAGATCGACGTGTGATAGATAGAATTATTGCTGAAACTTCAAGCGGAGGAGTGACGGTAAATGAACTTTTGATGCAGCATAATGAGGTTGAATTACCTTTTGGAGGTGTTGGTGGTAGCGGGATGGGAATGTATCATGGTAAATTTTCATTCGATTCATTTTGTCATCAACGTTCCTATTACGAATGTGGAACACCAGAAATGATTAACAGATTGCGATACCCACCCTATACTGATTGGCAGCATTCAATTCTTGGTTTTGTAGGATTCAAAAAAGGTCCAGTTCCTGCTGCAGTGAAGTTTGTCTTCAAGTTATTCTTGCTGGCTGCATTTGGAGCTTTGGTTTCATACTTTTATGGCTCAATGTAGTAAATAACCCGCAGCATTTTTATATCAAGTCCGAATGTTATTTTGTTCATAAACTATTCTATAATAAGCCTTATTCATTTTATCGACTGGTAGTCTGGTATTGATCAATTATTATCCAAACTTTTGTGGTTTTGCTTTATTATGCAATATAAAACAAACCAATAAATAAATATGTTATATCATTTGTATAGTGGTCAATTGATCAAATATATTAGTATTCAGTAAAGCCAATCCTGCATGGCATTGAACTCCTTCTAAAATATGTACTTCTCCATTGGCTATTCATCTTTCAAAGCAATTTAGTTGTGTGTGCCTTTCATACAAATATGAGAAATTCATGCATAATAAATTGCATCTTACCATACCAAACAATTTGCCTTTTTCAATAATGCATGTATGCATCAAAGTCACATGATTTGTAATATTGTATAAAAGATCATTAAAATATGTAACAAGTATTTATTTCCCATAGTCTATAGTTTCGTTTCATCATTGCATCATTGTTATTTTTCTTGATTTGAATTCAACAAATTAATTGCATTGGAATTATGTATTTTTATAAAATAACCTGTTTTCAACTAAGTATCAGTCATGCTATCACCTATATTAACGTTCTGCAAAAATTTGTTGGTATTCTGGATATCTGTCGTCATTTTATATTTTCTGAATTTAAATGGTGTTGGTGTTAAGGAGAGGTTTTTCATTCCATTTAATCATATTATACTCAGGAACATATTTTTTCGTATTCAACTCTTGCCATATGAATCATGTTCCAAAAGCATATACCCGTAATTTATATTCTGACTTGGAGTATTTTTTAGGTAAATTTTCATTAGAAACACACGCACTCATATGCTACTGCTTAGCCTGTAAGTTAAATGTGGTGATTATTATGTGCGAATAAATAACTGGAGTTACTGTATTTTATATGCTACTCTCTACGCTATAATTTTTTATAGTCTCGGTAGATCCTAGCACCTTAATTGTAACCCGTCCATAACTTTGCTCTCTTTATTTCCGTGTGAGTGCGAGCGATCTTTCTTTCAGAACATTTCTTAAAAAAATAATCTACACAGGTGTGATCCGGTCATGGCTTTCTCCACCAACTATATCCACATGTATAGTCATCAATTTCCATACCTAACCTGGATTTTAAGCCAAATTGTATGGTTTGCCCTCTTTGCAGAACAAAGTTTAATTTTTTATCTACATTGAAAATTATACATACCAAATACTATAATCCTGTTAAAATTATGCCCAAATTTCATTTTTCAAGAAGTATTTTCAAATATTGACGTAAAGTTTGAACTTCCTGTGTATTCAACATGAGATTATTTAGAGTGTATACATATAATGCTGTTTTTTTTTTTTATAAAAACATTTGTGATTATCATATTAATGATATGTACCATAATTGTTCTTATCTTGAAAAAAGTACTTAAACATCTATGCCACGATACCAGACAGTTTTTTTCTACTGAAGTGCATCTTTTTCCATGATAATAAAAGTTGTATTATATGATTAATTGATATTGCAAACAATTTGATTAATTCAGAGAAGATAAAAATTAACGTAGCCATTCCCACGAGTTCACCAAAATTTTAGACACTCATTTATGTGTATATATAATATTTAACGGTATAACCTTTTTTTAAGATATTTAATTTTTCAATTGTGTTTAATTGATGACTGGGTTATGATTTAATGGCTGCTTCTGCAAATGTTCTTTCGTCATCTGGTCAAGATATAAGTAATGGAATATTTCAATTGTTGAAACCTGCTGTAGAACAAGTTGACACTCAGGTTCAAAAAGTCAGAGAAAGCCAAGTATGTGGTTCTTAATGCCTTGTTTGCATGTGCATTTTAGTAGCCTAGCTTCAATATCATCTACCCATTATGTTATTTCTGCCTGGGCACAAATGTACTGAGCAAGTAAAGTGCCACAGGTCGTGTGTTATCAGATATTCGAATAGCAAATGCCATTCAAATATTTTAATATTCAACTCAAATATTTTTCCTTGCTTGTGTTGACTTTGTCAACAGTGTCTTTTTAGCGTTCCCAATGTTCATGTTCCACAATTATTGTAGTGTGCGTTATTACTTTCGATAGGGTTTTTATTTTTTAGATAGGCAAAAAAATGGGATACATTATCGGTACTTCCTTGAAATAGGGAAATATTTTCGCATAGTAAAATATATGTTCGCATTGTAAAATATAAAACTAATTTTCATTATTTTCTATTATGTATATTTTCAGTTGGAATTGCGACAGCAAATAGAAGCAGTAACAAACGAATTGCAAAAGATCAGCGAAGAACATCAAGTTAATATTGATCTTGAGCCTTATGTACAACGCCTCATCAGCACAAAAAGAAGAGTTGTTCTCATAAGTAATATCGTTCAGAACGTTCAGGAAAGACTAATTAAACTTCACAAGTGAGTTTGTGAGTGATATTAGAAAAATGTTTTGAATAAGAATAGCTGTAAAATGTTTATGATTTGTCTCTATCTCTTCCATCAAGCCTATTACCTAATAACTAAGAAAGTTCCACAGCTTTATCTGTGTTCATGTTTTTCAACTAGATTCGTGCTTCTTGTGTTTTATTCGAGCTTGAAGCAATATTTAAGAATAATTTGTCTATATCTTCTTTGCTGTATGGTGAGTGCAAAAAATGAATAACTCTCATGTCTTCCCACTCTTATTTCCTAACATATGCATTTTATAAATTTTGTCTTCAAATTTTATAGGAACGCAGAAAAAGAAGTAATTCGTCACAAAGCCCATTCTGAAACGCAAAAAGCATTGTTAGATCTCAATATTCAGAGTCAAAGCACCTCAACTCAATCAAATCAACCATCAACATCAGCTGAATCGAAATAATAAAACAGTTGAATACATAATGCCCAAGAAAAGAAAAAATGTTTCAGTCGAAGATCATCCAGAAGAAGATGACTATGACACTCAGGCTTTACATTCGTTACTCCCATGCCGAGAAAAACAAATTAGTGATCTTTTGACACTTATGGGTGAACCTTATCAATACACTGTTTCTTCTATATTTATGTACGGTCATGCATCTTGTGGTAAATCCGTTGTTCTTGAAAGTATAATGGAATATTACGAGGTAAGCGCCTTCAAATTAATCAAAACATTATTACATTCATGGTTATTTATTTGAATATTTAACTTAAATTTAAATTCGAATAATAGTAATTTTCAAGGAAAAATTATGTCAGGTGCAACTTCTTACATAAGAATTATGTTGTTATCCAGTTTGGGGTCAATTTTTACAATAATTTTTTTTTATAATATATAATGCATAAACTATTGGGTCTTTGCACAATGTACAAATAAGAATGGTAGAAATAGTTATACTGTAGTATATCAACGTTTAGCCTTATTTTTTCAATAGGAAAGTATTATCCATACAATGTAATGATGTATTATCCTTTATATCTCTTCCTGATGTTTATCGTTTGTTATGCAATAGTGTCACATGCTTGTCATGTCACTGTAATCTGTGGCTGTGTTTTAGTTTTATTTTGTCCGATGTCATTTTTCCTGATATGTTGCCTATTGTAATATGTGTGCTAAAGTCCATGTTATGGATATCTATTATATTGATTGATATTAAAAGTACAATAATTGTTATCTGCATTGAATGTATTTGATTTTATATTGAATAATATTTTTTACTTGATGATTGATTGACCAAACTAGCAATCCACTGATAGCTAAAATTAAATGTGAGATTTAAACATTGGTATACTGTTTTTCTATAATCAAACCATTTATTTATTTACTGGTTTGGCCAATTTTCCTAAACTCAATGTAAGGAATAAAGATTTTGTATTGTAGTAGGAATTGGCTCTCTTGACTGAGTGCTTTAGTACATTATTATGATTTAGCTAATCTGCACTCATGAACACAAAAAGTTAACTGGATACTGTAAGTAAGATTTCAAAAATTCATCACTTCGGTTTTTCCACATCAAGCATGAAATCATAATCCTACAGTTTATATTTGGAAAGGGGCTAACATGGATAAAAATACATAATGTGTTCTTGTTACTAAATCTTTCTCCATTTTATAATTGTAATCAAGGCTAAGCGATAGCCGCATTCATTCTCTTCTCTTGCCTTTCTCGCTAAATCTTTTGTGTGGCTGGGCTAGATGTCTGAACTTACCGGTAGTTATATAGCTCACCCACAAAAAATGTTGCATACCCCTTACTTAAACCATTTGAATTAAGTTTTAATTTGATAGCAAGTCAATCTCCTAATTATATACACTATTACCTACCCATTTATTTTTATAGCTTCCTCATGTTGTAGTGAACTGTGTAGAATGTTACACAACCAATATCCTCTATCAAGAAGTTTTGCGTGGCTTGTATTTTCATAGTAAAGCGGATGATGCAAGAAGTGAATTTGTACCTCCAAAGAAATGCGAAAATACAAATGACTTTGTTCGATTTTTGAAGAAAATGTTGACTTCTTTTTTTCCGAATGAAACAACATATATTGTGAGTTATTAGTGTAGTTGAAATGAATGTGCTTATTGGGAATTGGCTAAAATGGCATATCTACGTCAACAATGGACATAATTCTTGATATATCATATTTGGTCATGCTTGAATCAATTTATCCATTATTCTGGTAAAGGACTTTTCTTGCTGGAATGCTAACTTTTAAGGCAAGGTTGTTATATTCGGAGAATCGCGCTTTTTCTATTTCGTCATTTTTAGATTTTGAGCAAAGCTGATCGACTGAGAGATCGAGAAGTAAATCTCATTCCTGCATTATTGAATTTGCAAGAAATTGTGAGTATATGAATTTTCTCATCAGTTTGTTTAAAATTTCTTAAACACTTATTCAAAAATATAGCTTAAACGTGGAAATTTACTTTGTAACTTGACCACAGGTTGTAAATTTGGCCATTTTTCAAGACCATGTGGTTATAGGGTTCCCAAACCCAGGGGTACATTCTGAGATGCCGACCTGCTTGCTGGTTTAAGTCTAATGGGTCAATTGAATGCAACAGTATTGCTGGACGTCTAGTCACCACCAAAAAAAGTCGTGTGTAGCCACTGATCGGTATAAAATTCTATGCATCTGAAGCAAATAACTGGGTAAGTATTCCGAATCTTGACATGGATTTGTAATCAAATGAGATGTCATGGTTGTTATATGATGAAGTCGTCATATATGTTTATTTATCTCGGCAAGTACAAAAATTTCATCTTATGACAAATGCCACTTACCTACTAGCGGATACACATTTTTATTTAGAGTGGCTGTAATATATGTGTCATTTTTGAGAGCGAAGTTACATGGGAAAAATATTACAACGGTATTGCAGGGAAGAGTCCTTTCATCATGTTTTTTCCAGACTATACCAAAGGTGAAGTTATATTTGAGTTGTATAATTATGAGTAATTGACATGAATTTTAAGTGATGTGGTTGGTATAAATTGAAATAATCTAGATTTTCTGTTTAGGGTTAAAAAATTTTAACTACGAAAATTTTGGCATTAGCCAATCTTAATCGACTTCATTTAAAATTTTGACTCCTGTGCTGTTTTAGGAAGTGTTAATTTTAACAGTAGGCCGCAGACAATTTTAATTTTCACCACCAACTTTGGAGAGTTGGGAGATAACGATTCGCACTCAGACCTTTATGCAAACTCCACTTTTGTTGTGCTACATTCTCAACAAGGGTAATCAACTGGAAATAGACTGTTTTTCATACACTTTTTCTAATATGTGTAGTTTATTTTATTAACAGAGGAACTACAAAAGATAATTACTTTATTGAGGCCTCCAGATTCTTCAGAAGAATTTTACAAGGATTATATAGGGATTGTATTGTCTGTGTTTTACACTGCATGCAGGGACTTGAGAGAGTTGCGTCACTTGGTATGTTTATTATTGTGACACTGATATATTATGGCATATATTGTAAACTGTTATGAAGGTCGCTAATCAAAATGAAAGATTTATGAAAATTATGAAAACATTTTTCATAGGAATCAAGATAATATTTGCTGTGTAATTGTGACTAAATAGCATGGTTTTAAGGTTACAACTTTAACTTAACATATTTAGATTATTTGAAATTAAATTCTTGATGTCAAACTATTTGTATATGTACATCATTATGAGACATGCAATCATGCCAAAGTGCATTTGGAAACACTGTGAATGCAATTTTTCATCGATATATGCCATGAATTTGGGTGATATATCACCTAGGTTGTTGTTGTGCAGGCTCACCTAATCATTTTGTTTTAGCTAGAGAAATCTGGTTTAAGCCCTTATTATACAGAATACTTAGTACTTACACCTTGCTTCATGAGTGTAGTATGAGCTGTAAATTTAATGTGTCATCAATACGCAGTCTTGAATCTTTCTCTTCTGACATAAGGCAAAGAAAAAATATAAATGTAAAAATCGTGGGAATGTCCTGCGGAGACCCCGAAAAACAAAATCCAGGTCATTTAGAACATTCTAGACAGAACATAACTCTTGTTCAAAGCGCCCTAGATTAAGAAACTTTTGGGTTCATACACTAGCAGAATTACAGGTATTGAATACATTTTCATTGAACTAATTAAGAAATATACGTGTTCTGTTTTTTGCAGCCACCTTGTACATACATTTTTCTTATTGCAGGCTGAAATCAATTTTCCTATTTACTGTGAACCAATTAAGAAAGGAGAAGCAACAGAATCTGATAAACATAAACTATGGAAGAACATTGAACCATACTTGAAGAATGCATTGCATTCATTATATCTCAGAGAAATATCAAGGTTGGAATTAAATTGTTCTCTTTATTTTATAGATTGATTCGATTCCGGTTGAGTATATAATATGGCACTTTCACATGGCGATTATTTATGCATAGTTAAAATAGATATTATATCTGAATCAGTTCAATCTGATGTCGAGAAACTATGTTAGACAAACTTACTTCAATGTATAAAAGCATTCAAATACTTTAATTTTTCTAGCATGACTTCAACCTGAAGTAATACAAAGTTATATGTTTAATTTAGTTCTGAATGGACGAAGTTGCATGTAAAGTCAACAGAAGATGAAATTAGTTTGCCAAGCAATTTTAAAGATTTAGAGTCTGTGACATCAACAATACCGAAGCGTGCCAAATCAGGAATTGTTGAATTGCCTTTCTATTCTAAATTTCTTGTCATTGCTGCTTATCTTGCTTCCTATAATCCTGTGAAAACTGACCTTCGTTTCTTTGTCAAGGTGGGTGGTTCTGATTTATTGAGATGTTTAATGCTCTGATGGGTTTTATCGCTGAATTATTTAACACTTTGATTTGAGTGATATGATAGAATATATGTGATGTGATGAATATTTCGAAATGATAGAATATATGCAGAATCTAGTTTTAAATCATAGGTTGGAGGGTATAAGCCAGCATTTCTCGAACTGTGTGAAACAGAACTTACTTCGGCGACTTTGGGTCATAAAGCTGTCTCCCAAATAGCGACAAACAGGTGGACAGGCCTCGTACTAGTATGGAAAGCATGGAGTTTTTATTAACCGTTCAATTTTGTTAGCCGTCGGCCTAATTTTTTAACTGTCAAGTTCACATTGAACATTTCATTTTTGCCATAGGCGAAGTTTTTTGGAAATCACTGACCAATTCTACATTTTAATTTCTTGGTGTTTGTTCCGCGAGGCGAAATAAAGAGCGTGGATGTTTTAGGGAAAAAAAAATCTAGGCTTAAACTGTAACTTTTCATCTAATTAACTCGAAACATAGTTGCCTGCGGAATTATGGCTTTAGTCGGATAATATGTCAGAAATATAACAAAACAGACAAAACAAAAATACTTCAGAATCACTTCTTCATCCTTACTTTGCCGAAGGATCCAATAGAGCAATAACATAAAAGAATGACAACTAGTTACTATTCCCAGTCCTGCTCGACCCAATTAGTCTAATTAAAAAAAAAATGTTTCTGTTATGCTAGTTATTATAAAAAACCACAAAGCATGCTGAGAGAGTTTTTTTTAAACAGAGCGCTGGAAAAAATAAGAAAACTTTGAAAAGCATGAAAAAAGATGAACAGAAAAGTGCTCATTTACGAGGACCAAAAGCCTTCCCGCTTGATAGATTGATGGCAATATTTTACTCTATAGTAGATGGAAAAGTTCCTCCTACTGCCAATATATTCTCCCAGGTAAATTGTAAATGTATGATCAAACCTTACACTCTATCATTTACTCAACTTGCTCATAATTAGATGCTGAACAGCCTGACGAATTCTTTTTATTGACATTTTAATGGTAAATTTATTCGATAGCACCACCTACCTATCTATCTACATCTACGCTCTTAGATAATGACAGTTCGTTTGTAAAAATAGAATCTCCCAACACCTTAGTTTGTTCTATCATCAAATATGGATGCTAAAAAATTTTGACATAATATTTCCGAATTCATTTATTTTATATAAATCATCATGTATGTCTGTCATTGGTGTAATATGCCTCAATAAAATAACGCCTTTCCTCAAGATTTGTATAAAACGTTCTCAAGTATCATTGTTCAATATTCTTTCATTTCTCTATGTACCGTATATACTGTTTACTGAGGTGATTTGTAATCTTTCTCTATCTTTATTTTTCTGTTCAGATAACCTCTCTTGTTTCACTACATTTACTTTCCCAAGTTGGGCACGAAGACCAAATTGATTCTCCAAAATACAAATGTGTTGTTTCACTTGATTTCATACAAGCAATATCAAGGTGAATATTGTTTTCTTACAGTTTATTTGTGCAATTTTATATTTCTCAAACTTCTGGTTCTATATTGCCCCAAGTCTCTTGAACAATTAATGAATTTTTCAGCCTTTCTACTGTAAACACTTATTTCAAATTACTCATTTATGGGCATTGCTTGAAGTCTACTCTGATTACTTATCGATTTCGTTGATAGGTATTTGTCTGTCTGTTTGTTTGTCTGTTAGATGCACGCGATATCTCAACGAAAGCGAGATTGAATCTGCTCCAGATTTTGCATGTGCATTCATCTTATCTCGGACCAGAAACCTATTGATTTTGGGCGAATTATGTCATATAATTAGCGAGTTATTAATCAATTAGTGATGGGACACAAGGTGTCACTATGGAGTAAGAGCGCTGTTTTGGGGGATCCCCTAACTTTCGATCGATAGTCTTCGGTCTCTGACCGATATTCTCGTTTGTGTGTTTGCTCAAAATTATTTCAAAATTTGTATTTATTCGGCTGCACATCACTGATCAAGTGTGACCATTTTTTGTTCAATGCTTGGACGAGTGTAATTGTTGTCGATGATTTTTTTTGTTTATTAATGGATGTGATGAAATCACAAGTTTATGAAATTATTTATAAACATAAACATTGAAAAATAATGGTAAAATTGATATATTTTACAGTCAATGCGAGCTATAGCTTCTTTCGAATTCTTTTCTTCATTGTGTGTTTCAGTGTGAATAGAGCCGGGGTCGGCAACCTACGGCCCGCGACGCTCCACTGAATTATAGTAACAAATTGTAGCTGTTTTGTCGATTATATTCTTTACGCAAAAGAATTTACGTGTAGACTAAATTTATATTATAACGTAACAACTATATATTTCACAATTACTCGTTTGATGAGCTTATAATTTAATTACAATTTAGACAAATGGCAACAAAACGCCGAAAAGTTGATGCTAAGTGCAAATGGTTTAATGGCGCAAATATTATCCAAATGGTCAGTCTTCGCGCGCTGCTTAAAATTTAACTTCTGATCTGTGTGATAAAATGTGATTAGTCGGTCCATTCATTCTATTTTTGACTTTCTAAAAATATGTGCGGCCCCCAATGACTCGCGACCTTTAATTTTGGCCTGCGAGCGACAAAAGGTTGCCGACCCCTGGAATAGAGTATATGCTTGAATTTCTTTCAATTATAATATGGTTCCAACTGGATTTTTTGACAAAAATCTTCATGTGTTATTAAATTGCTATTTTATATAAAACGAACATTTAAATAAATGAAACCACACCTGCTGCAACTGAAATTAATACGCAGATACACTGTAGCTGGATCCTTCTGGTATAGTTAGGGATGGCAGTCGCAAGTGACATGTTGGTACATGTTTTGAATTATTCCATACTATCTATTATCATTGGTTTGCATTGTACTTTTATTAATTTTCCCTTTTCACTAATCTTTCATTTTCACCCTTTCCAGAACTGTTAATTTCGATGTGATCAGATATCTGTATGATTTCGTATGAGGAGTGTTATGTGCGGCAGACTAGAATGATATATATTCCATATGTGATCAAATAGATTTCCGGATTTCGCAAGATGTAGGAAGTGATTTCTGATCAAAGTTGATATTTATAAACAATGATTTGAATACATTTATGTGATGTACGATTTCTCAAGATTCAAGTTTGATCATTGAAAACTAAACAATAATAATTTATAATCGTTCTATATAATGAACAGTGTTCCCCAATTTATCATTGGATTAATATGGCTCCTCTATGAATTTGTGATCAATTTTCTTTGGTTCATGCTTCGTAGAGAACAAATTTTGATCAATTATGAGCGATGTTTTGTTTATGTTTATTTTTCATCATGATTGAAATAATAAAATGATTACACTGTTTTAACGGATGTGATGATATCATGAGCTTAGAAATGATTTAAACTTTGAACTTCACCGGAAGTAAAAGTTTATAGAACTTTTTCAATGTTTCGTTAAGTTCAAATATCGACGTCCGCCGCCGGTATGTTATATTTTGCGCCGGCGTGGGGTAGGAAACGGTCGAGTATAAAATATTGTCGGAGAGCGACGAAAAGGATATTTCTGACATAGTTGTCGAAAAACATGGTGGTTCGTCTTACGACTGATGGGTCAGTGGATCGCCATGGTCTATAACTGGAGTTGTAACTTCTATTATAACTTCGATTCTCTTTACGGTGTAGATGTTGTTTAGAAAATGTGTTTAATCATAGATTCAAGCAGGATAGGTCAACACCCTTTTAAGTTGAAGAAATCGAAACTGAAGTGGGGTATGACTAAATTAATTCTCCATATGTCAAGAGCATATAAATGATTTTATCAACTATACAACAAGTCCTATTTTTGTCTTTCTACGTCAATTTCACGCACAAACGTAATAAAAGTTACACTCAATAATACGGCCATTAAATCAAGCACCTGTCACTGTCCGGCCCTTGCTTAACCGGGAGTAACATGTGTCCAGAATCTTCAGAGTCGGAAATCGATTTCCGCATACACATGCAAAATATTATGCCAATGGCTTGCCGGACGTCTGGAAAAACAAATCGTTTAAATCGTATTATTTCCCTTAATCCGTACTTGTTCTCAAAAACTAGAGTTTTTGTTATGCTTCACGGAAAAGTACTCGTAAAATCGGCGCCATGTGTTCACAGGAAGTATAGTTTATGTTGAAAAAATATTCGCTGTTTGGAAGAGAGGGAGAATCTGCAGCGTTTAGTGTGACTTTTCAGCAATGTATCTTACATAATAATTTATGGTCTATTAGGTAAAGGTAGATCCAAAGTGTTAAATCAGAATGCGTATACGATGCGCCATATCATGCATAACTTAAGCAGGTTCGACATATATGCTTCGCTTTCTTTTTTATTATGCCTACTACAAAGATGATCAGTAAAATATCAATTGATTCAGTTAATATTTATCAAATATATAAGTTTAGTGAACAACTGCAGACAATAAAAGACTATTTAATTTGGTTTATTATATTCTGACAATTAATTATATGTAAAAAGTCAGTATTTATTGTAATATTAATTGTAACGGGCGAATTCGGTGACAACAAGAATTAAATATGCCGAGATGTGTTTATATGCTTTTCTTCTTATTTCAAGCAAGCTTATTATTCTCTCGTTTATTAATGTTTAGCTGTAATGACAATGGAGCGATTCCGGTCGTTTGCCCATCTTAGAAGTTCGTCATTATTTATATTATTCACTATTTTAACATCACGATGGATTGGTGTGGAATGTCTTTCCCCACACTTTTTCTTGTGCAATTATCACGGAAAATTGGATCCAATGCCGCACACACACGATAAATTACTTTTATCAGTTGCGTTGGATGGAAATCCAACCTCATATGAGCCCGGAGAAACATACCGAGGTAAGGCGGAGTGTCCCCATGCTGCCACGATTTCAACAAAAGTTCGAACAGATAAAAATTGCAGTTGTGCAAAAACGAATATTGAATTTTTATGACGTATGGGTATTTGGAATTTGTTTATATATATTTGTAGATAAACATGTGTTTTTATTATAATGCTAAACATAAGTAATGCTATACGGAAAGTATTATCAATATCCTATTGTTTGCAGAATAGGGAAAATGGATAAATTAACCCATATGCAAGCAAATGGTGGTTTCTGAAATAATACCACATAATCGTGCAAATTTTGATCATTTAAGCATCGTCTTCAGGTATCGTTTAATAGTAAAAATTGATTGTTTTATTCAGATTTTAACCGCATCATGAAATAATGATAGTGAACTATTTCCGTTTAGTGAGAGTCACCAGTAGCAAAGATTTCAATGGCCTTCTGATCACTGGGTTATTTTCATCTTTACAACACAAAGAGAAGCTATTACCATCGTCGTTTGGAATGACAAGCATCGGTGAGTTGTCCCAATTTATCAACAAAATATGACGCGTGCACTATTGTACCTAATCAACGCCAGGCACGAGATTCGCACTACTGTATATCAAATGTGGTAAACTATGCGATTTCAAAAGCTGATTTGATTGTTCATTACTGCCATCTTAATCGAGTATTTTCCTTTCGGGCTTGTGACATTTGCTTTAAACTTAACTTCGGCAAAATACGCACGTAATTTAGTCTTCGTTGCGTCATTTATAGAATATATGCCATCGATACCAGACTGTCAGTCACCCCTGGACATGTATGTGCAAATGTATGTACAGGGTTAACAGAGGATGTTATCAAAGTTACTATATATCATTATATTTTTGTTGTGTAACATGGAGGCAAACTGTCCAGTCCATAGCTTGAACTCTATACTGCGGTTGCCTGATCCTAATGGCCAACAACGAACATAAATGACACAAATGTCAATTATTGTCAACTTGACCGTCACAATTCTTCAGTATCTATCTTATGGATATATATTGTTCCTTACTGTTTTACCCCCCCCCCCCCCTGCCTACATTATTGCCGCGATCTCGTTATTGCATTTTCAAGTTTTCCGTAGTGGCTCCGTAGTTTTGTGCGTATAATTCCAGAATGCGTGATATGTATATACTTCAGGGTTTAGTCACCATCATCACGTCTCATCTGATTTTATCTGCGGATTGTTATACTCTGATATATCTCCTTACAAAAAGCCAACCAGTGAGGTTACATTTTCATGGACTGCACCAGAGGAAGGGACAGGCTGTGTCAGTTTCCTGTGAGTGTTAATATTCCTTTCTAATGCGTAAATCCCGCTTTTACGGTTCGGGCAATTTCGATTTTTGTAATAAAATTTCTTGATTAAAATGGTAGATTATAGCTATTGAGTTTTGTAGCACAAAACTTACACATTTTTAAAAATTTTACTATAGGCTGACGGCTTCTTTGCGAATGCAAATTGTCTTCCAGGATGTTGTTGCTTATCAAATATGCGAATCTGGCCAAGACGTGAAAAACCTGAGACCAAGTTTAGGTATGTGTTCATTGTACTTGATGGTTAAAAAACTAGTGTTTTTACCAAGAAAAACTAGGTAGTGAGTAAGAATCAGATAAAATCATTAGCAGAAAAATCCAAGCTTTTTTATTTCTGATGCCATCATTCTTCAAAGTAACAAATCCACACAGTCATACATAGTTAGGCTGGGTGGCCTAGTGATTAACGCATTAAACCTAGGAAGGCTGACTTCATGGGTTACACATCTCGGATTCGAATTCCATGTCGACCACCCCGCCCAGGGTAACGCCAATCTAGAATGAATCAAATCCTTCCAAAAACAGTAGATCGTTATGTATTGGCTCTTGCTCATACAGAGTCTTGTTCAGAGCGAAAGAGGTGAATAACTGCCCTTCATAATAGTATAACTCCTGTTATTTGTTATAGGTTGTGAGACTTCTTTTTTATATTTCCTATTCATCTAGTTTTAATTTAAAGAGGCAGTAATGATTTTCATATTAATGTTTGCAACACAAATAGTGAGTTAGACACAGTTGTCAACAACTTTTCATCACTGAGAGCATAAACTTGCAACCTTGACTGATGATATATTTTTTGAAGGGATGTTTTCATCATTTGTTCTCAATATAATTCTAACCTTGTTTTAGCGGATATCCATTCTGATGGAGTGATTATTCGAGATGATTTTGATTCCAGTGAAGATTTGTTTGATATTTGGTAAGAAATATGACTATAAATTAGGAGTCAATATATGGTGTACTTCTTATACTGGCGTTTTGGAATATTTAAATCACTAATCAGTAATTTATTTTTCCACTATTCCAAAGCACACAATGTGAATACACAATACAAGAAATAGGAAATATGGTACTTTAGGGTGAAATAACTTAAATGCACAAGTCATGCTAGTTTTTTATTGAGTTCAATATTAATAGTATCAGTATCTTGGTAGAATCACTGAAAGGCAGCTTGAGCCCTAGTGACTTTGTGCTTTAAATTCAGATGCATTAAATAAATGGGAGCTAGTTCCATGCTCTGCTAGTCAAATGTCATCAAACTATATTTTTCCATTAACCAGGTCCAGAGAATCACATGGTGTCGAAATCAGTAATGAATGTGGTGAAATAACTCATGGAAATTCTGCTGTGTTCTGTGGAAGAACTGGAACTCGACAATTGATCAGTTCACCACTTAACTTGACATCTGCTTCTGCGATACAATTTACTATTGGTATTGAATTTTTTAAGAAGCAGATTTCATGTTGAAGTATAACTTTGCTAAAAATCTAGTTTTCAATTTTTAGTATTCAATAAATTCAGATTCAATCATGATTACATCTGGATTATACGGAACAGATTCTTGGTTAAAATTGTTTTTCGTTTATTGGTCGATTTATGACACTCTTTGAATGGTTTTTTCACTTCACTGCATATACAGTATTATATTTGATTTCTGTATTTTTTATTAGGTTTTCCAACATTTCTGAGTTATTTTCTTTCAATCTAGGATCTGGAAAATGTGAACCAACCAAGACTTTTGTGACTTTATCTTATCGTTTTCATGATGATGAATTCTGGAACTTAATTAAAGATATAACGTAAGAAATTATGAGTATTTCATTGTTGATAATTCCAAGATTTTTTCACTTATATTATTCTCTAAATGTTTTTGAGGGTTTCTCAGCGGATATACACATCCTATATTTTATGTAGTACCTATAACCAAATTAAAAACAAATTGAAAGATTCTTTTTTTTTTCAGTGTTTCAGTGTAAGTGGATGAAGATATAGAAACTAGTAAATTATATTGTTATTCGCCTTGATAATTTCCTAATTTTATTTTACAATATAAGTCTATACTGTCTATCATCTCAATGCCTTCATTCGATAAAATTCTATCACTCATGTTATTTTCACAGGGTCACTCAGCAAAGTAAGATTCATATAATCCATTTACCAAAAGATATAAGAACGGAAGACGTTTTGTTACAATTTTCTCAAGAAGTTGTTGACAATGGCTGTTGGGCATTGGACAATGTATTAATTAGCGAAACAAACAATCGACCAAGTTTATTTCACGAAAACATGGATCCAAGTGACACAAGCAACTGGCTTTTTATGCCTGGTGCAAAAATAAAGGTTTGTGGGATTTTGCCCTTTGTAAGCAATTGTATTATTGGAACTAACTGTTTTAATAACTGTTTTAAAGTTAAATATTGTTTGATTTTGGAAACCAGAAGATTTTTGATTGTGGGAATAACTAAAAGGTTTGTGAATTTCAAAAACTACAATATTGTTAAGTCTGTTAGATATTTTTGTGCATTTGGGAAACTGTTACATTTCTAGGCTAATTGATTTTAAGTTGGTACAAACAATGGACAGCATTCGGGGCTCCCGAAGTATGCGAACCAAGATGGCGGACATCGGAATGTAATATGTGTACTAGGGCAGGGTTAGGCCATAATTTTAGGTATAAATACTACGGGAGGCTCTTGGCTAGTCTACGAACTGATAATAGGACTAAAATAAGGAAAATTGGAAAAAAATTATCGCCTAACCCTAACCTGTTACCCATGTTACGTTCCGATGTCCGCCATCTTGGTTCGCATACTTCGGGAGCACCCAGCATTCAAATGTCTTTCAAAAGATGTATGTATTTACTTTTGTAGTTGTAGTTGGCGTATTGAGCTAATGTCTTCTTGTGCATCGATGTAGTAATATGATATCATGTTTTTATGATATGCATGATATTGCATATATATTCTTTCATCTCAAAAATCTACTATTAGAAAAGTTTTAATTTACAGGGCGAATGCATGTCTCATGGAAATGCAATGGTATTCAATTCAGAAGTTAATGATACAAGTCCAGTATATGCTGTTACTAGAGATCTCGATTTATCTGGTGCATCTATCGATGCAGAACCATTAGAAGATTCAGAAATTGAGTATGAAATAAATATTTCTTTGCCATGTTTTATTCTTCTAATTTTTTGTCATTCAAGTTCTGAGTATATATTTTATTACGGAATATACAACAGTGTCGACCTTTATTTAAAGTCCAATTAAGTAATTTAAGACAACATTAAGAGTAAATATTATATACAGTAGAATCTTTTTTTACAAATACCTATCAATGGAAAATGAAAATATCAAAGATTATGATAAAATTTTGTCTGGGTAGAATTGTAACCATTTTATATAGGGCGAAGTCACATAATTATCTAAGCAATATGAAAAATGACAAGTTCCAGTATTTTATCTATGTGGTAAAGTTCAGCTGTTTTTGGGTAACAGGTTATGTATTTATGATACAAAGACATGCTAAGGATTATGTAACAAATTATCAGCTATGGTAACTGCAAGGAAAAATCTGGTCATTTCTATAAAATTTGAAAATGCGACCTCCCTGCCAAATGATCCAGTGAAAGTGCCAAATGATCCAACTTTTTAAGCCTTGTGCTATTCATAAATATACCTCATGTAGCTAAAATTTAGAGAACACAATGTAAAACCACACAATGATAGCCAAGCTAAAGTATCATCATAATACCAATTCCATATTGCCGTTTGTTACAGAGGAGGCAGATCAGAGCGAGGAGCATGCGGACACTCTCATGAAAGTTCAACGTTTATTTTTGATGGTGCCGGACCTCGTAAATTTTGCACAACGGCAGCTGATAATCTACGACTGAAAACAGCTATTTCTTTTGTGCTGAGCATTGGTAAAATTTTAGTTTTGGTTCGTTAAATCATAATGGTACTTTAGTTAACAGATCATTTCTGGCTATTCAAAAAATGGAGGCAATCCCTTTATGGATACTATTACATAGTAATAACAAAGTGCATAATCACTATTGAAAGAAATTCATATATAAAGGAGAAATGATACAAATGAATGGAAATATGGAAATACTTCAACTCAACCCTCATTGAATGAACCCTCAATCCTAATGAAAAATGACTCGCACTCTGAGGGATGCTACACATTGAGATAGTTATTTTAACACTCCAAGATTTAATCGAGTTTGCTATTTATAAAAGATGTGCTTAATTATATTTGTTAGCATTGTTCAAGACCAATTTAACTTTTAATTTCTGTAAAAACATATCATAAACAATTTCAATAATTTAAGGTGATGTGTCATTTTATTCACAGGTTCTGGTAATTGTCAGGCAAGACATTCCACTGCTGTTGTTGTACTTAGTAGTAGAGTAGGAAAAAGTAAAACTGTTCTTCGTGTGTTTGATCACGAGACATACAAAGTAAGTAAATTAACTGTGCTAATCACTTTCGTTTGAAAAATTAATAAAAGGTTTTTATATTGTATTGTATTTGTTTACAGGAACCAAGGAAAACTATTGTTCAGATACCAGAGTCTGCTAAAGTTGCTAATGCTGTTTTATGCTTAGAACAAGGCCAACACAATGGCCATAACACTGACGTTTGGGCAGTCGATTCTGTTGAACTTATTGAACGACGAAATGAAATTCATCATTTCATGCAATTTTCTCTCAATATGCAATGCACTGATAACCATGTTGATTCAAGGTTTAAATTAATATTTTCGAATTAGATTTTCCTTGAAATACTCCTGTGTCTTAAATGGGGCAATGCTTAAAGTAAAATGTTTTATGATGTTTGAAAAAAAAATGTCTTATCAGGTTTAGGAAAGCATTCATTTTTGTAAACATTTTGTGTATATTGACTACCAGTAATTTCTGTCACAGTAACACTATCAACACCCATTGAATGATTCCAAACTGTCAACTGACTATTGTTGTAATAATATATTTATTGTACTAAGTTTTAGAATTTGGAAACAAAATATATATTTAGGCTGTCGCAATGCCTTGAATTTTGTAGTGAAAATGTTTTTTGCAACAGTTCATGTTTTAAAGAATTCAAGCATTTTTTCTATATCAAGATGCGCAAGATATTTAAAACAGTTCTAGAGCATTTATATTTTTTTACGAAGGATGAATGTGGAATATTCAAATGATTTTGGAAGATCGTGGAGTATACTTCAGGAAGAATGTTTGCCTGAAACATGTCAAGGGATGCATTGGCCTTTCAGTTCCATATATAAATCAGGAGTTCACCATGGGTATAATTAAGCTATTATGACTTTTGTCTTCCCTTACAGTTATTTAGTTATTTTATCAAGTGTGTCATGATTGTAGTACTTACCCAAATTATCCATAGAAGAATATAAAGTCATATAAACTGAATGCTCTCAACAAAAAATCAAGCAATTGCACTATGTAAAATCTGAATATAGTTTATAAGGAGGTGTGATTCACTTCACACCATTCTTCGAGTAAGGCATTACATTCCACGTTATATGTTGATAGTTACTGGCTTGGCAGTGTGGCGCATCGTGCTGAGCATTAGGAATACGCTCGCCACTGCACCTTTGATTAGCCTGCGTAAGTTTGCAGGTGCCATCCCATACACGACATGAACTGGTAACTGGATGAGAGTCTGTGTTCTGTTATATGATTGAGCTGTCTTATCGGCTTTTCTCTGCCTCAGGATAAATATGTAAATCCTATCCTACAGCAATTGAATGTCTGTAATGTTTTCCAATTTTATCAACTGACTCTGGTTTGAATATCAATAAAACATATTAAAAATTTATGTTAGTGCTTTATTACCTGCACTCAAAACCAGTACCAGCACCAGTTCCGTCTTATAGTCTGGTGCACTTTATGTATGGACAAAACCCCAATCTAACCAAATTTTTGACCGGGCGCCTCAACAATGTCCCGGGGCACCGTGTGGTCCCTAAAATACAATGGGTGAATCAAAAATATAAAATCATCATTTTGAAGCGAAATGGAAAGTTTTTACTAATATTTCATTGGAAAATTTTTAATACATTACAATAATTTAGTTTGGATAGACATTGTAAGAGTGTCATTTACATGTTGCATCGGGGTATTTTGTTGCTAACATATTAAGAGTGTTCTAAATGTTTGCTGAATAATAGATGGGTACGATTGACTTTGCCACTGCCAGAAGCAGCTTTGACAAAACACACAAGATTTCGATTTATTCAAGATGGATATTCAACTGTTGAAGAAATAAAATGGGCAATTGATAATATTTTTATTGGAATTGATGAGCAATGTCCTAAGATGTGCAGCGGACATGGAACATGTCTACACGATGGTTGCAGGTGCTATGACGATCAAAATACTATATATTTTACATTATCGTGTATGTTATTGACTTGAATATATACTTTTCATTGATTTAAATTATAATACCTTTTACGGTTGTTATTTGTTTTTGCTTTTAAATTATATGATACTTCAAGAAGTTTCAACAAATTTCGACTTTGAACATCTTAATTCGAACATTTAAATATGCAATCAATTTGTTTAGATGTGATGTTGGATTTTTTGGGATATCTTGCAATACTACTTCTGATGATTTACCATCTTCGCTAGCTGCTGATTTCAACACAAATAATTACTTCACCAATATGTTTAAAATGGTGAGTTTTTTCATCGGAATCTTCAATTAAAATGGTCAACATTTTATCTTTAACATATATTCTGAATCCCACAGTCATTCACTGACATATTTTAGCTTTCTCAAATTTGCTTAAAACATAAATAAAATACAACATTTTTCTTATCTACATTGTAGTGGTATTTAAACTTTGGGATCTTGTTTTATCAGGCAACTGGTTCTGAGATTGGATATGATTGTGGGCTATTGGGAACAGGGAAAGCTCTAGTGTTCAATGGTGAAGGTGACAGGAGATTAATCACAAAACCGTACAATGGAACTAATTTAAAGTATGCTGAATTAATCTACTATATTTGGATATTTATTTATTTTCCTTGTGCCAAACCAATATGCAATATGAAATAAGAAAAAATGAAATACATGTCATAAATTACAAAAACTGATATCGGCTTGATACAGTTGACGAGGGGTTGCGTAAATTTCAATGAGTCATCTAGTCAGTGACATCTTGCAGCTAAATAGAAGCAGCAAATATAGCAATGGAATAATTCAACATCAAATTAATTAAATTTTTTTATCATAATTGTGTTAAGTTAAGTGTGTCTTAATTAAGTTTATTCAGCTTTACAAATTTGACAGTTTTTAATTTTTGTAACACATTTTATAATTATCACAATTAAATTAAAATTGTAGGATTATTTTACAAGAATGTTGGTAACCATTTTCTGACTAAATTGACATCTGAATAATTCATCTTTTAACTATCTATGTATTTTTCATTAATTGTAACCAGGTATCTACAATTTGCTATACTAATGGGACGACACTCAAGTGTTGGTACATGTCAATCACCTCAAGTTCCTGGTGATGGAATTTTAGTTCATTATACAACTAATCATGGCGTGACCTGGAATCTTATGGAAGTTATTCCATTTGATGCTGAGAGAAAAACCAGGTTATTTTTTTCATATAAATTTAGTAGTAGAGATGAAGTAGAATCTTCACAAGTTACGGTATTGTATTTTGATGCAGTGTGTGATATTTTCATGTCCTTATGACTTATCGAAGGTAATTTGTGTATCAAAAAATAAATTTTTGTATTGTGTAGAATTTACATTGGCCATTGTTTATTCCAGCAAGCTCAAGCAAATATTAAATATTATCATACCAATTACTCACTAAAAACTTGAGCTCAACTCTAAAAATACTGTTCTTAATTCCCTCTGTTTACAGGGTTGTATCAATACCTCTACCACATGAAGCATCTGTTCCTGGGCTTCAAATTCGTTGGTGGCAACCCAATGAAAACCGACAAGGAAAAGCAGTCTGGGCATTAGATGATGTTATTTTAACCAGTGACTTGTACAAATCTATCTTTAGTACTGCTGAAAATTATCAGAAAATTTACCATGCTTCTGTTAGTTTTCATACTGGGTTACTCACAAACCAATGCAACGGAACAAACATACTTCTGTAAGTGTGAGAATTGAATCAATTATATTGTTTTGTAAAGTTATATTAAACCAGTTTTATACCAGTAAAATTTGGCATTGTTTGTGATTGTATTAATCTTGTTGTACAAGATATAAAGTGTAAACATATTCATTTGAAGATTGACGAAATTTTTTTGTATCTCTAATAAAAACATTGTGTAGTTGGAAATTCTTATTACAATCATTGATTTAACAAAATGCTACCGCTGAATACTTTGGGTGAAGTTCTGTATATGACAAAACTGTGCCAAATAAGTATGTTTGTGCCAAATAAGTATGTGCGTATGGGGAATTAATTGTCATAAGTATATAAGTAAATAATTAAAAATAATTTAAGGTTTTCTCCACAACCGTCTCAGTATATTGATACATTGAGATACGCTGAAACACAGACAATGGAAACATCGGAAGGTTATGTTTTAGAAGCCGATATTAATCTTGGATGTAGTTTGAATCCATCAAATAATGATATACAAGATCAGAATCACGAAGTTTTATTACAATATTCCAAAGATGAAGGAGTTACTTGGCATCTAGTATTGGAGGTTAGTGTAAAGTTTATTTGTAGTGATTTCATGCAACTTTTTCTCGGATAGATCATACCATAATTCAACTTACTACATTCATTGCATTTGAACAATTTTTATTATGCAGGAGAACTTACCAGGTTCAACTAATGAAGATAGCTATCATTCAGCTTCTGTATATCATATCAGCGAATATAATACATGGAGAACAGCTACAGTACCAATGCCAGAAAATACATGGTATCATAATGTATATTCTATTCATAAAACTTTAATATATAAAGAAACTTTTATGAATTGTATTTCATGCTAAGCATTAGAAATATGATTACCCTCACATCTCTGATTACCCTGCGTAGGTTCGCAGGTTCAAATCCTGCAAGAGGGTTGCTAGACTCTTCGGTGCTGTGGAATGGTTGTAATCAATGGTCGTTTACGACTTCCTCCATCATCAACTTCATGCATTATAAAACAAATCTCTGGCTAGCTAACCCCATACCCAAAATTTGGGGTGTAACTAAAAGTTGGTAGATTTCTAATATTTCAAAATGGGGTATGTTTTCAATAAATTAAAAGTACAATTTGATTTAACTCTATTTTGTTTTCATTGATGAATTCTAAGACACATTTTCTATTCACACTTTGTAGGTCATCAAGTTTACGATTGCGTGTTGTTCAAAATGAAAAATCGAATTCTGTTTGGGCTTTGAATCATGTTTACATGGGACCTGCTTGTTCGATGCATTGTAGAAATAGAGGAAGATGCAGGAATGGAAAATGCATGTACGTTTATCTGGATAAAATTGATATAAATATAGATTTAATTTGCCTTTTTCAGTTTAAGCAATCACAATATGTTCTATCGATTTGATGTTTTTTGAATCCTCTATAATACTCTGTTGTTTCTTTCCTTCCTTGGTCCAAGCTGAGAAAAAGTGAAAAATGTTATACACGAGTGCGTGTTATACTCAAATAAATAGTGTAGTATATTGACTGGTTGTTATTTTGTGTCTAGTGAAATAAAGTTCATTTATTTGAAACTTTAATTTTTAGATGTAATGCTGATTCTCAAGGACCTTCTTGCTTGTCACGGAGTCAGCTACCTTCAGGAATAAATGAAGTGTTCAATGACGTCCACCGATTGTATAAAACTGGATGGAATTTACTCGGAGGATCAGTTGCGTCAAGTGCTGTAGACAAAGCAGGATGTGGGCCAATGTCATCTGGTTTTTATATGCATTTCCACAAGGTTCGTATAATTGTCTAATTTAATATTTCATTAAGAATGTTCAAAATCTTATTCATTAAAAATTCTAAGGTAAGTCTACCTTGTCTAATGTACAAATTCACTAAATTAAAATGATAATAAAAAACTGATTAGCTTCTCATCAATGTCAGACTTCTCCCCCCCAAAAAAACATAATGTGTACAGAAATCATTTTAGTAAGTGTTTAGATTTTTGTCTTTATCTGTGCGTTCCTTCTTATCCATGCATACATATTCACCAGCACAAACCCAAAGATGATGCATGGGTAGCTAGTCTCTGATAATACTCTGATGATTATGTTTTGTATTACCAGGCTGGAGTAAGAAAATTGTCAACACCAGATCTTGATACAAGTCTTGGGGGACAGATACAGTTTTACATCAGAATTGGTGGAGGGAATTGTAAAGTTCCAACAGAAAGAGCAAACGGTATGTTGATTGTTTTATATATAGTTATATTTAAGTCACTATGTTTTAATTTTATTTACTTTCATGTTATAATGTAGGTGTTCTTCTACAATATTCAAATAATGGAGGAGTGACTTGGCATCTTCTTGATGAACTATACTTTAATGAGTATCTAGTTCCGAAATATGTTCATAGAGATATTCCTGCAGAAGCCAGAACAAAGCAAACTCGATTTGAATGGTGGCAACCTAAGAATGAAGTAAGAAATATTTGATTATGAACTACAGTTTTACTAAAATTTGAATGTAATCCTAAAATTTTCTCATTTTCTTGTCCAGGGATCTGACCGGGATGAGTGGTCAATCACAAATATAATTGTTGGTGAACCAATGCTTTCTGACGATGAATCGATCCATGTTGATCATTTGAAAATTAGTAGTAGAAGATCAATAGTAGACTACAGAAAAGCTATGGTAAGTTGCTAAGCAACTTTAGTAAAGTGCCATTTCAGAAATATGCAAGGAATATTTTTAATATCCTATATTTGTAATTTATATGCCAACTACAACAACTAAAAAATCAAACTGTTATTATTAGAAAAATTGAGTTGCAAGAGAAATCATAAATTCAATCATTTTTTCGTATACAGTTAATTGCGTGCCTCATATTTTTTTTATCAATGAAGTTGCAACAGTTCATGTAAATTATCTAAGCATCAAAAATTGCATATTACCGAACTTGATTAATTGTGTTAAACTTTGAGTTAATGCAAAGAATTTCAAAATTAAGCTTTAAAGTTTGGTGCCATGTAAACACTTCATTATAGAAAAGAGTAGGATAAAAGTACTTGTAGAAAGTAGACATATCTTATAAAGTTATATTCCTGCTCTCTCTTTTTACTCTTGCTTTGTATTAATAAGCCATACGAGCATCATGCTCTACTCATACTCATACTCTAACTCTCTGATTCTCTACTCATACGCATAATGTGTGTGTAATAACCTATTTTCTTAGCCTAAAGCATTCATACTTTTGTCTAACGATGGAAATGAAAAAGATTTTTGTGATCCGCGTACCAATTCTTATGTGTTCAACAAACTAAAAGGAGACAGATTTGCAGTTACTGATGAACTAATGTTAAGAGAAGGAGATACAATTCAATTTGAAGTAATGAAATCTATTTTTGATCATAATTTAATGGACATGAAAGAAATTGTTAATAACAAAAATTAACCTTTTTTTGGAGGTATAAAACCATATAGCATAAAATGTTATGCTGTAACTCATTGTTAATATATTATACTTTGATGTATCAGATTTAGACTTGACTCTGGGATTTTCTTAGTCAAATCAAATGATTTGAATGTTCAAATTTGTTTGATTCAATGTTTGTATATTTTTGAATCAATGAATCTGAAAATTTTAAGAAAACAAAATATTTTCATATACAAAATCAGCATCATTTTTGATAAAAAAAGCATTTGATACAACTATCTTTGACATCATGTGTAAAATTAGGTATCTTGTATTTCCCATAACATTCCATAAATGTCCAGTTATGCTTTTATAACTATACATTTACATTTCAAAAATTTTGAAATAATCGATTTGAAAAAAAAATTGATTTGAAGTTAGAGCTTACCTTATTGGTTATCTTAGTTGTATTCTACAATTTATAAAAAAAATGGCATACAAATGTGGGATTAAAATCTTGTTCAGTATACAAATGTAATTATATTTATTGTTTGAATTAAGCACTAAAATTGATGACATTTTTGTTCAGATCAATGTCGGATGCTCAAGAAATTTTTCTTGGAATTATCCAGTAAGATTAGAATACAGTCATGATGAAGGTTATTCCTGGGATCTACTGAAAAGAGCTTGTTACCCTAACGGAAGACCTAGATCACAGATGATGATAAAAAATCCAATCGATAAATTTTCTGCTCATGATTGCACTGGAGTTGCCAGAGAGCTTACTGAAGCATCTATTTATCACCAAGGGGAATTTCCCCAATGGAAAAGAATTATTATCTCAGTTCCTGAGAGAATTGCTGCAACGTAGGTTTTTTCTCACAAAGTGAGAGTTTCGCCAGTTTATAAAAAATGGTGTGTTCCTATCATTCATAATGTTTTGGTGAATAGGATTCTGCTAATGTTTTAAGATAGATTTGCTTACTCTAAATTTACTTCAAAGGCACTAGATTTACTGGAATTATTTGTCATCTCTTTGATTAGAATATATTCTATTTTCTTTTCGTTTCGTTAATGTGGAGGAATGAGTTAAGGAATTAGTACTGGTGAAAAACACCAGAATTGAAAAAAAAATTGTATTTGAAGTATTTATATTTTATATAACAATTCTCTTTTTAGTCGACAAGTATGATAATGATTCAAAACATAGTAATGTAATTTCAGCCTCAATCCAATATTCCAGTTCAATTTTAGTATTGGTAACAACGTATTCATGTCTGATACTTTCCAACATCTTTTGATCTATTCATAAAGTTGATACATAATATTGTTATACTAGTCTTAATTTTGTTGTTACAGGTCAGTTCGACTGCGTCTGTGGCAACATGTTCCTGTCAACTTAACTTCTGATAATCTTCCCCCAACTTGGGCTGTCCGATATATTCATATAGGTCCGAGTTGCCCGGTACAATGTTCTGGTCATGGGACCTGTACAATAGGATTCGATTCTGAACAGATGTGCATTTGTGATCCAGGATTTATTGGAGGTATAATTCGAATTTTTGAAGCAAAGTCTCTGCATAATGGGATTTTCCTTAAAGCGTTTTGTAATGGTATATTTTATACTTGTTTAAACAAGTGTAATGTTAGTCTAGTGAGTGAGCATACCAAATTGGTTCCATTACATTTGAACCAACGTACATTTGAACCCATGGCAATTGCACCTGTATGCTATTGCATCTATGGAATTTTTTTTATTTTTCAGATAGTTGAACCCACACTAACCCTGACCCATGGGTTTTAGCACCCGCATATAGATTGAACCCGTGGATATACACATGGGTTCAAATGTACGTGGGTTCAAATGTACGGTCACCTACCAAATTAACTATAGAATTTTTTTGAATACAACAAAATGATAAAATTAGGGACAATTGATTAAGAAAAATGCTTTGCATCCTTTTACTTTAACAGTTTTTGTTTTATACTTACATGTGATGTGTTATAATGTGTGATTATTGAAGCTTTTGACAAAATAGTATAGTTTGACACGAAAACAAACACACCTTCTTACAAATACCATAATATTATTTTCTTAAACATTCCCACAGAAAGTTGTATGTTAAATACTGCACCATTGACATCATTCTGGGATCATTTCACATCCACATCAATACAAAATAAATGGTGGAAAAACATTCTTGGCAGTGGATGTGAACATAGAAAGAAATCTGCATCATTATTAAAATTAATGAGCACTTATTTCAATGGGGTTGAAGATGAGAATATTTGTGAAAACGTTTTTGAGGGACGATCATTATGTTTTGGAGGAAAAGGAACTAGAAAGGCTGAAACTGTGAGCATGGATACAAGAGGAATTAGGTATGTTGTAGTGAAATACAATAATGCAATAAATATGATGTTTATTATTCAATTCATTATTTCATTTACTTTAGATTGATTCAGTTTTATTTGAGAATAGGAAGTATTGATGATTCAGAAACATGTCTTGCACCAGAACACAGAGATGAAGCTGTTTTATTACAATATTCTAATGATAATGGAATATCTTGGAATTTGATCAAGGTAAATAATTTAATTTTCCTATTTTTTATATAGTTGTTAGATTAAGTTTGACTTGTATACGTGTCTTAAACACTCACTGAAAGGTGAAAAAGCTAAGCATGGTTGAACTTGAGAAATCGAAGTACAATACTGATATTTTAACGGCTGAAGTCTACTTAATGTATTATTTGTGTGAAACAAAGGAAGTTTTGATACAAATCACTTATCAGTTTTGTTGCAAATCGATTACTAATAAATATTATTGCAAGCTGTAGTTAGTCAGAGGTGTTTCATTTGCCACATCAGAAATCGGAACCATTTATTATGACATATTTTAAATGTAGGATATAATATTTATATTGTTTTCGATACATTTTTACTATGCTATTTTAGTTATTTGAATGAGGTCATTGTTCATACTTTTATAGGAACTCAGTTTCGATGCCTACAGTTCACGGAGTGAAAAAGTTACTGCTGATATTCCGTTCCGAGCTAAGACACTGTCAACATCATTCAGATGGTGGCAACCACTGCGTGAAAAAGGTAATGCAAGTTTTAAGATTTCTCTTTTTTCCATTTGTATCATGTTTTTTTAAAATGGAGTAGTAGTAATATGTAATTGGACACGAAGTAGACCAATGGATCGTCATGTATTTGTCTTCTTGTTGTTGTAAAAAAATCAGTTTTCACATGATACAACTACTGAATTGCTTTGAAAATTTCAGTGGTTAAAGATTGCTGTTGTCCCTAAAAGGCTATTTTTTTTTAGATATGGAACTCGTTTTTCTATTTAAATTTTTGTGCGATAACGTCATAAAAATTTGCACTGTGTCGTGGTTCTGTGATTGCATTTCAGCAATCTTGTGGTCAGACTACTAGTACTCTAAAAGATTTAGACTACTTTGTTTTTACCTTCGTGTTCATATATTTGAGCATTGCTCTCTTGTTTAGGAATCAACTAAATTCAAAGTTCTGTTTTTTATGATATTTTACCACTTCAAACTTCAAATACATATCTACAGAAGAGCACAGATCACAGTGGGCACTAGATGATATTTTCATTGGCGTTCCTGATCTTCTTCCCGAAGGATTTTCCGACAATTTCGAAAGTGGTATTTTATCTGATAGATATTGGTACAAAATTAGAGGAGAAAAAATTGGGAATTTTATTCACTGTGATGGAACTAGTGACAAGGGCAAACATGCTTTGATTATATCATCCGCAAGTGGTGAGTAGAATAAGATAGGATTTTCATATTCATCTTGGAGAAAAAAGCTCAAAAAATAGCCTAATCATACGGTGATCCACAAACTCTTTTTCGATCACCAGTTCAGGCTGGGTATGGCAACCAGTGAATCGTTCCGTATGCATGGACTTTAATAGGGGAGAAAGTCATAAGCAAAAGCCTCTACACCAGTGGTTCCCAAACTTTTCACTATCGTTACTCCAAAAGCTCAATTACCCCTTTCCTAAAAAATTTATTTTAGCGCATAATTCATCAAATTTAATAACAACAATAATATAGGAATCCAAAAGCATGGGAACAACAATCCCGATTTATTCTCAGTGAGAAGGATGACATTGTTTCTGCGTTATCAAGCGATTGAACCTAGGAAAAGTGGATGAAAGACACTATTTTGAATCGGTGTCAATCATCAGCTTGTTTCAATATTTTGTTTCAATGGTCATAATTTTTAGGACATTGAACGAATGAATTACCCCTTGAAAATTGTCAAATTACCATTTTAGGGGTAATTACCCCTAGTTTGGGAACCACTGCTCTACACGAACCAGTAATGGCTGAGAGTCCAGCAATCTTATCTGAATTAATTGTAATGTTACTAAATTCAAACCTGAAAACTCATGTAGATTGATGTGATTAATAGCAGCTTCATTCAGCACCTTCACACACTTTTTTAGTTATATTTTCTATTAAACATTTGACCATTTACAGGGGTTGTTGAAACATGGGATTTTCATCTTCACTCTGGAAGTTTTCTTCAATTTGATTTGATAATGAGTTGTCAAGGACATAACCCAGCAAATGATGTTTTGAGCCTGGAATATTCAACTAATATGGGATTATCTTGGCAACTTGTTATTCCTTCATGTATTCCTAGTAAGTATTAAAATTCGTTCAATTATTTCAGCTGTGATATAATTTATACTGAATAAATAGTTTTGTAATCATCGAAGTCCATTTGGATGTATATATATATATTATTTTAGACATTTCTATTGTTGGTTTGAATACAAAACTTAAAAAAATTACAATAATAAGTACAATAAGTACAAACTGTATTATTGCTGACACAAAATTTAGTCCTACAGTTTGGAAAAGTTAATTTGTTATTTCCAACATACAAATTCAGATTTGATGCATTGTATACAACAATTCACATAACTAAAGTCAACTTTCCAGATTCGAGGGGAATATATTACAAAGCTTCTCTAATATATTGTTCCTAGGTACATCTTCTGGATGTGATCATGGATTTGGAACTTTATTTTATGCTGGACTTCATCAAAAATGGACTAGACGTACAATATCTCTTCCTGAGTCATTAACAAGGTATGAAATGGATGAAAATATTTAATCTATATTTAATGGACATCTATCTTTGTTTACAATAGTGATTAGCTCTTTTAACAGTTGGAAACTCTATTAACTTGAATTCAGAAATGTATGTTGTATTTTGAAGCTATTGAAACAGATAGTTGACATTTGGATATGAGTATTTGCTTCTTTTTCTTTTTAATGGGAGCAGTTCTGAAATTCAATTTCAACACCCCAAATAATTTTTGTATTGGAAAAATAAGGTTTTGAACGATTATTTTTAAGGTAATAACCAAATTTATTATTGTAAATAAGATTCAAACATTGCCAGCATTTATTGCTTACCGCTAATTCAATAATCAAAATAAGTTAGTTTGTTTCACACTTTCATTTTGCAAATGAAAACTATTTCAATTAGACAAATAATTTGTGATTTTCAACTATGACACATAATTGCCAATATCAGACTCACTTTAACCTGCAATTGCTATTCGATTTTTAGCTTAATTCAATCTTTTAAAAACGATGAAAAGCAAGCCCGCATGGAGTCTGGTAAATAATTTCCGAGCCGTTCAGTAAAAGCCTTCATGTTCTTTTTTCCAATAGCTCACCTAAAATTCGTTTCCGCTGGATACAATATTATTTCACGGAAGGTTCATCATGTTGGGGAATAGATAACGTATATCTAGGAAATGACTGTCCTTGGATGTGTAATGGACATGGCAGATGTTGGCCTAGTCGAGAAAACACTGAAGCAAGTTGCATGTATGCAAAATTTTATTAACTTAAAGTAGATGAAATATGTATTTATGTACCTTAACTACATTATCTTTACAAGAATCATGAATATGTCCAACATTGTTTTAATTAAGCAGCATTCAATGATTTTTAGTACACACACCCAGAAGGTCATTAATTACATGGGGTCTGCAAATTTAAATCTGTGACATATATAAATGACCTAATATCTAGAACTTCAGCTGAACAGCGTTTCACTAGGATAGAACAGCATGTTATATATACAAAGTGTCAAGCTTATTTGAAGCCTCATAGAAATATTGTCAAATTTTCTTCCATATTTAGCTTTATTACCTTGGTTCCTTGAACAGTCCAAAAATAAGAAGTGCAAATTCATAATTTTTGTACTTATAGAACAATTTATTTTGTGCCAAACTCTGTGTCTACTATGTATTTACCTTATATTTCAAAGTTGTGATCCTGGTTACAATAAACTTCCATATTGCCAACTATCTGTGAGTTTGTCACCTGAACTAATGGACACATTTGATGAACCATGGACCAGTGAAAGTGAGTTGGTGTTCAATATGTTGAACCAAGAAAAAAAAAATTAATCGTATTTAAAACTCGGGCCGCTCAGCTAGATACAAGTCTAGATTGCCAATATGTAACAGCTAAAGTGCCAGCAATCTTCCAGTATATTCTTGTCCAAAAAGTTATTTGGAACAACACATATTTTTAATGTACATTTCATTGAGATATTCAAACGTTTGTTCCTGTTCCAGACAAGTATTCTTTGATAGTTGGTCACGATTCGGAGTCTACCTCTGATATAATTGTAAATGAAGAGAACATTCAGATGGGTTCTGCAGGAATCCGTATGATAAGTACTACACCTATGAACACGACTGACACTAAATATATGCAGTTTCATGTAACATATATTGGAAAAGGTGAGAATTCATTAGTAATTCTAAAATAATGAGAAGTACTAGATGTACTGTTAAGTTACTGTCTCTCATCACGTTACTTCAGAAGAGTATTTGCAGAAGAACACAGTGCTCTGGTATGTCTGTATCATACTTTCAACAGTAACTATACCAGAAAGTTCTCAACTTGAGTACAATCATACCTGAGGGGTTGGCAGAATTTTAATCTACAGTATATCAAGTTGTGGTTCATATACTGTCTCTAATTTTGTTAGTTTTCTATTGTTTGCAATTTGGATCCCACCTATGTCATTTTATTTCTTTATCTAATTTTGAGGTTCAGATTTTTACAGCTGACTTATATTGAACTAGGTCACTTTTTGACTTTTATCAACTTTTATTTCTATAAATTACAATTTATATAAGATTAACTTCTTGACTAATTATATACATATTATTGAAATATTTCATTTTAGCAGTAAATCCTACCAGTACGTTGATAATACAAAGTAGCAAAAATGGGGGAATATCCTGGTCAACTATTCATAAGTTATATGGAAAGATTGCTGATGACAAATCAAGAAACTTTGTTCATATTGCTTTGCCTGATTATGCTCGACACGAAGCTGTAACTTTCAGAATTTGGCAAGCCAATGCAGGAGCTGGTATGAGTATTACTCTTCATAATTTATTTTAAATATAAATTACATGTTTTTGACAATATGGTTCGTATTGTTTTGTTTGTATATTTATTGTATTGATTTAATTATGTCTAACTTGTATGTTTATGCCATTCAAATGTTTCATTTTAGATACAAATTATTTTTTTCTGAATTTAACTTTGAAAGGGTTATTAAATTTCGATTCAAACTTTAGAGAGTATATCGAAGGTAAAGATAAAAAAAGTTTCATAAATTTCAGGAATGATTCAAAATTTTAGTTCCAATAAGCTATTTAGATAATGAAATCGATATAAAACACAAGAATCTTGTCTTTATGCTATAAGTAACAGTGTTTTATGATCGCTTTTTAGCATCTTCGATATTTGAAGCAGATAGAGATGTTTGGGCAATAGATAACTTATTTATTGGCGGCCATGAGTCTGGATGTGAAGCCCACTTTTTGGAAGATGGCTTTAACAGGATTGAGCTCAATAAAAATTGGTTGTTAGAAACAAATGATACGATTGTAGATTTTTGTAAATCTGATGCAAAAGCTGCTGCAGTAAACCATTCTATTGTTGGCCAACATTCTGTTACTACAAAAGATTTGTGTATTGCAGAAAACTATGTTTTACAATTCAAGGTAGGAGTATTTCTCATTTGCAATCTTTGAGCTGTCAATGCATCTGAAACAACTAAGTAGCTAACTAATCTCATACTCAACGTGGACTGGTAACCGGACGAAACGGGGGAATGCGTCATGTGGTTACGTTTTTACAAAATGCAGTGATACATATTATATAGATAGATCTTAGCACATCATTGCTTGCCCTAACTCTTCCATCAGTATTTTTTCTGCTTGTAATTAGGGACTCTTTGTTTTTGCTTTTAGCATTCTTGTAAATTTTTAAATAGATTGATTTTATTATATATAAAATGTGATCAGTGTCCTCTTCGACCTCATCTTTTTATTCGAAATGAAATAACTAGTTATCGATTTTTCGGTCTGAGAATCAATATTTTTCAAACTTTTTAGATTGCAGTTGGATGTTCAGCTGCAAGTTCTTCCTTGCATGGAGTCCAACTTGAATATTCAACAGATCATGGAATAACTTGGTCCCTTTTACGATCATCTTGTCATGGGAATGAACCATTACTAAGTGGCTGTTCAGACAAATTCTACCCTTCTTCTATTTATTACCCTGGAACTCATCCAGGATGGAAAAGATATACAATTCCATTGAGTAAAGATTTGTGTGGGTACGAAACTTATTAGATTCTCACTAACATTTTACACATTTGCAAAAAATATGTTTAATTTTGCAACCATTTGAAATTGATTTTAGATGTTTACATATTGTTTCGATAGGCATATTATTTATTGTCAGATCTCTTCTGTATGCTATTATATTCTATACAAAGTCATGCTCCACATTATAATTTTACTGGATTTTCACAGATCTGTCAGATTCCGATGGTATCAAGGGTTTTATGCTGATGCATTTGCAGCAGCGAGTGCAGTGACATGGGGAATAGATGATGTTTATATCGGACCTGGATGTGATCAAATGTGCAATGGACATGGTGTTTGCACTAATGAGGGAAATAAATGTATTTGTGATAGTGGATTCACAGGACCAACTTGCTGTGATTTGAATTTAGCAACACCAACATATTTTATAGAAACTTTTAACAAGCCTGGTGAGTGATTTTTGTACTGTTAATCTTCGAGTCAGTGACTCAACTTCAGGCATCTTTTTCAAAGACTCGATCAAATTGACTTGAGTTATCTACTTGACTTGGAACACAGAGAACATTTTGACCAAGTCTTCAAAAGCAAAAATAATGAATCAAATACGATTTACCAATAAGATTATTGCTATATTGGAAAAATTGAAAAATTCACTGGCTTGTGGCAGCAATTACTCAAAGTAGACCATGTTGATGTTGATATAAATGTTGTCAAAGAATATTAAATCTTAGTTTAGCTTTTAAGTTAACATTGTTAAACAAAAGTGTCAATGTGACTAATTCTCTTCTAAATTGCTGTTTATGAAATCTACTATGACTGGAAGTTGACTTGTGACTTGAATTTGTAGTGACTCTGTGTATTGACTTGTCTCGACTTGGTACTCAAACTTCAAAATTTGCTGTCAGACTGGGTTTAGAATCTTGTTCCCAACACTGGTTATTTTCATCATTGACATTCCATTGCTATTACTGGTGAAGTTATAGGCTATGCCTCAATTTGAAAAAAAATTTTTACAGCCAACTTTTTTCATTGTCATGTACATTTTTTTAAAACATATTTTCTCCAATATTGTTGCATTGTAGGATAAGTTTTTAATAAACCCAAGTTTAGGATTAAATTTGAGTGGCATCAGATGTTTTAGTGATTATATGTTCACCAAAATATTGGCATTGAAGGTAAAACACCTTTTATCTTTTTAAAATTGATATTACACATGATACAAATAAAAAATATTTTAGTAATAATAAATGTATCTGCACAGAATTTCAAAATGAAAAATGGAAAACTTTGTCTGGAGGAGATATTATTCAACGCTCAACACAATGTGAGGAAAAAGATGAAATAAGACAATGGAGCTATATTGTTAATAAACCAGGAGTTCGGATGCTTGAAACACAAGATATTGACATGAGAAATGCAGAGTAAATTTATGTTTCTAAAGATTATTTAATAGAGAAAAATCTCAATATCAAGTTATTAAGCTTTGTTAATTTTTGATTTTGCTTTCGTATATGCCAGTATGTGTATTTCATGTATACAAAAAAAGCTAACACGTTGCACTCATTTTAGTGAGTGTTGTGACATAGTTGTTAAAATGTTGGACTTGACCATGATGGAATCGCAGGGTAAAATATTGGGTTTAAATCCCATTCACCCATAGTGTAACAAATTAGGTTGAGCAATGTGGAATCGGAATTGCCTTTCTTCGCAATAGCTGTGTTTGCACAGCCTTGTTCAAAGCAAAAATCTTATAAATACGTTGAATATAAAATATTTCATCTGCGGTATTCATCATTGTAATAATTGCTCATCAGGGTAACTGATGTTTTTTGATTCAAACTATCAATACGAAATACTGTATGTTCATTCATCAATTGTATTTATGTTTCATAGGTTCATCCAGTTTTACATGATCTTTACTCACGAATCAAAAGAGGATACAATAAATGGGAGAAATTCAGGTATTTTGTCTGGATGGACTTCATTCCTAAGTTTTACTTATAGTACAGGGCATTTATAATATTGGAGTTGAACAATCTACAGGTAATAGTGTATTTAAGACCGTTGAAAGGAAATTTACAAATATAATGTCAGATTACTGAATCCTAATGCATTGTTCAAATTTGATGTCATAATGTTCTTTCAAGGCACAGCGGGAGAACTTTTCGGCAAATCAAATAATATATTACTTCCATTCATGATTCACAATATTTTCTGACAAAATGGTTCAAAACAAGTTTTTTACAAATGAAATAAATTCAAAAACTGCTGATATGATCGAATTAGTGTTAATTTTTGTCCTTTCGCTCGAAATTTTGTGTTACTCAAATGATGTCTGTCATAATGAATAATGTTTTCATGATATCAGAACAAATAGCGGAAATTCATCCAGTAACTGAATACATTTATCTGCAATACTCAACTGATGGTGGAATAACATGGATAAAGTTGGAAGGTTTTCCATTTTTATCAGCAAAAATTAATGAGGTATAATAATTTATGGTTTTATTACGTCCATAATTTTGAAGTAAATTTGAACTAAAAAAAAAAACGTATACAATTAATTAAAAAAATAAGTTTCAGAAAGTATAGGTATCTAAACCACATCTTCAAATCTTCTAAATTATAAAAACATCAAAAAAGTCAGCAGGTTCATTTCAAACTCAATTAGTGCAAAATATAAAAATTTAGAACTGCAATTTTGTTGAGATTAATTACAGATATAGAATGAATCTCAAAAGTTCAGGATAGTATTTGATTTGAATATTCAATTTTTTCTTTGTTCAAATTACAATTCATTGTTTATTTTTTTCAATATATTCTAATAATTATATGATTTATTGTCAATCTAGACTCAAAATGTTGTCCTAAAAGCACCTGAAGGAGCAAGATCAAATGCAACAAGATTGAGATGGTGGCAACCTATGTTGAGTAATGGAAATGAATTTGGTTTTATAATTGACAACATTGTCGTTGGTTACCACCACAGGAAAATTGATGATGATTTTAGCAGGTTAGTGATATAGTTTTCAAACCTGGTATATGCTGATAATATTTTATCACTAGATGTACCGGTACATATTTGGGACCACATGTTTGCCTGTAAAAATTTTGCTCTTATTGTTTTGTTTAAGTACTATATCTGTAATTTCTGTAGATTTTAAATTTTATCAATCGTGAGTAAGCAAGCCATTGCTATTGAAATGGTGCAAAATGTGAAACATACCTTTTGCGTTCAGTTACATTCCTTTCAACTGGATTGAGATGTCAGGATCAGAAATACAGCCAAGCGTTGGAACCAGTTGCTGTAAATCATCTTCTTCTAACAAAACGAAATGTGATCTTGTCGAAATTGGAAGTAGTGGAGCTGATAGAAGAGATTGTGATACAAATTTCATTACAACAAATGGAGTTCTTGTTGGTCAAGGAAGTTTTGTCAGTTTCAATTTGAAGATGAATTGTCCAGTTGCATCCAATCACTGTGAAAGTAAGATCTTTTGGGAATTCATTCTATGTCATTATTAATTAGTTTGTCCAATGTCAATTTTTTTTCATTTTTAACCTAAATTCGAATATTTTTCGAATTGAATATAATGCTCAATTACTGTAGGTATATTTATCAATTTTTAAAATTTGAAATTTCCTACTAGGTAGACATTTTATTGGTTTAAATATATGTCAATACGACTGTACTGACTAATCATTTTATTGTAATTTTAATTTATTATAGGAATATTACATAAAAGAAGATTCAAGAAAAAGGACATCAATATCTAGCCATAATTATTATTATATTTTGATATTTAACTGAAATTTAATCTAAATAATCCTGATTCTACATTCTATATACATTTCAGGTATTGAGTTGCAGTATTCAATAGATTTAGGTAAAACATGGCTTCAACTAGTTCCACCATGTTATCCAAACAATGCAGAATGCACCTATTTCTACCAAGGAAGTTCCTATTTTTCTGATGTTTATCCAGCTACTGATAGTGAGGAAAAGAGAAATAGAATCATTGTTCCCATTCCTGGTTAGTACATATGTAATAGATTACCGCATTTCTTGGTTATTCAGTTTGTTTTTAAGTTTTAATTCGAGTTCAATTAATGTCTGAAATGTTTGTGATGGGTATGGTCATTACAGTGTAGTACTAAAATATGCTGAATATTGTATAAAATAATGCTATATAATAAAATGTATAAAAATGCTATATAATATTGCATACCACTGAACTTGTTGAAATCTGCCAAATATGAAACCGCTTTTTGTATTAGCTCTGTGATAATTGCAGAATTTTGCTCGTCATATTTCCATAATGTATTTTGACTCACCGGTTCAACTAAATCAGGTTCCACTAAATGTGTCTGTACATGTTCGAAATTAACTTAAAACCTACAATTGGATAAACATTGCAACATTATTTCAGAGCATGCATGGTCTCCATCAACAAGATTTAGATGGTTGCAAAGGATAAAAGCAGATTCAAAACCATTGTCAATCGATAATGTGTATATAGGAGGAGTTGAATGTCCAGGAGCTTGCAGTGGACATGGTCATTGTCATCATTCCAAATGCATGTATGTTTATGTAGACTTATTTCAATCAATTTTTGATAAATGAAAAAGTAGGAAAAAATTTTCATAGGAAAAAGATGAATTGAAGATTATACAATTTTTCTAATGAGGAGCATTGTTTGTTCTATTGTGTAAAGTGATAGAAAAAGATTTTTCTTAAGCTTAGTAATATCAACTCGTATAGATGGTATTAATATTCAAATCATTGGAAAACGTGCCCATTTTTTTCGTCGATTACAGTTATTTAACGACAGTACAGTTAATGTTGGATGATAAATTGACATAATAAACATCTAATAATTATGACATAACAATATGGTAGTTCTCAGTGAGTCTCAAATCAGTGAAAAATGGACTTCTAACAAAACAAAAAAAAAAGTTTTTATTGATATTGAATAAAAAACTAATTATGATTGTCATACTGCATGGTCGGGACATTTAAGTCTACTGGGCAGGATGCTGGGACAGTTTTTCAAAATTGTGACTGTCCCAGCTAAGCTTAACCAGGTTTCATAAATTAAAAATTAAGGTATAAAGTGAATTAATGTTCAATTTTAGCTGTGATAGTGGATGGACCGGTCATATGTGTGAAACTTCTACCAAACAGATGCCTAAAGAATTGAAAGAAATATTTATTTCGAAGTCTAAATTGTCTATGTTTTCGAAAGTAGTTGGAGCTAAAATTGATGAAGTATGCGGAGAAGTTGGATATGATACTTCACTCCACTTTTTTGGGGTAACATGGAATTTCCTTCTTGGTCGTTACAGTTTTCTTCCCTCCTTGTACAGAGCTGATAAAATAAAACTTTTTTGAACTACTTCTATTAGAAACATCAAAATGAAAAAAAAAAACGATTTTATTATTAATAGTTTTTTATTATCATACCTCAAAATGTAACAGACGTAATCGTGATTGCGCAATGATGATTTCAAGCCATTGACTGTTTAGGGTTGCAGTAGATTGCTTGAAACAATACAATTGAACACAACCAAGGCTGATTTTGTACAATTCATGTATCGCACTGGTTGTTCAAACATTCTGCCGAAAGAAAGAAACAATGGTATTTTAGTTGATTACACAACAAATGGAGGAGCAGTCTGGCACAATCTTGCAGAACTCTATTTCAAAAATCATAATAAACCCAGGTATATTAAAGATATAATATTCATGCTATAATTAATATAAGGATAATAATATTTTACTAACGACATTAGAAAAGATTTTTGATCAACATAGGCCAGAAAATTTTATTATGAAATTTCTTTCTAGTAGAACAGGTATAATGTTTTTAGTAATTTGACACATCATTTTTTCTTTTATGCTCATATTATCTATGTACCTTATTAATTACTAGTGTAAAGTTGTCTAAATTATTTTCAGTTTCTTTTTTACTTTCATTGTTTTAAATAGTTTCCACATAAATTAAATTCAACTTATTGATTCAGCTTTATAAACATTCTGTTACCCGAGGCAGCAAAAGCAGTTGGTACTCAATTCCGATGGTGGCAGCCAAAACATTCTGGTCTCAACCATGAAGATTGGTCAATTGATAATCTATTAATTGGTGGGAAAAGAGAAGAGTAAGTTCTATTGTGACTGGAATAATTTATCATTCAATAAAATACAGACTTATTCTCATTTAGTGCTTGACCTTGCTTTATATTTGTTATCTATTGTGCATGAATTTTTGTTTTTATGATCAAAATGTTTCTCAATTAAGAATGAATTTTTTTTTTCAATTCTGTTCATTTCAGGAATATCTAGACAATAAATTTTTCACTTTGACCTTTTTTATTTGTTTTGTTGCCATAATGTTTCTATATATGGGAGTTTCCCTAATTTCTTTCAATATAATGCACACATTTTCTTTCAGAAATATTATGGATTTGTTTTTGCATGTTTTGTTTATTTCGCATGTTCTTTTTTGTATTTGATCTCAGGAATAAATACACATTTTTTGCATGTGTCATTTTTTTTACTGTGCTGGGTTAAAACGAAGTATCATCATTGTTTAGGGTCATGCTGAGTGATGATTTCAATGTAGTGGAAAACATTGGGCCCGCAGGACTGTGGTGTAAGTTTGTTTTTGTCAAATAATTGTTCGATAAACATATTCTCTGCCCATGAAATAGTTCGTTATACCTATGAGTAACCGTGAGTGGGCATAAATAATAAATAATGCACAACACCTCACCCAGAATGTAATAAATTGGGTAGGCCATATCAGATCAGAATGAATTTAATCCTTCAAAAAACTAGTAGTTTTCACATATTAGTGGCAGCTTGTATACAGCCTTGTTTGAAATGAAGGCGCAAAAATGCTGTATAAAAGGTTTTTAGTCGAACAAATAATTTCTTTATATAAACAAATAAATATTTTAACTTAGTTGATCGAGGTGACAAAGACATGTGGCAATTTTATGATAACACTCAGCCAAATAGTTTCTGTGGAAGAGATAATGTAATATTAGCTGGAACAGTACCAGGTCTGGACACTACAGTTAGTACAAAGGACTTCTTTCCTGAAGAAGGTTTCATGATGCAATATACAGTAAGTAGTGTTTTAAAAAATTGTCACTGTGGTTAACTCCAATAATGCTCATTTCCAAAGTATATTCAGTTGGAAATTATGTGGTCAGTCCGTGTACAAAAATATTTAATATCCATAGCCGGAGAATACATATTGATTGACATAAATGCGTAAAGTTCATATCTGATCATTTTAGTTTCGTGTAGTTCTCTTCTAGAGTTTATTTCAACCTGTTTGACATTGTATCAACAAGATCTAATTTTCTTGATAAGATGATTTTTTAATCATAGCATTTTCAAGTCATATTGCTAACAAATAGCTATTTCAGAAATACTTGATATATGTATTTACATCTTACTTTGACTTGATTTATCATAATTTAATATTTGACTTTACATCATATTTATATCTTTCCCTTTTTATAATGAAAACATTCACATTGAAGATTGTGGTTCTGTGTGAAAATGTACAAAAGAATCATCAACCAGTTCACGTTCAATATTCGACTGATTTTGGTGATACTTGGCAATACTTAGTTCCACAATGCATTCCTTCTGATCGTGATTGTTTTGGAAAGAAAATGGAGCAACCATCAGCTCATTTCATAAGTAAGGATTGGAGGAGAAAAACTATATGGATACCGTCATCTTTATATGACCAGTACGTGTTTTTATGTTTACAATATCAATGTATCATCATTCCATCTTATAAGATTGTTGTAACCAGAGAATAAATTACCGATGAATACGATTTTATTTTTTCAGACCTGTCAGATTCAGATTTCATCAAGAGGAATCTGATGTAAAATGGGCACTTGATCGTCTTTTTATTGGACCTTCATGTCCAGATGCATGTTCAGGTCATGGTGATTGCGTTGGAGTTCCGCAGGATGATATGTTTAAGACTGGAAAAGTTAACTATGATCTGAGAAGATGTTTATGTGACCTTGGATATGAAAGACCCAATTGTTACCTAAATATTGACAGAAACCATGTGAGATTTAATTTCATTTATTCGCATCTTTTGTGATAACTTTAGAATTTTGTTCATTTTTTAACAAATATTTACCGTATCTTGAAAAATTATTGGTAACAAAATATTAACTTTTCAAATCTCAAATTGTAAATACAGTTTAGAGGAAGAAAAACATCTTAAAAATTTGTCTCAATCTGTAATATTTCCATTCAGTGATAGAAGTTAATTGCATTACTATCTGCACCAAGCTTATGTGATTGATCTTTTCCTACTATTTTATGTAAAATGTAGTACATTGTAATGTATCAATGCATGTGCCTTTGCCTATTTTGACAAAACTTTTCTACGTAGAAATATCTGAAAGATGATTTCAATGCTGGAGATCACATTGGTAACTGGTTAACAATCGAACCTCATATTATGGATACACATTGTGGAGTGTTAGTTGATGGAAAATCTATGGGATTCAAAGGTGTTGGACCGCGACAAGCTGAAACTGAAGATCTTGACTTGAGAGATGCTACGTTAGTTAAATTATCAATATCAGTTTATTTATTTTATCACACAAAGTCAGATTGTTGACAGTCATTGGCCGCCGATTAGAATTAGTATATAAACCAATTTGAGGATGTTAATACACTGATTCTATTATTCATACAATCACAGATTCATTGTTGGAAGAGTAATCTGAAAAACTTTTGTGGGGGTGATAATCATACGTATCTTTTCTCGCTTGTCATTTCATTTTATATTGCTAATTTGACAGAACTAGATACTGTCCATTCAATATTTAGATTTGTACAACATAATGCCATCATTGGACATGGTTCACACACTTGTTTGCCAGCTAAAAGAAGAGAAGATGGTTTGTTACTGCAATACTCAACTGATGGAGGTAAAATCGTATGATCAGAGCACTGTGTGCACAACAATGCTTTGTTAAATTTGTATCCGAACAATTTCTGCTCATTTTAGGTAGTTAGTGAATGTAATGTACTTTTTTGGCTCCTGGAATACAGCTCTATTGTAGTGTTATTAAAAATATCACTGTATTAAACATTTGCACTACAGAATATCAATTTCATCACAGGAATTACATGGGAAATGCTACATGAACTAGATTACACATCATTTTCCAACTCAACTCATGAATATGTTAGTTTGCCTTTAAATGCCAAGACGAATGCAACAAGGATGAGATGGTGGCAACCATTTACCATAAACCAAATTACAGGTATTTTAACTATGCCTACGAATAATAAAGGTTTTTTTACAGTGACTATTCTTTTCTCAGCTACTGAGCAGATTAAGCATCTCTCATCTTTGCTTCTTACAACTTTTGAGTGTGTTTTCTCTCTTTTGAGTGATTGAATATGATCTTTCTTTTAGTAAATACCTAAGTATGAAAATCATTCATATTTAAATGCAATTGTCTTTATAACATTTGTACAATTCATTCTTGAAACATAATTAGATGTATCCGTTGAAATACAAGAATATATAATATGCCTTGTTATTCATGAGGAATTATAAAAATGAAAAATTGTTGTAACATTTTCTAGGTTTAGCAGAAATGGGTAGAGAACGAGCAGGCTGGGCAATTGATAATGTTTACATCGGAGGTCATGAAGTTAATTCATATTCATTTGAAAATGGATTTGAAGTACATCATGATGGACATGGCAGTCGTGGTAACTTGAAGTTATTCTTTCTATCACCATGCAATATTATAGAAAACCTTGACAAACTTGCATGGGATTCACACATATGGATGATAGAATTTTACGTTCCAGTTCTGTTATACAAATTTAGAAATTACCAGTCCTGTAAAAGATTAGAAAGCTGTAAAACGTCTTTTCGGCCTTCATATCCATATATGCTCCATATGAGCAACATTCTGTTGCTTACATGATATTTCATCAGTTCAATTGTAAACTTCACTACAAACCTATCTTATTAGGTTCTCTTGATGAACAAGAGTTTGAGTTTTATCCAAATGGAAGGATCGGTATTGGACAATGTGCTGGTGATAATACAAGTCACATGATGTGGCATGGCACTCATGGATTATTCATGAAACAAAGTTTAACTACCAGGCAGTTAATTGTTACTCCAGGTCATCTACTGCAATTCAAGGTATTCTGGTGTGGTTAAAGTATTTATTTTCATATTTGAAACTAAAAATTTTATATTGCAGAAAGGGAAGCAATCACTTCCCGTACCTAAATTAAGCTGTAAGTGAGGGAAGAGTTTTTAAATATTTTTCTTTCAGATTAAAGTTGGATGCACTGATGTCCATGCATGCTCACAACATTTTCCAATAAAATTAGAGTATCGAGAGGACCCAAGGTAAACAAAATGTTTATGATAATATTATAATATAATACACAAAAGTATATTTATCAATATTTCATTCAAATTTTGAGAATACAAATATGAATTGATAGAATTCTAATCCCATTCCCATTTTTAATCTTGATATACAAAATAGTGAAGTGAGCTGTGTGTACTTTGTCCATGGTTTTTTAATGTCTAAGTTGCGATGCTACCTTTTGTAAAGGCTGAAGTGGTACTTTTGATATGATCTATTTTTTGTTTGATAGCATATTGTTGACTATTTCATTAAATAGATAGTGTAAATAGGTTACATTAAAGTTGGGGTTAAAAATGATATTTATAAATATGATTATATTTGTCAAAATAAATCATACCAGGTAGTATCTCAGATAGATCTGAAAGTTTGAGGTCAAGTCAAATTTAAGTATTTGTTTTTATAATTTTTCAGTAGTGAGAACTGGATTCTGGTTAAGCCTGTATGTTTCCCTTCAAATAATCCTTCACCAAGATGTCCACCATATATATTCCATGATGCTTCAACATATACACTGGAATACAAAAACATTTGGAAAAGAGTTACAATTCCACTCAATCATATTTCGTCCGGGTAAGCCATAAAAGTTTGTGAGCTTTTTATTTATATTTATAATTAAAACTGGCAATGTTGATAAGTTGTTGATATCTAAACTGGAAATTAGTTTCTCAGATCTTTATATTTGTGCAAACTTGTTCAGAACTACCCAATTCCGTTGGTTTCAAGATGATAATGCATCTAAGTTACATTCATGGGCTATTGATGACATTTACATTGGAGAATCTTGTCCTGGTTTTTGTTCAGGCCATGGAAAATGCACGAAGTCACAACAATGCATTTGTGATAATGGATATACTGGTATGTAGAAATTGATATAAAATTTAACAATATTTAATAGAACTTTGTTACAAGAAGTCGAAATAAATATAGGTGTCAAATTACGCTACCAACATCACTGATAAAGATCGAAACACGATCTCAATTAGAGATATTGGTATAAGTTTAGTAATGAGATATGAGGGATTTGGTCGACTAAGCCAAAATAGAGGATTTTTGTTATTTTCAATACATTATGTTCAAACGATGCTCGTTAGGAGTGTGCCAGACGTGAAACTTTATTAAGAGATATGATGAAAAGAGTTTTAGTTGAATTACTATATAATAGTGAATTGCTTAATCTTCATTTATGAAACACCTTGCTAATTTTTTCTTAATTTTCCACTACAGGAAAAGACTGTAGTCGTCCAAAACGTCGTCATATTGTTCCAATATTTCTTGATAACTTTGAAGAAGAATTTATTAACAAAAAACTATGGAAAGATATATCTGGAGGAATGTTAACAGCTGGTGGATGTGGGCCTTTAAAACCTTATGGATTCTCACGATCCGCATATTTCAGTGATTGTGGAGAAAGGCAAATTGTGTCAAGAGAGATGGACCTCACAAGAGCATGGTGAGTGGGTTAATATGGGGTAAACCGTTCACTTTTCATTGCTCGTGGAATTTCTTTGTTTTAATTAGTAAATCCCATCTCAACAATCCTTTTAATTAAGAAGATGCTTTGCAACCTTCACTTTTCAGGCAAATTCAGTATGTTCTACAGTTTGGTTCTGTGATTCCAAACAAAGATTGTAGAGTTGAAGATAGAGGATTTTATGATGGAACACCGATGTCAATGATAGTTCTGCAATTCACTACAAACAACGGTGTTACATGGCACACTCTCAGAGAACATTCACCAGCTCACTATGGTATACCACGTCGCGTGGGACTAAGATTACCAGCAATGGTACGTTTTTTTCAGAACTCTTCACTCTGTTATACTAGAATTTAAGCGATCTGTTGTAGAATTTGAAATCACAAAAAGAATTTTTGAAACATACAAAAATTCAATTCCTGGATGGCAAAATTCAATCTTGAAACCACCTTATGGTTTCGACAGAAGTCGACCTCACACTAGTTCCTGTCTCACGCATTTACGGAACCACCTGATAACAACGAGGAGTTCAGAGTCTAGCATTAACCTGACACATAATTTTTTTTCCCCACGGGATAACTTGCAACTCATCTTTCAGTGAGTCAGTAATATTTTTTTCATTTTCAGGCCAAATCTCAAACAACAATATTAAGATGGTGGCAACCAACCCATGGAGGGGAAGGTCGTGATCAGTGGGCGTTAGACAACGTTGATATTAATATGTGAGTATATATCATTTGTTTCTCAAACGTTTGCGTGTTTTTGGATACATAAATAGGTGTAGGTCACAGTTTGTGCATTGTGCATATCTGTGCTATATTGAAATAATTGCCTTTGAAGCATCTTAACCAACGTGTACATTGACCATTCTCTTAAAACAGAATCATGTTTTTTCTTTTATAAAATCGTCTTCTCGTCATCAGTATATTGAATGTCACGCAGCTTGGCATCTTCCACATGAAACGATCGACGAAATTTTAATGTTGAGAAAATATCAATAGACGACCAAAGATCTAAATTCGAGATCCAATATCTGTTATAATATCAATCCTGGCCTTCGATTGACATACATTGTGATTTACAATGTACTATGCATATACCTGGGCATCATTAATTCAAATGTTTTTCATGCAGGAATCGACACCAAAGGCATCATCATTTGATAGATTACTGGGCAATGAGAAAAAAACAAGAAAATTCAGAAATCAATTTTCCAAATATCCCAGGAAAATCAGTAACAACAGACTTGAAAGCATCACCTGGAGACTTTAATTCTCACCCAGATGTGCAGGCTTTAAAAAGTATTGAAATACCTTCATTGGTTTCAGTGCAAGAACGAGTGCCACCAGATGATGAATTACCATAGTCTTATAAATGGCTCAAAATTATTATTCCAAGAAATATTACATTTATAGCAAAATTGGAGGCTATTTAAGCCAAATATGTGCGGTCGAACGAACCTGTCATAAATTATTCTGACACCTTTAGGTATTGTATTTAACTGTTTACTCAATTTATTGTACTCTGAACTCAGTTATTATAGTAATAATTCAAGCACTCAGTCTTTGTTCAGCCTTGAACTCTTTCTCGGAGGAACAAAAATAATCATAACACCATATTCAAGTAACAGATGTAAATGTAATAAAAATGTACAAACAAGTACCATTTTACTAAAAATGCGTTTGTTTACAAAACAAGAAATAAAAATAAACAAGCTATTTTCTCTGATTTGTGTCAACAGTGATTAAATAACATCGATTATTACGCATCTGTCCATATCATAAAAATCATATGTACTAAGGTTATATTTATGGCATTTTAAAACGGCGTTTTTCAGATTATTTTGGTTATTTTCAATTAAATATTTTGTCAAATGTGAAAGGATTTTTTAACCAAGATTTTTGAATATACAACCTACTAAAAACATTATTGAACTGAATACTGATTGGACGTATGTGACCAGCTATTTCGATTGTGCCCGTGAATGTTGGATGTCGTTAAGACTAAAAAAACGACTCATGTAAGTACGAAAATCATGTAGGTTTGTAAAACCGTGAGCGGGCTACCTTCAACACGCAAAATTCCACCGTCCTATTTTGCTTAGAACGCCGTTACGTTAAATGATTGTTGAAATCGTGTAAAGAAAACTCCCAAGTTTTAATAGAATAAAAAGTGCCTCTGTGTGTAATTTGGGTTTATTTCAACCGCTTGGGTTTATTTCAATCGCCCCCACAGTTCCAATTAAACAAATTTTCGAAGAAATCGACCTTTTCAAATGCCTCATATTTCTAAACATTATTTTCCCTTTCGCGTCTGCATGGTGACGTCATCGCAAGAAACGGCTGTTTCAGAATCTGTCTCCAGGTTTCAAATGATGAAACAGCCGCAATGACGTTTATCAGTAAGTCTATATCATAAAATACTCTAACAATGTACTGAGGTATGTAACTTGGAAGTACTGTACCCACCACCAGGAAAGTAGTCATGTCAGAAACGATTGCGATAACCGCCAGAAAAAACGTTCGCTTTATAAGCCTGTACAACTTCGCTGAAGTTCTCACAGAATTGCTTCGCTTGAGTCCGGCACCCCCTTGGTTTTCATCACTTTTAATATGGAATGTTTTTATTAAGAAACTTGGACTGCTTTTCGGTAATATACAGTGTTTAATCGAACTGTCGTGGCTTCGTGGAATATTAGTGTCAATACAGCTCTCCTTAAAGTTTTCCGTCTGTGGCGGTTCATTTCCCGTATAAGATTCAACTCTAAAAAGCACGGTTGCGCTTTTTACAGGAGCGGAGTCCACTAACGTGACTTCTTGATTTACGTCATTAGCTTCAGGCTTTTTCAAACTAATATCTGATTGTATTGAAGTCACGTTGTTTACAAATGGTGTTGCCGATTGCGAATGTGTATTTGACCTGTTCATTCCATGTTGCGATTTGTGGTGAAGAAGTAACGGATACAAGAACAGACTGACTACCGTTAGTTGACAAGTTAGTAGAACACCGGCGTACACATAGTGGCGCGCGTTATGGATTTTCTCTCCGTTTCTGAGGATGCACCCAACGGAACTAGCTTCATATTCATCTGGATATACAGCCAATGGTATCATAATGAAACCCATGGAAATGAGAAGTGCTAGACTTATATTGCTAAAAACGCTGATGCATCCACCAAACCTGTGAGACATAGCTGGATTCATGTAAAACGATCTCTGCCTTGTCCAATAAAATATGTAAATAGGGGTAAGGGCCAAAACAAATAAGGCTTTACCAATGTCAATCATAACTTCACACGCAAAATCGTTTTTGCTATCTAGTGTGACAATGATTAAGCAAAACGTTGAAATATACCGACCAAACGGTACAACGACCGCCGCAATTGCTGCTTTGTGAACAGTCTTTGCATATTTATCGAGTTTCTTTGTAGTCAAAATAAACTTCACATGCTTCAGATAAGATAATACAATCCATGCACTTGTCAGTATAATTGTGCAACTGACGACAAGCGAACCTATCCAATATCCATGGGATGTGATTGGAGGATAATAGCGTGTTGTTGCTTGGAATACAGACGGCGTCGAATTTTGCACTACTTTCATCTTTTCGTTATGAATTTCTTGTTCAAGGTGCTTGTATTGGTCAAATAAGTACATATTTATTTGATAATGTTTGTATTTGTAACTAGATCACAATTACAATATTGTTCTGTAATAGGTAAAGGTAAGTCACGAACGCAGTTTAGAAGTTCCCGTTGATCATTTTTTTTCACTTACGCAACTACATGTATATATTGATTAAAAATCAACTCCGAGTTATTAATCTGAGTAATTCGCAAACAAAGACTTTATCAAATTGTTGGAATCTTGAAAAAACATCCAAATGCCGGATCTGGTCACTGTGTGCATCTCTGGTTGTCATTCAGTGGTTGTGAAAAAGCGCTAGTGACATGGACGTGACAAACTAAATCCAATATTCAATTCAAGAGTCTTGCAGCATACTAACACAAATGTATTTCTGTAACGTTTCGTCTGACCGAGGTCAGACTATTTCTGTTACTGTGCACCAAGACTCTTGAATTGAATAGAATAGTCATTTTCACTCCTGATATAGCATCCTTGCGTTATACGCATACGGATCCACCTGCGCAAAAACATAGACTATAGAGCAAGGAAGGTGACCGTACGTACATTTGAACCCACGTGTATTTGAACCCATATGTATATCCGCGGGTTCAATCTATATGCGGATGCTAAAACCCATGGGTTAGGGTTAGTATGGGTTCAAATATCCGTAAAAAAAAAAAAAAATTTCCATAGGTGCAATTGTCGTGAGTTCAAATGTAATGGAACCAGCAAGGAAATGTAATGAGTTTCACGTAACCCCAACTGTAAATCCAGTATGATCCTTATTTCATACAAATTCGTAGCTATGCAAAAACTCGAAATTACGCGGTAGTTCTTACTCTTCTTACGGCAAGTCTATACAGCGCACAGTTACAGACTCCTTTTGTACCTGCTTTCCCTGAGTGACTAATTTTCAGCTCATGTCGTCGAAACGCTTACAGTCACACAAAAATATTTGTTTTCTACGGAAATGAACACATGTGTGTGCCAAACGTGACATTGCTAAATTCTGTAACGCCAAACAGTTTAGGCAACGCCCAAACCTGTACGATCATGTGTTACCACCGTCACGACTTTCATAAAATGACGACTGTTGGCTTATAACAATTGAGTCAAATGAACGAAAGATGTAAACTCATCCGATTCTAATTATTATCCTTTATTTTACGACCAAGTCATTTCTGGTAACGACGATGAAATGTAAATAGCACAAGGTCTACAAGGAGGCGTGTTTATTATTATAGCAAAATAATTAACCGCGGTAAATTTTATGAACACAGCATTTGAAGCACAAGATAAAAACGTCAGTATAAATGTTTGAAAACGAAATAAATATGAATAAGCATAGATCCGTGATTATTCCTGTAGTATGAAATGTGTGTAAAAATTCTAAAATGTCAGTAAAACTATAAAGAAATGGGACAATAATCATGGCCATTGTATAGTCACCTCTAACTAATATAGGCCGTTTCCCAGTTGCTCCCTGAAACAATGTCATGACGTCACATATTAGAATTATGACGTCGCCATGATTTAGTTTTTTTTTTTTAAATTATATGTCTCGTAATGTCTGCGAATAAAAACTTCCTAAAAAAAGACTACAAGCTATTTCTAAGATATTAATACAGATTGATTCGTTACGGCTTTGAATATGAAAAAGTAAACAAAATAGAATATGAATTTTTTTGAAGATTTTAAAGTCGCACAGGTAGTGATAAAAAAAAGCCAGTTGGTGTCATGTGCTTGGATCACGTGAGTATATTCACGCTGCCATTTTGGACGGCAAAAAAAAAAATACGTCCAGACCTCGCTCCTATCAGTTGCAAGTCGCGTTATTCGTTTCCGTTTTGCCGGGCTGTTAAAAATGGGTATTTCCAGTGGCGGCGCGTGGTCATTTTGACAACCGGGGCAAGCTACTGCGGGACCAAGTCACCCCCATCTACGGGGACAGGATGAGCGCTGTAAGTTCTCCCATCATTTTATGAGTATAAAAACCATTCCATCGGTAACAACCAATCGGCAAAAGCGACAATTTTTAACGATAAGAAAGTGTCTTTAAAATCGGTCCAAGTCAAGGGAATAATAAATATAGACATAGTTTATTTTGAAACCTCTTTCAAAAGGAAAGGCAATATTTACCCAGATAAATACAATGACATATTAACAGAAACTTCGGGAAAGCAGACAAAACCTAAAATAAGGTTTAAAACGTTACTATGAAGAAAGGAGAGTTAATGCAAAGATAAGGACATGCGTCGCTCACTCATAGATATATATGCTGCTAGACTTCTACTGCTTGAACATATATGCAACACGCCTCGGTTTCTTGGAAGCAAAATGCTCAATAACGCGCTGATTAAAGTCATGCATCCCAGAAATAACGTCTCTGTGAATGGATAAAACAGCCAAGGAATTTAATCTATCTTGCTTCATTGTGTTTCTGAGATACGTTTTAATACGCTTCAGTGTGCTGAATGTTCTCTCTGCGTCGGCGGAAGAAATAGGCGTCGTCAAAATGATGTCCAGAAATTTTGCAGACGCCGCAAAGGTAGTTACTAGAGTGTTATCTATGAGGAACCCATAGAGCACGCAAGTTGATGTGATGTTCAAAAAAGTTTGATTGGTGTATATACATCGCAATTCATTTTCCAATTTCCCCACGTTTATCATGGGATAAAATTTGGAGACAGTAGCCAACAAATGGATGGGAAATTGACGTGCAAATTTTGAAAAATTTTTGGGGTTCATCAAAGGGAACGCGGCAAGGTGTTCAGTGCGCAGACGATCGCCTATTTGATTCATCAGAATGTCACAGCATTCCTTTGCAGACAAAATCAAACGCTGCGTTGTTTGCCCGCGGCGTAAAGAAGCACTCCGTGTGTCGTCGTATTTTATTGTTTTCCCGGATACGAGATACAGCATCGCAGAAGTCTGAAATACACGACTGCACAGACGCTCCATCCATTAGCCTTGACTGCAATGCGCCGTATAATACATCCACGTGATAGAATATTGTGGAGAAAAAAGCGAGAAAAAATGAAAACTCACCATCTTCTAGCAGACGCTTTAGACCTGCCGCCTCCCTCACAGAGCGTTCGTCCCAAACCGGAGAGCTCTGAATGCCATTGAAACACTCAATGAGCTCAGACCTAATTTCGGACACGCCCTGCACCACGCGTGATTGGAAGTTCCAACGTGTTGGTGCACAAGCTGGGAGACGGCGGCTACATAGCTGGAGAAGGAGGTCAGAGCGCTTCGGCGAAACGGAAAAAAATAAAGAAAACCCCGAAACATTTGCAAAAAATATACGGACGAAAGGGGTATCAAGACACATATTTTAATAACGAGGTTAAATTGGTGTGCATAACAATGTAAAAAATGCGCATGAGGAAAATCTTCTTTTATATAAACTTGAACACCATGTTTCGACCCACTCATGACTGCCGCGCCGTCATAAGTTTGAGCTATCAATTTTGACTTCGCGTTGTAAGGCTGTAACACTTCTTTCAGTACAGCCGATATCCCGCAAGCCGTGCGATCAACGATTGGTACAAAGCTGTGAAATCTCTCGGTAGGTTTACCATCTTTCACAAACCGAAAAATCACAGCCAGTTGGGAAACGCACGTGATGTCAGACTGAATCGAAAGGAACTGGCAATTCTCAATTTCCAGAGCCAAATGTTGTAAATAAATTTTATACATTGAGTCGAGCAAATCATTTGGATATCCTTAGATGTCCCTTTCGAAACAGTTGCGGCATCAAGATGATCTCTCAATACTGTATCTAGGGATGCGGTGTATTCCACCATATCCAAAAATACCCCTCTATTAGAAGAGCCAGCCCGTTCATCGTGCCCACAGCTCGTGACAACCAATGAACTTCAAAACATCTATCAATCGACCGAGAACATGGCGTTTTTTTTCGACGTTTTGGTTGTGCCGACGAATAGAAACCGCGCGTCCTTCATCCAACTGTTCTGCAATATTAACATTTCCGAATGTTCGGTATATTACTGCATTGTCCAGATGCTCCATAGAAGATTGATGATCCCTGGCACGCTCGGAAAGATGTTTAAGATCTCTAAAACCAAATTTACACCAACGTGAGTCACGGGCGGTAGCAAAAAGTAGGTAATAAAAACAAAAAAGTGCATTTTTGTCCTCGCTGTAACACAACCATTCGTGTTTTTTATACCAAGTTTCTGCGCAGAATGTACGCCGACGCTTTTCTCCGTCATGGGATTGTTCCAGTGAACAATTTTTTGGTTGATAAGGCACAAGACGTTGTACCTCTAATTTTTGTTCCAGCGGCAGCTGCGAAAACGGAGTGCGAAGTAGTGCATCAACCTTATTCATTATGAGGTCTAAGGCTAAGAAATGCGAGCCGGAAAGAAGTGAGGAGCTCAAAAGGAAAGTGGAAAATCGAAAGCAAATGGACTAAAGGTCTCTAACTGATTCAAATAGCGAAACAAGCGACAAAAACGAAGGCGAGGAAACTATCAACTCTTCAAGCAACCAACGAACGAGAAGGAATGCGTGAATATGTCAACACGTTGTTGTAAGAAACGTCGGCATTGTGTCGTCATAATTTCGGGGCTAGCCCCGATCGGCCCCGATGATTTAGTAAAAGAAACAGAAAACAAACGAGACAAACGCGGCGAGTGGAAGATAAAAGAGAGAATACGATATACAATGAGCAACCGGGGCAAAATCGGCGTCGCCCCGTCGACGTTCGGCGAAGGCTTTGCGAGCGAAAAATGAACCATGTCGGGAGAATATGGCTAGTGTAGACAGTCTGTGCGACCGATATTGAGGTATTTTTCGAATATTTTTTATTATACTGAAAAAACAGGGGCCCGGTTGGCCCTATTGACGCGCCGCCACTGGGTATTTCGTATTGTGCTGTACGTATAAACAACGAAATAGATCTTCAATATATTCCATTGTTTTTAAAAGATCCAGAACGTCGCGCAAGGTGGATACCGGTATCATCTATTGGGAGAACTGGTTGGTGACTTGGTGTCCCAGCCATATCGCTCGTGTTTGGGGACAGCACTTTGTTGGTGGTGGGTGATAATGTGCCGTTATTGATTTCTTTAAATATTTATAAGCTCCGTCATTTTAATGAAAAACATATGACAAACTACCGTTATTGGTAGGCATACTTGCGTTTTAAATTGGTAAGAAATCTTCATCATCATAGCGAAATCAATTCATTGATACACAAACATACAAATAATTGATTAGTGCGTAATTTTCTTTTAGGAAAAAATCATTATCAGCTGATTATGTCCCATCAATATTGAATTTTCGTCATTCCCAGAGAAGTAAAGAATAGTTGGAAGGAAAAAGGTGGATTTTAAAGGAAGGCAAAAAGCAAAGATGAGGTGTTGGAAAATTGAGCGCATTGTACCGTGGCTAATCTTAGCAAAATAAATGAAAAACAGGAGGAACAGGAATTTGTGCAACAGATGTGAAAGTGAAAAATCAGTGAAAGTGATAAGAGTGAAGTTGGAAATTTGTCACATTGGACAGCTAAAAAAAAACTGAAATTTTGTAATTTGCCATCGACTGGCTTGCCCACAGTCAAAATTTTAAAGTTGTGGTTGATATTCTGAATCTATTTCGTACAGAACTTGCGTCGCTATCACCATTTCAACAAATTCTGTTAACTGGTATGCGTTGCAATATCACTTTGCAGTTGTTAGCATGAATATTTAATGTGTTTTTCGACTAGACCTACCACTTGAACTAAAAGCGGTCGCCCTAAACACATTTTCACTAGTAGCACCATAACACTGTAAAACTTTGATATAAATTATCCCCCTAGATTAAAAAAAGACATCATATCTTTCATTGGAAATCATTTGAAAGGAATGCGGAGGTAGATACATTTTGACCCTAAATTATTTATTCAGGTATATTCAGGTGATCTTACCCTTGCTGATACAGATATTGATGTCAGGGACTCTAATTGGCCCATGCATACCATATTGAAAACTGTCATATAATCTGAGCACAAAAGATTCATGTGAAACACGTAATATGCATTTATAAGCACAAATATCCCATCCAAAGCAGTACCGATCCACAACCTCCTGCCTATGGAATCAAACTTTGCGAATCAAGTGTGCCTTTTGACTAAGGATGTCCAAATCAGGAAAATTTAATATTCTTTGAACAAAAGGTTGCGGCTACCTTTCAGGATTTCAGTATCAGTGGAGATGATTGCAGATGAGGCGGCTTCATTAACAATCAAAAGATTATCATTCCATATAGGGATTAGTTAACCAGTTATTTGGTATTCGGACTTGATGGTGGAGGATGTCGTAACCGACCAGCCATTACGTGAAGCACCGATAAGAAATTTATCCACATTCAACAGTGATATGAATTTGTACAAGACTGGAGCTAATCATGCTTACTATCGCAGTCACAACTTTATGTCTTTTGATCATTTTGAGGTGAGTTCGTACGTAAATTGTAAAAAATTTATGTAACTATTTTAATTACGATTTGGGATACTCGACGACTACGGTATTAGTCCAATAAATATAATAAACAAATTAAGAAAACTGGTACTTTGCAAAAAGCAATGTTGTTGTTCGAAATGGTTACATTTAGAATACATTGAACAGGCTGGTGAATATGGTCAACTTGGCTTTCGGATTTTTTCTCTAGTCTAGATTGCATACCACTGGAATTCGACTATTTTTTTGTAGTATCGCTTTTTAATTCCAACTTTTTATTATTAAAAATAGTTTTTGAATAATGTGTTATTGTAAATCAGAAGAAAACGAATTTCTTAGATACCTAATAACCTAATGATTTATTTTAGTCCAGAGATACTCAGAGGGTTACCACCTCGCGGGGGAATGGTAAGTAAATTGCTGAATTTTATATGAATACTTCAATGGTTAATGTAACCAAATCTTGTTATTCCAGCCATGAACATTTTTGCCTAGACATTTGAAAGGAAGATCCGGAGAAGAAAGAGGTGATGAACCGAAGGAGAATTCTGTCTTAGTTTAAACTCCCAAGTATACTTTTCAACAACTCATATGTTCAATATTGCAAATTAGGTGCTCCCGTAGTATTTGTACCAAGATGGCGCACAACCTGAACCTAGTATGTGTACCAGGTTAGGGTTAGCAGGTTTTGCGCCATCTTTGTACGAATAATACGGGAGCGCCGTAAATTAAACCTCTTGTGTCATCATCTAGTTGTGTATCAGACATTTTTAATAGATGCAAATGAAATCTAAACTTAAATTTTACTTTCTACTCGCTACACAACTTATCAGTTTTTTTATCGGCAGATGTTGCTGATCAACAACATAAACATAACCGGTTAACATATTCGGAAGAAGAGCCAGGCGATATTCTTGAGATTCTCCAACGTATGGTGTTTCATGGCGAATTTCCATCGATATCCCTAGGTAGGCGAGCTCGAGGAGGTTGAAGAATGCTGAAGAAAGAAGGATTTGTCATTGATTCGTCAATCATGTTCATTTAATATAATACATTGTTTTGAAGTTTTTTGGATCCCTTTGCTATATATATTGCTGAAACGATGAATCCCTGAGCATCCTTGTTTATTTCCTTAACATTGGCCAATCAGCAAGATATCGATGGTGACGTTACGTTTAAATTTTTAAAAACCACTGAGAAACTTTTTTCATTTATAAAGATTTCAAGCACGATGATATACAATATCTCGTTTTAGTAGGTTTGCTAGCTGTTTGTTATCAGACTCGGCTATGCAGCGCATCGTGCTAAGCGCTAGGAATACGATCTGATTACACTGCCTGGGTTCGCAGGTTAAAACTACTCCATGCTTTTATAAAAATTTATGACTAACGAATTTCATATGCGATATGTAATGAGGGCAAGAGGCCACGGTTTTCCATATGATTAAGTCGTATTATCGGCTATCCTCTCCCCCGGGATAAATATGTAAATCATGAATCCTATTTCCATCTGTAGAAAAATCAAATGGTTCAGTGACATTTTGCCGTCTTTGATTTAGTTTGCGTAATCCAGAATAAAATTAGTCTCAAATAGCTTCGATGTATTAGATTAAAGTTAGTTATCAATACATCAAATGGCAGGTGATTGGATATTTTGAATCAAAAGAAAGGTGCGCCATCTACCGAAGATGGCGAAAGGAAGGAAAGTGTCTCTTATGCTGATGGATGACATACATGTTGTCGGAATCATTTTTTTTTCATAATCACCCAAATAAACCAGAGTATTGGAATAAAAAGCCTGTTAAACTATATAGACTCAGAATGAGGCTGGATTTTTATGTGATCCACCGTATGGTCTCGATAATCCCATACATAATGTAATTCCTATGAATGAAATTTATCTGCGATAATAATAACACGCAATTTCACGCGTGCTTTGCACGTCTAAAACTAAAAATTTACATACAGTTAGTCTTTGGCTATTTTGTTTTGCTTGTTCGTGATATCTTCGCGTGGAATTGAAATCAACTTATTTATTTCAATCGATATTTGTAATTCAGATGGTGTGTCGTTACTACGATTTTGTGAAAGTACCAATACTATTTAAATCAATATATTGTATATGTTAACGTAACTAAGTACGTATACGCGAGGAACACTTGCATCAATTTATAGAGATTTCTTCAGATGTTGAGTTGTGTTCAGACACCACCTTCCAATAAACGCATTCATGTATTCTGAATTTGCAATTATTATTATATTGCAATTATGTCACGGAATCTTAATTCCAAACGAATTTTCCCGCTAACTGTGTCAGATTTGTCGATACCATAATACAACTTGCATACATAATGCAACTTTTTCGCAAATAACATAGGTACATCATTAATAAGGATTTTGGCAACCACCCATCCAATATCGATGATAGCCGTCTGGCGATAGCGAATTAGAAATCGATACATAATAAATTTTATTTACATAAAATCAATCAAGTAAATGATTACTCGTCAGTATATAGTGCTGTACAAAGAATTCCAATCTGATTCAATATAAAATATTCAAATGGCATTTTACTATTCGGATATCTGCTAACACGAAAACGAAACCCTTGTGACTTTGCGCTCGCTTTTCGCTGAACCAAACCCTTGGATTTTACACAGCTCTCGCCTGATCGCTGAGTCATTCCCTTGAATTCTCGCCGACTTCAGAAGAACACACGAGAATTTGCACGCTTTCTTTGTTTTAATTTTACAACAGCGAGAAAAACGATCTTAATCGATACGAAGGATAAGAATCGGAAGTAAAACAATTTGTAAATTGCAAATTCACTCCTATATTACTATTCTTCAATGTGTCATCGCCGATGGTGGCACAATAACTTCTAGGACCAAATGTCAAAAACGCGTTCCCACTAAATGGACTAAAACAGAAAATTAGTAGTGAATATTTGGTACATGTGGGTCAAAAATAAAGAATAAAATGAATTAGCTCTATAGGGCCGTCTTCCTTTTTAAAGCACTGAAAATTTAAAATGGTCTATTACAATTTTGCTAAACAATCCATAAGTAGGCCTAGTGTCCAATAACAATAACTACTAAAAAAAGAAACGAAAGCACAAAACATATGCATACGAACCATGCACAGGTTATATCTAATATATTGAAATATTATTCAGTAGGCTAATTGCTCGTCTGGTTGAAATTGTATCATACTATGCGGTGAAAACCAGAAAATTCCTCTTTCCGCATGGTAATTTTTCAACCTATGTCTGAATGCCATCGTAACCATACGTTGCATCCATCCCATTGATCAGGGCAAACTTGTCAACAAACCGGATTTTAACATTTGTCACATTTGTATAGAAACGGTTTTACTCTTCCGCTTCCGCATGAAGTTATTGATATGGAGTTAGTTGATATAAATAATAAATCACCACCGTGATGTGGACTATTTCACAGCTATATATCACTATTTTCAGCTATCACGAGACGTGTTTCAAAACAACTTATTATGGTTACTATCGTTGTCACAGTTTTGTGCCTTTTGATCACTTTGAGGTAAGTTGGTTGTTACTATGAAATACATTTATAAAGATTTTAGTTTTTACAATTATTCGCTTTAAAAATATAAAACCAAGAAAACTGATACTTGATAGTAAGTAAGCAAGCAAGCTAAAATGGCGTTGTAGAAGAATGCTCATACTGGCAAATGAGGTCAAAAATACCAGATTAAATCATATACCACTGGGGTTAGTAGTAATATTCTCAATTCCAATTATGGAAATGAAAATATAAAATAATGCGTTTCCATCTAAGTCTTACGTTTTCCTATTTTCAATTTTTTTCTTATTGTGCAATCTTGTACCGTATGTAAATGTAATTTTGTCATAAATATAAGAATTCTTGATAGCACAATATCATATTAAATGTACTATATGATTTCATTTCAGCTCGGTCAGAAGCGGACCACCATATGTAGGCAATGGTGAGTAAATAGGTCTATAATGATGAGACACACAATACGATACTATCATAGTTTAGTAACCGAATCCTGTTATTCTAATTCTAGTGATGAACATTTTCGAAATGCCTGGACAAGGAGGCGCCCCATATGAAGATCCAGGAGCAGAAAGAGGTCGTGCGTTGGATGAAAATCCCGACTTACTTGAACTTCCAAGTAAGAAAGTTTTTTAATTGTTTTTTAAAGTTTTTGTAACCTTAATATTATCGAAGTTTACCGTATGGTTCGTATACTTCATAATTTTAAATCGCATTCATTGCATTATTTGGTACAATATTGGATTTTAGATATAGGACATTTCGAGTATTTCTTACATAATAATAATAGATATTGCTTACCAAAAAATCTTCAAAACTTTTGATCATTCACTATAAATTTTAATCAAATTTATATCCTATATGTCGTTTTTTAATTTCAGTTTCATAACGTTTACTTTGTTCATAAATTTAGAGTCGTTTTAGATTTACACCATCCTGAGACCTAGTTTATATTAGAAACAATATATATATAATTACAATATGTTCGAACATGCAAACATTAAACCCACTGACATTTAATTTTGAGGTTTCGAAGATAAAAGTGAAAAGATGTCATATTACGGATTACCATATTTCGAAGTAAAGCCTGGAGATTCGCTTGAGATTACTGATCGACGACGAGGCTTCAACGAACCACGAGAATGGAATGAATCTCCTATACAGAAAGGTTAAAATCCAAAAAAAAAAAATACGGAAAAAAAAAATCGTTCTTGGAAAATTGACTCGTAGTATTTTATCTCCACAATTGACGAATATGATCAATCTATAGAACACCAAGAACTGTCCTCTGAAACCCGTGGACGTAAATAAAGAAAATGATAAATAACATAGCGAATTATTCAAAATACCAAGTGTTCCAAAATATTACCAAGTTGATGTCTTACGAGTTTTTGCTTCGTTAATATCCATAGACTTATGTAAATGTATTTATGATTGAATAAACCTGTGTGAATTTTTTAATGTTGAAAAAGAATAAAGATAAGATTTAGTGCAGGGGTTCCCGAGCGTTTCTCAGGACGACCCCAAAGACAACTTTCAAGTGTCCAGTGCGACCCCAGGTCAATATATATATATTTTTCATGAAACTTTAGAGCTTCTTTCACTGGACTTTTGAGTTTGGTCATGTGGTGGTATTGAGTAAAATAAGCTAAAACCCAACAGGGATGTCACAATAAGCACCTACATTTACTATAGCATAAGCATAGAGCGATGCCTATGGGCCTGTTTTACAGTAAGCCATGGTACAAGCTGCTAAATTTAACATGATTTATCAAATCTTAGATGTTTTGTACATTCATCCTCCACCATACCTCAGCGAACCCACCGACCCCATGACCTGTTTGCGACCCCACCTACTTATCACTCCGACCCAATTGGGGTCGCGACCCCTGGTTTGGGAACCCCTGATTTAGTGTTATTGGGTTGGAGTTATAAGGGTTCGATTGGTAATAAATATTTACAATAATGTATATGATTTATTAGGTTATAGTAGTGGTAACTGAATAATAGACCCGAAGCTCACATGTTTTGGTGATCAATCGTAATAGTTACCTTAAAGATTCGGTTAACCAATTTACCGGTTAACCACCGCCATGCTTATTTGTACATGCAGGGCCATGCAGAAAACTTAAATAGATTCTTGCATAATTGCGGTATTTTATTATGCAGTGTTCACATTTGTTCAATAAATCTGATGTAAACGCCGTTTCCGTGTAAACTGTAACTCATTCTAGCAATAATAATAGCCTCACGGAATGCCGCAGGATGACGAAGCTTATTTAGGAAGGAAAATCAGATACATATATATCGCACGAACTTTGGCCTATAAAAAAATGGTCCAGGATCCCCAAAACACATGCCTGTCAAAATTTTGATGTTTTGTTACAGAAAGAAGAATTCATAGGCATGCGTTTTCAATAAATTTGACGTAATAATAAAAACTTGTTTGATTGACATCGTATCATACAATGGCACAACATTTTGGTTTCCTCACCTTAACTTGATAACCTATACCAGCGATTCTTAACATTTTTTGTACTTTTTATCTTTTACCAAAGCTGGTTACTAGATTTACATCCAACGCTCGTAATGGTGCTCAATTATTAAAAAATGAAATTAACCAATTAATTCATTATATTCATTTAATGTGACGGATGCCTTTGTTTATTGACAACTAGCTGTTCAATGTTTCCTTGAGCAGTAGATAGTGCACAACAAATATCGGTTTCAGCATCGGATTCGTGCTTTAAATTCGATTTTTTATTTACTTATTTACCCCTGAAACAAAGAAATTATTTCCAGGTTCAAAAATGTAGGAGGTCTGCTCCACTGTCTATAGGCAACCCAGTAGTTGCAGACAATTAATCTAGGTTATTTTGTCAGTGAACCGGATTTTCACATTTGTCACACTTGTCTTTTGACGGAAATTTTCTGCTCTTCCGCATAAAGTTATTAATAGGAGTTAGTTGATACAAATACGAAATTTATTGCAGTGATATGATTGTAACGACTAGAGCTATCGGGTGGCGTGCTTTGAAAAATACTTACCATGGTTACTATCGGTGTCACTATTTTGTGACTTTTAATCACTTTGAGGGGAGCTCGTTTTTACATTGTAATAAATTCATAACAATCTTTTAGTTACGATAAAGCATACTCGCCAACTTTGAAAGTTGTTTGAGATTACAAATGAAAACTGATATATATTCTAAAACAAGTAAGCATGTAAACTGATAACATGGGATTTACGTAGTATCAAATTCGAGTCGATATTTGATTAAGTCTAACGTTTTTCTTTTCCTGTACCATCTGTAGCCGAAATGACTTTTTTTCATAAATATTCAAAGAATATTTGACAGCACAATATCATATTAAACGTAACATATGTTTTCTTTTCAGTCAGAAGCGCCCCACCAGAAGCTGCAGGCAACGGTGAGTGAGTGGTCGATTATAATAAGACACACAATACGATAGTATAATAGTTTAGGTAACCAAATCTTGTTATTCTAATTCTAGTGATAAACATTTTCGAAATGCCCGGACATATGAAAGGAGGCGCCCCATATGAATATCCAGGAGCAGAAAGAGGTGGTGCGTCGGATGAAAATCCCGACTTACTTGAACTTCCAAGTAAGAAAGTTTATTAATTACCAGCCCATGCCCCATTGTTTTTGTGACCTTGTTATTATTGAAGTTTACCATATAGTCAGTACACAGCATAATTTCAAATCGCATTCATTGCATCATTGGCCACAATATTAAATTTTAGATTGGGACATTTACAAACTTTTTCAATCCAATATATATACTATGTGTTGTTTTTTGATTTCAAATCCATAGCGTATATTTTGTTCATACATCATCCCGAGACGTTGTTTATTAGTGAAACAATATATTCGAACATGCAAACATTTAAGTCACTAACACCTAGGTTTGGAAGATAAAAATGAAAAGAGGTCCTATTAAGAATTACCATATTTTGAAGTAAAGCCTGGAGATTTGCTTAAGATTCCCGCACTACGACGAGGCTTCAACGAACCAAGATACTTGGAGGGAGCTCCGAGAATTAAAGGTTAAAATCTCCCAAAATACAGATAAAGACTTGTCGTTGAAAATTGACTCTTTCATTTCCACAATTGACAAATATAATCAATCTATAAAACATATCAGAAACTGTCGTCTTCAACGCGTGGATATAAATAGAGAAAAATGATAAATAACAAATGCAAATTATTTAAAAACCAATTGTTCCAAAATATTACCAAGTTGATGTCTTACGAGTTTGTATTTCGTCAATATCCATAGACCTATTTATACCAATGTATATACATATGTGATTGAATAAACGTGCGTAAATTTTCAAAATGGTGAAAAAAGAATAAAGATAAGATTTGGTATTATTGGATTGGAGTTTAGTTATAATGATCCGTTTGGTAATAAATATTTACACTAATGTGTCTAATTTATTAAGTTATCAGGATAGCAGCCGTGAAGCTCACTCACATTTTGTTGGTCAGTGGTAATTGTAACTCTTAAAATGCGGTTAACCAATCTATCGGTTAACCACTGCCATCTTTACTTGTACATGTATGTCATGCAGAAAACTTAAACAGATTCAGATGTGCGAAATTTCATTTTGAAGTGTTCACATTTGTTCAATAAATGTGATTCAAACGCTTTTCTGTGGAAATTGTAACAACTCATTCTAGGAATAATAATAGCCTCACGGAATGCCGCAGACTGACGAAGTGCAGCAGTACGACGACTCTACCGGAATGTGCTCGCCACTAATATAGTCTAGTATTAATTAGTTCAGATGATCCCGTCTGCTGCAAAGCCACACGGACAGGTTCGAAGTTCACGATGCAAACGAATGGACTTTATTATACAGTGTAAAATTCACGCTTAAAGCATATAAAATAAGAACAACAAAATCGATGCTTACTCTAGGACAGCAAAGGGGAAAGAGACCGACGCTGTGAACCCACAGCACCCACATATGCAGTGGTGGTTGGAGTCGAGTAACTGGATCTAAATATCGGGAGAATTACGGGTCAGACTCTACACACCAATGCATATGCAATACCCTGACAAGAAATATAAATAAAATATAAAAAGATAAAAAAAAAAATAGGACAACCCAATCCCGCCACACGAAGCTTATCAAGAAGGCAAATCTAATACATATTTCACAGACTTTGGCTTATAAAAATTGGGGCTCCCGAAGTATGCGAACCAAGATGGCGGACATCGGAACGTAATATGTGTACTAGGTTAGGGTTAGGCCATAATTTTACGTATAAATACTACGGGAGGCTCTTGGCTAGTCTTCGAACTGATAATAGAACTAAAATAAGGAAAATTGGGAAAAAATTATCGCCTAACCCTAACCTATTACCCATGTTACGTTCCGATGTCCGCCATCTTGGTTCGCATACTTCGGGAGCACCTAAAAATTAAATTGGTCCAAGATCCCAAAAACACCTGCTTGTCAAAATTTCTATTTTTTTGTTACAACACCACGTACAACACAGTGCTTTTTGTTTTTATACGTTGTGTATTTTTAAACAAATCAGATGTCATTTAACGACAGATCTGCCGCAAAAAAGGGATGATAAATTTTCATCATTTACCTTAATTAAGTTGACTTAAACAGGATCTTTCAATTTATCACACTTGCCTGGGGAACGGAAATATTGTTTCCTCCGTAAAGATATCCAGAAGTAATAATCTGTTTATAATGAAGTTGTGAATTTCAGTCCTGCCAGTGCATTTCTGGTGCACTTCGCTAACAAGGTAGTTGATAGATTTCATCAAGAATTCGTCATGATTACTTTCATCGTCACAATGTTATGCGTGTTATCCAATTTGAGGTGAGTTCTTACTATGAAATATATATATATTGAATTTTGCAAAAGATGCAGAATTTTTTAAATAATTTAAAGATAATTTAATATTTACTAACCGTTGACAACGTTCTGAAACTTTGTACCGATTTAAAAAAATCGTTTACTCCAAAAATAAAGATTATTATATGCATCATTATCATAGTCGAATAGTTGGTTTTTCTAACTCTAAACCGATTTTAGTGGAAATAATCAGCGATATATTAGAATTAACTGATTAGTGGCTTCTTGGTATCAACGCTAAATTAAATAACAAGATATTTGTTGCAGCCCATCCGCATCCAAGAGCATTTTACCCATTCCAGGCAGTGGTGAGTAAAATATCTAACGTGTTATTGTACACAATATGATACTGTAATTTTTCAAAATGAAGAAACTTTTATTTGGACCAAGCAATTGACATTTATGCAATTCCTGGACATTTGAGAGGAGGTGCCCTTTATGAAAATCCAGCAGTGGAAAGGGGCGGTGCATCGGACGAGAACCGCGCCTTTACTAAAACTCCCAAGTGAAAACATTTTCGTATACAACGCCTGACATTACCATTACATTTTTAATGTATTTCACACTAATGAACTGTTCAAAATCGTGAAAGCAATATGCAATTTCACCATTTTAATTGATGCAAATGGAATTCAAACTGAAAATTTTCATCAAATATATTCAAACATTTCATCCATTCAGTCTCTAAGCACTAACACTTAACCTTACATACAGGTTTAGAAGATAAAAGTGAAAAAATGTCATATTACGGATTACCACATTTCGAAGTAAAGCCTGAAGATGTGTTTAAGATTCCCGGAACATCACGAGGTTTTAACGAACAAAGAGACTTGGACGAAGCCCCGAGAATAAATAAACGTTAAAATACAAAAAATACAAATGAAGACTTGTCGGTGAAAAATTGACTCGTACCATTTTATTTCCACGATTGACGAATATGATCAATTCATAAAACATATCAGAAACGGATGTCTACAATGTATTTGTGATTGAATAAACGTGTGTAAATTGGGTTAATTGTTGCAGATTTGAAATGAAACACTTTTGTATTTTTTTTTTTAAATTTGAGATAATAGTTGGTAACAAAGAAGAGAATTTCAATATATCAATGTATTGATATCACAATATTTGTACGTTTTTTAAGTCAGATATTCGGTTATAGAGAGTAGCTTTATGACGTAGACTCATGTAATCTTAAAGAGACGAAGAAAAAGATAATGCAAACGGAAAAATTGTTCTTTTATGTAAAGTTATCGATAAGAATTAACTGTTGATGAAAACTGCGTGACGCCCCTACAAGACCTCTAATAATTGTGATATTAGATTTTTCGCCATATGTTTATTGCAGCAATATCAGAAATTGGTTGTTTTGAAAGGATTGGTCCCTACTTGGTCCACGGTGTTTTACTGTTGGTAAGATATTACGCCTTGACGCTAGGATAACTCCGCTTTTTCCGATTACTTTTGTTTCATTCTAACAGGTTGAAATAACACCTTCATGCATAACATTGAATATTAATTTATCACAGACCGTTCCATTATCTTTGAAGCCATGTACATTTTCACTTCACCTGCTTTCTTTTGCATCCATTAGCATTTGCACCCACGAATATTTGCACCCATAGATTTACCACCCTCATACAGTTTACTCCCATAGCGCGTTTGCAAACATGTTTGTGATTCAAATATAATTTAATTTGTTTATTTTATCTGTTTCCGTGGGTGCAAAATGCCAACCTTCAAAAGCCAGTTGGTGCAAAATTTCGTGGGTGCAAAGTTCATGCGCGAAAATGTACAACGTACAATCTGTGTGGGGGTGCTGAAATCGTGGGTGCAGTTTATCGTTGCAAATCATATGACTATTGATAAGACTCGAAACTAATTAAAACAAAAGATGCAAATGACTAAGTAAACGCCATAAAGCAATTTAAATTAATTAAAATATACCTTTGTATATAACTCAACTCAAGCATCAAATTCTAACTATGTTATATATTTTATTAATAGTAAAATCACACACAAGTTATTATAATATACAACATTCCAATGCTATGGTGTTATGGCACAGATTTTACAGCAGCACTCTAGGTGGTTTGAACGTGATATATTTACATCAATCAAGTAAATTTCACCCAGATATAAAAATTTATAAAGTTACAATAATTAAACGCTGGACACGTAGAAAGCTATTAATAAGGTTATATGGTTGGATACACACAATACGGTATACCCGATTGGGTAGTGGGGCACCAAATACATCCTCTGTTCTCACATGACCACTTGGTGGCGTATGGCTGAGGATGACAATCAATTTTCGTGTTACAGTTGGCACAAGTTGTGCAATTAGCCGTTGTCACTGAAAAAAATAAAATTTTTGTGAACATTGTAAAACATGAAATTGGAAGTAAATAAGTAATCAGCTTTTGATCATTAGAACAAAACATCTTTAAAGAAAAAATTGAAATAAGGGTGTTGAAATTTGACAAGGCCCGCCGAGGCATTTCGAGTGGCCCGCGCTGAATTGTTAGATTTGAGTAAAAAAAATTGAGTAAAACTATTTTTCGAGTGATGTAGTATACAAAGTATAGTAAAGTAGTATACAGATGGCACCCCCATCTATGGTTGGGAAACAATAGTTTTATTGTTCTAATAATTGTGAAAGTTTGTTGTGAGGGTATTGTTTGTTTTTTCATTAACCTGTAGTCAGTATAGCAAAACTACATCATAACTACCATGTAAAGTGGCCCGCGCAATAATTAGTGAACCACATGTGGCCCTTCGGCCAAATAGGTTGGCCGACCCTGAAGCAGACTCATACATGGAAATTTCTTACCTGTAGTTCCACCGTATACACACCAAGGCTCTCCAGATACCGAAGATTGGCACCACATACACCCACGAGACTCACACACTGTTTGCGTAGCGTCGGGCTCTGGATGACAGTCATATTTCATTGTACAAGTGCTGCATGTTTGACAGTTAGCTCTGTATTGAGCTGGAGCTAAATAGTAAAGTCAACAAGTATTGTTAAGGTAATGTTTCCGTTTGCAATATGTAGCCAATTACCTAGACATAAAGTTACTTATAATGCGTAGAAAGCTTGACTATTTTATTAAAACCTTTGCGGAATAGAGATAAATGAATAGCTCATGGACTTCAACCCAGATTTAACCCAATAATATCAGGAACATAGATCTGTATACAAAAACACTGGGTCGCAACAAAAATGCGTACTGTGGCAGAATAAAGTCTATGTGATTAAAAAAAACTGCCGTAGTTCATTAACCATGCTATTATAATAAAAAAACTCTATATATACTAAATGAATCTAAACCTGGGTGTGACTATCTGATAATCTCTTTTCTTGTTATTTGCGAATTTCTGAAATTCCCTTGATTTATATAATATATATATTTCTTCTGTGCACGGTGTCTCTTTTCACCATGTTGAAAAATAATCTACTGATAACCAAGCTGGATTGGCGAGTATCACCTATCCCCCATAAAAGCTGCCATCATACTTTTTCAAATATATACCTGTTATGTTTCCACCGTACGTGCATTGTGGGGTTAAACTTGAGCACCAGAGACATCCTCTTGCCTTGCATTTTAATTCAGTCGGCGAAGATTCATCTGGGAGACAATTGACTGGATTGCATGAACTGCACGTCGGGCAACTTGCTCGATATGTTTCAGCTTGAAAATAATATCAATATTTTGTTTGGAACAAATCTAACCAGAAAAATAGGAAATTGCAGTAGGGGCATTGAGGCATCAGAAAAAATATTTGTACATATATATTCGAAGAAGAATATGATGTTAAGAACAAATGAGCAAGCAGATATTCGAAAATTGAAAATAAGAAAATGTCGAGAAGGAATCTTTCAAGCGTCACTTACTTAAATAGAGTCCGCCATATATGCACCAAGGCTCATTATTGCCTGCTTCTGGACACCATAAGCAACTTCTTGATTGACAAGCTTCGGCATTTGCACCTGGTTCGGGATGACAATCTATTCGTTCTCTACAATCGGCACATGTGGGACAGACTGATCGCAAATTCACTGTAATAGAAAACAATCAATAGACTGTTAAAAAGATTTAACAGTTTCATAATTAAATTAAATTGTAACAAAACGAATCGGGTGATGCATAACTCGGCTTACATTTTAGAACATGTTTGATTTCATGTTTTTGCTGTCAGAAAAAATAACTTACTTTGACTAATTAGGTCGGGTTCACTGTTGTGAAAGCACCAAGGAACGCCAGCAGTAGATGAAACACACCACTGACATCCTCTACATCTGCATCTTGCCTCTGTTGCTCCTGCTTCTGAATGACAATCTACTCGAGCAGATTCTGCGATTGTTGTTACACAGGATGTCGAAGCAGATTGAAAACAGAAGGCAATCATCCCCAAGCAAAGTAACGTAACAGATTTCATCTTAAATAATATATTACATTGAAGGCATACGTATTACTACTATACAGGCGAATTAGGTTATTTTAAATCCCAATTTTCAATTCGAATAAGTTTAAAAAATCCAATCCAGTTGTGATTTTGATATTAAAAAAACACCGAACTCTAATTCCAGATATCTGTATAAATCGGAATCGTAGTTAGATTTGCTTTTATAAAAAATAATATTTCACTAAGCCAAGTCCAAGCCAAGTATAAAGAAAAATCAACTAAATTTAGATTATTTATGGATTGGTTGTAGGCTCGCTAAGGTGCGCTTTGAATAAATTAATAATATGATATTAAAGACATAGAAGCCATTGAACAAATATAAGCACGTTGATGCCTCTATTTGACAGCCAATTAAAAAACGCAATGAAAGTTTATTGTACATTATTGCGGACCGTTGGTTGCTAGTATTTTTATATTCGCGATTGAGAATGTCCAAGAATATTAATTTACGTAGTACATAGTATCTCCAAAGATATATCTATCAGGAATTAATCTGTTTTTGTAAAAGACATATGCAGAGTTTAAATATCCTATTCAAATAAAAAAATAGTAATATAAATCTTACCTTTCTTTTATATTGTTATATCAAAATCAGACCGCCAGTGCAACGAATATACAGTATCGTTCATATGCTATGGGTTTCGTTTTTTGGTTTGCGTTGTTATCTCAACAACGAAAAAGAATTTTTTTTTTAGCTTGGCCGCTGATAAATATCTTTTAAACAAAATCATTATTCAAGGCCCATGTTCGATTTTTTATTTTTTTTATTAATTATTTTCAGCGAAAGCATAACATGGATATTGACCTTGTAACTCATTTGTGAAACAAATTCAGCATTTCCTCTGATCCGGATTTCTCGAGCAATAAACCGCGTTATCTTGGTCTTTTAATTTATTTCTATTGCTTTCATATTAGAAAATATTTCTCTTTAATATTTTCTTATAATTTGAATGCAATACATTTATTGATTTAGATATAAACAAAGTTGACGAATCCAATGCTATTTCACACAAAAAAAATTATTATATGTATATTATAACGACTTTAATTATAAATTTATGCACAATAATAGCATTAAAATAAGGTATCTCTCATTCATGACATTAATACTAACATTGTGAACACCTTTGTCTTATATGACGGTTACTATGTCTAGGCTTGTCCATGGGACATATTTTTCTGTCCCGTGGTAATTCATGCTTGTTCCATCCCACGGGATTTTTCCTATGAAAATGACAATTCTGCGGCTAAGCCTGGAAAAAAAATCTTAAATAAAAGGGGCTTTGAGATTTGTGTAGCAATGATAATCTCAGGGTCAAGACTGTCTATATTTCTTTAGTAATAATTGATCTCAACCACAATTCTAGTTTGGGCCTCGTCCATCGAGTCTGGGTACGATTAGGCTTGGGTGTTTGTTCCAAATCCACATACAAATTTTTTTTAATAAAATAGCATTCGCAGTAAAAACGATAAACGTTAGCCATTTTCAATAGTTATTCCATAGGACTCTTAATTTCGTCTTTCGCTCCGAACAAAGACCTACACAAGCAGCACTGATATCTCACGATACGTTAGGAATTACTTTTATCTGGGCGGACCGGAATCTTTCATGCACCCAGGTGGGGAGCGTGTGATTCGAACTTGAGATGTGTAATCTCAAAAATTTAGTTTTCTATGTATACAACCATGATAAAAAATAATCTACAGATTACCAAGTTGGCGATTACCAAAAAATTCTCACAGGCAAAATTTTATTTAATAACATATATATATACTTGTGGGACACTTGGAATTTCGAGTTACAACATTTGTTTACAAGAGAAGGAAATGCGGCTATCGCTTTGCCTTACAGTAATTAAGCCCGCGCGTAAATCGGCGAAAGTTTTAACGCAGCAACAAGAGAGCAAGAAACTTTATTTATTTTACCCATGTGAGCGCCTTTTCATCAACTGTTGAAATAGGATTTTATGCTTGATGGGGAAAATCTGAGAGTTGACAAGGGCCACGCGCCCACACTAAATGGCTTGGCAGGCGGTTGTGGCCCGCGCGCTGCCTGTCGCACACTCCTGGTCTAAAGCTTCAGCAGCAAGATCATCACTCCGCTCTAGTCCTTTGAAGCAAGTATGATCCAATTGATCAACATGTAGCCAGCCGTGTTCGGGATAGCGGAGTCGAATTAGGTTGTATATATTTTGTCAACAAAACATATATATTGCAAATTTGGTTTAAATAAATATAGAATAAACTAAAATTCATTATTGAGGTTCCAGTGGTAAGTCTATTCTGAAATCACGAGTAAGACCCGTCTTTGTTTCTTTAAATTCATTTTATTTTTCCTAAATATCCTGCCCACCCAGTATTCTGTCTGCTTGTATAAATTACTTTGTTGTTTCCAAGTTTATTAATTTGTTTCAATGACAACTAATTATTAAGTTTTGAATGATATATTTCGATAAAGCACTATGGAAAGACTTTTCACCACTGCACGTTGAAAGACGCTGACATAACTTCATCCATTCCATCTACCTCGATGACCTGATAAAATAAAATAAAAAAACAGGTTTTTTTCTGATCGAAGTCTTACGTTTGGATCTTGCGTGTTTATGATAGTTTTTTGTCAAGAAGTTGGCAGTGAGAATTATGTTACGCACTTGATACAATGGTATTCAATAATAATGTCAACGGAAGAATTTTCAATAATTCGACTATTAGAGATGACATATTTCACTCACTAGTCGACAATCAATAAAAGAATTTGGTAGTATGGCTCCTCCCAAAGTTTTTTTTATGAATTTTGTGATTGAGTGGTCGTAATTCTGCATTAATCAAAATTGTATTACTCTTTAGTAGAATGATTTAAAGTTGATACGTTAGCTGCTTTTTTTGAAATAATTACAGCTAGTGATTCTGATTCCAGCTAAGGATAGAATGATAATTTAGACATGATTACTGAAAATATGCTGAATTTTAGGATTCGCGTATGTATTTACATGCGTGTCTGCCATAATATATGTTAATACATTAAAATTGCATACCCCGTTGCTGAAACTGAAAAGTTTAGGCATTCCGTTGACATAAAGAGTGCTTGGATTCGATGTAACTCCAAATATTCTGAGTGATCCCATTACCATACTATTGATTATGTTGTTCGGGTTGATTAGTGCTGTTGTGAGTTGTCCCTTTATAAGAAGAAGAGTAATTTATGAATGAGAGAAGAATAAACCAAAACATTTCTTTTGTAATTGTAAATTTTTGAACGAAAATATATCGTTTTTATGTAGAAACTGTATAAAAATTGTAATTAAAACATTTTATATTATTTTGATCAAATAATTGAACAGACAATCGACTGGAATCTTATTTATCGCTGATAAACTCTATAACATTTTAAAACGATTTTGCTATCGATTGATATAGCTATGTAATAATCATTATCTTCACTTACATTTGAAACTGAGAATCTGAAAAGAGCATAGTCTCCATTCTCTATTGTTTCCATTGTATCACCATCGTCCCAGAACAGTTCTCCATTAGCATTACCACTGTCATCCAAAGCAATGATGAGACCGAAGGGATTATTTCTTGACAGTACCGTATTCACTGCTGGATCCTAATGGTTAAACAAAGTAAAATTATTCATGAAAAAATCTCCGATCCGACATAGTCAATATAATAATCACAGCTTGCGCTAAAATTGAAAAAATTGTTCTATAAAATGCATATCAATCGGTTTGTAGAACATTAATAATAATTTATTTATAACAATTAAATGAGAAGGTAATCGGCACATCATTAGCCAATTGTATCACATGATATCATAGGAAATATGGACATATTTTTGTCACTTGCCCAGTCTTTGGCAACTTACACCATTGTGTTAGTTTATACGTATAGTTTTAGTATAATTCACTCATTTAATATACTCACTTGAGTGGGCAGAATTGAGCCTCCGCGAACATGAATAGGAATAGTTCCCAGAGGAGCAGGGACCGACATTTCTCCTTGTCTCACACCAACTTCGACACCATTGTAGTAGTCGTACCTTCAAAAGAGTATAACAGCTGTTTAATCTCGAAATAAACGACACATGATATAAAAGTAATTTACACATTACTTCAGAAAAGATACGGCGCTGCGCAAAACGATAACATATTACTACTGTATATAATATTTTCGATTCTGCTCTTTTCTAGCAAGGCGTTAAGTTGAAAACACTTCGAGACCAAAGGTTTTTCAAATGTGATTTTGGGTTTACTATTTCGTGGGACAGATACAAGCGCTTTCAAAGTTATTGAAGACTATTTTATTTATTGGATTATAAGATCTTGGTCCTAACTCAGGATTTTCATCGGATAATATTCGGGGCTCGAGTGTATATTCCGGGTGATGTCACCAAAAGTGCGAGGGGTTATTCGAAATGATTAATTAAAGAGTGGGCACTTCCTGGAATATATGTTAGAAGAATATTCTCCTATAAGCAAAGAAAATGTTACCATCTGGCATCTGGGAAATAGGCATCAACAGATGAAAGTCCTTCGTATAACACGGGTGAAAACAACAGTCCACTCCCCCACATAAATTGTTCATCAATTGTGTGCGTTGCTGCATCAGTTGGAAACTCGAAAGATAGAGGGCGCACTACACCACTACCTGTTGAAAAAATCGAGCAGAAATTGTATGACATGCTCACTGAGAACCTTTCTAAAAATAAAACTATAGGTAAACATACAGACGCGGGAACCTTTTTAAGTATACAAACCAGGACGATGACACCTTATTTCAATATAATATCAAAGTAAATTAGCCACATGGGTTTAAATTCTTAAAATGTTATGCATTTTCAGTTTGATATCCAACAAATCCCATAAAAGTTACGGGCCAAATAAAAATATTGCGGTTTATGTGTGAGCAATGTGAGTTGTTTGTTCAAATTCTTTTGGCAGGTATGAGCATAGCATATGGTTGCCCGTGACGATCGTAGAAATAAAATATATATTAGATTTACCGCACATGCATTGACTTGACATGGCACAATTCATTGATATATGTTCTTTATTTTAGACAAGTCAAGACAAGTTTCGTTATATCTTTAGTGTAACTTGTAGTACCTCATGTACCGCTCGCAATTTGAATAGACGCCAAAAATGACAAAACTTGGATTGTCCATTAATAAATATCTATAAAAATAATAGAGACCCTTCACTCCAAAGAACAAAAATGAGAAACTAAAGTAATAAACGAGAATATCGGTCAGAGACCGAAGACTTATCGATCAAAGGTTATCGGATCCCCCAAAACAGCGCTCTTACTCCACAGTGACACATTGTGTCCCATCACTAATTAATTAATAACTCGCTAATTATACGACATAATTCGCCAAAAATCAATAGGCTTCTGGTCCGAGATAAGATGAATGCACATGCTAAATCTGGAGCAGATTCAATCTCGCTTTCGTGAGATATCGCGTGCATCTAACAGACAAACAGACAGACAATTACCTATCAACATACTTACCGATTAAAATCGATAAGTAATAAGATAAATTAATGAATTCGTTTTAACCTTTGGTTGCAGCTTCGTAGAATAGAGTGTAAAGGTATGGTAGTAAGGTGTATCTTGTTTCGAGATTGTATTTTGCACGAGCCGCAAAGGTGTCACCAAATGACGCTGGATCTTGCTCGGCATACCCTATACCGTTGTGATTACGAGCGTATGGATAAAATGATCCAAGTTCCATCCATCGCTCGCATAGATCTTCATTGACATTTCCATTAAAGCCACAGATATCAGCACCAATCTGTGAAAAATAGGTTGTTAATTTCAAAATAGTTTTCTAATGGAATGCAAAACCAAACTGCGGATAGTTTTTCTCGATTGATATATTGCGTCTTTATTATTTAGATTTTACCATCTAACACTTACGTATGGAATTCCAAAGAAGTTGAATTCAAGCATTCCGATTACGGAATTCTTCAGATCGGACCAACCCGAATTATTGTCACCCAACCAGTGAGCTGCCCAAGTGCCCGAACCAGGGAATGTACTACGAGATACAACAAAGGGTCTTTTATTTGTTGATTGGTATGCAGCACTGTAAATACAAAGAAAAATTAGGTCTTATCACTTCATTGATTACTCTTATAGATTTATGAGAAAACCTCAAATGCATAGGAATATGTGTTTACATTTTATGCATATCTTTTAATTTAGGTTGATTTTTTTGGATAAAATGTTCGATATTTTGATTTGATATTTAAATCTCCTAAATTGACTTCCACATCAAAAGAAAAAAGGATACAAATATGACATTCCTTTTACAATATCCAGTCAAATTGTAAATACATTTGATTCAAATTGACAGAGAAAAAACTTAGGCGGAAAATCCAACTGACAACTCAACAATAGGACTATAAATATTCGATTATAGCTTCAAAATAATTTTCGAGGTACAAATGTATGATTAACATTCAAAGAAAACTCTCACTTATATGTAGCGTAAGCTTCACTCCATCCATAAAGACTGTGTGTATCATAGTGGGAGCCCATGAAATGTTGTGCATCCGGACACATACTTTTGTCTGCCAGTGTGTCACCCCAGATCACTAAATATTGAAATATCATTTATTATTATTACAAAATTAATCAAGGGCCAGGGACCGATAATGAAATTGTGTTGTATCGTCGTTTACCAGATTGACTATTTCCAATCCGCTGAAGCAGTTCAAATGGGCTGTTTTATAATTACAAAAAGTACGTATATAAATATAATGAATCTTAATTCTTACGGGGGTGATAAGGAGGATAGTTTATTGTATTGTCATTGCATCCCGTCACACTTCCTGTTACGAAGTTTGCTGGTTCATTCATGTCCTTTAAACATAAACATAATGTCTATAAATATGTCTGTTTGGGACACTGGCAGTAGTCGGATGAGTGCTCACAGCCAGCCAAATTATACGACTGTACATTTTTTGATAGTGCGAGTTCTGGAAGTTCAGAAAAGCACATTCCACAGCGACGCAAAATTTTGTCTGTGAGAAAGAGTTTTCAATTCAAAGTCCATCGAACCTTTTTGGGACTAATTTTGGATTATTACAACTACACTGAAGCTCAGCGGAAGACATAATGACATTCAAATATTTACAACTAATTTTTGGAAACACTCGTGAGTCGTGAATACTGACAGATAATACACAAAACCACGAAAATGAAGCAATGATTACCATGCTTTGCTGAATATGCGAGCAAAAATGTTTCTGAGAGGCTGCACAGTCTATTAAGTTTAGTACTAAACGAATGGACGGGCCCGGGCACATTTGATCTTGATCTAAAGCGAGTGTACTCATGGTAATTAAAGAAAATGATATTGTTTTCAGCAATTAATTCAAATATTTTCCAAGTGTAGTTTAACTTACAATCCACAATCCATCAAAGCTGATCACATCATGGAAACGTTTGCATTCATCTGTCCACCATGCTTGAGCGGAAGGACTGGAATAATCCGGGAATACGCTGTTACCAGGCGGCCATACCTGTGAAGTTGATCATTTACATAAGTAAAATGTGAATAAAATCAGAAAAAGAAATTGGCGTGAAAGCGAGTAGACAGCTAGCTTTTCAGTAGGCAATTGTTTCAACTCTGAGCCTAATTCAATTCGTTTATTACTTCAGACCGCCAAGGTCCCTATCAATAAACCCAAGATATATAGGCTATATATTATGAATAAAGCTGAAATACAAGAATAAAAAATACCCCGATATCAGCAAAATAACAGCTAACAATCTAACTTGAATTTAAGGATTATTGAAGTATATTATCTTAGCGATACTTTTATATACCACTTGTGTAAGTTTGTAAATAACGCCTTCAGTTCATACCATATTGGCGAAGCCATGACAAAGAAAAGTATTTTATAACAATAGAAAAAACAGGTGTCAGAAGTGGGATTCGAACCCACGCCTCCATTCGGAGACCAGAATACCCAGACCCGCTCTGCGCAGGTAAGAGACACAACTCTTGAGTCTGGCGCCTTAGACCACTCGGCCATCCTGACGTCGAGATCGAATGTTCAATATTTGCAACACATTGTTGTTAGTCAATATTCTCTCGTTTTCAACATCGCATGCTAGCTATGTAAATTATGTACAGTATACCGGTATATATTTTGCCAGATGGTACCTTCCCAAGCGCGTCGGTTCCGTCCGCATTTTTGACATAGGCGTCGGCAGCTACACCTCTTTCGTATGGAGGATAAGCACCGGGTGGGTCGTCTGCGGTCAAACATGGATCCTAAAAGACAAAAATAAAAAAGCTTTGTCAGCACGATAATTTCTGAGCAACATTCGAGTAACTAAAGTTACTGGAAACTCAGGACGGATTTTGCAGAGTCGTACAAAGTAGCAAACCATGCCTATGTCAGCCTCGATAAACACGAAGATTTTTAATTTTCATCGATTTGCCACAAATTTTAATGTTAGAAAATCACAATTTTTGAAATAATCAAAAGCTAGCTAATCTGTTTCCAATGTCAGTTTTAGTAAAATCACACTGTGGAACTGCGGGTAGAATATTTGCAGAAAAAAAAGTGCAAACCGCCTTGGTTAAATATAAATTGTACTAGAATTGTATGTGATTTTACAATCGTGTTACAACTTAGAATGTTATCATACCAGAACATTAACTGAAGTCTCGTTTTAATGGGAATAGTTAGAGAAGGATAGTACTTTGAACTCATATGAAAGTTTCGTTCCAGGAATTTCAAATTCAATTAGTTTGCAATGAGGTATGGAATTGTAGTTAGGCTAAAATAATTGCTGCAACACGTTGGTCCCATTTATCATTTTGAAATTTTTACTTGGATTGGCATGGTATACAATTGGCGACTTCAAAATAGTACATAGACAACCGTCGAAGGTCGCAATATTGAATACATAAGTATATAAATAAGTACATCGTAAATAATTAGTATCAACCAATTAGAATACAATTACTTACCAGAATTATGACATAATGTTTTCCACCCGCCTGTAGCTCTTTAACGTATTCTGGCAACCCAGCGTAGGTGGTATGGTCGTAGGTGAAATCGCGTTGTTCGTCCATGTAATCGATGTCGCCATATTGTACGTCCTATCATATATATATATGTAACATGCAGAATAAATATTTGAATATATATTTTGTCATGACGAAGCTATAATACATCAGTCAAACTGCAATCATATATACACATATTTTACATAAATTACACCAAATATTACTTTAGTTACATAAGTGAAATGGATGGGTAAAAATATGTTATATGCGTGCTCACATCTTTAATAAGTACGATTTAAAAAAACTGATCTTAAGTTTTGTCATAAAAAATGAAGTAAAAGCTAACCAGAGGTATTCTATAACTATCCATGCGTTGGACTGTTTCTTTTACAGTTGTTAGGCTTCCATATCCATATCTACATAACTGAAAACCAAGTGACCAATACGGTGGAAAAAATGGTTTTCCGATTGCTTCATTGTATTGTTCTATTACGGCCTTGGGTTCAGGACCAAAAAACATATAGAAATCAAGAACGCCGCCTATTGTTCTGTAAAGAAGTCCAGGTGCAGGGGTGAATGTGATGTCTAAAATATAGTACAGGAATTAGCAATTTTCAAACTTAAGTCTGGTGAAATTAGCGCAAGTGTCTGTCTTCTCTCCAATTCTTTCAAGGAATATATATGCTTTGTTTGTACGGATCACTATTCGACTCATTTTCAAGTATCTCTCAACACTAACCGATTCATAATTGATTTTGGATTTGCAAACCACTGAAACTATTACCCCAACGGTGCTCAATTTTTCTCCTACAGTCTAGTCTAGTTTATGCATTATTATTTTCAGAAAAATACCTTGCGCAGCGGAGTTTAGAAGAAGCACTCCGTGAGAACTCGCGTCTTGTTCAATCGCCACGTAGAAAGGGTGTACACCATACAAGTTCCCCACTCCGGCTGGTGGTTGATCTCGAGAATACATACCCCATGCACTCCAATCAAATTTGTGCTAAAGCATAAATTTGACCTTTACGATCAATTTTATAACAGTAATATACATACAAAGTAAAAAAAAACTACGATTCACCTTCAGAGTTTCATGTTCCGTTTCTCCAAAGCCATACACGGTCATTCCTTCGGGTACTCTGGTAGCAATTTGTAAGAATTGATCACTGAAAGTCAGGCCACCAAGAGATGTGTCCCACAAAACTGCACCAGATGATTTTCTTACAATCTAGATTTTTTTCAAATTTTGGACAGATGATGAGGAATCTATTTATTGTTTATTATAACGATTTTATTTCAACGTTTCATTATGTGTTAGTATGATTTTAGTTTGAAGTTCAATAGAGCTTGTTGTTAAGTGGTCGTTATTTGATATAAATAACATTAATCATGGCGCCGCGGGTAATACCTGGAAGCTGAATACGGGATTATTTGTGTAGGCGAAGTCGTACAAAGTGTTTATAGATTTCGTTCCAGATGCTCCATTAATTGTCAACGGAACTTCAAATCGGTCACTATTAGCAATATCAGTAAATTTCCAGTGGATTCTGTAACAAAAATTAGTGCAAAAGTTGGTTAACCTATCGTATGCATATGTCAGTCGGAATCTACTTTAGCTGTACCTGTAGTCTGTGTCATAATCAATTGTCAAAAGCAAATTTTCGGCATCATTTCCATACAAAGAACCAGCGGAAACTCTTGCGAGCGTTATTTCAAATCCTGTGGCAGTTGATACGGGACTCCCAACCATTTGATATCCGTATGTGTCCTGTAATGGTTATTATATATCAAAGTAAATTACATGCAGAAATTATATTCAGCAATCGAGCTTAAAATCGTTTCGATGATTTAATATATGAGTTCTCACAGAATTAGGTAAAGCTCACTGGGAAATAGCACATCGGTGCGGCTTGCGATCCTGCTGAGGCAAAAACACAGCCTCTAGCTTCACATTCATTTGGACTGAATCCTCCTTCTGGTATGCAATTTATTCTTTCTTCGTCAGGAATTCCTTCAGGTAGATCGGTGGTATTGAAAAAGCACCAAGGAGTGTCAGGAGTATTGCTTTCGCACCAAATACACCCCGAATCCTGAAGTATATATAAGATATCGGTTATCATATGTTCCAGAAACATTCATATCGAGAGAGATGGGTATTGGCTCACGCGATGTATGGTTTTGTGATACGATATCACCCTGTTATGAGTTTCTTTACTTCTGTTGTTATTTTGGCATCTACGAGCACAATTGTTATGTGTGTAATATAGCAATTTAGTATAAATTCAACGACAAGTACAAGTGTAGTTAAGAAGCTGTAAAATTTATTTTCAGTGTATACAGTACTTGAATCGCTATGATTGTACACATGTTATAGAAAAGTCAATTCTCACCACACATCCTCCTGCACTAGCGCCACCGCCAGGCCAACAATCAATTCTATTGGATTCAGGGATATCAGTTGGACAAACGCCACCTCCACCGCCTGTTCCTGGTGGTGCGGTAACTCCGTTTGCTGAACAATGTTTTAATCGTACGGTGAATAACGTATATTAATAATTTTTGGCAAATTTGCGAAATACGCTTTTATGTGTTATAACATGCGTGATTATAACGGGCAACCTTTAGACTCCAAATACATACATATATATTTTAAAACAGGCAACAATTCACCGACTAAATTAAAATTGGCTTGAAATTGAGCAAATCACATGGCAACTTCAACAGCTGTGAATAGGCAGTATGTTTCAAACAAATTTACTTACATTGTTTTTGCGAACAGTTTTATGCTTTGACTACGTACTGACCCCATACTTACAAGTAATACACCAAGGTTCTCCTTGGATACCACTAGGACACCACAAGCAACCTCGCGATGCGCAACCTTGCTCAGACGACCCCGGTTCTGGGTAACAATCGATCTTGTTGGAGCAGGAACACGTGGTGCATTCTGATAAAAATATAACGTATGTAAGCACGAGATATATTTTACGTTGTGTGAAAAACACAAGGAATATAATGATTATGGTAGTCGATAAGTGAGAGTGATCCCCACTGGTTATAGCGATGTTTGAAATAGGTTCGCACAATAATATATTTGATTATTCCGTAACTTCAAAATTAAATTAAAGTAGAATGAAGTAAGCGTGATTGGGGGGCTCACTAAGAAGTTTAGAAGTAGAATACAATATGATTCTGGGTACCTTGTACCAGAAAATCACATTCTAAAAAATATTGCATATAACTATTAGAATTTCAGTGAAGACATGCATTATTATGTTTACAGCTTTGCATCAATAACACAACTCGATAACTACCACCGGGAGACTCTGTTGCTCCAGTAGCCGCAGTCGCAGTGTTGTCACCTGTAAAAAATAAAAACGTTACGTAAAAATTCTTCACAATTCAACTCGACCCGCAACTATATTACAGAAAAATCACTTACTGTGGAAGCACCATGGTTCTCCTTGTATGTTGCTCTCGCACCATAGACAACCCCTTGCAAGACAACCAGACTGCGAGGATCCAGCTTCCGGATAGCAATCTCTCTTATTTTGACATGAGCAGTCGGTACATTCTTAAAAAAACGGTAAACACTCAATCAAAAAGTTCTGCAATGTTGCGTATAGGCAATCGTTGTTCAGTTTTTACAAATTTATTCTAATTTCACACACTAGCTAAAATCATACGTTACCTCCACTTGGAGTTTGAGTTGTTGCAGACGTGTCGTAGAAACACCACGGATACTGATTTGGGTTACTGTAATCTGCTGTCTCGCACCATAGACATCCTTTTGAAATGCAACTCGATTCACTCGCCCCTCCGCTGGGGTAACAATCTTCGCGGGAAAATTCTGGAATGTTAGATGGACATGTTGCAGCGCTGTATGCGTGAACCTGATATATGACGAGAAAACTTGCCGAAAGTAGTAAAAGAATACGCATGACTACAGTACGGTTCTGACAAAATTTCATACGGATTGGCGAGGAAGAAAATCGACGCGTATTTATACTGATTGGATGGACTCTGATAAGAAAATGTGCACACCAAAAAATTATATAGCTATTTACGTCTGCAAGATATGAGTCGTAGCAATTGAATGCATGCGCAAGTATGAAGTAAACATAAAGTTCCTGTAATAAACCATTTTGAAACAACGTTACATATGGTACATACATAAAGTATGTTTTGCTCTTTATGTTGCTGGCGAAGCGCTTGCAACTTGAGCTGGTATCTGTAACATTTACCCACTCCAGAAATAAATTAACCAATATAGCATGTGAAGAAAACATCTGTCGGTTATGTAAGTTTTTATATGTGTGTGACAATCGCGTCATTTCAACATGGGTTGCTCATTACGCAATGTAGTTGATTTTCAGATGGAAATACGGTATAAAAAATCTGCGCAAAAATGACGCTATTCGTAACACATGTGCTATGTAACATTTTCATCACACATTGCATCATCCGCATCCAACATTTTTAAATCGGCGCTCCCGAAGTAGGTGCACCAAGATGGCGCGCAACCTGAACCCTAATTTGGTACACATACTATGTTCAGGTTATGCGACATCTTGGTGCACATACTTCGGAAGTACCTTTAAATCTAAATATAATCTGGACTCTAGTTTGATGAATAAAGTGCTCCTGCCTACCTCTACGTGCTCCCAACGTGTGACAATTCTGGTTCAATTTGGCATTCGACTTCAACTACTGTATAATCAGCTATATATTTTGATAAATATTTTTTCATTACTGTTCACTAATTCGGTTTTCAATTTGGCAACCCTTACAAAATTATTGGTATGGCGTAAGAATATTTTTTCTGTTCATTTATTCTTTGTTTACCAAGTAATTTATCTCAATTTTCTCGCGTTTTTTTGGACACGCAGTGGACATAACGATCGTTTTGTTGTTCTTATTATTTCTCGATGGTTGTTTGTATGAACTGATTGTGAACAAGTACCACAACCAAGTAACAAGTACCACTTCCTTTGGTTACACTTTTTAATTTACATTTTGTACGTTCCAAATCTCACTTGAGATTTTGTTCGCTCTTCTAATTCTGTTATCAGTTTCATTTATTTGTTTTTGATTATTTTATCGTCTGTTGTGCTGCTTGTGAATTCGAAATAGAGATAGATTTGAAATAGATTATACTTAGATGGTCCCAAACAGCAAGCTACGAGGGCGTATGCTATTCATCTTTTCCACATTTTCAGGTGTCTCGGGCCTACAAAACACCATATTTTATGTCGTGTTACCATTACCACACACGCAAATATAAGCCACAATGGCACACATTGCTTTCAACTTCCAACAACACGAATTAAATAACTTCGAAAATCCTCCTATTCGCAAAAGTATTATTTCTTAAATTTACACATCTACAACGTCTATGATGTGAATTCTTTAATCAATAATATATATATTTATTCACCCGCATTCGTTTTTGCGGTGGGGCTGTTTTTCAAGGTAAATATTTCGGTTAAAAAGTTGCTATTATACAACCACAAAACGACGCCTCGTTTTGAACCGCAAATGAGCATCACTTCCTTCCATTCACTATGTAACATGTCCGCTCTGTATTTATAATTTATTTAGCGGCCAACTTCGCAAGAAAATTTTTTAATGCATGAATATGACGAGCGGAACGAACAGCTAACTAATCGGGAAACTAACAGAGGTGCTTTTCACTTCTTTTATAGGGGAAAAAATAATATAGCAGGGTTCTGTGCGAAAGTTCAGAACCCTGGTTATTGAGAGGGAGTTCTTGTGAGGGAGAAATGAATGATTCTTTGATGACAGTAATTTTAAAATAGATGTTTTGTAGGCCACATGAGAAATTGAATCAAAACCGTCAATAAATAAAATACTGCAATAGAAACAAATTTTACAATTTCTTTATTTTCATTGCCAACCTTATTACAGGCATATATATTTCAATTCTCCAGCTAACGCTGGTCAAACAAATAATAATATTTTACAGACATATGTACAAGCTTATATCTTATAACATAATTATAAAGTTGATATGATTTATATTGACTGAATAATTCTGAACTCTTAGTACATACAATTGCAAAATATCCGAATATGGATCAGTATGGTATTAATTAGGGGGATAACCTTCCACATACCAATAATTTCACCACTACTTCAAATGCTTTCTATAAATTCAAAATTTGCATAAAGTTATCTCAAACCCAGAATGTACCACCAAATAACATTTACCTTTTAAAGCACCATGCTTTAAAATTGGTTCCAAAAAATCTCTATAAAATGCGATTTCATCAAAACCTTACACGCTGAGCCATATTCCATCTATGACGAGTTAACGGCAGAGATCAATTTCTAATCAATGAGAGATAAAATTATTATATGTCGTATTTAGAAAAGCTGGAAATGGCAATGTCCTGTGTTGTCAAATCATATGTGGCTAATATTGCCCACATATACTTATAAATTTGTCATGACTAAAGAAAAACATAATGAAAAAAATAGGAAAACTAATGAACAATTGCCTCGTTTAATACTATCTAACAGCAACCGCAAAATAAAATGAACAAAACATGTGAAGCGAAGATTAAAGAAATGAACATAAAAATGACCAGGTAAGACTAATTTACAACGCCAGGAGCTCCAGTAGGAACCAGTGAAGAGAAAAATGAACGAATGAAGCAAAAAGCGGTGGCAAAAATACTTGGCGGTGGGGGAGGGGTATTATCTTGTTCAGAGGTATTTTGTTCATCATCTCCTGATTCACCACTGTTATTATTATTATCATCACGTTGCTGTTGTTCGGCATTGTTAGGATCCGCATTTTGTGGTACGCGAGGCCTTCGGTTGACACGAAACACTCCAGCTTGGTATAAATAAATGACAAGCAGAAGAGAGACGGCTATAATAAATCTGTACGTTGACGAATAGAAATAGATGATGCTCAACATGAGACCGAACCTTGTGAATGCAAACATAACATCTAACCAGTCTTGACCATTATCATCATCTGCAATCATGGGACGCCCTTGCGCATCCCTGATTTCAGCAGGTTCTTGGGCAGGAGCAGCAGCAACCTGTGGTTGAGCGTTATCTGGATTCACATCAGGCAAGGTTCCCGGATCTTGAGCTGGTCTGGCATGCATTGGGTGGTTCTGTCCAGCATAAAACTGCATGTAGTAATTATATTGCTGTTGATAGTGTTGCATCCACGCTGCATAAGCATGATGTGTCTGGCTGGTGTTACCATGATAAGAATGGGTAGCTGGGGTTTCCACAGGATTTGAATGAATTCTCTGACGTATCTCTGGAGGTGACGGTGAAGGCAATTCAGTACTCGTTGAAATTTTATTTGTTTCATCCACAGAATAGACCAGATGAATGACGGTGTTGCTCTCTTTTATCACAGTATCAATCTTATGATGGTCAATTAGCATTCTTCCATTATAAATCAACCTCTGGCGATCAATTTTAGGGGACCCTGGATGATCACATTGGATTTTTCGTTTCAGTTCATGAATTGTCGAGCTGGAATTCAACTGAATACTCATATCTTTACTATTCGGGGTTCGAACTACTATCGTGAAGGCAGAAGTATCCATACTTAATGCAATGAGTGAAGAAATCTTCCTAAATTATGAAAGTTAGATATGTTGCCTATAAACTGAAAAGATTTGCAAAAGAATTATTAGCATCAATCAACTATCCTTAATTATTATCGTACTGCTGGTTGAGAACAAACAGTATAGCGGAATATCACAAAATATAAAAAATATTATTGATAATTTCAATTAGGGGAGAATCTAGGCTAACTAATTGGCGCACTAATATCTGGTGTGAACTAGAGATGTACCGATACCAATAGTCTGATACTATGTAATTATTACCTCAAGTGTGCAGGACAGACAGTTTAAACCAATAGTCTTTGAGAATTATTAATAGTGCACATTATTTCGGATCAAAAAAGAGAAATATCACACACATATATATATATATATTAAGAAGTACATGTTTGGGATCCAAATGCGTTAATTGATTCAGATGCATTGGGCACTGGCGCTAGTAATCTCGATGTTCAATTAGAATACTAATAGGATTTGGCCACTGTTGGTGGTAAAATAAATAAATGTTTAGCCTACTTATCGTATAAAACTGATACATTGAGTTACGTGCGCAGGATTTTGTGCCAATATACTGTCATATTTTATATTTAACCTAATTTTTAAAACATTCTGGATCATATTGAGAGGCTAAATATATCGGTCTAAATTTAGCCGATACCGATACCGAAAAAATTGGCCGATATATCTCTAGTGTCAACTGCTACATATTGTGACGTATTCTTGATGAATGTAGGGTGGCTTACCCACTTTGCGGCCACGACCTATTTGCGACCATCAACTTAATCGATTGATTTAATGCCGAAAAAATTAACGAACCGCGAAGATATTTCTCACGTGTTATCGTCCACTTATCCCTCGTAGCTCTGCGAAATTACACTAAAATGCGTCTACAAACAAAAAAAGTTACGACTGAAAACTCGACCGAAGAAAAAAAACGGACCATTTTTCCATGTCGCCAACTACCCATTGTTCCTTTGAAAAAGCTTGAAAATCCACACAAATATAAGAAATAAAAAGATGAAACTTGGCAGGTGGATAGAGTTGTGTTTCTTTCAACCATCTTTAAAGTTTCGCGTTTCTACATTTAAAGGAGAGGGGATAGGAGGGTGCGCATTTCCAATACGTCGATGATATCTTTGTCCACCAATTTGCAATTAGTCTGTTTGATTGCTGTGATGCGGTGTTTTGTTTATAATTTGACAAGTTTTGTTCGAAATAACAGTGTTCTTAAAATATATGACGGTCAGAAATGCAATTAGAAGCCAATTTTTTTTCACGCATGGCTGCGTATGCCGTAGTCTCGTCGCAGCAGAAACGATGTTCAAGGCTTGAAATCCGTGGTCGCACACTAGTCGCAAATACGTCTTCAGAATGTCGTACTTTGGCGGTTTGTATAGCTTTCACTCCTGGTCGTAGAGAGTTAATTCGAGTTTTAGCGTGTAGAATAAATGCCAATGCACCTACCGTGAAAATTACCGGGATAGAAAATTTGGTTTTTGTTTTATAGCGGTTTGAATGAAATCGTCCGCAGACTGGCTACACCACCCTAGCATCAGCGGGAGTCATGACCGGAGCAGCTCGAAAGTGTGGCATCATATTTTTGCTCAAACATGAATTTTTTCTGGAAAAAAAATTATACTTTGCGTTCAATCACTATAACAGTTTCATCACAACTTACTATAGAAATTAACAGAAGCAGAATATGAAGACACTCAAAGTTACGGAGTTTTACAGTACTGGTTTAAGGTTAACCATAAAGATACTTAGAGTATATTTCTTGAACCAGTCAACGCTTTTGTGCATTTGCGCATTACTTAAACTGTCGGACCACTGAATGAGTAAGTGAAAGGTGGAAACTTATGTAGAAATATTTAGTTTACAACAAAGAAGCTGAATCAACTTTTCATTTAGCATATCACATTTGCCCACAAATAGGGCTGTATGGACAAGACTTTCTGGGTTCTAGGTATATTATTAATCCGATTCCCACAACTGTTTAGAACAGGAGATACTAAAAATAAGTGGGTCTGGTATAGTTTAGTACCACATGTACTTCTAGTTGACCAGGCTCAACAATTTTTGCATATGTCAATCCTAACCCATACCTGACTACGTCACCGAAAAATTATGTCATTTCGACGTCACAGTGGCGTCATAAGGCCCACCGAAGTATGCGGGAGGTTGTCCAAAACGCGCAGACGATCACCCGAAATCGAGCAAGCAATTTCTCCCGTTTTCTCGTCACAACGATCACGATAGGAGAGATATCGCCGGCTTTAGCAAGTTCGTTAACGGCGGCGCAGATGACATTTCGGGCGATAGTAATTATACTTTGGCAATCTCTATGACGTGATGGTGACGTATTTTTGGATGGCATAGTCAGGTGGGGGTTAGGAATAGCGTATGCAAAATTCGTTATGTTAGCGCACCGGAAGTACTTTTGGTACTAAACTATACCAGACCCAAATAAGTATCCTAATACAGTACCTTGGGTCACACCAGCAAAAGAAAAATATCAGATAAAACTTGAGTGCACGCTGCGCACTGATTATTTTACCCATACAGCTAGTACAGTAGTATGGCACCAAGACATATACCGGTACTAATACAGTAGTCGCGTGCAGTCGGACTGTAGACTAGTACCAGTACCGTACATTCACGTCAAATAACAAATATGTAAACATAAACCTGGGCAATGTCTGAATTTACAGATGTACGGTAAACTCGTGAAGTCAGGCAATTTAGGATTGGCCTATGTTCAATTATTGTTAAAGTTGCCTATTGTTTGAAAGTTGACAACACTCAGGCTCTGAAATCCATCAAGGCGAGCCGAATACGGTAACGATATCACCCTCTAAAGATCGAAGAGAAACTGACAACTGGATAACAGGAACAGATACCGAACCGAGGAGCGACTAAACCCAAATCGGATGATGAAAGGGAAAAATCGAGATAGCCCCGTTGCCACATTAAACCATTTTGAACCATAAGTCTACGCGTTCAATTCCGATGCTGAACATTTATGTTCAATAATATTAATATATTCATAGTGAAATTGGAATAAATAAAAACTCCTTAACTTTATGGTGATCTACCCTTTTATATAGAACCTTATAACGGTTTTTACAACAGCAAAAAACTGGCATCAATGATGACTTGGCCACGTCAGGTCACGGGTCAAAATATGACGTAATACGCATTAAACAAAACGTAAAATGAGAAGACCTTTCATTCAACCAATGAGCATATATACTCATTGATTCGATCATTAATGTCATTGATTCAACACGAAAATAATATTAGATAATGATAAGTTGATCATTACGTGTGAGGTACAATATGAGTACCGCTGTACCACAATTACTGGTACCAGTAGTATGTTGAATTATTTAGAATTCGGTAACATTTAGGGCTTAGGCTACTGGTATGTTTGATTTTATGCGTCAGTTTACATTTTCAACAAAGCTATCATGCTTTATTAGTCATGTATGCACTTTTTGTTCGCGCGGCGCCAAATTATCGGGGGGGAAATCCCACCGACCGACCGGTTGGGCAGGGTTAATGTGTATACATTTACGGTACTGTATGCCTTTTGCAGTTTTTAAACATGTAGCCCCATGGAATACAGAGTACAAACAAGAGGTCAACTCTTCTTCCTCATCTCTGCCTGATTTTCCTTTGAAATGCTATAAATATCATTCATGCTCGGTAAACCCGGTTCATCCGATAAATACCGCGAACACCAGCAAGTAGTGTTTACCTTTATTCAGTCTATTGTTACGTTTCAATAAAGCCAAACAGTACGCAACAGAAAGGAAATGACATAGAAAGGTGAAATTAATTCATGGATTCATATATACTGTACAGCAGAAACCATAAAATAAACACAATATCTAAAACATTCAATCCTATTTTAGGAATGTTTAATACAATTTTGTTCATTTTCGCGGCGCACTTAGCAACTCGCACCCAAAACTTGGTATATACAACCTTTGCTCACACCCTTTTGAAACTGCTGTCCTATGGTATTTTTTAAGGTTTCACAGTGGGAATTTAAGATTTTTGTGACATAACGTGTTTCCCCCCAAAAAGGCAGGGTCTAATTTCAATTTTCTTTCGAAAAACTACAATAGGGCCTATTTTTGAAAGAAGTCTTTAATTTTCATTTATCAAAATTACACAAAGTAGAGAATTACGAGATTTTCAAATTTACTAAATATGAAAAGCTTTATCCATTTACTTATAAATAACACGTTTTTATTTAATTAAAAAAAAATCTGCTAAACAAGGATTATTTAAAATTGATTAAATTATCATTCTCTGGAATGTCTTGCAAGACACTAAATTCATAAATTTCAGTAATGATCTCATTTAGTGAATTTTCTGACGAATTTTTGCACCTACAGCGTCATGTTGAGCTATCGACTAGGTCCTAATTTAAGGGGTGGGCTTATATCAAAATCATTTTCAAAATTTAGGCTATGTCTTATTTTGGGGAAAACACGGTATAAATAAACGAAGACGATAATGATAGATACATAATATACACAATTACATATGAAAAAGAACGAAGCTTTTAGTTGTTCCATATGATTATCCACTATTTTCAATTCAGCAAATTCAAATTGGCGCGAAAATGAAAACCCTACTGATTGCTAGAATGTTTCGCGAACATTATAGCGAGATGCCAAGCGCACTGATGGCTCTCGCGAATTGATGATCTCCTCAGGGTCCTGTCTGTATTATTTTGTGGCGGAGTATATCCAGTTGGGACCAGAGTAATTTAGTTGTCTGACGGTTTGTATATTTGTTTTTTGTTATTGCATGTTGATTTTGAAATAAAACTAACCTATCCCTTGTCCAAAACAATAAAAACTTTTGGCAAACCAGACCAATCAAAATAACTAGTTAGAGCTTCGGAGCATCCTATCGACGACGATGTTCGATTTGATTCCAAAATATGGAAAATTTCACTTCAGATGTAGAAATTTATTTCATCAGATTTTTTGATTAAAATTTTTATACCTTCTAGTGATAGTCATAGAACACAATGTGACGATAAATTAAAATCTACAAAATTAAATATACAAAGCTATATGCACCTTCCACTATATTATAGGATTCAGAATTTGAAGTTGCTGCACTTGCATAAGTACAGTTTAAGAATCACAGACCAGAAGAATATCGCAGTGGCAGTACAGACATGGATGCTACAAAAATATACTGCATATAAAATAGTGATGAAAAGTACGCTATGGCACGGCACGACAATACCCATTATAAAAGTTTTCATGAATAATATACTTCTTTACAAATTATTTGACACGGATAAGTCTAAGTAAGGCAGGGGTTCCCAAGCTTTTCTCAGGACGACCCCAAAGACGACTTTCAAGTGTCCAGTGCGACCCCAGGTCAATATATATATATTTCATGAAACTTGAGAGCTTTTTTCATTGGACTTTTGAGTTTGGTCAAGTGGTGGTATTAAGTAAAATAAGCTAAAACCCAACAGTGATGTCACAATAAACACCTACATTTTCAATAACATAGGCATAGAGTGATGCCCATGGGCCTATTTTACATTTAGCCATGGTACAAACTGCTCTATTCAACATGGTTTGTCAAATCTTAGAGTTGTACATCCATCCTCTACCATACCTCAGCGACCGCATGACCTGGTTGCGACCCTACCTATTTATCACTCTGACCCAATTTGGGGTCGCGACCCCTGGTTTGGGAACCCCTGGTCTAAGGCTTAAAAATATAAACATTTGCAACTCCATAGCAATACACTACCGATATAGTTGCCACTACAAAATACATTTGATTTAGATACACATAATATATAAGAAGTATTCTGTCTCAAAACATGTGTTACAGATTTTAATAATACTTCCCACCCAAATAGAAACAACTTGTAGTAAAAGCTTTCCTACAAACTGAGAGAAGACACAATGTTGTGGATACAAGGGATTCATATGTGGAAATGTGAATATTTTGTTATTGCTATGGAACAAATATGGAAAAAGGCAAAGGTAGGAATGTATCAAAAGGGTTTGTAACCACTTCCTGCAAAAGATATGAAAATTCATTGATTCAACATTTCCTAAAATAGACATAGCATAAATACGAACAAAATACAGATTGATTCAACATGGTTGGGTCAAGGGTTTTCGCTTTTCTAAAGCCGCATTGTCTTCCAGTTTGAAATGAGTATACAGGAAAATACCTGAAAAATAGTTTATATAATGAATATTATATGATTTCCCATTCACTGATATTATTTCACATTTAAACCGAAATTTGTGGATTGGAAAAGACTTTTTATTCAATGATATCATTTTATTGGACACTCGGACACTCATCATCATAAAAACATTCAGCTTTTGACAGGTTAACAGAAAAATGACAGTATGATCTAGTTGCACAAATATGCCAACTCTGTACTACAGTATCATGTAACTATCAATTTATTATCTGATGAACAATTTTTCTCAGTTTTTAAATTCCATGAAATACACTCCCCGGGTAACATTGTAAAATAATTCAAGTCAAAATTTAGTTGCATTGGGGTATTCGTACAGATTATTCGATACCAATCATTAAAACAAATGGCTTTACCTACTAGATGAATACACACATACCTGCCAATGTGATGAGAATACCAATGAATTGATTGAATTGTACAGGATCAAGAAATATAAAATATCCACCAAGAAGTGTGATACAAAACTTGAAGTGACCAAACATATTGTATGTGACAGGTGATGTATTTCCAATTATCCAATAAATAGTAAGATTTACAAGAAATGCAAAACCAGCAGTGGCAGCAATAAGTCCCATAGCACCTGAAGATTGACCATTAAATGCATCAGTTTCAAACAACTGACCGGATATATTTACGGTAATTCTTTACAGGTAAATAATTTCAGGAGTGAATTAGGCAATACAATATAAAGATATGTTTCAGTTTGTTTGTATAAAAACAAATTTAACTATGAAATATTAAAAGTGCATGTATGATAATTTGTGCTAATTGAGACAAGATATTTTCATGAGTTATCTCAAATGTGTGATTTATTGAGTCATGAGTGCAAGGAGAAGTAACACCATTTGAAGAATATCAGCCAATCTCAGTTATATATCGAGTACATTTATAAAAAAAATTACTTATTGTTGAAAATGCAAGCCCACATATAACTTGGTTTATCATCATTATTAAGCCCATGGACATGCATGAACATCATCAAAACTTATATGATTGTCTAGGAAATTCTTACCTAATGTCCACTTTTCACCAAATATACCGCCTGGTGAAAAAACAGGTTCAAAAAATGGAATTATAACGAGTAACATGATTGAAGAAATTGGTGCTTGATAATATAACAATTGCATTGAATTTGCTTGAAGTTCTTTTTGCTTTGCACCAACCAACTGCAATACAAATGAAATTTTGAATAAAACCTTGCTTGAATATTGTATTATATATATTATACTGAGACTAAAAACTGCTACTTATATCACATATTTTTCTAGATTGGAAAATTGTTATTGATAAAGAAATCGATATCGATTTTCAAAATCAAAAATGGATTTTTGTGCATTATCTATTTCTATATTTTTATACTTACAATTTGATAGGCAGAGGTCACAAAAACACCGAGAATGGCAAAAACAGTGCCTTTAATATTGAACTTGATATCATAGTATGAATTCAAAAATACACCGAACATGATAGGTATCTGAAAAAAATTTGAAATCAGCATTAAAACCTGCACATCCATTCAATACACTTTTTTCTAATACTTATCATTGTATCAATATACATATTCATACACACTAACATTTTTTATGCTCATATTTATTTTATTATCTAAATTTGAACTTTCAATTATTTTGAACATATGCTAGAATAAATAAATATTTAATATATCATAATAAAACTCACCAAAGTTAATTTAATTCTGAAGCTGAATTTTTTGCGATAGGCATATGACTGTATTGCAATAATTACTGGAGTTGTTAAGACTTTGAAAAGCTGGTAAGTTCCCACTGTGTTTGCTTGAAGTGAAAGATTAGTGAAGACAACAAATCCACAGAATGTTAAAGATAAAGGTAATAATTGAAGAAGAGGGAGGTGCTTCGGATTGAATACATTAAATGAATGACATACAACCAGGCCAAGAAATGTTGCTGCAAAATGTATGCATGTTAATGTCATATTTGGGAAATGCACCATGGTGTAAACCCATTTATTTAGAAAAACAATGCATATTGAGCAACATAAATTTAAGGTAAGTCCAAATCCAATCATGCTGTTGGATGTAGTTTGTTTGGTTTCCTTCGGTGCCATGATTCCTGCCTTTTAATCCTTTGATGATTTTATTCAATTTGAAATAACATCTACGCAGCAACGCAGGTATGAAAAATGTAAATTCCTCAATCCATGGACACAGTGATTTGAATAATTGCAACTAGCTTATTCAACTGTTTAATGCAGAAATGATTATAATTGAGATCTAAAAATTAATATAAAAGCTCATGTCTGTACGGTATATATAAAAAAACACTGGGCTGGTTACGGTAGCAGTCCCCTTGATATAATAATATGACAAACAAATATATTATTTTCAACACCAAGGTGTTATATTAACCCATCGGCATTGTTAACACTTTGCTTCATAGTACCATTACATATTTATAATTAGACATCTAAATTTGACACACATGAATACCGGAATATTTTTTATCTTGATAATTTGCTTAGACAATCATCGATTAGCCAGTTAGTGAAGCATGTTTCAGCGTCAAAAACTTTCCTCACCAAAAGATGTTGGTTACATGTAAAATATTAGAACATAAACGTGTTCAAACTTAATATTAGCAAGTTTTCACGTCTAGCGCCACAAAGTTGGAAACAGTGAAGCGACAAACGACCAGTAGCATGTCCAGTTTTACTTTGACATGCTATTATTCTAATCGGCAGTGTCTCAATGACTCCAACTAGTGGTAGAATCGCAACCGTACTGAGCTTCAGGTTCCATTTTCTGAGTATTAAATTTACAGATGTTTTATATACATAGGTCTGTTTGAAATATGTACCCCTTCTTTGATTTCTAGAATCTACCAAAAAAATAAAAATAACAGAGAAAAAAATCATTGACGCCTCTGCCGGCCATTGTTTGCTTAACTAGAGTTTGGTTCGGAGAGAAAATAGTGAGTGATTGCCGAAACACAAATACAGCACTGTGCTTGCGGTACAACAGTATCGAAATCAAATCGTAGCCACATCTGCAGCTTGTTAGAATTTGGCAAAGTACGGTATAGTAAGCTGTTATATCTGTATATAGATAAAAGCTACGTGGAAATGTATAAAGCAACGCATCCTTATGAAGCTCAGCAAGAGCACCTGCTTTCATTTTCAGTTGGTGACACCCTCTGCATTCTTGAGAAGAACAATGAATCTTGGTGGCTAGCTTCAAACAGCCTGGGAAAAGTTGGATACATACCACGAACATATGTTACTAAGGAGAAGGTAAATGATTTTGTTAGATGCCATGCTGCAGCAATAGTAGTCTATATGCTTTCAAAGAAAGTGCATCCCATGTATCTTTGCTACCTATTACTAGTAGTAGGTACCGGTACTACCAATTATACTATATCTATATCCCTGTATGGCATAAATCTTGTTTTTATAATATCCAGTACTTACAATTTTATGTCAAGAGAATTTTTTTTCACAATTAAGAATGACTCGTCAGATGTCGTTTTACAATCGGTTAACAATGCCATTGAAGAACTCATCGCTTCAGCTCCTGCTGGTATGCTCAAGCCACAACAGCAAGCTTTGCTCAAGTATATTTATTTTTATTATTCTCATGAATTTAATAGTTTTCCAATGAATCTGAAGTTTTTTTCTCTGAATACATCATGGAGTCCAAAAATTGAAATGCAAAAATTGAGAGAGCAATCTGTTCAAGAGGCTTATTCTTTTCTAAAAGGAACAGCGAGCTTCTGAGTTCTAAACTACAAGTGAAAAGAGTTTCGAGGCATCAATGCTTCTCTGAGAGCTACATATTTGGGGCAGTATTGTTATTTGATAAGTGGCATGCAGAATCTGGCAATTGATTAATACTCTTCTTTCATATGAATATCCACCTGCGATATACTTTTCTATTTATTACCTTAAGTTTTTTGTTTATTTTTACTCTATGCTAATATATATAAACACTTTTATGTTAATTTTTCAGAAAATTAATAGCCCACAAGGAAAGTTTGATTGCTAGCATAAAGTCAAGATCATCATCAACAAAACGCCGAGCTCCGCCACCACCCCCTCCACATGAACATGAAGTGAAAATTTCTCCTGAGCCATCAGTCTGTGAGTTACTTCCTACTCGTATTTTTAAATTTTTGGAGCCTTTTTGGCTAGTTTTTCAATTGGTTTGAGCTAAATGCATTTTTAATGATTTTGAATAATAATGAAGTTGAACTAACTTATATTTTATTGTGTATATGTTTTTCTGTGTCGAGTTGTCATGTAAACCGAACTTAAATTTCTCTCTCAGCAGCAATAAATAGAATCACGCTATGTTCAATGCCAAGATGCATATCGAAAAAGTCATTCCATGTGTTGGTGCCTATTCAAATTAATCAAAGGGAATCTGCTCTTTAAAGTAGTTAGAAATAAAGCATGGCCTATTTAGGATTTCCAAAATATTGAAACATTTTTTTTATTTTGCATTTTTATCAGCTGAATCCACTTATTCCACTGCCAGTTCAAATGTATTGCCAAGTTTGCCTCCTGCTGTCCCACAAAGAAACACCAGTCTAACAAAACCTGAAGTAATGGAAAAGGAAAGTTTTTCACCTGCACCTTCAAGACATGATGTTCCTCAAGAATTAGGTTCAGAACTTCTGGGAATTTTGAAAACAACCTTAAACACAAATGAAAGCAAAAGTAGGTGAGAAGAGTTTGCTTTGGGAGCTATCGCTATTCAGACATAACATTTATTTACCTACAAAGCATGCATTTATATTATGTAAATCTACATGCTAGAATCTTTTTCCTACAGTGCATTGCCATGTTCAGATATTCCAAATTCCTTGAACAATACTCTAGTAAGTAATTATCTAGCTGATATTCTTGAATACTTCCTGCTTCTATTATTTTCATTGAAGGTTCTCTCTTTTGCAGTTAGTTTATGTATGTCAAATTACGTTTTTGCTATTCTTTGGATGTATACTGATTTTGTTGCTTTGAGTGAACCTTTACAAGAATCTGAGGTTGAATTGTACATTTTCTTTTATCCTGCCCAGGCTTGTTTTGTTTGAACTTATATCAAGTTCCAGACAATTCTATCTTGACAGCTGGCCATACAGCATACTCTCTCTCATAAGATTATTCCTCCTAGCATCACTGCTATCAGAATAAAGAACTGATTTTAATAACTTAAGCAAAAATGAGGGTATGGTCGGCTTAACCTGATTAGTTTTGCATAATACTAAAGTCATGTGATAGTGATACCCAATGGTATATAATCCCTACTTGGATTACTCAAAATGATTACCATTATGAGCATGTGATGTATTCATGAGTTTGATAGAGTACTGTTTTGTATATAGTTCAAGCCTATAAACCATAGGGTAGTCTGCTATTGTGCACTTTAAAAATTTTAGTTGTTTTATATATTTTTATGCAGGACTGCATTAAATGCAATCTTACTCGCAATGAAATCGAGCATTCCTAGTTTGGGATGTACATTAGATGAAATTATGGAAACTATACCTAAGGAAAATGTATGTATTTTATGTTCTTATCATTGTCAATTATCAACTCAGTTTGGGGAATATTTTTCTACAGACTGTGGTGTGGAGCGTATAAATGGAATATTATAGAAAGTGGTTCTAGGAAATTCGCCGCAGAAAATTTCGCTATAGGAAATATCCCTGCAGAAAATTTTGCCAGAAGCAAAATCGTAGCATGAGCATTTTGCTGTAAAATAAGTACTTGTGATAAAAACAGCTGTGGGCCTGTTTGTCTGCGATAATGTTTATTGCCCTCTAGCGGGTGCCCCACTCTCCAGGCCAGTTTTTGAAGTATCTTTTTATTTAAAAAAGATTCGTTATTTAGGAGCATACCCTAACCCTATAAACCTACCAACTGTTTTTATCACAAATACTTGTTTTACAGCAAAATGCTCTTGCAGCGATTTTTTATGCTATCACAAATACTTGTTTACTATGCCGAAATTTCCTGCGTCGAATTTTTCAGGACACGTTAGGAAGTCCATGATAATATAGTTTTATTTTCCTATCTCAATCGAATAGAATTACAGACTTGCTTTCAACTCAAGAGGCTTAATCAGTTTTCCATCATTTTAATAAATATATTTCAGTTTTAAAATATCTCAATTTTTTTAGGTTGATGAAGAATGTGTTAAACTTGGCCTTGCATTGGCAAATCTACAAGAAATAAAAGATGACGCGCAACAAAGAAATTGGGCAATTGGAAATGACGAAGATAAAATTATGGGAATATTAAATGAAATTCTCTCTGAACTTGTGAGTATAAGAATGTTATGTGTAATTTTCCTAGTTTCTGTTTGGGCAAAAGCAAAATTGAGAAAAACAATTTCAACAATATGATTTCCAGAAAACTTTTTTGTTTAATATTATGTACTTGATAAAATGATAATTAAACTTGAATTCTGCCGTGCTAAATATTTTTTTTTCTTCTACCGAAATTAGTTTGTCAGTATCTGACCACTGATATGCAATTGCAGGCATCACTGGATAAAAAATCTAGCATTAAATTGCTGTCGCATGATCAACATGTAGCACTTCACACATTGGTCGATTATCATCAGATGGAAACTCGAGTCTCTCTTCGATTAGTTGTTCTTCAAATATTCGGAGTCATCTGTTCATTGTCCAGGAATCTTGTGTCGGTGCTCCTAGCGACAGTATTGCCATTGGAGATTGCAATGGATATTACGAATCACACACAAGGTAGGTAGTTGTGCATATAAAAAACAAAGTATCAAATTAAATTTTGAATACTACCAATTACGGTATGTTCTTTCAGTGATCAATATGGGAATTTCGTATCATGATTCTAACACTCTGAGGCTACTCATTATTTTAACATAATAGGAAATGGAGATTAAAGCCAGCAAATCCATTAAATAACAACGATTTAAGGTTATTTGTAGGATACATTAATCTGACATCACCAAATAAATACCACTTGAAAATGTTTGATTTCACAGTTTAAATTTCAGATTTTTTAGTTTTTCATGAATATTTTATCTATCATCTGCTTTTTTTTTACAAATCAGTTATAGTAGTTCTCCCATTATTCCACATATCAAAACAATATGTAAGAATGTGGGGCCTAAGGCGGTAATTTATGAAGTGGGCCCCTTAATAACCCCCAAAGTATGTATGTCTTTGAAGTTTGGGCTTCAGAAAGTCTTTTTTTTTTACCAAAAAACAAAATGGATGAATTGTTATGAAAGTATATTTTTTAGTTATAATTGTAGTAATTTATGAAGTTGCCACTGATGGGTGATTGCAACTTTTAGCTATGTGCTGCATTCGAAATCAAAAGTAACATCATTGTCTATTTGTTTGATACCTCTTGTTTATATAAATTGTATTAATTTGATTTAAATATTAGTTTTCCGCACTTCCTTGTTCTTACACTAACCATTTATCATATTTTCAGATACGCAAAAAACTTGTTATTCATCACTGGTCATGAGTATGCTATTTTCTACTGCAGAAGCAATACCATTTAGTCATTATGGTAAGAACCTCGTGATTATAATATTACGGTTGCTTATAATGCTGGTCTTCTGAATATGGTGGACATCCAGGGTTTACTCTGTATCATACAAATCTTTAACTTCAGTAGACAAATCCTCCTAGATATCGGTATTTTGAGCTAAACATCACCATTTTGTCAGTATTTTTTCACATGATAAGCCACTCTCTTGCTCTAATATAGATTGATATGAAAAGTGATATCATATATGGAGGTGTATGCGTTGCAATAATTCTGATTCATTTGATAATTTACAAGGCTTGACGAAATAAACTAAGCATTGTAATAAAACATATTCATATTTGTCATTATATTCAAGTTGATGCATTGCTGCCTCAAACCAAGTTGAGTTTGTCACAAGTAAATTAAAGGGCGATAAAATTGCAATCGCATGACTAAATTGTTGTAATACATTTTAGGTAGACTCAATCAAGCGTTTATTGGCTTCTTACTCAATTATATTGAAGATGACATCGATGATGTTGAACAAGATGAACAAGTTGTTGAAATGTTTATCAATATTATTTTATCATTCAATTTGCACTTTATAGGTATGAGATTTTAGTTATTTTGAAATTCTATATAATGATACAGAACAACCCATTCTCAGAGTAGCATAATGTGTTTTAATTCAAGCTTTCAAAATTATAATGATGGTATATTCACATTTTCACATCTATGAAACCAACCACTGTATACAGTGATTACATAGAATTAGTTTGATCGAGTGCATAATAAAATCATTAATTTCTATATTTGACAAATATTTATCATTTATATTTTATTTAGTACCATCCGAAAATATTGTTATGAAGTCAATCATAAACAGGGGAACATGTACAACATTGAGCGAAAAGATTATGATATTAGTCAATAGAGGAGGTATAGCTCATTCTTATCTGTTTTTGTTTTCAAGCTGAATTCTTGTATGCAAACTATGTGACTGTCTGCTATTACTTTGGTTTCATTCCCCATTTCTAAATTAAGGCAAATAAATCTATATTAGTTTTTTAAAAGTTCAAGGTCCAATCTTCACTTTGGTTAATTAATTAATGTGGATTGATTAAAATACTAGCTAATTGGTATTATAGATTGATTTCATTATAGCAGTGGTTCCAAAAATGTGGCCCGCGGGCCAAATCACGGCCCACGTAAAGATTTAATATTGGCCTGTCAAACTTGAGTAAACAGTTTAACACTTTATGTTTTTTTCTTTTTGTGTTCTAGATGACGCCAGTTGTTACGTCATTATCATGTGTATATCCATAACAATTCCATTATACCGGTATCCTAAATATACGTACCACTAATGTTATCGACATCTGGCGGGCGCTTCACTTTCCAGGCCCGCAAATATGATTTCGCTTCTAATTTTAGCCTGCAGTCAATCAACTTTGGGAACCACTGCATTATAGAATACGGAACTAGCTTGGTTAATGTAAGGCTTTGGTGGAAAGTTCTGTTTTGGATATTATACCCAGCTATTCCCAACTAGATTTGTTCTTGTGTAGTATAACAAAAAATGTGGATGACAACTGACAAGTTGTGTCAACATATTGTCAGAAAAAGCAAGTCTCGTATAGTGAAGTTATAAAGTATGTTACCGCAAGTACAATTCATTATATGTCATCATTTCCAATGTATATCATTATTTTATAAATTGCCAAATTCATTCCTCATTAAAAGTTCAAGCATTAGGAAAGATAATTTGGTAGCTCTTTGTTCGTTTTTGTTATTAAGATGATCCTGTGCTACTTGAAGAACATTGGGAAAACAATGAAACTGAACGTCCTCCACCATCAGTGTTAAAATTTTTACAAGATATATTTTCACAAAGAGATTCTGCCACTTTTCTATACACTAATGATATGAATGTTTTACTGGATATTATCACAAGAAATCTTGCAGATCTTTCTAGCGGTAGCAAGGTATGTATATTGAAAATAAGTGTAAAGAAAATTGGTTTCGATATTATATTTCATAATCATGTACTCTAATACATTAATGGCACTAAAGGGTTCCAAGTAAAAGGAATTGTTTAAATTTCGAAAAAAAAGAGTGCACTTTCAGCTAATATCTTATCATAGTTTGAAGCGATATTCACCAAAGTATTCCAATAAAAAGTTACGGAAGTTTAAAAAACAATACGCTTTCCAATTTTCTCAAAATAACCCTTTCAGCTAATTATGATTTCATGCCATAGAAAGCTTGTGACACTGATGACTATATTTTCCAATTACTAGCCTTTTTAATGACATCTTTCATGATTAAACTAAATCATTGGGATGATACTGGCACTTATTTGAAATATCTTCCAATTTGTTCTTATTTTTGTATTCAACGTTTTTATGCCTTTCACTTTAAACAAGGCTTTGTACTAGCAGCCAGTCTTTCAAGTTCGACATTCCTGACCCAATTTATTGCACCCAGGGTGCGCTGGTGATTATGGGATTGGACCCGAGATTTTTAAACTGTGATACCAATGTAATTAAGTCCTGCGTTTAACCACTATCACAACTTCTCTGATTTTTTGTTCAGAATTTGTATATCTCATTACATATTGTTGAATATATTCTCGAATCAATTTTGTTCTTTTTATTTTGTTCAGCTGAGAAAAGAATACCTTGATCTACTTCTTGGAATTCTAGCAAACTCAAACTATTCAGAATCTAGACATAGATCTGTTGATATTGGTTCAAGTTTACATCGAATTAAAGACGAAGAACAACCTGAGAGTTTAGAAGAAAGACAAGCTCTGGAATTTGATAAACATATCATTGATGAGATATTGTCTAATTATGGACATTTATTCTCATCAAGCATACTTTGAAATGATTTTGAGAGTTGTTCGAGATATTTTAACGGTACTCCTGTAGTATGTGTACCAGGTTAGGGTTGGACCATAATTTTATTCCGATTTTCCTTATTTTAGTTCGGGGACTGTCTGTGTTAACCGAGTGAATAGACCCCCTTCCCATAGGCTTCAGTCCCTTTACACAACTTGATGTAAAGTAGGCGAACAAACTTAGTTACCTCTATATTGGTACACGTACTTCTGGAGCACCATTTTAACACCTGACACATTTTAAACATTAAAACCTTTTTAACGGCAACAATTGGATGTTCAGAATTTATGATGCAATGTTTTGAATTGTAATTGTGATAAAAATTTATTTACAGAATATGCAGTGGTTTTGTAGCAATTTTTAAATAGATATATATATATATATATTACATCAATATTCCTAGAAATTATGTTCAAAGCTATTTTGTCTTCTAAGTTCCGAGATTTTGGTTAAGCACGATCTGTGACCAGTTTAATAGTTTCATATACCAGAATATTGGGTACTCCCGTAGTGTGTGTACCAGGTTAGGGTCAGGTCATAATTTTATTCCGATTATCCTCATTTTAGTTCTAATACGAGTTCAGGTACTGACTGTGCTAGCCAAGTGAATATCCTCCTGCCAATAGGTTTCAGTCCCTTTACACAACTTGATGTAAAATAGGCGAACAAAATTAGTTACCTCCATATTGGTACATATACTTCTGGCTCTCATATTTTCCTTGTCTTAATCAAATCATCAAGCATTGCTCTCCCAGTGCTGCTGGTGGAGTTATCTTTCTATTTGGTACCTGACTTACTCTTTTTTGAACCCTTTTTAAATTATCGTTTATACTTATACATTTATATAATTCAAATTATATTGTTTTTGTTCAATTATAATCATTCCTTACATGAATTAAACCTACTAAATATTGTTGTTACATGGGTTTAATATGCATTACTAACAATTGCAAGAGAGGTTGAGAAGTCATAGGTTAAATGGCTTAATCTAATGAACATGAACGACCTATGGGCAACAAGTTAATGTTAATATTCGTGGGCTTGTATGACGGAGATAGCGTTAGCCAGCAATTCAATCGCCACATACAAGATTCTAACTGATGCGGGGTAATCAGAGGTGCCATAGCAACGGCGTCACAACTCATGGCCTAAGATCTACACATGTGAGTGGTGATATTTATTCTTTATATGATTCGCTTGGAGTAATCGATCTTCTTTTGCAAGGCTACATGAACGCAAAGATGATCTGTTTTCATATGCGCGAAATAGAGTCATCCCACGACATAATATGTCTAAGATTTCATTACCAGGGAATTCCATAAGAGGGTTGAATTATATAAGCGACCAATGTCGCTGGTTTCAGCGCAAGCTAACTTGTTCAAGAATAGTATAAATCGCATTGATTAAAATTAATTGATCTAAACAGCTTTGAAAATAAATCGTTATGTGTTTGTCGCAGTTCTTGTATTTGTCGTTTGCTTCGTTTTCAGTTCAGTCAATTCTTCACTTAATTCCCATAATCTTTCGCAATTTTTCTTCCCGGTTGTTGGCCATTTTGTAAACATCCTCCGACAGTCGCTAGAATTAGAATTTTCTTATTTATATTGTGGAAGATAAACCGACTTAGTCATATGGCTAATCGAGGTCTCTCGGCCAATTGTCGTGATAGCTATTTGTTTCAGATGCATGGAACAGCGACTACGTGAACACCTTCCGGCGGTGAGGTGTCCAACAGTCCTCTTGCTAGCTCATAAAAATGTTTGCTTTGTGAGATGCAACAATGAGCACAAATTTCTTTTTAGGGGTATGGCTATTAAATAAATTATTTGGCAGTACTTCCCATCATACTTTATGGCTTGATAAAAAATAATTATATTCAGATTACGTCAAACACGTACAATAGTACAGTGTAGCAAGTTTGCATTTTTTTTATATAAATACATACAAGACTATTTGTTTTATACTTTTTACCTGAAATACTTTCCTGTTATCCCGTCTAGTTCTGGAGCTATGGCACAATAAATTGACGTTTGGGCTCCGTGTTTTTGATCTCTGGTGAATAGTTGTTGATTAAATACAAAATCTGTCAATCTTCCATACACACTCTTGTCTTGTCCACCTGTCCTATTAAGATTTGTCCGCACGACACCGGGGTGAACGGCGTTAACAGTAACGCCAGTACCTGAAGTTCGAGTGTAATAAGTTCATTCTATGATGCGTAGGCGTCGCCAGAGCTAATCGAAACATGCAGTTATGGGCTTTATTCAATAAATTATCTTATTCAAATTTCTTTTTTGTGTTAGATTTTTCGAAGATAGGTATAGAGTAACCAGGTCACTTGGAACATATAGACTATAGAGAACACAAATTTTTATCAAACCGTCCTAGATTACCAAAACAACCACTGGTTATAATCGTACACGAACAGATGTTCAGGCGTATGTTTAAGTTAAGCGATATCATATACACCTTGCACTCGCCGACTGAGTTCCTTTGTAAATAAAACGTTCATCAGTTTGCTTGCATTGTATGCTCCCATGGGTGAATATTCTTTGTTTCTCCAATTCAAGTCATTCCAATGCAAAACTCCAAGCAAGTGTGCTATTGAAGACAGATTTACGATTCTGCCATTCCCGTTTTTCTGTCGCAGAAACAGTAAAAAAGCAAGAAATTAAATATCCACCTACTACGTGCGTCATCGTATTATCTTATCGTACTCGGATATGATGTTTTTCTGAATATTTGTGCTTATTTCTTACAACAAAAGCACGTAAGCCTTCTAGGCTCACGAAATCAATGAAAATTAACTCACCGTTATTAAATCTAATAATAAATTTGTCAGAAGAAATGGTCCGAGATGATTAACTCCAAAGTGCATTTCAAATCCATCAGATGTCATCCCTTGGGGGAGTTTCATCACTCCTAGCAAAATATATGAAATCAAATAAATAATTAGTGGAAGAAATATATAGCGAATTGATGATAAGAAGGAGAAACAAGAAGGTGAAAGCGTGGAGAACGTGGAAAAAGATAGAAGGGAAAGATTAATACACGAAAAGAAATTGGAAGTACTCGTTTCAATATCACTTACCCGCATTGTTTACCAAGATGTCTAATCTAGTCTCGGTTTGATTTATATCTTTTGCAAATGTTCGAATTGAGTCAAAAGAAGCAAGATCAAGACTCTTGGTGATAATCTTCCGTGACCCCGTTGCGATTTCAATCTGAATATACATGCAAAATAGGCCAGCGTTACAAAAGTTTATTTTCCAGGCATAATTTTTAAATAGCCTTTCATCGTATAACCGTAAATTCGTATTTAATTTTAAGTAGGTCATATTTAACTCACCTCAGATTTTGCAGCATTTGCCTTATTCGCATCCCTGCATGCTATAATAATTCGCGCCTCCCGTTTGGCCAGATCGAGAGCAGTTTCGTATCCAAGTCCCGAATTTGCCCCAGTTATTAGAACAGTTTTGTTAGTAAGCTTTACAGCACTTTTTACCCATCCACGAACTGCTGAACGAACCATTCTGTATTTTTTTAATTATATATAATGGCCTACTTACAGTAAATATAATTCTAAATGTGTGTTCGATTCTAAAAGGAATAAATTTAAAGACAAAAATGATAATTGTTAATTCAAACACCGAACTATGCTTTATTTTTCATATGTTGTCTGATAATTTTTTTTTCGTAGGAGGGGCCTTATAGAGCAACTACAACGTTTTGTATTTATATTTTAATTGAATGGCCATTCTCATTGGCATACTAAATACGTCACAACAAGTGTGTGCCAAGTTTGAGTTTCGACAGGGATTCCAGAATGCGAGGAATGCTGGCGTGGTCGAATTTAGACGATGGGAGGGCCCCCATCATCAAAGAAGGCACAAAAAATTTATGGTGATGTGATACTATGCACTGGGGCTCTTGTGAAATGTATTATGACGTCCTATATAAATTTTCAAATTGTGTGAAATTCGAAAGTTTATTTACAGTCGAAATACGTACGCTAACCACCTAAGCAGTTTCGATAGTAAGTTCAATTTTAAAAAACTTCCAGAAACTCAGGGCTGTAATGGAACCCGGAATCATTATACCACCTGTTTTTAGTCGCGAGAGGTGGTCGGGCCATTCCCAATTACTGTTAAATGAAACATTACTGATATATGAATTATCATCCCGTTTTTGGGAATAAACGGGGCTATAATAAAAAACATCCGAAATACCAAAAAACATACTAGATTCGTAGTGGCTTAATTAAATAAATTAGTACAGCTATATATCGATATTTTCTTAACTTTTTCCAAAAATAACAGCATCATTACTCTAAAAACTGTTAAAGTAACTTGAACTAGCATATTTTTTCTTTAATGCGAAAGAAATAGAGTTTTTCTAAATTTAATAACCTCATTTATTCGACCTATTCAATTTTTTAACTGTTTAAACATTAAATAATTAGGACAAGAAATATTAACCTGATTGAAAATTAAACAAATATCAGTCTTATGAAATTTTAAAAAGGTTTTATTCTGTAACAAGCATTGAAGGATTCTGTAACAATTTAGAATTTAATAAACACCAATTTCATAGTCTTAAGGTTGGAAGCCTCCAGACCTCAGCATACCTTGCCTAATGGTAAATACGCACTGATTGCTGCCTACTTAACACTGACTGATGACCGTGTACAAATGATTGTAAATACGACTAAAATAGTTTTATATGCCCATATCAACACGGTTCATCTGATTGCAAACGTAGGCAAAAATAAGAAATATTGCCACAGCCACCGTTTACGGAAATACATACGCAGTATACAGAAAAGATGGAAAAGTGAGTATCTACACTACAATCACCTCATAAATACATACATACTCTTCTCATATACCCATGACTTATTGGCCTGGCATACACAGTGAATCAATTTGCGTTTCTTTACTGCAACGTCCCGATTGGACTATGACCGCAAGCAATCGACCATAACAAGACTGACCTAATTATAAAATATTAAACACATAACCTTCAGGAATTCCGAAATCTGGAAGAATGTTTGGCAAGTATTTGTTTAAAAACAATAATTACGTTTTACATAGACAGCACCTGGGTACGTGACATATGACGGTTGAAGTGAAGCTACAGTTGTACCGACGCAGTGTATCCGAAACGGTAATCTATATTCTTTATACTGTAGTTTCGTTGCAAAATTTTTGTTCACTTATAACGTAGTCGTAGACGACGGTCTAAAGTTATTCTGGAAATGTTAACGTAGTTGCTATCAACCATTTTACCGTGGTATGGCAGCACATTTTCTGCAGCGGATATTTAAGGCAACAAGATCACCACGCATATAAAGAAAAGTATAGTACTTATTCCTTTATATCGCTTCCTAATCGTGTATCTAATTTAACTTTCAACAATAGCTCTCTCAGGTTTCAGCTGCACATCACCTGCTGTAACATTATTATTCAGCATTACTCAGTGCTCATGTCAATATTTGATATTCTTGTTTGCTATGTCTGTGTTTCCAGATTCTGGTAATTCGTTCAATATTTAACCACTTTGAGGACCGTTTTATGGTTTTAGAGTTTGTTACAATAATTGATATTACAACTTATGAACCCGGATAGTATGGAAATAGACGGGACTGATTCGCGAGGAATGTTGGACGCGTGGCCATTGAGCACTGTGTAAGCTGCTAAATAACTGTGGACGCGAGCATTTTAAACGCTTCAAGTGTGGTTAAACTAAAGTAAAGAGGATGTGTCGTTATATAATTTCAAGTGCAAACTTTCGAACTCTTTGGTCGGCTCTGCATTCGGTATCTTCTCTCAAGACATAAAGCGGAAGACATTATGCCGAACACGAAACGAAGGTTAAATGTTTAATAAACGTGTTCCAGTACGTCATGTCAAATTGTAACCACGACTAAAAAAAAATGAAACAGCAAAATTTTGGGTGTAATATCGGGTCATATTTGACTATATTTGCATCATTTTTCCTATTAATATGAATATGTACAGTACACTACTTTGCTATATTGCTCAATTTGAAATATGTAATATTTGTATGCCTGCGGATAATACAATAAAATTCTGGAAATCTGTTAATTATTAACTAATTACTACAAAATTTATTTCGTAATGAAGAATTATGAGAAAATATATTTGAACTTCGCTCGGAATTAGTTTATATGTCGAAGTCACGTAAACATACAAATCTTCTGCGGTGTTTATCCGTTTTATTGTGCAACTCACAGTGGGCACAAGGGCCTATAGTGGATAGCACTGAAGTTTACTGTGCTCGTGTCGCAGAAGAATAAAAGTCTTGTGTTTAAACCTAATTCCGAAACTCATTCTAGGTATATTAAATAGGCCAAGTATGGGGCATGATATTTTGAATAAAATTTTTCTACTCTCGCTCATTTCACCCTTAACATTTTTATAACACGCCACGCTTGACCAACCGTATTGGCTGTCCGCCGATGTTTTCAGAAAACTCTCTCGCTCGTTGTTTGGGAAAAATCACTTTTTTCGCAACTAATGGGCCAATCAATTTTAATTTTTATTAGAAGGCTATCTGATAGATCTCCAAAAATTTTGCCGTTCTATTTTAATTAAGTGGGAACACATTTTATTCGGTATTGTTCGATCGCCTCGATATTGTTTGTCCGATCTTATCAGCAAACTCGGTGCCCTTAAGGCCTACCGTACCGGTACTAATGCATGACGTCCGAGCACAATTTTTTTGGTTTTTTATGTGTGTAATTACCCTTGTCTTTAAACAGTTAGTCAGGAAGGTGTGTTGGTTAGGAATATTTAAAATATATTTTTGATAAAATGGCGCAACCACCATAAAGATTTTCAGCAAATTACACTGGCTCTTGGACCAAATACTACACATACCAATTCACTCCGATATTCGTTTTTAACAGATACCTAGTAATGAAATAACTACTGGAACGAAAAAGTATTAAAGAAAACTCAGTGCTAATTGTAATGACTAGTTGCATTACTTCAGCAGTACATGTACAACTGATATGTTATGTTCGTCTTCAGCAATCAATTACCTTTTTCTGGCAACTCCCACTCTTAATAAACTACGGGTACTGTATAAACTATAAATCATTGAGGTTATATACACCTCAATAGTATGAATACGAATGACATACTGACAGTTTGTAAGCGGTTGAATATCTTAATCTTCTAAGAAGATATTTATGAAAACTCCCCATAACTTGATCAAGACGAACATAAGACCCTAATTAAAATATGGAATGATGATAAGGGCCATACATTTGATATTCATTCAACTCAGTTCTATTTGATTCCAGATAACAGGTTTTCTTTGTCTTGTATTCCCTATCACTGCTCATACAGCAATTAACCATTTTGTGCACGTGGATGGTTGGGTCACTTTCAAAATCACCCAAACTATTTTCCACTGTTGGGGTACTTTTGCCTTGAGTAATCTATCTGGTGATCTGATAGCTTAGTTATATAGTATCTAATAGTTTTCTTTCTCTGGTTATTTTGCCAAAACCGATACATAAATTATAATAGCATGGATAAAATCACTATGTCATAAAAAGCAAATCCTCCCAACAATTGAGGTAATTGTGAAATAGAAATAAATAATACATGTAAAAATTATTTTTGCCTATTTTTAACATTCTGACACGCTTCAATCAGGCACCATGTACTACACCTCATTACAGGGTATGGATCTATAACAAAGCAGCAAATGAATCATTTTTCGATGGCGATAGCAGTTGAAATATTCCAGTATTGGAGCTCGCGTGAAACTAAGATGGCGAAGACCTCGAGATCAAACACAAAAAACCATATTCGAATGCAAATATTTTTAAATACAAATTATATAAAATTGCATACTTTTTTCAATAGAAGGAATATTCAACATATATATAAATTAAAAACAATCTAATCTACTGTGTTTGAGCCCGCTGAAGGTTCATTGCTTTTTTTTACGAAATCACACTCTATACCAAATTCACAATCTGAAAACGGACGTATTTAATTAGGAAAGTCATTAATTTTCATAGTAAACTTATGAATCAAAATTGAATATTAAAATTGAGTGTTTGTAAATCCGACCCAAAAATTTTAGAGCTCATGTATTCATTCCTTTTCTGGTTTTGCTTCAGGTTTAATTTTCATTCATAGTCCAGTTAGTTCTTCACTCATCTCCCATAACTTACTTGCACTTTCATCATTTCTAGCATGACTTGATTCTCTGACAACTTTACAGCCACTTATGATAAATGTAAAATATTAAAGGGTAATTTGAGTAATTAGTAGAAGACTTGCATTTAACTTCCAAAACAGCATTAATTACATCATTAACCTTCAATTCGATAAAAGCTAATTTAATTTCGTTGCTAGAAAAAATTTAAATCTACCCGAATAAGTGAAGCCCAAAGTGTACATCGAAGCATTTTTTGGAATCAGTATATTAATACATTACTTTCAAGACTAATTTACGTTTTCACATAAAAGACGCTTATGAAAAATTTTCAATATGAAAATATTCACAAGAAACAACTAAAACCATATATATATACTTCTGCACCTATTTTTATTTATTTTATACACTGAAAACGTTTGGAAAATTGAATATCTACAAACTGATACGGGATTGTATTTATTTTTAATTTTTATTTCCTCTTGTAACGCCATTTGATGTTATGATTTATATTGCAGCAAAATGTTAGTTGATCATGATACTCATTTGTTTTGTTTATTTCACACCTGAAATATTTTCCAGTTACATTTTCCAGTTCCGGAGCGATTGCACAGTAAACAGATGTTTGTGCTCCCTGCTCTGCATCAACTACTACGCAGGGACAGAAAGTAAAAAAACATATTGTCATGCATGCCAGGAATCCTGACATTTTGCAACATCCCAAATCCCGACCGATTTCAGTTTCCACGGCACCCGGATGTAAACTATTAGATGTCACTCCACTACCTGAAAGTACAAACATAATCGTAAATAAATATACTTTCGTCTTTTAGAAGCCACTTCAAACGATCCTTCAAAATGCACGCTAATTATGATATGCCAGCACATACATTGGTATACAAGTATCGAACGCTGGTGCGCATTGTATAGCTGTTTACTTATCGGGTTCCATGTCACAGACTAACTTTCTTTCCAATGATGTAATTTTTTTTTTATTCCTGTTGCAACAGAAAAATATTAGTCTTTCCAAACAGAATTTGTTACATACAGGTAACATTGAATAAACATCGTATAATGTATAACATACTATATTACTTCGCACCATCAAGTTTTTTGCTGAGTTCCCTGGAGAATAAAACATTCATTAATTTGCTTTGACAATATGCTTCCATTCCATTGAAATTATTTTTTCTGTTTGGATCATTCCAATTGATAGTAGTAGCCTGATGGCCAGCGGAAGCAACGTTGACAATTCTACTTGGAGCACTTCGCTAGAAATTCAAAAATTTTTTGGGGGGTTATGTTTGACTTGGAATTTTGATCCTTTTTCTTAGGTGTGAATATACAGAAACTTGATTCCATTCCATTCATTATCTTGCAATTCATTTCTTTTAGGTACTTTTAAAAGCAATTTTTAGATTTATTCCGATGTGAACACAACTTTTAAAGTTTTTAGTGTTATCGCAACATTTCGTAATCTTGAGGATTAATTTACGGTAATTCGACTCGATCCTTCTACCTACCAATTGTAACACAATCAATTCGCTGTCTGCATCATAACAATTATTATTCTCCATCACCAGTTATCTTATAATGCTGATTTTTGTTGCAAAGCGCAATGGTAACATCCAGGTTTACCTTTACCATAGCATTGACTTACTTTTAACAAATCCAGTAGCAAATTCGTGAGGAGAAAATGCCCCAGATGATTGACTCCAAATTGCATTTCAAATCCGTCTGCAGTTTCTTCGTATGTTGATAAAACAAGACCTTAAAAATATTTTAATTAAAATTTATATTTAAATTAATACTGTTCTCATAGGTTGAATTTTTTTGTAAAAATTTCCAAGGTTGTATTTTGTCTTCGGTGAATGTTTTTTTAAGGGTAAATCCGTTCTTGTTATAAAAAATTCAATCGACTTTAAAGAGTTTGGATGATCCGATATTAAATGGAACCCATTTGTTCGGCATAGGCAATTCAGGCAACAAATCAACTAATATAGCGTAGATTCTTAATCATGACTACACTTATAGATCGATTTGCTGAATTCCTGTTGTTGTTATTCTTGTTGCTGTTGTTGTTAGTGTTTCTCTTTTCGTTGAGAAAATCACTTCTTTCCGCAACTAATGGATCAATTAATTCAAAATTTTAATTGCTCAAATATGGCCGAACACGCTATACGGCTATAAACAGTCAATTTTTATTCCAATATTTTGTTCTTTTATGGTCGCAGAATTAAATTACAAATACAGAATAATCATTTTTGCACAATTTATTTCAACAGTACCTCAAAGTTGCACTAGTGGGAGCGCTGTGATTGTTTGCCGTAATCCAAAGCTTATGTATGCCGTAATCGAGTTATTTTTAATTGTGGTGTGGCTTCACTGAAGCATAACGAACGCGGAGATAAAGAAGGCGAACCATCTTTGGGTCGCGGCTCGCGACCCACACGTTGGGAACACTGGGATAGACTACCGGCACTGCGAATGCTCATTGGAACTTCGCGTACATTTCAGCATTGCTCTCTTGTTTCGATTCAAATAATTCTACTATGTACCTGCATTGTTTATTAATACATCAAGTCGTTCTTCAGTCGCATTTATATCGGCCGCTAATTTTCGGATTGACTCGAATGATGCCAGATCCAGATGTTTCACAACAACATTGTTTGAGCCCGATGATTCTATAATCTACAAAAAAAAACTACCTTCATAAAATTAAGATACATATTAGGTTGTTGTTAGACTTTGGAACATTGACTTGGCATCTTTATATAAATAAGGACAATGAAATAGTATAGTTCAACCTCATCTGACATCTAGTTTTCTGATATGTTCGACAGCTTTACAAGCTGGCCAATAGATTTGAAGCAAACCGAAAATGTAATAAACGTAATGTAATAGATAAATAGAAGATATGATTTTAGGCTCATCAAGTTTGTGTAGTGCTAACTTATATTAGATTGCCCTTTCATTAAACTTTGAATCCAAAGGAAAAGGTACAGACTTACTTTTTGTTTCGCCGATTCTGCTTTTTGTAAATTTCTGCAGGCTATTATGACTTTAGCGTTTCGTTGCGCAAGATCAATTGCAGTCTCTAAACCTATTCCGGTGTTTGCGCCGGTGATTAAAACAGTCTTCCCAGCTATTTCCAAGTCTTTGGTAACTCTACCGTTTTTTGCACTTTTGGTTGACGCCATCCGATCTTCACATAAACCCCTACATTTAAAAATATTACAACAAAACTTAACTATTAACCCGATCTATTCAATGACAAGCTATTTATCGGACTGTGGCTTTTATGATGGTGATAGCAAACAAACCCGTTATTTATATTGGGCAAGTATGAAGAGTCGATTCACAAAGTTCAGTCAATAACTCAATACATAAAATATCTCAGCAACTATGCCACCACACGTGGCGAAGGTTAGTCTTTAAAAAATGAGATTTCGTCACAATCTCGTTATTATGCTGAGTCATATGCTAAATTTTTAATAATTATTTTACGAATTGAAAACAATAAGCAAGCTTCGTGAATTTTATTAAAATACCCTCCAAAATTGCCTCGAACCAGTTGTGTCTTTTACAACAGGAATAATAGAGTACTTTACATGCGCAAAATACAATATACACATACAGTATTTAAGTATGGGCAAGCCCGATAGAGCATATTACTGAACGCAAGTTTTTCTGCTGCCAGGGTTTAAAAATTAGGTGCCGTCTAGACTGACAAACGATGACCATCCTACAATAACTTCCGCAGTAAGTCTCACTCCAAGAGTAGTGTGATAAATTTTATTCGCAATGGTAGCAGTGGCATCAATATGCCCAAATTGTTCTAATTCTAAGCAAGCGAGCGAGTAATCGCGTTCGGAGGTTTTAGCAGTCATGTAACATTCATGGTTTGAGGATATTCATTTTTTGCTGTTTGGATAATACATGATTACATGGCAAGGTTTCTTGAGAAATTTTCAACATTTACGACTAAAAATTAGGCACGCCTTTTATCTGAATTGTATGATTTAAATAAATCTCAAATAAATAATAAAACATTTACTCCGGGTAGAGTTAAATAACCAAATCAACAACTTAAATAGAACATACAAAATCAAAATTTTGTGTCGATTTTAATAATAATGTGTCCACGAAGCTTACTGATTGTCTGCGGTGGAATTTTTTGTATGTATGTGTGCAGTTATCTGGATATTCAGTGCCCATTCATTTTTGTGTAGGACCTTGTGTAGGATCAGTCGAACGCGATCTGTTTTGAAAGGTTGCTACCCCTGTTATAAAGTATCACGAGGGGCATCAACGGTTAAGGTTAAACCTTTGTCTTTTCTTCAAAATTATCACGTTTTCTTTCCCATTATGAACTGATACGCTTGTATACTGCGTTTTTACAATTACAACGCTGATTTATAAATTGTAGCTTGCTATTATAACGAAAGTTCGTAGAGATCTTTTTGAATGAAACGAATATTCCAAGTGCACAACCCATGTGACCTTTCAAACAAAGATTAGGTACAGTAACGTTTACGCGCTATGTATCATTGAGCTAAATATGTGGAGTAAAATGAACGTAATTTCAATTCAACTAACCCCCTTTTTGATTGTGAGAATGTTTAAATTGTTTTGAAAAATTTTAGTTACAAACACCTTGCATCCTATGGAAGACGTTGTTAAAAATGAAATGGGAAAAACGAAGTTTTCCTGTTTTCACATATGGTTTTCGTGTCAGATTCTGTTCCCTTCTTACTGTTTAGAAACCGAAAAAAATTAACATTTTAACTGTTGTATTGCAAGTAGCATTTAAATTAATATTATTTAACCAGGTCATGATCATTCACAGGGGATACTAATTAGTCCTAAAGTGGCTATTGCAACTGATTAGAAGTGAGAATCAGCTTATCTTTTTGGGCAAACATTTTTTAATTTTATTATTTTTCTTATTAAATTTCTCACGAATTCCAAAATTTGCATCAAACGCGATCTTATATATATAAAGAAAGGATACCAAATTATCAGTGCGATTTGATTTATAGGTAGTTGTCATCACGACCGAAATCAAATTGTAGGTTATAAATGGCATTTGGATTTTCTAATATTCAAATGTTGGATGAGCATTTTCATTTTAATGCCTTTCCTCACAAGTTTACAACCCGCCCTTAAATCAAGAGTCAAACAGAGTTCAATTACGTTACATGGTACCAAATTAACATATTAAACAGATTTAGTTTTTAGCTAGTGTGTTTGCAAACAAAGTGAAACAATATTTACAATTTATGAAAGATGGATCATTTTAACAACATTTTAAGGTAAATTAAACAAATAAATCACGTCCGATTTATCATTCTGCCATGCTTAAACATGCATAATTTTGGAATATTATAATAACATATAACAATTTCGAAATTATGCAGACTAATAAAGTTATACGCTGAGTCATGGGGTCACATTAAAATTGATATTGCCGATAGAATTTTCTAGTAATTCCATACATAATTTGCTGAAGTATTCCCGAGTATGAATTGAATAAATCGCTTTTTCTATAATTTGTAGCGAATCAATATCGGTCGATACTCGATGCACGGAAAAGTGTGAAAACAATTTTTTTCCGTGCGCATTATACAGTTATAACTGAATCTTCAATAGTAACAATTTTGAGATTTGTCTACGTTTATTTTTAAATAGAGATATATAAATGCTAAATTGCGAACAACGAGAAACTTCTGTGGCGATGCTGAATTTTTGACCACAATATAGAAGTGATTTAAAAAGCATTTGCATTTGCAATTTTAATCAATGTTATGGAGCCACGAATGTTTATTTCCACAAAAAAATTCTGCATATTGTGGAGAATTATTAGTGATATTTTACTTTGTATATAGGTGAATTGAATGAATCTATAGTACACTAAAGTTTCACAGGAAAAACTATTAAGCCTAACGAAAAAAAAAGGATAAAATAGAAGCAACAGCCGTTCTAGTTCAATAAGAAAAGTAAAGTTCATTATTTCTTGCATATGCCTGAATGTCGACAAGTTTACTATAAGGTTTTGAAACGAATTGTTTCTTAGATGTCCTATTTTAAAAAAAAGCCTAAGTTTTGTGTTTTTTGGTTCAAAACAGAATTTATGTGGCAATCAATATATAAACAAAATCGGTCAGAGACCGAAGACTTATCGATCGAAAGTTAGGGGATCCCCAAAGCAGCGCTCTCACTCCATAGTGACACCTTGTGTCCCATCACTAATTATTTAATAACTCGCTAATTATTAGGCATAATTTATCCAAAATCAATAGGCTTCTGGTACGACACATGATGAATGCACATGCAAGATCTGGAGCAGATTCAATCTCGCTTTCGTGAGATATCGCGTGCATCTAACAGACAGACAGACAAATACCTATCAACATACTTACCGATTAAAATCGATAAGTAATGACGTTGATATCAACTCGTCAACTTAGTAATATAGTCTTCATTAGCCACACAATGTCGAATGAATGAGCAGATTATAGGGCTCAAAAGATGCGATGTGCCCTAACCTTCCCTACTCACATGCTTATGCAGTAATTTGTTACGTCTCCGATGTTCGTTAACTTTTCAGATACATAGCATTGATATAACTACTGGGACTAAAATGTTTTAAAGAAAGCTCCGTGCTAATTGTATTGCCACTTTACCGTTTTATACACGTTGGTCACTTTCAAAATCACTCAAAATTATTTTCCACAGCTGGAGTATTTTCGCCTTGAGTGATCTATCTGGTAATCTGATAGCTTAGAAGAGGCCCGCAAGAGAGTTTTAGTTTTCCATTATCGTTATGAAAGTTTAATCAAGTCGCAGGCAGTTTTATGCAGGGTTCTATCACAAAAAGAAAAGATCGAAATATTTTCTTACAAGACAGCCCTTCTTATTGCTCGGCATAAGCGACCTTTCACTGAGGGGGAGACTATTATAAAGCCTGCTTTAAACATCTTATGTGAAGTATTTGAGGGTAAACTATTTGCTAAAAAGGTACAGGAAGGTGTTAATAACTCTGCTCTTAGTAATAATACTATAACAAGACGCATTCAAACTATTGCAGCTGATCTAAATGAACAGATTTTAGAGGATTTCAGAAATTCGCCATGAACAGCCCTGGCAGTGGATGAGTAAAGTGATACAACAGCACAAGCACAGCTTCTGATCTTTGGAAGATTTTTGAAAGAGAGCTCAGTCACTGAGGAACTGCTTGCTTGCATTTCACTTGAAACCACAACAAGAGGCGAAGATATTTTTAGTGGCATTGAATAGTTCTTCACTGAAAATAACCTAGATTGGAATAAAGTGATCGAATGTATAGTTTGGATGAGGGAGCATCAATGATGGGAAAGAATATTGGAGTTCTGGGAATTCTTTCTAGTAAATATCCTCACATTAAGATAAACCACTGTATAATTCAACGTCAGAATTTGGCCTCAAAAAACTTGTCTCCGAACTTCTCTGATGTAATGCAGATAGTCATATCCACTGTCAATTATGTGAAAGCTAGAGAACTAAATTCCCGCTTGTTCAAACAATTGTGCATTACTGAAAATTCAAATCATCACACATTATTAATGCACACTGCTGTCAGGTGGCTGTCAAGAGGAAAAACTTTGGAATGGGTTTTCCTTCTTCGTCGTGAACTTGCCATATTTTTGCAAGATAAGGGGCACGAGAACGCTCGTTATTTTCATGATCCACACTTTTTTGCTCGCCTTGCGCTTCTTACTGACGTTTTTGAACACGCTTAACACTCAATTGTTAATTTAATTGTTAATTAAAATAAAGAGTTTAAATGTTTAGCATATTTTACTTAAAACCACCACATGACCAAATTCAGAAGTCCAGTGAGAAAAGTCTAAAGTCTATGGTTTCGTGAAAAAAAAAATACATATTGACCTGGGGTCGCACTGGACACTTGAAAGGAACCCCTGTCTTAGATATATAATATCTAAGATTTTTCTATCTCTAGATAGCGATGTTAGTTGGTTATTTTGCAAAAACCGATACATAAATTATAATAGCATAGATAAAAGCATGATAAACTGTGTCGGGAAAACAAATCATCTCAATAATTGAGGTAAAAAACAGACGAGTTTTGTGAACAATTGTGAAATAGAAAGAATACATGTAAAAATTATTTTGTTTCTTGCCTATTTTTAACATTCTAACACGTTCGATCCATGGTATGGATCTATAAGCAGCAAATGAATCTCTTAAATCTTTTTTTGCTGCGTGCGATTGTTGAAATATTTCTGCATTGAAGAACACAAAATGTTGAATTCATATATATACATTAAAAACAATCTAATTTACTGTGTTGGAGACCGCTGAAAGTTCATGTACAATGCCCTCTTTTTTGAGAAAATCGCACGCTATACCAAATCTACAATATGAAAACGGACGTATTTCATGAGGAAAGTCAGTGATTTTTATAGTAAACTTGAGAATCAAAATTGAATAGTAAAGTTGAGTGTTTGTGAATCCGACCCAACGTTTTCAAAGGTAATTTAGTCATTCTTTTTCTGATTTTGCTTCAGGTTCAATTTTCATTCATCAGTCCAGTTAGTTCTTCACTCATCTTCCATAACTTACTTGCACTTTTATCATTTCTAGCATAACTTGCTTCTCTCACAACTTTACAGCCACTTCAGATTCATAAAAAAATACAAATTTGACTAATTAGTCAAAAAATTGAACTTTCAATTCGACAAAAGCAAATTTGATTTCGTTGTTAGAAAAAAATTAAATCTGCCTGATTAAGTACAGCCCAAAGTGTACATCAAAGCATTTTCGAAATCAGTATATTAATACATTAGTTTCAAGAGTAATTTACTTTTTCACATACAAGAATTTTGTGAGAAATTTTCAATAGGAAAATATTCACAAAAGCATTTAAAGCCATATATACTTCTGCACCTATTTTATTTATTTTTACACTGAAAACGTTTGTAAAATTGAATATCCACAAACTGATTCTGAATATTTTTTATTTCATTTTGCAACGCGATTTGATGATATAATTTATATTGAGGAGAAAAATGTATGTTTTTATCAAGATAGGTTGATCATGATACTCATTTTCATATTTCACACCTGAAATATTTTCCGGTTACAGTTTCCAGTTCCGGAGCGATTGCACAGTAAACAGAAGTTTGTGCTCCCTTCTCTACATCGACTAAAATGCACGGACATAAAGTAAATATACACGTTGTCATGCATGCCAGAAATCCTGACATTCTACAACATCCCATATCACGATTGAGCTCAGTTTCCACCACACCAGGATGTAAACTATTAGATGTCATTCCAGTACCTGAAATTATAAATATCGCTGTAAATAAATTGACTTTCCTACATGGTATATAGCTTTTATATAAATATATGATCCTTTAAAATGCTAATTATGATATGCCAGCACATACATTGGTATATAAGTATCGAATGTAGGTGCGCCTTGCGTAGCAGTTTAGAGTTATAGGGCTCCGTGTCACACGCTAACTACCTTTCCAAGGATGTAATTTTGTAAGAAAATCCCAGTCTTTCCAAACTGCATTTGTTACTTACATGTAGCCTAACATAGATTTGATTTTGTATAATATACTAAATTACTTCGCACCTTCAAGTCTTTTGCTGAGTTCCCTTGAGAATAATACATTCATTAATTTGCTTTGACAATATGCTTCCAGTCCATTGAAATTATGTTTCCTGTTTGGATCATTCCAATTGATAGTAGTAGCCTGGTGGCCAGAGGAAGCAACGTTGACAATTCTACTTGGAGCACTTCGCTGGAAATTCAGATTTTTTTTTGGTATGAATACAATACTATGAAATCAAGTTTTTATTGTTATAGTAACATTTACTATTCTCGGGGGTGAAGTTTACAGTAAGAAAATCCGCTCGATATTACTACCTTTTTTCAATTAAAACACAATAAATGCGCTGTCCACGCCTTAGATATTATTATTAATCTTATAAAATTTCCAATGATTTTGTTCTATTATAATATTAACTTAAGTTCACTTTTAGCCTTGACTTACTTTCAACAAATCTAGAAGTAAACTCGTAAGGAGAAAATGCCCCAGATGATTGACTCCAAAATGCATTTCAAATCCATCTGCAGTTTCTTCGTATGTTGATAAAACAAGACCTTAAAAATATTTTGACTAAAATTTATACTCATTTAATTACTGTTCTTATACGATTAATTTTTTTTTGCAAAAATCTCTGTGGTTGTTTTTTGTCTTCCGTGGCGTAATGTTTTTCCAGGGTAAATCCGTTCTTGTAATAAAAAATCCAATTGATTTTAAAGAGTTCGATTGACTCAGCATACCCTATATTAAATGACACCCTCTTGCCTTGCACAGGCAATTCAGACAACAAATCAACTAATATTGCGTAGATTGTTACTCATCACTACACTTTCTTGTTGAGCTTGACATAATAGATGCTGTCAAGTTTTTACGAGCTGATATTCTCACATATAATTATTATTAGGCGACAATTCAATGCCAAATACAAAATAAACACAGAAATTCACGAGAAAACACGAGATCAATGCTCAATTATATAGACACGACGACCAAATCGAAATATTTCACCATCAATTCGCCGAAGATCGTAGGGTATCATGAACGAAGGGAGGACTGTGGAACAGATATACGGTAACCCACCAGTACCTGTAACAGGAAAACGATCCATATGTACATTTCTTGTCCAATAAAATCAATAACTCCTATGCTTTCGCTAAGAAACAAGCGGTTGAAGAGGATTTTCAGGCGAACCATCGTTGGGTCGCAACCACACGTTGGGAACACTGGAATAGACTACCGGCACTGCTGATGCTCATTGGGCCTTCGCGTACATATATTTGAACTTTGCTCTCTTGTTTTGATTAGAATGAATCTACTATGTACCTGCATTGTTTATTAATACATCAAGTCGTTCTTCAGACGCATTTATATCAGCAGCTAATTTTCGGATCGACTCGAATGATGCCAGATCTAGGTGTTTCACAACGACATTGTTTGAGCCCGATGCTTCTATAATCTACAAAGGAAAACTAACTTCATAAAATTGAGATGTATATTAGGTTGTTGTTTAGACTTTGGAACATTGACTTGGCAACTTTATTGGAATATAGACAACGAAATAGTGTAGTTAAAACGCAAATATATACTACTACGGGTTAAAAACCTCATCTGAATTCTAGCATTCTGATATGTTCGTCAGTATTCCTAGCTGTCCAAAAGATTCGAAGCAAACCGAAAATGCAATCAACTAATTCGGCATGTCATCTAGTGCAGTTTTTCCCAATCTGTGGGTCGCGACACTGGATGGGGTCGCGTGAAGATTTTCCGGGGTCGCCTACTTTTTTCAAACATATGCATACAATTGACTAGGTTTAGAAACTTGGAAAGTGGAATTTGTAATAGTTGCAAATACCGTAAAAGTGCGTAACTTCGGATTTTTCAGCAATAACTCGACCATTTTTGTTCAAACGGCGCCAAAATTGCTCGGTAAATCTTTCATGCGGTCCCTCTCCAGCTGGTCAGCAAGTACTAATTATTAGTAAACGTAATTGATTGACTGTGGCACAAGCGCCAATGATATTTTCCTTTTTATTGGTTTTTCGATCATGTTGCATCCGAATGAGTAGTTGACCCGCCGGTACGCGAATCTGATTTTTTGCCAGACAGCGAAAAATTATTTTGGTTTGTTATTTTGTACCAGTGTAGCCGCTTGGTTATTGAATATATATACAAAGCAAAGTTGCTCTTTTGGCGATTGGCCCTTAATCAGGTGTTTGATAAGTATGGTATTGGTTGCAAGGCGGTGTCTTGGCCGAGTAATTACACTTTAAGTGTCGATCAGTTGCGAAAGCGCTTTGTTAATTCGCGAACGTGTCTAAAATCTGCGAGTAGGGTACGTGCTTTGTCCACATGAAAGTGATCATTTTCGTATTGCAATATTACGTATTTAGACGTTTAATACATAATTTCGAAGCGTTCGGAGCAGTCAAACACGAAACAACAACAAGTTCTAGCATAATAAAAGTCACTTAAAATATGTGATTCCGTACACGTTTTTTCCTATATTAATTCCATGCTCTGTTTTACGTTCGAATTGATAATGGTGCAATTTTTAATGTTGAACTGAAAATAATAAAGACACTGTTGGAATATACTAAATAGGATTTAAAATTTATGTATATTTAGAAGCAATCTTACTATTTCCGAATTATCGTACGCTTCCTTACAATCTACAACATCTTATCGAGTCCGTCTATGTTTCGCCAAAGAACCATTATAATTCTGATCTAAGGACTTTTTGCACCGTGGTTTTCATACGATGCCATGTGTTATCAAATCTTCTTAGGTTTCCCTGTTTTTCCGGCGCTATTGCCGTAATCGTTCATATATTTTTTGTGCTAATGTTCCCCGCCAACATCCACTTTCAGTCGATATACGGGTACATTGTAATTAAAGTTATATATCGTCACGCTAATAACCGAATTGCGTAAGTCACTTTTGGCGATTTTGAGTTTTTTATAAAATAGGTATTTATGTAATGCTGCGCACCTGTCTGTTAACTCAGATTTTATTTTAAGAATTCCGAAACCCATGAAAATGGAGATTTAGTATGACATGTACATTTGTGCAATTGTTTTGTCATAATGATTTATCATTGTTACCGCAGGACTATTGTGACGTCACAAAGGCAAAATAACCTCGCCGAAGTATTTTCGAGTTTTTGCATCTCGGATTCTAACTTAGCGCGTATTAATTTGAATTTATACTACAGTATAAGAAGACGTGCACTTGTGATATTCACTGTCCGAGTCCAATTCACCTTGGTTGGCTTTTATATTGGGTGTATTGCTGTTTTATTCTTTATATTTAATCTTAGTCTTATTTCGGTAGGTGTGCAGAACGTGTTATATTGATAAAATATATATTTTTAAACATAAAAAATAATGTAATTGAAAACTGATTAGCTATTTTGGGGGATTAGACATTGAAGATACTGAGAATTACATTCGTTTTTGGAATGTTTAGTTTTCAGGACTGGTGCATATAGTAAAGTTGCAAAATTGCGTATGTCCCCAAGTCATAGACACATTTCTGCCTAAGTCATAGTGCGCCATTATGATGTCACTTAACTGCGTCATACAAATTAATTTAAATCCGGCTACGATCAAAAAAATTGAACCATGGCAAATTATTGACTCTCAATGGCATAACAATATCATTAGGAAGTTTTTTACGTTTTTCTCAAAACTGCGCTAAAAATGACTTACGAATTCGGTTATTAGCGTGACGATATATATATATATTAAATTTTCCAGGTTGCTGAACGTTCCTAGTTGTGGGGTCGCGAGTATCTGTAGGCTTTGATTTTATGACAATTGGGGTCGCGAAATAAAAGTTTGGGAACCACTGATCTAATGGATGTGAATATCGTAATTCAAATAGCTTGCAGAATGGATTGCAGATGGGCTTTTAGACTCATCAAGTTTGTGAGGTGCTTATATTAGATTGCCGTTTCATTAATTAAACTCCAAATATAAAAAGAGAAGAAAGAAAGGGTAAAGACTTACTTTTTGTTTCGCCGATTCTGCTTTTTGTGAATTTCTGCAAGCTATTATGACTTTAGCTTTTCGTTGCGCAAGATCAATTGCAGTCTCTAAACCTATTCCGGTGTTTGCGCCGGTGATTAAAACAGTCTTCCCAACTATTTCCAAGTCTTTGGTAACTCTACCGTTTTTTGCACTTTTGGTTGGCGCCATCTGATCTCCACATAAAGACCCACTATTCAAAAATATTACAACAAAACAACTCAACGATTGAAGCCAGTCTATTCAAAGACAAGCTATTGATCGGACTGTGGCTTATAGTAATGGTGATAGCAAACAAATCCATTATTTATATTGAGCAAGTATAAATAGTCGATTCACAAAGTTTTGTCAATGACTCAATATATAAAATATCTCAGCAACTATTCTACCACACTTGGCGAAGGTCTTTAATGATAAATAAGATTTCGTCACAATCTCGTTATTATGCTGAGTCATACCTAGATTTTTATTAACCCTTTTACTTCGGTCGAATAAGAAACAATAAGCAAGATAGCGCGGGAACGCTATCTTACAAAATACCATAAGTGGCATCGATGGTTAATTTTACTTCCTTGTCTTTTGTTCGAAATTGTCACGTTTTCTTTTCCATTATGAACTGGTACAATTATATGTATACTGCATTCTTACAGTTATTGTTTATATTTATTCAACGCATAGTCACTGAAAGATACTCATTTATAGGCTCGTGCAAACTCTTATAAATCGAGACTATGAATAATACGGAGAACATCTTTTATTGATTGCTAATGAATACAAATAATTTGCAAATACAGCGGGAACTGTTTTCACATAAGCACTCGCTTTTATGATTTTCGCTTTAATTCTTTTCCCTTCTTACCGTTTAGACATCGAAAAACATTAACTGTTTTATTGAAACTAGCATTTAAATTAATATTATTTAACCAAAATACGACCATTCACTGATAATACTAATTTGTTCTAATTTGGTTAGGAGTGAGATTCGGCGTAACTTTTTTGATTTTGTTATTTTTCTTGATGATTCCACACGAGTTCGGAATTTTTATCAAACGCGATCTTATATCCAAGAAGGGATACCAAATAGTCAGTGTGATTCGATTTACAGGAAGTTGCCTTCACGTTATAAATTAAATCAATCATTTTTGGTAATCTCTTTTTTACTCAAGTTTGCAACCCGCCTGTAATACTATAGCACCACAAAATGTTCGATTACATGGTATGCCAAATTGTTGAACAGATCTAGCTTTTAGCCAACGTGATTGCAAACAAAGTGAAACCATATTTACAATGCATGAAAGATTGATCATTCCAAAAAACATTTCAAGATAAGTGAGACAAATATATCATCCTGCCATGCTCAGACATGTAAAATTTTGGACTGTTATAAAAACACAATCAATTTCAAAATTATGCTGACTAATGAAGCTATACGCTGAGTCATGTTGTCACATTAAAATTTATATTGCGGATTGAATTTTCTAGTAATTTCAGACATAATCTCAACTATGAATTTTAATATTTTCTCAAGTATCAATCGAATAAATCGCTTGTTCTATAATTCGTAGTGAATATATTTTGCTCATCAACATGGGTGATACAACAGAGATAGCTTTCTCAAAATGTAAAAAGAAAAATTATACGCATTATACAGTTGTAACTAAATACTTGCAACAGTAACAACTTTGAGATTTGTCTACGTTAATTTGTAAATAGAGATATATATAAATGTAAAGCACCAACTTGCGAAATAATCTAGCATTCGAGTTTTTTTTTAAATTGCAATTGGTTCGTTTTGTCTTGAACGAATGACTCACGATGATTAAAACACAATTTGACGGAACGGGAAATATTCGAAATTTGGGGATATTTGCAGTATGTGTGAAAAATATTTCCGGCTCTAAATAGTTTTTAAGTAGTTCTTGTGGGCCATCCCAACTATCGACCATAAAAAGAAAATGCATGTGAACAACAAAAAACTGTTGAAAACGTGGTTTCTGTGGCGATGCTGAATTTTGGACCACAATTTAGAAAAGCTTTTAAAAGCATTTACTATTTTAATGTTATGACTTTTTATGAGGCCACGAGTATTTATTTCCACAAAAAGATTTTTTATATTATGGGGAATTATTAGTGAACTTTTACTAGGTTTAGGTAAATTAAATTAATTATGAAATACGAAAGTTTCACAAGATAAACTATAAATACTAACAAAGAGAGGGATAAAATAGAAGCAACAGCCGTGTTAGTTCGAGAGTAGGAGTGAAATTCATTACGGCGCATATCACCTGATGTCGACAATATCCTATAAGGTTTTGAACTAAATTGTTTCATAGATCTTTAAAAAACAAAACAGTCTGTGTTTCTGTGCTTTTTCGGTTAAAATTTATGTAGGAATTAATATAATAACTTTGATATCAACTTCACAACTTAGTTCGATTATCGTTATTTTTTCAAACAAAATAAGGAAAAATATAATCAATTAGTAATAATTTGAAAGTCGGCAATTGTGTTTTATTCACTCCTTTCAATTTTATTTTGTATCTTCCCGTTCTGTTTTCCCTGAATTCTCTGTCTCGTGCAATCCAGTGAGTTCTTCACTAATTTTCCATAATTTACTTGCACTTTCATCATCTCTAGCGTCGCTTGATTCTCTCACAACTTTACAACCACTAAAGTTTGAATACAAATATATTATACATACAATATATAAGTATTCCAGCGGAAGTCTCGTAAGTTAATTGTTCCTGTTCGGTCAAGTTTCAAATTGAATTTAATGTATAATGTAGGATGTATAATTAAAAATCATGGTATATTCTTGCGCTATAGTCTCATTATTATATTTTAAAATTTTGTATAAAATCGACTAAATATTTATTTAAGACTTCATTAGCTATTTTTGGTGGATGTAAATTCAAATCAACAGATAATTTGTTGAGGTAATCATATATATATAACTTGAACTGGGTATACTAGAATAACATTTACAATCGTACTTCAGTTTTCTTATAACAGCAGTATAACTAACCTGAAATATTTCACAACTTCACAACCACTAAATGTTTAAATACAAATATATACATGCAATATATAAGTATTTTAGGATAATTTTGAGACACGACCCTTCGACTTCAATATCAGTCAGCTTTCGAAAAATCAGACTCCGACAGCTACACGACGCAACACATCTCAATGACTTTCAAATTCAATATCAAACTGAATATCTATCTACTTCTGGTTTCATTTGCTTTATAATGGCGGATATAAATTCAAATCAATATCTAATCTGATGCAGAAATTATATGACTTGATTTGGGTATACCAGAAAAACATTTATAATCGTACTTTATTTTTCTTATAACAGTATAACTAACCTGAAATATTTTCCTGTAACCCCCTCTAGTTCTGGAGCAATCGCGCAGTAAATGGAAGTCTGTGCTCCTTTATCTGGGCTAATCATAAGCCCAGAAAATGTTTTAAATGCACATACAGTAAGGCATCCCAGACATCCTGACACTTTGCTCCAACTCAGATCACGTGCAATTTCAGTTTTCACAGCACCAGGATGTAAACTATTCGAAGTTACGCCAGTACCTATCAGAAATAAAGTCGTCGTCAGTAGAATAGAATATTTGGATGTTCGCAGGCTGATGCGAGTCTTGGTGAACATGAGGTCTGTCGCAAGAATGGTAATTTTTATACGAAGGGCCTCGACTGAAGAAGTGTTATTTGAATTCAATATTATATATACTATTATCATGACTCAAAATTACATAATATATAGATAAAGACGTACAAAATTATACTTTTGACATGCACAAATTATAGAAAATTACTTCTCACCATCAAGTCGTTTGCTAAGTTCTCTTGAAAACAAGATATTCATTAGTTTGCTTCGACCATATGCTTCCGGGCTAAAATTATTTTTTCCGTTTGGATCTTCCCAGTCAATTGTTGCGTATTTGTGACCGATGGAGGAAACGTTGACGATTCGACTTGGAGAACTTTTCTGAAAATGATTTTAATGATTAAGTTCGTTCCTTCAAAATTTGCTAGCGCAATTTTAAAAACAACGGTCACATATCATTTGAATTATTATGGACTTTTTGCTATTCTTTAATAAAGGCTTGACGAGTTATACATTATTACATGCTATATGGTGCGGAACGATGAAGAAGCTTGAATGTTATTGAGTAAACGTATAAGGTTTAAAGTTGAGATGCCGAGTCCGCCTTCTTGTTTGATTATAAGCCTTTATTGGAGCCTTGTTCAATGAACTAATTACATGAAAGTTTTTCCTAATTAAGTCTTCAACGAGCAACGAGCCACTTTGTTGTTTACCAATCTTGTGAAAATATTGCTTATGTGAAAGATTTAAATAGTTTATCAAATTATAATAAATTAGAAATACATCAGCCTACTTTCAATAATTCCAAAAGTAAATTTGTGAGCAGAAAAGATCCCAGATGGTTGACTCCAAAATGCATTTCAAATCCGTCTTCAGTTTCTTCATATGTCGACAATAGAAGACCTTTAAATTTATTGAAATTAGATATAATTAGATTAAATTAGCCTATGAGTAGAGGGGTGAATATCAAGACTACGTTATCGCGATGCACGTACCTGCGTTATTTATTAATATGTCAAGTCGTTCTTCGGTTGCATTTATATCCGCAGAGAATTTCCTAATGGAATCGAACGATGCCAGATTCAGATGTTTTATGAATACATTGTGCGACCCCGTTTCTTCTATAATCTATCAAACAAAGCACCAACAGTTATAATTTTCTAATTTATCTTTATCTAGGGTGCTATAAAACTGAACTTATCTATTTTGATTCAAGCTTGAAAAGCTTGTCAGTATATTTCACAATATTTTCCAAGAATTATGGTTTTTGTAACCACATACTCGTATATATGTCACTTTGTTAGCAAAACAGCGTTTTGTGGATGGACATGTATATACATATAAAAACCGCTACAAAGGTATTGAAAACTTAAAATTAGCCTTTATTTAGTTTATCGGGCCTACATTTCGTGATATATATTATTGGTTGTTTTAGTCCTAGTGTGTGGCTTTGTGAATCCCGTCGGCAAACGTCACCAATATAAGGTGGGAAGAATAAAATTCTCACAAACAGCGTAGGATAGTCAAAATACCAAAGAGAAGCATGATTGGAAATTAAAACAAACAAAGCAAGACTAACTTTTTGCCTGGCTGATTCTGCTTTTTCTAAACTTCTGCAAGCAATTATAACTTTTGCTTTACGTTTTGCAAGATTAAGTGCTGTACTGAACCCGATGCCCGTGTTAGCACCGGTGATTAAAACCGTTTTTCCTTCGATTTCCAATTCTTTTGTCACCCATCCTTTTCTTACACTTTTAGTTTGTGCCATCGTGACTGCACACGAGTTCGCAGCGCAAAAGCAATGCATAAAAATGACACAGCAAGTAAGGTTAGCATATTGAGTGATAGTTTCTCCATACTAGAATATGTTTGTTGATCTAAGGTGAAAGCAAATATATTTCTTTAAATGTTTACTCTCCACAAAACCAAGCTTTGCAATGCATTTTCAGTTCTAGAATAGTGAATTTGAAATAATTTTGGTCTTTAAATTCAAAAGTGATTATAGTCCGGCAGATAAGGGGCCTTTTTGGGTCCAACCTTGTTTCCAGACATAAAGTTTTTTTTATTTGTGATTATTCATCTTGGGGTCATTGCCCATCATTTCTACATGAGTTTGCAGCCTTGAGCAATTTTTTTTACGGCTTGATATTTGTATTAGTGTTTTTCGTTAAATCGGTGCACCATAATGGCGCACAACCTGAACCCTAACCTGTTACAATACAGTTTGTGCGCCATTTTGGTGCACAAACTACGGAAGCAACAAATGTACCAGGAAATGAAAATCAATAACTTTTAGGTATTTTTTGAACCCAGCTTTGAGTTGCACCCATATATATGGAAATACTGTTGAAACATACGCGTAAAATAAAGAGTACTATTTCAAAATACGCGCTTTTGTTGCAAATAACAATACAAGCCTGCTAATGCAGTCGGCAGTGGTTCAAGTGGATATACACCCGGCGGAGAACAGTCAATTATTTGCTAGCAAGGATTGTTATGCAGCGGGATGATCACAACGATGCATTAAAAGGTAATGCAATCACGAGAACAAAAATGAGAAAATTGCTACATTTTATAGTATATTCCTGAGAAAGAATGTATTCTTTTGTTCCATGCCAATGCTTTTCAAACAACCAAAGACTCTCAACACTTTTGATTCTTCTCTTCTATAAAAATACATTGTTATTATATATTCGCATATTCTTCTGTTTTTCCGTGCTCCCAGACAACCGATCAGTGGCCTCCAAGGAGGCCGGGATCCCCTTTTAGGAAACCCCTTTAAACTAAAGGAGTCGACCGTGCTTCTCTTGCCTGTTGGCATGCTGTCCCTCGAATTCAGCTACAACAAAAAATTCACAAAAACGGGTTTTAGATTTTATGATTTCATTGATATTCTCGACAACGAATGATATACGGGTGGTAAAATGCCAAGGTATTCCAACAAAATGATCATGTTTTGCAACTTTTGCAACCAATATTTTGTATGTAACTTTGTTTGACAGAGGCCCAAGAGATCTAACTACAAATATTAAAAATGTGAGGCCAAAAAAGTTACACTACAACATATTCAAATGTGCTGTATTTACAATAGATAACAGGTTTACCAAAAAGCATTACATGAAAAATGGTAAAATAAAGATCAATTTAGCAATATCTACTTAGGCCTTGACGATATGCATCTGTTGATGATTTTATGTGTTCGTTTCGGAAGTTTAATGACAGAATTATTTGTGGTTGTTGGGGATGTTTTAAAGAAAGGTTGAATGGAAAAAAGTTTTCACAAAATGTCAAGGTTTGAGAGTAGTAGAGAAGTAGAAAAAATACTCCCATATTTTCTTCCTTTGATAACCACACCACAGAACTTCTCCGATAAATATACGCAGCAATTGCGGGAGGCAGAAATGCCATTGCCAGAATGGGATTTCATCGCATTGCAAACCAATATTAGCGATTTTTAGATATATTCGCGCATTCCCATCTGAAAAGCGTGGAAAAGATTAAACCTATCTACACATTTGAAAAACTATGTCAGATGAGCGTCATATTATCGAATATAAGTAAAGGAATAGTGCAATGGTAAAAAAACATATAAGGCGTAACTTTCAGTAGTATGCAATCAAATAATCTTATTGTAGAATATATATTCAAAAACGTTTCGTCACTCCAACCGCAGTCCGAAACTTTTTATCTCTGGCTGAGCTCAGATACCAATTGGCACCCAAGTAAACTGGTAAGAGGCACGCGATGAAGCATATAATATGGAGTATCCATCCCCCAGCTGTCATTTGAGTGGGTACTGCTGTTTTTATTGCAGATGATACTGATCTTTTTGTATTAAAGATTTACTGGCATCACCGATTTAAGGATGTCAAATGGTGGATATAAATAAACCAGTTGAAAACCAACACGCAATAATACAAAACTTACTTCCAACACGCGGTTTGAATGAATGAAAAAACTGAAACTAGTATTCTTTAGAACGGCATACAAATTATATGGAATAAAATCATACACAAAGGCTCGTCAAAAACCTATAGCTCAATAAACAAGTGGAATTTGATGCATGTGCGCAAAAATGTGCGCGTTACTACATACAACCGAAGCACGCAGGAAAATGTGTGTGATCTACTATAGTGATCAACAATTATGTTGGCATAACAGGTGCACATCTCGGTTTTGCATACGCATACCTTCTATCTCCACAAGGATATATTATTTGGCCAAAGTCAATGCTGCACCTGAAAGATCCCGGTTCTTCCAAAAGAAAACACGTTACCTATCGTTAGATACCAGTGTACGGTTTTACATGGCCTTGTTCGGAGTGAAGACGTGGTCGATAATTCCAATTCATTTCAACTAATAAAATATTTCCCACGTCCCTAAGCTTTAAACGAAATGCCCGCGGCAACACAAATGTAGTTTGAAGAGCGCAAAAGAAAGTGGCTAGATGCTGGCGATGGATCTTGGCTTATATTAGTGAAATGAACTACCATTTATCCTACTAACATTTCTGACATTGTAAGAAGATTCAATGTTACTATATATTCAAAACTAACCCATGTAGTTATGAAATAATTGTTTTTAACAAAAAGGTGCTCCCGAAGTATTCGTACCAGGATGGCGCACAAACTGAACATTGTACGTGTCCAGGTTAGGTTTCAGGATGTGCATCATCTTGGTACGAATACTTAAAATCCACTTAGAAAAAATTGCTCAATATTATATACTCCACACCCACCTGGGTATCATTATTTATGTCATCGACATATATATATATCTATATTTAATCTACATATCATAAATATATATATATTTATCCAAACAATAAAAAAAATATTATGTCCCAAAACAATGTTAAGGCCCGATTCTGCCGGACTATAACCCCTTTGTAATCTTCGCTCTGGAAATGTGTGAATAAATAAATATGAAATGAATAAAAGCTAAATTTCACGTTCATGCATTTGAAATAAGATATTAAGTAGCCTGCATTTAGTTTGAATTCTGCTAGGGCGTCGAAAAATTTTGTAAATGTGTTATAATAAATAAGTTCAATTCTGAAAATTCGGTTTTCTGTAGATAAAGATGATTTTTCCTTGGTTCAAAAACGCGTTTCGCAAACCATCCCCTTTGCAATTTCGCATTTATATAAGCAGGCTTCTCTACCATGGCCCATTATGTTTGATTTCACTGACTGTTGTTAGATTTTGTTTGTTGGTTTATAGTTCATGGGTGGTCGGGTGGCCAACCTGTTTTCGACCGCGATCGACTAAAATCGTCAAAATAGCTCGCAATCGATTGATCGGTAATAACGTCTTGCAAAAAAAACGAACGAGTACTGAATATATACATAACTGCACGTATAGGGCAACAAAGATTCGACCCTATCTGCGTGTCCACACTCCCGTGTTATTGAACACACGTTAACAGAGTGTAACTCCGATCACTACTCTTGCAGCGATAAAGAAAACCTTCGTATACTGCAAAAGTTATTGTAGGATCGCTTTTCAGTCAAGACACACGATGTTTGACATGTTCATTTCTAAACCTTGGCAGCGGAAGTCGCAACTTGAGCATATTTTTGGAGGGCGTCACAATACAATGAAGTTCGAGAACTACTAAGTCCTAGTCCAGGGGTGGGCAACCTTTTCCGGCTCGCGTGCCAAAATCGGCTAAATTTAACGACAAAATTCTTCCGCGTCCGGACCAAAATTAAAAACAATGGTTTGCTACTTTCAAAGCAAAATACACATTAATTCACCTTTTAAACATGTACAGATCGATTCACTATTCGGGAAAATATCATTCCGACAAATACGTTTTGACTTGTTGTTTTCATTTCGACTTGTTTACTTTTCTTATAATATATCAGTGAGACTTCTGCTGCTGCATTACCGCTGATAGAGATTTTACGTAGGGTTAAATTTTTGTAACTTGTGTTCTCCTTGCGGCCCCTAGAATTCGTTTCGCGGCCTCTTCCAGGGCCGCGGCCCCTAGTTTGGGAAGCCCTGGGATATATTGTAATATACAACAAACGACTATAGTTTTTAAGTATCAGGGCTTGCATCGGTCGTTATTTTCAGCAGTTTTTACCAGATATCTCCTCGCTTTTGTTTACACATGGTGCGATCTATTATCTCACGAATGAAAAATAAGTGTGAAGTTATTGTCGGCAATTGTAAATAAAAGCTGGAAACAAAACTAAAGAGCTTGTTTTCACATTATCAGTGCAACTAGCGGCTCCATCATCTTCGTGGGCCATATTCGATGCTATGGATGACAACGTCTGGCCATAGATTTTACATGCATTGTCTCTGGTCTGACAGTGAATTGAGTATAAGTATATAAGTTTTATGGTGTAAATGTCTCATATTCGGTTGAAGCTGACGTTTACTATTTAGTTACCGGTACTATCTTTATGTCCAGCAGCAAAACCCATTATATTAATTAAGGTTATTTCCTGTTACCGAATTCTGCAGGCCGCTTTGCCAACTGGCAAACGGATTTGTCGTAACTGTACTCATGACGTGGACGGCTTATGTTACGCTCGATTAATCGACACTGAAGCAATTTCACCACGGTTTCTGTTTTAGCTTGTGTTGCAGCTGACTGAGACGTTCCGAGGTTACAGTTTTTCAGTATTTCGTATTCAGTACTGTAACGTTGGTTATGATACTTGCAGTTATAGTCTATAGTTCTGAAGTTACAAACGCTTCCAATTTCTTAAATACGACATAGATTCAGTTTAAGTCCTTTCATACAGATACAGTCATGTGGCAAATTCACGCTAGTAATTTCCACCAGACGTCCCTGACTTACTTGGTTACCCTTTGTCATATTCTAGCTTTTCGTTGTGGTAATGTTGCTTTAAGTTTTAACATCACCGAAAGTACAATTTTTAGGTACCACTGGTATAACACAAATATGAAGGTAATCATATCAGCATTTAGGAAGGGTATTTTTGTATTTATAATCTAAACTGTTTAAAGTTCCAAATACCAATTTTGGATTCTTTTTAATGAAACGGGAACACTTTGTATTCAGTATTGCTGGACCGCCTGTCGCTCGTTTTATTAAGTTGAGGGCTCTTGGACTTCACCATTTCATACCATTGTTTCCATTTGTTTGAGCATTCATGTATCTATCAACAACTTCATTTATTAAGAGAGCACATCAATATAATATCCTTGAATTCATTTTACATAGATAAATTCAATATATATATATATCTGCGTCATAAAGGAATTTATTAAACAGTCAATTGGATCATGGGGAATCTGTTCGCTTCATTATTTTCATCACTGTTTGGACAAAAGGAGCGTCGAATTCTTATTCTGGGTTTGGACGGTGCTGGGAAAACTACAATTCTATATAGGTTACAAGTTGGAGAAGTAGTCACAACAATTCCTACAATCGGTTTCAATGTAGAAACAGTTGTTTACAAGAATCTCAAATTTCAAGTCTGGGATTTGGGCGGTCAGACGAGCATTCGTCCCTATTGGAGATGTTATTACAGCAACACAGACGCTATAATATATGTTGTGGATAGCGTTGATCGAGAACGAATCGGCATATCAAAACAAGAATTAATAAGTATGCTGGAAGAAGAAGAATTGAAAAAATCACTGCTGTTAGTATTTGCCAATAAACAAGACTGTGAACAAGCTATGTCACCGGCAGAGATTGCACAAGAGCTCGGACTTTCTAAACTGAGAGATAGGAAATGGCAAATTTTCAAAACATCCGCATTAAAAAATATTGGACTAGACACAGCAATGGAATGGCTTGTGTCTACGCTTCAATCAAATTAGGAATATCTATTTAATATAATTTTCTTCAATATATTAGCTTATATAAAAAAGCTAATGAATTAATGCTGTGCTAGTTAGATCACAATCCGCAACAGTCGGACCAATATACAAGCTGAAAAGAGACAGCAATAGTTTGTACGCTCTCCAGGAAATAAACCTCCCTGAACTTCATGCACGGTCCGCGCTTTCTTAAAACCAAACATTCTATCAATAACCATTATGATGAAATTGCCACTAATAATTAGCCTAGCTTTTTTTAAATGATTTGCGTTAGGAAAATATTCCAAAAAACAGACTAAAATTTGAGAAATTGGTTAATTCGCTAGCATAGTAATGTATTTTCGTTTTTGATCCTGGAATTTGTTTATATTTAGTCCGATGTATTGTATATATGTATTATATATTTGTTTGTGAATAGTCTATCTTAAATTTTTACGATACCACTATGTCCATTCTGGATGAAATTGAAGTCGTGAAGTCTATTTATTGTCAGCAAGGAGAGTTTGAAGCTATTGATCTGGAAAGCTCTTTATCTAAATCGTTTAAACTCAATTTGACACACGCGGAGGAGAATTGTCAACAACTCAGAATTACTTTTTATATATCTCACAAATATCCAGAAGTTGTGCCACATGTGACAATTGATTCACCAATGCTGACAAGAGAATCTTCCTCTGGACTGAACAGCGAGATGTCCAAGTTTGCGACAGAGAATAATCTTTTGAACAGTCAAATGTTATTAGACCTTATATTGTGGATTAAAGATAACGTGGCAAAATTTGCTTCTGGTGTAAATTCGAATAGACTTCAGGGTTGCGGAGATGAAGGAAGTCTTACTAAGAATAAAACGAAGGAAATTTGTGTGATACAGCTTGATCATATGCGCTCAAAAAACAATTATCTAAAAACGTTACAAAAATGGGCAACTCAATTACAAGTCCAGGGTGTTGTTTTATTTTACAAGCATCTCATTTTTATAATCTTGTACGGTAACAAGAATGATATTAAAGAATATTTAAAAAAGATGCGAACTCAAAAAGTTGATATTGATTCAGCTGGTCATGCTTGCTTTATTAAGAGATTCTTATGAAGACGACCTTGTACCATTTGAGGGCTTCCATGTTCATGAACTGTCCGAAATAAACGAGGTGGAAAGCCTGTTTAGTGAAGGATTCACGTCCATGTTGTATGACATACTTAGACCATTGCTTACTCGTGCATAAGAGTTCATTTAAATTCATTCATGGCTGTGAACAATAGAATGTGCTAATTGGTTGTAAAAATAAGGCCAAACACATGCTATGTTCACATTACACATTAAAATTTGTTGCTGTATTCTATTCTCGTCACATACTAGAAAACCACATTTTATCTGTTTTGAAAATCTTATGGCTATGGGTATAATATCCAATATTAGTTTCACAATGTTCATACACTTGCTTTGGCTGTTTTTACCATATTTCTAAGGAACCCGTTTGGTATTTATTGTAAATGGTGGCTCGTCATTTTTTCATCTAAGGGATTGGCTTGTTTTAGCCTGCTACCGCATAGCTCTCTTATTATCTCCACTGAATTTGCCACTCACAGAATGTGTATTTTTACCACCACTGCACATTTGTTTGAAATTTTATATATACAACATGGTACATTATGGACACAAGAATTGTTTCTATCATACGAAATAAAGAGTATAATTAGATATTGATGACTCTTGATAGTTTTTGAACTCTGTTTAGCAGCAAGTCTCCTTTCTTTATTGTCTCCTGATATTGCCAGTTCTTGCTATCAGGTCTGTTGGTCTCAACGATCCCACCGACCTTATCAATTTTGCAATGCAGTCTCCCAACAGCTATAAATCTTGACAACTCCCTGTGTAAACGAGATGAGATTTTTTTTATTTGCAAGAATTTGGTTGATTGTATCAGGGTCACACTCACTCGGAAACAGAGGACGCTGATCTCTGAGCAAAGTATCAGAGGGCTCGTGAGACTATATAGATGTAGATATTTTTTTGGAAGGACAAGTTCAGAAGAACACAGTTCATTATAAGATGCATAGCGACATAACATTGCGTGAATGGGAGTTAGCAGTTCAAATGCCAAATACAATTCATACTAAACTGATATACTCGATAGATCGTGATATTTATTTACTCATAGGGCAATGCAAACTGTCCACATTTCTGCTGCTCGTATTTGAATCAAAAGCAGAGTCCATGACTCAATTCAGACAGACAAGGATTGAAAATTTTCAAGTACTTAAGCCCTTAGTTAGCGACATTCCAATTTCTAAATGGAAGATCAAGAAGAAATTTTTCTCGTATGCAAAGTAATAACAATATCCACATCTTGTAGCTTCCCATTGATGGTACAAAGTTCACCCCATAGCTAATATAAAGATTCAGGTAAACATACCTATCAATGAATTCAACAGTAACTCCAAATGCTTCAGCCATATATTCTAATGTAAGACTACGATATGATTCAAGGAGTTGTGTATAAGCGAGTATTCTCATCTCACGAGTGTAATATCTATAATGAGGATTCAGCAATCTATCTCTCTTCATTTCCACCTCAACTTGAGCTGTAATATTCAAAAATAAATTAATTTCACTTCTTTAATAAAAAGATAATATGAAATGAATTTAAGACATTTACATCCTTATTCCAAAATCACATCACACAGAGTATTATATTACCCAATGAAAAACAATTATTAAGAATTCAAATTTTCCATGTTCTAAGTCATACCTAGACGCTGGAAAAACTCTGCATAATGACAATCATACAATGAGAACAGGTAACTTCTGCATTCCTTATTGCTATGCAAAACTTCCAAGATTTCTGAACCTTTTACAACCTGAATTGATTTTTGAAAAGTTAGTTCAGTTATATGATTATAACCTGCAAAAATAGGGTAGACGATGGTTCAATTGCTAGTAATTACTCTTATTAACACTTGGCCCAATGTCCTAACTATAGGCTTGAATTGAGTTATCAATATATGTTGTTAATATGTACTGAAGTAAATTGTAGTTAAGTTTCACATAATGACATAAAACAAGATGCTAAATCATCACTGAGTAGTAAAGTTGTGCATTAAATAGAACTCACTTTTTCTCTTAACTCTGTTCTATCAAGAGCAAGCATACTGATGTAAACAGCATATGTGACAAAGCATTTGTAATCCATAAGTTCATAGGATGTGAATGTTGATACAGTATCCAGAAACAAATTTGCTGATTTCTTGAAATCTCGAATCGCAATACAATACAAACCTTCATAAACTTTTAGTCTGTTTCGCCGATCCCAATCACCACCTTCCTCTATTAAACTGAAAAACAATAAAAGTTGGTATAGATCGTTAACAATCGTTATCACAAACACTTATCATAAACAGAAATAAATTGATGTATCGTGGTGCGAAAATGTTGACATCTGTACCTTGGTCACACTGTCTATCAATCCAGGATGTAAAAAATGAAGGCAGGATCGCTAGATACTTGCTACTTGTACATGGCTTTGTTCCGAGAGAAAATCCAAATTATATATTACCTAAGGACCAATAGTGCATGCCACAAAGGGCTTAATTCTAAACTAAAATGCACAACAAATATATTTCATACATTTTTGCCTTCTCTATGCTCTTGGTAATCAGATCATGATCCATAAAAAACAATCCCAGTCGAATTCTGTAGAAAATGATGTCAAGCTTGTGTCCAAGTGCAATGGTCTTATCATATGCTTTCTGGAAAACTTCGAGAGCGTCATCCTGAAAGTTATTTGAGGAAAGGCATAAATATATGTAATTAAGACTAATTTTTACGAGCATGTCTTTACTGTGCTATTACATATTGTTGAAAATCATGAAATTGTAGACTAATATTAGAACATTTAGAAGCTATATTGAATTGATGAACAGCTCATTTCTAAACCTTAATTGGAAGTGAGAGTCCTGACTTTGCATGTTTTTATTGATATTGGAGTCGCATTTTCAAACCCCCCAGAGTCCGGAATCCAATTGAATATTTCAGAATCTGGATTGCAGATTTCAAACATATAATCAAAATGAATAAAGTTGACTAAGCATTTTCAGCAAACAAGGACGGCTTGCATGTGACAAAGTTATTGTAATCAAAATTTAAACTTTCTTCAACTCGGAATCGAGAGTCTGATTTGTTTTTCAATTGAGTCGGGCAAAAATGATCCCAAAATCCACAGCCCCAGTCGACTGTTATGAATAAACATTCTAGGGAATTGTTGTTACCTTGTTACCAATTTTGCACAAATATTCAGCCTTTGCAAGTAAGGCATCTCTGACTTCACTTTCATATTCCATTTCTTCAGTTTCTGTTATTTTATCTTCAAGTTTTTTCAATGTCTTCTCATTTGTATCCTTCAATTTCTTTAAAAGTGTATTGTTAATTTTCATTCCAAGTTCTTTGCAAACAATTTCATAATAGGGTGCCATCTCTGTAAAAAAGAAAACGTCTAAATTACACATCTTGTGGCATATTAGTTTAGTATCATTCAAGCATATTGATGATTATTGGTTGGTTGGAAAAGATGGTTCTGTATAAACTGTTATTTCAAAATAGGAGGTAATTCTACATTTAGGTTGGCACCATAGTAAACAAGAAGTTAAAGTCGGCCAACGTCAAGTTTGAAAAGAATGAATTTCGATTAAATAATGGTCATTGATACAATACAAACATTAATAATACAAACGTGTCACGACTCATGAACACATTGTTCATATATTAGTCAATCAATCTTAAACTGTATAATCGTCATGTTTTCTCAAACTTGAAACAAATCTTAAATAAAATCATAAATGAGTTTTCATGAGTTTGAGAACAATAATACTGTAATAAAATGCAATAATATTCAGATAGAAACACCAATTCTTCTTAAAAACCAATTTGAGGAATTCATCCTAATTTTAGCAAAATAACTTCTAAAACTTGCCATTTGCTTCGATCGCTTCCATAAATTGTTTTTTAATTTTTGTTTGCTGGATTTCCTCATCGTCCGACGTTAATAAGAACTTCAATTGCGCGACTTCCAAGTCTGGAATCTTTTTCAGACCTTCTTCTTCTAAATTTTCAACCGGCATTATGTGATGTAAATGTATAAAATACTGAAACTAAATAAAGACGGATTGAACTGAAACGCTACAGATAGATCAAATAAGACAAACACACACAAACTCAAGAAATGAGCTGATTCATATAATATGATTAAGCGATATTTTGATGGATTTATTACGTCATATGAATTAATGTTAATGTCTGTAACCACAATATTTTATTCAAGAAAAACTTTCAAAATATTTTTATGCATTTATTTCAATATTTACATACATATTGAAAATTATTTTCCGAAAGTATTTACTTTTCGTTGTAGTATGGTACTAGGTGTCACAATAAGTTGTTTCTTTTTTATTTCAGAAACGCATGTTGCAACCCTGGTGAAAATCGAGCGTGGTTTTGTTTCGGGAAATTTCTTCGCCTCTTCTGTTGAGTTGTGTTTGACCTGCCGCATCGCGTTTTACGTTGAGGTGAGTTTTTTCATAAGTGACTTTATTTTAAGCATAGCATGAATCATTCAGCACCGGTACTAAAACATACATCTGCAATTTTACGTGGGACTTCTTGATCTAGCACTGCAGCAGGGCTCTTACCGTACGACCTCTGAATCTTCTAACTTAGTGCAATCACATTTCTATCATTTTATGAATTTAACCGTGTTAACACTAATGCACTATGCCAATTGGCCACAGAAAGAAATTTCCCTGGCCCAACTATCACTTGCTATGTCCGTATGTTTCATGGTTTTGTATTTGCCATAGTATTACTAATACTGTAAAAAAATTTAGTTCTTTATTTTCACTATAATAGAATACTTATTTATGTACACATTTTAAAATTACACAAAAGCGGGGTGCTACTTGTGCATAGTACTATCTAGGATTCATTAAAGATTGATTAAATAAAGTATTTTTTGTACATAGCAAGAGGGGAATGAAGAGTTCCAAAAAAGCGAAGGGAGGAATTTGATGTAAAAAGACCAAGAAGTTCGTGCTGAACACTTAGGATTCGGCACTCCTAATAAAATATGGTTTCACAGCACTTCTTATCTTATCGTTTATCTTTCAGAAAATCCAAAATGGCAGCAAAAGCTTTCAAGAAATTCCTGCCGCTATTTGACAGAGTGTTGGTTGAACGAAGTGCACCAGAGTTAACGACAAAAGGAGGAATTGTTCTTCCTGAAAAATCTGTCGGCAAAGTTTTACAAGCTAAAGTGGTTGCAAAAGGTCCAGGCACGAAAGACAAAGATGGCAAACTTATTCCAATGAGCGTTGACGTTGGTGATAGTGTTTTACTTCCAGAATATGGTGGCACAAAAGTCTTGCTTGATGACAATGAATACCATTTATTCCGTGATGGAGATATTCTAGGTAAATTTGAGAGTTGAAAACTGCTATTACCCATGCAAAAACTGAAATTTTCCAATCATGTCTGGAGCTACCATCCTTGCAAAAAAACTGGCAGAGCAGCAGTGTTTTTGAATAATTACCTATTGTAATATATTATCGTAATTCGCTGATACATTTGTGTGTATACTGCCGCTGTGGTCATTAAATCTTTCTACCAATTCTTGTCATATCTTGATGTTGCGGGGAACAGTTAACGATGCCGGTTGCAAATTTTGTATCATTTTAGAAGTAAGTCTTCTATATGCACATATGACAGTCTAGAACAGGCGTGGGCCAGGGGCCAAAAATTTTGCTCATTTAGACTGGCAAGCCATGTAAGGGTGATGTGAAAAGTTGAAGAGTGTTACAAAAGCAAATTAGGAAAACAATAAGCCTTTTGCGAAAACTAAACGTTACTTGAGCTATTTTTCAGATAAAAGATCAAAATTTGGTTTTAGTTTCGTTGCGTAGCATCGGGCGGGCCGGATTTGGCCCATGTCAGGTCTAGACCTTTTTTCGTTATAATTGCGGGCCAATGGTGTGCAAGAATGCTCAAATGAACATCATTAGGACCAACTTAAGCATGAACCCACACAAGGTCTTTGAGGAGCAGGCATCCATTTTCACTAAATTATTTTCAAAATGCCCAGACACTTTTATTAAATGTGAGCCTCAAAACATCACTGCAACAAGATGCCACTTAGAATTATTTGATACCACTGAAAATTCACAAGATAGATTTATTGAATGACAAGTTTCAAAGAAAAATACATTTCATCGAAGAAATCACTGATCAATTGCACTTGGAATATGGCATCAGGAAACAATTTAAACAGCTTATATTATTTTTTGATTTCATTCTCGCGCAGCTGAACATCTTAAGCTTTTCGTCCCAATCGCTTCTTTAAGATAAGAACACACATCAATGTGCGGAAAACAAGATGTAGCAAAAAAGACAAAGAATAAACTACTAAATTTTTACAAAGAAAAAAGATGAGAAAGTTTCAAATGTTAAATCAATAGTGTGCTACACATGTAGCTTCATCTAAGCTAATTGAAATAGGGGTAGCAATATCTGTAGTATTTTTTCATGCATATTTCATTTTAAACTTCTGAAAACTTCAATACTATATTCCCACTTAGCACAAATGCAATGTAATAATCCATGCCCAACTTCTTCAGACATACCAAGGTAAGTTGTCGAATGACACACCTGCTACTTTTCTCAGAGGTCTATTAGACATGACCATGGCACATAGAGCAGATAAATATTATAATAATATTAAGAATGTATTAGTTTGACAACAATGAAGTCCATGTATAATAGCAAATAAAATTGATCATATTATTTAAATGCTGTTTCAGTGGTATGAAAATAGGATTTCCAATTGTCAGGTTCGGTTCATCTCTGTCCAACTCTGGGCATTTATCTCTCATCACAATAAACATTCCCTGAAATTTTAAAAAAATTATTCTTTTTTATGTAGTTTAATAAATGATTTTTGATTTAGTAAAATTTAGCTAATAGTTGGAAAAAAATCATGGCACTCTGTGCTAAAATTAGTTCTAATACAACTTGTAATGTAGCTTTTTGCTGTACTCAACCAACCACATAGTTGGGAATGTGATGAAATGTATATAGAATGATGCATATATAATTAATGGTGCGATTTCTGGCTGCTTTCTCATTTCTATTGATAATATAATAGTAATTGAAGTCTATATTTCTGACTAAAACTAAAAAAGAATTAACAAAAGATTAAGGAAAGGTATTGGCCCAAGTTTTTGTGATCAAAATCTCGTTTTTCCAGAGTTGGGACCTAGATTCCAAGTTGACACTTCCTTCAGTTTAGAGTCAAATTTTGAGCCAAAAAGCCAAAATTTGGATTCATATGGTGTCTATTTACTCAAGAATCCCGACTATAACATTCAAATTGGAAATATTCATTCGGTTTAATGTCTGGATTCTTCATGTTAATACAATTTATACTTACAATATCTTCATTCTCAGTATCAACAGTAATCAATAGCATCATGAAATAAAGCTTAGGATTCAATATTCCCTGCAATTAAATATAAGGTTGTTTTGATCATTTTCATTTTTAAAGGAACTGATAGCTGGATAGCCGTAATGACGACTGTCAATGCATTACCTAATATAAAACAGCTTACGAATAGAGCAGAATCTATTGCGATCCCCAAAAAGCAGTAATCTACTATGTTCTTAACGGCCATGTACTTCTTGTTTGTGAAATTTACCCCGATTCAGGTCAAACCTATGTCATGTTGAAAACCTGTGATTTGAGGAAACCATGTCCCAACACTTGATTTATGTACTCAATTCATGTTTTCCTTCCAAAGAATGATATAAAAATAGAAAAGAATAATGAAGAAATAATACTAACCAAATATCTTTTCGTTCCTTCAGAATTTGTGTAAAATCTGCATATTTGATTGAATTTTGAAAGCATGCGTTTCTGAAGTCCAATTGCCCACTGTATTCCCATTGTTTCGATATTACACAGATCATGTCCACGAAAATCCATATTTTGCAAAGGAACTTTTTGACAATGTTTCAATAAATGTTCAAAATCTTCAACAGGAAGCATGGAAGTCTTGTTTGGAGACTAGGTAACAAAAGATATGAAAAATAATTGTAAACATATGGGAATAAGAGACTGAAAAAGCAGGGAGCCAAGATAGTAAAATTTTATAATCAGAAGTTTTTTCTGTCAAAATCTCATCCTGAAGTTGAACTTTTTAAAACTCAAACTAGAGCACAAATTAGGATTGTTTACCCAGTTTAATGAATAGATACTAGGCATGGACTATGAAATCTACGGGAAAATTCGAATGTATAAAATTACCGTATGATAATTGAGCGAAGGAAAACATTCTCGTTCTACAAAAATACAATCAAATTCACCATAACAAGATATCTTGTTAAACTGATTGGAAAAATTGGAAGAAACTTCACTAAAGAATAAAAATGTGTTGCTCACAGGTTTATCCATGTAGACTTTATCCCATAGTTGATTTCTGTAGCATTGTATTTCAGCAGAAGCACAAATATTTTTGAGAAAATCTTTCAATCGACTGATTTCACATTGTACAAATGATGGTAGGCCTGAGAGAAATAAACGAAACTTAAACTGAAATGTTCTAGAAAATATGTCCAGATAAGTAAGATTTTTGTCCATAATCAAATGATTAGGAACTTTGAATGTGATAAATAAAAAATAAAACAAACCAACAATATGATTTAATAGTTTTACACTGATTTTTTAAATATGAATGCAAGTGCTTTTCTTGTTATAGTTGAATGATGTATGTCTGAGGAAGTCTGACTTTGGTCAGACGAAACGTTACAGAAATATATTTGTGTCAGTGTGAATCAAGACTCTTCAATCACTCAGAATATATTTCCATTTGGCATGCTGCCATTAGATCAGACCATAGAAAGGTGAAGAAAAAGATTGGCAATAATACCAGGTCTCGACTTATGTTTTTGTTATATTTATATACTGCTCCTTTAAAGTTTTCTTTCGATGCGTGATTGTAATATGAAAACAAAATATGCTTTTATGCGTTGTTTTGCACCTTCACCGAGAACATGACTCGGAATAATCATGCAGAATGCTAGAATGGGTCTTAAAGAAAAAGAATACTTCAAGTACATTCAATAATAGGCCTATCAATTTTTTCCACACTTGTGGTGCTAAGGGAAAAATGGTTTTTCAGGACATCCAAAAACCATTTCACATAACCTATAATGACCTATGATTGGACAAACCTTCTTCTTGTAAAGCAAATTTATCTTCATTTGTAGATCTCACAGAATGTCCTGTGGAATTCTGCATTTGTAAAAACTCTGTTGCTTGTCTTGGTGGATCTTGTGGATTACGTCGAATCCCAAGTGGCAAGGTACCTACATTAGGCATTGATTGTCGTCTTCCCTGAGATATCAATTTTCTTTTTATGAGACTTGGTGGTCCAGGGGTATAGAAAACGTTTTCTTGGTTATATGTCGGCGAAACTATCGATTCCGTCGGTGATTTTGTTTTTGCAAATGTTTCTCTCGCTTGAGCATTAATATTAAATTTTCTCGAAGAAAGAGGCGATAAATGAATAGCTTCTTTTTTCGCAGAATTTGTCGGAGTTGTGGCCTGATTTGCGAGTTTTTGTAGTGAAGACGTCGATTGAGAAGATGTAGGACTTTGTCCTTGTTGTTTGACATTCAAAACTGTGCTGGGATAAGGTGCAGGTGACATTGTTTTGTCAGTTGATGGAATTTTTTCTTGGCTGGTACGAGTGACTAAATTTGAAGATCTTCTTCTTACAGGAAAAGTTAGGTGAGGACGGCCCTCTGAAATAATATTTATAAAATGCTACAAAAACTGAGCACTAACTATTTTGGAGATTGTTCTTACGTATCATATGGATTTTAATAGGAAGACAATGGATGTTTCCACAAGCATCTACCTTCTTGTTTAGTTCCGTCGCATTGGTTAGTGAGCAGGATGCCAAAGGTCAGTAACAATTAGATTGTTTTCATAGTTTCGCAAGTTTTTCATTGTGTTTCCAAAAATTTACCTAGTTATAATTCAGTAAAATAAATGGCCATTTCGTATTCTGAGGAGATTTAGTTCAGGTGCAGTTACCAAAAATTAGTCCCGGAATAGCAAGACTAGATTAGTTAACTATTTAATGACAGAAGGTGAAATAATTTGAATAAAATGGTGGTTATGAACATGTAAATTAGTTTAAATGAAACTTGGGCGAAACGCTCTCAAAATAAGGATCAAAAATTTTGCAAAGGTAAAATATAGATAAACTCTTGCAGTATCATGTTACTATTACTGCGTGCCTAACATTTCGCTTTAACTATGTTAGCTTTTGACTATGTTAGGACATGCAATGAGGCAAACTTGGACCAGTCACAGTAACCATCAACTTACCCATGCGATCGAACCTCGGAAATAGATGTCTTCTGTTTGTGAATAAGACAAAGAAATTTAACTTGACTTTCTTTTCTTCTGTTGAATTCAAATCATGCCAGATGACATACCCAACATCATACATTCCATGTTCATCTTTATTGCAAGACGTTGAATGAAATTGACCCCATATTAAATGAGAGGATACCTGCAAAAACGACATGAATGGAATGAATGAAATTCATTTTGTCTGCTTTGGAGTCAATTATGATTGGACACTGTGTGGGTCTACATATTTATTACATCCTGTGTATCAATGCTTCCCAACCTTTTTCACACGCACTTTCATTGCCATTTTTTCTGTGCGTTCCACAATGAGATGTTAATATAGGAGAAAAGAAATAATATATCCCATGCAATTGAATGCAAAACTTGATCTTGCATAATGAATATTATCAGATCAGGTCAATAACGACGCATAATTCTAATTGTTACATTGTTGCAAACATGTAATATAAATTTAGCGCTGAAATTGTTGTTTCATTTTTGTGTACATATATATCCGTGTATCAGCTACAAACACCCTGTATAGAACTATAAAAAGCAACCCTATATGCCTACCAATGTAAAGATCAATGACAAAAGGTAACAATTAAAATAGCTGAGCTACTAGTCTTACCAAGGCATGTTCGTTTTTAGATACTTCATTGTCAATTAATTTCAATGTTTTGAATCCATGATGAGAAGCTTGTTTTCCGACAACATATTCATATAATTCTTCTGCAGTAACGTGAGAACATGATGCCTTCACCACTCCTTGATATATTTGATTGAACACAAACGCTGTCAAAGAGATAATATATTAGAGAACCTGATACAATTAGTATTGTGAAGTGTATACAATTCGTTCTTTTACAACATAAAAAAGTCATTCAAGTGAAATACTGTGCAGTGCCAAGCTTGAATATGCACAGAACTTCAATGGACATTTACTTCGACCCCAAGCAAGCAAAAGCAAGCCCCCCTAGGCTTCAGGAGATTCCAACACAATCATATCATTATCTTTTTTTTTCATTTTGGTTAGCATTAATTATGACCATAATTGTAATGATGTATCACACAACTTTTACCTCTTGCACCATTTGTGCATGGTAAAGATGGTACAAGTGGGATAACATATTTGAGAAACAACTTAATTAGCAGTCGTCTCAACATTGACATGAACAGTAATTTCTACGTAGGAAAAGTTTAATATCTTGTGCTTGGTAAAAATGGTGCAAGAGGTTCAACTGGTATAAGCGGAACTAGTGTGACACATCATCAATACACCACTTTGTTAACACTAACATGAAAGTTCATTTTTGTGTAGATCTTCCTTTGGTAATTTTAAAACAAACAAAGATTGACTTACATGGTGGAGTCTGGTAATATTCGATAAAATCTTTGAGTAAAGACACGATATGATATCCAGGTTTAATAGCTGTCTGACGATCTTGCACATACATTTGTATATAACGAAGATGAAAATCGTAGGTGAATGAATGAAGGTGGGTGTCATCCTGGAATTATAACATGAAATCATTACTCAATTTATCTAACAAGATTCAGCTGTACATTATGCATAGGTCAGGTTTAGTAATTTACAGCGATTTTTAAAACCAATAGATTCTTTAAATACACTCAAAATTATAAAATTTAAGTCTGACAACTACAGAAAAGAGTAAACCTATTGAAGCCATATTTATCTCAACAAATTCTCTCTGTTTTGAATGTGTTATTCATGCATATATCTCAAATGAACATGAATTTCTTTTAATATAATCCTTAGAAATTTAATGATGATCCATATCCAATTTACATTTTAACAAGAACAGCGATCGTTTTCTATCACTTGTTCATCTACCTTGCTACCTAGGATATATTGGATTGCATATTAATTGAGCAGATCAAATAAGATTTTGAAAAAAGATCAAGTTAGTTATTGAATTATAAGCTAAAGCAGCACATAATATAGGAAATAAAAATTTGAATCATACCTTCAAGTGTTCACAATCATTCAGAAATAAAACAGTCATTTGTTGATTTAAATTTTGTTGATATTGTAGTCTTGACGCTTCAATAACGTGCAACTGAAACATATATCATATCGAATTTGTATTACAACTGAAACCAAACAATAAAAAAAGAAAATAGAAGGGCAAAAAAAATCTAGATTTACCTTAACAGAGAAATTCCTTCCTGCACATGATATTTCAACAATTACAATTCCTCCAGCTGATACTCGATATAAACATATTGGATGTTTTGACTCCACTTTTTTCTCAGGCACATCTATAAAAAATTCCATAAGCCCATTAATCCCATTTCATACCATGATTCGATTTCCAACCATTCAAAAATGTAGGGAGAATGAAAATTTGAAGCGAATTAAGAAAAAAAGGGTTTATACTAATTTTGTATATGTTAGAGCTCTAGTTATGTGTTAGATTTTCAGACGTGGAAAAAGGAAATTCTTTTTAATGCAAGTTTTATTATTATATATGAAGATGTAACCCACAGAATATGGATATGCTCCTGATGTGTTACAAGTGTTATTTACGGAACTTCCAAAGCTTGACATCGGCAGAAAAGTTTCCAGAAAAAAAGTAGTGTGAAAAAATTTTCATAGAGAAAACAACCTTCAATTTTCTGTTTTGTTGATTCCTGTGTTCTTGATTTTTTGTTCTTTGAAGCAGATTTATCAATAGAACTCGATTTCCTTATCAATTTATCTGTTCTTCCTGTCTTATCATCTTTAACCTGAAATATATGTACAATGGATATGAAATATTTTTCATATCACTAAAATTATGTCCGGTAAGAGATTGAAATTCGAAAAACTGGATGCATGTAGATAGAAGCTAATACACAAACCACATTTAAAAATTAATAATCGGTAAATCCACACACGATAATCTTCTTCAGCTGATATTAAAAAAGAAATCAGATTTGACATTGCACACATATTTCCGTAAAATGGTAAAAAATTGACCATTACATAAATACAAAATTGAAATCAGTAGTGATACTTCAATTTCTCCAATTACTGAAAACAATAATGAATCAACAAGGAAACAGCCAGGATTCTCCGACGGGTTGGTTATAAAATTTCTATGAGCCAAGTTGGATCGTAACAACTAGTGTGTTTGGTCAGAGGCCGGTAAACGTGGTGGTTTCAATAGTCTTGAGATTCTAAAAAACGTTTCAAGCTTCGAAGAGTTGTTTTGGATGATACAGAAAAATCACCCCCTTCCTCCCTGGCTACAGCTCGTGAATCCTAACATATGCAATATAAAGATTTCCAAACATACCATAATAAAATTCATGCTCTGCCAGTATTGTACATAATGCATCATGAGTGATCTTCTTAGTTCTTCAGTATCATATCTCGTGTCATCCAAACTAAAAATTAATATCTTAGAATTACTCTAGTGTTTACAAGTGTTACCAAGGGCAGTTCTCATTCCTTACAGTAATTCCGTTAATGTTGCTAGGTCACAAGGATGTCACAGTGATAATTTCTTAGGTTACAGGCAACTTCATAGAAATTTTGGCGCTCCAGAAGTGTGCTTACAAATATGGAGGGAACTAATTTTGTTCGCCTACTTTACATCAAGTTGTGTAAAGGAACGGAAGCATATGGGCAGGGAATATATTCACTTTGCTAACACAGACAGTCCCTGAACTTGTATTAGACCTGAAATAAGGAAAATTGGAATAAAATTATGGCCTAACTCTAACTTGGTACACACACTACGGGAGAACTTGATTACCTACCTTTCTGATACCAGTTGAGATAAATTTCCTTTGGAACCTTTGTTTGCATTTTCCTTCTGTGTTGAATTACTCCGACTTCGTGATTTTGCATCTTCATATGATTTTCCTTAATATAGAAACAGATTAGTAGTAACAGAACAATCAGAAATAAAAAGAAAAACGTCGATAAAAGCGCAGGGGAATTAGTATCAATGAAAAGATTGCTGCACTTGCTGGAATAACCCAGATATGCAGCAAGCCATTTGAATAGTTAGATATTGTAAATTTTTTCCTTGCAATGAATTCTAAATTCGAACAAATTTGCAACAAAATCTTGACATAATTCAAAATTCACTCCGCAAAACTTGATAGAAGATAATCTTCAAAAAATGCCAAGCATCTCACAATTTCATTTGCATGAAATCCCATTATTTGACAACACCTATTCCAATAAAATTCATTTTAAAATTTTTCCAAAGTAATAAAAACATTTGAAAAACCTAGGTTTTACTTCTCATCGTTTAAAAAGAGTTTTCTGATCTGTGCCAAATATACCAAAAATGAAAATACCACTCCGAATATACTACAATCTGTGATACTTGGTAACAAAGTGGTTCTACCTGTGAAATCTCCAGATTTTCTCATTACACCAGAAAGTCTTTTTTGTCGTTTAGATACTTGAATATCTTTCTGGTCAGGAACAGGAGTTTCATTTTCCATAGATGGTTTTCTTAATTCCAAAATTTGTTTTCGCCAGTGCGGATTGAAAAGCATCGGTGATGTTACGTGATGAATCACACGCGAATGTCGAAGCAAAACCTTCAAATTATAAGAATAGTTTGAATACAAACCAGAATTTTAAAAAGTTCAAACGAAACTTTTACTTATAATGAATGCAGCTTCCAATACAACAATTTTATTTGAAATGATTCATATCGAAAAATATGTTTTTAAAAAGTTAAATAATCAAAGTTTTTGTATTGTGTGATTGTTCAGTCACTCCATATTATTAGGTGCCTATACGAAGGTTACTATACTAGCTTGGCAAGGAAACTCATTTGCTAAATGCTTTTTTTCCGAGACTGTATTTTTTGGATCCTATTTTGCATAACTATTCTTGTGGCACTATTGAACTAAATTTTCTCACACCTCACTGGCATATCTGACACAAGAATACAACTATACATGGCTCTTGAGGAATCAGATGCCACTTACAACTTACTTTATCAGTACTCTTTCTACTTTCACTTATTAAAGGCTTGCTTTGAACAAACTTGCAAATATTTTGTATATTGATTTCCAAATCTTCAAGCAAACATGTTTTTAACTCTTTTGATAGAATATGTTTAGGTGATGGATATCGTGCTAAGCGTTAGGAATACACTCGCATCCTCTGATTATCCTGCACGATTTTGCAGGTTTGAATTCCATGCAAGGATAATTATGTGCGACAAGATTGTTGGAGTCCTCGTCGCTGGAGAGTGGTTTACAAAACCGCTCGTCGGTTACAGCTTCCTCCACCATCAAGTCATGATTCTGAAACAAATAACTGGCTAACTAATCCCAAACTCTCCATGAATGGGAAACTGACGAGAGGTCGTCACTTAAGCCATCTTATCACTTTCCTCTCCCCAGGATAAATATGTAAATCCTATTCCATCTTATCCTATATATAATGCAGAGATCAAATTGAACCAATACTGTATATGGATATCATTGAATTCTACGAAAGAGTCAGAGTGTACCTGTAGTACTTCCTTAGTGATTGAAACATTAGAAATAGAACCAGGTCTTTCTCTCCAGTTTGAAAATACTCTGAGTAAATGTTGTTGTTCCTCCCCTCTCTGGAATAAGAAATTAATTTATTTAAAAATAACCTCACAAAGACAATAAAAGCAATATGATGACCCTCATAATTGTTAATGAGCTTGCACTGGAGCTGATTACCGATATAATGATTTTGAAAAAATCATACCACCACTCAAATTTCTTGGCGTTGCAGTTAATGTTAGGCATATCGTTATCAGGGAATTTTTTACAAGGCCTTGTTCGTAGATGAACCACAATTATGCGTCATATAAAAAAACTCAGTTTCGACCAGTTGGTACTCAACAAATGATGAAAGTTCAGGTTCAGAGTTCTTTATTTTATCTATCCCTTCTTGTTTTGGATTGCAGTACAGTCAACCCTGCATCACACTTTTATGAAATAAAATTTTTATACCTTTTTCAAATTAGCTTTCATTTCCAAATATTGATGAGCATATTGTGTTGCAACATCCATGTCTTTGTTAGAATGAGTAATACAAAGTGGTTTGACAGGTGTGTTGGAAAGATATGCTTCGTTGAAAAACACTCTCCTGAAAATAACAATTTTGAATGTTAAAACATGATACGTTTCTAAAAATTAGGTAAAAAGAGGGAAAAATGACAACTTTTTGGTAAATTTTTTTCATCAATTATTTAATAGTGTTGAAACATGGGGCTCCAAATATTCAAACGTATTTAGAGAAATTTCACATTATAGAAAGCAACTTTGAGGTCACTTCACAACTGGTTACTGGAGTGGAGGTCATAGTAGATCATATATTGGATGTTTCCCCCAGCAAGGATTTTCTTGTATATTTATGTAACCATAACCAATTTCTGCAGTCGCTCAGACACTTCTGTCGCACAGACATATTCAACATGCTTGTAAACATTGTCTCGTTTTCATAGTTTTGCGTGTTATTTGTCAGTTTTCAGTTATGTTTCCAAAAAATAATTGTAAATTGAACAACTTAATTATTATTACATCTTCCGAGGAGCTTTAGTTTAGTTGCAGCAATGTAAAATTAGTATTGCAAACGCTGCAATAGACTACGAATATAACGATGCATACTTGTTTGATTTTGATCTTCGTTGTGATTGTAATTCGTTATCTGATGGTAACTTTGAATTGATAAGAACCAAATCAACATCCTTAACATCTTGTGTGAATGAATTTGTATGAGAATCACCTGAGAGAATTAAGTATAATGTTTCCTTGATATTATTAAATAACTCAAACAAGGTTTTTGACAGATCTGGTTCGTATTATATATTCTTCCCTATTTCGAAGAGCCATAAAAATCCTAACTGTTCATGTCCTGTTTCATTCGGGATTTTGAGAACAAGGACGGCAAGGGGAAGTTTGAGGGTCGACATCCCTCGCTTTTGTACGGTAAAAACAGAATTTAACAAACATTTTTATGCATCATATATAGCAAATTTTTGTAGTTTGAAATGTTCTTCACACCCTCAAGATTCTTAAAACTTACTTTTTCCTGACTTGCTAGCTGTTACAGTCTAACTTGGCAATATAAGCAATATAAATTAACATATTTAAGATCAGCTTGAAAATAACTATGAATTAAAGAAATATCACACGATACTTGCTATTTCCTTGTACTTTCTGTATCGTATATACCACTTTAAAAAGAATTAAATTCGTATTTGAAATAAAATCAGATGGGACACAACCTGAATACTATTTTTCAACATAACAGTATATTCCTTGCAAATGGCTTGCATATTGCACTCTTCTAATTCTATCACTAATATACCAGATCACAAAATTTTGAAGAAATACCATAAAAATTATATTCCAATGGAGAACTGGTCATCATTCTTATAAAAACTGGAGAAATTAAAACTTGTCTTCTGACCTGCTCTGGCTCATCTAATAGAAGATAAATAAATGTTTTCTTTCGTGGTAGCTTAAAACACTCAAGCTATTCATTCTGATGAATAAACATAACACCTAATAAGCAGAAACGCATGAAATTAAATGGACAAAAATTCTGACTTGCACTTGGAAACTTTTCTTACTAGAATCTATGATATTTCTAGACACTATGTATTACATTTTGGTGATATTTAAACCTGATCTATACAATCAAAGTCTTCCTACAAGCTGTTCAACACATACAGATTCAAAATAACCAACTAAAAAGCTAATACCTGATCAACAACCCACTAAAACTACAAATATGGTTTTAATAATTTTAATAGTTGAAAAGCTATTTCATTGTGTATAATACACACAGAAAAAATTGACTATTAAAATTAAGGAATTCGTATTATCCATTAATGGAGAAAAATATCAAGAAATATGATTCTACAGTTCATGCAGATTATTTGACGCTCCAGAACTGTATGTACCAATATGGAGGTAACTACTTTTGTTCGCCTACTTTACCTCAAGTTGGCTAAAGGTACGGAAGCCGATGGGGAGGGTGTATATTCATTTGGCGGTACTCCTGAAGTATGCGCACCAAGATGTCGCATAACCTGAACCCTAACCTGGTACACAACCTGAGTTCAGGTTGTGCACCATCTTGGTGCGCATACTTCAGGAGGACCCACTTGGCTAACACACACAGTCCCCGAACTCGTAAGAGAACTAAAATATGGATAATTGGATGGAAAATTATGGCCTAACCCTAACCTGGTACACACACTACGGGAGTACCGAATATTTATCACATACTTCAGAATTGTAGCAAATCAATCTTAAAAAAATTTGAAGGTAACCTAATGCAATTATATGCAAGCATACTTGAGCTTTTGTTTTATTGGTGGACACAAAAATTAGTAATGATAAAATTGGAAACCATTCGGTTCGTACATTTACATAAAACACCTTGATGAAGACGCAAATAAAGAATTTCATACCTTTTTTAACATTTTCAGTATGTTGTTGTGAGAATCCAGATTGAAAAGTACAATGACGAAATAACGACAACTTTTGAAAAGTAATGCAGTCGAGAGCACGTCTTCTTGCATTGTGAAAATCAATACAATGCGACAGTTTAACTTGCAAGTTCCGAGCTTAATTAATAATGAATATTATTATCAGAAAGTTAAACAAAAAGAAGGGAAATGAATTGTCTGTTATTGTCATAGATTTAGGTAGATCATTGCATTATCATGGACACAAGTAACGATTTTCTACAATTAACGATATAATTATCAAACCAATAAGAGGATCCCAACTTTATGGCAAACCTTGTATTTTCTAATGGTAATCATTTCAAGACAGGTATTGGAATAGGAAATATGTCAAATAATTCAGGGCATAGATGGAGGGAGCAGTAAATACCTAGCTTTAACAAATACTTGGAACCCTGACAAAACACAATAATTCCAACATTTCTTTTCCAAAAAAAATTTTCAAGATAGGATTCCGATATGAAAAATCCATATGGGGGGTTATCAGCAGTTACTAAAGAATTGGACATTGTTTCGCCACAGTTTGGAGTGTGGATGATAGAATTGCATATTATATCCTGGCATATACGCCAACCTCCTAAAAAGGCCCTAAATCGGTGAACTCTGAACTCTGACTTTGACTACAAATCGTAACACATATCACAGCAAATGGTTGCAGAAGAGAATTAATGAAAATGATAACCATTATTGTTGTTTTACTTTTATTAATGACGGTATAAAGTGTCAAAATCCTTCAAATTTATCCTGTATTGACTGACCAATACCAGACTGTTATTGCTGCTACAGCAACAACTATTTTTTGAGTATTAAACTCGGGTTATACGCAAGGATATATGGTAGTTACCGAGTAACATATTAGAATCGGAAAATATCTGACCTGACTTTTTATGCTTACATAGTGAAATGCATATTATATTGTAAATGGAATACATTGTTTATATATAGGTACCTGTTTCATTAGACATATTGTATCCCCAAACTTTTACGGAACGTGATTGTACATGAACAATAACAAATTGTTGCCTTGGTATATATGCAGCACACGGTGATGACAATCGATGTTCCTGTACAAATGAAACAATGTAATAGTTAGTTGTTCTCGAACATTCATAATTCGTAGCTCCCGTTCAATCACCCTCAAAACTGCGTTCAATGTGTTTTCATGAGATATTTCATGCGTTATGCTTTATAATACGAAAGCCAACAAATGAAAGCAAAAGAATAAATGCATTACAGTCAAAGAATTAAATACATCACAGTACATTTTTATTATATTAATGAAGTGATGGCGAATGCTACCTAGTGAAGTATTTTGTTCCTCACTACAAGTGAACTTTTCTGTGACCCTCTCTGAATGCTAGTGAATATTCATATCGTAAAATTAAGTCGCAATACTCCGCAAAGCTCTCTAGTGAAAGCCATCATTCATGGCCCACTGTTGGAATCCCTTTCCTGCCGCAGCCCCCACCCCCACCCCCTGAGTAGCTTAAGAACCTCTTTAAGAAACTCTGTCTTCAAAACAACTATAATATTGAAATTGAATACTAAAAAATCTTAACTGCATTGATACTGATATAACTTACATGTGGTCGAGGACTTTGTTCTGGTTTGAACATTGAATCATAAGGTGAAAATTTTGCAGTTTTTGATGTTCCTTGCTGACCTGTAACCGTCAGAACGAACGTAAGGTTAGAAGTTGTTGGTAAGGAAATGTAAATGAACAGCAATTTAGCCATACAATTGATATAAAAATATCAAATTTTCGAAAATCAAGGCAAAAATCATGTTGAAAAATAATCTAACAACTGACATGACAACCAATAAATACCAACCAGATTGAGTGAAACATCCAACTGCTTTTCTCCAAAGCAAAAAGTTTCTTGCAATAAGAACATAAGTTGGGTATCTGAAATGAGAAATAAATACCAATCAGAATTACTAACCAGACAATGCCATATTATGGGGTACTCCCGAAGTATGTGTACCAGGTTAGGGTCAGGCCATAATTTTATTCTGATGTTCCTTTTTTAGTTCTATTACCAGTTCGTTTACTGTCTGTGTGAACCAAGTGAATAACCCCCTGCCCATTGGTTTCAGTCCTTCTACAAAACTTGATGTAAAATAGGCAAACAAAATTAATCTATTTTACTCGGAACACAGCCCTGTGCAACTCCACTGATGTCTAACGTTTTGAAAGGTAATACTATTTTTTGATTGAGTATGCAATGCTGAACGGTGAATAATCCAATTTTTTTCAAAAATAGCTTCTCGTAAGATGAAAGTGGTCTTTTTGTACAGGTCCTTGTTCGGGGAAATAGGTGTGCATGGGTGTTGTATAAGGAATTTGGAAAAAATGTTGCCAAGGAATAAAACTTACTTTCCAGGTAATTTGGATTTGTTCTTGTCAAAATCATCTTTACCAAATGAAAATGCAGACATTTTTGATTTTCCAGGTTGACAAATGAAAGATTTTACCTACAATTGAATAAAAAAGTTACAATTTAAAAAATTACAATTTTTAAGCTGGATCTATAAATGAATACAGGATGTACATACACACCATTAGTTTTAAACAATACAAATTTTTTTTAAATGTTGTATGCAAGTTATTACTAATGTTAGAATTTTGGCAGTGATTAGCAACGGAGAAAAATCTGAAGTGGTAGATTCAAAATAATGTAGTAATATGATAAATTTCAAAAAATGTTTTAACTATTTTACTCTGCAATCAATCAAGATGTTTCCCAATATCTTCTGCATATCTTGAAGTGTATTTTTCATTTGTGACATTGAAGATAAATCCATCGACAATTTGAAAACTGAAGGACATTCATGTTTCTCCATTTTATCAAACCAGGTCTGAAATAACAAAAACAAGAAATTACGAAAAATTTTCAGATTTAAAACTAAAAATAATAACACAACAATAAAAAAAATCCATATGACTTCAGACACATGTTAGAGGTATCAAGTTCGAAACCCATACAAACTTCTATTTAGCCAGACCAAACTTTGCATGAAAAATAAAACAATTTGGGTTCCCAGCGGTAGAATGTGCAGTGAAAAAAAAAAAATGCACCACTTCAAATATCGCTCAAATTGGTATTGCAGTCACTAAGATTTTTTGCAAGGTTTTGCAATAGATGATTGACTTAAGAAAAAAAACATCATTTGATTAGTAAAATAAAAGTGTATAAACTATAAATATATATAAACCAATAGTGACAAACCTAATATGTATTAGGTCATATTTAAATAATATGCATATAATAACATAGTCTCTCAAATTTGAATGAAAACTTGCGGAATACATGGACTGTACCAAAAAAACTCACGGGTGCCACAGAATTCAAGTTGAAAACCACTCAAATACATATAAAAAACTTTAATTTATTATTTTATTAATCGTACTACTATTCCATTGAATAATTGTCAACAACAACATCAATCATTAACTTTTAAAAATCAACTTTTATATAGTCCAGTGAAATATCAAATAAAAATTCTACCTTGGATAATTCTTTATAAACATCTCTTAGATTTCCAAGTTCTCCTTCTTCAGCTTGTGAACTGGCTGATTTTCTACGATCAGTCATGGCGGGGCTTGATTTCTTACCCGTAACATTTTGTTTTGGATTTTGATCTGTTAACAATCATGAAAGTGTGGAACAAACAAAAAACATTGAGAGAGCAAGGGAATAAGAAATGGATAAAAATAACATAATCTCTTTCCACGAAATATCAAGTATATTTATAAGCTTTCGTTAGATCATAGTCTAACTTATTCAGATAAATGAATGACAACAGTTTCAAAGCAGCCGGCAGAATACTCTTATTAACATTGCCACCAGTAAGATTTAATGCGTTTTAAATTTGAAATAGTTTAATCCAGCTTTCCCAACCAAATAGGAATTCCGCCTCAAAGAGGAATTTCGTTGTTTTCAGGTAGAAATACAAATTTATGCAAATTATAAACTGTGCAAAAGCCAGAAAATGAGTTGCACACAACACTAGCTAGAGATTATTTAAAGCAGGGGTCGACAACCTTCGGCCCGCAATATGAATCCGGCCCGCGACGCTTCACTGAATTATGGTAACAAAACAGCTTTTTTGACGATTACATTCTTCACGTTACAGAATTTATTGTGAGAGATGTGTAGACCAAATTATACTATAACCTAACAAGTATATAATTGACAATTACTCGTTTAATGAGCCTATAATTAAATTATAATTAGACAAATGGCAACAAAACGCAGAAAAGTTGATGCTCAGTGCAAAGGGTTCAACGGCACCGAAAATATTCAAATGGAAATTTTTGAAATGCAATGTAACGAGGAAATAAATCTATATTCTGTTCGAGATATGTATCACTGCTTGATTTTTATTATTTAAAGTATCATCTGTTCGGTTTTCAACTTTCTAAAAATAAGTGCGGCCTATGACTTGCAATCCTTAATTTTAGCCCGTGAGCGAGAAAAGGTTGCCGACCCCTGATTTAAAGATTGTACAAATAATGAAGTTTTTATGCATAGTGTAGAACAGTGTTTTTCGAATAAAACATAATTTCGCATTACTATCTGTTATTTGTAGCTTATTGTTAGCTAGTTATTTTTGAGGTGGGTTGCGAGACTTTTCTTAAAAGGGGCGTGGCTTAAAAAGTTTGAAAACCACTGATGTAGAAGGAATAAAGATAACCAAATGAGGCAGAAGGAGGATTTATCGAAAATGGTTGGGAAATGCTGGTTTATTAATCATATTATTCCGCAAAAGCAAGCTGGTGATGTTGTTTTACCTATCAATGAAGTGAAAATTGGAGAAACAGAAAATGTTGTCAGATTGGTTGAAATAAAAAGCCTTGCGAGAAGCTCATATAACAGAAATTGTGTAATCTCACTGTTATCAGTAACTCTTAAGGTAGTAATTATCACAAAACCATGTTATAAATTGATAACAATATAAAGATTATGGTATCAAAAATGACCTACTATCTTATTAATATTTGATTTAAAGTGGATAAAACAGGGTAAATCAATAACATCAAATTAAATTGAAAAAAATCAGGATTTCCAAAATCGTGCCATTCGACAAATTCATAACATAAATTAAGAAAAACAATTCAACAAAAACAAGAAATCAAAATAGATTTCATTTTCACTCAACTAAAATCAATTTTTCTCATGGTTAGGCTCAGCGAGAGAAAACTTCTCTCTGATAACGTTTTTACATACACACCTTCTTTCGAAATGGGATGCAGTAGATTAGTCAAAATTCCACGCGTGCTGGAGGAAGATGTTGATGAATCATTTAAAGATCCAAATAAAGATCTCATAGCATCAGTTTTAACGTTGCTCGCATCTGATTAGGCAGAAATCAAACAGATCAATTTATAAGCAGAGATAAAAAAGCATGATTGTAAATTACAAACATGATTGTATGAAAAGCCACCCAGAAGCATGCAGCTTGCAAAATTATAAACAGATTTGTTCCGCCATTGAAATGCGGTACTCCCGTAGTATGTGTAACAGGTTAGGGTTAGGCCAAAATTTTATTCTGATTTTCTTTATTTTAGTTCTATTATGAGTCCAGGGACTGTCTGTGTTAGCCAAGTGAATATACCCCCTGCCCATAGGCTTCCGTCTCTTTATACAACTCATGTGAAGTAGGCGAACAGAATTAGTTACCTCCATATTGGTACACATACTTCTGGACCGCCAAATAAAGTGCAGGGTTTTGAAATTACTAAGTACCCCTTAGACATAGAATAGCGTGGATTTCTTAAAATAGCGTGGATAACATAAAAATTCTTAAATTTATCTACCTAAAGCATTATGCCATGTTATAAACAGTTGAAATTTCCTGTTAAGAAATTATAGTAATTATAATATGGTATACATTTGAAACTGTCTACTCGTTTTAAAATTATTTGGTTGATAAACACAAACTATTGAAAAATTATTATTAATATTGTCATCAGGAAGACAAATTATTAGCTTTCACTTCTGTTACCCATTGTCATGATAAGGAATAATATACCCATTATAAGATATCAACCAATAGTAAGTCACAGAAAATATAATAAATTTAGGTAATATGACGGATATTGTTATATTTAATTCTTCTATAGATTAGATTTGCTTAGAAACAATCTAGGAATATTTTATCCACAAATCTGGATTACAAATTGAACATAGCCAAAAAGTAACTGCATTGAATTATGGGAAAAACATTCTTCTATCTATTTAATAGGGTACTCCCGTGGTATGTGTACCAGGTGGGGTTCGGCTATAATTTTATTCAGATTTTCCTTATTTTAGTTCTACTACAAGTCGGAGACTGTCTGAGTTAGCCAAGTGGATATACCCCCTGCCCATAGGTTTTAGTCCCTTTACACAACTTGATGTAAAGTAGGTGAATAAAATTAGTTACCTCCATATTGGTACACATACTTCTCAGCGCCTTTAATAGTATATTAGAAATGGACAAATTTATGTCTTTAATTTGTTAACTTCTAATACTTTAAAATGATTTAAAATCACAATATTTGCAAATGGAAAGTTTATGTTCAAATTCTTATTCTTGAGTAATGACAGCCCTGTAATAATACATCATTCATTAAAAATTGAGAAGAATTGAATAAAAAATGGATAAAAAAATTCACACACCATACTCAGTGCATGCATCGGTAATACTGTATTCGAGGACTAAATTAAGTAAAAAAATAAACAAATCAACCTTCATTGATACCGACACAACACAGCTCTTTGAAGTCAGATGAAAGTAAAATGAAATACTCGAGGGCATTAAGGAAAAAAAATCTGAAAAGTAGTAAGAAAACAAATTGGACAATCACCACTTAATTTACTGGAGTATGTTCATAATTTCGAGTTACAATTTAAATTTTGTTATGAGGTCAGTTGTCAATGTATCGTAACCAGGTTTGTTTTATTTAAAGTATTGTTACCCCATATGATACACCTGTAGATGATAACTGACTGAATGTGGTATCGATAAATTTTCTTTAAGACTTTATCCAAAAATAAAACAATGTTTTCCAAAAGCATTTTCTGTATCTTGTCACAATATAATCCTATTTTTTGCTGTATGTCTGTCTCCCTGTCCAAACCACAGAAGAAGTGAAGCGTTGCTATATCATCAATATGACTAATTTGCATCCCAAAAATGAGTTGAAGAATGATTGAGTTGCAAAGATGTAGTGATGAGCAAAAAGAAAGAGATGAAATGAGAAATAACTAGGAAGAAAAGTTGACCACACGCAAAAACTGGCTGAAAGGATTCTATGTTTTTCTTTTATCAGTACAATTTGTGATTTGAAGAGGATAGAAACATTCAGGAAAGAGTATTAACTGAATGTAGTGCAATTCATTTTGATGTTGTCTCTACTGATGTCCGTTAGTCTAGCAAATCTCAAATTGGATTCAAAATCAGAATTTTCTAAAAACTGAAATTTTCTGTTAAATTTAGCCGTTTAAATTTAACATTTTGATGTGTTGTCTCTACTGATGACCGTTAGTTAGTCTAGTAAATACCAAATTAGATTCAAAATCAGAACTTTCCAAAAACTGGATTTTGGTAAAAAATTTACCGCCCATTTCGAGCACAATTCTTTGTTACAAAAACCTATGCGTCAGAATAATTGATATAGATATCCCCAGCTATTGTGAAGTAGCAAAAGAAAGGAGAGTTTGGAAGTAGAAACACACCCGATCCATAAGCACGTGCAAATTAATATTAAATTGTGCTGTGCTGCGTATTTTTGTTATGTCATAGTGCAGCATGCTTGCCTGATGCAGGAGATGACCTAACTCTCGACAGTGGAGAATGGGACTTGCTTTTACCGGTATAGATGCCAGCGCTTAGAGATGTCGCTGAACTGTCAATGTCCAGTTGTCGAGACTGTCCGCTATGGGACGTTAAGAAGACCGGGGTAGGCAAGGACAGCTTCCTTGAGAATCTGCTGTGGCTTCCTGCAGGTTCAAAGATTTAATTAAAATTTTAATTTTAATTAAATGAAAAATCAAAACTTTTACCCAATTCCAAAAATAATAAAATTGGAAAAATGGATATTTTTTTTTCTATTTTGTATTTAATAGTGGTGATTTGAATGATGATTTAAAAAAAACTATTCTAAAATTTCAGGTTATTGACTTATTATTAAGGAGTAATATTGCTAATAGATTTGCATTTACACAATATTTAAACTTTGATGAATCTCTAAATAAGAAATTTCGAGTTATGATACAGTGGTTAGTATATCATTCTTAAGCATGAATCATTTTTGTAGCAGAAACCAGGGCTGGGAAGCCGAAGCGGGAGCCCCAACATTTGGTGTGAAACTGCATTTGAGCTGATGCTTACAGTTCATATTATAAAATCTCAATGCCTATGGAGTGGGCTCGAGCCCAGATCTGACGTGAAAAGTAAAGCTCCGCCAACGAAGCCACAGTTTGAATTTATTGCGTTTTTCGGATTTGGAATCAGAGTTATTGTGATTTCACATCAGCTTCCAGACCCGCTTGCCACTATTGAAGATCACGTGGTCAAGGCCTGATAAGTCCAGCAGTTCCAAAACGAAATTACTATATATAAGTTAACTCTAGCAAATTTATGAATTGAGAATTTGTAAATAATCTGGATTATTGAAGCTTGAATAAATTAAACTTGAATAGAATGATAATTTGATGTAAGTATTGGAATATTTTTGAATAGGAGTTTATGAATTGTTACGAGGCACAGGAATAAATGATAATTATTACATCTTCGAGCATAGAAAGAAATTTTTTGGATGATCATAGAAAATTCAAAACATTCAGTTCAAAATCTAACCATAAATTCAATTAATTATATTGCAGATATAAATGATATTAACATTAAAATCGTATAATATTGATTTTATTTATTAATTGTTAATATTTCCATCCCTATAACATATTTACTATGCTGTAACAATCAAGCAGGGGTATTGAAACAAAGATAATGCAGCACACAGCCCAGTGAAATGAAAAATAAACACAAATTATTATTTTCAGACAATCAGAAGCATCGAGGACAGCACAAAGCGAAGTGGTTAATAATCATATTCTCATATTATAAGATTTCTGAAATGAAATGTATATTTAACCATGTATGCGCCACAGATAAAGCAAGTTTGCAAATTTGATTTGGCAGTGGTTAACATATGATTTGTATACAGAGAACGGTTAGGGGTAGAAAAAATATTACATTCTTACTTTTTGATTTCTGAAAATCGAGCGGCATCACATCATCCTCTGTCTTCACTAGACCGTGTAAATCACAAAGAGGAGGTCGTAAGATCAGCAATTCCGTTACAGCATCGAACAAAGCGTGACGAACGGCAGTGTGAAGCCGTTTGTCGAGATAGTCAACTGTCAATGACCCTTTGAGCCAAAGATGGAAACGGACGTAGGTTTTTACTGGTGTGGAGCTTTTCTTTTGTAACGATGATGGCGGACGATCAAGCATCGCTGGTGTATTTGATCTGTATGAGAACAGGATAATTTTTTCATCAAGAAAATTTGCTCAAAGCAAGGTCACGCTTGATTCTCACTCAGAATTAAAGAACAATAATCTTTGAGCGAAGTTACGGGTGACAACATAACTGCCAAGAGCTATTAAGAATCCTAGTGTAAAATTACATTTGCCAAATACAGATTGGCACGAGACGCTTACTATTTCAGAAATATAAAAAAATAGTTCCAACAGTTACTAATAGCATGGCAAACCATAAAGCATTGCTAAAAGTAGTAAAGTATAAACAGGGCTGTAGTATCAGTAGAGTACATAGTCAGAGGCTGTTGAAAGTCATGAAAACAAAAGCGACTTTTGTTATCACAATTTTGTAAACCAGATTAAAAATTGTTGTCTAGCTAGCAACCAAAATTAGGTTCTTGAAGCGCTCAGATTCAAGCTGAAATGAAATTTTTCTCTGGCTATACAACCAAGCAATGATGACGTAACTCAGGCCGAATGCTACTGTAGTAAAAATTTGATTAGAAATAAAGCATACCTGCTTCCAGGAATACTTAAAGTCACTCGTTGTGAGTCTGCAATTTCTGTGAGATTTAAAAGCTGAAAAAATAAATAAATGCCTTGATCATTGTCGACAGAATAAAATTACAAAAAAAGTGGTTAAAAAAATAGAGGAGATGAGTGATGACGAATTTATTCCGTTTTTATCTCAACAACGAATACCTGTTCAGTAGATGATTTCTCTGGAGCATTGAATTTTAAAACGATATCTGAAGACATAGGTCCGCCATCTTTGTCAGTTACTTCAAGTACAATACATGCAATACCATATCCTGTTTTTCCTGGTTCAAGAGTCCTGTAATATTAATAAAATATTCATTTGCAAGCAAATATGTCCAAAATATCAAATTCTAGTCAATTTTAGATCCAAGGTTTGAGTGAGTCATTGATACCCCTGATTTACTCAAGTATACCTCCTTATTCAGAGTGAGATAAATTGAGTGCGCATAGACAGCTAAAAAGATGCATTTCCCATCATGATATAAATATTGAGCAGCTGGAGCAGCAAGCTTATTTAGGAATTTTAATTCTCCAATACTACCCTTAGTCACCCTTTTGCTTTGAACATAAGACCTACATTCTTATTACGGGGGTTAAGAAAACAGATAAAACAGCTTATTATATGGCAAACCACTCCCTCTCGTCCGGTTACCAGTCGGGTATGGGATTAGTTATTTGTTTCAGATGCATGGATAAACTTTATGGTGGAGGAAGCCATTATCGACCAATGGTAACATGAAACACCCTAAGGGGACGAGGAGTCCAGCAATCCTCTTGCAAATATTTATTCCCTGCGAGATTCGATTCTGCGAACCCACGCAGGGTAATCAGAGGTGATGTGGCAATCGTATTCTTAATGCTTAGCCGAGGCGACATATCGCCATGTGTGATGAACATGATATTTAAGGATATGCAGGAAACTACAATTTTTCGATATGCAAGAATCATTCTGGATCAACATTGTCTACTCGTTCTATTACACCCTGCGTTAGGTGGTCGACATGGGAATTAAACCTAGCATGTGTAACTTGCGATGCCAACACTTGTTAAGTCTTACACTTTAGCCGCTCGGCCATCACGCCTGCAATTGGATTTATATACCGGTTTCTTGTTAGTAGCCTATTAGTGTTGATGGAAAAAAATTTTCCCCAAAGAGTATTTATATTTCAAAACTTACTGATAGAAAAGAAAAACGGAGCTATCGGTTGCTTGCGTCATCTTGGGTCCAAAGTCATCAACAGATATCGGCATCATTTTATAACCAACGAATTGTCCAGATGGTATTGCTGGATCCACGTATCTCGGCATCGCCATAATTTGTAATAAATTTTGATGTAGGTAATATCGTACTGCTGGTAGGCAGTTTGAAAATTCATCGGGGAGTCCATATGACAAAGTAGTGTTTGGTGATACTTGTCGTATATGTGATATAGCTGGACTTCCAGTTGTAGATGTATTAGGTATTGTAGTGACGCTTGGTTGAATGAATAATATGTCTGATGAAGATAACTTTGAATTTCTTTGCAAAAGAACTGAAATAAAAAATGAAATGGTCGAATATCAAAAAAATGAATATATTAGCTCCATGTTTTCCAGCCAGGGATGGAAGTTTGTTGTTCTTGGGTAGGAATTTCACTTTGTATTTGTTGTGGTATCACCAATATTTTCTAGTTTTTTATTATTCCCCAATACTCATTTATGCATATATCATGCACGACTTAAAAAGTGTGAGCAAAGCTTGTGCATAACACCAACTAGTGATCCATTAGGGATTGAATGAACAAAGTCTTTTTTATACTAAGGGAGGGAGGATAGAGAGTTCTCAAATAGGCAAAAGGAGAAAATTAATGAGAAACGTTGTGAACCACTGAAATGGTTAGTGAAATAAAAGACGGTAGCTCCCATGCTTTCTCTAATTGACTACACTTTTGTCTCGCTGGAATCATGTGGTCCATTATTGTCTTATGTAAAGTACAGGTAAGAAACTTGGTGTTATGGAAATCACAAATCACACATCAGTGATAATCTGGTTGCAGGACATTATTGAACATTATTATAAGTTGCTCTTTTCGTATAAAAATACAATACATTAATTCATAAAAATGCTACAAAGCATGCAATATGACTAGGTAGAGAATCAAATATTGCACTGTACAGCGATGAAAAGCACTCATTCAACCACACATCAGTGATAATCTGGTTGCAAGACATTACTGAACATTATTATAAATTGTTAATTTAGTTTTAAAAACAATGCAATAAGTCTTGAAAACGATAGAGAACACAGATAGAGATGGCTAAAACATGATTTTCTCTTAGTAATGTACTCCAATGAAAAGCTTATCAAACTTGCTATCATACACTGAACACAAATCGAAAAATGACATTATAATTCGACAATAGTATTTAGAGAATCAAAGTTTAGAATTGCACGTTATTTATTGAATACCAATTGACGGGTTCATATCAGCACCTTCAGCTTAAATTATATTTAAACGACTGTAATTTAGTATCCAAAATTAGAGTACTATTTAGTAAGTACCATACTTACCAGTTATCTTCTCTAATACAGATTCGCTGAGTCTTCGCACAATAACTTGATTCATTTTTTCCAATTCTTCTTGTTGTTGAGGCAACAGTGGACCAACACCGTGCCATTTCAATGCCAATGTTCCACCAGATTTAGGTTCAGTTAGCCCAACACCAGTGAGACTTTCTTTGGACGTGCGGCGATCTGTACATAGATAAAAATTATATAAAAAGCAATTGTTACATATTTAACATCAATATCGACTTTGGGTTGGCAAAAACCTTTTATCACGAAAAATGTGGACTATGAAAGTCCCTTTTAAAGGCTCAGTAAAATTAATGCTTTTCAAGTCCCAGTAACTTTAGCTGTGGCAAAAATCTTTTATCACGAAATATGCGGAGTATGAAAGCCCTCTTTAAACGCTCAATAAAATTGTTGCTTTTTAAGTCCCAATTGGCATATTTATTGCCTTTGATTCCTCTGGACAATTTGTAATTTCAACTCTGACTCCAGGGAATTTGGAAATACGACACCAGCCCGAGGCTTGGTGAATAAATATTTTTGGGCAAAAAAATCACAAAAAGAGATCAGATTAAATAGAATCTGGAAAAAGGGTGTCCAGGTGTCATGTGATAAGCAAAGGCTAGAACATCCTGCCATTAACCACAGTTTGGTGGTCTCCAATTTCGTACCTGCGGATTCGTTTCCAAAATTATCAACTGAAGAATGTAGTAATTGTGATGATCTTCTGCTGTCAGGTTTTCCACCTGTGTCTTCTTCCATGCGACAATAGAATACTGATTTATCTGGTAGCTACATGAAAGCAGAAAGAAATTCATTACCCAATTATTATTGAATCGACAGTATTAATTTTCTTGTACACCATTCACAATGCAAAGAGCTCTTTGCAATCAGCCTCTACTAGTTAGGGAGCAAATAAAATTGAGGGACCGGACACCGGAACCCTTAAGGTTCAGCATTGCCAACACCAATTTATTACACTTTACAAGATTTTTAACAGGCGATGCTGACATAGGTCAAGTCCAACACTCCAAACACGAGTGTTCCTAAAATCTTCATGATCCAACCAACGACTCTCAACACAACCTCCTGCTCTTTTATAAAAATACCTAGTTTTGCTTCCAACAAGTTTGCATCAATTATTTTATGACCCAAGTTTAATGATACATTAAACATTAAATACATTACAGTCCAGGAATTAAACAAATCACAATTTTTTTTAAATTTATGTATCCATGGCAAATGTTGACTAGTTAATTTTTTTTCTTTGCCTGAGCAAAGACTTCTCCGCCAGAGAACCCCCAAGGGTTTGAAAAACTCTACACTAAACCATCACACTCATTTCACATTTGAAGACACTCACCCGATACACAAACATATTCTTTCGGTTTGTGACAATGAAATTTATGACAAGATCTCGCACTACAGCCATAACGTTTGATTTTCCTGCAATATTGCCTGTTGCTTTTAATCTTGGATGAATTTGTATAGCAGTTTCCAATACAGCGTCACATGCAAACTGGCCAGGGGCATTTGTCATTGTCGCGGCAAGTAAGGCTCTGTAAAATAAATAATAAAAAATTTGACGCTCCAGGAGTGTGTGTACCAATATGGAATTTTGTTCGCCTACTTTATATCAAGTTGTGGGACTGAAACCTATGGGCAGCGGGTATATTCACTTGGCTGATACAGACAGTCCCGCACTCGTAACAGAATTAAAATGAGGAAAATCGGAATAAAATTAAGGCCTAACCCTAACCCTACACACATTACGAGAGTACCAAAAATTTTAATAAAAAACAATGTTTCAAACCTATATTGATAAAATATTGAAAATCAAACTGTAACAGGTGAACAATGTTTACAAAACTGACAGTGAACATTGTTTTAAAAAAGTGTTCACATTCCTGTTTCCGTAGCATTGAACATATTGGCTTTGTCAGTTGTTTGCATGTTATACTTTGAACTTAATAATGTAGACCACTTGAGTGATGACACATAAAAGACCTGTATTGCCAAAGTACGAATTAATATCTAGAGTATCAACAAGATTTTTTCATTTAAGGTAGATACCTATCTGTATCATCACCATGTTCATCAGAATGTCCAAAATTAGTTGGATGATAATCTCGTTTCCAAATATCTTCTTCTGTTTCTTCCACAAGAAGTGCGTTGCACATTCTAGACATAGAAAAAATAAAAAGATAAATATAATATTTGGGGCAAAAGTTAGTGGCAAAAACTGCAAATGATGTCAATAAGTTTTCGGTGTAACAAAACACAGGGTTCTCAACCTTTACTTTATTATTTACCCCTAGGTCAATTTCGAAAGTAAAACTGACCCCCTCAACATTGTATGTAACCTGCCTTCCTAAGTAATTCTGGCAATGTTGCAACATGCTATGTGGTCAACCACCACGGTTGGTCATTTATGTTTTTGCTTGCAAAATTGACACATAATGCATGTGAAATTTATTGTTGGTTGAGAACCTATGAATTAGCTAAGGTGGTCTATGGACTGCATGTGACATAAATATTATTTTGCTAGTCCTTCCTAAATACTGTTTTAACACTAATTTGGTTTTCCATGGAAAAAAAATAGAAATCATTTGCTTTCTAATATAATAATTGAGCTGAACCTTTTACATATTACTCAAGATTAAAATCACTAACATAACTTCATAACCCTTTCCATGCGATTTTTATTTTTTATTAAATAATCGTATTTGCTACGCCGATTTTATGCATTTGTACCCCCACAACTAATTGATAGACTAACAAAAAACTATCGATCCTCTGCTGCCCACTGACGGCTCGTTGGAAAGCTTATTTAAAAGAGGTTGCAATTGGCGAATAAAAAAAAAAGGTTTTTTAAAAGTGGTGGTCTGAGTCACAAACCGGATAGAAAAAAGGCATTTTTTTTCTCTTGGGAGTTGAAACTTCAAACCGTGATAAAAAATAGAAATATTCGCTAAATCCTTTACTGTTACCGCTTCGTGGTTGGCAATCAATAGCATAATATTGCTGTAGCAATTTCGTGATCTAACTCAGAATACTTTGGTAGATGGAAGGGATAATATGTCTTCTATTACCAGCCAAAAAACACCGAAATTTGCATAAATTTCAAAAACACTCCCTCGTTCCGCCGCAAATAAAATTCCCGTCGTAAACGAAAGCGAGATTTACCGTCGTTTATGTTAATCTCAAAGAAGACTTCTTATCAATAAACCAAAACCCGGAAAAACTAGACCAACAGTTTGCGACTGATTGCTAAATAAAACAGTGGAGTACATCAACGTACCCGTCGCAATCTAGAGACTTTTGTCGTTGGTACGTATACGTGCCCACCGCACGGAAAGGGTAAAGCACCTTTTTTAGTAATTGGGCTTGTTAAAAAAAATTTTTACTGATATACTATATGACTCGTATGTTACTGAAAATGAAATGTTAAAAAATTACCTGCTATCATGCATTTCATGTAGCAATAGAGTTTGATTGACACGTTTACATGTTGTATGAATATATTCAATAACTGCATTGAACACACGTTTGTGTTCGATTTCAATTCCATCAGGTATTACAGCACTGCTACGTCTAAAAGAAGAATGAACTTGTTAAAGCTAATAAATAAAATACTGGTTGGAATTAAAAAAAAAAATTGAAGATTTAATAATATATATCACAGCACTAACTAATCTAGATTGGTTGGTTATAGATTGTTTACATGTGTCATAATGACAACAAGAATAGTGAATGAACAGAAGATGAGATAGAATTTCTTAGAATGAACATTCAGCTGCTATTTTGTCATCGAGAGGTATTTAGTTTAGTTGAAATGATCAAAAACTGGCACTAAAAACAGGATAGACCACGCTAAGGACAAAAAGTGGCTGTCAGTATTTTCGCTGGTAAATGCTTTCAATTTTTAGGACAAAACGCTGATTTTCAAAACATAAAACTGTTGATACTTAAACAGTTTTTTTCCTTAGACAAAAAGGTATTCTGAAACCAACCAATACCAGTTTCCAACCTTCCCATTTTCAATCTAATGCCACATTAGTTTAAAAGTGTCAATCCCCCGTCTCCATTCTTGATATTGCAATTTTCCTCACCTGTGAAAGTAGGTCTTTACATGATCTGATAGAACATGAACAATTAACCAAAAACTTGGTAAATCATTAGCACTGTCATGTAGTGAAACCATATAATCATCTTCTCCATCAATATCACTTTCCTGAATAGTAAAAAGATAAATGGATTAAATCAGGAAAAAAAGACACAATACTCCAGAAAAATGTACCCCTTCGCCATTCTGAGTATTCTGAAAAATATCAATCATTATTGACCTATTATTACCTCTCCATCGTATCCAGATTCAAACCAACTTGCAGTACTATATCTATGAAATTCACCATCAGATAAAGACACTGGACTTGACATTGCATCTTTACCGCCCGCTCCAAACAAATACGCAGAATTTGGAATTGCGGCTGCTGGTGTGGTAGAAGATGGTTCATTTCCACCACTGTTATCTCGTCTCAACATTGGGGTACTTGAACTCGGCTCACCAGAAGTTATCACAGTCTCTCTTTGAACCATTTGAGTGACCGGTGTAATGTTGTGTGCAGATCGACGATGACAAGCTGGGGCTGACCCTGATGATCCAAAGCTCGAATTATGTCCGGATAAATGACGCACCATGGGTGAAGTGGGTCCTGAATATTGTTGGGGTGAATTCCGAAGCGAAAGTGGGGTAACTGTATGTGTGCTATGCCGTTTTAGCTGATATTTTCCAGACATATTGAGATTGCTCTCCATGCTTCGTTGTTTAATCGGCCCCCTTCGCTTTCCTCGTTTAGAATCCATTGCTGTGTTACGACAATCCTGACACATGTCAGGGGTAATAGCGTTTGGTAACGATAGTCTTGACTGCCCCCCTCGTGCATATTTTTTTGTTCTTTGCTGCCCTCGAGGTGATAATCCATCGTTATTATTAGAGAAAGGAATATCAGGACTGACAATATCCAATGCAGACGTTTTCCTAATAGGTGTAGATTTGCTAGACGAAGTTTGCCTCGTGACGGTTGAAGCACTACTTTCAGTACCTGCGACAACATCAGATTCAATTGCGTCAACGGACATTATTTCGTTGTTTGGTAACGAACGAAAGGACAGAGAAGAATGGATAGGACAACCAGCTATAGGTAAAGAAGTACAAGATTTTGTTGACGCTCGGACAGAAACAGACGGCGATTTAAGTGAATTTGGAGCAGTTTTTGTGCGGCGTAAAGTTGTGTGTTCATTCTCCAAACTGCTTTTTATGATTTCATGCACAGCTCTCCCACCAGAACTTGTGCTTCCAGTAATGCTTTGGACATTCGTGTTTCTTTGTGGGGGCAAATTTCCACCTTCTGCTGTTTGTTGATCGATCGATTGAAATATTTCATTTTCTCCAAGAAACGGGACATTTCGCCAATTTGGAATAGGTAAAAATGTTCTTTCAGTTGTGAAATAGTAAAAATCGCCTTCTTTCTTCATTCGATATCCTTTGAAGTCTTTAAATATTCTTTCGAATTCAATATTAAATAGTGGAAGACTTTTATCAGCCCCGAAAACAAATTGAAGAAGTGTATTTTCCACCATACAATTCGTTTTATCCGATTCGTCAATGTGAGCAGTAACCTGAATAAATAATTCACTTATAAACTTGCTTTAATAGCATAGAAAAAACGAATACTGAATACAAATCTATTAAGAAAGATAGATTTTTAGACAAATTTCTTTTGAGATATTTCACAACTGAAGAAGACCTTATATAAGCAGCCACCTGAAGTTGGTTAAGACTAATTTTCATATGGGGTTGTACAATTTTGTTGTAAACAACGATCTAGACAGGAAATTATTTAAATGTGAAAAATCGTTGGGTTTAAAAGGTTAGGATTTTTATAGTCGAATATAGTCTAAAATTAACAATTCACCATTATCCATGTCTTAGAGTAATAAAGCACAATATTCATCATTTAATTAATCTAAAGACTTTAAATTCCGTAATATGACAAACCTTCTCCAATGTTGAACTATCAATGCTTTCACAAGTTCTCAGAGCACTGATGATTTCATCTTTTAACAACCATTCTATTTGTTCCTTTGTTAAATTAACTGCAGCTAAACATGGTGCAGGAAGCATGTAAAGAGGATCAACTGTCTCTGGAAAAATAATATACGAATATTTTGAGAAATAACACAAAATGGAATTTGAACTGAAAATTTTTAACCCACAATGCCAACATAGTTAAATGGTCTAACCACTACGCTGGGCATAATGCTGTTTTTTTTCAAGCACCCAAATTTTTAAAAAAATAAATTTTGTGAAGTCTCACGACATATCACAATATGCTTAAATACTAGGTATGTTATGCTTATGCCTTATATGGTCACAAAATTAGGTGACTAATATGAAACAAACATTATTACCAAAATTTATTTTCCCCAAAATTAACTCTAAGTGAGAAAGCTGCGGTTATTTGCCACAAGCGAGTTTCTGAAATCGTGGCGTTGCTATACGCTGTGGTAATTTCCACATATCCAATTGCTATTGAGCAAAATATAAAATAAACGATAAAATTAACTTGGATGGGAAAAACAGTAACTTTTAGGTTTTTGTTGAAAAAACAAACGAACCAAGAAAATTTTCAGGCGACCTGTAGAAACATTAGCTTAATGAATATGAAAAGATCACATCGTTGCAAAATCCTGGCACGTCATTTCGCACAAGTTACATTTGTATCTACCGGTATATATCACCCTTACAATGTCGATATTTCCTCATATATTCAGCATTCAGTGTTGACAGTTGACACAAATTCAATTTTCAAATTAGAAGACACAAATTATGTTTCCATACCATAAAAGAGATTTAGTAGTTTGATGATTTAATATTTTTACCCTGTTCATCATGAACTGTGTGAATTCTTTCTTTCTTTGAACTAACTTCATGTCTGGGACTGTCATCTTCTTCGGGAAGTAATCCTTGCAAGGTAAAAAACACAATGACTATAAAATTGTGTCAAATATGGACAAATAAGGAATTGTAATAAGCCATTAGTCAACAGTTGGCACAAAATAAATAAAACAAAAATTCAATTTATGAAGCAATACAAGATAAAATTTCTGAAACATTGCGAGCATCAATTTTGTTAACTGCGACATGCGTTTATTCATATATTTACAACAGGTATATTGTTACAGGCTACATTTGGTATCAACATGTCTTATCTGGCTTTTTACTGCCAAATGGTTACTTACATAATTGCTTTTCCAATTATTTCCATTATAACATTGAGCCTGTCAGAAATACATACACAAATCAGAATCTTTTTTTGCAATTTCAAACCACATTTATACTGAAATTGTGAACCATTTGAAACCATTGAAGAGTTAGCTCGACTCATATCAATGATAGAGTGTCCCCAACATTGATTGTGGGTAATTCTACATAGAAATATCTTACCTGAAGTAAACCTATTATAATCATTTATATCGGGTGTATGTTCGTTTTCATTTAAATCAGCAGGTAAAGTCATCCATATCAAATCGAGAGTAATATAAAGTTGTGAGAGATCGATTGATTCACATGGACGTTCCAGATTAGTTAAAACACTTTGCAAATTTGTTGGCAGACCTTCAACCGGCATGGTACCATGGTTTCCTGGGGTTAAAAATTAGAATGAATTAAAATCCACAATTACTATTTTCAATCTCTTAAGTCCACAACAGATACAATATTAAGGTAAGAAAAGGTATATAATACAGTATTCAAGGTTACGCTGTATTAGAGTAAGGTTTTTTATATTAAATGTTTGCAATAATGTTTCATGGCACTAAGAATGAGGGGAACCCTCAAGGCCCATGCTTCAGCACGCTCCTGTTTTCCCATATGCCTACAAGTAGTGATGGACTTTGTGTTATATTGATGAATGCATGCATTTATGGCTGCAAATATATTTATCAGTCTGGGGGATAAAGGAGGAGATAGTTATAAAGAAATTTGCCAGTAACTGGAGATGAGTCGAAAGTAATATTAATAATCACTGTATATATTGATCAATTAAAAATCGGAAAGCGTGGAACGAAATAAACAAGTAGTCTATGTATGATGGTCATTTTCACTAGATGAAAAAAAAACATAAAATTTTAATAAAAAAATCAGCATTCAAAAAAACAAAAAAAATACCTGTCTTTTTATCTCGAATGGTACAAGTCATGCAAAGAAATAATGGAACATTTTCATCATCATTATCATCTGTTTGCAACAATCCATCTTCATCATAGAATGAATAAGAAGAATTTGATGATAAACTATCGCCATCTGAATCATGTTGAAATTCTTCAGTCAAATCAACATCTTCTAGTTCTAAATGATCAAATGGTTATACATTATGTAATTCACTAAGCTGCAAAAACTGATGTATGGGGTTCGCTGATAGTTCAATAGTTTTCCATGCACCTTATGTTTTTTTTGTTTACAGTAATCATTACTGTCATGTCATTATTTCATTGCATTCTCATTGGTAACTACCGTAGTATAAATACAGTTCATTCAGCTGTAAAAAGACAGTCTGTCCTCTATGACAGGGCTACTCAACTGGCAGACCGCGTCCGAATTCGGACCTTTCGAGTATTGGATTTGGACCGCACCTAACTATTTATTTTGGATCATTAGCCCCACTTTTTGAATTTCCTATTATAAAATGACTTTCATAGTTTTGCTACTAATCATTAGTCGGTCGAGGAAGTGCTCGTTTAAGGATGCCGAAATATCATTTCTGGAAAGACCGGAACCAAACAATTTTGAAGTTTTGTTTGCGGACCTTCGATAAAAATAGTTGAGTAGCCCTGCTCTATGATATGTTGAGCATGTGCTCTGTCTGTTCGAGTTATTTACTTCAATAATAAACTTTTATTCGACTCATCATTCACATGTGAATTAGAGTCCAAAATATAGTATGGGCTCATATTTCAAGTGAGTAGAAATAAACTAAAACGCAATTTATTTTAAAAATCTATGTATTGAATGAGGTCTTGAATTGAAATATTTTTCCACACATACCTAAACTATTATTACTAGTTTTAATGGGTGATTCTACAATTTTTCTCCTGACAAAGCCATACACAAACAGTCTGATACATACAGATTTATTATGCTTTAAAAGAATCTTAATTTTGGTGGTTAGACATAGGCTAGCATTTCCAACACTATACAAATTTAAAATGTGATTCGCTGAAAGTCGCAATCTCTCATGAGCAAAATCACAGGATGACAACTTGACAGCAGAATGGTATATTCATAAATGAAAAAAACAATCAATTTTCTTACTTCTAGATTGCCTTTGCTTTTTTCTCATTTTTCTTGATGGCGTAACTTTCTCAATATTACAATCACTACTCATTGTACTTGGTTTATCATGAATTAAAGAAGGAAAGTCGGCCTGGAAAATTTACAACAAGAAAATTGCAATTAGTTCTGTTTCTGGACAAAATGAATATTAGAATTGGTCAATTGGCTACAAAAGACTACAGATACATGTAAAATTAGTAATTCACTCAATGAATTGAATTTTAATAAAAGGGATTGTTTAGTTATTAATATAGTAAAATTTTAAAAATATTGTCTGTATTATAATTGCTAAATTATTATGGCATAATAGTAATAATAAATCTTATATACAAAAGAATATTCATGGAAATAGGTAACTCAAGTTGAATTAGATAATAAACTCCTTGTCTTGTTTAGATTAAAAATTGACAAGATTCCATATCATGTTGGTGCACACAATGGCAGGACGACTGTGACATAAAAAAACTAAAGATCTTTTTATAAAATGTTTCAAGTTTTCATTCCGAACAGGTCTTTTTCCAAGCAGGCACTGATATATAATAAGATGTGGTAAATTAAATATTCAACATATTTATGAAAAAATTTTCACTGATGCGAAACATTCAAATTTATAATTTTCTCACCTCCGCAGTGAAATCATTCTCACCAACTTCAAACTTAACATCAAGATCACTTTCTGTGACAAGTTCATTGTTTATAAGATTTCTCCTGTTACTAAAGTGATGAGGAAAAAAATCTAAAAAAGAAAAAAATCATGCACATGTTAAATAAAGATTTTAACATTTTATAAATGGAGTGATCTTTAAAAAAAGATAATAACCCAAACTTTCATTTTAAAATGTAAATAGCCTGTTGTTATTCTAAAAAAAGTTTGCCTCGAACATAAAAGGCTAAATTCAGTTTAGTACGTATTGAGTTAAAAAATCATCTGGCACAAACATAGCCATAAATCTGCCAATGAAAGTTCATATTTGACAAGGTCGACAAGATATACTCTATCTATCTCTATTCAATGCCTTAAATAATCCTTCATACCCTAGAGAGCTCTTCGGCCTGGAGACTAGAAATCGTATCATTTCCCAAACCAGCCTAACCAGTTTATTCAACTTTGATATTTTGCCTGCTTTCATAACTATTGGAGGCAAGAGTCAGATTTGAGACTTCTAATGGTGTTAGCAAAAGTCAAAATTTTGAACGCAAACAAGCTCTCTCAACAGACAATCCAACTAGGCTTACAAAATGCGAAATTTTTTATTATAAAAATTTGTTTTATATTAAGTTTGGAGCTGGAGTCCCAGAGTCGGGAGTCTGAGCCAGCCAAGAATCCGAAGTCTGGGACTGAATGATTTTTCGAATGACTCAAGTTTGGGAGCCAGAAATAAATTTTTCAAGCCCCATTACCGTGAATATTAGTGGACCCTGGACTGATCAGATTTATACTCAGAGATCTCTCACCTGCGACGCTGAGCAACATGGCAAACTAATTTCAGGAGAGTAAATCAAGTTCAACTTACCTTTTTCGTGATCTGAATTTTCATGATTATCTCCATGATTATCTTCTGATATAGCATGATCTTGTACATTATAATAAAAAATATCGGGCATTGTATGAACTGGATAAAAATTTTGTGACAATAAATTCAGGAAATTCATCTTCACTTGATCATCTGTTCCTGTATATACAGATAAAAAATTAGACAGAAAATAAAAAATTTAAAAAACATTTGTCTGCAAACAGGACTATTGGAATCCGGAGACAAAAATTAATAAAATTGCAAATTTTCATTCCATTTATTTTTTACTAAATTTCCATTTGGGTACAATATTTTTCAATTTTGCTTTCAACAAGAGTCTGGACCAGTTGTTCTCAAACTTTCATGATCCATTCTTCCTTTCCAAAGACTCCTTGTACTTCCCAATTTCTATATTAATACAGGGTTTTGTTTTCAACAGGTTTAGATTAGTTATTTTATTTGCCAAATTTAATAATAAATAAAGTAATTAATAATAAAAAGTAAAGGAATGAATACATTGCATTTGAAAACCTAGATCAATATAGTCAGTTTACTTTAAATTAAAGTACGAGTAGTCGTCGCAAATACTACATAGTGAAAGACTTTGCTTGTGAACCCCAGGAAACCGCCCCATGGTCTCCTGCACTATTTTTTGCTTTTTCACAAAGTGCTTTCACATCACCACTCTGAACAAGACGTTCAGCAAGCAGTCATGAAATGATGATGAAATATAAAACCTATACCTCATCAGAGTATGATAAATTGGGTGGGGCTAGAAAGATAATGGTCCTTTAAAAAACATTAGTTTCCTGTGTTTCAGTAGCTATAACCCCTAAAAATACCTGATATATGTCTCGGATGACATTCTTTCAACAAATTGATGGGAAACTCTGGTAAATCTTCCCATCCTACTTTCGAAGTTACCAGAAGCTTCTTTAGTGGTTTGGAAATCTGAAAAATATGGTTTCAAAACTAAGTTTCTCTTTAAAATAATAATGTATCATACAACTACATGACAATACAAAAACATACCTTTAATGAGCGAGGCAATGAGCCTGTGTGATTTGGAGTATTCTCATTGCTCAAAGCTGGTGCAGAATTATTTGTAGCAATGTGAGAAAAAGGTGGCATAACTTCCGATTCAGGTGTATCCCCATCTGTATCATAAATATCCTTTCCCGGTATACCACCAGGTTTTGGAAGACTTTGCGGTCGTTTACGCAATTTTTTGAACGCACTACGCACTGATGATTTATCTAATGTTCCTGTTTTTCCTGCTTCTGAATGTTTTTGTGAGTCGTCCATGTTGTCTCCGATTTCATCATCTGGATGTTTATGTTCATGGGTTTGTCTGTTTATTCCCGAAACTTGATTTTTGTTTCCTCTTGTTTTTTGCTCAGGGCTTTCTGAAGATGTCTTCTTCTGTGGAAAGTGGCTGCTGGTGCTGCTTTGAGAAGGATCAGTCGCAGATGAAGTTGAACTTGTATGTCGTATCATTGGTTCAACTCTAGCAACTGGAATGTGTGGACCAACATCTGGGAAATGAAATAATAAAAAATACTAACAGAAAAAAACATTTGAAAAGGAAATGTGAAAATATAGACTACATGTGGGAACAGCCAACAAAAATTTTTTGTTAAAATTTTTAATGAATTATGGGGATACCTATTTTCAGATATTGTTACTTATCGATTTTAATCGGTAAGTATGTTGATAGGTATTCGTCTGTCTGTATGTCTGTCTGTTAGATGCACGCGATATCTCACGAAAGCGACATTGAATCTGCTCCAGATTTTGCATGTGCATTCATCATATGTCGGACCAGAAGCCTATTGATTTTGGATGAATTATGTCGTATAATTAGGGAGTTATCAATTAATTAGTGATGGAACACAAGGTGTCACTATAGAGTAGGAGTGCTGTTTTGGGGGATCCCCTGACTTTCAATCGATAAGTCTTCGGTCTCTGACCGATATTCTTGTTTAATTGTTATTTGCGCATTGCTGCAATTGATTTTTAGCGGATAAAAAGCATGTAGTGAGAAGTATGAAATGTAGATTCGTTTCTTGATATTTGCATATTTTGTACGAAGTTATAGTCAACTTCTTTTCACAAAGCCTATTCCATTCTATGAATGCCCACACTACCGGGGTAAAATAGATTTGTTGTCAGGTCAAACAACATCATGCAACACATGGCAGTGATCCCCTGAAAAAATCTTACATCGGTACTGTTCAAACTCTCTGTTGAGAGATTGAGACCGAATACTTGGCTTTATTGAGATTTTTTGATAGATCACATGAGGAAGAAGGACTCCGTTTTCTTACCCAAGAAAAAAATGCTATATTTAAATCACAACTCACCCATTGAAAAAACATCGTCACTCTGAGCAATCATTTCTTGAGAAAGATGTTGATTTCTGAAAGCTGCTACCTAAAACAGTGATTAAAAGACTTGATTGTTTTTGGAAAAGTCTTTGCCAAGTACTTCAGTTATGTAGAATTCACTACATCATAGTTTTTTCCTGACCATTTTGATTTCAACTGTTATAAGATCTTGGGATTTCAGTGGATTCCCACAAATTAGATTAGAAAAAGGTCTACTTTACTGTACTGTACAACATGCAAACAAAACAGAGTCATAGCATACCTGAGGACATGTGATTAGTAAGAATTGGGTAATATCAATTTCCTGTACAGATTCCAAACAAATAGCATCAGTTGCAGCTTGCACATCAATACTTGCTATATTACTACCCCCAGTCAGTTTGAGATTTTTTGCAACAGCTCGTACAAAGCACCTGTAACAATGACATGACTTACAATCATGGTATTCCAATACTTGACAAAATAAACCACTTCTAACAAGGGTTTTCATATCACTTATAAGTCATTTGCAACTCAAATTCAGAAAAAGTGAATGATGGTTGAGTTTGCTTAACCATGACACTTAACACACTGTCCGAATGTAAATACCAGGAGTTTAAAAATTGATCAAGGCACAAGTCCAACCACCTTAATAATAGTGTGATAGCTTTCATGTGAGCCAAGACACAGGGAGCATACTGAGAACCATTTAGATTTTAGCTTGGTGTTCACATAATTTAGTCGAGTTAATATTATAATTTGTCAAGTTGTCAAGTTTATTCACATGGAGCTAGCTGCGAAAGCTACAGAAAACTTTCATAGTTACCCAAAATAATTGAAAGCTGCAAATAAGTAAATTACTGTTTATTATTATTATACGTGATAAAAATTTCATTTTCACATCTAATTTTTGTAAGAATTTTACTCCTCATTAGAGCTGTGCACCTCCAATTTATATTCAGGGGATGACATTTTAACAATAATGAGTTATTACTTTTCAAAATTGTTCACCCCAATAAAAAAGACTAATACCTGTGATACACATCCACCAATGTTTCACATAATGATGAAGCATCAGAATCCAATGCTTTATTATGAGAGGAACCAAACACATCTTCAATGTTTGTAAAAAATCCCTCATTTCTGGCATAATTTGTACCCTGGAATGATGAATTGCACAAAATTTAAAAAAATTATCATTACCTATTGTTCTGCGAATACAGAATTAAAGAACTAAGCATATAAACCATGCCATACTAGATTGTCTATTGCAGTAGGGTACATTAGCTTCGGATAAAATTAGAATTCTGTTATTCCAACGAGTTTTATATTGAACAAAGAGACTTTAGAATGGAACTGACAGAAATTGTCACACTTCGGTTGGATTCGTGATTATTCTGCAAACTGGCTTTCCAGATTGCTTTTGTGATTCAGATGCATAGCACTGCCATTATTATGAAATTATTGTACCTTATCCACTTTGTGTTTGTACTTACTGGAGTTTGATGGAAAGGATAACTTTGCGATCTGAAAAATCTGTGTTTTGATGAAGATTCAGGTTCAATTTTGCTGTCAACAGATTTAATCCTGCAAATGTAAAATTTCTTCATGAAACTATATTCATTAATAACAAATAAATAAATTACCATTCAAACAAAAAATAATATTGCTATAAGAATAATATTACATGAAAGTATGAACTAGTTGTTGAATCAACCATCCAAAATTTACTCGTCAGCATCAGACAGACCAAAAATGAACTTAAAATGAGTTTATATAATAGTGTTGTTATTCAAATGTTGTAAACTAAGGTATCAATATAAGTAGAAAATAAGGTATCAATATAAGTAGAAAACAAAAGTGGATCCAAAACAGTGCCTTGGGGTACTCACTGAAAAATACATCTGGTATATTTTCGAATGTCACTTGGGATTGATAAATTTGTTTATAAAGCACATTTTGAGAAGAATTTGTTGAACCGAATGAGTTTAACACAACGCTGTGTATTGGCTTATTTACATTTTGAAAAAAACATGTTTAACCTGCTCATAAATGAACTTGAAACGAGTTTGTACACTATTGTTGTTAAACATTGGAAACTAAGGTATCAATATAAATAAAAAACGAAAGTGGACCTAAAACAGTGCCTTGGGGTACTCACTGAAAAATAGATTTGGCATATTTTCAAATGTCACTTGCGATTGATAAATTTGTTTATATAGCACATTTTGAGAAGAATTTGTTGAACTGAATGAGTTTAACACAGCGCTGTGTATCGTCTTATTTACATTTCAACCTGCTCATGAACTGGACTGGTGTAATACGAAGATGAAAACCAAAGAAATTAAATTACCAATTGATACATCTTTCAGGTTCAACCAAATTATGATTTATCAGATTGTTTATATATTATGTATTTAAACATGACAAACACCTTTCCATAAATTACAGGAATGCAAATTACATTATACTCGTAACCCAGTCAGGACGTTCGCCATTTTGGGAATATAAATTAAACCACCCCAAGTTTAGGTCATTACACACATATACACGGATTCACATACAGGAAAAAGATACCCAAACGTCAAAGACCAAAAGTCTTTTCTCTGTAACGGATGCACCAATCAATTTCAAATTTTCAGTTCTCATAGATATTTTTTGATATTTCCAGCAAATATCATTCTCTAAGGCCTCACCGCTGGGTACCGACCGATTCGTATCCATGCCGAGTGTATTCTTTGGTACATCCAATATATATTAATGATGCATTAACAAAAAGCAAGCATGTCGTAGTGATAGACAGCAAAAAAATGATATGCATCGAATAAAATATTGAAACAAACAATCATATTGAGCAAATAACGAGAAAATAAAAAAAACTGATGATGAAAAGCTGTAAAATGTCATTAACTGAACATTTTTCAAAATTTCTTTCCCGCTTTATACCATGCAAACAAAAATAAACTCCAAGCTGCAAACTGATGCAATATAGGGCATACATATTATCACATGCATTCTTACACTTCTTTGCAGCTCTGTGACCTATTAGTAACTAGTTTTCTTGGAGAAGTTAATCTCTTGGCTGAGAAGTGATCTTGTACATAGTTGGGTCTAAATTAAATAGCGTAATATAGAAAAAAACTGCTCCTAAATAGAAAATGTTATTGTTTTACTACTACTATGTCTTGTTTTACAAAAAAAATTTGTTCAAGAGTGGAGAAACCTCTGCAGTGTTGAATGATAACTTGCGCTAATCAAGAGAAGTAAATGAAAACCTTTTTAAGGAAACGAAAGCGAAAGTTCAGACATAATTCTGTTTAATATCAATGAAAAAACTAAGTCAAAACCATGTCTCATGGAAAGAATAGGATGGGTAAGATTTCGCTTTGGAAGAAACACACACTAATCCTAAGTAAAAGAACAGATTCGAATAGAGACTTGGATAAATAAAGCTAGGAGCATGTTTGTTTCAAACCAGCAGGTCAAAACACCCACTTCCAAAATTCTAGCTTTGTCTTTTCAACTAATTTTTTTTTCATTTTTTGACAATTAATTTTTTTAAGTACCGGTACATGAGTCATGACATCATGATCACAATACTATGGTATAATTTATCAAACTAATGAGAAATATAACTTACTACGACCCAATAATTTCATGAAGAATTTTATAATAAATATGATGCAAGACAAAAAATAACAATTCACACAAAACCGATTTGAAAAATATATATGAAAGTCTTAACAAATAAAATCACATATTATACAAGTATGCCATAATAAATAAAAACATACTATGGAGTTGAAAACCCCCGAGATGATTTCAAATTTGTGGAAAATGGAACAAATTTTATAAATATTTATAATGCTGTCGAAAACATTCAATTTATGGTTCAAAATCAAATTTCATAATAATAAATTGCTTTGCTGATTCAAACTTGGTCTTTAATCAAAAATATATTTGATATGAAAATATATATAAAACCTTCATTGCAAGTTCAAATCAACGCAAAAATATAAATAAAATATTTGCATTCAGGTAACAATTAGATCAGATACCTGTAATCCTGTTCAACATCCAAGTTTGATATATTGTGAGGAACAGAGGTAGGATCTTTCAATAGCTGTTCCACAATATTTGACGTAGTACATTGATACACAAACACTGGTAAATTAATCTGTGGTTGAGGATCAGGTGAATATTCTACTTGTGGCTCTTGTTTCAAGTTCTGTAATATGATCAAATGCCACATCAGAATGATTGATAATAATAATAGGATAGGATAGGATTTACATATTTACCCGGGGGAGAGGAAAGCCGATAAGACGGCTTATCCATATGGCGAACCACGGCCTCTCCAAGTCGGGTATGGGATTAGATTTACTGTATTGTTTGTTTTCGGAAGCATGGACTTAAACATTCTATTGAGTAATCTACTCAGGGATGGTAAAGATAGAGTCAGATGATAGTTTATCAGTGATATTAGTTTCAATTACAAATGACAACACTCCAGATCGGGGATGGGCAAATTACGAACAGCAGGCCGATTTTGAGCCTCTGTCACAGTAACTAAGTCTATTATCTGTAACTGGACAACTCAGAAAAATAATTGCCCACCCCTGCTCTAGATTAAGTATTACTGCTTACTGCTGAGTGCTATTATTGTGTGTCATCAACATCAGGGCCATTCCTAACATGACGTCTCAAAAACACCAAAAGCCTATATGGAATGCCATATTAAACAATATAACAATGTTTAAAAAATATGACAAATTTGATAGCATAAATATATACCTCGTCTGATTTGTTCGAATTGACAGATGTTATTCTTTTTATGGATCTTCTTCTTGCAAGTCTATAATCATCACGACTGAGTGAAACTTCTTGAGGATTACTTGGAAGTTTTTTCTCTTGCGTAATCTTTACATCACCAGGCTTGAATGAAAAAGAAGTAGTATGAATGAGTTTTGAGTGCAATACGAAACCTCGAAGCTCGAGTCACAGACTCAAGAGTCTTGAGTCAAGTTTGAGTCTCATCAAGTCAAGTCACTACACTCTCGAGTTAACTCGAGCCTCTGCTCTTTCATGTACAAGTTGAGTCCGAGATCCAGTGGAATGGATAAATATGAGTGAGATGACACTAAGACTTCCATCTCACGTTAAGCCAAGATTATTCTGAAACCAATTTGCAGAAATGACTCAAATCAAATCAAATCTTGGAAAAAATTGACTTGAGTCTGATTTATTAGCTCAGGTTTCCTCAACACTGGTATGAACTAAGCTGAAACAAATAACTTAGTCAAAATAAAACACCAACAATTGAATATAACTTTTTGAGAATAGCAATTTCTCAGGTAAAACAAAAATCTCTGCAATACATATACGGTAACTTACATTTGGCATAGATTCAGGCACCTCTTCCTCAATATTTTGCATTACATCAGATTTGGTATTGGCAAGATCAGGCATACTGGCAGCAAGTTCCTAAATAAATTGAAAAAATATATATTGAATATAAAATATACTGACACTGATATGACCATCACTAAATTAAGTAAAAATCCAACCTAATGTTAAGGAAATTATACAAAATTCCATATGAAGGTGTGCCATGTATGAAAACTAGCAACGTTCAGGCCCCATAGAGAGACAATTGAATAGATGTACCTCTAAATCCTTGAATGTTGCAGGCAATAGTGTTATCATTATTTTTCCTTTCGGTAAAACTATGAGATAACATTTCCACTTTGTTTTTGGGATATCATCATCCTCACTGCTATCACTGGTAGTAGATGAAGATATTTAATAAAGATATAAACATATTATTAAAAATTCATATTGAAGTACGGTAAATTGCTCGTGGTAGAATAAATAATATAAGAAACTTTTTAGCAGTCGTTTATCAATAGCTTCATGCGGAACTCACTACAACATGGAATTTATTTCTGAAATTGTTTAATTAATCGTCTACCATGTACAAAGCCAATTAAAACCTATGTCACACCAATGAACTGTTTGCCATATCACCTATTCAAGAAACCTTACGACCTGTTACAAAAGTGTGATTTATGGATAGAACAAACAGTGCAGTAATAAAGATAAATATATGGATACAAGGTGCAATTAAACATACAAAGTATTTTAAAAAATTGTTCTTGGATTTTTTTTACGGCTTTCAATTTTTAGTACCGGTACTTAAACATAGAAATGTCTTCAAAGAAGCTACCAAATTTCCTATACACTCCCTGAGACATGTTTTCTACTCACTGGATTTTACCAGATATACTCACAAACATTGATTGAAGCGTTGTCACAATAAAATACGCAAAATTTAGAAAAATCATTAGATAGTAGAGTGATTATTGGGCGCTCCAGAAGTGTGCGTACCAGTATGGAGGTAAGTGATATTGTTCGCCTACTTTACATAAAATTGTGTAAAGGGACTGAAACCCATGAGTATATTCACTTGGCTAACACAGACAGTACCCGAACTCGTAAGTCATAATAGAACTAAAATAAGGAAAATCGAAATGAAATTATGTCCTAACCCTAATCTGGTACACACACTACAGGAGTACCGATTATTGACACGCCAGAAGCTAAAAAAAACTTATCTGGCATTTATCAAACAACTATCACATTGGCAGGAGAAATAAAGAGGCTCCAGTAAAATTTACACAAAGGTTGGACATGTAGGTTTTTCACTTAACATTTCCTGATTAGAAAAAGGTAATTTAAATTAATAACTGTGGCCCGGTAAGGCAAAATCGAAAAAGAATATTATTACATTGCCAACATCATTATTTTATCACAATCAATGCTACCTTTCTTGTTCTCCTTTGAACAAATTTGATTCCTCCTCTCTTTTGATCATATGCTTTGTTACATTAAAACAATCAACGTCTGATAATATTGCTTCTTGGTCAGATATTTTTGATAACGATTGATGAAATAAATCAAACAAACAAACATTGGGACTGGGAATCTCTTCATTGATGTCGAAGAAACCTAAAAATTTGACAAAGATATTTAGGTAAGTATGATCATTCATGATAAGTATATAAGTATATTTCGATTTTCCCACAAAACAAATCATACACAAAACACAAACAATGAACACACAGGAGATTGGGAAAATCGGGGAATCATATTATCATAATTAGTGTATGTTGACTATATTGTATATTAGACTCATACAGTTCGGGCACTACTACTAACCTATTGCAAAAAAACAATAAGAATAGGCAAATAGATTACCTTGTGATAAAGTCATGAATAGCAGTTTCACCCGTGGACAACGATCGAGTAGGCTAACCAAATCAAACAGACAAGGATAATGTGTGATTCCTTCATAAACAGGGGTACTCCTGGTTTCAGCACAGATTGGCGAACCTGAATCAAAATGGAAATATAAAATGAATGAGATAGAAAAGTACCAAAAAACATTTAATAATAAATATAAAGTTTCTATTCAGTATGCTGAACTAATGGTTAGAAACCGTTTAGGAATGTCCTTAATTCAAAACTCAAAATTTTGAGTCTCAAATCTGCATCTACTTGGCTAACAGAAGAATCCATGCATCACTGAACTACATTTAAAATTACTTGAAGAACCCAATTAAAAAATGAACTTATTTATATTTTACTCTTTCAATATTGACCAAATCAAAATATAGGAAAGAGTTAGTTACTTGAATATCAGTGATTTTAAAAAATATTTATCATCCCATATTAATGTATTCAAAAAGTAAATATTTCAGATTCATACATATTCACTCCATTATTGCGGACCATTCAAACTGGCTGATTCTGGACTTTTCTAATAAATTGTACATAGATTACTTACATTGACCATCAAGATGTGACTGAGAACTTGGCTTTCTTGATCTCTGATGTTGATTTTCATTTTTGTTTGGCTTTATGACTGGAAAAATAATAAATGTTTAAAAAGTCTAATAATGGAAACTGAAACACTAGAAGTAAACTAGTCAATGATTAGACTATAAGAACTTTAGTCAAAAAATAGAAATTAGCAAAAATTGTCTATAGAAATTTGACAATATACTCAAAAAAAAAACTTTCAAATTGATTGTGTACACGGATTTCATCACTTTGATTTTTCTATTATTGATTTTTGACAAGTGGTTAATTTTGGAGTTTTTAAAATTCTAAATCTCACAAAGCATGCAATCATATCCAGCGCTGGGTAGAAATCACTGAACCCGGAGTCACAAGGCACTCAGAGTAGGAGTGCGAGTCATTTCATTTAGATGACTCGAGTCACCTAGAGTCCTTGAAAAGAGGTGACGTGAGCCACTCTTCAGCAAACTGAACATACTCACATTGCTGTGGAAGAGTAGGCATTACACATGACTTTGGTTCGCACATCAGTCTTAAGTGTTCAATAGTAACCAGGATACTGAGAAGTAGTCTGTCTTCATTTGCAACCTGAAATGAAAAGTTACCTCTTTAAAAAAAAACTGTTCTGAAATATAAAAAACTTGTTTCAATGACATAAAATACTCACAACTTTAGGTATATCTTGATATGCTGATCCTAAAAATTTTTGATTAGGTTGATAGATATTGTATGTTGTTGTCGCTGATGAAGACGTGCTACTTAATCTGCTGCTTCTCCCGCTAGACAATTATAAAGGGGTTATATAGAGGTTTCAAAATAATAAAAAAGCTAAGAAGGCTGGCGAAAAAATTTAACATATTTAACCAGAACTTCATTACTATAAAAATTGCAAACACCATTTACACTGATTAAGTACAAAAATTAATTTATTTAAAAATACCTCTCAAAACCGCTTGCATGTCTATGATGAGAAGATTCTCTCGATTTTGGAAACGAATCAGTGACAACAAAGCCACATTGTGGTTCGATCCACATTTCTGTAGCAAGAAATAATTCACCATCAGCCTCAGCTGTGTCTTCCTCATCATCATCCGATCCATCCAACGAAAAACTAAAAAAATTACAGCAATATTTCACATTTATTTTGGCTGGATGAAGAAAATTTGCAATTTTTTTTAATTAGGCATAAAAATTAATGTATTGCATTTTAAGCGTTTCTGTCACGATCAAAACGATGATGTTGTTCTACCATCATCTAAAAGAATTTCTAAAATTCTAAAAACCATTTGTTAGGAATAGTTATTCCAACTGAGACCGATAGTGTTCATACTACGGGCGCTCCCGTAGTATGTGCAACAAGATGGCGGACACCTGAACATCGTATGTGTACCAGGTTAGGCCATAATTTTATTCCAATTTGACTTATTTTAATTCTATTACGTGTTCGGGGACTAGCCAAGTGACGCCCGTAGTATTTGTATCTGAAATCATTGCCTAATCCTAACCTGATACACACACTACGTTCCGGTGTCCGCCATCTTGTTGCACCTATTACAGGAGTTAATTGTTGTTCTGGCGCAAAGTTAAATGAAGTATTTTATTGTAAGTCAGTGGTTCCCAACCTGGGGGTCGCGACTTGAACACCAAAGACTTGATGTTTTGGGGAGCTTCTATCAAGAAAAAAAATGCCTTAGTGCAAGCATCATATGAAGTCTCTCTGCAAAATACAAAACAAAAAACCAGGGGGTCGCGACGTATGTGTGAACCACCACAGGGGTCGCGAGCCAATAAAGGTTTGTAACCACTGTTGTACGTCAACAAATATTTTTAACCTCACCTCTCTCTTGAAGTGCATACAGTTGGTGGAAACATGATGAATTGAGCCAAACAATAATATGTTATTTCACTCCTGAAAATAAGACAAAACTCAACAGTGTCTTTAAAAAAAGCAACCTGGTAGATGTGGTCATGTTGGCCTAGCTATATTTTCATCTTGATTCACCAATACCACTTCACCCAGGGTGTATATGGTATCTAGAAATTCTAAGTTCTAAAACTTGGTGAATATATGAACCAGACTTTTTAATTGATATCTCATGAGAAATCGGTTTATATATAAACTACCACATGAAAAGCATAGATTAAGTAAGCCACTAAGACTCGGCCAACTTTAGTACAAACTGAACAAATAAAAATTCTTTGTGAATCGAAACGAATTTATTCATAAATAAGTTAAATAATAACCAATAAAAAGTATCTCCAAAAAATTAGACCAAGGTATTTACAAAATCAAAATTTTTTTACCGGTATATCAATAAATTAGAAATTGATAATATGGAATACGCTACACTACTCCACTATACTATACCTACCCATCTTCCTTATTTAAAATCATTGGGAATTCACGAACCATAGAAATCACTCCTGAAGATGAACTTGCAAAATTAAATCCTTCTGATAGTCTGAGCTGTAACATAATACAGAAAGTTACAAAATGAATATGCATTACTGGCGTAACGCTCTAAAATTGTAGCAAGAAAATGCAGCATGGCATTGAAAAATAAAGTCATAAAACACCTAAGTTACAAACTTTGTGTTACCTTTATTAATAAACTTGCCATTTGCCCTGCAACGGCAAGTGGAATAGGAGTTGCAGATTTATTTGTTATTGACCAAACACATCTGCTATGTTCCAGATATCTGCATAAATCTTGCATCAATGATGTTGAGCCAACTTCTCCTCCTGATAAACCAACGGAAAAGATATAAAAGATATGTTTAAAAAATTATACTAGAATTTAATTTATGTGCAGTTAAATAGGTATATACAAAAAAAATGAAAACTTGTCTCAAAAAAATTTTCCTCTAATGCAACTGTATAAGCTGGATAAGTTCAGAATGTTAAAATCATATCAATTGCAGTTTTCTGATTTTGACATCTGAAAAGGCACAAAACCTAATATCATTTGTAATTTTTTTGGATTTTTGTCTATATAAAGTCATGATTTGTATGTTTTTGTGCAATTCAAAGCAGAAATTGCAGCAAAAAATGTATGCCTAGTATACGCTCACCTATCCAAGAATATTTCCGAATGAAGGCAAATAAGAGGTTTGTTACTATTGGGGGATCATACTCACGTTGGAAGAAAGATAGATAAGTTTATCCTTTATCTATTTTATCAAGCTGCAATCTATTACATACCTGTTATATGACCACTTCTTGAAGATGCATTCGATGATCCAACTTTACCATGCCGATACCCAGAAGTTGGTGGCTGCATGAAATCTCGGGGTGTTTGATCATATCGAATTAAAATGCGATCGAGAGGCTTGTGAACGAGAACAGCACAACTTCTTTCAGAACCTAAAAATACAAGAGAGCAATGCACAAATGAAAAAGTGTATATGAGTGCTGTGCTGCCATATATTGAACACAAGTTAGCATAAACAAACAAAACAAAATTTCTTCTGCAAGAATAAACTTCACTTTGCCAATTCCTTACAATCACAATTTCATACAAAAATTATCCATGTGACAGGATGTATAGATTTATGGCAAACTAAAAAATTTTCTTTCTCGCTACATTGAAAAAAAAGCGAACGTGTCTAAAAATACAGAGGAGACTCAAAATGCATGAAATGTGTAGGGTGTTCATAAGATCCTGTTACAATTTCAATTTCGTTAAAAGCCATTTCTCAATATATCTTTACCAGGTTTGTTCAATGTTATTCAGTGTTTGATTTAGATTTTTTTATACCTCATCTAATACACTTTTATATCTATGTCCACCACGAAGCACATAAAAGATCTTGTACCTAATTTAATACAGGACTTTATTACCATGGTAATTGGTAACTGATATTCATCTTAAAATCATGATTTTGAAGTTGAAAAAGCACAACTCTGAGAATTAGGTTTATAGTTTCAAAAATGCTAAAACATGATTATTTTGCTATTATAGATATTGTGTATATGTACCTGAAAAATTCCTAGTTCTAGTCTGAGCACTCGGATTTCTTGATCTCACACCTGAAGTTGCTCTCAAATTTAGATTCGATGGTTGTTTTGATAATGAAGGAAACGTTAATGCAAGTACACGATCTCTAAGATCTGACAAAATCTAATAAAAAAGACAATAATTTATGTTCGATAAATATGAATCCAGCTAACCCTGAAACTCTGCCTCGAACAAAATTTGAAATTAACATTATTCGTATAACACATTTTTGGATAATGCAAATAATCAAAGCTGTTTTCCAATAAAATTAGTCATTTAAGAAGTGAAATCAAGATTTTCATTATTTTTTCATGAAAAACATTATATATGCCTTTCACTTCAGCCACAAGCATGTAAGAATTTTGAAAAGGCCGTAATTTCCTACCAAATTCATTACACTTTGTGCAAAGTGGTGGGTATGGGATTTGAAATTGATATGTTCAACCTGATATGCCAACATAAGTAAGTCCAACATGTCAAACATAACCAAGTATAAATTGGCATGTTTGACAATTTTGGTGCAAATCCTTTAATATTAAAAAGTAGTTATTTATCACAGATAGGATTCCAGGATAACTACCCAGATATGAATGTTCCTACCTGATTCCTGTATGATCCTGGAGTTCCAATTTGAAAAGCAAGTCTTATTACAATAATAGGAGCTTTGCTTGACAATCTCACAACATAGAAAGCTGACGGCTTTTCTTCATTTCTACAAAAGAATAATAGGATTAAAAAAATGCTCAAGTAGAAAAATAATCACATAACTAAATGAATAATAGCCTACCGGTTTATTACAATTTTTATTTTTAAAGAGGAAATATACAGTTACTAATTGAAGTTTAAAAATCAACTAATGACAAATAACTATGAGCATGTTGAAATGATTATCAACCGAAAACATCAAGTAGGTAGAATGTTAATATTTATTCCAGGGAAGAGGAAAGTCGATAAGTGGGAATGATCATGACTTCTCATCCAGTCACTGGCCCATGTTAGGTATGAGAACAGTTATCCAGTTATCTATTTCAGATGCATAGACTTGATGGCGGAGGAAGCCGTAATTGACCAGCATGAATGAACCAGCCTATGATGGCAAGGAATCTAGCATTGATTTTGCAAATAATTTACCCCCTACAGGACTCAAACAATGCAAACCCGCACAGAGTGTTTGTATAAGTAAGTTATGCCAGCAGACTTTAGTAGGTAAATTAACCCTTTCCAGGCATGTCAGCTAAAGATATGTATAAAGAGAAAAGTTCTTTGCCCAACTAATCAAGAATTCACATGCTAAAAATCTAATACTCACTCTTTATAGGTAAATTTCACATAACTGTGATTTTCCAACAAAACGAAAGTGCACCATTCTCGTAATAATGAAGTTAGTTGACTCATTGCAGTACTGGTTTGAATTGAATGAAAACGACCACTTTTTGTTGACACATGAAGGTGTTTGGGTAACGGTCTGTTAGCAAATTAAAAAAATGCTTAGTAGCACACTCTTGTCGCAAACAAGTTTCCAGACAAGAAGTAGACCCAATGGACTAATGGTTAGGGCAGGGGTGGGCAAGGTTTTTGGACGAGGGGCCAAAATTTTACCCCTATAGTTTGGCGGGCCATGTAAGTGTGACGTAAAAAGTGACATTTTATGAACAATATTCAGAGTAAAAAAGCAAATGTGGAAAACTATAAGCCTCTTACCAAAACTAAATTTAATCGAAATCTCAATAAAATTCTTCATGCTATTTTTCAGCTAAAACATCAAAATTTTGTTTTAGGTCAATTGTAGCAGCATCAGGGGGTCGAATTGACTTACCAAACTAGTTGGATTTGGCCAGTGAGCCGTTGTTTGCCCATGTCAGGGTTGGAGTGATGTACTTCACTATGTTGGCATCACAGATTGAAGGGTTTGTTGCTCAAATCCCATGACTAGCATCTCACCCAGGTTGTAAGGAATGGATATGTAAAGCAGGATAGTTCCAGTAATTTAATATATATTTGGCATTTCATTACACTCTGAATAAGAAACTGCGGGCCAGGGTTTGAAAAAAATTCCTAAAGCTGAGATGCCAAAACAATGGTTGTTACTTCGAATATTACAACAACAACAACAGAATGATAGATTTAAATACACTGTTAGAAGCATGGTTTCAAATTAGTTTATTTCATCTAAAATAAGTATAAACCGTGTGAATTACTCACATATCATGTTGTAATATAATATCAATGTGATGAGTATGCATCCATTTCTGCCATATACTGATGTCCAAAGATAATACAGGTTTCCAATATCCAGCAAACACGGATTTTGATGAATCTGAAAACATAACACTTAAAATAACAAAGAACGAAAGCCATGAACAAATATGTGAACTGTATCATGGCTGTAAAGTCTGGGTCTGGCCATAGAATGTTCGTTGAAAATTTTTGTCAACTTACCGGTATTGTTTTTTTGAGATTTGACTGATCCCCCTTAAAATTTCGAAATTTCCGACTTCTGAACTATACCATTCTGCCCACATACTATGTTCATAAAATTTGTTATCAGGAATATTTCAATAAAATGTATATGGAGAATTCAGACTTATATAAATTCGCTATTTTGTATCAGTACTTGATTTAAATCTTGGTGAACAAATATTTCTACACAATCTACAGATTTTTTCGGACGTTCAAAATCAGGAATGCAAGGAAAAAAAATCAACAATCACAATTCATTGGTAATGCATGGAATAATGAACCCAATTTGACCTAATTTTTTTCTACATTTCATGTTAGATGTTGCGATATATTGAAGAAAAAATAGTGACTAGGCCTATACAATTTGAAAAGAAATAAACAGTAAATAGACTAGTAAACCTACCATTCATACTTGGCATAGATAGCACAAGTTGATTTGAGTTTGGAGGTAAATAAAACAGTGGAACAAGTTTTTGACTGATTGTGTAATAAACAGGATCAGTGGTAAACGATACAAGATGTGTCATCATGTGGTCTGTTTGTGTCAAACTAAAATAATAAAAAAAAAATTAAAAAATATTTAAAACTACCATTTTCACCCAAATTAATTTATAATTAAGTTCTTTGATTGCCATGAATGAATGATCGACTGTGATGAATGATGGTATCTATTCCCATAAAATGACAAGAGGATAAAATTATTAATATTTATCCTGATCGAGTGGGGAAGGCCGTTGAGCGGCTCATTAATATGACAAATTGTGCCACTTGTTCAGGTTGGGTACAGTAATAGCTAACTCACTAATGACTCCAGATACATGAACTTGAACAGTGACAGAAGTCACAGATGCTGTGATTCACTATATAATTACGTAAGTCCTTCCCCCTCAAGTAGAAACACTATCTTGAATTTAGTACATTGGAAAATAGAGTCACAGAAGAATTTTATAAGTAATACTATCATTATTACAAATGTGTTGTATGATGTAGTTTTTCATATTCAAAATGACTAACCCTTTCATAAAATGTTTAAATCTTCGAACAGCCATTGAACGGTATCTTCCCCAATTTTCATGTCCAAGTCCAACTGTGACATCATAAAGAAATTCGTAAGTTGCTTCAATGTAGACTTCAATCTGCAACAAAAAAAATATTTTTATGTCATAATATAAACAAGAGAGCAACTCTCGAACACAAAAGTCCAACAAATAGCCGTGGTTCAGGTAGCTCTTGCGACTCGCACTGAAATGTGCCTGAGCACTGTGCCAGCAAAATGGAAACACATGCCAGCAATGACGTTAATAGTCATGGTTGACAAAATAGAAACAGCGTTGCCATGAAATAAAATAAAACAGCGAATTTTGGGGTGAAATATTGAAAGATTCCATAAGACTTGAGAGGCAATTTGAATAAAAATATTAAGCTTTCTGGCGATCACTTCCATCTTTAAGTACTAAAAATATTTATTAATTTATCTGCCCGTTATTCATAGAAAAAAGTGTTTTTCCCGAAACATACATGTCGGCCAACAACAAAAACAACAGCAACTACTTAGCAAAGCGATTCATATGGCCACTCCGTGTCAAAAAAGATAATATCAAATCTGTAAAAAAATAATACCTTAGTTATATTTCTTACAACAGGCCATGCTGAGGATGCAATGTATTTAATCGATGCTCCATGATTCCATGGATAAAGAAGAATAACTTCAAGTTGATTTCTGTTCTGTTATGAAAATAGAAAAAGTTTATGATGCATTTTCATATTATACATTTTTAATTTTGAAACCAGATAGTTGTCACATAATATCCTTCGCATTCTACCACTGATAGGATATACCCATGTGACTTTCCCTATATCCCTGATGAATATGAACGATCATATCTTATTTCTCAAAGCAGCCCCACAGAATAATTGATCCAACGCGATCACAACGAGTTTGAAGTATTACAACTTCTCGATTGTAATCAATCAGAAATTGCATTTTGAAATCTCTGATCCTGAAACGAGAATATCGGTCAGAGACCGAAGACTTATCGATCGAAAGTTAGGGGATCCCCCGAAACAGCGCTCTTACTCCATAGTGACACCTTGTGTCCCATCACTAATTAATTGATAACTCGCTAATTATACGACATAATTCTCCCAAAATCAATAGACTTCTGGTACGAGATATGATGAATGCACATGCAAAATCTGCAGCAGATCCCATCTCGCTTTCGTGAGATATCGCGTGCATCTAACAGACAGACAAACAGAAAAATACCTATCAACATACTTACCGATTAAAATCTATAAGTAATGAGTCAGTAATCATAGTAGAATAATAGCTAAACAAGACACTGTATAAAAGAAAATTTAACTGTGCTTTTTACATTATTCACTAAAATTGGTCTCAACCATTTCCAAAATCCACTTTACAATACAATCATCAAAGTAATATTTAAAAAAAAATACAAAAAAACAAAAAGATATTTATACAGACCTTTCCCAATGACATTGAGCTTATCATATATCCCTCTCTTAGTCTAACAGACAATAAAGTGAATATAGAAACTCTCAAAGTTCTTTCCAAATGTTTTTTTCTCAAAACTGGAGAAATATACATGTTTTTCTGAGTCGGAGTATATCTCAGATCTGTTTCAGGTTCCCAGTTACGAACATCTGGTAATTCAAAATCAGCTAAAAATAAAAGGAAACGATTTTTATTACTGCCAAGCCTTCTTATTTGCGATATGTTGTTATTATATAGTACATGTTGGGCAACTTTTTTCAGCTCGCATGCCAAAATCGTTTAAATTAATGATAAAATTCTTCCCCGTGCCGACCGAAATTAAAAACAATTCTTTGCCACTTTCAAAGCAAAAATACACAATAATAAACCTTTTATCAAACATGTACAGACAGATTCACTATACAGAAGAATATCAGTCCGAATGAATGCTGCGCTCTTCTCGACGAAATTTGTCGAGAGCTCACTCAGTTGTAACATCATAATATAATTCTTTGTAGCCATATGTCTTGGAAGGACAAAAAGAGTTTAAATGAACAACGGATTGTTACCAAACGATAATAAATAAACAAACACCCAGTTTTAATCAGAGTCTTGAAACTTTCAATCTAAAGTAAAATGATCTTGTTTCAGAGGCCTCGCTCGCGTGCCGAATAAATGGTCTCGCGTGGCAGGGGTTGCCCACCCCTAATATAGTATTTATTATGGTAAAGACCAGGAATACGAGAATACAGAATCATGGGCTGTAAGCATGGATGATCAAACTGAGTAATGTAATATTCTAAATATTTAGTTGAAAATAGTACTATGGAATATTGAATATAATTTGATTTAGGTCATACTCAAAAATCAGAGAAACGAGAATATCGGTCAGAGACCAAAGACTTATCGATCGAAAGTTAGGGGATCCCCCAAAACAGCACTCTTACTCCATGGTGACACTGTGTGTCCCATCACTAATTAATTAATAACTCGCTAATTATACGACATAATTCGTGCAAAAACAATAGGCTTCTGGTCCGAGATAAGATGAATGCACATGCAAAATCTGGAGAAGATTCAATCTCGCTTTCGTGAGATATCACGTGCATCTAACAGACAAACAGATATACATACAGACAGACAAATACCTATCAACGAACTTACCGATCAAAATCGATAAGTAATAATGTTCTCAAGTTATAATATAATGCATTCTTTGGATAAATTAGATAGTTCTTATGTTTATATATTTAACGCTATGATCAGTGGCTATCACCAGGTAACGTAAAAGTATACCTTACCAGACATGTTTACATCATCTTTGAGTTGGAACTGCCAGACTAGTAAACCTTTCTGATAAATATTCATTTCTGCATCTTTGAGATTATTATTATCAAGTTGTTTGAAAAATGTCCCGTAGGTGGCAGAAGATATAAACTAAAATCAAGAAGAAAAAACGACAATTCAAACCCATTCTATGCAGCTCAAAACTAGAACATACAATGAAGCAGCCATGGAAAACGAAGAACAAGTATGGAAATAGGTAACAAAATCAATATTCTTCTTTTTCTCATTTTGTGCTTTTGTGTTTCCTCGAAAATAAGACCTAGCCTGGATTTGAAAAATGATTTTAATATAAGGCCTCATCTTAAAATAAGACGTAGTCAATAGCGCAGATTTTTTCTTTTTTCGACTTGGTCGATAGCAAGAAATTTCCCCTACATGTTCGAAATCAATGTGAGAGAGGAAAATGTTTAAGTAAATGGATATCGATTTTCATATTTTGTATGTTTGAAAATCTTGTAATTATCTATATTGTAATTTTGTTTTTTTACTAAGTGAAAATAAAAGACATCCTCCCAAAATAGAAAAAAGAGCCTGTATTTTTGGGAAAAGATGGTAGTGTCCATTATGATTAAAGGCCTTTAATGTTTTTTTATTGCTGTTGCACTTTTTTTATTGTGTGTCCTAATTTCTGATTTATTCTTACCTTTAGAAGTTCAATGTTGGCAGAATATCCATAATCACAGAAAACAGCTTGTGAACTTTTGAGATGTAAAAATGAACAACTAGTCGTTGTGCTACGAAGTTGATTCAACAATGTCTCCAGCACAGCCATGTCAGGCATACCTAGACAAAGTTAGCCAATGATTCCAAGTTTTTTTTATTTAGAATAAGAATTTCAAATCAAAATAAATAGCTGGAAGATATTGGAGACTGCATTACATAAAAATCAAAAATTTTCAACCAAAAAACGAGAATATCGGTCAGAGACAGAAGACTTATCGATCGAAAGTTAGGGGATCCCCCAAAACAGCGCTCTTACTCCATAGTGACACCTTGTGTCCCATCACTAATTAATTAATAACTCGCTAATTATACGACATAATTCATCCCAAATCAATAGTCTTCTGGTACGACATATGATGAATGCACATGCAAAATCCGGAGCAGATTCAATCTCGCTCTCGTGAGATATCGCAAGCATCTAACAGACAAACAAACAAACAGACAGACGAACAAATACCTATCAACATACTTACCGATTAAAATCGATAAGTAATAACTTATGATAGGCAATGAAATGAGCGAAGATCCTTATGTCAAGGTATATATATTTAATTGCTTTAGATATCAATGTAATTACCGTATATTAAAGATCAAAAAAATATCTCAATAGATCAATATTATAAAAATTTGCTTTCAACAGACATTTTTGTAAGTAGTAAATGCAGATAAAGAATTTTACCAACAACACCATCAGTGAGAACAATAATTCCTGCGCTCGTATTAGAAGGTAGTAGATGTAGAGCAAGTAGTCCAGTTCTCAATATACTGACGAGACCATGATCATGTCTGACTGGTTGAGAAGAAACTGTAAGAAGTATGAAAGAAAATGATGCTGATAAAAAAATGTAATGTTGCCAAGCACAACATACCAAAAATAAATTACAAACAATAACATCGGTTGTTATTTCAGATATAAAAAAAAAATTTTCCTCTAAGAAAAATCAGAAAATGAATGGTGAATTTAATGATATTATGTTTTATGGCATACCTACTAGATTGAACAAAAGTACCACGCATTATATTTTCAAAGCAAAAGGCCTATATATCATTTCAAGTTTAATGGTTTTCCATTTGCCACAATGCCACCAAATTGCGACTGAGCAAAAACAGACATTTAGATATACATTTCAAACACTATTAATTAAATTGGGAAAACAGGGATCCGGCCTAAATTCAGATCTACAGTCCCTCAAATAACAGTCTCCTGATAAAATTTAAATTCTGACCATGAAAACAATCATAGATTCCACATTACTGCTAAAAAATATTATGTTCAAAGACCACTTCAACTGCCTAAGGTAAAAACATCATCTCAATTAAAATTTATTAACTCCCTTTAACTGCTTCCATCCAATTTCATAAAAAAATTAAATTAAATCTAAAAACCATAAAATAAAATAAATCATACCCAGATCATTAGATTGAACCCATTCTTTCATTCCATGATATATTTTACACTCGACAGCATTCAGTATAGTAAGCACAGATTGTGGAGTGAGTAGACATCCTTGTACAATTACATCTTGTTTATATCTTCCTTTTGATTTTTGGTTAGGTCGTGCTTGAGCAAAGACAGTGACATAAATGCTTGGTTGAATCTTGGCATCGTTGTTTGGTACCTGAAACTAAGGATGAGAAAACATACGATGAGTTGAAGAAATTACTGAAAGCCCCAACTGAGTGAGTACCTTATGGAGGATAGAATTGGCCTTTCTTTTATTTGCTCTATATTGTAATAACACTGAGAATTGATATGGAATGCATAGGAGGTCTTTTCCTCAAACATTTTTTTCCACATAGAAGTGCCTTGAAGAAGGATGATATGATGCGTTCGGTCGGAAACTTCCACTGGTACTCTGGATTTGAGCCTTTTCATTCATGTAATTACGAAATTGCGATACTGTGCCTATTGGTTAACAGAGTCAACCTTGACTTGTCCTATTTTTCAAGCTAGACAGATACCAATGGCAAAACTTATCAAAATTATTTTATTTACATTATTACAATATTTATATTTTACTACTTAAAGCTCATAGCAAGGATTAACAATTCAGGATTTGACAACAGGATTCGGTTTACATCGTTTCACCGATATGCGCCAATTTCGTATTTTGATTACCGTAATTTATTTATCAATACGAATCAATGGTCATTACCTCTCATAGCTTGCACAATAATATCTATCTCACTAAATTTCTTGACCTCTAAAATATTTCGGCGTACCCCAGAGGTCCAATGAACTTCGTTTGGTAACCTCTAATTTAGATCTTATAGAAAATCTTTGAGTCTTCTAATTTTATAGATCAAAATCATATTTAGATTTGCCAATGTTCATAAAATCCAAAATCACACTCACAGGTTGTACCAAGCAGCACAAACAGTCAGCAAGCCTAGATAAAACTCCTTCAGCAACTGTTCTATAAGATTCCGCATCAATTCGAAATGCAGAGGGTGACAAGTCCAATGCAAACACAAGCCTGTATCCTCGTGATAGAAAATTAACTTTGGTTTCTGGTTGCAAAGTGCATCTTGAGACATTTCTAGAAAAATAAAAAATATAATTTCTTGATAAGAATATCAATTTTAATATAATCTAGATTCCCTTTCAAGATCCTTCAAGATCCATGGACCTCTTCCAATAACTCTCACAACTTTGTGGCCACATGCTCTTCGGAATTTTTAACAGGTTAGCTACATTGGTTATTTTATATGCCACATTCAATAACAGAATAAAACAGCAAATGCGAGGGAAAGAATAAATGTATAACAAAAAATGGTGCTTCTGAAGTATGCGCACCAAGATGTCGCATAACCTGAACCCTAACCAGATACACAACCTGAGTTCAGGTTGTGCGCCATCTTGGTGCGCATACTTCAGGAGGTCCCAAAAATAATTAATCGAATTACCAGTAATTTACTTTAATAAATTAATGCGGTCATTGCAAATTCTACATAGTGGGAGCCTTTGACCCTGCCCCCCAAAAACGCCCAATTAAAGAAACCAAGCTCTATAAAACTCACTTTTCCAATTCAAATTCTCCAGATTCTTCCTGTGCAATTGGTTCTATACTTTGGCTTCTCTTCTCATCATCATCATGTATTTCTTGAGGATTCCAAGACAGGATTTGTATTTCATGTCCATTGTTATCATCAATTTGTCCATCCTGAAATAAAAGTTCTCTTTAGAAAAATTGCAAAAGTGTGAACATAGATATGGTAAAATGCATATATATCATGCTGATTTCTGATGATGCTGATTTGTCAACTCAGGCAAAGATCGCCCCAATTAATGCAATCTGGGTGACATACTTGCAAGCACAGGGCAATAAAATCGTGTACATTTGACCTTCAATTAATACTGGTAATATAGTCAGGCCGCAATCAGCATCACATCACTGATTACCCTCACTGGGGATGGGCTTCAAATCTTGATTTATTGCCATCCCTTGGCCAAGGAAATATAAAAATGCAAAAGCCTATACTAACATTGCCCCTGAACGAGAAGACATTACATAAATCTCATCTAACCCATGTAAAGAGGAAATTTTCAAGTAAATACAATACCTTGAATGCAACTCTCGGCAATGTTTCAATGTCTTTCAATATGTTATTGAAAAACCATAGAAGTCGTATATTCCGAGAAATTCTGTAATTCTTTTTCAGAAGAACATAAACTTCTTCAGCCTGAAATAATAAGTTAATATGTTGAACATTTAATTAGTAGTGACATTTTTCACAAAAAAATCATTTCTGATAATCGAAACACACTCCAATCCAATGTCATGTTAGGACATCCTAATATGAAAGTATTACAGTATGTAGGCCTACTCCCAAAAGGGTGCTCCCGAAGTATGCGAACCAAGATGGCGGACATCGGAACGTAACATGGGTAACAGGTTAGGGTTAGGCGATAATTTTTTTTCAATTTTCCTTATTTTAGTCCTATTATCAGTTCGAAGACTAGCCAAGAGCCTCCCGTAGTATTTATACCTAAAATTATGGCCTAACCCTAACCTAGTACACATATTACATTCCAATGTCCGCCATCTTGGTTCGCATACCTCGGGAGCCCCCCTAAAAGTCTATTTCACTACTATAAAATTACAGTTATATAACCAGAAATTTTTTGACAAACTACCATGGTTATTGCATTAAAAGTCATAATACTTTTCTTTCATCAACATTTTTTTATTAAAAAAGTCTCACTTACAACAAAGTCATAAAATTGACTGCAAAACCGAAAATACCATTTCCTAAGTCCCAACTGCCCCTAGATCAGGGTTACTCAACTAGTAGACTGTGATAAGAAGTGATAAGTTTCCACCCCATTACCTTAAGATATGTGAAGGTCTCTCTCTATTTATTTTGAAGGATTTTTATCATTAGTTGTTGACTATGTACGAACTGTAATGCCCCAATGATAGAAATGCGAAAAGTATTAATTATCAAATATTCAATAGCCTGAGAACTACAATGCACATACAGGATGTTTATTTTTTTGCAGTTACCCCATTATTTACAAACTCTATAACCTCGATGTTAGAGGCACTAAAATATATTTAGGCGCATCTGGAAAGACCGCCCATAATCTTGAAAATCGAGAGGAGTATGATGCACGTTATGATATTGATTTTTTACGGTTATCCAGTTTTTCTGTTAAATATATAACCTTAAAGTTAAAGCCACTAAAATATATATAGGCGCACAGTAAAATATATTTTCTAAAAAGACCTGACCCGTCATTTTAAAATTTTTTTAGAGGAATCTTTTAAAATAGTACTCGAGTAGCCCTGCCCTGGGGGGTGACCCCATCTCTCTCTTACCGATAAAATGCCACGACCATGAAAGCTCAAAATACAACAAATTAAACACAAACCCCATTGTCTTGTTCTTCAGACATCTCTCCATAAATGAGTAACAACTATTAATTATATTCATTTGTCTATCATTGTTATCCTGTATTTAATGACAACAAAATACAAATTTTACAATCAATACAGAATGACAATTAAAAATACAATAACCATGGGATATTCACTTAGAAATTATAGCTAGACTGAATAGGGAGACAGAGCCATGCAAGTCTATTGGGATAATACTATATTTATAACCGAAAAAGGATTTTTTTGGTCATTCATAAAATAAACTTCACAAAATGCCTCGTTGAGTATTTAAATATAATTTTGGACAAAATTAAGATGTTCAGATCGTTTCTCTTAATTGTTGTTGTTGTTGGGATGTTTTGATTGTTGTTGTTGAAAAAAAAAATGTTTTTCTTTGCAACTGAAAGATCAATTCATTTTGAATTTCCAGTGATTAAAGATGGAAGTTGCTAAAAAGCTGTTACTTTCATTTTTTAAAAATTTCTCTGTATCTTATTGGGCCTGATATTTCATCACAAATTTATCTGGTTTTGAAATTCAGGCGACAATATTATTTGTCATAATCGTGTGCATATAAGTTGGTCATTGCTTTCTTGTTTATAGTAAAATTGAAACCACTTTCTTTGCTCTGAACAGAGCTGTAAACAAGCATTCATTGATATATTTAGACCTAGCATCTATATTTTTGGAGGGACAGAGATCTTTTTAATCCGGCAATATATATGCCAAATTCATTACACTTAAGTGTAAGGTTGGTTGGAGGCATGGGGCATGTTAACCACTATGCCATGAATTCATAAAAAATAATGAAGCAAAAAATTCTCCAATATTGCAAGATATGTTTAAAATCAAAATTGGATTTTCTATGTTATGTAAAAAATGAAAAATAGAATATGACGCTGCTATTCATAATATTGGGAATACCAGTTGGTACCGATACATGAATTCTATATTATTTCAAAGGAATATAAAAAAAAACATTGATTGACCAAAATGAACTATAAATTGATAACTACACTTACGATAATTATTATATTTAATAAATAAACCTTTGAAATCTTTATTCCAAACAACGTAATTCAGAATGTTGAATTTCAAAAAATAACAAAATATGTTCGATTTCAAAAATTAAGATATACAGCCCTAGCCAACAACGACAGTCACAATGTACATTCAATTTCAAACAATTATTTTTATCTAGTTTCTATATCATTTATACATCACCAGGAATATTGAACAGTTACACATACAATCAATAATAGAACCATAAAAGTTTTGCATGGGTACTGATAAAAAAAAATAGTTGTCAACATCAACAAAAGACAATAATCTAACATGGAAGCAACGTTTGAGAGGATTTTATAAATAAGCTGTGAATTGTCAACATAAAGGACAACAATCTGACATTGAAACAGCCTTTGAAAGAATGGGAATGTACTTCTCGGTCACCCAAATAATATAATTGTTATTTTGAAAATCCAAATAAATAGTGTTTTGAGTATATGGAGTTGATATATTATAAAAGGACTATGGTATTTGTATTTTAGAAACTTTTATACCTTCGATTATTCGTTACTCAAGTAATAATACACTGCCAGCTGTTGCCAAAATAAATGAATGACCTAGCCTCGAGCTAAAAGAAACATTGAAGAAATATAAACAAAGTATCGCCTTGTCATATAGTATAATATGATGACTTCTAGCAATGCAACGATGGCTTCGTCCAATAATTTTAGGTTTATGAGCAAAGTACTTGCATTAAAAAGTTGTTATATTGTATTACATATAGGGAATAATTTGATTGTAAGTATAATACTTACAGATTATAGGAATATGATAATTAGGATACATAACAAGCAGTTTTGAAAGAACATCAAACAACCATTTTAACAAATTCTAATACAACTTAGAGAAGTTTCATCCATACAGAAAAAAATTTAAAAAATAATTAAAGTATCCGCCAGAGGTTTTGTGCAAGACATGAATTCACACAAATATGGAGCAGAAGCTCACATTATATGGATGCAGAGTTTTCTTGATTCAGTTCAAATAAACCACAACCTCTTTTTTATAAGATCCATGAGCTTTTTGAAAATGGTATTTTGTGAAAACAATATTAGGTGCATATCTTCGATTTCAAAGCTTTCATCGTGACATTGATATTTTAACTGATCGAATAATTCTAATACTGATAATCAGATTTTTTATACATCCGATCATTGTTTGATTCCAAGTAGTTAACAATCTTTTTGAAGCAGTTTTATTTAACATTTTTAACACTGCACGTTACCAATATTAAAATATTATGAATAGGGATATCCCTCTCCTAATTGAAATCAATTATCGACATTGAACTCATATAAATTATTGCAAAGAACAAGTGATTGGACAGAAATCCAGAATATGGAGATCTCTCAGTTTTGGGGTAGCCTGATCACCCCTACACCCCCTCCGAGTCTTTTATAATGCATTCCCCCAAACATCCTCCATGTATTCTGCTCAGGAACAAAAACTTCAGTCGATTTGAGATAAGTCGATCCATCAAAACCTCCAACTGCAAGAAGTTGGCCATTGACCACTGCTAACCCAACACCACTTCTTCTAGAGTTCATTGCAACAACAGTACTCCAGGAATTAGTTTTTGGATCATAACATTCAACACTGTTTAATTCAGTTGTGTCATCTCTTCCACCTACAGCATAGAGCATTTCTTTATAAACAGCACATCCCAAATGTTTTCTTGCAGTACTCATCGACGCAACTGCCGACCATTTGTTCGCTCGTGGATCATAACGCTCTACCAAGTCCCATGGGGTAGTGCCATCTGACCCACCAACTGCATATAAATATCCACCCAAAACTGCGACTGCTACACCCAATCGTTTGATAGTCATTGATGCAACTTTACTCCATCTGATCGTTTTTGGGTCGTATCTTTCAACAATATCCAAGCACGAAACTCCATCTTGTCCTCCTACTGCATACAAATATCCATCCAAAACAGCAACTCCTACACTCGTTCTGCATGTGCTTGTAGGAGCAACATCACTTGACCATTGATTTGTTTGTGGATCGTATCTCTCAACGCTGTTTAAATATGAAGTACCATCATGGCCACCAACAGCATATAACAGATTGTCGAGTACAGCAACACCCACGCCACACCTTCTTTTACTCATTGGAGCAACAAGAGTCCATTCTTTTGTTTCAGGATCAAAGCGCTCTACAGAACTGATAGCGTCACCACTACACCAGCCTCCAACAGCAAACAGTGCGTCTCTAGTGATTGGCCGACGTGGGCGTGTTCTTGGTCCCTGCATTAATGATCGTTCTTGGGGTAATAAGAGATAATTTTTGGCTTCATCGAGAAGGTCGCGACACTGTTCATCTGAGCGAATAAGAGGTTCAGAACCCACAACACCGACAAGAAATTTTGGTGATAATAACGGGAGACGAACATGCTGTAGAATTTGTGATAAAATAGGACGACGTTCTTCAACATTAAATTTTACCCAAGCGAGTATTGCAGAATAAACTTGTTCCTCGGAACGAATATTGAGATCATCAGATGAGATTATTTCAATTAGTTGTTGAGGTGGAAGAAGAAGAAACTCCTCACTCTCTTTCACATCTTGAAAATTACTTTGAACAAACTTTTCTGCGTCTCTCAAAAGGTCTCGACAAGCGTGAGTATCGGCAAAAGCACGAATTCCAAGGCAATTGGAAGGATCAAGTTGGCGTTTAAGAAATTCACAACAGATTTGTTGTATCTCAACCATTTGTAGTAGGCAGGCAGCAGGCAGTAATGATTGCACATTGTTTTCTTCTACTACAATTCTAGATGTGTATGCAAACTCTATTAACAAATCCATTGCTTTTTCTTCAATATCACGAATAGCAACTTCAGTTTGACGACTCTCCGCTAATTCTCCAGTGAACATTGCACGAAAATAAGGTGAACATGCAGCCAGTACAACGCGGTGAGCATAAAGCTTTGAACTTCCAATGATAAGACACACATCCCATAGTTCCATGTTCTTGCGTAATCCATTCAAAATATCAAGCAGACGTTTGGGATGCTTGTCACTTGTGTAAGAAAGAAATGATTGTGGTGGAATGCCATCAGGAGTGTTGCTAATACCACAAGCTAAATCCATTGGTACTGGGACATTGCCGAATAAATCCATGTTACTTGCAGCCATTTTTTCAGTTGAATATATATTTATGTACAAAATCACAAGTCTTATAGATTTATTTTTGAAAAGGGGATCTATCTTAATTATTTTTTTAGTCAGTAATTCTGAAACAATTAAGACAACAATGTGAGACAAAAATAATGCTTCCGCACAAATGGATTATTTTTGATTTGAACTTCCTCAGAAAATAAAAAGCACAAAAAAATTAGTGGGCAGTTCTTCCATTCTAAGTCCAGATTTATGGATATAAAAAATAAACACAGTATTTGTCACTGAAATGTGAGAAAGAGAGAGTATATTTGTTTGCCAAACCAAGAAATCAAGAAATACATACATCATATATAAAACATGCACATAAAGACCATTAATAAACAAATGTTTTTTGTATATGACTGGGTGGTAAAGATAATATAACCTTTTGAGGTCGTCAGAGTCTGCTACCACCCCGGCATGACAGCAGATGCGGGAGATTGCACAATGTTTGCACAATAATATTATTAATCAGTAGATTTCTATTTTTCTATAAAATGAATATATATAATATATAAAACTTGAACGTGGGTTCTTAATACTATTTCCATGATATTACATCACTGTAGTATTCAAAATATATTTGGTTAGGTACCGGTAAACAATATAAACGATAATAAAAAGATACGTCTGCATATCAGTATTAAAATTTATGACACAACCAGACTGTATAAAACAACCAGAGTTACCCCAACCCACAATCGTCCAGCACACACTCGCCCTGCGGTCACCGGGTTAACCAACTATTATACTGTATAAACGTTGTTCCATAAAAATTTGGCTGCTCTGATAATATATAGACCATATCCAGATACTGAGATATCTACAAACGTCTACAAACTACGTAATTACATAAACCCATGTCTAACTAAGCACCAGAACCTTTTAGAGTCTGGCAATTGATTGCAGAAAATGGCCTCAATTGACCAAAGTTACCCCAGCAGACATCTCTCAGCGGACATCTCTCTCGTTTTCGGAACGGTAAAATAGCGTTGCCAGAAAACGATTTAACATGGCACTTAAATGCCGCATCGAAAAAAAGGAAAGCTAGTCGCAAAGTACTTGCCAGATTTACGGCGAAATTTTGCTACACTCGGAATTACACGAAACTTATCTGTAATTTCCGATGGCCGGGCAGATTTTTGAAGATGATATAAAAAAAGAACTTATATTGAAGTCATCCTAATTCAAGTTTTATGAAATTTATATGTTGGGAACATATAATATTACATTGTCAAACATGGCCAAAAAGAAATTTCACATTAAAATTATCAAATGTCGGCATTTTAGCCCCAAATTCTGTACTTTTGGATTAGGTGCCCCACTTTTAGATAAGATATCTCAAAAAAACATATTGTGAAGTCATTTGGAACCAAGTTTCAGAAAAATTGTATGTCGAGAATATATAATAATATCTTGTTAAACATGGCCCAAACAGGAATTTTACATCAAAAGTAATAAATATCAGTATTTCAACCCCAAATTTTGTACTTTTCGATTACGTGCCCCACTTTTGAATAAAATATCCTAGAAGAACATATTGTGAAGTAACCTCGAACCAAGTTTGAGAAAAATTGTATGTCGGGAACATATATTAATATCTTGTTGAACATGGCCCAAACAGGAATTTTACATTAAAATTAGTGAATATCGGCATTTTAACCCAAAATTTTGGACTTTTCGATTACGTGCCCCACTTTTGAATAAAATATCCTAGAAGAACATATTGTGAAGTAACCTCGAACCAAGTTTGAGAAAAATTGTATGTCGGGAACATATAATAATATCTTGTTAAACATGGCCCAAACAGGAATTTTACATCAAAAGTAATAAATATCAGTATTTCAACCCCAAATTTTGTACTTTTCGATTACGTGCCCCACTTTTGAATAAAATATCCTAGATGAACCTATTTGGAAGTAACCTCGAACCAAGTTTGAGAAAAATTGTATGTCGGGAACATATATTAATATCTTGTTGAACATGGCCCAAACAGGAATTTTACATCAAAATTAGTGAATATTGGCATTTTAACCCAAAATTTTGGACTTTTCGATTACGTGCCCCACTTTTGAATAAAATATCCTAGAGGAACATATTGTGAAGTAACCTCGAACCAAGTTTGAGAAAAATTGTATGTCGGGAACATATAATAATATCTTGTTAAACAAGGCCCAAACAGGAATTTTACATCAAAATTAGTGAATATCGGCATTTTAACCCAAAATTTTGGACTTTTAGATAACGTGCCCCACTTTTGAATAAAATATCCTAGAAGAACATATTGTGAAGTAACCTCGAACCAAGTTTGAGAAAAATTGTATGTCGGGAACATATATTAATATCTTGTTGAACATGGCCCAAACAGGAATTTTACATTAAAATTAGTGAATATCGGCATTTTAACCCAAAATTTTGGACTTTTAGATTACGTGCCCCACTTTTGAATAAAATATCCTAGAAGAACATATTGTGAAGTAACCTCGAACCAAGTTTGAGAAAAATTGTATGTCGGGAACATATATTAATATCTTGTTGAACATGGCCCAAACAGGAATTTTACATCAAAATTAGTGAATATTGGCATTTTAACCCAAAATTTTGGACTTTTCGATTACGTGCCCCACTTTTGAATAAAATATCCTAGAGGAACATATTGTGAAGTAACCTCGAACCAAGTTTGAGAAAAATTGTATGTCGGGAACATATAATAATATCTTGTTAAACAAGGCCCAAACAGGAATTTTACATCAAAATTAGTGAATATCGGCATTTTAACCCAAAATTTTGGACTTTTAGATAACGTGCCCCACTTTTGAATAAAATATCCTAGAAGAACATATTGTGAAGTAACCTCGAACCAAGTTTGAGAAAAATTGTATGTCGGGAACATATATTAATATCTTGTTGAACATGGCCCAAACAGGAATTTTACATTAAAATTAGTGAATATCGGCATTTTAACCCAAAATTTTGGACTTTTAGATTACGTGCCCCACTTTTGAATAAAATATCCTAGAAGAACATATTGTGAAGTAACCTCGAACCAAGTTTGAGAAAAATTGTATGTCGGGAACATATATTAATATCTTGTTGAACATGGCCCAAACAGGAATTTTACATCAAAATTAGTGAATATTGGCATTTTAACCCAAAATTTTGGACTTTTCGATTACGTGCCCCACTTTTGAATAAAATATCCTAGAGGAACATATTGTGAAGTAACCTCGAACCAAGTTTGAGAAAAATTGTATGTCGGGAACATATAATAATATCTTGTTAAACAAGGCCCAAACAGGAATTTTACATCAAAATTAGTGAATATCGGCATTTTAACCCAAAATTTTGGACTTTTAGATAACGTGCCCCACTTTTGAATAAAATATCCTAGAAGAACATATTGTGAAGTAACCTCGAACCAAGTTTGAGAAAAATTGTATGTCGGGAACATATATTAATATCTTGTTGAACATGGCCCAAACAGGAATTTTACATTAAAATTAGTGAATATCGGCATTTTAACCCAAAATTTTGGACTTTTAGATTACGTGCCCCACTTTTGAATAAAATATCCTAGAAGAACATATTGTGAAGTAACCTCGAACCAAGTTTGAGAAAAATTGTATGTCGGGAACATATAATAATATCTTGTTAAACAAGGCCCAAACAGGAATTTTACATCAAAATTAGTGAATATCGGCATTTTAACCCACAATTTTGGACTTTTAGATTACGTGCCCCACTTTTGAATAAAATATCCTAGAAGAACATATTGTGAAGTAACCTCGAACCAAGTTTGAGAAAAATTGTATGTCGGGAACATATATTAATATCTTGTTGAACATGGCCCAAACAGGAATTTTACATCAAAATTAGTGAATATCGGCATTTTAACCCAAAATTTTGGACTTTTAGATTACGTGCCCCAATTTTGAATAAAATATCCTAGAAGAACATATTGTGAAGTAACCTCGAACCAAGTTTGAGAAAAATTGTATGTCGGGAACATATATTAATATCTTGTTGAACATGGCCCAAACAGGAATTTTACATCAAAATTAGTGAATATCGGCATTTTAACCCAAAATTTTGGACTTTTCGATTACGTGCCCCACTTTTGAATAAAATATCCTAGAAGAACATATTGTGAAGTAACGAGTCATACCATGAAGAATTTTAAACAGTTAGCTTGTAGACTACCAAAATTAAAACGTGAACTAATGCATATATTTGGACTACTCGTTTGTTGCGGAGAGTTGAAAACAGTCCGTAAAATTGTTTATCATTTCACTATTTTATTAATTTGCCAAAATTCTAATCTTATGCATGATAGTTGGACTTACTTGCAAAAGCAAATTGAAAAACAGAACATTCCTGTGCCTTCTGATGGTGAATTAGACCTAGGGACATCGGATGAACTTTTACCAGATGAAGATTTGAGCGAGATAAATCCTTTTACGGAATTAATGAATTGCGACATTTCGTCTGCCATTGAAATAGCAAGTAATGCAGAAATTTTGGGTTCCAACAATTTTTACTGCCCGGAAATATTGTCCAAATTTAAAACGTTCTATGTCCCGAAGATATGTCTCTGGGGAAGTTTGATGGTAGGTGATTTGGGAAGATATGGTAATTCAATTGGCTATTTGAAATATTCGACTTTTTATGCAAAAGTCTCAGCTTCTGAGAAACAAAACATATCGCGAGATAATCGCACTCAGGGAATCATGGAAAAAAGTCAGCAGGAACTAAAGCGAACTCGTTTAAACAACAGACGATTTAAACGTCTTGACGAGATTGCTATAGTTTATGATGAACTCCATGACTCTCTGATTAGGGAATATGAAGATAATTTGATTGTTTGTCCAAAAAAAAGGAAAGTTGAAAACAATGACCAAATTGACCAAGAAATTGAGAAATGGAGTAAACGATCCCGAATTCAGGGTAAAGACAAATGTAAAGGAGTGTATCTTCAGCCCCCCATTAGACCTCTAAAGATGTTTCGCCCTCAAGAACTTTCTAATAACGATAGCCCAATTCTAATAAAAGCTGACGAAGCGTCTACTACACAATCTATGATGTTGCGGTTCGTCTCACCGAAAATTCCATTCCAAAAATTTGTACATTTATCTGATGTCGATCATAAAATAATGAATTCCAAAACTAATTTTAGAAGAGACTGGTTTACTTCGGATATTATGAACACCGCACAATTAATTTTGTCATCTCGGTATTCTGAAGTAGACGGGTTGCAAAGCACGACTTTTTATACAACGCTATCTGGCCCTAAAGTGTATGTTCCTTCTGAAAAATTTGTTCAAATTTTATTTGTGCACGAAAATCACTGGGTAACAGCATCAAATATATTCACCGCCGACCAAAATACTATACAGATTTATGATAGCTCCTATATGAAGTACAATGAAAATGACAAATATGCGATTTCGCTTCTTATGCGGCCAAGGCAAGGAACAAATAAAGTACAAATTGAATTTCCCGTTGTCCAGCAACAAACTTTAGGTGCATCATGTGGCCCATTCTCGATTAGTTTTTGCATAGCCCTATGTAACAAAATTCGACCAGAGCATATCCTATTTGACGAGAAAAATCTTAGGAAGAAAATATGCGATGGTATAGTCTCTGAAAATTTTTCGTCGGTATTTAACATCAACAAGAAACGTGTTCCACTCGCGCCCAGGCGATTGGAAATTCCGATTTTTTGCAACTGCCAACTGTCTTACATTGAAAATCAGACCATGATCGAATGCACTTCATGTTTAAAATGGTACCATCCGAAATGTTGTAGTATTCCAGTGCCAGTTGAGGCACTGGAAAACAGCGAAATAGAATGGAATTGCAAAAAGTGCATTCGATGCTAAATTACATGCAAAGCAATATTCAACTAGATATGATCATTTACATTCTCATTTTTTTTAGGTACATCATTCAAGTCAGACGAAGGATCAGTCTGTTTTACCTATTTGGCTCAACATGCCCTTTACCAGGTTTTTCTCTCTTGGTCTAGTGCAGTGGTTCTTAAACTGGAGGGCGCGCCCCCCTTGGGGGGCGCGAGATGCTCTCAGGGGGGCGCGCGAAATGTCGTAAAATGGAATCGGAAATTTCCATGCAACGGCTCCTGAAACGGTCTCCGCGTTGTGTTACAAATGCGTGCTTTTTCATATTATAATAAATTTTTCTGTCTCGTAATATTCAATCTATGACAACTAGACGAATTCAAAATATATCTTTATTTTAATTCATTTGTGTCTATGTAACTCGCGGTGGCGGCGACTCACGACAAACTTATTACCGATCTGAAATACCACGCCAATCCGCGGACATAATAATGTGATAATAATAATATTCAATCAATAAGTAATAATTACCTGCTCGATTATGTTTAGTTTTGATATATATTGCGCTCATGCGAATTCTTTATTGTCGAGAGATCTGGTAAAAAATCCCAGAAAGTACATTTAATTTAGTACAATGAAAATACATATAATGTATATTAGTATATGAAAAATACATGTTCATCGACTCGAAATCCCCGCGTTACGGCTTCTGAATCAGTGGTCGAGATTACGCCACTGATTCAGAAGCCGTAACGCGGGGATTTCGACTCGATGAACATGTATTTTGCTGACTTTTTCAACAATTATGTAATGGTTTTTCTGTTGAACAAAATATTCAATCTATGACCGATATACGTATTTGAAATGGTTGCTTTGTTTATTTAATTGTAATAAATTAAATCTGCGATTGGGTCAATGAAATAAAAGCAAAATTACTTCAAAATACAACGGAAATCCGCGGACATAAAAATGTGCTGTAAACTGCCCGATTACATGTCGAGGAAAATTTCTGATAAACACCGAAATAACGATTTTTACGGCTTAAATAACACGTCACGCTGACGAAAACAATCGGTGATTTAAACAAAAATGGCATCGCAAACGTCATTACCAACTTTATTTTTCAGCGTCAAGGGTCGGGGAATCGTCTACATGCATATCAACCATTTACAAAAAAAAAACTGCTTTTCATTTGGCTTAAAATGTACATAAATTCATTTACACTTATATATCAATTTTATAAACTGTATTTTTGAACCTGGTGGTTGTCCAATCTAAAGGTATTGGTAGTGAATTTCGGAGACGTTAGACATGCCAAGAAGTCTGTTATTGTTGTATGTTTCTGACACACAGTAAATAATTCTAGCATTGCTCAATAGTGATGAAGTGAACATTCGATTGACATCTTACGTGTCTTATATATATAAACGTTTAAGCAGAAAATATATTAACACGCAAAAAGCATACGTTTGTTGCGTGCTTAGTTTCACTTAAAACTTAGTTTAACTTCACCAGGTATTGCAAACAAAGCGGAAAACGGAGAATGTATGATGACCACTATTTGAGTATGGTTTTATGCATACGACAGAGAATAACGAAGTTGTACTCCGATGCGTTTTATGCCTAAACAATCAGAGCAATGATGCTATGAGACTAACACTCTTACAGCGCCATCTTAATATAAAACACTAGCGCATTACAAAAGCAGATTTCCAAAGAAAAAAGGGGGGGCGCGAAGTTTGTAAATTTTTTCAAAGGGGGGCGCGACTCAAAAAGTTTAAGAACCACTGCTCTAGTCTATAATATTGAGATGAAAACCGCCACGATGGTTGGCACCTTGACGTGGTGTGGTGGCTTTCTACTAAGACCAACCATTTTAAAAATTTTTTTTAAATATAAGATAGATCCCTAGTATGAAAGAACGAGATGATTTCACAATTCGTTTATGTTATCTTACTTAAATTGAGGCACTCCATTATAATGTATACAGTATCCTGGGTTGTGATAGCGTTGTTTATTAATTTTAAGTCGGATTCTTGTTTGGGCCATGTTTGACAAGATAATATTATACGTTCCCGACATACAATTTTTCTCAAACATGGTTCGAGGTTACTTCACAATATGTTCTTTCGGGATATTTTATTCAAAAGTGGGGCACGTAATCGAAAAGTCCAAAATTTTGGGTTAAAATGCCGATATTCACTAATTTTGATGTAAAATTCCTGTTTGGGCCATGTTTAACAAGATATTAATATATGTTCCCGACATACAATTTTTCTCAAACTTGGTTCGAGGTTACTTCACAATATGTTCTTTTGGGATATTTTATTCAAAAGTGGGGCACGTAATCGAAAAGTCCAAAATTTTGGGTTAAAATGTCGATATTCACTAATTTTGATGTAAAATTCCTGTTTGGGCCATGTTTAACAATATATTAATATATGTTCCCGACATACAATTTTTCTCAAACTTGGTTCGAGGTTACTTCACAATATGTTCTTCTAGGATATTTTATTCAAAAGTGGGGCACGTAATCGAAAAGTACAAAATTTGGGGTTGAAATACTGATATTTATTAATTTTGATGTAAAATTCCTGTTTGGGCCATGTTTAACAATATATATATTAATATATGTTCCCGACATACAATTTTTCTCAAACTTGGTTCGAGGTTACTTCACAATATGTTCTTTTAGGATATTTTATTCAAAAGTGGGGCACGTAATCGAAAAGTCCAAAATTTTGGGTTAAAATGCCGATATTCACTAATTTTGATGTAAAATTCCTGTTTGGGCCATGTTTAACAAGATATTAATATATGTTCCCGACATACAATTTTTCTCAAACTTGGTTCGAGGTTACTTCACAATATGTTCTTTTGGGATATTTTATTCAAAAGTGGGGCACGTAATCGAAAAGTCCAAAATTTTGGGTGAAAATGTCGATATTCTCTAATTTTGATGTAAAATTCCTGTTTGGGCCATGTTTAACAATATATTAATATATGTTCCCGACATACAATTTTTCTCAAACTTGGTTCGAGGTTACTTCACAATATGTTCTTCTAGGATATTTTATTCAAAAGTGGGGCACGTAATCGAAAAGTACAAAATTTGGGGTTGAAATACTGATATTTATTAATTTTGATGTAAAATTCCTGTTTGGGCCATGTTTAACAATATATTAATATATGTTCCCGACATACAATTTTTCTCAAACTTGGTTCGAGGTTACTTCACAATATGTTCTTCTAGGATATTTTATTCAAAAGTGGGGCACGTAATCGAAAAGTCCAAAATTTTGGGTTAAAATGCCGATATTCACTAATTTTGATATAAAATTCCTGTTTGGGCCATGTTCAACAAGATATTAATATGTGTTCCCGACATACAATTTTTTTCAAACTTGGTTCGAGGTTACTTCACAATATGTTCTTTCGGGATATTTTATTCAAAAGTGGGGCACGTAATCGAAAAGTACAAAATTTTGGGTAAAATAACAAGATATTAATATATGTTCCCGACATACAATTTTTTTCAAACTTGGTTCGAGGTTACTTCACAATATGTTCTTTCGGGATATTTTATTCAAAAGTGGGGCACGTAATTGAAAAGTACAAAATTTGGGGTTGAAATACTGATATTTATTAATTTTGATGTAAAATTCCTGTTTGGGCCATGTTTAACAATATATTAATATATGTTCCCGACATACAATTTTTCTCAAACTTCGTTCGAGGTTACTTCACAATATGTTCTTTTAGGATATTTTATTCAAAAGTGGGGCACGTAATCGAAAAGTCCCAAATTTTGGGTAAAATGCCGATATTCACTAATTTTGATGTAAAATTCCTGTTTGGGCCTTGTTTAACAAGATATTATTATATGTTCCCGACATACAATTTTTCTCAAACTTGGTTCGAGGTTACTTCACAATATGTTCCTCTAGGATATTTTATTCAAAAGTGGGGCACGTAATCGAAAAGTACAAAATTTTGGGTAAAATGCCGATATTCACTAATTTTGATGTAAAATTCCTGTTTGGGCCATGTTTAACAAGATAATAATATATGTTCCCGACATACAATTTTTCTGGAACTTGGTTCGAGATGACTTCACAATATTTTTTTTTTGAGATATCTTATCTAAAAGTGGGGCACCTAATCGAAAAGTACAAAATTTGGGTTAAAATGCTGACATTTATTAATTTTAATGTGAAATTTCTTTTTGGACATGTTTGACAATGTAATATTATATGTTCCCAACATATAAATTTCATAAAACTTGAATTAGGATGACTTCAATATAAGTTCTTTTTTTATATCATCTTCAAAAATCTGCCCGACCATCGGAAATTACAGATAAGTTTTGTGTAATTCCGAGTTTTGCAAAATTTCGCCGTAAATCTGGCAAGTACTTTGCGACTAGCTTTCCTTTTTTCCGACGCGGCATTTGAGTGCCATGTTAAATCGTTTTCTGGCAACCCTATTTTACCGTTCCGAAAACGAGAGAGATGTCCGCTGAGAGATGTCTGCTAGGGTAACTTTGGTCCTCAATTGACGGGAAAATAGACGTATCTCAGCTAAACAATAACATCCCAAACAGTAGTTGCCAGATATGCAGATAAATAAACTTTACGGCAGGGGTCGGCAAATTTTATGTAATCACGGGCCAAATATAAACATCTTCGGTAGTGTGCGGGCCGCATTACTTTCCGTATTTATTTTTATCATAAATCTTGGGGCCAGTGTTCCCTCTAAGGTGTGCGCGTGTGCGCGCGCACACAGATTTCAGAGGCTGCGCACACGCATAGATTTACTGCGCACAGACGTATTTCGATGTAATGTAACATGTTCTCGATTGGCAGGTTGAGAAAGTTTGTTGTTGGCCCACCCATTACCCGGTTAGAACGCCAAAATTTCTTTATCGGTTTTTGCACAAATATTAGTCATTTCCAAAAAAGTGCGCACACACCAAAATTTCTGCGCACACATATTACAAAAAATTAGAGGGAACATTGCTTGGGGCACTGGCACTTTCTATTACTGTGGTAGAAGGCCTACCAAAATTGAATGTGTAAGTGACTTTTTCAATATATTATCAAGCAATATATTGTTTTTATTTACTTATTTTCAATGTAAAGGATAATGTTGTTTCTGCGTCATGACTAGAGTGTTAAAATCAAAAGCCAACTTTGTTGCCCCGCGGTAGGCTACGTTGTCTAAATCACGATCTGGCAAGCGGATACGAAATTTATTCTTCGTGCAATCGTAAATATATACTACTACTACGTGCAATGCATTTTACATACAGCAGCTCGCGACGATATGTGCTTCCGAATGTGGACATTACACGTTTTGCACTGTCGCACAGATGAGCAGTGGCGCAAGCCCATGGCCCCGGAGTCGAATTTCGTATTTGCAATGACAAGTTTCGTAAAGAAATTTAACATTGAATCTCTTATAACTGCGATGCTGACTTGGAACATCAAGCAAACTGGTTTTGAAATGAGCAAGAATGAAAAATATTTTTCGACCCTTGTCGCAAACTTCCCTCCGTTTCCCAGACATCATAAACTTAACTTACAACCAACTATGGGGTCCAGCTGGTACACGATATAGAACTGACTCTACTTAGTACGTAGACGTAGTACACCGCACAGTAGCACTTGACACCACATAAATCCTGATTGGGGCAATAATAAATTTAATATCAATTTTTGTTTTATGCATGAAAAAGGGGGTCGGGTCGTTCGAGCAGAGCCATTATATAATGGCTCTGGTTCGAGGGTCGCAAAAATTTAGTTTGCGTTTTTATTCGTTTGTTTTTATTTTTGATATTGTTGAGATGTTTCACTATATATTAATTTAATTTTGTAATGATGTTATTTTTTTGATAATTTTCAATGAGCTGTTGGAGTTTCACAAATCATTATCGGGAAATATTGACTGACCGTGAAGTTCAGGTTCATTTCTATGCATATCTGGCAACTTTTGTTTGAGATTATTATTGTTTGTCTGAGTTTCGTCCATTTTCCCGGCAATTAATATATCTTTCCTATAATGAGAATGCTAGGCGCTGTGTGTACGGTATTTACTGTTGGATTTGCACCACCGAGTGTCCATCTTAGTTTGACGCCCGAGCGATGCCCGTTTGTGGGTTTGTCTTTTTTATTTTGAATATATGTTTGTGTGTTGAATGTGGGTACACTGGCACATGTATATTTACATGTATTAAACCTTTATAAAGGTTTTGCCAGTTTCCCACATATTTTCCCAATCTTCTGTGTGTTCATTGCTTGTGTTTTGTGTATTTTTTTTTTTTGCCGGTAAATCAAAATATACTTATTCTCATAATTGCCTCCAACAATCTCACAGGAATTGACTCTGACGCTGCGGTGTGAATACCCAATGCTATATTTTTTCTAATCTTTTCAATGGCATTCTTCAATCATGCCCATATATTTCATCTGTGATGGTGGTCCGCGAACTCGCTGCCATTTTCTTCGTATTTTTCTATATATTTTGCGTTATAATTGGGATTATTTCGACTTTTTAATAGTATAGCAATACTTTCTAATGAGGATTCCAGTGGAATCCATCAATTCAGGCGCTCGAACGTAACTGGATGCGTCTGCGGCCATCTATGTCATTTATACGATTGTGGTATTTGAGAATGTTTTTGAAAAAATATGAAAATACGAATAAAAAATTGATTATAATCGAGCAGTTTACCATTCATTTTATCTCCAGATTTCCGCGGTGTATATATTAGAATAGTGATCGTTTCATTCTTCCGCAAGTACGAAAAACAGAATCAAAAATTAAATATAATCGTGCAGCTTACCACACATTTTATGTCCACAGATTGCCGTGATATTTCAGGTAAGCTTTTAATTTTCGTAAATCGGCGCAACCATTACGTTACGTACGGCATTTTAAAAGCTGGTATCGCTAATGGATTTCAATATCTTTCACAACAGAAAATCATATGGGCCTTATAAAAGTCGATCATTTTAACTATCATTAATCAAAATTATATGCCAAAAAGCGGGAAAATGTATAACTAGTTTTGGGTATAGTAACAATTACGGCTCCATAATTTTCACTTTTTCGACTGGAAATCAAAGCCTAAACAGGAAGCTGTGCAAGGCAATGGCGGCAATGCCCACAACGCAACCGTGCAAAATTGTGGCAACCATATGGGCGCACGCTCGCACGGAATGTAACAATCAAAGTGGCGATACTGTTTTATCGTCATTACAATACGTGAAAAAACACAGAAAATCATTTGAAGATTTCCCTCGAATACGAAACACCTACCTGACGACGAAAAGTGACTATTATTCGAAAATTTGCCGAAAATATATTCGAATATTACTTTGATATGTTTTGATTCTGTTTTGATATGATTCGTTTTGGATAACCCTGCCTCGACTTATTTTAGCCTCTGAAAAAAACCTTCGCGAACAAAAATACAGTTATAGATGATATATATATATTTCGCAAATATGCGCTATCAGATCGATCACTAAGATTGCTACATAAACCGAGTCTTGTTGGAACTTTTGTATCCAAGGCTGTCATATTGTTGGCTGATCTTCTATTTCATAGTTGTTAGATCACCAATTGCTACAATATGTTTTTCTTTAAACATATTCATGCTCTGTTTGTGAGTTTTTTTAGAAATCCTATTATTTTCATTTGTAGTTCAATTGTATTATGTGTGTTTTCATTATCCATCTTCCGCAGTGAGGTCTTCTAAATCTACACAGTTTGGGATACACGATCAAGTCGATGCCTATAAATTAGACTTGATTTGTCCGCAACAGAGTCTCTTCGCATGGAAAGAGCACGAAATACGAAAGCTTGCATGTGGCTGTCGTGGCGATTAAGGCTAATATAAGGCACACACCAGGATATGAGAATCATAGCGTACTCATATTGGACGGAAACAAATTTTATAGGCGTCTGGCACTGGCACATCTCACACACCTCGTAAAACGTTGGCATAAATTTATGCTTCGCATGGTAAAGATTTGATTACCAAAACGATCAATCGCAAAACTTTTGTTCTCTGAAAAAACTTTTGTTCTCCGTTTTGGAAGTGGATTGTCCATCGACAAAGTATGCATTGTTTCAAATTACGCGAGCTGAATATTGCAAAAGCTTGCCCTCCGTTCATATATATATATATATATATGCGTTCAACCCGTTTATTTTCTCTGGCATGAATGCACCATTGCAGTTACTGCATTTTTTATATTATATCCAAACATAGTATGCGAGCGACTTCTTCAACAACAAACACTGACAGTGCGACCGTTAATTGGATATGTATGCAATGATAGTCAAACAAAATTGTTGCATTTAATCGCTAACTAATAGCTTGCTGGAGTAGGCGCGCAGCTGCATCACTGATATTGCTGGTAACTATGAATTTTTTCCTATTTGCGGCATTCGTTTGTCTGGAATTACCGTTCGCCTTGACGGAACAGTTTTCCAAAGATGAATTTTACTGGAGCAAACCCTCGTCTTTCAAAGAAATGCTGGAATATGACTCTACCAGGTAGGCTATAATATTTTACGGAGGTCTCCCAATAACCCTTCAATAAAATTAAAATCTATAGGAATATATCTATCTGGATTCTGGATTATAGGAACTTTCAGTATCTATACAACTTTGAATGTATCCTTCAGGCCAACCTTGCTGGTGGATAAATAAATGAATATCCAGGCAATTTGGTATTTTTATATTTTTTCTTATTTATGCCATTATAGTTAAAATCGGGACATATCGTTCATCACTGGCTCGGATTTTATCAAAAGCTTTCGAAATTCCGCATTAAAAACAGTTTTCATTGTACAAACATAATTCAAAAGCAACTATATTATTAATCTTTTTCCGCGAAAGAGTTTTTAAAACGCCAAAACAAAATCGCTTCGATCTGATTTAGTATTTGCCTTAGATTTTAAATGTTTTTGTTAGAAATAGTCTCGATGCACTAATTATGGGTATATACCTCGTATATAATTATAGTATCATTCACCAATCAGAGTAATATAGTCTATAAGTAGTAAAAGTAGTCATGTTTATATCTTTCGAAGATTTAGACCTTAGGAAGAAATATGTTTAAACTCAATTGCTGCTGTAAGAATACTATTTCATTCCAGGAGAATTGCTTTACCGTTAATTCGAAGAATTCTACACCAAGGCGATATTCTGAACGCTACAGAAAAAAATTACTTGGATTCTACTATTGAACAACTGAAGATAACATGTGACGAATGTGCTGCAGCAGTTTCCCTTTTACATGCTCTTGACTCCAACACTGGAAAAGATTTAATATCAGTTGTAGCTGTTGAAGTTTGCATTCTGGTACTCCATATTTTTATCTGTTTAAAATGGTTCGGCAGGAAGCTTCGAGGTACTCTCGGCAATATCGTGATATTTTCAAGGGGCCATAGAAGGGACGATGTCGTTAATTACATTCAACAAAATACATATATCGTTGATTGTTTATATCGAATCGGATGGTCGCCGACACAAGCGATAAATTCACATAAAAAAAAGTTAATTGAACTATTACAGTATATGAGTGTACTTTATCCGATCCGTATCAGATCGCTTGATTTCTGTGATATTCACAATTCAGGTAAATTATTATGTGGTTCGTATATATATACAGTACATATTTACTCGGTGTTCGTAAGTCACAAACAACTCTATGGGTTGAGTACTCGATTCATATGTCCTGACCATCTTGTAATATAGACTTTGAATGGTGAAGTTGTCATTCTACTCTATAAGGTCTTTCTCTGGGAATTCGCAATATTCACCTTATACGGTCGGCCATTCAAAGGACTCGTGTTAGATCAAGTTAAATTCATTTTTAGGTCAAAATTGAAGACAGGCGAGTCTGTGAGATGGCTGTAAAAGAGTTTGAACCCGCAATGCTTTACGTTGTATTCAATTTGAAGGCAAAAGAGGTAATATTTTACTGGCCGCTATCGTTTACGAATTAACTTTGTTTGGCCACGCATACCTTCACGATGATTCTAATGAACCAGTTCTTTACTTTTAATTTGTTGAATACCTACCTAGCCTGTTTACAGAAATTTCATTTTAAAATATCTACGGTATATATGTGAATAATTGTTCGAAGCTTTTTCTGCAATTAGCAGAGTATAGGTACAGCGAAGTGCAGCGTGTTGTAACCTGCACGTCAAATACAGTAGACAGATGCGTAATTCATATATCTCAGACCGTCCGTCCGCGAGATTAATACGAATAGATCTGTACTAACCAAAGAGTCTGGCGATATTCATCGCATCATTATAGGTATGCTACTGGTTGCAGTCAGATATTTGTCCAAAGCCAGATGGATTTCTACCTGAATGGAAAATCAATGCAACATTGGGACCGAAACCACCAGTTGTACCAAAAAAACGACCAAATCCTGGATCACCAACATCAAAAGTGTTATTTTTCACTGATATGCACATGGACGTACAGTATAAAGCAGGCTCGAATGCTGAATGTGGCGAACCACTGTGCTGTCGGAACACCGATGTCTTACAAAATAGTGAGTGATGTTATTTTTTTATATACGTTTCATACGTTTTTCATACGAATATTGTCGAAATCAAGGTTCCTGATTTTTTAATACCTTCCCATCAACAAAAGAGCTGATTTCCAGGTTGTATTTTTACCGAAAAAATGAGGGTACGGGTCAGCCTGTTCATATATATATCAGTGTCAAAAGTTTTGAATTATTTCTTGTTTTCGCCATATTTCTACTTTATCCCTCTGAATGATTGACACAAAGATAAGTTATAATTTTCTATGCGCTTAGTGCCTTATCAAATCGCATAAGAATGAATGTCGTTATAACTGAAAATAATGTACAATATTTTAAATTTCTTTCATTACACCAGATTCGAAAGCGGCTGGAAAATGGGGCGATTACAGAAATTGCGACATGCCGCCTTGGACTGTAGAAGGAATGATGAAAAACCTCTCACAATATCAGTTTGATTTTATACTTTTCACTGGTTAGTATATATGCAAACAAAAACGAGACAAAGGGGTAGTGTTGGCAATGGCGAGATCTGAACTATGTATTCCATATACGTATTTATTATTTCATTCTATTTCAAATTAAGTTACTGTGTTTAACCATTTGTTCCTATGCAAATCTTTTTAAAATGGGAAAAAATTTAGATTCCTATGATACTAAATTTATTGAAGCATTATTTCTCGTAATTAGATAGAAAAACGAAATTTATTCGATTTCACAGGTGACATTCCAGCTCACGATGTTTGGAATCAATCTCAGAGTGATCAAATTGACAAAAACAACAGATTTACTCAACTAATACTAAAATATTTTCCGGGTAAGATCAATTTTCTCCCTATAATATGGTATGTGGAGCTAAGCAAATGTCAATCAACTTCCCGCTCTCTAATATGGGTCTATTAAAATTTTGACTCGGTCTACAACTTACGATTTATGAATAACAAACTTTCGACTACACGACTTTGCTATTGACAAACGTTGTTTTGTTACAGTGGAAACAATTTCGACATATTTTATTTCTTTCGTGAAACGGCGTCATATTTTCACGTTCTTTTTAGTGCGAGTCGATTAGAAACGAAATGAATAAAAATATGCATTAATTTATCATATCGATGTAGATAGCTTATTCAACGTTCGAATAAAAATTAAAATGAAATTTGAAGTCTTCATTTGATAGTAAAACTTCACTAATTGAATAACCTCGCTGACGCATTTTATTGCTATCTCGTGATCTTACAGTGTTAATTTGTATTTGAACAATCAATATTTGTGTGGTTATGCATACAAGCCTCCAACTCTTGATTTATCGAAACAGTTGCTGCTAATGATAATTAATTTAACGGTTTGTGATGGCAAGCACTGATAATACTCAATCAATTAAGGTTTTTTATATAAATATCGGCTCTGTTTAAAACAACTCAATATATAAATCATGCTAACCTATCTATTTTTAAATTTATAATCCAATACGATCTCTATTCATAAAAACCGAATAGAGATATCCGTATTGATTAGAAACCTACAAAAATGTGGCATAAATTACTCGAATGTCGGAGCCTGACCTTGTATAGTTTACAACTATGATTGGATACACAGTGAGCTGATGTGCGATAATTTTGCAACTAGTGTTTGCTGATGTATAGGTATAATTACAGTGATTTCACTCTTGAGTCATACTGTTGTTACAATGTCTCGTGACCCGACTTCACTCGTGACTCGGGCTTAAAGACTTGCACCCATCAATTTATAATAATATTTGCTTTACACGAGCGCATAAAATGGCTACTGGGATATTTCTAGGGAAAGGTAAACTGTTTTCTCTTAATTTGTACTCTTTGAGAATACTACCATGATACATTGATGCATACATGATGCATTATACAACACATGATGGACATCCAAATTATTTATTTACTAGAAATTTAACATTTTGCAATTTCCGAGTATGAATATTTATTCTGCATAGGTACACCCGTTTACGCAGCGCTCGGGAATCATGCACCGTCACCTGTAAATTTGTATCCACCCCCACAGCTTTCCCACTTGGAAGGAGGGGACATATCGTGGTTATACGAAGCGGTGGCTAATAACTGGAAAAACTGGCTTCCGGAAGAAGCACTAAACACAGTGAAAAAGGGTAAAGTTATTTAATAATTTACACAAAATATTGTTAAAGTTTATTTATTGATAAGATTTAAAATTAATATATATGATAATATATTATTAATTAGACAAATTTTGATGAAGGGCATTTGGTCGAGTTCGTGTCCGAATTCTAGAGATTTAAAAATTAGAAGCAACTTTTTCACATAGGTGGGTTCTACACGACAACAATTCGCAAAGGACTACGAGTTGTGTCATTGAACAACAATTATTGTAGTGATGATGACTGGTGGTTACTGGTTGGAAATAATTCAGTCGATCCACTCGGACAACTCAACTGGTTTGCAGGAATTATGGCAACGGTCAGCTATGTTTTATTATTCCCATTTAAAATTGACTTTGAGGAAAATAAATATATATATGTATTTTATGTTGCCAGCCATGTATCCAGCAGTAACAATTGTTGGGGATATAAACTTTTTTAATAATAAAATATCATTTCCGTTTGGAATCAGGTAATAATATCGCACTACTCTCTGTAGATAAAATATCTTCTCATTCTATAGGCTGAGAACTCTGGCGAAATGGTGATAATTTTATCTCACAGACCAACCGATGGCTGTCTGCATTCATGGAGTCAAAATTATTATGATATAATAAATCGATACGAAAATATAATCGTCGCTCAGTTTTTTGGCCATGCCCATACGGTAAGTAGCCTACTAAAGTCATTTTGCTATGAAATCCACGACGGCATACAATTATAGGTAGACAACGGCTTTGGATTTATAGGTGTATTCGTTATACCATATAATAAATCTTGAGATTGATGTTTGAAGCATGGGGCGCTCTGAAATTGTCCCATTACTAATAGATTACAAAATAATACAAAATAATTTATGGTTACACCAATAATACTAGTTTTTAATCCAAAATACTTTACAGGACGAATTGAAACTATTTTATGACACCCAGAACACTAGTCGAGTGAGTAGTGTCGGATTTATTGGGCCAGGTTACACGACTTATTCATACCTCAATGCTGGGTATCGAATATATACTTTTGATGGAGACTATGAGAATACTACGCATTCAATCATCGATGCCGCCTCTTTTTATCTTGATATAACAGGTAAACATCGATGTGAGTGACATCAGACGAAAGCAGTCTATTCTCCTGTAGAATTATTACTTATCGATTTTAATCGGTGAGTATGTTGATAGGTATTCGTCTGTTTGTCTGTCTGTTAGACGCACGCGATATCTCACGAAAGCGAGATTGAATCTGATCCAGATTTTGCATGTGCATTGATCATATGTCGGACCAGAAGCCTATTTTGGATGAATTATGTCGTATAATTAGCAAGTTAATAATTAATTTGTGATGGGACACAAGGTTTCACTATGGAGTAAGAGCGCTGTTTTGGGGGATCCCCTTAACCTCGATCGATAAGTCTTCGGTCTCTGACCGATATTCTCGTTTTCATCTTAATCCATATTATCTTGAAACTGAGCTAGAAATAGTTATTTTGTTTATATGACGTATTCATGAAAAAAAACTTAAAAATGATTATATGACTAATGAATGGTCTTTATTTGGCCACCTAAAAACGACTGAAATACTGACAAAAATTGAAAGATATAATATTCCAGCTTAACGAGATGACATTTTATTTAGAGGCAAATACTAAAGACCTGCCAGTTTGGAGACACGAATACGCATTTCTAAATGATTATGGAATGAAGTCACTTTTCCCCGAGGATTTTGAAGATTTAATCATGAGGTTGGTATCCTGAATTTTCGAAATATAAAAAGATTAGGAAATTAAACAGTTCATGACTATAATATTAAAGATAAAGCTGAAACACGTTAATAAGTTTATGTCATCTACAACAGTTCTACCCACCTACAGTCTAATTCATGTTTAAATATTTTGTCTTTTTCAAACCAATAATATTCTGTGATGCATTATTAATCAATAAACCATAACTTCAATAAATACTACAGATTCGAAAACGATCTCGACTTTTTTCAAAAGTACTATCACCACATAACAAAAGACAAAGATATGGGATATTGTTCCTCAAGTTGTCGAGATGACAAAATCAGAGGGATCAAAAGAGTATTGCCGGCTAAGTGGCCCTGATAGCCTTATTCAAATTTATGTTAGTGATGTACAAATTAAATATTTTAATTTTTGCCAATTAATTGTTATTTATTTATTATAATTAATATTTGAATAAATGATTGAAAAAATTTAACAGTAAGATATTCTTGGTTTAGCGTCTCAGTCGTCGTGGTCTGGTAAAGGGATTTAAACGTTTCGATTTGAAGACAGAATATATAAAGAGATTTTTGACGGGATGGATAGATTTGACAAATCGCTTATTCGGGGTCTAAAATATCATTATTTCATGGATACAAGACCTGGCTAGAAAGCTATTACATCTATCCCTTTAACAAAAGCATCATTTTCCTCAATTTTATTTGAATGATAAAAAATTGGATTTGTGGAAATCTTACATAAAAAATTGTTCCAATTTTTGAAAATATTTTCACTTTGGTTGTATCGCTCCAATGTGGTAAATGGCGCGATATGCCCACAAATAACATAGCTGTTGAAGAAAATTGGATGTTTAGAGTAAATTCCGACGAGTTACATTTTTTTTATGTTAGACATGGTGTTTATGAAACATATAACTTACTATTGCAAGGCAAGAACCATTTTGTCACTAGTCACTAGAAATTCATGTAGATTGTTGAGCAGTGTGCGAAATTAGAAACATTCGCGCGATATTTTCCGAGTGTTTTTAATTTGATTATATTTGTTTGCAAGTTGGGAAAACACACCCATTGATTGCTCGATTATTCTATTTTGTTGCATTGTCGTATACTTTTGTATGCGTGTGTGATTACATGTACGCGCCCGCCCACCAAAACAGTTAAAGAACATAATAAAATAAACATACACGATATAAAGTCGGGCAATAACTTTTAAATGCAAAACAGTGAAAACTTCAGCAAACTATGCCGGTCGAAACAATCTATGAGTCCGCTTCATGTCCGTTATTTTCTTGTACAGATATAGTAGAAATTACACTCCAGGGTAAAACTCCACATCCACACCCAAGTATTTACGCCCGAATTATCTTTCGTGTCTCTTTGTTTTTAAATTTACATCAATGCGTTGTGTGCTGTCTGGGATAAGTGGACATGTGCACCAGTACGTCTTAAATCTTTTTTAGATTTTGCCCACTTTTCTGATTTTCCGTACATTTGTTTGTTTGATCGTAAATATGTTTGATAAGTGTATTGTTTTGTTGTATTGGAAAATCGAAACACACACACACACATGTCCAGTAAAATGCACAGAAATGGAAACTTCAGCAAACTGTGCGGGTCGAAACAATCCACGAGTCCACCACATGTCCAGTAAAATGCGAAACAATGAAAATTTCAGCAAAATTTGCGGGTCGAAACAATCCATGAGTGAGTCTACTACATGTCCAGTAAAACGCAAAACAATGGAACCTTCAGCAAACTATGCGGGTCGAAACAATCCACGAGTCTCTTTCAAGTGCATAACAATAAAGACTCCAGCATACTGTGCGGGTCGAAGCGATGAATGTGTCGACTACATGTTTAGGAAAATCTTCACTCGAAGTAGCCACTTTCGCGCCCGACGGCGGTCGGACACAAAAACCACAGAAAAAGCATAGACGTAATATCATAGAAACTTAGTGCCCTGGGTTTCTATGGTATCATTTCCTACATGTGTCCGTTGCGCAGTGTGGAAAATACACAGTTGAAACCGGGGTCGGATTTATATAAAATGCCGGGTTGACAAGCTCGAGACAACACGAGGTCGACATTCATCGTCTCGTGACGCTATCGTCGATCAGCTGTGAGGTGTCTATTCTTATAAAGGTCACCTACAACACAAAACAAAATTCTGGAATAGCGAACGGGGTGTTATGTTCTCCGGGTTTTGTGTTGTTATTTAATATTGCGGGTCAAGGGTAACCACATACGTTCTCAACATAACAAAATGTGGTATAGTACCGGTATCCGTCAGTCCGTAATTTGAACAATCTAACGAAAATCCTAGTTGTCTGTGCAGGGTTTCGCGAACTTTGACCAAATTGCGCGAGTTACACAAGTTTTATCACTTAGTTTTCACAGTTGTATTAGGATATTTCTGTCGGTGTATCTAAGTCCTGTAGTCTAGTTGGTCAATGTGATGAAACTGGTAGAATATCATATTTGACAATACTGCAATATTAAAAATAAACACTTGTGTATCTGCACCACTACCGGTAATGTTGTTTGTACTATCGTATTCTGGTATTAAATACACACAGGCATATATAAGAATATATACCGGTAACACTGAAATGGTGGAGCATTTTTATGGCTTATGTGCGGATGTAGGGTTCTGTCCATTCCATTGCCTTTTTCTCAAACTAGTGTTATTACAAAATTTAGTGATTAAATTATTATAGTTGAATAAGATATAGGTAGTACACCATGTCTGAAGCCAAAATAGTTTCTGAAAGTGGCAGTCGCGGAGATTCTGGTCCTGTTTTGGAGGCACAGAAGTCCCATCAGGCCAGTGCAAACAAAAAGGGTCTTCAACCAGAAACTGCGAATAGGGTAAGTTTTTTCATCGCTTGTCTGCTTACAGACTTGGTAATTCGGCTGAAAATTAGGATTTGAAACAAGCACTCCCTGATCTCTAACTGCAGAACTGGGTATTCTGCGCCAGCGTCTACACAGACATGTCTGCATGTGGGCGATGTCAGTTTTCGGAAAGATTCGTACACTTGTGGGCTTTCCGTTAGGGATTAAAACAATCTATTCCATTCCGCAATTCATACTACTGTACTAGTGTGTAGGATTGCTCTTAAGGATACGGTATTTATTGAATTAAATTGTTAAAAATTAAGTGGATCATAATACAGTAATAATAAGTGGAAAACGATTATTGCAGTAGCTCACATTTTATTGCCAATCGTCGGGATGTTTCACTGATAACTAGCCAAGAGTTTCTGAATGTCGTTTACCTAGATTTTGTTTACAACTTTACCAGTTCCGTTGTTAATTTTTTACAATCTTAATCAATTTGCTAATAGAGATATATCGAGGGAGTTAAAGTATCTTGTTTCGGCATGGAAGCGAACATTATTTGTGAAATATAAGACAGTAATATAAAATGAACAACACTCAATGTGTTTACAAAAGTTGTTGTTGTTTTTATATATGTTGCTAATGATAGTGTTGATTGACCATAGTCAGAAGAAAAAGTTGACATTACTGTGAATGTATTTAATTTTATGATTTGTGTACAAGTCTGAGTTGAAGTGCAGTACAGCAGTAGAAATATCCAGGTCAACTCATACAATTCCCGTTATGTTTATTGTTTGCTAGTCAATATATAGTGTTAGGGTTTAGATCCAAATTAGTTTCCTAGTCTTCAATTCAATTTAAAAAAGACAAAAATGTCTGATATACCAAGAATTAAAGTACATGAAATGGGGAATGGTACAACACACCCTGTGCTTAGTTCGATGGCATTAGCATCTTCTTCAGCGTCAGTAAATTTGGAGGAGAGAAGAAAAGTATTGAGGAAGCAAAGAAGTCGCACACGCTCAAGGAAATATGCAGTTGCGCCACAGGATACTCTGATACAGCCAAGGCGATTATCAACCATAGCTAATAAAAATTCAGTAGGTCAAAAATGACATGAAAAGTTTATATTCATTGTTAAAGATAATATTCAGAGTATGTGCAGCTTTTCTAAGTTAAATAGTAGGCTATGTTTAATCCCATTTAGCACGCATTAGTCAGGAGCATTAGTCACCCTAATGAGTTTGCAAGTGAGGTTCAGTATAAGTTTTTTTTTTCAGCCAACATTTTAACAAACACATGCAGTTTACCAGATCAGTCCATCATGCCTTCAGTAATACATACATGTTAGACAAGATCTATTGTAATCCAACATCTTGAAATAATACCATTTACTTGACTGAGCCTATTTTTCTTTCATTGTTGTATTGAATACATGATAGTATGTCAAAGTCAATCTATGGTCTGACATGTACAATTTTTTTACAGCAAATATCTTTTGCCGAAGATCGGAAACCGCGAAAACGGAGGTCTATGTCGCGTTCCGTTTCAGCTTCATCAGCAGATAGCTTCAGTTCAGGTAAATATGAAAAGGGATGCTTTGTGACTTGTAAAATCTAAGCAAGTTTTGAATAAAACCGATTGTATCGAAAATGGCCATTGGTTATTTTTCTTAAAACAAAATTTTATCTTTTTTTTTATGGACCATCAAAAGTATAATCTGGTCTGAAAGTACTTTAGGCTTTTTTAACTTCAACAACGAAAAAGCTTATATCATAACAACCATATTAATGGTTAATCATTGCTCTTATCCTTGCTCCATTTCTGACGTTTCTGTTAGAATGGTCTGTGGAACTGCGATGCAGTCACTTCAGTGAAAGATCCTGAATATTATTGAAGCAAGACTGTTTTCTTTATACTTTCTAATTGATTTTGTGTTCTTCTCTGATATGATCAATATTTAACACCTTGAAAAAAGAGGAGTAAGCATGTATTTGATAGCACTATTCATATTCTCTACAAAATTACTTCAAATAGTCATGTTTACAAAGTCATTTGTGAAAAATGTGTTGTTTAAATGCTTGAAGGTACTTTTAAAATTCCTTAGATAGTCGGGAAGTTATGGATGACTGCCCAATCTCCAGCTAAGTTATTAGCTGAGCAAACAACCCGAAATGGAGCATGATTTGTCCTACATAGTATAAATAGTACAGATTTCTGGTACCCTGATTTCTCAACTCATTTATTAATGGCTTGATAGTTTGCTTAAACGGCATGTTAGTTGTACACACTATTCTCACAGCGAATCAAAGTGCAAGGAAAACTGATGGATGTACATTTTTTGAAATCTGGATATCAAAAATATTAAAAAAATAGAAGTTACCCAAGAAAAATTTGAATTGGATAAAAAAATTTCACATTGTAGATGTTTTAATATTGTCTTAGAAATGAAATTTTCAAGTGTCCATTGATTTAACCAATATGTGTTTGATATTACTTGCTCAGAGCAAGCCCAGAAGTGAAGTTGCATAATATTTTTCAGTCCATGCACGAGAAATGAATATAATTGAATAGAGATTTAAACCCCAAAATGGCCTTCATATCAGAAATCGGTTATCTGAACTCCCATCAATACTTAAATAAAATAAGCAATGATGGTAATAGAGGCATAATTACGAATAAACAAACTTATATAAATTGCGATAGTGAAGTCCACTGCCTCTTAGTCACTTTTTACTACCCGATTCCGGAATGATAAGAATTCACACTCCTGATGCAAGAAATAATATTTGCAATAGTTCAGCTAAAAATAATCTTAATATTCGGTGGTATCCAAGCACAGTAACCACAGATACTTGAGAATCTAAGACAATGTAACAGCTGGAACTTTTATTTGAAAGTCTTATAGTGGTAATAGATATGAGCTTGGCACAGGGACTGCACCGAAGCTGCTTGGTACAATCATCCAACGAACTATGATAAATATAAAGCATCTATAATCACAAATGCAAAACGAAACGATAAATGCTTGCAAAATGACTGGAGTTGTGAAGTCTTTTTCCAGGAGGACCATTAGATTTTATTTTTATCTAAATTTTGACCAGTAGGTTTGTTAGGACCGTCATGATCAGCAGATATCTGAAAGCATAACGGATACGTGGATATAATCAGCAAAATTATGATATTCATTAGAAGATGCAATTATCTATTCATCAGTTCAAAGGTTTTACTGTAAAATGTAAATTCGCGAAACGCGAAAACTTGGATGCATCATACAACACGCATTTAGTTTACATATACAAGAATACAAAACTGGTCGATAACGCGATATGTGACCAATGGGCCACGACTTTATATGACAGACAAGCATGCCCACTTGCGCGCGGTAACTGATAAAATTTCTGTCGCAAGATTGGTAATTGTCTTATGTGTACAATCAAAACCATTCTTGATGCAGAAATAGCTTGTTCATGTGATTTCAGCTCGCGAAGTTGGAGGTTATTTTTGGAAAAGGGTCAGTATGGTATCGATTAAAAATGTACGGAATTCAACATGGTGTGGGCAGCAACTTTTGGCAATTTGTTTTCCATATACTTGTTTGTGCTGTGTCCACCCAGAAGCTGGACAAAATCAAGAACACAAGACTCTACGAACGCCGAAGTTTTTAATAGTATAGTTTTAAATTGTGCGCCAATAACCGGTAAACTGTACACGTGTATGCTATGCTTGTATGGGTTCTTACGACGTTTTGTGTGGAAACTAACCTAGCAACATTGTCTCATCCCAGAGGCAATATAAAAACACTCAATGGTGTGTGGGCAACACTGTTTGATTTCGCACACGTTGTGGTTTGTAAGTTTGTTAAGCTAATGGAAGGATGATAATATTTCGCGTAACCTTCCCAAAAAGACACGTTTTTGCCTATTAATAATTACCTTTAAAATCGATGTTTCATCGGTGATTTTGCGCTACTCTCATTTTTATCGATGTTGAAGAAGAGTGTCGTGGACTAGATTGATTTGTTACCATCGACTGAAGTTCTTTGTTTGCATATTGTATTATGTCCACATATAAACTTAGAATCATTCTTGTTGTGCGCGCTTGGTTTCGCAATGAATGAATTTGATTACAACGGCCCGGTACGAGCGCTTATCTCTGATCCGGTTACTTCTGAGTAATTGAAAAAAGTTTTCTCATGCCGTGACTAACCAACACTTGTATTTGTGCGCATTTTAACTTTATTTCAAGTTATGCTCGCCTCCCAGGTATCTCTGCATTTTGTTCGTCTGTTTACTTTTTTTTGTCTTGTTTGTCAGAGAACCCAAATAAAATGACTGATTAAATACATTCTGTTTGCGCTTTCAGCAAGATGTTAAAATAAAGTGCTATATTATTACAACTGAAACAAAATATTATTCTGTTACTATTGTGTATTTTGAAGAACCAGTGTTTGGCTGTCGATAAAAAATATGATAACGTATTCAACGTAACGTATTTATGAAAAAGCAATTGAAGCACTACCAGCTCACTTCATAAAAGCGTGTCGCCATTCACCATCGTCTTTTCCGTAACTGAGAAAATCATAAAATCGTTTTGAAGCGGCCTTCCCGGAATGAGCTGTGTCGGAAACAAAAATATGGATTCCGAAATAGAAATATTCTCAAAATCTGATTAATATCCGCTTGGGGCAGTACCGCACTGCTTTAGCGTGGTTGTACTTATAGTTTATCAATCCCCTTAAATCTTCAATCCGGTCTATGTCTATTTTACAATGAACGGGTCTTATTTTCAGATACGATAATCAAACGCAACTTCGGCGTGTCACCAAACCTTAACCAGACACATGGTAATAATTGCGCAAGATCTCTAGTCTGTTACTCTCATAATAAATAAAACGCATTTTTTAATAGACTGCAAAATCAAACAATACCAATGCTATGTTCGTCTTCTAAATAAACAATATCTGCCTGTTTCCGCACATCGTTTTGCACTATTATTTCGCATGTCTTCTTTTGACTTCTACAAAAAAGTTTCTGCTGCAAAAAGTTAAACGTTTCTGAACGAATGGTCGCTTTCAATAAACCATTCGCAAAGAGCCGTCATCTGAGTTACGGTTTATCAATAACAGCTGATTTGTCTTTAAGTGGGGATAATTATTGTTTACTTTCGGAGTCACTCAAACGTGACTAGAGTGGATTTTCTATCTCACATTTCGCCGTTCTCTTCCTCTGCCTCCGTGAAAAATTAACTAGTACCGGAAATATAGACAGATTCGTACAAATAAAGATTTGGAATCCCGAATGACTCCGTACGGTACATAACGGATTAGACTTTACATGTTTACTTTACGGGCGTCAGCTAAGAGTCGGATTTTGTTCGTTGTCTATCTATCACATACAGTATGTTTCAATAATAATAATCATAAATGCCTGAAGCGCGGTTCAGTATGACTTGTGCTTCCGCAGCGACAGGGCAAGCGGTATACAACTCACATCATGCCGAGGGTCACGATTCAGCGACTGCGATCGATGTATTCGGCGTTTTACCTGTGACGTCCGTTTGTTTGGAATTAGTCGTCGATTTAAGTTCAAGCTAAATTTTCCAATCGTTGCTATTTTGATTTGTGCGCAGCGCGGGTGTAAGTAAGATGCGTTAGTGCTTTGTTGTTATAACTTGTTGGCCTATATTCAAAATGTTTCATGTAAGACAAGGAGGAAGGGTGTTTGATTGAATTTATAGGTGGCATGTTCGAAATGGAATATTGAGAATGTCTGCAAGTTTAGTAAAATTAAGATAGATATTTTATTTTTGAAGTTATGCTGGTACATTATAGAGATAGTGATGTGACTCATTGAGATAGCAACCACCAGTTATTGTATGATTGTTAGTACATGACTGTTACAATAATGTGTAATGTCGAAGCTTTCTATATTTAGATATTTAGTAGTACCTGAGTATTGCTTCCACCTATCTCAACTGGAACCAAAAGATTTGCATTTTCATAGTTCTTCTGTCCATATCTTAGTCTATGTGGCCCAATATGCTATTCAGAAGCCATTGAGATATTATTGTAAAAAAGAGAATTTCAATTGTGAAATGTTCAATTTATTTCTATTCCCCACCATATTCAAAGACAAAAGTTAACATTTCTCCATGCCTTTGTTGAATTGATGAGAAGTAAAAATATGAAAGAAGTTCATATTTGGATTGGTTTTCAGCTTCGAGCATTTGAGTAAAGTCGTGTTGTCAAAATGGATAGACTTAGACACTCAAAGTTACAATTCTTTTTAATATACCGGTATGCATTTTTGAAATCAAGAATATAATACACTGTAATTGTTTTGCACATCCTTGACTGCGCCCTTGAATGGATGTCCTCTGTATTTGTATTGTACAATCAACAAATAAAAAGGGAACTAAGTTTTGGCGTTTAGCTGTGATGCAGTCAATATTATAAATAAATGAATCTGTACTCAATCAGTTCTTATTAAAAATCTTACATGGACATAATATACGATGTCAATGTCAACTATTGTTCATAATTATCCTGAAAAAACTCAGCATGAAGTGTCATTTAAACTTGAAAAAGTGAATGAACGTGAACCCGAGGTTGCCGCAAGAAGTACTCGTCAACACAGAAGGGCAAGTGTGACTTTGTCACGTGAATTTTCAACAACAAGTAGCATAGGTAAATTTTAGATACCAAATTTAATCTGTGATGCGTATCTGTGTAAGAGTGTAATGACATTCTACACCAGGGGTCAGCAACCTACGGCCCGCGGGCCGGATCCGGCCCGCGATGCTTCACTGAATTATAGTAACAAATTATAGCTGTTTTGTCGATTATATTCTTTACGCAAAAGAACTTACGTGTAGACTAAATTATATTCTAACGTAACAAGTATATAATTCACAATCACTCGTTTAATGAGCCTATAATTTAATTATAATTTGGGCAAATGACAACAAAATGCAGAAAAGTTGATGCTAATGGTTTAATGGCGCAAAAAATATTCAAATGGTCAGTCTTCGCGCGCTGCTTAATTTAACTTCTGATCTGTGTGATGAAATGTGATTCATCCATCATCCATTCGATTTTTAACATTCTGAAAATATGTGCGGCCCGCCAATGACTTGCAACCTTTAATTTTGGCCCGCAAGCGACAAAAGGTTGCCGACCCCTGTTCTACACTTATAATTATTTGAAATGCTAAATAAGAGGATTTTTCCTTATTATTCTTCACTTTGTCATTACTTCCATTTAGTAAATGTTACTGGTATTTGATTGCTTGCTGTGTATTGAGTTGGTTGTAAATGAAATATTGATTATTTTGAGAATTGCATTTCAATGCTAAATTACCCATCTGCCATAAAATCAATAAAACTTACACAGAGATAAATTCTTTCAAGTTCAGTTAGGTAATATATTTGTCCCTGCTGTCATTTAGGTTGGTGAAGAATAATCAATAAGATTTGTTCGGTCAATTTCTAACTTTTTGTTAACCAAAAATTCAATAAATAATTTGAAATTGATTAATACTATTAGTACAGTGTTTTTTAGAAATTAAAATAGTTGAAATTATGTGGTTGTTTGCAAACTTTGGGTCATTTTTGCAGTTATATTATGGTTCATTCGGATTTTATCATGGTTTACTGCAAAATTTATCCTTTTATGTTACTTTTAAAATTACATTCACATGCTATAGAATTAAAGAATATCAAACTATTCAGTTGAAGCTATCCTTACCCAATATCTAATTTATCACTTTGCAATCACTAAAATTTTGTGAGAAATATGTCCTTTTTTGATCAAATACAATCCAGACATACATTTAATATGTCCTTTGAATTGTCTTTCAACTTCACAAGTCAATAGTTTATAACTTTAATTCTGACATTGATGAAAGTGTTTTCGATTTCACATCATTAATTTAACCTTATAGGATGGCACTGAATTATTGTCCACTCTTGTGTATATATATGAATTTATTACACCTTGATTGTCACTTGAAATATTTTGTTGAAAGTTGCATTCTTGCATTGATAGTCAAAAATGGCAGTAACTGGCCATAGTGCTCCTGGACATTATTATCTTTCAGTTTTATCGAGTAAGTTTCATCTGTTTTTCTCCATTTGGGATTTATTGACAATATTATACTTCTTGAAGTGCAATTAGGAAAATATGATTGACATGCAGTTTAGCTACAATTCTACTGCAGTTGTCTGTTTTTACAGTCATTATGCCATATATTGGATCTATAATTTATTCCTTACATACACTATGAGTCGTATCAGTGCCTCTTTTTTTTGTGCCTTGTTTTCGAACGAGAATGCAAAATACCTTATAAAAATTATATCTGTTTGTTCAAAGTGTCAATTTTGATATTGTTTATGACTGTTTATTTTGCTTATTTCTCCTCATGTCAAAATCTGTTTCTATTTCTGTTTACTTCAAGATCCGAAATTTAGCTATTCTGTTATCATTTTTAATAACTTTCTTCTGTATTTATTTAAGGGTATTTCTTCTGTTTTTTTTTACCTCATGGAACTAGCAATTCCTGTTTTTATTTCATCACTGCTAATACAATACTGTCGATATATTGTTTGAATATAATCTTCAATGTGAAAATATAGTCCAATTTTCCTTGGTTGAAATTCTTGGCTCTTCATTTACTAATGTATTTTTATTATCGTATATGTCTTATTATGAGGCAGTATAATTTTGTGCTGATTTTAATATGGCTGCTATTGTCAAGTGTGTATTACTGTTTTTTATGGCTTTCCATTTGAAACAAGGCACTGTAGAGCAAGCAGCCATTGATATCAAACGATATGTACGGTACTTATTTTTCCCTAAAAACAAGGTCCTGTGTAAAAGCCTCTACTGATAAGTAAAGAGCTCCATTTTTTCATGGAAGGACCGAAAGCTTTCTGGTTTTGGATTTCCCATCGAATTTAGTACACTTTGGCTGAGGTTGTGGGCATGGGATTTTAACTCGGATGATTTTTAATGAATTGTTATCATTATCTTTTTAGGGTCTTATTCCAGTTCAGATGAAGAAGATGATATTTCACCAAGAGAAAGAAATCAGGTATTTATTATCAAATTTTTTCAAAGTTATGAGATATATAGGGTGGCGCTCGAAAACAGAAAATTTGTCAAACAGCCAATTATTTTTACAAATTACAAAGTTTTTTTTAACAACATTTGTTATATCTCACTTATGGATGCTAAAAATGTCATCCATGCACTTCATAGCAGTGTATACGCATTTTGTATGTGCTGTATACGCACTGTTATGTCGCCATAACCAGATGGTTATGAAACATTTGATAGTTCACGCTCATTAATATTGGCATTATTTATGGACAACTAATGAGGGAACCATCTTCTTATTTTGAAAATATGTAGGGTATTTGAAGTATAAAACTCCTGAGTGGCAGACTTAATGATATTATTCTCAGTGAAATATGATTTATTATGTCTGTGCTTTTTAATGAGATTCTATAGCTCTGTGTTGTTATTGTCGTTGATAGCTATGATTCAAGAATATGAATAAAATAGGGAGGATTTTTTGAAAGATTTTTTTACTTTTCTTTGTGCAAGACATGAGTGACAGCTAATTTATACCTATCTCTTGATCTTTTGATTATACATCATTACCTCTCATGATGGATATAAGCACCAGGGTCTGACTTATTACTTTATTTCGTATAGCATTCAAAACTGATTGATTTCAATTTGACAGGGAAAATTTGATTTTAGAATAATAAATTAGATATATTTATATAACTTTCAGAAAAATATATATATCTATATACATCTTATTACACCATTCCATGTGTGGCCCACATAAACAACCTATTATAGCAAACTACGGTAATTGAATTTCTGAATGATTCACTGAAACTCAATTCAATAGTAATAAATGTTTTGAACAACAAAATTGTTTTCTCTGTAAACTAGATAACTGGAATCAATGTTTTTCTGGGAAATCAAGTCTCCTGGGATGAAAAATTCAATTTTATCTTTGATATTGCAATTTTTCCTTATGCAATAATTCAATTCAGAGGAGAGATGAAATGCACCAAATAATATCGTAAAATATTTAATAGGCCTATTATTGTAAGTTATGCACATCCCTATGTTGTTGAGTTGAACTTGATTTCTGCATTTTTGATATCTTCACTTATTTGAAAATAATGTAGAAATTCAATTGAATGATTTGACTTTTTATAGATAGTTTTTCGGACAATTCACATATACTTTCGTGGGCACCAAGATGACGCACAACCTGAACAACCCTAACCTGGTACACATACTATGTTCAGGTTGTGCGCCATCTTGGTACGAGTCCTTTGGGAGCATTCTTCTGTGTGAGATGAATTTTATATTGTAGTAAATTCAATTCATTTGATCATTTTCCTCACGTTTAGATAATATTTTTCATCATCTTTCCTGGTATTATTTGTATGTATAAATTATAATCTTTTTAAGGTGAATTCTCAAGGAATATTCTCAGACTTCTGCATCAGGAATATCAAACATGCTGATTTTGGACGTCGTGAGATAGAAATTGCCGAACAAGAAATGCCAGCTTTGATGGATTTACGCCGTCGTGCTCAGAGCGACAAACCTCTACAAGGGGCTAAAATTGTGGGATGTACGCATATATCTGCTCAGTCAGCGGTCGGTGTTTTAATCATTTTTGTTCTGAATGTTTATTTTTATTCATTTGCATATACTGTAACACCTTTTGAGTGATTAAAAGAAATTCTGCATAATTCAATTTATTTATACACATACCACATTTATATGAAATTTTAGAATGTACTTTGCAGTCTGTATTCTAATCATCTTTGTTCGCTTTGTATGTTTATATGTTTATGCATTATCATAATGTAACATAAATTATACTAATAGATTTTTGAGTGAATAGAAAAAAATTCAACATAATCCAATTTATTTATACACATACAAAGTTACTTGCACACAGATGGTACTTTGAATTTTGGGCAATACAATTAGGATCGGATTATTAAACAGTCTTTAGGGAATGTGCATTGAGAAGCTGCAATTTAAAAAAAATTCTAAAAATTCTAAAAGAAAACAACAAGAAGTATTTAATTTTACACTCACTGATGATGTTTGTCAATTTTACAATTGGTTACAACACAATTGGAGGGGTTTTATTCACACTATTATTCATAGTATGCAAATTATTAATTTTAAATATTTCCTTTTCTTCTTAATCTTTTCCTCAACCACCGAGCTGAGCCTTGACTTTGATTTTTAGTTTTATTTCACCTGCTACTGCTGTTGTTGTTCACCTTTTAAAATAACCTTATCATTGAGTGAATGGGAAGATATTTTAGAGACATTGGTCTGTAATTAAATATCTAAGATTTAATTAATATTCAACTATTCCTTACTTGTTTTTCCTATCTCACAGGTGCTCATTGAAACTCTCATCTGTCTTGGTGCAAAAGTGAGATGGTGTGCTTGTAACATTTATTCCACACAGAACGAAGTCGCCGCTGCTTTGGCAGAAGCAGGTAACACCTATATATTTTTGATTTATCACGCTACCAATGCTAGTTGTAGATGTCTAGGTTTTTCAATAGAATTTTTTTGTTTTATGAATATGATTGATAAGCAATTTCTGTGAATGTTCAATAGAATTTAGTGAATCTAACTGGAAAACATAATGAATTATTTTTGGACAGGCTATTTATGAATACGGTATTTGTTTATTTACCATTTATCTTGCCTCATGTAGGGAAAGATTATTAGATTTTCCTCTAGCCAGCAAATATAAAGGCATAACAGCACAATGTTTGATAAAATATTTACATCTGGTATTCACCAGAACAATGCTTTCGTTGTAATACAGTTTTCACATCAATTCTAAATCCTGACATTTATTACTGTAAACTTCCCTACTTCGTATTATGCTCATATTTATTACTGTAACTTCCCTACCTCGTAGGTCGTAGTATGCTCATATATTATACCAGATCTTATTGTCTGATAATAATGATTATTTCATCATAGTTTATTGAAATATGTAATTTACGGTAATAATCAATTTAAGTGAAAGGGTTCATTCTGGTAATTTTCATTATCTTTGGAATTAGGGTACTAAAAAGCATTTGAATTCCCATATTTGTGTGTTACACCTTACACATTGGGTTCAACGATGTCTACTGACTGAATAAGTATTATATATATTTTTAAAATACCGGTAAATCAGTTTTCAATTTTTTAACCTGCTACACTGCCTCAAATATATTCAACATAAATCCCAACATTGGTTAATTTTTTTAAATTTTTTTTTTTTCTTGATCATATTATTTATATTTTTCAATTTGCATTATATTTAAATTTCGTAAAATCCTGCGATTCCAGGGCATCCAGTCTTTGCTTGGAAGGGTGAAGAGGAAGAAGATTTTTGGTGGTGCATCGAAAAATGTATCACTGCTGATGGTTGGCAACCTAATCTGATCTTGGATGATGGTGGCGATCTTACTCATTCCATTATCAAAAAATATCCATCTATATTCAGAGCTGCAAAAGGAATTGTTGAGGAGAGTGTGACTGGTGTCCACAGGTTTGTGAGACTCTAAAATATTTCAAAAAATTTGACCATCTTTGGAAGTGCATAATATTTTACAAATTTGTTAAATTTTTGAATGGTATTTGCCTTAAGAATAGTATTATATTCAGTCTGACCATTTCGGACCATCCGTGGTTAATTAAAAAAATTGTAAATATTTTGTTATTTTGACAGTCTTCGGACAAGCATAATTCTTTACAAATTTGTCAAGTTTTGGTTTGTATTTGTCGTACAGAATAGTATACCATTCGATTTGACCATTTCGGACCATTCGGAAATTCAACAAATTTGTAATTGTTTTGTTATTTGGACAGTTTTGTTCCATTTGGTTTTCCACAGAATTTCAGGAATGAATTTTTATAATTAATCCATGAGTTTATATTTACAACAGTATACTAAAATAGTGATCTTAAAATTAAAACTAATGTAAGTTATAAATAAAAATAGTCAGGTATAGATATATACACGTAACTTGAGTAGAATTGCTAGCATTTAGCAGCAAACAAATTTGATACGCTTCCCAATTCTTGGTTGAATGATTTTTTCAGTAAAGCATGACATATACAATAGCATAATTAAGGCGATGCTTCAATAACCAGATCATTTCACCCACTCATCGTATTTCATATTGACCTGAACTACCTCAAGTCTCGGGCCAATCTATATTTAGCAGGACGTAATACATCACCATAACTCTATCTAGGTTCGATCGTTATTTCATTAGTCACCGTAACTTGCTCATAGATGATCAGAGATGACTTTCTGAGTGATTTAAATTTGGATGCAATTGTTCTTGTCTTTGTTTGGCTTTGTCTAAAATGTTTTCTACTCTCCCTATATACAGGTTGTTCCAAAATAAATGAAACCAACACAATTGGTAATCGAATTCATGGGTTCCATTTATTTTGGGACACCATGTATAACGGGTCTTTAAATTTGTGAAACATTTGTATTCGTTCCAATGTATTTTTTTTAATAATTTCTTTAGATTATATCAACTTGCAAAAACGGGAAAACTCGCCATACCAGCCATGAATGTGAATGACTCTGTCACCAAGGTTAGATAATTTGATGACGTTTATTTTTATGTGTTTTCATTTCAAATGAATGGTTTAATGTAAATCTTTTGTGGTTCGTACCAATGGATGTCTATACCAAGTAATCTGAATTCCGATTTTAAAAAATATCTCCGAATTTTGCCATAAAATCGTTTTGAATGGAAATAATTTTGGATTTATATTATAAATTTCATGTGGAACTCCCTATTATGTCTTTAACTAAATTAATAAATTGAGCTTTCAAAAATCATTTACCCATATCAAAACAACGTTTTTGAACATTCATACTGAATTGAGCTTTTTTGGGGAAAATTTTTTTTAACCTACTCTATGCTATGTTTGATTCAATATAACATGCTTTTTCATAATGACTATTCTAATTCCTAAAAGCCTCTTTGAGTGTTAAGCGTAGTTAAATCAGGTTCGTGAACCTTCTTAGCATGAAGGCGTTTCATCGGCCTTAAATAAAATTTCACTGTATTATAGGTGACATTGCTGAAGTCAATTAAATTTTTATCTCTTGATGGGATTATATCAATGTAATATCAAAATAACATGTTTTGTTATATTAGGAAAACAAAATTGTGTTGGGCTAGATTTTTTGGTTTTAAAGCTCACAGGTTTTAATTAAAAAAATTGCTAGTACCTGCTTGTAAACTTGTTAATTTTAAAATTTTTAAAGCTATTTTGGATCCTGATCCATGTAAATTGTCTTTGAATCTTGAAATTCTTTGTTTAGAGATGTGAAGTTTAATATAAAACAGTTCATTTTGACTCATTTATAAATCAGAATGTCAAGTCAATTTCATTTGTAATCGTTTTTCATCAAGAAGACATCGTAATGTCATCAGAAACTATGTGAAGGCATGTAATTGCTGTTATTAACTCTTCAACTCCCTTTGCTTCCCCCTCAATGCGATAGTTTACCGGTAAGTTTAATAAGTTCACGAACTGCCGCTTGGTATATATACTAGTATTTCTCGCCAACATAATAAAACATATCAGCTGTTCACCACTCTGAAACGATATGTACATATTGCGCAAGTATTCATTCATTCATAAGACTAAAAAAAAATGGGAATATGGCAAGATGGCAACCCATACAAATTCATATTTTTCTTCAAAAAACATAGCAGTGGAATAGAACTGTACCAGTTTATGTTCCATGTTTTTTTCTAATCACTTTTTTTTATTACAGCAAAAATTTGACAACTTATACTCGTGTCGTGAATCCATTCTAGATGGGTGAGTGTGCTTTATATATTCAATTATTTATTAGCTGGTCATAATATTACCAGATAATTACTTATATGAAGTTGAAACAAGCATATGTACTCTAAAAATGCATCTAGTGATTGAATTCAACGATTGATTATCATTTATCATGCTTTCATATTTTGTCTACATTTCTGATTAACAATATATTGTGAATTGTGACCATGTACCAAACCATGTTAATAGGACAATTTTGCGGAAACGTTTTTGTTAATTTACTGAACAGAATTTGTATTTATTTCCCAATACCTGGCTTAAATCGGAGTTACAGAAAAAATTCCTCACTGAAGTACATGGAATGAAAGATAATAATAAACGCCTGGAATCCCTCACGATCTTGAACTATTCTTAATGCATTCTAAATAATACTTTCAAACTTGGATCATATTCTAAATAAGGTCATATTAAACAAAGAACACAGAACAATAGAATTAATTGTATATTTGATGAATTTGAGTTTGGAAATGCAGGAAATTTATGACAAAGAGTGATTTAATTGAGTTTAGGTATTTTAATATTTTTCAGAAATTAAATAAAGGCTTTATCACTATTTTTTAAACTTTATGATCAATTATATCTGTTTTAAGTTTGAAACGAACTACTGATATGATGTTCGGTGGAAAACAAGTGTTGGTGTGTGGATATGGAGAAGTAGGAAAAGGTTGTTGTTCTGCTCTTAAAGGAATGGGAGCAATTGTGTACATTACAGAAATCGATCCGATATGTGCATTACAGGCATGGTGAGTGCCTTGTTGTTTGTTTGATGGCAAATAGGAATTAGATATTCATAATATTTAAATTCCTGTGTCATTGAATGTGTATATATAGCTATCTTTGGGTTGTCCCTCGATATCCTGTTCTAACAGCATCCCACATTTGGTCAGTGTCAACTCGAAGATAGTGGTTAGAATGATGGCGTACTGTATTTACATTTTTCCCATTATCACAATACCATGTGGATGAATTGTGTTTGAGATAATCGTGTGCAATGGCATCTCTGGAGTCCAGCTCTGACTCCAGAATCAATGTTATTAGAACTCACGGACAGTTATTAATATTAGTATGTACTATGTACTCACTTCGAAATCTTGGGCCACTAATTGTGAAACTCTAGACTCTATAACCCTGGTTTGCACAATCACCGGTCATATACTATGTGTCTACATTTTAAAGGATTGGAGTGATTAGCTATTCTCAAGAAGTCTTATAACCAACGCAATGAAAGACAATGGCTTTGGCTTTTTATAATTAATTCACTTTTCTAAATCTAATTCTAGTAATATTGGAGTCTGGAAATCTTTTGAAAAGTAAATCGACAGAAATATATCATTGTTTTTACAGCATGGATGGATTTCGTGTCGTTCGTCTAAATGAAATGGTCAGAACTGCAGATATTTTCATAACATGTACAGGTAAGGCAGGAAAAAAGGTATTTCTTCATTTGTAATTGTGGCCTTGAGGCCATAAAAAAGGATAAAAATATATTCGTACCTGTGCTATTAAAGACTTAGACCTTCAGAAAATTGGAATCGTTGGAAGACAATTATTTCATGAGTAAACTTGAATTAAAGGACAGAATCGCAAAATGAATTATTTATTAACAAACATGTACCAGGATGCTTTTTTTCCTGGTTTGTTACAACAATCCACAAAGTTTACTCAATATATGGGGGTTGTAAATATTCCCTATGTTGAGTTGTTCACGAACATAAATATATATATTAGAGAGAGCCTATGCAAAAGTTATTTTCCGTTGTTCAATTAATTATTAAACTGTAACATTTTGTGGTTTTTGCGGACTGTTTACTAGATATATGATTAATGCATTGGGCTCAAGTAAGGAGAATGAGTACCTATTTATAGCTGATAATTTTAGCATGTCGAAAGCTATAGTATTGTGATCCTCAAAACACATGAATACTTCTGATTAGCGGAGATTTCACCTAGTCAGACATTAAGGATTTTAAAATTTTTTTTAGCAATAACATTTCGAAGCACTATACTACAATATATATATTTTATTCTTACAAAATCTGTCAATTTTATTGTTATGTAACCTTGAATTATGATGCAATAAAGGCATTTGGTAATTGTCAGAATCGCCAGTTATATATAATTATTTCTTACGACTTTAATGTTGTTTAAAATTCTTTATTCAAACTGAAAAATTGAGATCTATCCAATCAATGTAATGGTATTTTGATGGTTGAAAATTTAATATCCCTCTACATTTTGTGTCAGTCTTGGCATAGGTGATGGAAAATATCACAAGCACTGCCAAAAAGCATCTGAAACAATCATTAGAAATGGAAGCACAATGATTTAACCCTGGGGTTTTAGACTTTATATAGATATGAATATATTTTCTACTGGTGTTTGGAGCCTAATAACTATCTTACTATACTTTACAGGCAACAAAAATGTTATTACAAGAGAATCTCTAGACAAAATGAAGAATGGTGCTATTATATGTAATATGGGGCACAGTAACACAGAAATAGATGTGGTATGACTTTATTTTGTTGTCTAAGATTGATATATAAAGGTAAAAGTAAAGGCATATGTGCATGTTAATGCAGATATATACAGATGTATATGGTACTACCTACCTTCCTTTCAAATTAATGTTTTAAATTCACAAAGAAAAATAGGATACTTTTCTTTAATCAGTGCTTTTCTTGCAAAACTGTCATATTTGATACTTTTAGTGTACACCTTTATACATGTAACACTCCACTCCAGTTTTTTTTGTATGCCTTCGTTAAATTCCTAATAATGGACTTAGTTCACTGGACAGGATAAAAATGTTTATTGATTTATTTCCAGGCAAGTTTGAAGACGCCCGAATTAACGTGGGAAAAAGTACGCTCACAAGTTGATCATGTTATATGGCCAGACGGAAAACGCATTGTGTTGCTTGCAGAAGGTCGTCTTCTCAACTTAAGTTGTTCCAGTGTCCCCTCCTTCGTTTTGTCTATAACTCACTGCACACAAGTAAGACTTTGTAATGAAATTTGTATACCATATTCTGTGTTATGTAGTAGTGTTTCAGAATTTAGTACGGAGTAGAAATATAAATTCAAATGTCAAAAAATATGCTCTAGCAAGCCCTGAAGACACTCATAAAGACAAATGGATTTTGACTTCAAATGGTTCAAAACTTTTTCCTGGATGTAAAATTGGTTATCTTCTAACCCGCTAAAAGCAAAATCAGCTATCATTTTGATAAGTCAATGCTCCTTATTTTTTTCTAAAATATGAAGAAGAATACTTCTCTCATCAGTCATCAGTTATGTTAAATGTTACTCTCGTTTACTCAGAGTAAGACTTAAGACAAGCAGAACAGATATAGATGAAAGAATTTGTTTATGAGGCATCCTTTATATCATCTGTCCGAAGCCTCCCGTAATTAATTGAAGAGCTATTTTTGTACAGACTGGAATCTTTTCTGTTCAACATGGCTACCCGATTTATTACACATGCCGACATCGACATGGTTTACTTTAACGACTTATCAATCTTAAACTCTTACTAACTAAGCCATAGAGCCCAGAAGTGTTGAAATACCATTTAGCACTATAGTTTCAGTGCAGTTTTTGATTGTAATTGTAGAAAAATTTATTATTTTGCACATCTCCGTCATATTTCCGTTTGACAAAATCACTTTGATTTGATCAATTTGAATCTTTTTTTCAGGCACTTGCGTTAATTGAGCTGTTTAACTGTCCAGATGGTAGATATCAAAGGGATGTTTATTTACTTCCAAAAAAGATGGGTATGTATTGTTAGTGGGTGAAGGAAAATCAATGGGGACAATATTATTAGGAGTTGATGATGTTGTACACTAAAAAACATTAGTTACAGACTAGCACCTCCTCCTGAAAGGGTGTTTTTTAAACCATTGTTTCCATTTTCGAAATATTAGATAATTCTCAATCAATAACTAGCACCTCAAATAGCAGAAACGTTCTAGCTAATTACTGAATAACTTATAATTTAGAAGTCTTCTAAAAAAAAATTTCAAACATGAGATATTGAATTCATTTTGATCTTATTTTTCATAAACATTGGATTTTGTATTGTAGAAAACATTGTTTCGATTCATGCTCTCCATTTACCAAACTTATCAATAGTTAAATCTGATGACAATTCAAAATAAAAATATTCCAAATCAATCCCAAGTTTAACAGTTTATTATATTTAAATTTCTTCAGCTATTCGACATCTCTGATAAAATATCATTTTCTGCATGTATTGAGTTGAGCTATTTGAGCTATGTGCAATATACCATCTCAGACCTTGTTTTTTCTCTTCCAGATGAATATGTTGCAAGTTTACATTTGGCTACATTTGATGCCCACCTCACTGAACTTACAGACGAACAAGCAAAATATCTCGGATTTAATAAGTCAGGACCTTTCAAACCAAACTATTACAGGTCTGTTTGGATTTAATTGCTTTCATTTAGTTTGGTGGTGTATATGAATATTAAATTACTGTATATGCAAAATTTCTCCAAGCGCATCGACTGATTTTCTAAGGAAAAATTCACTGATCGTATCAACTTGATCTGTTTAAAGTCTTCGTCGCCAATCCATACCTACTCACCGCCCTCTAAAATTCCCAATCTTTCGTTAATCCGTATATATTGGCACTTCATGCACCATAGAGATGAGTATCTTTTTTTTGAGTGGGCGTTTGCGACCTCGCTTCAGGCAAATTATCTTTAAAAAGACAATGGATAGATTCATACTTGTTGTCAGATATGACAGTGAGCAGGTTTTGACACTAAAACTTAGAACCCTTCCGATCACACTATCAGGGAAAATATATTTATATATGTAAATTTGTATTAATTTATAACGTATTTTCAGGTATTGAAGTATTCCGCAAGATTCCTGTTTCATAGCATCGCCTTCATATTATAAAGTCGTCCCGTCATAATAACACTTGATTGTCTATTATAAAAAATGGCTGTTGTAATTTCGTCTTGCCAACTTCATTTGGAAGAATTTAGATTTAAGAATTTAGTTAGTTTAATATAATTGTTCATCTCTTCAATTATCAACTCTCAGTGTCAAGTTTCCAGCAATTTACAGTAATATTGGCAATGTTTGCCTCAACTAATCTTTCTTATGTAGTGCTGAAATATTCGTTTTTCCTTCATTATATTGCGGTGTTAAAATTGGCTTGAAAATGTGCTGGGAATACATATTTATATACAGTGGTTTCTTCTGTTTCGTTAATGATATAGTAGTATGAGGGCCTGATACAAAGAAGCAAGATCTTTTCCTAATAAAATACTTCACACGCCGTTTTTGACACAGGTAGGCTAGTTACGAGGTTGGGTCGATATGACCAATGGTTCCAAATAAACTAGATTGCGGTAAGCATCTAAGGGTAAGATGTTTCATGTATGTACTGGGGAAGAGACTGCCTCATCGTAGTGTGTCTAACTGCCGCCCCATTCGCACGGATAGGTGCCCGGGCGTTGAAATAACTGAGGATTTGAACTCTCCATATATGTGCGGTAGTGGTTTGCAGTTAGATACTGATTGACTGGCGGGTCGGGGTCCCCGAACGAGGGAGTCGTGAACAAAACCGTTGTTTGGTTCTTCCGAAGCTATAACCATCATCTTGCTTGCGAGCGCCATACGATGGCAAAGTAGCGTTTCGAGTATTCTTCCCAAATCATAGATGCCAGAAGTGACCAGAATTTAGTCTTCATCTCTGGCTCAACCTGTTGTAACTCGCCTGTTCGGAAAGCAAATACTAATCCTAGAGAAGCCGCCATTTATATTATATTTATTGAAAACTGATTTGGCCGTTTTAAACACCACTCTCCCGTTTGTGATTAAACACTTCTCACACGTTATCTGTCAATATGGAACGTGCTGCTGATTGCAATTAACAAGTCGTAATTAGGGCTGGGCATTTCGAATCGAATAGTAAATTATTCGAATCGGTTCAGAGCTAAATTTCGAATCGCCGCCATCTTGTTTTTATCTTTCCGCTAATGGTCGAGGTGAATTCCCCAATTTTTTTTCAATGGAGTCATATTTTTTTAACGAAATTCTAACATATGACTCTTTTCTGTAGTGAGTTATTGATAAAACGTGTTTGTTATTCTGTGTGAACGCTCAGTAATCTATTTGAGTGATTTATTCTATGTCTTCAGTAGTTCATTTGTTGAGAGGACCAATTACTATATTAAAGTCGTTTACAATTATATATTTTCAAGTATTCGAGATTCGATTCGAAAAAAATTATTCGATTCGATTCTGAAATCACAAGGTATTCGAAAATGCCCAGCCCTAGTCGTAATATATATATATATATACGATAAATCTTTTTCGGTAGACTAAATGTACCATATCACCAACTATAGATAATCTATATACTGTATATGGAGTACTACGTCGCAAAGGACGTTGGAAAATGTAAGGAGTGGCCTCTAACTTGCACCGTCGGGGTGCCACTCCAGAATATTCTAGCCCCACTCATGGAAATTTATTTACAGAACGTTGTGGGAGTTTGCAATCGTGAACAATATACCGCATATCTTCTGTGTGTCACAGGTTATTTGTTGTCTGCTTCGCAATAGGGTACTCAAATGTTGAAATAAATTTCTAAAAATAAATAATGATTTCGAAATATATATTTACTTTATACCTTCCATTTTCGAATTCCATAACTAGTCTCGATATATATGTTAAAATCAGTGACGCGCCAAAATTTTGGGGACGGGTGTTGAATTTGGGGTACCGGACTGAGAGACTTATTTATTTGTGTTTTGTTTATGCATTTTCGAAAGTTATTTTTGAACAAAAATGTTTATTGTTAAACGGAAACATTTTGGTTCGTGGCCAGTCTAGGATTGTATTTTTCCCTTTAAAAAAAACAATAAATCAGAAATTAGGACAAATATACGATGGCTGAATTTTTCATCAGAATCACTCAAGTTTAAGTGATAATATTTTTTTAAACAACAAAACGAATATTTAAACGAAAACGAAATATTTACACTCGTTTATTTTGTCTCCAGCACATTTTTAACATACATATATATACAATATATATTCTAAATAAAATAGTACAAAGCCTCGAGCGTTCGAAGCATGTTGCAAGCAAAGTGGGAAAACAAAGCTGGTAAGGTACATTACACTTACGAAACGAATAAGGATTTTGCTCAATTTCTAATACGTTTCATAATATACTGGATTGAGTACGAAGATAAATTTAAATTGCTTTGATGTGTCAAAAATGCAGGAAAGTAGAGGGCAAAGAAGTGATTTTACGCAGCTTATAGAATAATGAAAATAATAAATTTTTATCGTCTTATAATTATATTTTGCAAATGTTTCACTACAAGCAAAAAGGGGTTTGAGTAAAAAAAAGTGGAAAAAACACTTTGGCATATAGAAAACAAATTTGGAAAATATTTCATTTTTGCATAAACCATGTGTCATCGCGGTTGACGAATTTTTTGAATTATGGTCATGACGCAAGAACAATGTGAGAAGAATATTACTTTTGTAGATATCAAGCCACAATATCAGAAATGTTACCTACTTATTTTAGTTTATATCGGATTAGTTCCAATTTCGTGTTACAAATTTACATTCCTGCAGGCCCGAACTACGTATATAGCTTAGGCCTTAGAGAGAGAGAGAGAGAATTTACTATTTCGTCAACCAGAAAACACATAATATAAAATATGATAATAACGAAATAGGTGAAAGAAAAGTTTTCGTTATGACTGGGAGGTAACGATACGACCATTTACGGTCATCTGAGTCAGTTACCACATTAGAGACTCTTATCTTTTCATAAAAAGTTCAAAATGGCATTATCAGATCATAACACTAATAAAATATTATGTCTAAAATTATGGGGCATCAAGTGCACGTGTGTATCCCTTTGCTAAATTATTGTTGTTACTTTTCTTGTTGTTGTTTAGTAAGTAAAGTGGACTGATGAAAACTTTTTATAATAATAAATATTAAATAACAGCACATTCATTCCGAATTTAAATTTTCGCAAATGCTGTAATTAGACATAACCTATCAATTGATTACACCCCAAGTGCAAGAATTTGGTTATGAAAGGTAAACGCTTTAAAACGGGTGTATACGGGACCCAAAAGCAAATTACACCGTCGGGCGAATCATGCGGTTTCAAGGGATAGAAGATGACCATAACACAGTAGTGGAATCAATTTCATTAAAAAATGAGAGTTATTAAAAGTTTTAAAATTCTGGCGATTTTGAAGCGTGTTTTACTTGAATTCATATGTACGCACGTCATTTAATCCTTCAGATATTTTTCAATTTTCGCGATACCCACTTTACATTTTTCCAATTCTGGTGATACCAAAACCTTTTTTCATCTCGGTGATGTTATGAATGCGCCCTATCGACTGCGCTACTCTCCGAATTATTACGAAAACTCATACTTAATTTATACTCATGCTTTATATTCTACATATGAACCCATCCGACCACGAGACCAGGTTATTACGTAAAATATGTTGCCACCCAGTAATTTAACCCAATTACAGAATCACTTTTGAGCTGGATAAAAAGTCTGTGGTAGCGCAAAAATTCGTAATGCTAAAATTGAATGTGCGACTAACTCATAAATTTTTGGGGCTTTACCCGCATTTAAGCGATTAATACGTTCCGCTGCCCAACACAAATTATTCCGTCCGGAAACATATTCTTAAAACGCATAATACATTTAACTCGGTTGTCAGACTAACTGATAACGTTACGCTGCAAACTCACAAACGTATCATTGCGTTGCCACTCACATTCCGTTTTTACGAAGTGTTATTCTTGTTTTGAAGAGGAAAAAATGACTTGTACAAGTATCTCTTGGCTATTCAGACAGCAATACGATGAGCTTGTTGAAGTTAGAGATATTACTGGTGATGTCTCGTTTGCGAAGCAATTTCCTGATTTTGTTACGGTCTGGGATTAAAGTGACAATTGAAGCAGAAACGAAAATCGTAGCGGAAACGACCGATGCCTTTCGTATAGCCTTGTGAGATAGAATTTCGTCGCATTGCGTATCATCTTTATGACTTCATGCAGTCGCGCGTTGATCTTTAAAATCGAAGTATTTTCAATTTTTACCGTTTTTTTTTTCCTTTTAACTAACGTTAGCAGGTAGAATCGAGTGAAGCGCGAGCATTCGCTCATCCAAGTGTAGTGACATTTATATAATTTAGGCACCGATGTACAGGTAGGGTGTGCGTGTTTCCATCGATGAGCGAGGTTTCGCTGTGTGAACAGCGATAATATTATTTTTAGGATCAAGGGTCTTAAGAACTGTTATTATGCTAAATATCAGAATAACTAACACACGGATTTTCAAATCAGGCCATGATATGAAGCAATAAGGAATGGGATAATAGCACGAAAGGCAATTATAGAACATTTGCGACTGCCTTTCATATTGTTCGTATGCCGGTAAGTTTTCATCAGTAGAATCTGGTAATATTATTAAATGAGTTTTAAGAAGAGGTAAAGCTGTTTTTGAAATCGAAGTTTTATAATAAATAAGACTGAATAAGCGAATAATGTGGTATTTCTGATGAAAATAAGAAATTGTTAAACTTCAGATTTTCCAGAAAATGACTATCAAGCGAATAAGTGGATATTAGGGAGCTCATGAAATGGATAAAAAAACAAAGATAAATATATAAAAATGTATTCAAATTATTGTAGATGCCCTCATTTAGATGGTGACTTTTGTACGTATGGTCGTATGGACGTATCACATGCAACCTTCGAGCAGATCAGGCGAGTGCGAAAATTGAACTTGTTGTTAAATTTGTATACGGCTATGGCATATTCATTGCTTATTATGAAGTCAAACAAAGAAGAAAGGTATAATTCAGTGCATCAAAACTAATCCAAAAACGAGTCCAAATATCTGGAATATAACGATTGGTATACATAGAGCGTCTTTAAGTATTTTGACGTCCACATTATTTCCCCGGCACCTTTTGTTTTCAAAATAATGAATAGCGATTGTTAATTAAGAATAATAGTTACACAAAGACAGGGTAATATATTCACTGACCCAAAATTAGTTGTAAACAGGGAATCGTATCAAAAAACGCAGCAAGTTCATTCGTATCCAACCATTTTACGAGCATAGCTTAATTGCGGCAAGATATAGAATTTCATGAAAGAGGCGATGCAACAGAGAAGCGATTTATTGAGCAGTGCATGATGCGATGGTCATCGATGCACATCGCGCAATCGGCATGAAGGTGGTAATGATATTGAAATATAGATCTTAACTTTTATAGACGAATTGACCGCTGGTTCGTCACAGGCGAGCAGTTTTAGAAGTGTTGGAAACTCTACCTTATGACGTTTTGGTCAAAATATATAAGTGCAATACCGTAAAATAGTACATTGGTTTGGTGATAGGTTATATTTCTCAACTCAGTTCTTCTTGGCCTAGACTAGAGCAAATGAACAACTAATGTAGCATCACATAAGTTAGACTTAATTGCTTGGATTATTATAAATATGAACAAGAAAGTAGAGCAACCTTTTGACTCAGAACTGCTGTGCTTTGAAGTGCCATATCCTCTTGCCAGATTTTATGCTGGCTATTTGTTGTTGTAGTGGAGGATTAATATCGCCGACCTAGTGTGCTATGCCACCGACAACTTCTGGTCGTAAAGTTTCCGGCACACTCGACCCAAAAATAGCAACTTTTTTTTATAGCCAAAGTATATTAAATAGTCCAATTTTTATTGAAAAAAATTTTAGTTTAAATTTAGATTACTTGATCAAAAGGATTAAATGAACCAAACTTTACCGGGTGCATACCACAAAATACGCGATTCTGTGAACCGTGCATGCCACCGCGTTTCATAAAACCGATTCATTGAACGGAAAATATCTATCTGACACGGGTGATTTTTGTGGTAGCAGATTCCGCAGCGAATCGAAAATTTTAGGGAGCATGTTTTGACAAGTTTTGTCAAAAATCAAATTTTGATGGGCGAAGTCATTTAAAAGCGTCGTGCACTATTCCCAAATTAAAAATTAAAAGAAATGTAAAAATTCATATTCTCAATACACAAAAAGAAGTTTGTCATTTGAGAGTTCTGATATTTTGTGTTCTCATTATTATCTCATTCTAGAGTTTTTGTGACAGAATTCACACACTAGTCAAGATATTTCTGTGAAAATAGAGTAAAGAAAAAGAGTAGTTTATCACAATTCCCTCTGTGTCAAAACAACATATATGAATTTCGAGTAATATATGACGTGAATTATCCGTGATTTTTACCGTTTCAACGTCCCTCCATGCGATGTTGTTATGAACAATAATATGCTGCATAGCTGTTTTATCAAAAACAGTATCCATTTACTTCCTTTACCTTCAATTAGTATATTTTTGTATTTGTACAAATAGATAGTAGATTACATAACGTAAAATGCTTTTTGCTTTGTTTTAGAAATATGTACGAAAGTGCGCAACAGTTCACTTTTGGATAATGGCAATCTCATGCCTTTTTATAAAGTGCAGGAGAATATTTAGCTCACTAAATCGGTTTTCACGGAATATATTTTATTGGAAGAAACCACAAAAATTGGGACTTTGTTCTCTATTATCTGGATTGTTCATTGCGTCTACGTTAACGTGAGTATTATATAGTTGGTACTACTGTAGTATGTGAACCAAGATGGCGGACACCGGAACGTAGTATGTGTACCAGGTTAGGGTTAGGCCTAACCCTATTCTAATTTTCCTCATTTTAGTTCTATCACGAGTTCGGGGACTAGCCAAGTGAATCCCGTAGTATTTGTACCTGAAATTATGACCTAACCCTAACCGGGTACACATACTACGTTCCGGTATCCGCCATCTTGGTTCACGTACTACGGGAGTACAATATAGTTGTATATCATTCCTTACCTAACAAAACGTTGGATTGTATACCATGTTTTCCCGAAAAAAGACCTAGCCTGAAAATAAGACAAATAGAAGCGTGTTAATTATAAGGAAATGGACATCAGTTTTCATATTTGTTATATTTGAAAATCTCGTAATGCTTTGTAATTTAGTTTTTGATAAATGATATAGAAGGCATCCTCCAAAATACTCCTTAGTGTTATTTCTCGAAAAAAAAAATTGAAATAAGACCCTGTCCTATTTTCGGGGAAATACAGTACTTACCTCGGTTCGCGAATGTTAAGTTTGATCGCTGAATTCAGCTAGTCAGCCGCGAAAATGCGATTTGGTGTGTGGTCATGAATTTCGTGTTGAACCTTTCGTTAAATTTTCAAATATCGTAATTATTCATTTATCTATAATTATTATGTTGTTGTGATCTGTTCCCGTCATATGTGGCGAATAATTTATTGACAGGAACAGGTGATGCATATTGCAAATGCGTTTTTAAATGCTTTTTCAGACCTGAAAATACTTCGAAACATTCATATTGATACTTTGTAATGACGTTTTATTCTTGGCTCTGTATTTACATGGCGAGTGGAATACTATCGTTTACCACCTTTACCTCTCACGATAGATCAGACGCTCGGTGACGACCAGGGTCGCAAACTTTGTATAGCCTATTGGAGACTATTTTCCTTAAACGCATTTCCGACACACTCTCAATTACCCTAGTCATTTTACAATATCCCCAACGAGATTTGAACTAATCTGACTGATTCTAATCTATTAATTGCCAATCCTGCAAATTTTCGACACACCGCCGCTGCAACTTGTGTCCATATTTATCCAACCGGCAATCACATAAAAATAAAACAGGATATTAAAACTGAACAATTATTCATAAATAACAAGTTGATATATTTCTAAATGAACGTCTGCAATTGCTTTGAATGAATTCTGGTCACAACCCAAAACCAAATTCTTTTTGTATAAGCATATTCCAGCAAGTATTTTTTTTTGCCCAAACTTGTTCGAATCCTGGCGTTAAGTTAGATTTTTCATATTTCCGACTGAAATCATAAAACGGTCATAAATTATGAGTCATGTCACCCAATTTCAAACAAATTTTCGAATGCCAGTCTTCTTTTTATTAGTCCTGCAACATCACTCGGCTCTTTCGTTGGTGCAAGATACATCTGCAATAAGATTTCCGATCTAACTCCAACACAAAGAAGCATGTGTCAGGCCAATATGAACGCAATAGTTGAAGTCAATGAAGGAACACACATGGCCCTTGAAGAATGTCAACGACAGTTTAAGCATGAAAGATGGAACTGTAAAACTCAAGAAGGAGTTTCAACCTCCATTTTTGGTCAAGATGAAGTACTTGGTGAGATTTTGAGTACCAATAATTTTGAGATAATTGTATAGGTTTTGCTATAAATCTTAGTGTGTGGTGATTTGTTTCTTTCGATTTGATAACACGGTTTCGATTTGCTAACACGGTAAATAATTGAAAGGAACAGAATCCTTTTGAGCCTATATATATATAGGATATAGCCTATTATATTTATCAAACTCTGTGAGTTTGTATGCATGGCCTTTGTACCGTACATTATTGGACAAAATAAGTACCAATTACCATCCATTCAGCCACTCCAACTCGCTAAACAGTATTAGGTTTTATAAGTACTGTGGTGCCAGGTAAAACAGAAGTAAAAGTGCTATTTGTTTTATAGCTATCTCGTTGGGTCTAGTGCTATTTTGTGATAGTTTTATGTTTGTTTTGAACATTACATATATTTGGGATATTTCTATATGCTGGATAGACGTTTTGATTATTAAACCCTTAAGTATCCCAAAGATTAAAAATTCGAATTTGATACTCTGAGTAAATTTTTATTATAAGTCAATGCAACTTTGCGTATATGAAGGCTGCCATCAATTTGGCGTATAATCTATCATCAGCGATGCTATACGCCAGCGAATTCGCCACTGTGTCGTATATTTCAAGTAGGAATATTATATAGATCGCTAGGCCGAGAAATTGGCTGACAGTTTGATTTATTCGAAAGAAAATGGTATATTCAAATTAATTGACCCCAAAAGTGTCTGGGAGACGTAAGTGACGGTGGATTACTGTAGAATAACAGTTTACGTGATTTCTCATTACTCAGCTATCATGGAATTTGTATACGAGCTTCGATGATTTTTGTAATTCCTTAAAAAGCACCACAATTGGAATCAATCAAATTTAGAATTGTCTTTCAATTAAATTTTCGAGCAACATCCCCAATTTCTATGTTTTGCGTCTGAATTTAAAAAACAGAAACACTAGTTTTATTTATGCGTCAAACGTTAATAGGTAATCAATTTTCGCGTCATCTTAGAGAGGATTTCCTTCATTTACATAATGCGAATCCTTTAAGCAGTTATATTTCACCCACACTGTTTTCGGTTTCCGAAAGCATTACTGTGCCCAAGGGGGCGGGGCCAACCACTGCAGTGACGTAATATTCCAATTTGTGTGTTGGATTCGCATTTAATGGAATAAGCGGAAAAACCCAATTCTTATTTTCAAAATATTTATAGATTATTGCCTTCATCTGGATTAAGAAGGGTGGAAGGAGCGGCCACCAGGTTCCCCTATTTTTAGGTTCCTATTTATAATGATAATTGCTTTTTAAAACACTTGAAAAATTTAAATGATTTTAAGCGTCATTCACGACACTATATGACACATTATTCAAACCAGATAAATTATTTTGAAATCGATCAATTTTAAATTGAATATGAATGTTGTAGGGTTACCTTATTGTTGATCGCTGCCATTATCATGTACGTGACGATGAAAGTATAACTTGTTACCAAAACTCTAAAATTAAAAATTGTGAAAAAGCTGATCGAGTGTTTACATTTTCTGCAAAAAGATGGACTATGCTTAGAAATTCCCTTGCATGTATAGATTTTTTTTTAATTCTATATCGCAGTTACTTTTGATTTTCAATAATCCTAATGAATCTACTTTGCGAAAATAAATCACATTGTAAGCGAAACATTGCAAAATTTAATATAAATCATGAAGATTTATAGTTTTTAAAAACAAAACAGCATTTGTTTCAGAATTTGTTTGAATCAAATTTGCAACATTAATGCAACACAATACAGCCCGATAAAGATGGGAATTTGGTGATGCCTGTTTTTCAAGCAAATAAATATCACAATCAGATTTTATTTGTCATTTATATTCTTAGCGAAACGAATTTTACTTAGCAGCCTATTTTTGATGGCGTGGTCCCACCTATCTTTTTATCTTTCATGCAAACGCAACTTTCGCGTTTTCGTTGTTTAAAAATATTTTAGATGTAGTTCCGATTGCATCCAAATTATTCTTTGCCAAACATGGGGGGTATATAAACAGTATCTTCCATTTGTTATTTATCTATTCTATATCCTTGATCATATATAAATGAAAAGTTATCTTTCGATTCGGAACAAATCAACCAGTTTGGGAACCACTCAGTTGCGTGAGTGAATCATAATCGGAGAATAGCGAATTTTAATCCCAATATTTATCCAAGGATTTTGGTGTAGTGACGTTATCTCGAACGAACACATTCGTCAAGTTTACCGCTGTTTTTTCTCAGGATAGTCTAGGAATGTAGAAAGGAAGACAAATAGATGGGAATCTGAATTGAAAAATAAAATAAAATTCATAAACCGCAAATATCGACAGTAATAAAAATATCTGTCATTTTGGACAAGGGTCGGTCCGTGAGAGACAATGTCAAAGATACAGCTCATTGATACTAGAGACCAGAATGTAAACAAACGCGCTTTTTAGACCCATCTTCCCACCAATGAAATAGGCTGGAGGTCATATGCTTCTTGTGCCACATACCCTTAAACGTTGTAGAAATATTCACTAGTATTCGGCCTATTACAAAAAGCAGAAAATAGCAGTCTTCATGTTTAATCAAAGGATGCATTTGAATTATTTCATGAATGAAATAGACATATGTTTTTTGTACCGTTTACTTTTATGTATCATAATTCGATATGCTATAAAAAACGGCAGTATTCCAATTTCTCTCATATATTTTACGCCCAGAATAACGTCCAAATTACGAAACTGGAATATAGCGGACTTTATCTATAATTTCATATCTAAATTGAACGCAAACTTGATTTACAATATTTCGAAGCATCCATTTTAATTATTGCGGGAATTCACATCTCCAACCAAACGCAACATAACAATTTCATTTCTTTATGAATCCCTTTCAAAGGATTTCAAAAAGAGTATTTTTTCTATGGTCAGTTGTGTTATCCGCTAAGAATTTTGAAATAAATTCACATATTTCATGATTTTTTCAGGAACGAAAGAAGCGGCTTATAAGAGTGCTATCCGAGCAGCTGGCGTATTATATGCAATTGTTACTGCTTGTGGGAAAGGAAGTTTAAGGTAAAAATTTGAAAATAGATTTTAAATCGAAGAATTTGAATCGGAGCATACTATTAGCGGTTTTGATTACGTACTTTGCTTATTTTTGTGGCGAGCATCGGAGTGAGATGCATTGTATTATTATTATAATGGATCAGTACAGAGCAAAAGGTTGCAAGTCTTCCATTTCACCTGTCTCAAAGCCTGATAAGATTTCCCCTTAGTTATTTTTATAGTTATTCCGTCGATATCAATATACGTTGATGTCTCAATGGTTTTTCTTGCAATTTATTTATGAAATGGTACATCAAAATATTACAGCTTTATTTAATCGCTATCATTTCACATGAATTCTAATTATATTAGTCAATGAGCCAGTCACTTTGATTTTTCAAATTCTGAAAAATGATTATTTGGCTAAAAATTCCGTTAAACTAAATTCCTTAGTCCGCACTACACGCAACCATTCCGTACAAAAATAGACTTTTATCAAGCGTGGGTCATAGTTGAAACAAGGCCCTAAATCGTGTTTTTACACCATTTTACGCATGAATGAAAAATTGTAACAATATTGCTACCCACATCGACACGATACTACAAACATGAACTATCAAGCTAGGGAAATTGATATCATATATTTGGCCGGTACTGGTATTAGTAAAATCAACTTCAAAGGATACCGATATTCCCATGCTTACCAATACCCTCATATTGCCTTATTATCTTATAATTTTTAAATAATAAACCACATAGTACATAATAAGTCATTATGAAATTAATTTTTAGTTTTTCAATTTGCTAGCTATTGTTTTTTATTTGTTGCTTTCAAATTTATATGCAAATTCAGGCTTCTATAAAACGTTATATAATAAGAGGTATGCAACCTTGTTTCAAGGTTCAAAAGGGTTCGTTAAAACAGAAAAATATTTTATAATATATTTTCATATATTTTCTGATATAATATCAATAACGTCCATATTGATGTATCATCACAAATGCACTGTAATATCCTTATCCGAACTGTGGGATTTTGAGAATTGTATTTTACAAATCACTTAGATTTAATATTCCAAACATAGCATTCTATTAATCTTTATATGAACAGGGTGGCACAAAAGTAAGCTTATAATAATATAATGCATTATTCTACTTTTAGATCACTAACGTATATAAAACTTCATGAAATAAAATATATATTAAGTGCAATGATTTTCTTGACAAAATGATAAATGTTATACAAAACAGTAATTTTGTTTATCTGATTTTTCAAAATAGACCTTTTTTTAAATAGTAGTAATTTGGATATTGGCCAAGTTCAATTTTTTTGACATCATTACATGTGTCCTAAATTCCAATTTCGAAGTAATAAATTCACCCAAACTACAAAGGGGACTGGTACATTAGAATTGTGTAAGACGTGCATTTAAGGACAGGTGATATTATTTCCATATTTTGGTATTCAAAATTATACCGTATTATTGTTGTAGGTGATAATATTTTAACGACTGAAACGGCGTCAAAACGGTAACTTGACACCTTTATACATTTTTAGAGATTGCGGCTGCGACAAAAGTAAGCGAGGTTATTTTGAAGGAATAAACAGCACAAGGTGGGGTCGCAAGCTTCTATCTCGAGCCGAAAGAGCAACACAAACTTGGAAATGGGGCGGATGTTCTGTCGATATGAACCACGGACTGAGATATAGCCGTGAATTTTGGGATGCCCGTGAAACCAAACGCGATTCACGGGCACTCATGAATTTGCACAATTACGAGGCTGGCAGGAAGGTGAGCATCATGTCGTTATGTTTTACTTCTGCCCGCGGGTGACGTTGGTTTGTGTCGTCAAACAATGTTCGTTTCAAAAAGGATAATATTTCACTCCGTCGGGAATTAGACCAACACGCCAAATTGCTGGTGTAATTTAGGTGGTTATCACATAGTTTTAACATGAGGTTTTTATATTAAAGAATATGTTAAATTATTTCCTTCTGTCGGTGAATTGTCAGCAACAAGTGATATCGATTGTCGGTAGCGTATGTCATCCATTATTATTTTGGAAAAATGCACGACAGATAGGATCTGTTACATTACAAAGAACATACTCGACTATGCGTGGGCAAAGGATCATCTTACGTGATTTTTTTTTATAATTTGCGTGTTTTTGCGGTACGTGATATCATTTTAAATTGGAAATAAGTTAACTATTTCATCAGAATTGTGTCTGAATATAGATTTCCTCCGATTCGGATGGTTTACGCTATGTTGTATTCTACGTTTTATTAGGGTCTGGCTTGCCAAAATTCACAAAGTTAAAATAAAATAAAATTTAATTTATTCATTGCATCGTCCTATATATATATCATTCGTCTGATCAAGCCATGCGCTGTCAAAATAATGATTCCCAGTTTACTAATATTTTTTTTTCAACTTTTGGGCCCAAGTTGAGTCTGCAATCAAACAATATTACGTGTTCAGGCTGCGGATTTTGATTTATATATATTTTAAGGATTGGACCGTAAAAGGAGTTAGCCTTTTCACAACACCAACTTCAAAATCTAACCTTACATATTGTACACAAAAATGTTATTTTTCATTAAAAGAATGATGCCAAAATTAGATTCAGTAAGATCCATTCATATTATCAGTTGATGTTTCGGCACAAATTACGTTCTCAACAACTAATGTTACTGTAGACATATCAAAGGCGCAGTTGTTAGAAATAATCTTGATCTTGAAGGTATAAAGTTCGGACTATAGACAATATTTCATCCCACAACACAGCGGAAATGTCGCGATGGTTTGTTTCATGGTGGCATTGGTTTCTCGTACCGTTCAATGCCTCAACTCTTCAGACGGTGTCGATTGTAAAACTGGTTTTATTTGTCCTGACTAACATGGCAGAAAACGGAAACATACCACTGAACATATGGGAATAAAAAATAAACCCTTTTTTCAGACTGTCGCAAAGAAACTTCGAATACAGTGTAAATGTCATGGAGTATCAGCTTCCTGTACAACTAATACTTGTTGGGTGACATTGCCAGATTTTAGAGATGTCGGAAACACACTCAAAAAGGCATACACAAGATCAAGAAAAGTAAATGGGGATTCCGAGAAACATGGACGAATAAGATACCAAACTTTGATGTATATGCGTAAAGGGGCTCCCACGAAACCCCACAAGCGAGAATTAGTGCATATAGACAGAAGTCCATCTTATTGTGCACGAGATATCTCAACAGGAACACTTGGTACTGTCGGCAGAATATGTAACAAAACATCTACTGACAAAAACAATTGCACACATCTTTGTTGTGGCAGGGGATATAAAACGCAAGAAAAAATACGAAAATGGGCCTGTAAATGCAAGTTTTTCTGGTGCTGCAGAGTTACATGTAAAGAATGTCATGAAGTCACTAAGCAATACGTTTGTTTGTGAAGGTATGTATGATTTCATTGTATGTTAATCTGGGCTACTTCTTAATCAAAGTTAAACTCTTACAAAAACGGAAAATACAAAAAATGTTTTGTCGTTATACTATTTATAGTCACAGTATGCCCCACAGTTCCAATCGGGTGCGGCGGATTAGTAGTTAGCGTATTTATCTAACTGTTGGTATTGGAGATTATTTATCTGTGGGTTCGGCCTAACGACTAACCCAAGTCCTGCGTCCCACCCAGGGCGTATTGTGTATGTTATGCGAATTACTGGGATTGATTTTGATTATTCAAAACCGTTTATTGTCTATCTTGAAACAACGGTGTTTTAGAGCCATATGGTACTTCTGTGGCTGGGTCGCTAAAAAAGGAATTCACTGTGTGACCGCAGATTGTCAACCAAGGGCGAAAAAATTGCTCAATTGTCGCTGATAGGATTGTTCAATTACTACTCTTTTGCATCACCTAGAAGCGAACATAAACAAACATTTATACATTCAAAGTGTATTTTCAAAGTACTGTAGTAATTTTTCCCTGTCATTCATTATGAATGTATGAATAAAAATTATCCATATTAGACTTGGTGTATGACATCTAAAATAATTTTTTCGACTGTTCTATATTGTTTCAAATTTAAATTATAATTCGTTTTCCCACAGCGAAGCAGCGTTGAGTGGTCGCGAATGAACGTAAGGAACAGACATTTTTCTACGAATGGAATCTAGCGCAGGTGCAGGTCAGAGGTCGCACATCACGTGAGCAAAGAAGCAATGCTGTTTGCCGACGACTTCATTTGCTGTCGTGAAATAGTAACAAGGGACCTTTGTAACATACGCGGGTGTACGTGAAAATTCTATGGAAGACTGATCGTATGCTTCGATGTGGCCACAACGGAAAAAAGGCCGATGTATTTCATGTTTCTTTGTGAAGATTTACTTCTGCGTTCTATGAATATTCGCAACGAAGTTAAAGCAAAGGATACTTTTTGACTTGAACAATAAATCTAACTGTTATCGTTATGAGAAGATTTCAGCATATTTGTAATAATAACGTATATACCTAAATAATCTGAGGACGTATAGCATTGAATAATGATTTTCAACTCGTTGCTGTACAATTGTGATAAAAAAGAACCTTATTGATTGTATCCTATTATAATTTATTTGATATCATATTTTTTTTAAATATTTTATTTGCGTACATAACTGCTTCACGTCTTTCCGTAATTGTCACTAAGATTCGGGATAATATTCTGACTTTTGGCTGCATGCTTTATCATTCTTCCAAATCAAGTATTCATTAATTTCCAAATCTTGTGATTAATCTGGTTAAGTAAAAATCAGTTTGACCAAATTCGTAATGGAAATAATTTATTCAAATATGGATTTTATCAAAACTATTTACCTATTCCTGAACGATTGTGGTACAATCATAATTTATTTTTATGTACATAAAACAGGGCCTGATCAGTAATAACGTTTTTGAAATAGTGAATTCCAAATATGTTGGTTGTTCGAAAGATTTTTTTACGAATTTTATCTCTTAAAAACAAAAAAACAATCGCTTCTAAATTATAAACAAAAGAGTAACCGTCTCTCAAAATGACATGTATCAATGCATATTGAAAAGTAAATCTAGTTTTATGAAGTCTAGTTTTTATGAAATCATTTAGATTTTAGAGAGTATAAATTGGAATTTTGCTCTTAAGTTCTAATTATAAAAAGTGCACCATTACGACAAAGACTGAAATGAAACAGATTTGTTAATTGGTGCATTCGAAACAGCCAAAAATAAATTTTATGTTGTGACTTTTTTGTAATATATTTACTAAAAGTGTAGCAACCGATTGTATAAAAAAACGTTCTTCAAGGAATTAAATTGAATATTTCCAAAACTAAACTTTCGAATATTTTAATAACTTTACACCTAATTTATATCAGACAAGTCACAATACATTTATTTGTTTTACTGGCCAACAGTTTATTCATTATTTCATACATATTGTACACTTTACATTTCCCTTTATTTCTGTTAATTTTCCTTTTAAACTACCTTATTGTGTTAAAAGATATTTCTACCTTTTAAAAATAAAAGTTAAGTATATCTCCGTGTTCATCAGTTGTATACTTAATATGAAAGGTATGCCGTGCTCTGTATCGCTGTTAGATGATCAAGTCAAACGTTATCTTGAGGTTCGGCGGTGTGGCGCATCGTGCTAAGTGTTAGGAATAACTTCGCCACTGCACCTCTGCGTCCAATGGGGGATGATTATGTACTATAGGATTGCTGGACTCATCGCCGCCGGAAGGTAGTTCACGTAACCGCTGGTTGGTTACCGCTTCCTCCGCCATCAAGTCCATGCCTCTGAAAACGAAGGTGACCGTACATTTGAACCACGTGTAAAACCCATGGGTTAGGGTTGGTATGGGTTCAAATATACGTAAAACAAAAAAAATCTCCATATGCAGGTGCAATTGTCGTGGGTTCAAATGTACGTGAGTTCAGATGTAATGGAACCGAAAACGAATAACTGACTTATCTTGTCCCCCACCCGACATGGACTGGTAACCGTACGAGAGGCCTTTGTTCGCCATATGATCTCATCGGCTTCCCTCTCGCCCGGCGATTTCAATCGTGTGCTGAGAACGGGTGACCGTACATTTGAACCCATGTACATTTGAACCCATGCGTATATTCACGGGTTCAATCTATATGCGGGTGCTAAAACCCATGGGTTAGGGTTAATATGGGTTTAACTATCCGTGAAACAAAAAAAATTCCATAGGTGCAATAGCATACAGGTGCAATTGTCATGGGTTCAAATGTACGTGGGTTCAATATATACCGCTTTTGGAAGCGTCTGCTCTCTACTGTATATTATAACTGGACAGCCATAACCGTGTCGGTTCGCCCAGCGAATTGTTCTTTGGCACAACCAAAGTTTATAGTCACTTTGGGCACAACAAGCGCCTTTCTCGTCACGTGACCTTGCAACAGCTGTTTTGTGCTACATTAGCTCCCTGTAGTGGAGAAGTCCGACGAGTCCCAGAGCGGTGGTAATCAACAATTTTGGCCCTCGAACGACCCCCTTTTTTATGTTTTGAAACGGGAAACTCATGTCCTAACATTGACTGTTGTACGAAATTTGTTTTGTAGTAATTATTGTGGGCCTAAGCACATATTAGTTGTATGTTATTTACTTGCCAAACAGTTGGTTGTTATTAACACAGAATCGTGTATATATATCAGAGTATACCAGGCAGAGCTTCGCGATTATGAGTTTAGGGAGAATAGTTTTCAAGCCATTAATATGCAAATAGACAGTGAGCAACAGAGTACAATATAATCGTCCTTATGTAACATGACCTCTTCGGAATGATGCGACAGAATGCGGATTTCCATTGTACCCCACACACATTACGAAAAGCTGCTTACGATTTGTCACATGACGTCACCGATAGACTCTCGAAAACTTTTTCTGTTGATTGAATTATTATTACTCATTTGGCATGTGTAATTAGTTTGCGCGGGAAGTCAAAGAAGCGACGCACCGTCCTCTAAGAGTAGCAGACGCATTAGGCTACTGTGTGAGTTTGGGCGTGGGTGAGTTTCAGATATTTTAAAGTAGGCTGTGTCGTTTTTGGATATCAACAGGTAAGTAACGCCTAGTGGAGAATGAAATAGAGCTTAGTTTTATGAATTTTACATACTCTGTGATCTAATATAGGCATGCCTGCTGTCTAAGTGTCCCTAGAAAATGCTAGAACATATCATTGCTTTGCTTGGTCTAAATGCCATAGCAGGCTGATAGCTTGAATATCTGTTCAATTTATAATATTTTCTACAGAATTAGCTTATATATATATCAATACCACAATTACTTTAATAAGCCAATGACGAATACGTTTACCAGGCGTACAGATTAACCACCTAATGTCGCGGAAAAAGTACTTTTATGCGAAAACAGTATTGGCGAACTGAAGCATTTGTAAGTAAATTGAATTTTATATGCTCTTGATTAGAACTTCAGTCAAATGGTTACAGTAACGTCAGTAAGCCATGGAAATTGGATTCTTAAAAACTGGATTTTTTCGTAAATGACCAACGCATTTGCCTAGCGCGCACAAGCTTACTGGTTATTGGTTAATGAGATTGACGTGACCTTGTTGGTGATAGTCGCAGGTTAATTTATATGAGGTGCCAATCCTGCTAGTCAATCTGAAATTCATACATTTCACTGATTTGGAACTGCATAAGTTTACAATACAATGTTACCGCGATTATTGACGTAATGTTTCACCCAGTGTTAAGCTGAACTTCCATTTTTGACAAGAGAAAAAAACGCTGACATCAAAACGTTCCAAAATAGTAAAAACGCCCTATAAACGAGTGTTAATTATTACTTTCGAGAGGTCGAACTGAATATGTGACCTTAGTACATTCAATAAATGGGATCAGTTGGTTCGACCAAAGTTCACCTGACCCAAGATTTCCTGGAAATGCAGTGTTTTTGTTTTACTATTAAACAAGCAAATATAACTTCGTAGAATTTTTATAATTTCATCATAATTTTGTAACTGGGACAATTTTCAGGTCTATTCTTCATAATGATATTTAAATTTAGAATATTTCTATTGCTAATAAAATAATTGTTCATGTGCTAATATTACTCTTTCTTGTACACTATTAAGATACTTTATTTTTTCAGCTGAAATTCAAATACTGGATTTATATATATTAGAAGAGTCGTGCCTAATGACTAAAATAGTAAAATGTATGTATTATGGTTAGCACGAGTAAAACGAAATGGGTAAAGCAAAGTTTTTGTGTTTTTTGCAACGTCTTGCAAACTAAGTATTTCCTGATGTTTGCAGGGCTTTAGGCGCCTGATATTAAAAGCAAGAGCGAAAGAAGTTGGGCGTCCAAATCGGCGGACTCGTTTTACACTCAAGAGAACCATTCGAAGAGGGGACAGATTGTAAAGACATTTATCGGATCTTCATAACAAAAGGTAATATATATATATAGATATAAAAAATGGAAAAGTAGGTAGATTTTATAAAATAAATATAAAATCAAATTATAGAATATATATTTTGTACATATTAGTTGTGTATGGTACCGGCTTAGTCTAAGTGAGCGGTATTGGTGTTGTATTTTTAACTTACATGAGTCGGAATTATTTAGCTTTTTAAAGCCAAAGCTTTTATAGACAACCCCCCTTGACTACGCCTTTGAGCTCGCATCGCATTAATTAAATATACGCGTCCAAAAAATGCGTTTCCTCCTAATATACGGCTTCTATATGCATATGTCCTCATTTGCCATGATTATGAGTGGTAAACCAAAATAAATGTCTTTTCACTCACCCCCACCCCTTGGATTCTCTTACCCGGATCAATTTCCGCAATCTTAATATTGACGTGCTTAGAAAACCGTATTAATATATCACATATTCTCAATATATTATCTCCACGGTCAAAGCTCGTATTTCTCATGTTTCCATGCGAAAATGATTTTGCCGGGAATATTCATAATTTGGTAAGATTTATCAAATTTATTTGTTTTTTAGGTGAATTTGAAACATGCCGACTGACAAGCAACCATTTAAATGCACAGTTCTAATATGATTGAAAGTGCCATAGTTTTTGTTTTTGCACGGTCTACTCCATGCTTGCTTTTGATAGAAAATTTTCCTTTCTTAGTTTTTATTTATTGCCAATATTATTGTGTATTTTTGTTCTCTTTCGTGGCTGGGGAGTCGGAAAAATATACCATCCGATTCCCGGTTATTCGAACTATCTTATCCACGGAATCTAAATCGCATCCGGCATTCATGATAACCAAATTGCGTTTTCCAGTCCCTTCACTTTTTGTTGCAATTGTGAATGCGTGAGCTCTCGTGTGGTTGTAGAGTTTTGCGAATCATTCCATCGGGGCATTCAGAGGACCGACGGCAAATGCAATTTTACAGCAAATTGAATTTGGCCTCTGGAACTTCCGTTAAACAAAACAGTTTGATAACAGACGCTGTAGTTTTCTGGATCCGACGAATTGTAGACTTTTTCTCGCAGTCCCGATGTTTAGGCATTTATTCATTGATTATCTAAGTCTATTCAGTGGGCTGGTGAAATAGGTAGGAGTAAAGCATGGTTGTCAGAGTTGAATCGTGGGTTCATAGGAACAAACAACGTGAGTTGTTTCTTCAAATATCATTGATCAACGCATGTTATTACATTGCAGCGGCCGGGCAGATCAAGGATTGTAAGTAATTCCCGTCTTAAAAGGTGGCAATGCAGAACGGTTGTGGAATTATTGTCAAATAGGCTAGTAGTCACTTATCCCAGTAAAGTTCGCCGTTTTTGAAGCAAGCAAGGAACATGTCCCATTATAGAGCGGTGATTACATTAATTCCAAGATTAATTTTTGCGGTTTCACGGCGAAATTGGAACTACTTGGCCAGGTATTTAATTAATCGTAACCGTTGTACGTACGTTCTTATGTATCGTAAATATTGCTTTCCTTAATATTCCCTTGCTAAAGGTTTCCCTCAAGAACAACCCACCTTTAGGATTCTCTTCCCTCTAGTTATTTCCGCGCCCTAAATATTGTATAGTTTATATATATTATCCTCCCCATATATACTAGCTTGACGATCATATCTCATGTTTCCATAAAGAAGTGGTTTTGCCGAGAATATTGATAGTCTGGTAAGATTTGTTTGTTTTAAAAACGGTGAGACTCATTGGTCTATAATTCCGCGACCGTTCTGCATTGCCACATTTGAAGTTGAATTAGTTCGTACAATCTCTGCATGGCCGCCGCAATGTGAGAGCATGCGTTTATCATCAATGATACTTTGAACAACTAACGTGGTTTGATCGTATGAACTCTCGGTTTAACTCTAACTGAGTTACTGACAACTATGTTTTTCACCTGCACCTATTTCACCAGTCCACTTAATGGGTCAGATAACCAAGTCATGAATGTCCAAAAACCGGGGCTGCGTAAACGGGAAAAAGTTTTCGACTCTTTGGACGAAAGTTCAGCGTCCTTGATCAAATTGGTTTAAAAGGAGTTCCCGAAGCAAATTTAGTTTGCTATGAAATTGCATCTGCCGCCGTTATTCTGAATGACCAGGAGCGTGGTGGAATGATTCGCAGAACTCAAAAACCACATTGGAGAAAACTCATTTGCAATTGTTAGCACAGAGTTGAGGGCTGAAAAACGCAATTGGGTTGTCGCGAATTCCGGACTCGCATTAGATTTTCTGTGGGTAAGATGGTTCAAATGATCAGAAATCTGATGGTTTATTTTAAATACAAAAATACACACTACGAATACAAAAATACACACTAAAAATTGGCAACGGTACACATTCACCTAGAATCTAGACGTACGTTAAAAAGTCTACAGGCAAAGCGTAGGATTTTTGTTTTAATTTAAAATTCCGGTGGACCACAACCGGATTTGTGTTTTACAGCATGGAGTAATATTACCTTCACGCCTAAAAAAATTTTTTATAATAAAAAAACAGTGATAAAATTTTGAATTAGCAGTTTAATTCCGCCTATACGTTATCTGCGTTTTTATTATTTTTGTATTATTTGTGGTTATAGGGTAATTCTTTAAAAACGATTGTTTGTTAGATGTCGCCCAAGAGCCGCGTATATGTATGTGGTCAATCGCATTGACCTCGCTTGACGTAACGCAAGAACGTAATGCAGTGTGATCATCATGATGGCCTTTCAGGCATTCGTGTAGGCGTGAGATCTCAGTCACGGATGCTGGTTAGAATATGTCTAAAGCCCTTTGTGGTATTCTCGATCTAGTTCTTCGAGGACTACTTAATTCTTCATTTTGTAGAACTAAAAAGTTACGATGTGAACTTATCGGGACCCCACGAATGTGTTTGCATGAGAATACATGAGATGACAACTCTCTGCGACAGTTGAACGGCTTGTTGGACACCAAGTGGCCATGCAAACTTATTCAAAATCTGGGTCCCATATGTCTATGTATGAATACATAAGATAACAACGCACTGAAACAATTGAACGACTTGTTGGACACCTGATGAACATGAGGTTAGAGTCCATGATCAATTCTAACCTGCGGCGCCATGGTTTAGGCACCATGACCAAATACCATCTTTATCTATTACATATCACAAACGGAGGAGAAATATCTACCTATAAATTCGTTTCTCACGTTTTTACCTGGAATATGTAAAATGATATGTACTGACATGCCCAATATATATTTCGTTCGTGGTTCCCGCATGGCGAAAAGTACTTTGCTTTGGTTGGTGACATTTGAGATATCTTGAAGATTCACCAATCACACTATATTATCAGTTGTTTTATCAGGAAGTTTGTATGTTGAATGGCGCTAGATTATTGAATTTTGGCCACCAATCAGTCGTGTAACGTCATTTTAAAATCCGTACATTGCGTAATATTGATGGCATACTGAACGTTTGAATTGAAGGCTCCTTGCGAGAAATACTCAGAAGGAGCACGATTATGTCTGGAAACGCATTAATATTGGTACGTATGAATATAGCTTGAAAATGGCACTAAATAGCTTCCGAACATATTCGGTTTACATTTTTTGCATCATAACAAAGTATTTAACGTTTTATTTTTGATAAATATTATTCTAAAAAACTCTAGCACCCGTTAGCGTGAATCATTTGTAGTTTTTAGTGTAGTGTTATTTTGGTTGATCAAATCTCACACATTTTCGAATGTAGTTAATGTTAAATGTGCCGTTTCGTAATTTATCTTTTGGTCTTTAATTAGTAAGGAATTGAAATGGATATATATATATGTTCCAAATCGAATTTGAATTGTCTTATTCTTTGAAGGCTATTGGGTTTTCCACATAGACAGAACAGAAAGTTTGGTTATTTGGATACATATACGCACAAGTTCAGACGGCAAATTATATGTCCTTTTTCCTCTTTACCGCATTTGTATCGTCATTTGAATTTTCTGATTCTTGGGGGGCTATCGGATTGCCACATAGACATCAGGATTGATTATTTATATCGTTAGTTCATAAGAGAAGTTATCCGTCTCTGCTTTTCTTTACCCCACCAGACGATTGGAGTTGCGCAAGGAGTATTCTGTTACATTTATTCCAACGATATGTCATTTGTGGCTAGATTTTGTGACGGTTTTTCAGAGAAACTATATAAAACAGATTATCAGAAAAAATTAACTGAGACTTATAGTGACCAATAGCAGGCTCTTGATTTTCTCCTTGAAGCCATTTTTATTTATTCATTATATCTAGGATAAAATACCATCTTGATAACGCTCATCACGAGTTTATTACATTCTCCTACCACGCCAATTGACGTGAACATTGCGTCAAAAAGCTTCTGCGTCGCCCGGGGCGCATTAATCCTTAGAACAACGCAACGTACAGACACGCAGAAACCACTTTCTCATATTAAGGCGTTTACGCTATATAATTAAAGTGCGTCAAGGAATTAAAATTATACCTGGCATTGCGACTGTACCAATTATTATCTTCAATAAACTAAAAATAACTAATGAACATGTTATCATAACACGCATCACGCCAAGGAACTCGAATTCATATTTTGATCAAATTTTATAATTGCTAGTTGGCGCTCGTGCTCTCACCAACTTGCTTGTGTGACACTTACTTGGCTGAATGAATAGCTATTCGATGTAATTCTACTTAACTGTTTGAGTTTATTTATGTTGTAATATGATTAGCTATAGTACTACTATTATTGTTAATCGATCAACTTTCAAAATTTTCTATTATCCAGGAATTCTATCATAAATTGACATGCCTAGTTCGGACGGGCGCGATTTATATTCTGAATTTTCTATTACCCAGGGATTCTATCATAAATTGACATCATAAATTAGTTCGGACGAACGCCGCACGCTATTATTATAGTCACATTACCATTAAAACTACAAAGGATTTTACCTGTTCGATAATGCTCACAAATGAGTTAACCACCTTAATAAATTTGCATATCCTGGTCACAAGTTAATATTCTCCTCGATTTGTAACCATTCTAGTGTAATACATTTTAAAAAATCAGACCAATCACGAATCCCATTACACTCGACATTTATATCTTCAATTTCTCAAGCCTTACTATTAAAAAACTTTGTTTTGTATTAATTAGTTCAAAAATAAGAATTTTCTTGTGCCCAGTCTCAACTTTTCGCTCTGAGAATTCTTACAGAGTATTGTTTTTTTAACTAGAATAAGTCTGTAAATTCGTTTTGGCTTTCATTTTAGCCAGCAAAAATTTATGTTACAGTGAATTTTATTTTTTTAATACTAATATTTTCTTCATACTAAATAATATTTTCTGGTGTAAATACAAAAACGAACATTGCCAATAAATAACAGGGTATTGACTGGACGCAATGAAACGTAAACCATTTTCAGCTATAATAACAGCAATCTCGAAGATAAAAATGTTGAGTTTCTCCAATAGGTGCGCAGCGAACGAAAATCTTTATTTAAAAACGTCTCAATGAACGTACAACTTTAATGAATTAATTGAGCCCGTAATCAAGACAATTATTGTGGTACCAGTTTGTCTAACATTTTTCTGTATTATAATATCAGCATTAATCAGGTTTGCTTTCGATCTCTTCAGTAAATTTACGCCTGAATCTTCTTCAAGAAGCATATGAGATTCCAAAGCATGATTTTCAAATTAGGTGAGTAGATATTCGCATTGCACAATCCCATTTTGACATTTCAGCTTGCCTAGAAGTATTTTCTTTTGTAATTGGAAGTATTTTTCCTTGATTGTAAGGCCATTATATTAGCGAGCCAGCACATAGAAGCTTTATTATTGTCAGATTAAATTACTATAATATTAATAAGCAATTGTGCACTTTTTGTGTTGGTGATAGCTTATAACAGGATATATCAATATCTATTGATGAAATACATAACCATGATCTGTAACTTGAGATTTATGAAACTGCATTAAATCACTAATTATTATCTCTGCCTTGAATACGTTTTCGAATCCATCACGCGTTATTAGTTTATTATAGGCAAATATAAACAGACATATCGAAAATGAAACAATAGATTGCAATTTCGGTCCCATTTTCAAGCGTGCTGTCACAAAGTGCTTGACAGGATATCTTCTGTTATTGTAGAATTATATTTTACGCCCACGGTTGCATGTGGTTTGTTATTACTAGCCATTCATGCAATCAGAAAATGATTAGCGATGGATGCGTCAGGCTTTCGGTAATGGTTAAATGTTAATTAATATTTTTAAGTGATAAAATACTACAAAATGATATTTAATTTATAACTAAAAGCCGGCTTAATTTCACGTTTTAAAACGAAGGTATTTGAGAAAACCTGAAAAAAAATAGTTGCGAAAAAAATTTACCAGATATCTTCAACAATATAATAGTTCAATTTGGCGATATGAGACGTGTTGTGTTTTACGACCTGTTGTACTTGACTTTAAAATAAAGCGGGCCAAATACTGGAGCCATACTAATACAAACATTTCTGACAACATCTCTGCCTACCCCCTAACGGAATATTCACCCGGTTAATGCTGTTTAAATTGAATTGTTTTAATACCTAGCGCTATTCGGAATGTAGTGGGCTCTAATGGATTTGAGAGCTCAATATTTTCAAACCAAGCTTACAACGAGCGCTATTATTTTTTGACAGGACAGTTTGTTGGTGTACAACCTATTTAAAGGTATTTGTATCGCGGTTAGGGATCATATATTCAATTGTGTTTAAATATTGTTTATCAACCGACACAAGCGTGTACTAGCAATGTATAATTGTCTACCAACGAACTATGGAATATATATACACTGGCATATGACTTGAACACAAATATTCATATAGAAATTGTAAACGTTGAATTCGCTGAAAATACTATCCATTAATGTAGGTGTTCTCCGAATCCAATTTATAGAAATACAGACGTTTAACACATTCATCATTTTGAATATAATATGCTTTAGTATTTTGCGGTGTTTGTGACCATGCATTGAGTGTATTATTTAAAACTACTGTTAGAAATATTCATGCCGCAAATAATGTTATGCAAAACAAGTTGATTTATGTTGAAAATGCATTGTTTGTGGGGTATTTCCCAACATAATATTAACTCTTATCGTGATATAACGAAGCAAATATTTTTCACGACTGTGTGATCAAAATCATCACCAATTACTGGTTGTTATCAGAAACTTCATCGATAAATATATGCACAGGTCAAGTTCTGGGATTTGGGTCTTTTATTGCCTGAAGATATTTGTCTGCTTACAAATGCACCCCCCATAATCTATATAGCATATCACGGCAAAAAATTCCTCTTTAATCACATTATGATGTATTGTATACAAAACTCATATTTTAGTAATCACCGCAATTTGTGTAATTTTTTCACGACAGGCACAGCGTGGGCGTATCTTATTAATTGATAACGTCCTTGGAGTGATACGAACTAGGAGATTGAATACATGAATTTGATCATTGCATTAGTAGCGCAATATGAAAAAGCTATCAAAATCAAACTTTTGATATGTTTTTTTTTATTTACTGACCATTAGCCATTATTAAACTGGTTTCCGTCCCGACAGCTCGCGTAAGTGTATAAAAATCTGCCAATGTGTGATATTTTCGATCGACTAACGTTTTAGTTCTGGTAGTTTGTGTTCAACATATTGACATAAATAAACAATTAATTAACTGTTTAAAGGATATATTATGTAAATTTCCCCATCGTGTTAACTATAGATATCTACACCTGTCAACCTTTCAACACCCGTTTCGCATCAAGTTCGCCCAGAAAAGAATCTTATCATATTCATAACTGTTCGTTTTCAAATTTTAAATGCTTGTTTAATGACAAACTTTTCTCAAATCTGACCACATATTAGGACTAGATTTGTTTTATCCAGCTATTTGCCAGTGGTATCTATATACTTTTGCGTTTGGTATTTTTTTATTTCTTTAGCAACTCCATATTTCATCACTGTGATCTGCTCATATACCAGAAACGTGCCTAATTTCCAAATTTTAAATCAAATCTATTTTTTATTGAAAGCACCTAAAAAATCATGCAAAGGTCACATATCCCACAAACATGTCATCGAATAGTAATTCAATCTTATATTCGGTAAAACATGTATTACATCATACCAGCCAGAGGCGCGTAAAATTATGTGCTGCTGTTGAACATTAAAAAATCGGCTTCTCTCTGAAAATATGGTCAAATCCATGGCTTTTAGATTAGTAGTAAAAGACAGCAATACGTTACCTTTCAAAGTTTTTAATAACACGGCATGCGGCTTTAAAATGACTCAAAATGTATGCGGAATTGTAAGTGAGAAATCTCAAAGCCCCGGTCAATATCATAATATTTCCCATGGTGTACTAAATTTGTTAGGCTTTTACTGATTCAAAATAATGGTCAATCGAACCCCATTATTTTTTTAAAAGTTGAAGTTCGCATAAAATCTTATTTCAAGTAAAGGAAGGACGCAAAATTTCTTTGTTAATTATTATTAACTCGTTGTCGCCAGGAAATAGAATGGATATAGGAATACGAAAGAGGGATCAGATCATTTTTGTTGACTGTTTGTATGAAATCATGCATTTAGGCGGGTCAGGTTTCTGACGAATGATTTTTTATTGATTTTGCTCAAGGATGTCCGAAACGAATCAAATATTGCAATTCATTCGAAATTATTATATTCGATATAGTAAATTTTTAAATTTAGAAATAATTTAAAACATTATTATCTGAAAATTAGGGATTTTTAGCTGTCAGATGATCAAGTCAAAATCTTCGATATCTCAAGTGATATAAAACCACACATAAAAAAATAATAACTTTTATATTTATTTATGAGATATAGTGATTTACGTGATATTCCACATGAATTTGCCCTCGAATTATATTGTATTTGATATTCCATATTCGAAATGTCTTTTTTCAGAATGTATTCGGAATAGTGAGATTCGGTTTGGCCATCCCTGGACTATTGTGCAAGGGGTTTAATCGAAAAGTACCCTGTTGTAAATTAATCAATAATTTGATTTAGTTTGTTTATACACTGTACGGATTAGTATTATGGAATCTTATGTCTCATTATTCCATGAATAAGTCAAACAGTATTTAGATGATCAGCGATTATTAGGGCAAAACAAAGGTAAATCATCGAGTCAATGGTTTATTGTATATATGTGAGGAAGAATGCACCACAAAGCGACTCACTGTCATATGATCTTCGATTGTTTACTCATTGCCTTACTGAATAACCAGTTTCTTTTTAGTATTCGAAAACCGTTGCTGTGCGCTTTTTCCACTGACAAATCGAAATTAAAAATATTTTTCTGTCTGCTATTATTAGTGTTGTCACAAAGTTAGAACCTGAGAACTGCCTGATGTCTAACTTCATCTGGAGGTAAAATTCATTTTCTTTCATTATAGTCTTCGAAAACGCGTTGTTACTCTTTTATAAAATGCGCTCTATACATAAGCGGATTTTTTTTAACAAATTTCAAATCCTACAAATACAAAAGATATAAATTCATGATAATAATTTTTTTTTATGTTAGGACTCCTTTTCTGCCTTCCGGGTAACACTAGCGTTTGAGAGTTACTCCATAATTTTTGTCAATATCACAGCATAGCTAAGAACCGGCGAAAACAAGACAAAATAACTTGGGAATTATTCAAGTCTAATAGGCTCAACCAGTGCAGTCGTAATTTTCCTTTGTACAAAATTCTCAATGGAAATCGATTTATTGATACACTGAACTCCGCTTTTGTCACGTAGTCTTCTATAGAACAACAAACTTCAACCTTCATCACCCAAGAATGATTATCATAAATCCACGAACGCAGATATTTCTTATAAGACTTTATTATATAATGCAACACCAATATTTTCACTGATCAACAGCGTTAGGAGAAATAAAGTATTTTAAACAACAATAAAAAGGATACGCAAAAGTATTATGCTGCTTGTCAACCTATTGCGTAAAATTGGAACCATGGACGTAGCAGTTTCTTGAAAACAATAATATTTTCAATAAAGACACAAAAAAAACGTGAGAAAACAATTTATAAACAATTTTAAAACAATAAAATGGAACATTGTGATTGGTCGTATAAAATTTCTTGTATAAGTAAGAAGTAAAGAGTAAGACGATGCATATAATATAAAGTGGAAGTACCTTTATAACTCGTTACCTATTATCAGTGGCTTGCACGAGTAAACATATTGTCAAACACCTTAACGGGTACACCATTAACTTTATTGTACAATTGACTGATAGTACACATAATTGAGTTGAAGTTACCAATTAAAATTTTTATAATTTACTCTGAGATGTCAGAAACTTTTTATGCTTTTAAGACAGTGTATGGAAGGTTGGAAACTTTTTCAATTTTAGATGTAAAGCAGAATTTTGTCAAACACAAGAAAAATATATTTAACTATCAAATTCATAATATAAAATGCACTTTCGTCATCGTCATGGAAGATTATAGAAATTGCGGTGTAAACATGCTGCAAGTTCATGCCCACACACTTGAAAATACTGTGATATTCGAAAGGATTTTTCCATACGTGTGATCGCCTTGTAGATGTAGAATTGCTAGTATAGCAAGTTTGGAATCCAATGAATGAAATTGCAGCGATAATGGAATACATTTTGTCAAATTCTTCAGTCTTTCATAGCAAGAAAAATTACCGCAGCTGGGGCTCTGTATGAATATTATCCAGACTATTGATTGACTTGGGTGTGGCACTTAATTCCATGCGTGGTATTTTATTTGAAGGCTCTTGACTAAGAAAGTTGCTTGAAGGATGCCCATAAAATGGCGTCGTAAACGACTGATCGAGAAGACCACGGTCTTGTCTCGCTGATATTCCTGAAGGTCCACGAACAACACTTAAACTGCGGTTTGACTGGGCAACCGCAGCTTTGTTTTTGCCTTTTCGTTCGTGCGTTTTCCTATGGCGTTTGCATTCATCACTTCGTGCAAATTTCTTCTCGCACATGGGACAAGGATAAGGCTTTTCACCAGTATGTGTCCTAATATGAGTACGAAGATGGTCGCTCCGTGAAAATTTTCGTCGGCAAACTTCGCATTGAAAAGGTTTGTCTCCTATAAAATTGAATAAACGTTATTAGCAATGAGTTTTAAACATATTATATTTAAAAAGACAAAGGCAAGTTGAATGTAATCATTCAAAACAGAGGGTTCTAATGAACGCACACTGATTGACAATAAGTATTTCAATCGATACAGTATGATTTTGCTTTTTATATATCAGTATATATTTCTGTATTTACCTGTGTGTATTCGCATATGGCGATGTAATTCGTCAGTTCTTGAAAATCGCTTGCCGCATCCTGTGTTATCACATAGGTAAGGTCTGTCGTTTGTTGCTACCTTCGATTGGCATTGCCGCGAAGAGGCTGCAGAGTTAGGCCTGTTTCGTGGCTGATATATCTTCCGTTTAGGTTTTTGAAATACTGGGGCGTGAAAGCTGGAAGTACCGCTGGCACTTAGAGATGCCATCGGAATATGGGACTCGTACTGACTGCTGTTAAACATTGCCGACTCCGATTGTAAGTTAATATAAGAATTACGGTGGTCTGACAAAGTTGTGCTATTTGGTACTTGTGGGTCAATTGGAAAATAGCTCGGCATAACTTGGGTGTCAATAAGAGATGTAGGCTGAAAAGTGTCTGTTGGATACTGAGGTGGAGGGACCGTTGTTTCGTATCCTTGATTTACATAGTTAACAGTATTTCTATTCTGGAAAAATGATGATGTTCTACTATCATTTTGATTTGCTGAATATACTTCCGTAAATCCATGTCGCAAGTTTGGTAAATTCCTTTGGAATCCATCTCTTAGTACAGAATGATTTGAGATTAATCCTGACATTCCATCGTTTGTTGGCGAGCGAACAGAAAAAGTTCCAACCGAAGAAGCTGGCATACTGTGCGTGGGAAAGGACTGACCGTTACGAGAGAAGTCGCCATTTTGATTGACGGCTTCGTTTTGTTGAGCAACAGATTGTTGTGTGGTGTCCACGTCGTACACTCCAGCGTCAGGGATAAAGCTAAAAAATACCTTCCCTTGGCCATATAGATTTAAGCAATATGGATTTGGCTGTTGCGGAGGATTGGCAGTGTGTTGATTTTCCTCTTTAAAATGATGTACTGCGGGTCTGATAACGTTAGAGGTGGAACAAGGCCTCTGCTGTCTACAATCTGTCACGCTCAGATCGGAAGGCATGCTTTGAGCCGGGCGAGGTTCATTGCAGAAAAAGTTATCGTTGCTATAAGCGTCTGGGGGTGGAGATGTCATTTCAACTTTGATGTTATTGTGTAGTGGTAAAGACCGCTTCTCCAAATTAATTTTCCCGGCGTCCAGAGCTCTGGAGTGAAAGTTTTCATTGCTATTCCGCATTTGCTCGAAGTCTTGCTGCTGGCTACAAATAGCGTGTTGACTGAAATTAGATGAGTGAGAAATAACAGATGCTGGTCTGCCGGTACAAGGCGACATCCCAGTATCTGATAACGAAGAGGTTTTCTCAATTTGGTTATGAGTGCTTGCTGCAATATTTCCACCACTAGTCGATGAATAAAGATCGAGCTGGGAATATGTTGGTGGCGGGTTGGTAATTCCAGATACAATTGCTGTATTGTGACAATCTTGAGTTTCTGTAGGTATTCCCAAAAATCCATCTTCTTTAAGATGTGATGATGTTGTCGGGGTTATCATGCAAGAGGATAATCTTCCGGAGTCGGTAATTTCAACAGAATGCCCCGGTTGGCCCATCAAAGTAGAGGCATACATTTCTTGAGAATCTAATAATACAAAAATATATATATATTTATTATTTTCAATACTTAACGACAGGGAGTTATCTTTATTTAGTGCGTTTTTTCAACTTGGAGGGCAAATTCGTAATCAAACTACGCAGCAACATACGGAGGTGATGTAATAATGTACCGTTACTCGATCGCACGCGAAGCGAGTAGCGATTTAAAGTTAACGTAACAAAATGGCGTAAATCTCTTGCGATGCTGGCGCCCAAGGCAGGTCGGTGAGGCAGATTAGATTAAGCATATTAATAACCTTAGTTCAATCGCAAGCGTATTATGCTATGATATTTTATATATACTATAAATATAGGAATCTGTGATGAACAAACCTTCAATAGTGGGATGTCCGAGAGTGGTATTTCCTAAAGTTGTAACAGTTGTAGTAGTGAAATAATCTTTGCTTGCTGTTACGGACGATGTTGATAATGATGGCAAGTCGGTATCAATAGCAGAAGTCAAAGCGCTGAAATCTGGACTACTGCTACTGACATTCGTGAAGTGTTGTGGACTTGAGTTTCTGGAACTTTCTTTCAAATAACTCTGTTCACATATTTCTATATCTTCATCGGAAATTATGTCTTCTTGACCAAACGATGTACAATTACCAGTAAATTGTTGAATATTGTGATTGTCTGCATTTTTGTCTTTCAAAAATCCTTCAAGTCTTTTAATCTCAGTTTCCTCGTCTATTTGTCTCGAACTGTTCACTTCAATGTTGCTAATTAGTGGGCGGGTGGAGTGGCAAATGTCATCTACTGGTGCTGTGTATATTTCGCTCTGCACCAAGCCTTCTCCGCCCACCATGCAGGAAGATTTTTTTATTGGCACGTCCTGTCTAGTTGTTTCTATTTCTTTAATATTGCGATCAAATTTGATTGAAGTCGACTGTGTATATGTAGGAGGCATAGTTGCAGTTGGTCCACTTGATGAGCACCTATGTGTCACTGTATGCCCTTGCTGTATTTCTTCAGTACGACTTCCCTCAGCAACAAAATTCGAGTAACGAGCGTCGTCTCCACCGGCCGGAGGCATACCACGTTGTGCGTTCATTTCTCCAATGTCATCGCATAATATATTTGAAGCGTCGAGTATGGGAGAATCGCTCAATTGAGCAAAAGGGAACATTGGTAGCTTTTCGTCCACAGGGGTAGTTGTAATCGTAAATCGGATTGTACTTGAAGTTGTGTGGCCTAACACACAATTAGCATTTAAATTTGGATCCCGCATTGACACACTTTCTTCTTTCGGAAATCCGTTAAACCAAAAGTCTTTCGGCCGTCCCAGCCGCTTATTGCCCACACCGTCGAATGCCAGGGTGTCGAGTGGTTGTTCCAACATAGGGGAGCAATGTATTAGATATCTCGGAAGTAAGATTTTTTCCACAAATGCACCTGAGGATGAGTCACTATCTGCACTGATTCATATACTGATGACGCACTATCTTTTTTTTAAGCTAATATACTCCACTTGTCATGATATACCTTACACGAAGCTCCTAACGCATCGGATACGAACGACCCGTCGCTTACGAGATCGAAGAATGAATGAGTAGCCGAATGATTCCGAAGGTATACTATATATTTCTCTTCTCTCGTGTCGGGTTTGGTGGCCTATGACATCACGTTTGAAATAAAGTTCAATTGCTGCTTTTATAAAAGTAAAATTTAAAATTTTTTGTGATAATATGATAATGAAGGACCGAATCGACACTTTCTAATCATTAAATTAAGTCTAATAATAATAATAAGCGAGAAATTAAGCATTTTTATAAATTTTGAATATTTCTCCCAAAAATTGAGTTATCCATATAAGGAAAACTGTTGAGATCGCTTCTCCTAAAGTACTTTTCTTTTTTAATTTCAGTTTTCCATATATGGTAATCTAATAGTCACCTTTGCTAACTTCTCCTTTCCGATTCAAATTCTCTTTACGTCGGATAAAATCGCACATTTTCGGAAGGGGAATTTCCGTGTTTTGTTCGAGAGAAACGGTATACCATCTCAAACTACAATGCCGCGTCCGGAATGCGAAATGTTAAGTCGACGAGATAATGGTATCGTAGAACTATCACGCAACGTGAATAGCTGACCGTTTCAACCCCTGCACCAGAAGCATTCTCACTATAATTTGTCGATTCATTTTTATTTTCGTATGTCTTATCAAACAGTAAGCCTACTCAAGAAATTAAGATAAAAATCATATTTTGCGGTTTCATTTTAAATAAAGTTTGAGATAAGTTATGGAAGTATGTTCAATTGTTGCAAAAAGGGTGTTTGAACCCACCCATTATTGAGTTCCGTGAAGCTCCAAACGACAATGTCCATACAATAGGTATAAAGCATTGGTCTTGACAATTTCTAAAAATAAAAAGAGGACATAGTTTGGTAGGGAAGGGGTAGCAAGAGTTCAAGATGTGAGTTTCTCTTAGTCCTAACCGTAACGAATTTAAATTATATTCCGATCTTCCAAAAAAAAACTGATGTGGGTCGGTCGTCTGTACCGGTGACCAAACTCTTTTCCGTCGTCGGGCTATCCTTTAACACTCTAGTTACGCATACAATAATGGTCAATGCCCTAAAATAGACACCGCTTTGAAACTATTTTGATTCAAATTGATATTATAATTTAAAAAAAAATCTGAATAAAATATGCATTTTTTTTACCGTTGGTACAATCGGCCATATATTACGGTCGCTCAGATTAATTTACTTAGAGCGGTATGCGTAAATTGAAGGTTACGCTTATTCCGAGAGGTTATCGTTCTCGCATCAATGGTTTTTACGTGCTTGTTATGATATTATGCACACATTATTCGCAAGTTTTATCGATGTTGTAATCGTTGCTGTATATACGTAAACCTCGCAACCTCACGTCAGACTCACGCACTTAGTAAATATTTGTGCACATTTCTCTTTATTTTACATACAACTCAGACGATTATCGGTCAAGTTAAACAATGTTGCTTAACCTCGATAAGTGTCTGAATATAAAAATTGATAGTTTGCTTACCCAGTATATCCTCATCATAAATCAATATATTGTAATTTTCCTCGATCAGGTAGTAATAGGAATATTTATACTCGATGCATGCGTTCATGTCAATTTTCAGTAAATCTTAGTAGTTGGTATTTACTATATAGTTTAATAAATACGACAAGCGGCAGAAATCTAGAGCGCGGCATTAGGCAACAGTAACCTGTTTCCAAATATAAAACGTGTTAATAACAAGTTTAGGAATTCTATTTGATAAAAAGAAAGTACTAATTTGTTAACTTCCTTTAGTATAGTCATGTAGCATGAGATTTGCTATATTATCCGATTTAGGTGTTCTGACATGATGTATTTTATGTCAGTGTATATATACACACAGATCACATCATGTTGAATCTCAATTTATACAGTGGCCACTAATGACCTTGGCAGCCATGGATTATAAAGAAATTTTCAGTTGGTGATTCACACCTTCTTAAATAAGAAATTTCTAAACATTGCTGTGCTTTGACCGCATCCCGCCTTTAACATTTTGACAAATTTGACATGAAATCATGGATGTGAGTGGGATTCTTTTTCAGGGCCGAACCACAAAATACAAACTGTAATGTTTGAAAAATCCGCTTATCTGATGCATTATCGAAGGTTCAAATAGTCTAATTAACTGAACAGCATCAGTATTATTTGACGCGTGACAAACTGCTCTAAAATCAAATTTATGAACATCATCTTTTTCGCATACAATTCTACGGACATAAAACCTGTTTTCGTAATATTTCAATTTAAACCAACTGCGTTTTGGGAAGAAATTTTGCTTTGCATTTGCTGTAATATTATTAATATTATCCAGTTCTTTATTATTACTATATTATTCATGCCATTATAATAAACTCCTTAAACTGTACTTACCGGTAAGCGTGAGTGTAACTTGCGCATAGCACTAGATAACGATCCAATAAATATTGAATAAATAAATACTTTTTGTGCAGTTAGGAAGGCATAAAATAGACGAAGGGCAGAAAAGGCTGGAAACCACTGATTCAAACATACTTTTGAATGGAATGCATATCACACGAACAAAAAATCAAATCACAATAAACAGCACGATACAAAAGCCTAGGCAACGAGACAATTTTGTCTGTCTGGTACCATTAATGAGAAACAATAAAGTATGGATTCAAGTCAGAACAGTCTCCTCATAATACCGCAGAGCTAAATACTGACAACGTCGCGACATGCTTCAACTTTCAGTGCTTCTGGTTTCCTTGGCAACGATGAGCTGCTGCTATGGAAACATTGTTTACAAGTATAGAACTGAAACTTTTGTTCTGAATCATCACATTTTATTGTTATTCTGTTTAAATTGTGTCGTGCTTATAGGATATTTTTCAGGTGAGAAGAAATCTCATCATATTGAGACAATCCTGTATGTCAACCGTATTTTGGATTGTTCAAATTCATTACACATTGTAAACAACTTCACAATAACATAGATTGGTAAAGTAGTTTCTAAGTTACTCTGCATAACCAAAATGAATGATATCCAATATAAAAAGTTAAACCCAATTTCTGCATATTTTTGTCAAAAATTCCTTGATCCAGACAAACATGCATTTCGATATGATAATCAAAATTATAAAGAAATATTTTCCTCTCACATTGCCTAGCAGTCACCCCCATATTGGTATCGATATATATATCATAGTTGTGTATTTGTCTGTTGGTGATACTACATCTAAGAGGAAAGCTGTTGATCCTCTAATCTGCGATTCCAATACTTTTTACAACCCGCTAATTTGCCACACACAGGCACACAGTTATGTATGTTATTTTGTTTTTTAAATATATAACACAGTAACTACCATTAGCAATATCTACGTTCATATATAATATAGAAGCACAATTTTTATATACACTACGAACTTTTATTTCGCATAATCGGCGATTGTGTGCGCGTATTGTGTGATTGACAGAATGTCGCGATTGTGTACTACTTAACTATGGCACATGTTTAATATAAAGCAATTTCTGGCAGGCCTTTTTTATGTTCCATAACCCATTGATCGTCTTTTATCTTCGAGTCTCTTGAAAACATCGACAATCCTTCTCTGGGCTTTCCAATGCTGAATCTGATATAATAATTGAATCATATTAGGTTGACATCGATATGATAAATCATGCTCGTGTTCTTGTGATGGGAAAAGTCCTATAAACTTATTAATTTCAGAAGAAAAAATGTTTTTTTCATAAGTTGGTCGTTTTCAACATATCTAGTTAGTACTATATTCGAGGAGCAGTCGCAAAGTTGGAATTGTGACCACTTTAGAACTCCCAACATTCATTTCGATTTAACCATAAATATCATAAAAATTCGAGAGCTGTTGCTTTAAAACAAAAGCTCCGAACAAACTGGGGTCTTGATTTCTACACCCGATTAAACAAAGTCTTATCAAATTTTATTTGCGGATTAATTACCCAGGGAATGAAAACCCCTCAAATTCGGAAGTGGGTGATTCAGAAAAAAGGCTGGGAACCACTGCTTTGACTGGTGCATATGCGTGCATGTGGCAAATATATAAGATTTTCATACATTCAGTTTCTGTGGGTTTGTTCCGAATTGATCCACTTGTTCTGCGTGTTGAAGAATACTAAACGGCACAAATCCTATTGATCCGTTCACTTCAGCCAGTTGATATTTCTAAAACAAGATTAAAAACCAATTCCAGTAGTGTATTAACTGGATTCGATTTTCATGAAGTTTAAGTAGAAATGTCAAATAAAAAGGCTTTAAAACTGTATGCCACGATAGGCGTAACCGATCTCGACACCTAAACGAATGAGCTATGTGACGTATTAAATCGAGTACAAAATCACTCAACCTTGCCGTCTTTGTGCATCTCTGGCGCCCCTAGTGAAAATACAACATCTCCGGCATGAATCAACAACTCAGGGAACATTTTATCGCCATCGTCTGGTGGGGTGTGATCTCGTTTTACAACGTACACCCGGTATGGTGACATTTTCAAATTTGACAATATTTCGGGTTCGACAAACTCGTAAACTTCCTCAGTTTCTGTGAAAAGAGAATCAAGATGGTTCAAAATAAAGTTTACATCGGTTGTTTTAGTAGACCGTTGTGCAATCTAGATGATTCAACAACTTGATGTAGTCATCTTGATAAAAAGTCTCGGGTTTCATTTTGTTTTACACAAATCAACGGTGAAGAATTGGTGCATTTTGATGACAAAAATTACAGTAAATATTTATGTCAAACTTTACAGATGTTAATCTAGATTCTAGGAGTTTGATTCACGTTTCAACGAACACTAGAAGGGTAGACAAATTATGACGTTTTTCCCTCGTCTAAAAATGATGATCTTAACTTGAAGAATAATTCAAGCCAGTGTATTTCTCATACGAATTTTATACGTAAACCTCATTTTGTAAATTATGAATGGAGTTATGACTTCATTGTTGTGAAAATGTAGAAATTTCGAATGTTTGGAAAACAATTTTTTCATAATTAAAATGTACTTTTCAACTCAAATAAACAATATGTTTTATAATCTCGAATATATTGCGAGCACGCAGATTCGTACCGTATGGAAGATATTTGGAAGTTTTCTTTTTCTTAGATATCTTCTCTTTTCTTCTTGCAGCGTCTTTGTGGCGTTCTTGCCTGGTCTTCATTTGTTTGGTACTATCGATAGATGCCTAGAACCAGTCACATTTTAAAAATTTTATTAAAAAAATTATATATATTCATTATTCACAGAAAAATTGAAGCTAACATTATTTGTGGAAGAATTGCATCTAAATTATATTATAAACTATTCAGGAATTCGATTTAATCCAGGAAGTATTTTTCACCAATCCAATCTGTTAACACTAAAATTCATTCGAAGGTTTTATAAAATTGTTATTAGCACAACACTTAATTAATTTATATAATTCATACCCGGTCGTCACTTTTCCTTAATTTTTCTCGTTGTCTTTTTCTGTCGTATTCTTCTCTATTACATTCAATTTCCTCCTCCATAATTTTATAATCTAGCGATTTTATTCTGAAAAAGTCGTTTTCTCCCATGTGTTGAACTGTCGTGGATTTTGGAATGGATTTGTACAATATTCTTGACTTTGCTTGTTTTATTTCGCTGTCAATACATAAGTAAATCATTACGTGTTTTAAAGTAAGTATTGTCTTGTGTGTCTTGTCAATCTTTATAAATAGGTTTTAACAAATTTATTTGGAATTCTCGTCACTATATGGCATATCATGATCTTTGCTTATTCAACGCCTATAGCTATATTTAATCCATTAGTTAGACAGTGACGTCAGATAAAGCATTAGATATCGGTGTGGGACTTATCTTCGAAAATTTCAATATTGCGAAATTTTCAGTTAATGCACGAGGCCGCATACGCTTATAGCCACATAAGTTGCCCTGTGTCAAATAGTCTGCACGACTTTACCTACTACTGCCACCTAGCGGTGCCTGTGTGAGGAATTGCAGACTCTGCACTATCGCAAATATATATGCGTCATTATATGCATTTCTGAATACAGGGCTACAGAATGGATTTATTATTACATTTTCGACTAAACTTACCTTTTATTGTCTGCTATCACCTTTTTGCGATTTTCGTGATATTTCTCCATGCTTCTGCTGGATTTAGGCGTAATAGGGTGAAAGCTATTTGACGCATCTACTAAATAAATCAATCTTGATATTCGTATATCGGTATTTTTTGTGGCTATTGAGTAGCATAGCAAGAAATATCAAAGAATCGGAAAAAGAACAAAATCAATTATATCAATTGGCGCTGTATAATATTTGTACCAGAAACAAAATTTATTATATATATATAAAAACATATTCCATACCTGCTTTACCAGACCTGTTTGACAACAAAAGTAATCCTGGACTCCACGATGCCGTGCCCTTGGATTTCAGGTTGCTTGACGACATCGTCCCTTTTGAATGATCGGTTTCGTCTCTGTCAGATTTTCGCTGTACATGTATGGGTATACTTGAAAGCGATAATGTCCGTTTCTTTATGTATGGGGAAAGCTGTCCATCTGTATCATTTTCATCTCTGTATTTTGTAAATGGAGGAAATGTATGTTCCAGTTTTAATGGAAAATGCACAGGTGAAACATGTTGGCTAGCAATCAATGCTTCTCCCATGTCTTTCAACTTTTGCTTGGCTTCTTCAATATCCTGTCTCATCCTTCCACTTAAGGCTCGTATAGCGCGGGCATCACTGTCAGAATACGGTTCACTGCTCGAGTCAGATTGATTGGCATCTTCTTTCGAGCTTCTGTGTTTTCCTGGACTTCGAGACCTCTCTGAAAGTCTCTAAAATTAATGATAGAATGAAGCTTGACCTAACATTGAATAGTATGAGCACGAAATTCAAATGACAACTGCAATGTCAGCAAAATTTAAACCAAATGTTGATAAAATTATACGGATTGTCAATTGATTTTACCGAATTTCATGTGATTGAATCTGTGAATAGAAAACCAGCAAATTTTTTGGGTAGAATATACGGCTACCGTAGAACTAGGAGGAAAATTTGGAACCAGATGAAGTAGTTTAGCGAAATAATGGGTATTTGATACTTATTGCTCCATTTATTTCAGGATGGAGGGACATTTCACTCCCCAAAACAACAATTCAGTAGAACAACCTATTGATCTACTTCTTTTTCAATTATAATTTGAAACAATGTTGATGAGGTTATCGAAAACTCGTTCGTGGTTAAATGTGGAATGAAAGTATGAAATCATATCGGCTAATTTATTGTTTCGTACCATGTTCGTACTTTGGATATATTTCTGAATCGAGCTTGGAATAATACAAATTATTACATCATACAGTATTAAAGACAATCAATTTTATCATCATTTTATCATTTTACATCATTTTTATACTCAACAAGTATACCCAATTAAATAATTTGCTTTTCTAATATTAATTGTATTGTTACCTTTGCTCTTGGTGATTGATATCCAGGGAGGTCGATCTGAACTTCATGGTCTGACGTACTTTTCTGTTTTCTTCCAGGCATTCCACGTTCAGACTTTATGAATTTTATTAGGTGTTGTAATTCGTCAATCATTACACTTTGGTCTTAAATTCAGAAGTTTATACAGTTAAATATAATATTTGTATTTTGTTGCGGATCCTATATTATCCAATTTCATATTGGCCAAGCGATATAACACGAATAACGTATAATGCTACAATCACTCAAAATAAAATGTGATTCAACCAGACTGCATTTATATGGTGACTATAATGAATATAGATGGTCGAATATAAGGTATACCGGATGGTAAAACGGTTGAATCTTATCCTCAGCTGTGTTGGCAACGCAGGTTACACTCTGGTTCAAATCCCATGATGACCGCCTCACCCAGGGTTTGATAACTTAGACAGGCAAGGATTTCGGTCTTCCAAAAATAGTAGCATAATGTAAGGTTACAGAGGCTGCTTGTGATTGGCTCCGGTGTAAGTAAGCGTCGGGTAAAAACATAAACTTGTTTCCCATCTGTTTATTCGTGGCTAGGGCTGGGCATTTCGAATCGAATCGAATAGTAAATTATTCGAATCGGTTAAGAGCAAATTTTCGAATCGCCGCCATCTTGTTTTACTCTTTTCGCCAATGGTCGAGGTAAATTTCTCAATTTTTTTTTCATTGAAGCCATATTTTTTCAACACAATTCCGACATATGACTCTTTTCTGTATTGAGGTATTGATGAAAACGTTTTTTTTTTTATTGTCAGTGATGTATTCTATGTTTTCAGTAATTTATATGTCTGGAGGACCTAAAATGATAGGAAAGTTACATACAATTTCATACCTTCCAAGTATTCGAGATTCGATTCGAAAAAATTATTCGATTCGATTCTGAAATCATCAGGTATTCGAAAATGCCCAGCCCTATTCGTGGCCAAAGTACATGATACTGGGCCCTGGAGTGGAGAACTTTCTTTTTATACCTTTGATAATTTCTTCCTTCTCTTCGAGACAAGAATTTAACTCAGCATCGAGTTCACTTGAGCTGTGTATTTCTCTGTCTCTCAATCGTGCATTTTCTTGTTCCAAATATTTAACCTGACATGGAAATAGAGATTTTAACTTTATGGACATAAACCAAAGAATGCTATAAAATTAGTCGAAAATGTAGTTTACAATTAGCAAAATGCAGCTGCGGAAATCATTGGTGGAAAATATTAGTTTTTTATCCAAAGATTATATTGCAAAAAAATGACGATAATAGAAAGGGTCAAAAATTTAGAGTAAAAGAGATTTGTTTCTTTTCAATAAAGTAGAAATTTTACTGGAAATTGCACATGCTGTAACCATTTTTGTCATAGCATAAAGCCATAAACCCTTCTTCTCCGAACATTTCAACAAAGCAACGTCCTGGCATCGATAGGATAGTCGTGTTAGTATTGTTTAATAATCTATAATGGCCTATTTTACATCCCAATTAGTCCCAAAGCGTCTATTACTTACTTTTTTCACGTAGTCCGACAAGGCCGTTTCAACTTGGCTGATATGATTAGATTCAGTGGAATTTTTCAACGCGCTATATTGTTCGCTCAAATGCGAACATCGTCTTTTTGTTCGTTCCAAGTCCTACCAAATAAAATATAAACCAGGATTAGATATTACTAGGGTTTACACAACAAATGATTTAAACATTACATTGAAGAGCTTTACTAATTTCTTTATGTGCTAAAATGTAGCAGTATTCTAACCTGCTTAAGCATTTGCCTCTCCTGATTTGAAAATAATTTATTATTTCGTTCCAATAGAGCAACTTTCCCACGAAGAGCACTAATTTCCTTTTCCATTGATTCTCTCTCATCTTCGTTAAAAGCTTCAGAATGGTTTTTCTAAAATGTTTGGGAAGTTGAAATAATTGGTAGGAAAATACTAAATTCTATCGTATATATAGTAAGGAACGTGCTACACCAGTGTAATACGAGAGTCATTCATTGGCGCAACGTAACATTATCGGTTAAAAATAGGGGGTAGGGACTCCACTTTCACATCTTAATACGTGGGGCCATATATACCTGACGAGAATACATATATGCTGTTGCAGAAACGCCCGTCGGAGGGCATTTGATTGAAACCGCGATGGCGACCTGAACAAATGCCAAGTTTTAAGTGGAATAAATAACATGATGTCCACTGAGGTCAGTCCAATGAATCCAAACTGAATTATCTTTTTTACATTAAATACCAAAACCGTTAATGAAATCTAAAGATCAGCATATTCATCAAACTGAGATGCTAAGGCTGTTGTAAGTAATATCTGACCAGGTCAGAGTATGGATTATTAAGCGCTTCCAAATTAGCTAGTAGTTCCAAGTAGCTGCGGTTCTGCGAATCACAGTTCATTACTTTTACTCGTACCTTCTTTTCTTCCTCATAAGCTTCCACTCTCAAACGTAACGCCATTATTTCATTTTCTTGACTTTTTGTTTTCTGCAGTAACCTTTCTTTCTCATGATTAAGCAGGGATAACGAAGTTACGCTATTTGTTTGATTTTGTGTTTCTGCAAACATTAAATGTACAAAATGTTATTTACCCAATGACTAGACGACGCATTACATCGAACATCGGTGCAATGGTGGAGCAATTTTGTGACAGCGCCATTTCCCTCTGACGATACATTCGTAGCATATTGGAATATTTTCATGTATCATCTAAGGCAGTGGTTCTTAAACTGGGTTCGATCGAACCCCTGGGGTTCGGTGGAGCTGTTCCAGGGGTTCGACGAAGGTGCTCTGAAACAGTTGCATATTATGAGACTTTTTTATCACCCTGCATACTAATTATGCAAAAATAACTATAGTTCATGATGACTAATTACTAATGACTTGAACAATTGAATGGAACAATTAATTGGTGTTACCCTTATTCATATTCTACCGTACTAATAAAATTTAACTCAATTTTACGGATAAATCGAAGATAGGCAGTAATTGTACATGAATAAATGCAAAATCATATCGTGTTTGAATTTCACTAGGTGATAAATTTGCGACAAGGAATAGTTTATCGCAGAGCTTTACCCGAAATTATTATGATCCATTCAGGACAACCTCGATATGGCGCCGAATTAATCCTATCTCTATTTCTGTAAGATAAAACAATTGGCAAACGATTTTATTCGCATTTCAGCGCAGTTTAAAGTTTGAGAACAAATTGCTTGAACTACCAACGTGTATGGGGTATATTATCATTTTTCGGATTTTCAAAGTTATTTTTTATCAGTTTTCGCCTGTTCACCCGCATAACTTATACAACAAAACCCATCTGCTCATTCTGCCGCCAACGCCATTGTGACAAAACAATGGTTATTCCCACATGGTTATTGATATCTAAGGTTTCGTCACAATGTTCATATTCTATAACCTTGCAAGAATTAGCTTCCGCTTTATGACGTTACGGTTTGGCTTCTAATTTCAACCGTTCAGTACAATATGGGGTTCGGCGGGAGCTTGCAGAATAGCGCAGGGGTTCGGCAGGCTCACAAAGATTAAGAACCACTGATCTAAGGCTATCCTAAATGTCCCATTTTTCTTCGCTCTTATATAGCATAGCGCTTGCCTATTTTTTTTGGATAGTTGTCGATAATGAGGACACTAAAGCGGCAGCGATACACACTTTCAGGATGAAGCTCTTAAGACAATTCAGAAATATTAGTTTACAAAAAGAACATTAACCGCTGAACGCTATGCTGTATGTACAGTGTATACTATTACATATTTACGAAATATTCACACATTTCCACCGCGAACAAGGCTTTAAACAAGAAAGTACATGCAAGAATAAGTAAAATATACTTGTTTACCTGACGTCCCTTTTTCCATATTTTCGTCATTCAGCTCCATTGAGTCCCCATCAGTCGACAACCGAGGGACGAAATTATTCTGTTACAGAAAATCTTGCTCTTTATTTTGGGACTAACGTTATTGTACGAACGATAAATACATAATAAAAATAACAGCGATTATTTTTGGGTTTAAAACTTCTGCAAAGTCAACAAACTTAGTCGAGTCAGGTCAGTACCATTTATTCTTCACCCCGTACTGAGTATATTATTTTACATTGTTGCAATTGCGAGCCGACTGTATTAAATTGGGCCGACGATAGTTCGCGCGAGTAGGTTTAAGTATTTTCTAACTCTCGAGACATACGAATTATCGGATTATGGAATTCGACTTTCAAATGAAAGGTACTTAGCTTTCTTTGTGTACGTATTCTTTAAAACTTTGGGTATTACAAAATACGAAAAATTCTTTCAGCCAAGACTAAAAAATCTCTATAATAATGTATTTAAAAGTTTCTCAAAAGTTTAAAGATTGTTCTAAAGTTTAAAACGCGGCTCTTTATTTTACTTTATATATTGTGAACAAGTTCGCCTTGTTCTTTCAAGTTGACTAATCGACAGGAAGTCTCTATATGAAATTATCTGTCTCTTGTCACGGTTTCAGTATCCTCCAGCTACCATTTAAATACCCCAAATTTAAATGTTCTCAGCAAGTATCTTCGACATTGTTCTATCTTATGCTTTTAACCTGAGCCAAGTTTCGCACTATAAATCCAGAAAGATAGTCAACTATTATATCGTCATTCAAATCATTGTTTGCAATCGCGCTATGTACACGAATCTATTGTCAAAGCTTGTTTAACCAACCAATGTTATAAGATGTTTGAGGCGTTTTGTTTGATATGTAATCGACTGCGGCAGCCCGTGCGCTGAGGCTATACTTTCTTTTGTGTACACACGTGAGGATTTTCGCTTGGATTTCTAATTTACGATCATATGTATATATATATAATATATATATTAAATATTCTATTTTGTACCTTTTGATAACTCTGTTTATAGCGAAGAAGGGTATATGAACATACACAATAATGTCTTCGTTACATATACAATAAAAACAACTCCTTTTATGTTTCCATTCCATAAATTTAATAAAGTTTGATATATATATAAATCAGTATGCGAGTATCACTCGAGTATGCGATTATTGGACACGAAATGGACCTATAGATCGTTTTGTTATTATGTTGTGGACTACTGGACCAATGGCTTTGGAATTTTCGGTGGTTATTGCTTGTTGTCGCCAGAAGGCTATTACTTTTATTTATTTCAAAAATTTCTGTGGGCTCTATGAGATTCGTTTTTCACTGGGTAATGACGTCATCAAAATTGAAAAGTGCTCACCTTGTGGCGGTTCCGCGTTCGCGATGACTGGTCAGTCGAAGTCGGGAAGACTCACTGATGGTACCGTATATGGTTTGATACTCGCGCTGCATCGTTTGGGTCTTCGTGTACATATATTTGAGCATTGCTCTCTTGTTTTTTTAGATGATATGAAACCATTTTCTGCATGGTTGATTTCAATTCAATCGGCGACATATACAGTAGTTTGGTTCTATGACGATTATTGACGGACTGCTATGACGGGTTATATACATATCTCGGGTTCTGTCGATTGTTTGGAAGTGGCTACCTCACTCAATGTGTAAGTAGTTGAGTAGCGCAAATGGACAAGAATATTTACAGAGACGATGTGAAAGAAAATAATTGTTACTTGTAACTGAAAATTCTCGTCCAGTGCGTCCAAACAATCATTTTTAAGATCTTGATTTTCCTGCTTTAGTTTTCTTATCTGTTCTCTCAGTTGCTCAGTTTCATCACCCATTTCGATAAGCTGCGTGATATCATAAATCTTTTTTAACATTTAGCATCAAATAAAGAAAATAGATCAAAATTATTAAAGTACATTTAACATTCGTTTAGAATTTAGCTCGTTATAGAAATATATATAGTAAAAAATAAACGGTAGAGTCTTTGTGACGTTATTGTACGATTCAAATGACAGAAGGTTGTATTCTAGTGCTTGTAATTAAGGCAAACGAGCCTCACAGTGTCTAAAGCGCTGAAGGTGGGAGCTCCCGATAGAGATTGAAATTCGAGAAAAACATCATCATGCCAAACCTTAATCATACAAAAGTTATCTCTAAAACAGTGAGCAAGCATGTTTAGAGATACGGCACTTCGGCAAAAATACGAATACTTACATGCATTTCCAGTTCGCTAACGTGATTATTGTTTTCACTATATTCCTGAAACGGCGTTTCTTCCGTTGTTTCAAGTTGTACGATTACGTCTTGAGGACAAACTACCAGGTAATCTTTATTGTTTCTGTCTTCCAAAACAAGTCTATTCGTACGGTCTGTAACATCGTTAAGTTCGGCGTAGTCTTTGACATCACATTCTGTATCATCGTCTGGGTAATCCATATTGAACAGTTTACTGGAGTCAGGCTCTACTATGGGAGGTTTGGGCTTAACAGAATCCTCAATGATACTGCCAAACTCTAGTTTCGGAATCAAGTTCATGTCTTTCGATGGTGTCATAGAAATGTCGAGAGGGTTATTGGTAAAGAATAGTTGAATTGATCCTGACAATGAAATACTTTCTGACCTCTCTAATTCCATTGTATATTTCACTTATTTGTTGCTATTTACAGTATAATAACGTTACTAAGACTATGAGATCTGCATTTGTTAAAACATGGATAATAAACAATATAGAGAGAGAGCACCTTACTGAACACTGTATTTCTAATTCGAATGGAGGGGCAGAGCACTGGCATTTTTCGGTGGCTGTGGATGCTAAATTAGCTTGCGCAATTCCTCGCGCTAACAACGATTCGATCACTTCCTAATATTGGACGCCTAAATCACACCTTGAAAAAAAGAACTTAATCGAAGGTTTATTTCACTGGAATAAAATATCAGCGAGTGGCTGGCGTGTCTGCAGGAAAGCTCTGCTCCATACTAATTCACTACATACCCCGTATCTTTCGTAAAAAGCCCCGCCAAAAAAACACCCCACCGCTTAAAATGAAATGGTAATTATCCAGTTAGGGTTAGGGTGAGGGCTAGGAATGCAGATTGCGCTTGAAATTCAAATTTTCGAATCAATCCGAATCGTAACTGGATAATTACTAATTTGTTATTTTGAAACGAGGCGGGAGTATTTTTCTCACATTTTACGTTCGTGGCGGGGCTTTGTACAAAACATACCATATCCCCGAATCCTATTTTATTCTAGCCCGATACCTTCATTCATACAATTCAATACAATTAGTCACTGAAATAATTTCCTATAAAAGGACTATACTCTGGCAGTAAATAGTAGCTGTCGCTCGGCTCACTATTGCTGAATGTAAAAAAGGTTTACCGACTGCTTACGTATGATATCATGAGAGTCTGAATACAACTGTGTATTACACATGGAGGAGTACGATCACTATTGAAAGCTAAACTTTTTATCAGTAGCTATTCACTAATCAAACCAACCATTTGATTACAATTTGTCATGTTATTTTTGTGTTCGCTTGAAAGTTGACACCATCTGGCCTATTGTATGGCTCATTTTCATTCATGAAACTAAACCAATTATAAAACAACAAAGTGTTGAAAGAAAATCTCTATCTCGCTTGACGTCTCGCCTTTTGGGGAGACTGCATCCGGAACGTAATCTTATTTCATAATGTCAATACGGATGTGTTGTAAATCCCTTAGAATTATTCTTATATACATTTATACAGCATGTCTAGCTGTGATTGTGCCCCCATATTATATCCGTGTACATTTCTCTATTTTTGATAACGACGGAATAAAATCCTAACATTGTTTTTGTGAACATTATATCTATAGTATGATTTTCGTGCATATTCGTTAATTTTATCCATGACTACAATGAGTGAATTTCACTGGTATTTTTTTAAACTTCCTGGACTCCTGCTATTTTGGACACAACCCTCAATAGACGATCACAATAGCCTAGTTTGTATTCGTATGTGATACCAACAAGCAGTCAACGAGCTTCACCTCAGCATGGGCGAGATGATACGCCGTGGAGAAATCACTGGATAACCAACTAAACCAAAAGCGAGCCTACTCTAATGGTTCAGACAGAGCTTGTCCCAGCCCGCTAAGAGTTGGGAACGCAGTTTAAACTCGCGCCTATAGTGGATCGTCATGGTCAGTTATCCACGTCCATTAATTTGGAATGATTTGCCGCGACTCACTATACGATTGTATAGGTATTACAGTTTTGCCCATCAATTAGGACAGTGGCTTTCAAACTGCTTCACTGAAGTAACCGCAAACCTCACAATTTTTGAACCGAAAACACATAAAACTATTCGGACATTTGAATTAGCTGCCACTCCTCGAGTACGCAAATAGCTTACTGATTTATCTCATGTGATCTTGTTCATCAAGTTTGTTCCTTGATTTCGTTTTGATTTGAACGAGTGTAGAAAACCCAGGTTCACAAAAGTGGGGACGAAGTGGATAATGATTTTAAATGCAGTGTCGTTATGCTCACAACTACTTGTAAAGGATTTTCTCAAATAAGTACGGTAATAATAATAGACTTCTAGCGACAACAACAATCTGTAACCGCTGAAAATTTCAAGGCATTTGATCCTGTAGGTGAACAGAAAATCGATTATTTCACAGGAAGAAAATGCAAAATGACAACGTTAGCTTATAACGCAAAACCTTGAAGACTCTTGCGTCCCCCTAATATTCCCTCGCGGATCTCAGTTTGAGAACCACTGCATTAGGACAAATAAATCCATCCTTATCTCATATCTTTTACATGAAAATGCCTACAATGAACTACACTTAATACAGTAGGTAAAACTTTATATTATAGTAAATAGCTTAAAAGATAGTTATCGCAAGAGCACCGGAAACAAGACGAAAGTTAGAGTATGGAACAAAACACTCTTGTTACAAAAAGTTAAACAATTGCTTTACTCGTAAATCAATATTTAAAATGAAACCATCATAATACCAACACGTAAAATGTATAAGCAGGAGATTTCACAAGCTATAAGATGTTTAAAACACAATGCCAGAGACCAGTCATGAAGTTGCCATTAGCAGGCTCTTTTGTAAAAGGCGATTAGGGTATCATATAAAAAAGTTTGATTTTTATTTGAAAAATGTACCATCAATCATGTTTCATTTTAAATGTACAGCTTGTTCTTTTATTAATATCTAAGTGCGGGTCATGGCAATCGTGTCCTTCTAAAATATGAACCTGTTATGTGAATAGTGCGAGGCTGATTTTGTCAGGACTAAAATTTAAATGTCAAAAAAGTCTATTGATTGAAGAATATTTTTTCCATATCTGTAACAAAGTGATAAGCTTCACATACTGGGCAGTGTATCTTCACAAAAATAAGTGGTTTTTCTTTACACTAGGCGCTAGGACCTTGGGATATCTCAGCGAGTTCAGTTACATACTAAATGCAAACAAACCAATAATCGTAGCAAATAGACAGAAAGCTGAAGATTCACTTTGCTGAAAAATAAGCTGAAATGCCTGTTGCCCAGCAGTCCTTGAATTTTTTCAAATTTTCCAAGCAACCCTACTTGATGATGATAACAGAAATCAAACTCAAAATTATGACAATATTAGAACAAGTATTTACAATTCCAATACCATTATACTTCAAGAAATTTTGCCAATATCTTCTTAGTTCAAACTCAATATAATCAGATCCTAACTCTGCATGTTATTATAAACCCACATTACGGTATGAAGACATTCTTCCTTAAAATGGTATTTAGGCACCAAATCATACAGTCTCAATATAAATCCACACTCAGCACCAGCATAAAAAGTACCGTAGGTATTACATGTCTAAATCAGCATGTGGCAAAGATATATGAAAAACTTGTGCTGTGACTTAAAATACCGCTAAAAAAATCAAAATTACCGCTCAAAAAAAGACGAACAAAAAAATATATTTCTACAAAAGTTTTGCACCTTCTGACATGACAGAATCGTCCAAATCAATCTGACATTGAATTGTTGAAGAGTTTGCTTGATCTTCAATTAAATTAGCTCTTTCATCCGAAGTAGAAAGATTGCTTCTTTCTGTGGTAGCACTACCAGTGTTTGTATCACTCGCACTCACATCTTGTAAACATTTTTCAGATTCAGAATCGTTTTGTGTTATACATATACCATTATCGTTACTTAGGAGAGCCTTTTTCTCAGTACACGGGTCATCATCCTCTTCACATATTATAGTAGCAATAGTATTATTTCCTTTGTCAAAATCAGCAACAGGTTTTTGAAATTGTGACGGATTCACCTAAGAGATAAGTGGTATAAATGAGTGTGACAGAAATATTTTGATATATAATCATCTGAATTCCAAATCCTATAAAATATTATAAAAATGCTGCATTGAGTTTTCATAATCAAATACCGATTTTAGCATTTTAAATGTTTCAAATCACGTTTTGGAAAAATTTGAGTAACTTTGTAGCAAATGTGGATTGTAACTATGGTGTATTTCCGGCTTTCACCCAAGGGTTGAAATATAGTGTTCTTTCATTTTTTAAGATCTTACTGCTTAGATTTGACCGTATAACTGTATTAAGGGTTTAAGTGTTTATTCCAATATATCTGTATTTGGATCCAATTCGATTGTTCAACTTTACAATATACAAACATTTGACATTTGTGCTTATTGACTTCTGAGGAGTTCAGAGCAGAGTTACACTCTATTAAACTTGTGTCAACTGTCAACCCAATAACACAAGAGTGCGAACACGCAGATAGGGCCATCAATCCCATTATAACTTTAAAAAAAATGTAATTATTGAGAGTCGGCCCTATAAAATTGGTTAGCTTGACTTGAGTTCTTAAAAGTCTCCTTGATAGGCATTATAACAGTGACTTCAGTGGTTACATTCTTTGCTTCGAAGTGGCTTGGTCATATTTGGAAGTAACCGGCAGCATACTCATAAATGCTCGTAAAAACGGCTAGATGGTCCTGTTGTTTGCCTGGAAGTGGCTATATCAAATTTATTTGTCTTGAATATTTGATTAACTCTGCCCGCATTAAACACAAATTTTCAATGAATCAATCTGGATTTGCTACTTGAATCTAACAGATGTGACTTGATTACAACAAGGTGGCACATGGTTGTATTGTTACCTCAAAGTAGCTTGGTCAAAATAATCTTTAATATTAACTTGCACTGCCTGTGAGTCACAATTGTTCAACAACTAAGTAGGGATTCTTTGTTTAATGCATAACATACATGAAAAAATCCCTACCATAATATTCTATGTTATTTCAAGTATTAGGATCCGCTGAAAACCCACCTGAACTAACATTGCTTTGTATAAGAAGTGCAAATCAACATATGATGAAAATATATGCGGCCTCATTTGATAAGCTACTCTGGCTGTTTGGAAAACATCGACAACATTTTCATTTGCGAGTTCTTGATGCAACGAATGTACACAGGCAAGTTGACCGGCAGAAATCCCACCATATCTGAATAAAGGTTAATCAGCTATAAGCAATGCCCCACCTCAAATATAACTAAAAATAACAATAAGCTACCAATAATATATATCAAGGCGAAAGTATGTTTTATTCAAAAAATATGTGGATGTAACGTAAATATTCCAAATAAAATAATGTAAATATCCAAAATAAAGCAGGCAAGATCGATTAGCTTCAAGCCCCATCAAAAATTTCTACGCCCCCTCTTGTGGGACACCCACACCGTTCGAGAGACACTAGTAAGCGTATAATATGAGGATGCTGTATGATAAATGATGACTATTTTGAGTCTTGTCGTTTGTTTGAGAAAGTCTGATTTTCAGACGAAACATGACAGAAATATATTTGTGGTAGAGCTTGGCAAGACTCTTCAATCACACACAAAAAAATTTTTCTCAAATTTCGAATATAAACAACAAACTTTAGATGAGGTTGTTTCTGATTTCAGTCATGACTTAAACGAGCACTTGATATTAGCTTTGAGTGGAAAGTAACAGAAACACATACCTATCTTGTATAATAACGCTTCCATCTTTCTTAGCTGTATATTTAACGATTGTATTTATTAGTTGTGTAAACTCCGGGCCTATTTCATCAATATTAGGCCAATGGCTTAAATCCAACTGCTTCACTGCGAGAACATAGTCATCCTAAAAACAGAAACACAAATAAATGGATGTAAATAGCAAGTCAGCTCAATCATTGGTTAATGGAGCTAAAAGTCGTTAAAGGACTAGATCGTAGTAAATCCAACTTACTGTAACAAATAAAAGTTTATTTGCATTGCTTTACACCCCACTGGATTTACAATAAATTCTAGTTACCGTTAGTACTTAATTCCTACAAATTAATTTTGACTATATTCCAGCATAGGCCAATTGGATCTAATTTCAGATCGGACATCAGATAAAAGCACTTTGCAATAGTACAGTTCTAAATTGCCACTCAAGGCATGGTTTAAATTTTTTTATTTTTTTTCTCTCAAAAGTTGATTTTAAAATTCTTATTTAACAGGCAGTATTTCAAACCTTAGTTGCTTCCAAAACAAAATCTCTTATCACAATTTCTGTGACATTTCCTTCTTTCGTTGACAACTTTTTTTCAGATTCGAAAGATATATTGAAGGAAGGACATGAAATATGATGATCTTGAACAGGCCAATAAATATCAGCTTCATCCTGTGAAAGGAACAAAATACCAATATATGACAACCCCTTATTACTTATCGATTTTAATCGGTAAGTATGTTGATAGGTATTTGTCTGTATGTCTGTTGGATGCACGCGATATCTCACGAAAGCGAGATTGAATCTGCTCCAGATTTTGCATGTGCATTCATCTTATCTCGGACCAGAAGCCTATTGATTTTTGGCGAATTATGTCAAATAATTAGCGAGTTATTAATTAATTAGTGATGGGACACAAGGTGTCACTATGGTGTAAGACCACTGTTTTGGGGGATCCCCTAACTTTCGATCGATAAGTCTTCGGTCTCTGACCGATATTCTCGTATAAACAATTGACACTTTTAAACCGTTTTGTTTTTCATATTATTGTTTTTGAACCATCAGTATATTGTATTTAATTCATTTACTTTGTTGGCCTTGTGAATATGCACATTGTTCATCCTAATGATCTTCGATGTGTATTTTGGTTGTGTTTTTGTAGGATATTATGTTGTTATTCAACTGATTATACTATTTGGTTGTATTAAGATTGTTATCCATGGTTGGCGGATAGATTAAGTTTGGCATGCATTATCTGTGGGCTCGGGAGTCGGGACAAGTAGAATATATGTGGAAGAACCTGCTCACATGACATCCTAACACACTCAGAGCATTGCTTTGTATAGGAAGCTACTCAGAAATAGAAGTTTCAAGTTTTTTAACGGTCGCCATAATTAGAATTTTCAAAGTTTAGCATTGGAGACAAATTCTCAAACTGCCAGAGTAGGAGTCAAAGTTTTGAATTCCTTGAGTCGGAATATAATATTTTCAAATATAATAATAAAATTAGGATTTACATCAGCAACTGAAAATGCATGAAGCATACAAAAGATTCTTAACAGTTTTTGATTTTCCCTGATTTCGAAGCTGGGGCCATGATATGGAATAAACAATTTTCTAAACTTGTAGTCGGAGTCGAATAAATTCGCCATAAAACCAGTAAAAAGACTAAAACTCACCCATTCTACATCGCGAATCGTAACAACAACAGAACAGTTATGATCCCAGACTAGTTGCCAGAAATCTTTCCTTGTGTTAGGAAGCGGTAGTTGAGTTATGATGAACATTCTACCATTACGATAACCCTGTAATAAAATGTCAATATTCATTAAGTGAAAATGATGCAAATTTAAATTTACTTTCTTATATATATGTTTGAACGATTTCACCCTAAACAAGGCTCTGTCCAAGCATCCTCTGATGTGTAAAAAGCTGCTATTTTTTTGAGTGAACAGAATCTTTCAGGTTGGACACTGCCTACTCTCTGGTTGAGAGTATCGGTTGACAGGTTTGACCTTTAACCCTCAATGCCAACAGGGTTAAGCCCAATACTCTAATGCAAACTAATATCTAAATTGTGTTTTAAACTTCCTATAATAAGAAAAAATTTTCTCAAATATTTGCAATTTTAAAGTAAAATCGTGCCTTACTGATTTTTTTATATCCGGTACTATATTATTACAGAATATACCAATTCAAAAGTAGATAAATATTCTGATATGGTTATTCCTATGAGCTCAGATTATACCTGTAAGAAAGATGCATTTATATAATCAGAACCCTCATTTCCAACGCGATAATGGAGAGGTACGCGAGATCGAAAGATAGGTAATACTCCGTTAGGCCGATTTTTGTTCTGATTTATTGATCGTGTTGCGAAATCATAGTCAATTTCACGGCTCACATGTTGCGCAACAATCTGAATGAAAAGAAATTACTTATTTATTTGACAACATAGCTCACTTGAATAAAATGTATTACAGAGTTGAAAATTATCATTAGGGCACAACAAGTAACGGTACAAAAAGGGCTGCAGAGATGGAAATAAGCATTTTATCGCTGACATTGTATCTGAAGTCCAAATTCTGATGATGTTTCAAAAAGAAGATGCTTGAGTGCCAATTTAAAACTTTTTCGCATGAAAATGAGAGTCTGGATTAAATTCGCAGCATGAACTGAAAAGTCATCGACCAAAAATTTTTAATCAAAGCTAAATGAACTTGTAAATGCCAAAACTAGTGGGGAAATTGTGGCTATCAATCACAGAACCAAAAGTTCTAGAAATGTATTTTAACCTGGATTTTTGTCAACCCCATTCTGGCTTGACTTGCAATGGGCTAGGGAAAGGAGTCTGAGGTTTTCCTCAATTCACTTCCTCGGGTATGGGAATACCTCACAAGGGAATAACTTACAACTACATTTATTTTTTAGTGATAACAGCATTCTCGCCCACATTATACATACTGTTCGTTCATTTGCATCACCTCTTACATAGCACAAATGACTAAATCACAAAATATTTGTTGTGCTAAGGGTTGTTTATGAAAGAAAATGACAATTTTGACATTGAAATCTCGAATCATGATTCCCGGTGGATTTATGTTCAGATTTTCAGAATCAAAACATGACCTCTTACACTCCTTTTTTTATTCCTACTTGTGTCACCATTCATCGACGATTTGAAGTGACTCAATACTCGAGACAACTACATGCGTGCTTCTGAATCGTTTTCAACTAACCGACAGTGAGACTTTATACAGTGATTGACTCGCCTTCGAGCTCGGGCCGAGACTCTGGAGACCCATGACTTGAGGATTAGGGACTCAAAAGACTATTTTATATTGAATCAAAATGTTAATAAGTCATTTGATTAGTTAAATTTGATCTATAAGTAAATTTTTAGGCATACCATAAACTGCTTTTCCATTCCGGTAATTTTACTGCTTTCTTTCAATCCTCCAGATTCAATATCCTTAGCCATATTTTTTAGGTTGTCTCCTGCAATCTCTACGGTAGATGATGAAGATAATAGATTTTGAACATATGTATTCAACTGTTGTGCCGGAATTTCAGTGTTTCGACAAGTAAATTGGCAAAGTAAAGCGTCATGAACAAAAACATATTGGTCCTGAAAAGAATGTTGATTTTCTAATTATAAATGGAAAAAAAAATTCAAAATAACTGAAAATAAAGATACCATACAACCAGAAAACTCCAAATTAGGATTTTGCCGAGAAATGATATTTTCACGCAAAATAGTCAAAAAAACGTCAACAAGACTAAATTTTACTTTCAACCGAATAAATTTTAAAAAATTTTCCTTCTAATGCTTTTTAAAATTGATGCATCTAAACTATTTTTTCATGTACGTTTCTGAACTTTCTATATACCAGTATATTCTTTTCAACAGTAGAATATGCCAAACCAAAAAGATTACAAAAGATATCTAACCTCTGTCTGCACTAGATGATTTCTTTGCGTTCTGATAAATTTTAAAAATTTGTTGATATTAACTTTTCCAGTAATTCTAGCCATTTGTATCATGCTGTGCAACATAATGTATGTACCAGTACGGCCTACTCCAGCACTAAAATGAAAAGGCATTAAAATTAGTGGAAACATATTGTTTACTGTGATCTTATGGAAACTGCAATGTTACTTTTACTGCATTAAGGGGGCAAGGGCAGAAATGAGGCAAAAAATAAACAAAAAAGAGCAGTAAGAGTAATTCACAATATGAAATTCATATCAAATAGTTTGGGACCTCCTGAAGTATGCGCACCAAGATGGCGCACAACCTGAAATCAAAGTGAAAAAGTTGCCGATAACACGTGCAATTGCCTTCTGCTAAAATCTCCGTTCGTTTTCATCAACGCGGCATGTTATTTATGCCGTGAACGCCCTTTACATTGGTGTTTATTCTCTTTAAATCACAAATTTGTGCCGCGGGAACAATGATAATTATTTTATTTTTGTACCCGCACGGAAATGTGAAAACTGAAAAAGCGTGCAATTGCCTTCTGCTAAAATCGCCCATGTTTTCATCAGCGTGTTATTTAGGCCGTAAACGCCCTTACGTCGGTTTTTATTCTTTCTAAATCATAAATTTGTGCCACGATAAACATGATAATTATTTTATTTTTGTACTTTGCACGGAATTGTGAATTCGTGAGTTATTTATTATACGTTCATCGGTGGCGAGGTTCTAAAGACAAAAGAAGGAGTAAAACTGCGATCTAAATTTGATTGAAAAGCGGCATTATAAAATACTGAAAATAAAACCTTAAACAATATAAGTTTTGTTGAGTCCCGCGACAGTCTAAAAACGCTTTTCTAGTCGCAAAATCGCTAAATTTCGTGTGCCTACTGCACACATTATGTTTGGTCGCCGTTTAGGAACATACCGTCACTAAAATCGAAACACAGTTAATTGTGGGTGGGATTTGCCTTTTATCCATTACTTTAAAATTGTCGTAGAAAATTTTCGTGTTATCATTAAACAAGGTTGAAAACGCGATTTTTTTCCCGGTTTGTGATGAGATATAAGATAATTAATCCGAAGTATATCCATTAATTTTTATTGTGCTGAAATAAATTTTACTCCATGAGAATTTACAGCAGATTTACCGATTTCTTTAAAAATAATCGGAGTGTCAGCATTGCGATTGAACGGAGTCAATGTTACAAGCACATCTCAAATTTGTCGAATTTGCAAAATAGAAAAAATACGGATCAAAACAATATATGATAGGCGACGGGCAGTTACCACAAATTTTTATTTTTATGTCGGCAAATGGCCGAGGTATTTTAAAATTGTGAATTGTAAAAAATTGTTTTGTTTTGTCGACGCAAACGCTGGTTAAATTGAAGACAATTAAATTAATAAAGCAATACATTTTAAATATGCCCTTATCGGTCACGAATTGATTACTTTGCACAACAGAAAAATCATTTTTCGTTGTAAACGTCGGCTCTTTTAACAAGTGGCGTAATCGCGGCGATGAATATGTATTTTTGATTTAACGATATACTTCATATGCATTTTCATTGTACGAAATAGAATTGTACTTTTCGGGATTTTAAATCAGTTATTGAGATTTTTCTAACGGCGAAAACGAGTTGGCAAGATTCCAAAAATACGTATTAAAATTAAATACACTGTTTATCTAATATTTTTATGTCCACCGATCGCCGTGGCATTTCAGAGAATTAATGTTTTAATTTTGACATAAGAAGAAGCAACCGCGAGTTACGTTGGACACAAATTAACTAATATTTAACGACATTTTAGAATTTTGTAGTTGTCAGAGACGTCCCTTTAACGTGCGCGTAATGCGAAGACTGTTACAGACCGCAATGGGAATTTATGATTATGAACCCCCCCCCCCCCCCCCTTTTGAAAATCCTGGCTGCGCGCCTGTTCAGGAGTACCAAAGTTTGAATACAATTATTTTCTAATTTTAAATAGTCAAGTTACCACATTAAATATTTCGTTATAGGCGCATGTCACTGAATTCAATAAAAAAAATGTTTGCAAATTCACTTAAAACCGCAAAAACAACAGACAACAATATTTAGTGTAATGGTTCCACAGAATTTTGTGACTAATGATAACTGTTTAAATCAAATATTCAGAGTCAACAGGAAGTCTCAAAAAGAAATACAACTGCCATCGGTTTTTAAATTCCATGTACCGCTGAATTCAATAGAAAATCTATTCAAATTCTTTTGGAACCACAAACAACAATAATATTTAGTGTAATACAAATTGTTGTGACTACTTTAACACTCTCAAAAAAGCATCAAAAATTCTGCAAGTATCAGAAAAATTTCAGGGGTCAAGGGTCGCAGAAACACTCAAAGAAATTGTCATACATTCTTAGCTGCAATGAATGACAATCGGACCAGAATCGGATGACTCAAATTGTCATACATTCTTACCTGCAATGAACGATAATCGGACCAGAATCGGATGAATTAGCGACCGAAGAGATTCGTATGAACTTGAGAAGAGGTAAAATGTATTCCGGCGTTCCATGATCTGGCCATTGCGTATAATGATATTGTAATATTCTTCTCTCATTGTTGCGAGACTAAGAAAGAAAAATATAGAGTTGAGGAAAAACTTTCGAAACAGATTATGACCAATGTTTATTGGGTGTTTATATTTTCAACCAAAACAGGAAAGGATGTTCCTAAACACTATTGGTTCTGAAAAAGGCTCTGCACAAAAATGAGAAGGACAAAAATTTTTTTTTGGTTTAGCGTTGAGCTAAACCCACTTTTTTCAGTGTGGGTGAGTTGGCAGGCCTGTGGATTGATCGTTTGGCAAACAATTAATTATTACTTCTACTAAACTATATAATTAAACATGTTCAAATAAAGTTTGATTATTCAGTAGAAAATTTAAGAGTTTGGACTAGTAGGTTGATCAAAAATTATGTCACTTCTGATAAGTATAACAAGATTAAAAATATTCTCACCCGTCTCTTGCTCAGTTTCGTATTACGTAATTGAAAAGACCGAACAACATAGTTTGCATATACATCAACATCACGTAATGTGACGCTGATGTGTTTATATTGCTCTCTACCATCCTGTGGCCAATACTGGTCACATTTTCTCTGAATATAAGAAAAAAATTAAGAACGGCTTTATTTTTATGCTACACATACATCATCAAATCATCTATATTTTACTATTAAAAATACTGAATAGCAGTAAAATTCATGTTCATATCAAAGTAACTTGAAACTCTATTTATACCCAAAACGTATTACACTATTGAATATTTCATATTGTTAAATTTTTCATCAAGCATATTTATTGCAAAAATTGGTCATAAAATCGTAACTCATAAAGCTTTTGATTATGCTATACTGAACAAAAATTTCCTAATGAAAGAAAATTTTCATCTGTCATTAATAACTTTCAAACATTTCAAATTCCAATCAAATTTAAATATCAATATAACAGTACAAAAGCTGAAGCATACCCTTCCATTTTCTACGAGATTTGTAATCATCACAATGATTGTAACATTATTCTCCCATATCATCTTCCAAAAATCATTGAAAGTTTCTGGCAAGGGACCCTGAATAACGTGAATAATATAAAAATACAAGAGTGTAATGTACAAATATATTGATATATGTCTACCTTTACTGAATATAATGTATATTGTTCATTGGGAAAAGGCTCACAAAAATTGATCAACGCAAAGAAAGTATGGCAGAGACTTTTTGGTACTCCCGAAGTGTGTAAACCAAGATGGTGGACACCGGAATGTAGTATGTGTACCAGGTTAGGGTTAGGCCATAATTTCAGGTACAAATACTACGGGAGTCACTTGGCTAATCCCCGAACTCGTAATAGAACTAAAATAAGGAAAATTGGAATAAAATTATTGCCTATCCTTAACGTGGTACACATACTACGTTCCGGTGTCTGCCATCTTGGTTCACATACTTCAGGAATACCGAATTTTTTACCCCAATCCAGTGAGGTTTGAGGGAAAGGCCCCAAGAAATATATAAGATGAATAGAAAAAAAAACACAATAGCGTTCCGGTATCAATTTACTTATTTAACTATCAAAAATTTGAAAGCAAATAATTCCGCCGTTGAAAAGAAAAGCTTTTTTGTTTTAACAACAAAATTTCAGCAAAATTATCCATAAATTTGTGATCTTTCTACTAAACTCACCTGGCAAGCAATATAGGCTTTAGGCTTTTCATAACTAGAAACATAATTAGCGTTGATATAATCAGAAAAAGGATTCGAAGTCGACCGCCTGCGACCACTTGAATAATTAAGATGAACACGGCTATGATCATCTGAAAAATAAAGTTTTATTACATGCGTTATTGAGGATATTAATGAAAATCTCTCCTCGAAATAAAGTGTCCAATTCGAAAATCTCTGCTATCAAAATATCCAGTCAAGTTCAATACCATTTCAAATTCAAATTGAAAAACACTTTAAGATTCAAATATTATGGATAAAGACATAATGTCAAGTTATACTCTATGGAATCTGACAGAAATCAATATTTTGACAGTGTGTCAGTGTTCGCTCATGAGAAACCTTATCAGTTTAATCGTATTTCTGTTTTCATTTTGATATGAGAATTTTTTGATATCTTCTACACTCTGCTCTGCACTGCTCAAAATTGCTGCTAATTTAGAGCCACTCGTTTATAAAATAAGTATCTAATAGATAATACATAAAGAATAATGATGAATTTGATATGAATTACGCACCTAAAAATTGCAATTTTCATCTAACAACCATTTAACAAAATTTTCTATAATAATTTTTTGATAATTGTTTCCTGACAAGAGTGAAAGAGAATTACCATTAGCAGTCTCAATGAAGCAGTAAATAACCATGGTGTAAATAATTCCACAAGGAGTGGCAAGTTAAAATATAAATTCTCATAGTTACACAAGACTTACATGCTACAATATTAATGTAACGATTTTTTTCTTTGTTGTCTGGCAATTGTGAGATCTCCCAAGTAAGTGCATCATTGGATAGGTTTTGAATTTCCTAATTTATAAAAGATGACAAAACAATATTGAGACATTATTTCATGCCTATTTAAATTGATACTTTTTCTAGAAACCCCAGATCACAGATTCAATACAGATGTGATGCAACTTATAACATATAAATGAAGATTGCATCAGAACAATCTTTTCGAGATTATCAAAATCAATATTCGTTATACTTAATGTAGTAAACTCCGTATTTTAGGAAATAATTTGGCTCAATAATAAATAATAATTTATATAATTTGTCAAATAATTTGTTTTACCTCAAACTCGTCTCGAAACTTCTGATCTCCATTCCTATGGCCCAGCGCAACATATTGGGCTAATTCATTGACAGGAACAGCATGATCGTCCAAATTTTCTGGAAATATGATTTATAAACTTAAGAAATTTTTTTTCTTTTCTGGCAAAATTGGCAGAGTACTGAAATACACTCACCTGGCATCGATGGAAAAGCTGCATTTTCAAGCACAACAGGATAAGATCGGCTACGACAAAGCATTCTCAATCGTGAATTCCAGTTTTTGTTCCTTTGAATGAAACGAGATTCAAATAAAAAATTCTCCAGGAAATGACAATACGTTCATGTTTTTTTAGGTAGAAAAAAATACTACCGTAATACAGAATTTTTTTTTACTTTACCTCAAAACCAAAAATCCAACAACTGCCACTGCAACGGCGAAAAGTAGAAAAATGATGATAATAATGACCATGTTCATGTTCGTAGATTCTGGTTTCATTGTTGTGCTTTTGCTTGCCGTCGTCGGGGTATTTACTGTTATAAAAAATGTGACAATTATTTTTTAATTTCATTTGGAACTATTAAAATGACAATTGATTCTAATGTGTACTACACCAAATATATGTGCATTCAGGACATGGCTCTTAAGATAGTACCCAGACAAAATCATGACATCACGAGCAAGACATGATTTACTGATATATTTTCAAACTTGTCTATCAGGGAAGTTCGGACTTTTAAACGTAATAATCGAATTCAAAATTTCTGACATTAATTCAAAAAGCATTGAGTTGATTGAGCATTTACAACAGACAATTAAAGACTTGCATATGCGAAAGTTTTCGTTATCAAAATTTTTTTCTCTGGCGATTATTTTAATGAACTGTGGTCTAGGTTAAAATTTCTATCGGCCCGGAATCGAAGTTTTCGTCAACTCAGAATAAACTTTTGAATGACTCAGAGTTTAGAGTCGGGATGTAAATCCCCAACTTCACAAACCCTAATCAAAGGTTCTAAACCTCAACTTCAAACCCCAAATCGCCAAGAGGTGAAACAATTTAAGCAATGTCCAAGAAATCCCAGTTTTCCTGATCTAAACACATTGCTCCTAGTGTGCCAACGGCTGCTTATCCGAAACCCTGTTTATAGTCAAGATGTTGAACAACTACTAAAAAATTACTCACAAATTCCAATAGGTATACATGTTGGCATTGGTTGAGACCATGTTCCATTACTGAGACAAGAAATATCTCCAGACATAGATAAGTAAAATCCAGTATTGCAAGTGTAGATGACAGTTTCCTTAGGTGTGAACCTTCTAGCTTCAGGAATTCTGGTTGCGTTATCAATATCACCTGGATCTCTACACCTTATTTTAGTTGCTGGAAAAAAAAATGAAAAAAATATTCAGAAAAGATGCAGAAGTTAAATATTTACAAAATCGAATGTTAAAACTGAAATTCCCAATTGCATATTATTTTTGAGAATTCAGAAATAAACAAACCCAATTAACAGTTTATCAGTGAAATAAGCCATAGGCGTGATGAATACATTTAAGTGACATATAGTTCTACATAAAATCAAAATTTTTTATTGTATTACATGGGCAAACTCAATACCATTTCTCAGAAGATTGAATGCCATTACATTAGATATGGCCTAGTCAAATATTGCATTGTTAGTTCATTACCACGTATAAACAGATCTATGAAGTTGGCTTACTTTTCCAACAATAACCGGCTAAATATTTCGATACCAGACAGTGACTAGTAACTGGAAGAGAGGCCGTGGTTCGCCATATGATTAAGTCGGCTTTCCCCTCCCCAAAATAAATATGTAAATATCTTAACATATTTACATGTTAACTAATTTACCTGTGAATGTGCCTATCACATCTTAGACTTCGAAGTCTCGATAGAATGAACCATATAACTAACCATATATGGTTTCCTTCCACAGTATATGAGTTAATGCATACAATCTCTGATGATTTATTATGCGTCAAATTTAAATGCCTTTCTCTATGCGTCATTGGTAGTTACTATATAGTGGATTAGAATTTTTTTCGGTTCAGCAGTCCCTACTCTGGTCGAGGTGGTGAGGATGGGATTTGAACTTGAGATATTGATCTGCGATGCCATCATAGTTAAGTAAAGCGCTTTAAGGCCCAAGTCTATTAAAATAATCTCAAAGTTAATAATATCTTACTGCATTTTTTATTCTTGCAACATTTGTATCCTCCAGTGATATCTTCAACACAATATTTTCCCTCTGGACATACATTCTTGCTACATATACCAAGTGCAGTATCTGAATAAACATTAAAAAATTGTAATAAATGGGATGTAAAGAAAATTTTGATATCACATAAGGATTTATGCGTCAATGTGTTGGCCTAAACTAATTCATTAATTGTATCAAACTATCAAATCAACCATAATAACCATGTGAAAATAAACTGCCAATTCATTTTAAACACTGCTTATTTCGTAGACATTCTTGTGTAACTAATAATTAAAATAGTGTTTACTAAAAGGTTCCCCAGTTTATGGAGTATTGAGACGAAAGACAACTAGTTCAAAAGAGTATTTTCTTCAGCGGAAGGTAGCACTCTTGGAATTTCAATTTTCGACTTGGTTGATTAGAAAACATTGTGAAAAAAAAGGAAAATTCATATCGATCGACATGTATTTTCATTGTCGCCACAGAAACGAAACTTCAATCCAGACTTTCTATGAAATACACATTACTAGAGTGACAACTGACAACTTATGAAATTTCATTCATATCCAGAGATCGGTTCATCCGTTAAGACGCTAGAGCTTCGACACACAGACAGACAGAATGGCCGAGAATAAGGGTCACCCATACCGGGAATCCAATAAACGTATTTATTCACAATAAAAATTAACAGTAGAAGGGAGTCGCAGAAAACTTTAAAGGTTATCGAGTTGTGACAAAGAAATCTTCATTCATTTTTGTTCTCTGAGTTGAGCTGAACACAAGTACCTCAAATACCATACTCACCATTACTGATAGACGAAATATTTTTGTTTGACATATCATCCAGTGGAGCTGAGCAAACAGGATCTGTAAACAGAAATGGTTTGTAGCATTTTAAGATATGAAAATCTTATGATATTGCGATGAAAAGATAAATCAAAAGCAAGACAGACCATTAGTCTCATATAAATATTTATTGCAGACTTATATGTACAGATAGACAAACTTGATTAACTTACAATGCATATAATATCACATACAGACATAAGGCCAAATATAAGAAAATGTTTATTCCTGAACACAGAACGATTGACTGTAAGTTGACTGTAAATTACAGTTGACTGTGATTATTTGTATGAAACACACGAAACAATTCAGCAATACTTAGAATAAATCTGGCAACACAACATAATAAAATGCAATGAAACTATTAGAGGTCATTTATGAAATGTGAAAGTGATAACCTAATGTCAGAATGTTAGACCTTGACCAATAGAAAATAGGGGAAGGAAAGCCGATGAGACAACTTAATCATATAGCGAACTACGACCTTTCGTCTGATTACTAGTCCATGTCAGATATGGGATTAGTCAGTCAGTTCAGCAGTTCCGGTAGCTATTTGTTTTCTGATGAATAGACTTTATGGTGTTGGAAGTCGTGATCGACCGGGTTTACATAAACCACCCTACGGCAGTGAGGAGCCCAGCAATCCTCTCGCACATAATTAACCCCAACAGGCTGCGAACCCACGCAGCAAGCATACTGATACCGGTAACCGAAAATATTAACTGTACAGGTACAGCCAAGGTGTATAAATTTGTGTATAAATGTAGCATAATCATAGTAGTGTGGTCAGACTGTACCAATAATTAGAGCAGTAGAATGCAAAGTTATGAAGTTACAACTTACCAAAGTATAAAAAGCATTGAATGAGCACCAGCCATGGTATAATAAGGCCATGGATCAGCATTTTTGTGTTTAACGTGTGCAAGCCCACGACAAACCAGTAGATTCGTCATGCAGTGTACCGTATAGTTGAATATAGTCTGTTACATTCCTACCATTTCTTGTCAATCAAATTGTCAGTCAAGTCCCACCTTTGACCCACAGCTGCACAGAATACAGGAATAGATTGGAAACAAAAACATGTCAAAAAGTGGAAAGAGGTTTCCGGAGTCTGGGAATTGAAGGTTCGAATAAGTCCGAATATCCGAATCAAAATTGTGAAGAGAGAGAGAAGGCGATTTTTATTTTTCGTGAACCAAAATAAAACAACACTCATCGCAATAATGAAAAAAAACTAATATTCAGTAATAAATCAGTTTGGTATAGAGAGGAGGGAGTGTTACGACCAGACGGTCACCAAAGTCAACTCCCCCCTTCTCGCCATTATTTTTGCGCGGTTGGGCGCATCGTGCTTAGCGTTAAGAATACGCTCGCCACCTCACCTTTTATTACCGTGCGTGTGTTGGTAGGATAGGATTGAACATTCATCCCGAGGTATAGGAAAGCCGATAATACGGCTTAATCATATAGCGAACCACGGCCTCTCGTCCGGTTACCAGTCCATGTCGGGTGTGGGATTAGTTTAGCCAGTTGTTTGTTTTCGAAAGCATGAACTTGATGATAGAGGAAGCCGTAACCCAGTGGTTCTCAATTTTTTTTTTTATGTCGCGGCATACTGTTTAGCTCTTTAAATATTCGCGGCACACCTATCACAAAACACGAACACTTTCTACTCATAAATAGTGCGATAGTCGAACGCGAACAAATGGTTAATAGTTACCGATATTACAACGGTTTTTCTCACATTAATGTAGGCCAGAGCGTCTTCGGAGCACCTCACATTATTTTAAAAATTGCGCGGCCGCACGGTTAAAACGTGGTCTTCAAACGCACCATCGATCACGCGCTTCGGGTTTGCTCGCCCTTCCCCGTTCCACGTTACGCCCTTATTATTATCTCATGTATTCTCACTTTTTCACAACCTAATTCGTTTTTGTTAGAATTTAATATGTTTATCTAATTGCCAAAATCATTCAATAGTGTTATTGTCGGCACTTGCGAGAGAAATGCAAGAGGCAGACAAACTGTATTTTATTACAACAATTAATTATTATCGATAAAAACACTAAATAGGTTTAAAGTTGCTATAAACAATTTTCACCGCTGAACGTATCTTTTCACGTTATGAAATTTGTACAAGGCCCAAGCATAATTTGATGGCAAAGCATTTATTATGTCGAAACGCTTATTCGACTTTTCACACCACAGAAACTATCCGAAAAAGATAACCGTTTTTGTGTTCGATATATGAAATAATCGTCAATTCCACCACACTTTCGTGAAGTAGTGCAATTTACTAAATTTATAAAGATTTTATCAAGTACCATTGCATCAGTGTTTGGACTACCACGCGTTTCGCCAGATTACTGGCATGATTGCAGATCGCAAGGGTGGGCAAAATAGTATATTTTCATCGAATCGAGTAATTTTAACGAATTGTCGAATATCGGGTTGAATTTGGGATTTTAATCCGACTTTTATCTTTTGGATCGGCTTCGATCTTTTTTGTCGCCGTTTATAAACTAACTGTCTCAATTTTAAACTGAAAATATTATCATTTCTGATGCTGGAATGCGGATATTTATGAAGACGATAGTTGACCATCTTGATTTTTAGATTTTACTTTTCTATTGTGGCTCTTTTATTTTCGTATTAAATATTGAATAAAAACCCTGCAAAGTCATTGCGTGGATCCTGAATGCTATTTTGAGTTCAAATGATGATTGAACAATTCGGCAATAATGGCAATTCTACCTCACGCTTCTACCAGTCAAACCGTAAATTGGTAAAATTTGCCGCTGCATCCATGCGTGTGCATTTTTCTCATCTGCAAGCACACGGCAAATCGCCATCGCCTGCTGCCACCTTCTGATATGGAACAGTACTACGTGATTAATCTGCCGGGCGCTACACCGCATAGATACACAAATTGGAGAATTTCCCGAGGCACCCCTGACAATTTCTTACGGCACCACGGTTGAAAAACACTGCCGTAACCGTCCAGCGGTTACGTTTTATCTTTTCCTCTTTATTATGTACATTATATAGATGTAATAGTTTGTTTGTATTCCTCATTAGACTCTATCAATTTTTCGTAAGTGTCTCCTAAATTGCATTTGCTGTAAATATTTTCGATTTACTGTTTGCCTTATATTGCTTTTAGTTGCATATTCCGCCAAACTTGCCCTTCCTATATTTTTTCTGTGCTTTTATCTTGCTTTCCTCGCGTTTTTATTAGTTGTTAGTAATTATTCCGTGAAAGTTACATTTTCTGTTTTACTGTGTCATAATCGCATACATTTCGAATGTCGCCGTAATTGCATCAGTTGTGACTTATTCCTAGGATTTATTCATTTTATCCCTCATTTAATTATGTTTATTCTAACCTGTAGCGCTGTAGGTGTCGCTGCTTGAAGACCTTCTTAGGTCCCTCGCGACTCCGGTCACGCAAAAACATGATTAGTAGTGTAATTTATTCATTGTGTCACTTTATGTTTGAACGTGTTTTTTTGTGATGACAAAATAAACGATTGATTGATTGATTGAACCACCCTACGACGGCGAGAAGTCCAGCAATCTTCTCGCACGGTATTCAGAGGTGCGGAGGCCAGTGTATTAACTAACGCTCAGCATGATGCGCCACACTGCAGGGGTTCAAATTACATTGGTTGAACATGCGATTTTACTGAGGACAAAAGCCGCATAATTATAAATTCGATCACCAGTGCTCACTCTTGTAATATCGAATTATGATTAGAGATGCTGCGGAAGTGGTGGAATTCATATATTTTGCGCGAATCCGTTGTTGCAATATTCGTTTGTTGTATCCGGTCGGCTTGGTTTTCTCAAATGAAGGAACCTGGGGCCCCATTCGCCAAGCTTCTTTATCGTTTAAAACTTTAAAGTAAAGCGCCCACTTTCTCGTAAAAGGCAAAAATGGTATTGTCGAAGTATCGTTAATATTCGAGAGATTAATCGAGAGGATAAGCCTATTTCGCAATGATCTCTGTTTTATTTTTGCATCCTGTGATATGGCTGCGTAAAATTTTTAAGAGATGTTTCGTGAATCGCACTTTCGTAACTGCGTCTTTGAGAAACAAGGTTACGTGCTCGTAAACGCGGCTTTTTACGAAGTTTGGCGAATGGGGCCCCTGTTGTTTGCAAGATCGTTATTATAAAGTATCGACCGTTAATTTTTGCCTTCTGTAGTCTATAACAGCTAGATCATTTTTTTTGAACATTTGAACTTTCTCAGAGATAAAATGACCGCTAAGGATTTGAATCCAAAATTATAACACATATTTAATTAAAACTGAAAATGCGCCATTATTCACATCATGCTTGCAGATATACCGAGTAAAAAATCGCGTGTGTGACCGACAATTGTTTAATTGTTACATCACTGGCAAGTCATTACTAATTAGCCACTGTTACGAAATTCCAAAAAGGAAATGGATGCTCTGGTGAATGTCTACTGTGGCCAAACAGGCGCTAGTCAGATCTGTCTTTAGTGCTTGTAGCGTTCATTGGCACAAGTGTGATGACATTCTGTTTGTCATTGTGCGATTATCTTTTCTTCACTTGTGCACGATAGTCGCATTTTCAAAGTTTTAAAACTAGGTCTGCTATGAAAACCTCCGTCAGACAATCACGGGTCTCCGTTTAAGCCCCGATCTTTGTTTTCAGAAAGACACGATTGTTACTGCAGCGGTTTGCAGCAGTGTCTTTAATGATTGACAGGCGAGATTGTATGACGTCATAGTTAGAATGTTTCGTTTAGTTAGAATGTTCTGGAAATCATGTCATTTCCTGTCTCTGGCCTGTAACACGAGTTAGTGCTGTCCCTGTATAGTTCAGACGTGTATGGCTGTATTAATATTATTCTAGTGTCAGATTTTGTTGTTTGAATCTGCATGTATAAATATGAGCTCAGGATATGTACCGGTACTGGTATTGAGTTCAGTTGCTTATTGTTTTGACGAAAAGGTAATTAATTGTTATGTTCTTGTTTACACAGTTTGTTATAATAATCTGCCAGAGAAGCACCGAATACAGTTTGTTATAATAATCTGCCAGAGAAGCACCGAATTCAATGTCAGTTACCGCAGTTTCAACATTGTAATTATCAATTAGCATTTAACCGGAACACAATATTTCATGTTTGATGACATTACTGCATTATTTCTGGACTTTGTCCTGTGGAAGCTGGATTTTCATGCTATTAAAATATTGAAACACGAGTCAAGCTGCATTGAATTGTTATTAGATTCGTCTGCTAGCATTCCATCAACAGACTAAGGAAGGGATCGAATGCCTGCAGCCACAGTAACTGACAATAGGTCTGCTGAACTGTCAGATTCGAGTAATCAGGAATAATTACAGAATTAACAACAATAACAGTCAACAGAATAATGGCAAGTCAAGACAACCGAGAAGAAGGAATATCAAAGTTCACACCAACAGCTGACAATCCAAATTATGTCAATTCTGATGTCAATTCCGAGTTGCTTGCATCTTCGAGTGGTATGTCAAAAGAAATAGAAGAAACAATGAGCGATATACCCAATGTGGATTTAAGGTGCCTTTCCAAACAAGTTCAGCATTTAACTGATGAGATGAAAGGTGAGGATGATGCACTTTCAATTGCTGGTTCTGCTTGCTCTAATTGCAGTCACAAAACAGAAAAAAGTTCAATTTCTCAACAAAGCAACTCCAGCCTTGTTTCACTTAGACTGAAATATAAAACAAATCTTGCTGACCTGAAAGTAAAGCAAAAGTATCAGCAAGAGGAGGATAGACTAATGAAGGAGTTCCAGTCATCAATGAGCAATCTTAAGCTTCGAAGAGAAATTGAAGTAAATGAAGCCTGCCTATCTGTTCTTGATGAAGAAGAAGTGAAACTTCAACTGGAAAGTAATGAGCTCTCGGCTATAGCCAGTCAGGACTCTGGTAAGGTTCCAGAGTCGTCAAGTTGCCATGGAGAGCCATTGCTATTACAACTGGAAGGTACCAAGCAGTTGAAATTAACCAATCAAAATTTAGGTGAGACATCTAAGTTGCCAATATG